CGCTGAGGCTGCGGGGCGGAGACGTCTGGCGCAACCTCGCCGTCGCCGTGGCGCTGCCGTACCTCAAGCGCCGCCTCGACGAGGCGCACGAGGTCGACGCCCCGCGCGCGCTGCTCGGCGCCGCGTACAACCGGCTGCCCGAAGACCCGACGCTGCGGGACCGCGCGCGCCACGCCCTGCGCTGGTTCCTGCGCCGCGTGTACCCGGGCGTGCACGCGGCGTGCGCGCTGTGCGCGCTGGCGTTCAACCTCGCGTACCTGTTTGACGACAGCCGGTACCACAGCCCGCTGCTGTGGCTGGTCGGGACGCGCGTGCGGCGCATGACGGGCGCGGACTACAGGGCCATCGAGGAGCTTGCTGCCTCGTCGGCGGGCAAGAGCGCGGGCGGCCGCGGCGGCTCGCCGCCCGGCCTGCGGGCGCTGCTCGCGTCGCCGCGGGAGCTGGCCGGGCGGGCCGCGGCGGGCCTGTCCGTGCTGCTGCCGACGAGCATCTTTGCGCTCAAGTTCCTCGAGTGGTGGCACGCGTCCGACTTTGCCAAGCAGCTGTCGCGCAAGGCGGCCGAGTCGCTGGAGCTGCCGCCGCCGGTGGTGTCGGGCCTGCCGGACGGGTCGCTGAAGGGGATCCTCAAGAAGAAGAAGAAGAAGATTGCGAACGACGACGGCGACGAGGAGGAGGGGGAGGGGGAGGATGACGGAAAGAAGAAGGGGGGAAAGGGGAAGCTGCACGGGGAGGAAGAAGAAGAAGAAGAAGAAGAAGAAGAAGTACTACCCATGGCCGAGAACGCGCCGATCGCGACGCCCTCGCTGCTGCCGATCCTGACGGTGCCCGCGCCCGCGGACTCGGAGCTGTGCCCCATCTGCGAGGGCGAGATCGCGACGGCGACGGCGTGCCAGACGGGCGTCGTGTACTGCTACGGCTGCATCCACCGGTGGGTGGCCGGGGAGCACCCGCGGCAGGAGGAGTTCATGGCCGACAAGGCGGGCCGGTGGGAGAGCGGGGAGGGCCGGTGCGCGGTGACGGGGCGGAGGGTGCTGGGCGGCACGGAGGGCCTGCGGAGGATCATGGTGTAAGTTAGGTAGTTCTGGAGGGAGGGAGGGAGGGAGGGTATTGATGATCATTGTACGATAATTTGTCCTTTTTTTCTTTTTTTTGGCTTCCCTTGCATGGAACCGGCGTTGGGGTTGCGTTGGGAGCATTGGGTTGGAAGCGAGTATGCACCCTAGAATGTATATGTACCGTTCTCCATTACGGGCTGCCTCCTATTGAGCGCCGTCCGCATTATAAACAAACTAAGATACACTTCAGAGACCATAGTGGCATTATACACACATTCCACCACATTCAACATATACACACCCTCTCACCCTGTCCTCACATGTCCACAATCTCCACCTTGCCGCCCAACTTCCCCGTGTTGCCCAGCATCTGGCCCGCGTTGACCATGAGGCTGGCCTGGTTCGTCCCGGGCCCCTGCATGAGCACCTTGAATAGCACGCTCTCGAGCCCGTGCAGCAGCACGCGCAGGGCGTCGAGCCAGGCGGGGCCGGGCACGAGGTCGCGCAGGGGCCCGACCTGGACCTGGCCGCCGACCTGGTCGCGACGGCGGCGGGCCATGAGGGACTCGTAGGCGCGCTGGCAGTCGTCAAAGTAGACGGCCTCGCGGCCGCGGCCCCAGTGCACGTGGCCGAAGACGTGCAGGCGGGGGCGGACGCGCCAGACCTCGTCCAGGAGGCCGGCGCAGCCGAGGGAGAGGTCGAGGTGGTAGCGCTTTGTTTTGTAACGGTTTTTGTGTGAGCCAGCTCCCCTTCTGGGGTTGTGTGTGGGGGGGGTGGAAGGGAGGGAGAGAGAGAAGGGGAGAGAGAGAGAGAGAGAGAGAGAGCGAGAGAGAGAGAGAGAGATGCTTACGGGTGGGGTGTGGGTGATGAGGATGTCGGTGTTGCGCGGGATGGTGTTCTTCCACGGGTGCGAGTCTCGTTGGTATTCGAAACTGGTTTTTTCTTTTCTAAGTTTCCAATCCTGTCACGGCATGTTAAAATCTGAGAAAAGAAAAAACGCCCTACTCACGCAAAGGCATCCCCGTCGCCGCTGCACTTGGGGATGTCGCCGGCGCCGTACAGGTTCAGCGTCCGCCCGGACTTGAACTCGAGCGTCACAGCCTCGTGCTGCAGGTACCTGACGCCCCTGAAGTCCAGGGCCGCGCCGGTCTCCCGGTCCCGCTCCGACCGGGACTTGGGGTCGAACCAGCTGTCGTGGTTGCCGCACACGAGGACCTTGTGCTCGTGCGGCTGGGCGTGCAGCCAGTCGATCTGGCGCTGGATGTCGGCGGCCGTGCCGGCGTTGGTCAGGTCGCCGGCGTGGATGAGCAGGTCGCCGTCCGGCAGGGGGCGCACGATCTGGTCGTGCGTGTCGGACACGCAGACGACGCGGACGGGCAGGGTGCGGTGCGGGACGAAGGGCCGGCCGCGCAGGAAGAGGAGCAGGTGGTAGAGGCGCGTGACGAGGGCCTGGAGCGGGGAGGAGAGGAGGGCGTCCAGGACGGTCGGGGGCTCGAAGGGCCCTGTGCGGCGGAGGCCGAGGGTCTCGAGGAGGCCCATTGTCGTGCTAGGGGAGGGGGGCCTAAGTGGCACCTTGGGGGGGAGGGCAGTCTACTGCGGATTGTGATGGGGTTTATGGCCCTCCCTTCATTAGGTTTGGGGGTCTGGGTGTCTTCTCGGCTCTGCTCGGTTGAGTTGAGTCTACGTTCTTGATGATATGTCTTGCTCCGCATGCGGAGTGAGGTGCGGCGGTCGGTGGTGGTGCGGGAGGCGGCCGCGTTGAAACCACCAGGCTTCCTCCCCCACCCCACCCAAACTTCCAGCCAGTCCGGGGTTGCCGTTCACCGTTTCCAGCGTGTGGGTGCTGCGGTCAACCCCACTAACCGGGTACGCTATTACCACCTCTAGGCGATGATGTCAGCACTGGGAACGGGAGACAGGCCTTGGTTAACGGCGCACAAATCAAGGTTTGTGAGTTCAAGAAACGCGCAACGCAGAGCACTCAAGGCAGACGGCAGAAGGCAGGCAACTCAAGGGTCTTACAGTCATACAGGAGGATTCACTAGCTCGGAGTCAGGATATTGAAACACTTGTTTGAGAGCTACGTGTCCGGTCCTTCAACCCTGGGAATGATGGAATGACGATCCACCCAGGACTCAACGGTAGATCCAGAACTGAGATCCATCCAGACTGACTGCCGAAAGGGGACCCTGAACCTCATTACGTACTTGCCGAGGCGATGGACGATGGGTCATGCGATATTTGGATCTTGCATCCTGTCGTGCTTGTCTGGATCTCCAATTGATCTCGCCGCGTTGCACCGATCAAGAAGCTTCCAGGGCTGGCTGTGCCGCATTCCCGGAAGCTCGACGCACAGACCGGTGGGTCTACGGCCTGGCCGATCTGAAAAGACAGGGGGAGCAGTGGGAAGCTCCAGTGCTCGTATACGTAGCTGCCGTGCGTGGTGACGTTGGATCCCGCCTTTTCAGCTGCCCTGCCAAGACCCAACTTTCCTGGGCAAGCTTGCTCTGCGAAACCTTGATATCTCTGCCTACCTACCTAGGCGTCATCACCACCGCATTCTTTCTCCCTCTCCTACTTTTCCTACCTTTTTCTGCGAAGACGCTGCAGGTGCGCGATTGAATCCCCGAGCAGCATTCGCATCGTTGCCGCCAGTGACACTTGGGCTGCCAAGCTTTGGGAGCTGCGTCATGGACATCAAAGCCTTGTACAGCTCGGACAAGGACCACCCCGGCCTGAACTCCAATTTCAAGTGAGCATGCGAGCGACACCTCTCTCTGTGAGGGAAGCAAGACTGACGCGGTATACTCACAGCGTCGACTACGTGGTGCATTATGAGATCCCGCCCAACAGTAAGCCAACCATCATCCCTGGCTTGCGCTTGTTGCGCTTGCTTCGCTTGCCCACCTAACGCGGTAATCTTCGCAGACAGAGCCGAGGCCGAGGCCGCCTTTGTCCAGCTGATCGAGAACCTGGCCAACGCCGGCTTTGCCACGGAAGTGCGCCACGGCGACAAGACGTCCCTGCTCGTCTTCCTCAAGATCGCGTCCGACAAGCTGCTCCACCAGCAGGTCTACCGGTACCGCCTGCAGGACTGGTTGTACGGCGTGCGGAACTCGGCCCCCAACAAGGACCTCTCGCAGTACTTCCACGACGAGCCCATCTCCGACGCCGAGAGGCTGCGGCTGGCCTACCTGCTCATCACCAAGCCCAAGAACGAGGGCGGGGCCGGGATCACGCCCAGGAACGGCCAGTGGCGATACGTCAAGTCCGTCTTCCCCCTGCACGACCACAAGTTCAACCGCACCTGGCTCAAGCAGTGGAGCACAAAGTACCTCCTCGACGCGAGCGACATCAACGACATCCGCGACCGCTTCGGCGAGAAGGTGGCCTTCTACTTTGCCTTCCTCCAGTCCTACTTCCAGTTCCTGGTCTTCCCCGCCGCCTTCGGCCTGGGCGCCTGGCTCCTCCTCGGCCAGTTCTCCTGGGTCTACGGCATCACCAACTGCCTGTGGACCGTCGTCTTCTTCGAGTACTGGAAGCGGAAGGAGGTCGACCTGGCCGTGCAGTGGGGCGTGCGCGGCGTCTCCAAGATCCAGCTGCCGCGCTCCGAGTTCCAGTTCGAGCGCGAGGCCCAGGATCCCGTTACCGGCGAGATCGTCCGGCTGTACTCGCCGTTCAAGCGACTCCAGAAGCAGCTGTTGCAGATCCCCTTCGCTATTGCCTGCCTCGTCCTCCTTGGGAGCCTGATTGCTAGCTGCTTCAGCATCGAGATCTTCTTGGCCGAGGTCTACGATGGGCCCTTCAAGCAGTACCTGGTAAGGCCTGTCCCAGATCTTGGTTTGGACCACGGCTTACGACTCTAGGTCTTCCTTCCCACCGTCCTCCTGACCGTCTTCATGCCCGTCCTCACTACCATTCTCACCAGTCTGGCAGAGACCTTGACACACCTCGAGAACTACGAAACACAAGATGGTATGTCCTTGGAGAAAACAGGAGCACCCCAAAACGTCGGCTGACACTACCACAGCCCACCAGGCGTCATTCGTGCAAAAGATCTTTGTTCTCAACTTCATCACCTCGTACCTGCCCATCTTCCTGACTGCCTTTGTCTACGTCCCATTCGGAAAAGTCCTCGTCCCCTACCTGGACATCTTCAGAGTCACGGCGCAGAGGTTTGTCAAGGGTACCAAGATCGAGACCGAGGATTTCGAAATCGACCCCCACAGGCTTACCCAGCAGATGATCTACTTGACGGTCACCGCGCAGATTGTCAACTTCTTGCTGGAGCTCGTCTTGCCGTACGTCAAGCGCAAAGTCTTCAAGGCCGTTAAGGACGTTCAAGAAGACACGAATGGCAACGCCGCCCACGCCAAAGACCACCCCGAAGAGGCGGCGTTCCTGGAGAGGGTTCGAAATGAGGCCGAGCTTGATGTCTACGACGTTACTATTGACTACCGGGAGATGGTTGTGCAGTTTGGTAGGTCTTGAGCTGCAGCTGCTCCTCCGGGATATAGCAGGATACCGTGTACTGATATGCATCGCCAGGCTACCTGTCTCTCTTCTCCGTCATTTGGCCCCTCGCTGGCTGCTCCTTCCTGATCAACAACTGGGTCGAGGCTCGGGGAGATGCCATGAAGATTGCCATCTCCAGCCAGCGCCCGGTGCCGTGGCGCGGGGACTCGATCGGGCCCTGGCTCAACTCGCTCGGCTTCCTCTCGTGGCTCGGCAGCATCACGACCTCGGCCCTCGTCTTCCTCTTCCGCAAGGACCCCTACGGGCCCGACGGCTTCCCCTGGAACGTGAGGGTGTGGGCGCTGCTGCTCAGCATCCTGTTCGCCGAGCACCTGTACCTCGTCGTGCAGATCGTGGTGCGCAGCGCGATCGACAAGATGGACAGCCCCGGCCTGCAGAAGGAGCGGGCGCAGCGGTTCGCGCTGCGCAAGCAGCTGCTGGCGGAGACGCTGGGCGAGGCCGAGTCGGAAAAGGCGAGCGGGCCGTCGGTGGTGAGCGGGGCCGAGAAGATCACGCGCGAGGTGCTCGAGGAGGAGGCGCGGCAGGCGTCGATCAAGGGCCACGGGGCGCCCGAGGAGCTGTAAGTCTTGTGGCCTGTCTACTCAACTCACCTTGAGACGCCCAAGATGGGCGAGGGGGGCATGGGATGATGGATGGCTGACAAGAAGCTGCAAACAGGTTCTGGCTCCGGCAGCGGGGCACGTCGGAGACGGTGCAGATCGGGCGTAGCTATATTGCTGAGGTAAGTCTCTCATAGCTACGTGTGCGAGAGAGTGTTGGGAGACGAACTGCTAACGCCGGTGCAGCTCGCGGCCCATGACAACCACACCAAAAAGGCGTAAGCGGGAGGGTGATAGGGAATGTGCCCCATACGATCCAGCAGTAGCAGCATCAGCAGCAGCAGCCACGAAAAGTCTCGTGATTGGGGGTTGGGGGAATGCCCGGATTGCTTGTAATGAAAGGCAACAGGATGCGGTGCAGCCGGAAACACTGTTGCACGTCCCGCGGAATGAGTTATGACAAATTCAGGAAAGCGAATACAGCACAGCCGTTTTTTAATGAGAGATACTTTGTTCAACCCAGCAGCTGACTCGCTGCACCTATGAGATGCCCACAGGCCAACATGATCCCTCCCCTCCCCTCCGGTTCGACGGGTGAGCCGGGGTAGGCTGTCCTGTCAGTCGAGCCCGAGGCGCCACGAGTTCCTTCTAGAAGCTGTAGAACAAAGGGGGGGTGTGTTGCATCCTGGCCGGAACCCTTCCCCAGCGCAGCAGTGCGCCCCTGCAGGGGCAAGAGGCAGACAGACTGATCTTCGATGAGGATGGGGCTGTCACGAGGGCAGTGACGTGCTGTGGTATTAGTTACGGAGTATGTGTGAAGGCAATGAACCCTCGCGTTGTCTCAGTCCATCCTTTCTGATTGATGGTGGTGTCGATGGTGGAAGTGCGGCGAGTGGATACGGGATACAAGCCCCTTGTGCTCAGACGCTAGGGACAGGGAGAGCCCCGCAACGGCTTCCTAACCACAAAAGCTTGGCGTGGCTTAGGGGAAAGGCAGATTGGGCCAAAGCTCGTCGCCAATCACATCTCTGGATTCGACATCGTGCCCTCGTTCTCCAACGCTGGCAGGCTGGACGCCGCGACAGAAAACCTCCCATCCAGCCACGAAGAAATCCAGGGACCTTTTTGATACATCCCGGCCAAGGGTTGCATCGCCCTCAAGCTAGTCAATGGAAGACCGAGTGGCGTCTTCTTTTCTTCTATTCCATTCTTGGTTTCGTACGTACGGAGTAGCTTCGAAGCTCACCCGTCCGTTCCTACCTACTGCCTGCCTGCCCGAGGCGAATGGTGTCCGCATGGTGCTTTGCCGCCTTCATACCTGGGCAATTGGCTGCTGCTGTGCCTCGTTTTGAGTCTGGCACTGGCCTGTGGACGTGAGAACCCGGCAATTGCTGCCGAACCAGAGCCGGCCAACATCATGAAGATGTCTGGATAAACAGCCACATTGTCTTGCGTTCTGCGGGTTGCAACTGTCTCAAGTCCACCACCACCACCACCACCACAGGCAGTGGGTACCTAGCATCAAGGTAATATCAACCCCTCCTAAGTGGGGGAGAGTCCTATTTATTAACCTTGCAGAGCATGTACAAGTATGTCCATCTCTTCGGTGGGGGTTGAGAGAGACCTGCAGACTGGACATGGTACCTACTCCTCGCCAGCTGGAGGGTTCTGTCGACAGGCCCCCAGGAACAGGACTCGGATCATGCACGGAATTTGATATGTGCAGGAATGTCTTGGAAGGACACATCCACCCGCACACAAAGTGGAGGTGTGTGCCTTTTCGGCTCACGAGACAGACCACCACTCCAGCTCTGCCTCGTCGATGCGAGCTAAGGAGGCGAGTGAAGCATGGCCTTTTAAGAATCGGTCTTGCAAATCCAGCATAGCCTCCCTCGCTCTCCGTCTGTCTACTAGAGATCTAGAGGCTGTTCTTAGCGAAGCTAACCGGGTAGCTTCCGCCTTGGACACGCCCGAGACCCATTGGCCCGGGTGATAGCTTCAGGTATGTGGAGGTGAGACTGAGCCGACTTGCTCCAGTATTCTGCACAAACTGGCTTCCTTACCCACCACACCCTTCTTCTCTTGTTCCCTGTCCATCAGCCTCACGCACGCATTGGCTTAGCTATGCAGTCCGGACAGCGTCTAAGGCAAAGTGAATATGGAGCCCCCAAGGAACCTGGCTCTGCGCTTGACCCAACTACGTAGGCCTCTAGGGTCTTGCATCTGGTGTGCTGCTGCTTGGCCTGGCTGTTCAACGGTCCTGTTCAATCACACGCGCACATGTGCTCGTCTCTTGGCTTTTGCTCTGCAGACGCACACACGCCGGCACAGCCATTTCTCCTTCGTGTCTTTTCTTCTGCTTCTCTTCTTTTGACCATCTGACCGTTCCCTTCGCTGCCTTTCGTCATTGCCGGGAGCTGTGTTGCCGTGGGTGCCTCTTTGACTCATAGCTACTCTCTCTCTCTCTCTCTTCCATACTTGTATCCAGAGCTTGAGCTGTCTGTGGTCCCTGCTTTTCTCCGCACTGAGACCTTGTCTGTATCCTCCCCCACCATTCTAGGCGAAAGACAGGCGAGATCTGTTGTCTCTGCTGTCGCATGTCTTTCTTTCCCACAACATACTGTACCTCCACGAGCGATCAATCACAACTTCAACGGCTCTGGCGGTGCTCCGCGCTAGAAGACGAATAACCATTTCATACGGAGCCTTTAACCATCGAGCCTACCGGTGTCTGTACCCCATATAGGATCCGTCCTTTTCAATACCACCCCCCCGCCGGGTCCCGGCGCAAAACACACCTTGTACAGCTCCGGTGGCCCTCTATACCACACTGCCCATTCGCGCCATGGATCAGGCCGTGCGCGACCTCGTCGTCACGCCCTTTGGCGAGATCGTGGCCAAGGCCAAGGTCGCGGCGGGCAACGTCGCCGAGGCCGGAGACGACGCGCCGCCGCAGATGGGGAAGGCGGCGCAGAGCCTGCAGAGAGAGGGCGAGCGCGCGCTCAAGAAGATCGAGCCGCTGTGCGTCAAGCACCTCGCCGAGTACGGGGCGAGCTTCCTCGACGAGCTGAGGGCCAACGGTACGTTCTTTTGAGTGATGTCGACTGTGGCATCCGTGAACCTATGAGCAGCTGTATGAGATTGCGACTATGTAGGGCAGAAGGAAGGCAAGCAAGCGTCAGGGAAAATCATAAAACAAACTAACTCTCTGTGTGTGTTGTCGTGACAGGCGAGATCGCACACTTTCGAAACGAGCTCAACGACCTGCTCTGGGAGTTTGACGACTACGTCGAGACGGACGACTTTGACGCCGACAAGTTTGCCGAGCTGCAGGCGCTGTCGCGCAAGGCGGCGCCCAAGATTGTCGACATCCTCATGTGCATGAAGCTGCAGCCCGCGCCGAAGCCGGAGCAGCAACAGCCACAGCAGCAGCAGGCGCCGGTCATCGTGGCGGCGCCCAGCTCCTTACCGCAGAAGGAGGACGAAGGGGTCTCGCTGGCGCCTGTCATCAGCACCGAGGACGAAAGCGATGCGAAGAAGCCAGCAGGGAAGTCAGATCCCCGCCGCGAGATCAAGCTGGTCATGGGCGCCAGATCCGGACCCGACCTAGGTCTGAACGGCGACGCCAACGAGGCGCAGAACATGGCGGTGACCCCCAGGACGCCGCACGCCGAGGCCGCGCCGGGCGCAGAGGTCGCCGTCGTCGAGGCTATCGAGACGGCCGCACCGCGCGAGGGCCTGCCCGAGGCGCCTGATGTCGACCCCTGGTCGATCGGCCCGGCTCCGGCCGTGGGGAGTCCCGACAGTGACGACGGCGACATGACCCGCCGGGAGGCTGTCACGTCACGGCCGGACTCGCCTACGATACCCTACGCCGTAGCCGTCTCGCCCACAGCCAATGACTTCAAGAAGCGCTTCGAGCCCAATGCTCCGCTCCCTGCCCTTCCGGCGCCGTCGAACCGGAGCGTCCGCGAGGGCGCAGCTACTAACGGCAGGCCGCCGACTTCTTCGGGGACTAACGGTATCAACAGCACTTACGTCGTCTCGCCACTTCTACGTGCCAAGGATGCCCGGTCGCCCACTTCGCCGAGCGGGTATTCCGCGCCGCCGAGCTACAACGACCTGGTGCACCAGTCCTCGTGGCCGCTCAACGGCGGACATGGCCAGCACCAGCATCCTGCACACCAACACCAACAACAGCAGCAGCAACATTACAACGGCGCCGCGGTAGCCAGCATGCTGCCCAGCGGCAAGCAGCACCAGCACCAGCGCCGCTCCGGCGAGCACGTCCTGCCGTCCGACTCGTCGTCGCGCTACTCGCAGGCTAGCAGCTCGGCCGCCGAGTCGCGGGGCAGCTCCGTCTTTGACCACCAGGAGCAGCGGCACACCATGTCGTCCGCGACGGCGAGCCCCGTCATGCCCGCGGCGCGGACGTCGAGCCTGCCCGGCTACGCCGGCGGCGGTGCCAACGGCGGCGGGCAGGCGGCGGGGAGCCCGCGCCTGCGCATGTCGGCCTCCTTTGGCCGGTTCCCCGAGTACAGCATGCCGTCCCCTGCCCTCCGGCCGCACTACGAGGAGGAAGCCGAAGGAGACGGGGACGGGGTCGAGGTCGTGACGCTGTCGCCGCTGCGGAACGGGGCGGACTTGGAGCCCGTGCCGACGAACGGGATCGAGGTCGACTCCGGGCTGATTCCTGTGCCGCCGCAGCCGGCGGGAGGGGAGGGCGGCGGAGGGGCGGAGGGCGGCGATGCGCCGCCGCCGTCGGATGTGCCGATCCGGGAGGCGGATACGAATATCACGCTTGAGAGCTCGTTCTTCCTGATGAGGGGGTTCTGCGTGGGCGCGCGGGAGTGTCAGAGGGGTGGGATGGGGGTGAAGCAGACGAGGAAATTGGTATGTCTTGAGTGTTTGATTCACTTGGGTGTGTTGGGTGGAGTAGTATTGTGCTGACATTGTGTGCAGGGCTTCGGTGGAGGGTCGGCGGTAGCGGCCAAGTGTAAGCACTGCTCGTATGAGCTCGAGTGGAAGCAGGTTGAGGCGGATAAGCTGGGATATGGTGAGGCCTTCATTCCCCTGAAAAGGCTGCGCAAGCCAGACAGACATCTAACCCATCATCCCGCAGAGACCGCAAACTACGTCTCCCAGGACATCGGCTTCCGGCTGCGTATCCTCTCCAAGTGCCACCTGCGCTCCAAGAACATGGAGGACCAGAACTACGGCTGCCCCTTCTGCCTGCAGCAGGGCCGGACCAACGAGGAGAGCGACCCGACCGTCTTCTTCTCGCAGAAGGAGCTCTTTGCCCACTTCGCGCGGCACCCGCGGCCGCTGCCGGCCGTGCCCTACCTGACCGTCATCGAGGAGGCCGAGATCCCGGATCAGTACCGCAACGACTACGACCTGCACTTCACGAAGCGGCAGCCCGTGCGCTCGGTCATGGAGGGCCTGGGCAGGGAGCTGTCGATGCTGCCCACGGCGACGGCGGTCGAGACGGTCCGCCGGTCGACGACGGGCGGCGGCGGCAGCAGCAGCAGCAGCAAGATCCCGCCGGACCGGCACACGCCGCTGCAGTTCGCCGTGGGCGCGCGGATCGTCGGCGTCGAGTTCCCGGCCAAGTACCACGGCGAGTGGGCCGTCGGGTGGGCGGACAACGTGCGGGCGCCGTTCCCGGCCGACGCGGTCAAGCTCGACGAGCCGCCGGCGCTGAGGGCGGCGGCGGGGGACAGCAACGCGACCGCAGCGGGGAGCATCAAGGCGCTGCAGGGCGCCAGCTCGCTGTCCGCGGTCGTGCGGTGGAAGTTTGCGCACAAGGACCGGACGGCGGACTGGCTCAAGCTGGAGAAGGGGGACGTCATTACGAACATACAGTGTAAGCTTTTCTCAATGTTTCTTTTCTTGTCTTGCACACATATATACGCACGCACGCACGCACGCACGCCATCAGGAATTTCGGTTTTTTTTTTGCTTTTCCTGACATGACACTAATCAATAAATAGGGGCCTACCCGGGACACTGGTGCTGGGCGGGCACAAACTCCAAGGGCCGGTGGGGCATCTTCCCGCAGTCGCACATCGAGCCCAACTCCCTCATGGACGGCGACCGGGGGAAGAAGAAGGGCGGCCGGGCCGGGGCCTCCGCCGTCGATCACCGCGACGACGACGTGCGGAGCGTGTCGAGCTCGGAGCGCAAGGGGTCCGGGGCGGGCGGCAAGCTGCTGTCGCGCATGTCGGTGCGGCGCACGGCCACGTCGAGCAGCCAGGAGACGGCGCACCCGCCGGCGCCTTCGTCGAGGCCGACTTTTAGCTAGTCGAAGGCGGAAGCTTGTGGATCTCTTTGAGATTCTGATGAGGACGTCAAGGACGCATTTGGGTTTTTGCATGCCGCCGGTAATTCTCCGGCGTTGGATGTTTGGACTGATTAATCAGGGCTGGGCAAGGGACTCAGAATTGGAGGAGCTCGGGATGGATTTCCTGGTGGTCAGAGCATTTCTGACTGTGGGACAATGACGACTACGACTCTCGTTTGACTGCGATAAATACCCTTTCGTACGGATTGAGATGTATGTATTATATCAGATAGACTTTGCAGGACATGGGAGGTTTGATTTTAGAATCTCGAGAGAACAAGAGATAACTCCAGCATGACATGAAGATACCAAGAAGAAAGTTCTGATCTGAGCCCTAAACGGGAATATCATGCCTTCAGAGAACGCAGGATGCTGCGAGCACCGACAAACTCGAGCTCGTCCATCGTCTCGTTCCACAGCCTCTCGGTCACCCTGCGGCCCTCGGGCGTGTACAAGAACGACGCGAATCTAGCAGAGACATCTTGTGTTAGCACCTGGGTCTCACTTCCACTAATTCACCTGCATGCAGTACGCAGCAACACTCACGGATGGATCTTCCAGCTCATCAGGAAGCACCCGTGCGCCGCCTTGCCGTGGTGCACGATCCCGTCCACGAGGCAGCTCGCTCCCACGCGCGGCTCCCGCCCCGTCAGCGCCCCAAACAGCCACGCCGCTCCCCTGACGGCGGCGTTCCCGTCGCGCGCCAGGCTCGTGCCCCGGCACCACGCCGGGTCCGCGATGTCGACCACCACGTCGTCGGCATCGACGCGGTCGACGAGCTCCCAGAGGAACATATGCATGAGCAGCTTGCTCGAGTCGTACGCGTCCTGCGCGTCGTGGCCCGCCTTCTCGTCCAGGGCCCGGAGCAGCGGGTCCGCGCCGCGCTTGGAAAACTTGGCCGCCAGGGCCAGCGCCGCGCCGGCGAAGGTGACGCGCGCGGGCTCGTCGTGGGCTCGCCTCTTGGCCTTCATGATCGGCAGCAGCAGGACGGCGAGCAGCGCCTGGGAGAGGTAGTTGACCTGCAGGCACTCCTCGTGGCCCGTCGCCGGGACGGCGTGGTACCCCATGCGGAACACGCCGGCGTTCAGCAGCGCGATGTCGATGCGCGCCGGGTGCGCCTCGCAGCGGGCGGCGAAGGCGCGGATCGAGTCGTACGAGGCCATGTCCAGGGGCCACACCTCGACGGTGGCCTCGGGGGAGAGCGCGCGCATCTTCTGCGCCGCGGCCTCGCCGCGGTCCGGGGAGCGGCAGGCGAGGATCAGGCGCGCCAGGCCGAGGCCCAGGAGCTGCAGGGCCGCTTCGTAGCCGAGCCCCGTGTTGCCGCCCGTCACGACGGCGGTCTTGCCGGCGAGGGAGACCGCGCGCTTGTCGGGCCAGACGGGCTTCTCGCGGAACTGGTTGTTCCAGAAGACCTTGGCGAAGGAGACGGTGGAGGGCGGGAGGTCCTTGGAGCCGGTCATCGTGGTGAGTGGGTGCGTGTGTGCCGTGACTGGCTGCGTGTAACTCCTGTGAAGAGTGTGCGTCCGGAAATGATGTGAGAATGAGATATCTGAAGAACACGACTACAAGGGGTTCCTGCATCTTGCTATATAAATATTGTCTCGGGTTTGAGAGATTCATGATCCGGAATTCAACGATCCCGAGCATGGCACCGGACATACATCGAAGATCAGGAGCCAGCGCGACATAAAGTCCACGGAATAGCACTCTCGCAGTTTGACACTCTTTAACCCTTTTCAGGTACTGATATCATTCCTTCCCTGTACAATATGCTTTGCCACGATATCGTTACCGTTCCTCGTCATGTCTTCCAACATAACCGGCACACTATGCCCGAATAGGGACACAATATCAAAGTCCGGGAGGCCCCACATGTCCGGCCGGGCCAAGACCGGGCGTAGATTGGCTAACCCGACTTGGGCATCGCAACACTAAACTCAAACTGGAATATAATATCAATTGTGCCACTGGTGAAGTATCCGTGAGAAGGGACGAGGTTGAATAGAACCTCTCACATTTTCTGACCAGGCCAGTAGATTATTTTGGGATGCTCGGGGTGTCCTGTGAGGGCCTCGTCCACAAAGGAACAACATGCATAGCGCTAGGCCCGATCTGCGTCGGAGGCGCATTTGGGCAGTTTGCATTTGCTGACACTGCCCAGTCTTGCATCGGGGGGTGTCACGCTGTGCATGGGTATCACTCAGGATTAACGTGTCTGCTGACGTTGCACCCCAGGCATTTGTGGCCTTTGAGGCTGAGCCTCCAAAGTGTAGATGTGTTTGTTGCAACCTGTCTTTCCCCATCCTCAACTGGTCCGGTTTTGATACTTTTTTCCAGCGTAGAGAGCACATGTCTTTCAGACAAACAATCTAGAAGTGAGCGTGCAATACGAATCGCCCCCAACGCCCCTTCATGGATCCTTGTCAGGCTGCCAGTAGCATCTACGGAGCCCTAGATGATGGCCGATCGGAAATCCGAGCTCTTTCTTTGAACTCTGGGGACTTCGACGACCCGATCTCCTGCTCCCTACAGGTCGTTTCATTGCAGGACCAACCGATATACCGAGCACTGTCCTACGTCTGGGGTACTGCTCCGCCAAACATCACCATCAGTATCAATGGTCACGAAACGCAAATCACGCCCAGCCTCGCAGCCACTCTTCGCAGAATAAGACACCCTGCGAGCTCTTCAGCCACCGCTGACGGCTCGTTGATATGGATCGACGCTATCTGCATCAACCAAGCAGATCTCGCCGAGCGAGGATCGCAGGTTAAGCTCATGGGCCGCATCTATCGGCAGGCTTCTCGTGTGCTGATCTGGCTGGGCGAAGGAACGGAGCATTCTGACTGGGCCCTGGATCGTCTGAATGACGCAAGCGTGAGATCCTCCCTCGTGACTTTGAAGACGGAGTCTCGGCAGCCCACGCTGGAGGAGATCAGAATCAAGATCATCATCGACCGCGATCTTGAAATGCGATCATATTGGACCCGGACCTGGGTGGTGCAGGAGATGGCGCTGGCCCAGAACGATCCAGTTGTCCACTGCGGAGGGAAATGCGTCCCGTTGTCTGTATACGTGGACAGCCGCAACAACCTGCCGTTCGACGCAACTGCCGTGCCGGGGATGATCTCGGAATGGAGACGGCTAGAGCTCGAAGTACCGCGCCATTCAGACGCCATCAAGGGCCGGGTTGGAGTCTCTTTTTTTCACGACTTTGCGCGAACCACGTACCGGGACTTTGGCGAGATCCCCATGGGCTGGGCTCTCAACGCGACGTCCGGGCTGTCCGCCACGGATGCCCGAGACAGAGTCTATGGAGTCCTGGGTCTGCTTCCGCCCAGCCAAGCGTCCCGTATCGAGGTCAACTACAAGCAGCATTACATGCGGACCGCGCAGGACGCGATGACTGTTGTCCTCACGTGTCCGGATCCCGATGCACTAGACTCCTTTACGACATTCAGCTTCCATCGGCCGGTGGATGAGTACCCGTCCTGGGTGCCTGACCTCGCCTTGCGGGAGTACGAGCATTGGACTTCTACGAAGGGCCTTAAGCATGCGCGGCACGCCTGGCGGTTCCCACAAAAGGCGGCCACAGCGGTGAGTGGCGATGTTCTGCGGCTGAACGTGGTTCGGCTGGACACCGTCGAAAAGGTTTTGGACATTTCTTTCAACCACGGTTGGGGTACAGAGTTCCGCGCAGGCTCTGGGCCGGGAATGGTTGACACAGAGCTGCTCAAGACAGCAGAAGCAATGGCAGACGAAGGCGCCCAAAGAGCGATCACCCACGATAAACGGATCGGTGCTCTGAGCCAGGCCAGGCACAAAGAGCCTATCTGGCTCTCCATGTGCTCCTGGCGGGACCTGGACGGGCGCGGCATGGCCTATTCCGGGCAGAGCCGGAACGACATGTGGCTTCCGGAGATACCGCGAGAAAGAGGGACGCTGTGGAACATCCTGCTCGGAAGGCAGGACATCCCAGTCGACTGGCTGGCTTCGTGCCCAGAGGGGCTGAGGAGCGACACACCAAAGCTGATGGCGGCGGTGCTGTCGCCGCTGCTGCACGCCATTCGCTCGCGCTGCAACGAAAGGCGTGCGTTCCTCACTGAAGCTGGCTTCTTCGGGGTGGGGTCCGGGCACATGGAAGTCGGCGATGTCGTTGCCTTCGTTGCCGGCACGTTCTACGCTTGGATTCTCCGTCCGCATCGAGATGGGTACCGCATGGTCGGGTTTGCGTATGCTTCGGGTCTGATGGACTGGGAAATACTGGATGAGGGCATGGAGCGAGGGACGTTACAGGAGGAGACCGTCAGGATCTACTAAGATGACATTAAAGGCAAATCGTGGATCCGAATATTTTGCGTGCTGAGTTGCTCTGGCATCATAGTTGTGACTTGTTGAACTCGCACGAAACATACCGTGACTTTTGTTGCTCCGATTTGGTATTGAAATGCGGGCTATTAACACTAAACCCAAATAGGAATATAATATCAATTTGCGCTACTGTGGGCTAAATAGTGTCATGTCAGCCACCATCTCAGACATCATCGTCTCGCTTCCGCTCTTCACCCTCCCCTGCCGGAACCGCGGGCTTTGCGTATCCCCGGTGGCGGCCCTAATTTACTTTTTTGTTTACCATTCTACTCTCTTCCTCCTTCGTGGGCTATGGACTGCTCATACTCTTTGACACTGTTTTCCGTTTGGAGTTAGTCGCGACACCCGTGAAGAGCAAGAGATATTGTAGACTGGACACGGTAAACCCTCGAAATGGCAACTGCCAAGCCGGCATGTAAGTAGATCCACAGAGGGGATTCGGGTCTATGGTTCCCCTTTCCAAAGGCAGAAACTGACAAGATACCGTGCCTAGCCTCCGCAGGGCTGCATTTCGTAGTTTCAACGGGCAGCGAGAAGCCGGACCCAGAGCTCCGCAAGTTCATCAGGAGCCATGTCATGCTGGGCAAGAACCTGGGCCGGCCGCGTCCCGACAGGAGGAAGAAGCGCAAGCCCGGGAGCAGCCAGTCCACGTCGGATACTAGCCCCAAGGGCTCTTCGCACCCAGACACGGACGTGATGACAATCCCTCCCAAGATTGGCTCCGTGACGTCCACCATAGAGTTCGCAGAGTTTCTTGAACCTGGAACTGTGGATATTGTCCTGAAACGTGAGTGTTCGCTTCCCTCCTTTCCTAGTTCGCCACTCTCAGCGGCTCCCAGCACTCAAGTCATCACTAACAAACGTCCCACGTCCATCTGGGGTGCATCGCTATTAGTATCCTCCATCTCCAAACAAATGATGTTTGTCCTCGAGCCCTGCATCCTCTTCGAGCGCCGGGCCGAGAACTGGGTGGCACCCCTGGCCTACGACCCGGTGTACCTCCACACCATGATCTTCGCGGCGCACTTCTACTTTGAAGCCTTCCTGCCGTGCATGCCGCCGTCGTCACCCTCCACAGTGGCGGCAGGGTCGACAATAGAGTCGGCGGCACGCGGCATGCGGTCGTCGGCGCCGCACTACGGGCGCGCCGTGCGCCTGCTGCGCGAGCGGCTCGAGGGTGACGCCAACGGCGGCGACGAGATGCGCCTCTGCGACACGACGCTGGCGGCCGTCATGACGCTCGCCAACGTCGCGCTGTTCACGGGCGACCTGCGGCTGGCGCGGCACCACGTCCAAGGGCTGGCGAAGATGTTTACGCTCAAGGGGTACGCGAGCATGCGGAGGAATTCGAAGCTGCTGCTTGAGATGCTGAGGTATGTGTGTCACGTAAGTTTGGTGAGGTAAAAGAGTGGCCAGACTGACGAAACCGCGATGGTGTAGGTCTGATATCGGTCTGTCGCTGCACACCGGCTCGAGGCCTGTTTTTCTTGACAATACCCTATTCCGAGGGCATCTAATTGCATATCCCGATTTTGGATCGATATTCGACCTACCAAAGAACATGGCAAATTCTATAGGCCATGCAGTTCCGATGACCGCGACAACAGCCTTCCCGACGGCGATGAACCCCGAACTAGTCCGAGTATGGACCGTGCTGTCAGACTTATGCGCCGTCGTCGAGCGCGCCGTGGCAACAAGGCAGTACATCACCACCGACGTGCTGCTCGACGTCATGGCCTCGACCATGTACAACCTAGCAGGCCTACGCTGCGAGCCCGCGTCGACCGACGAACTGCTGCGCCTCGGCCTGCTGGCCTTTTCCTGCAGCGTCTTTATGCACTGGAGAACCCTGGGTAGGTCCTTTGCGCACTTGGCGACCGAGTTCCGGAGCTGCCTTCAGGACCCGGCCGTTATGAGCCAGCTGTCGCCGGAGCTGTCAGTCTGGCTCCTGGTCATAGGGGCAGTCTCTGTGTTTGGTGTGACTGCTGATGATGATGGGTGGCTCAAGCCGCTACTACGAGATATGCTGGGAAGGTGTGAGATGCGGTCGTGGGAGGATGCACGGGGGTTCATGAAGTCTCTGCTGTGGATCGGCCTGGTGCATGATACTACAGGGGCCAGAGTGTTTGGTTCTGTTGGTGATGTTTGACAAGAAGGCGAAAAGGCAAAAGATCAAGGTGGATTGACGCAGAAGTAGACGATCAGGGCCCTTGTTATTATCTTTAACTGACTTAGGACGTCTTTTCCCTTTATGTCCTTTCTTTAGTCCTTGTGCAACACCCTCAAGCTCGTCACTACATTCATTGCGGAGTGAGGAAGGGATAGTAATGGCGTCGCTGTCCGCCAAACACTGGAAGTGCATGATCTCCGAGTAGCAGAGAGAGACACAGAGGGAACAAGGAAGGGGACCCTATTCGGCGTCAGCAAAAGCAACGCCAAGGGCTCGGCGAACCTACCTTGAACACCTCTTGCTCCACCTCAGGGGGATGACGCTCGCCCCAATCGCGAACAAACGCGGGGGTTTCTGCATCCGCTTGATCTCTTGGAGGGGGTTGTGGCGCCGGCCCTTGCCCGATCCCTTCGGGGCCGGCTTGACGATCTTGGCGGGGCTCTTCCGGGGGTGCTTGCCCGCATGAGCACCGAAAAATGTGGCCTTGCGGTCGGGGCCGCTGAGTTTGGTGTACAAATTCTCAAAGACTGACGGAGAGACACCATGAAACCTGAAGTAGTTAACGCCGTCATCGGTGCGCTGCTGAAGGCGCTGTAACAACCGGTCGAGCGCCTCGGCTTCTGAGAGGTGCGCGACGTCGTACTCGGCTGCAGGAAGGGATAATCAAATCAGTAGGCGAGTTTCGACAGTGGGCGCAAGAGGAGACCTCTCACCTTGCAGTTTGGATTTTGAGTGAAGACCTAGCTAGATACTGGTCGGGTTTGTGAATAGGTTTCATTATCTCTCCGAGTTCTGCCGCTGAACAACTTTTGTACTTCAGCCCCAAAGAAGCGACCAATCAAACACCTTTCTGGATTTGTGCTCTTGAATTGCTGCCCAACATTGAAAAGTGCATTTGCCTACCGAGCCCTAATTTGAGAATAGTGTAAGCCAATCAGGCATCATCGAGATCTCGCTCCGCATTGCTGCCTGATGCCAGTGTTTTCCGACCATACTTCACGCTTGGGGGCTTTTGAGAGAGATCAATTTCTTGACAAGGCTCGTAGCCAATTGTGTCGAAAGATTCGGCTGTTCTTACTTTTTTAAGATCCCTTCACCGAGGCTGCACGGCGAACATGCGGCTCCTCAAAGCAGAGACTTACCAGCTCTTTGAGGAGAATGACATCCCCAATCCTTTTCCTCAGTACGCCATTCTATCCCACACGTGGATATCTCCAAAAGATGAGATCACCTATCAGGATTTCAAACAAAGAAAGGGCGATATAGAAAATGGCATCTTCAAGCAAAATGGCTGGGCTAAGCTTCGAAGTTACTGTGATCGAGCGACCCGGGATGGCTGGGAGTGGGCTTGGATGGACACCTGCTGTATCGACAAAACCAACCCTGCAGATACGCAAGAGGCCATCAATGCCATGTTTCGTTGGTATCAAAATTCTGGTATATGCTACGCGCACCTCGGCGATGTGGATGTGAGCAAGGTTCTTGACAGCCAAGACTGTTTGGGAAGCGGTCAAGCAGATCTTGACACAGTCGCGGGCAAAAACAACGTGGCTGATCCTACCAGCTCTGCGCACATGGCTCTCCAGACCTTTCTACTTGAGGCCAAGTGGTTTACCCGTGGCTGGACACTGCAAGAGCTTCTTGCACCACCTTACCTCGTATTTGTGGACAAAAGATGGCGTCGGCTCGGCACACGCGAGAGCTGGGCGGAGGAGATCAAGAAAGTCAGCCGGATAGATCCACGGTACTTATCGAGCTTCGAGCCAACAGACTTCACATCGTGCTCTATCGCCATGAGATTATCTTGGGCTTCCCATCGAGAAACCACAATCGAAGAGGATGAGACCTATTCACTGCTTGGCCTTTTTGGAATCAGCCTGCCCCTGATCTATGGCGAAGGAAGGTGGCGCGCTTTCAACAGACTCCAGCGTGAGTTGATCAAGGTCTACAACGATGACTCGATTTTTGCTTGGAAGGTCGGGCAAGAAACAAACGTGCAGTTCTTGAACCTACAGCAGAATGGTACGATATCACTTACACGGAAATGAAATATTGCTGATCGACTGACCTTATTGCAAAGGTCGCGATACAGGACGGGGTATCCTGGCACCTTCAATTCGAGAATACTGGGACGCGTCAGAAATCGAAGCCTTTGGTCTCTACGACAACAGTTTTTCGATGACAAATAGGGGGTTGGAAATCATTTCTAAGCGCTGGAGACACAGCGTTGAATACGCCAGGTGCTTCATTCGTCTGAGTTGCGGTTCTGGACCTTCCCGTCGGATTTGCATTCCTCTTGAACACGTGGACGATTCTTATAGACGAATCCATCTTGGTGAGACCTGGGACATGGCAACGATTGATCTTGAAGCTTGGGTAGAAGAACCTGGGAGCCAACTCACTGTTGTCCGAGCCAGCAATCATACAAGCGTCTTGATATCGCCCTCAACTTTTGTATTACAATGGCCCGAGAAGATACACATAGGCAAGAAGTATCTTGTGGACTTCAGGACGTCTAATCACGGGGTAAAACTGAAGCCTCTGGATGTCCCTGGCTTGAGAGAATCCCATTCGACAGATGAAATCATCATGGAGGCCAACCAGCTGGTTTTCATCAACATTGAACTCGAAAACGACGAGATCAGATACTTCTACGATGTTGTCATTAACACGACTGAAAGAAATTTTCCTTCTATTGGTGTGCTCGCAAGAAGCGAAGCGCCTTGGGAACGGTTGGGAGACCCTCTTGAGCAAGACACTTACGAACATCTGGCGGAGTATCTTCATTTCAAAGTGTTGGACAATCCGACATATCCTGTCGTTGCGGTGGAAAACAGAGGTGACATTGTTCTTGGAGTTTGTCTATTTCCAAAACCTCGGCAAGAGAGACCACACTACCGAACCCTTGGAAAAGCCAAAACGGCAACTGCCAGAGAATACCTACTCAAAATCACGGTCGATCAGGGTAGCGATCATGAAGCAGAGATTTTGGAACATCACAGCAAGAGGAGAAGACAAGATTAGTAAGAGAGTATATCGTCAATTATCTCTAGACCCGGCCTTTTCCATTCCAAAGACGTCCTATAATTTGTTAGCAGATCTATCTAGTTTTTCTGGGTTCCAAAGTCCTCACCAGCAGTAACTGCAGTCTTTCGGGCTGCATATCTTTGCCCCTATTGAAGCTATCGCCAGCCAATTCTAACTTTCTTTTCTGGCGGAAGAGAATAAGATTCTGCAATTTGTTAATTGCTTGGACTAGGAATAGGTGATATGCATTTCATACTTCCTCAATGGTTTCCTTCATGATATAGCGAATGATGACAACTCGATGAATGGATTCCACTGTGGCTCCAGAAGGTATATGCGCGATGCAATAGTCAGGTTCAGTCTGCAGGGAATTGAATTGGTTTGGCTATTGTGAACAGAGAGTAAATGTATTGACTTGCCCGACCGCACCGATACCTAGTGTCATGAGTAGAATATCGGTGCCAACTGGAGATCGAAAGTCCTTCAGTACATTGACACGTTCAGCTAGGCGCAGCGAACCGTCAATTGTTCGGTGCGGGATTCCATAGTGAACCAGAAGCTCGTGAATACGAGTAAGGGGCTTCTTCCACGAAGAGAACACAATACTGCATATTTCGATTCGTTAGCTGCGTCTATACTCAAAAACATGATACTCGACCCAACCTTTTTTGTGTAGAGTTCTGACGAATGTCAAATACTAGCTCGATTAGCTTCGACGGGTATGACCGTGGATTGCACGTGTTGTCAGCATTCTGCAAGGCTTCAGGATGCGTATTGCTTGGCGGCAACGCGTCCTGAGAAGCAAGCTCGTGATGAGTTGTACAAATAGGGCAGCCTCTTTTCTCTTCGTGATGATAAGATATACATCTGTGACAGACTAAGTGAGAGCAGGCTTTCATGAAGACACCTCCGTCAGTCCCGGCTGCTTCGTTGATGGAATAGATCGTGCTCGAGCAATAAGCGCACAGATTCTCCTCGAACTGCTGCAGATAAATAAGTGCTTCATCTGGATCATCGGGCAGTCCGGTGGGTCCCGGCTGGATGGTAGTGTTTGCGAGGCCATTGTTGCAGAACAGCCGTAGTTTGAGCAGCGACTTGAGGCAAGCAGAACTAACGGTATGCCGTCCGGGGCGGCTCACTGCCATGTCAATTTCTTCTCTGCATTGGGAAAGAAGTTTCTGGTAGTCAGCCCGTTCCGACGGTGTAAGAGAGCGTATGCGTGTCTTCGAGATAGGTTCTGGCAGGTCCAGCAGCTGCCGTGTTCTCCTGAGACAGACAGCGCGCAGTAGGATCTGAAGATTGTGAAAGCGAGGCCCTGACGTGGAGTTGATAGGATTCACAATCAACTTCCGAAATGTCGGTGCATTCTCTAATATGGGTACTTTGAGAAAGGAAACTAGTGCTCCGAGACTGTTTTGGATGGGAGTGCCGGTAAGGCACCAGCGATGGAGAGCTGGAATCCCAGACATGGCCTGAAATTGGTTTGTAGCCCGATTTCGAATATCATGGGCTGTGTTATGATTAGCCAAGAGTGCTTTGGTCTTTCGTGGCCTTGGAACCTACCTTCGTCCAGAACGATCCTGAACCATGTAGTCTCAGATAGAATACTTTGGCCGCGACGGAATTCGGCTGCTGCCGTAGCGTAAGTGGTGAATACAATTGACCGATCATATAGGAGATGTGTTTCTTGATGTCTTGTAGAGCCGATATGCTTGTGGAAGGGAAAGATTCCAGAATACGTATGCCTGCCGGACCATTAATATTTGTGGATATTTCAAATTGAAGGAAACAGATCATACTGAATTTCATCCACCCAACTATCTATAAGCACTACTTAATTGTCAATTAAACGTTGCTTCAAGGCCGGAAGAGACTCACGGGAAGACGGCGATATGATCAGTGTCGCCTTCGAGGCTTGTTTCCTTCGTGGCTGAGAAGGCCCTTGCTGGCTTTCAGCCATGGCAAAGGCTTCCGCACGATCAAGAGAGCCGGCAATCGTAGAGAGAATAACGAGCGACTTTCCCAAGCCCATCTCGTCCGCTATTATGCCACCACGGGCCTCCACTCGCTGTGGCCGCTTGGCGCCACTGAGAACATGCTGATAGCTGTAGTGGAAGCATGGATTAACAGACCCGTCATTGATAGATATAGAAGCTGGTGAACTCTACCTACAATGGTTCATCAGAGTCAACATCGTTGTATTTCCAGAGACTGAGTTCGGACTCCAGCTGCCCATTCTCTCTGCGCGAAATGAAGTCGATAGCTTCTTTTTGATGGCTTGATCGCATAAAACCCGTTAGCCCTAGCTTCTGAACTTCAGGATGAGTGCAAATTACGTCAAAAGGCTGCTTTTGATACCCGGAACGATGGCTATGTCCCGGATATCAGCGTGGTGGGATAAAGAATCCAGAATCGAATCGACCACAGTAGTGCTGGTCTCCTTTAATCCCGCTTCTGTACGGGTCTCCGGGGCCTATCTTGTATCATCGGAATCCTGGGACGGCTCTGGCGATAGCATGTCTGGGAACCCTTCAACTCTGAGAAGCTGTGGGTTATAGTAGTCGTCATCTTCTAGCCCGTGCTTAGGCATTTGTAGAAAGATCCCGGACTTTGACAAGGCGCTCCCAATCTCTTGTGCTCTCTCTTTTGCCCCGTAGATGTTGATCTCTGCAAGCACATGGTGCGAAGCGTCATTTTCCCATCCCTTTAGGGCGTCATGCCAATCTTTCGTGAACATGAAGGCGTGGATATCGATCTGGTCCTTGGCAACCAAGTCATAAAGTTGACCACAGAGACCCTTGTTCAAGCGACCGAATTTGATTTTGTTATACTCCAACATTAGGAATTTGCCTTCCAGTGCAACGGAAAAGGACTGTACCGAATCCACAGTCTTTTGTGTCCAGCTGCACCATTGTTTGAGATTTTCAAAAGAATGTGGCTGTACCTTAATGTTGATGATCTATGAGGTATTAGCTCAGTCAGGATAGTTGTAGGAACCAGAACTTCTACACTGCCAAAACACGTCCTTGTAGTTGTATTAAGGCTGCAGGTTTCGCCGACCTGGCATTCAGAAGTCGCTATGCTAGGAATTGAACCGCACGCGTCATTACGCACATGGGTTGCGAATGGGTACGTTCTTTTCGATGATGACATACTCGCCATTTCACTCGGTCCAGCTACTGTGAAAGCATCTCTAACGAAGCCGTCTATAATGCCGGGATGGGAAAAGTCAACTTTTTGGATTAGTAGGGTACTCAAGTAATAAGAGACTGTGAAACTAGAGACCTAGATACGCATGGGGCGACGTAAGGTGTCATCTATATAAGGTATTCAATGGCTCTCAAGGCTGCGCTAAACCGGATTCGAAAGGGAATGCACAATCTCGCGAAACCAGCTTGATGGGGGCGAGCAATTCCGGTCAGAAACAGTGTTGTTATGCAGAAATCATGTTAGTGAGCCAATGAGGCTTGACTTCGTGTCTACCAACAACCAACCTGCAGCTGCTTCCGAATCACAGCCACAATACCTTGCCCCACCCACCCACCACCCCTCGATCTTGCCTAGTGAGACGAAATCCTCATCCTTTTCCCCAGAACAACGAAAGATGAACCAAGAGAAATTGGACTAGGTTCATGATTCATGGCCGCCAATATTTATCAAGCGTGGTTTGAAAGGATGATTGAGACCTTCAAGAAAGGTTTGGACCGAAGAGACATGGAAGAAATTCGAAAGACCACGTATGATGATCTCAAAGAAAGTATCGCCAGCCTCCAAGCTAGACATCATTCCCAGCGTCGCCTACAGGACTTCAGTCGACTTGAATCCTTCCTCGAGGCTATTGAGCAGTATGGATCAGTGATCACTGGGCTATTCTATCAGGGTGACGACCTCCTTGCTTTTGTCTGGGTGGGTGATCGATCCTACAGACAAGACAGGCTGTGTACTTACTTTACTACAGGGACCTCTTAAAATCCTTTTGAAGGTATGAGTTGCTAGTGAGCTCCCAGAAAAATGGCTAAAATCTGGCCAACAGCAAACGAGCATGACTGAGAAAGCTTTCTGTGAACTCTTGAACGCATATCAAAACCTCGGAGAGAATCTCCCGCGGCTCCTACAATACAAAGATGTGTTATCCTCTATGACACACATGATCGGAGTTCTAGTATCTCTGTATGAGGACTTGCTTGAGTTCCAGCAGATACTTTTGCGGTATTTTAAACAGCTTCGTTCGTCATACCTTCCTTCTGGCCAAATGACCTGTCATCATTAACAGTAACATAGAGTGGCAGCGTGTGTTTGACGAGTCCTGGAACACGTGCAGGACTCGCTGCTCCAGCATCGTTATCAGAATTGCGCGACGTCGAAGTCTGATTGAAAGCCAAGCGAGCCCACCCCAGATCGAAGAAGTTCGTGATAGTATTCAGCAGGATCGAGAGAACGAAGATCGTGAAGTCCATCAACATGATTTGAAGCGAACTCGAGATGTGTTCAACTGGCTGAAACCAACGAATGTTGATATTGATCAAGACACATTCATCCAAGCGCGCGCGGATTACCCCAACACTGGCCATTGGCTTCTAGAAGATTCGGCCTTCAAAGATTGGTTTGATCCGCGCTATGTTACCATACCTCCATTGCTTTGGCTGAACGGTATTCCGGGAGCAGGTCTGTACTCGCTGGACCTTTCAATATAGAGTCGGATGTTCTCTAACACGAATACAGGAAAAACCATCCTTGCCTCCCTTGTCGTGCAGAAAGCTCGGGAACTTGACCCGGCCCCTATCGTCTTGTTTTACTATTTTAAACACGGAGACCCCGACCGAGATAACTTTGTTTCTCTCGGACGTAGTCTACTTGCACAGTTTCTGAGACACGACAACGAGCTACTACCAACACTCTACGAAAAGTCTTGCCGAGATGTTGAGGCCACGCTTACCTCATCAACCTTGATCGAAGAACTGTTGAATTTAGCGTTTGATAACTGCAAGAGTGCATACATCATTCTGGACGGCTTGGACGAGTGCCCGCGAGATCAGCGAAAGTTCATAGCGCAGTGGTTCCGCAACCTGGTTGAGAACCTTCCCAGCGACGCACCTGATAGACTGCGTTGCCTTTTCGTCAGCCAAGACGACGGAGCTGCTCGCAAAGACTTCGCTGGGCTGGCTAGCATCAAGATAGATGCCGAGGACAATCAAAGTGATATTGAACAGTACAGCCGTATAGAGGCTGACAAGCTCCACCGACAGCATCCAGATCTCTCTGAAGAGAAGTTGAACTGGATTGCAAGTATTGTGGCAAATTCTGCGAAAGGTAGGTATCATGGTTAACACAGATAGGTCCGTACTGACAGGTCGCCAAGGACAATTCTTACTGGCCAAGTTGAGATGGATCAACCTCTCTGGCCATACATCCATTGCAAGATTGGAGGAGGAACTGGATCCCAACGTCTTCCCTAGGGAGGTTCACGATGTGTGAGTTTTCAAATCCCTTCTCTTGACTAATTAAAGCCATTTGAGCCAACATTTGGATAGTTACCGCCGAATCATGGTTCGCATAAATGAGTCGGCTCCAGGAACAGCGATGAAGGATATTCTGAGACTACTGGGCTGGCTTGTTTGTGCAAAGAGACCACTCAAATGGCACGAAATACAATGCATGAACTCAATCAACCTCTATGAGCGTCGGGTTGATTTTGAACATCAGAGGTTCATCAAGTCTCCCAAAGAGCTTCTGGCTTCCTTAGTGGAACTTCGTCCAGATGGCGCCCTCGAACTTGTTCATTCAACTGCCACGTAGTGAGTATTGAAACATGGTGGTCCGCACATGACAAGAATCCCAGCTAAAATGCAGGCATTTAGTTTTCTTCTTGAAGAGAAGCACATCGACCCGCTGGCCAATGAAATCGGACTTGCCAACTTGTGTATTGACTATCTTAACATGCCTGCATTCGTGGAACCCCCTTCGGAGGAGGGCGTTTTGAACGGCGATTACGGCTTCATGGACTATGCGGTCCTATTCTGGCTTCGTCACCTGGAAGCAGGGGCCACCCTAAAGGCAGACGAGACAGAATTGATGGATCCCCTCGCTGAGTCATTGGATATCTTCATCGCCCAGCATTGGAAGTCACCTGCCGTTGAGTTTACGCTGGCAAAGCGCCATAGCGATAAACTCAAATCTTTCGAAGCTCGGCCATTCTATGGTCAACTTGAACAAGCGGTAGCCTCAACGAAGAAGCAGTTAAAGTACTTTGGCAAGTTAAGGGATGGAGAGGTTGCTCTCGACCTTGCTCATGTTGTTGCTAGGGTTCGGGAATGCATGGAGGCTATGGCCTCCAATGAGTTGCAGCCAAGCACGCGAGAAAAGATTGAGCAGAGGTATGGAACCAACATCTTCAAATGTCCAAGGTTCAGCTGCCACTTCTTTACAACGGGGTTTGCTTCAGCTTCTGAACGGGACAAACACATCAGCAAGCATGATCGGCCATTTCAATGTTCTGAGGAGAATTGTGTCATGCACACTCTCGGCTTTTCTTCTGAAGCTGAACGGGACAGGCACATGAGAGAAAACCATCTCAGCAGCCCATTTCATGATGAAGACTTCCCGACCGATCAAGATGTTGAGCGTAGCATCTTGGATCATCAGATCGCAGAAGATTCTGCTCCCACGATGGATGGTTTCCACGATCAACAGGGTAATACGCAGGAGGTCGTGGGAGTTGAGCAAGAACAAGAACAGCACCAGTTGGAGCCGGAAGTTAACGCATCCTATCAGCAACGACAGAAACGACAGCGGCAAACCGAGTTCAAATGTGACAATTGTTCACAGGTGTACAAAAAGCGCTACAACCTACAGTCGCATCTAAGGACCCATGGTGTGGAGCGTCCTTATCCCTGCGCGCACTGCGACAAAGAATTCGCACGGTCGGGGGATTGGAAGCGCCACATGAAGACACACACAGGAGAGAAGAGCTTCGATTGTCACGGTTCCTTAAGAGATGGGAGGACTTGGGGTTGTGGGAAGTCATTCTCGCGCGCGGATATCCTGAGGAAGCACTGGGAGTCGCGGAGAGGACGAGAATGCAGGCAGGCATTTGTAGAAGAGGAAGAACCAAATTGCCAACTACCAAACCAACCAATCATTCAAACTCCTGGAGAGCAACGGGACGACCCGGATAATTTGGCTGGATAATTCACGTCGTTCTCTGATGGCTTCAGGTTAACGATGACTTCACTATCCATAGCGTGCTTGACTTAGGGACGTTCAAGGACTGAATGTTTGGCTTCAGGATTATAGTTCTTATGAAAAATTTGTCGAGATGCAAGGAACTTCACTCTCACCTAGTAAAGATGGTCCTGGATGAATGCTCGCTTAATATTCCGGATGAGAGGTTATTCCTGTGCATACTTGGACAGGAATAGTCAGCCTCCGAGTGTCCCATTATGCTTATTATGTACATTGAAAACTAGATTGTAAGTCTGCTTTTGTTATCAAAAGGAATGTGTCAGCCTGCCGCCAACATCGAAGGCATGTTGTAGAATTTTCGCTGTGGTAAATGAAGCCTCAGAAGTGTACTTGAGGCACTTCATATAATAAAAGTTCAGTTGTTCTCTGGGGTTCTCCTCTTTTAGACATTCAAACCAAACCTCTTCCCCCAAACTCAGAACTTCCAACCTCAGCGTCAATACCCTCTCTTTCTAGCCCGTCTGAGGCAAGGGTACGGCTGCATGGAAACCAATGAAGAACCCGGCGACTGGCGAGAACGATGACCATCCAGATGCCGCCCTAACTCTTTTGTTCAGCCATAAAAGTCATTGACGCAAGCTAAAGAATATTTTCGCAATAGAACCAGTCTGCCACAAGCTTGACTGACATGCCCTCTAGGACAGCAGACATAGTTTGTTTAGCATAGCGTCTCCCATGCCTCGGTCGCCAATACACAAGTGCCTTCTTATGTGTGACATAAAGCTTAAAGGCCTTGTGTTTTCCGTTGTTACGAGGATGAATTGCCGGTCAGGGGATGTTCATACTTGAAACCACGGGCTCGGACGCCGACGTGCGGATGATGAGCGCTGCTGAGCCATAGCATCCAACAAGACACAGTACAATCGAGAGGCTAACGAGAAACAATAAGCGTGTCAGCTGCTTCAAGATCGAGAGACTAAGCAACGCACTTCGCTGCCGCAGGGAGTAGTAACCTGGCTTTCAATACAAATTATAGACGTGGAGGACTTGATAGCGCCGCATGCCTCCTCCGTTTGCCTTATCAACACCCGTATCGCGATGCCAGCTCCTGAACGAGCTGGACACGTGCTTTATTCTTAGGTCGCTCTGAGCAGCTGATTCTTCGTCCTCGTCTTCTTGATCTTGACATCGAGAAGGTAGGTTTTCGGGCATGCGTTGACGACCGCCCTTGTTACTGCTCAGAAGGTACTTGGAGATCGCAGCACAAGCTGCCCCGTTCGCACACGGAAAGACGCTTCCCCATTTTACATCCCAGACTGTACGGCTGGAGCCGCCTCTCGTGCTTGCTTCGTCCAGGTACTGAGTTCCTTTGCTGAGCAGTCGGGCCAAACCAGATAACGTACCGAGACTCGGGAAGTTACCGACAGACAATCTACCCATGAGCGCCACGTCTCCAGTGGTAATGTAATCCGCTCGCTGGGTCGCAAGATGGCAGACGAGCGGGAGTATGGCAGCCCATTCGGCAAGGAAGTTTGGAAGAGGAGGGCAGGAAAGTAAGGAGGGAATGCCCAGACTGCCGAGCCTGGGCTCGGACCCGGAAGAGAATATTGACATGTCCAGCCCGTCTGAATCTTGGTGGGTATATGTCACAAAAGATGAAGCAATGGAAATGATTTGCACGTCGATCACGCCGCTCTTTAGATGAGCGGAAAGGGGTGCATTTCATTTCTTCGGGACTTCTCGCTTGCAAAGCCGAGCAACCAAATTCCTTTCGATCCTATTGGCCCCGAGCACTGACGGTCAGTGTTTTTGAGGTTTGGGTTCGTGAGATTAGGACAAAGTGGTCATCAATGCTCTAGAGCCAATAGGATCGAAAGGAATTTGGTTGCTCGCCTCATTGTGATTTTTCTTTGCGATCGTCAGATCGACCTGCTGAGCCGTTCGATCTCTCGGGCAAATGCATTGCCCACAAGTACCCACCACCACCACCGACAACTCCGTGTTTGACTGGTCAGATTGATTGCGACAGGCGCCCGCGCTCTGACGCCCTGCAGCAATGAATGAAGTGGTCTCACTCCCCGTGCAGCTAACCATGCAGTGCTCGTTGGCTCAGCTCGATGCTGTGAGCCTCGACGCCCAATATCAGTGAGGGCTGCAGTGGCGATGCACATGCAGTGGCGAGAGGGCTAGGGGTGCCCACAATATCGTTTCTTTCGGCCACTTGGATAGAAGATCTCGAAGCTTGTCAATCATTTTCAAAATCTAGATTGTACGCTTTTCAGCCTGCTGAGCCGTTATTTTCGAGGCAGTGCACTGGGCGACCTATCGCTCTGGGTTGTGTCTGCAAGGTAGTCATTTCAGAACGAATCATGATCAATCTTGAGTTGGGTGGCCTCCTGCATGCCTTGAAAAACGCCTAGCTGCATGAATGTTTGCAACTGCAGGGCGGTGCTTCCAATAACCAATAAGCAAGAAGTCAAATTGATGCGTCGCAATATTTCATTACACTGTTGCAGCTATGGGGGCATATGCTGAGCCGTAATCTGATTCTGAGGGGCACATCTTTTCCATAACAAATTAGGACAAACCACGTATCCTCCACGATCAATGAGGATCTTCGACGTGTTCCCAACAGCTTGCCGTTCTGATCAGGCCTGCTTACGTGGAGCAAAGCTGTATTGTGCTGAGCAAAAAGTCAGTGACTGATCTTGAACAAATTTCATGGTAAGAAGAACACGATAACACAGCGTAGAAAACCATGATCTGTGCATTTCGGTCAGAAGATACAGTCCATCTCCATTTTATGGTGCATCCCTTATTTACCTCTGGTAATGGCATTTCCCCAATGTCACTCCTACATCTTCTATCGCCATCTGGTATGGAGAAATAACAGCCTAGCTGGCAGTATAGCTCCTAAAATTAAAGCCCTCCTTCCTTCCAAGTGTTCAGTGTGGACACGTATAACAAACGTGCAACATCTTCGTTGGTCGCATGTGGTCTTGCATATGCTCTATCGATGAGTTTGCAGGTAGGCTGTCTCTCATACTTTTGTCATCGTAGTCATCTAAGTCATTGAATGGTGTGAGTGGGCCTTCGCGTCAAGCCTTGTAATCCTGCTTGAGGCAGGCGGCCGATGGGCGTGCCCGGTGTGTGTGTATTTGTGCCAGGTGACTGGAGCCAATCATGTTGATACTAGGATAGCTCCCCCGTACTTTTTGGTTTTCTGAACAGACGAGAAAGGATGTGACTCACCTGCTGAGCCGTACTTTGAGGCGGGTCGCCAGTGCATCACCTTACAAACCACGAAAATCAGGGCGAATTGCGAAGTGGAAGGGGACATCCAGCTTACTGGCTACCAGTTGCGCAGTCTGCCCTTCAATGTTGTGGTCGGAGTTTTGACTTGTACGGTAGGCGTTTGGCATTGCCCTTCAGGGCAAGCTGATTGTGACTTCGGGATGCCCTCAGTTTTGCTCCCTGCTCCATCTCGAGTAGAAGAAGAGTTGGCCTCAAGTCTCAGCTCATATCAGAGAATGAATCTTACTAAGCAGAAATGATATATTGGAAAACTCCCTTTGTCTCTTAAGTTGACCCAGTATTTTTGGTGTACAGAAAGAACCCGAGGAATTATCAGTAATGGTGGTTGCATTGGTGCGTTCATGCTCCTAGCTGATTGTACGCTTGTGACGGAGCTAGTGAGCGCACTGTCATCACTTGCACGTGCTGTAGTTACGGCTCAGCATCCACTTTCCTGGGTACTCACCGGTCTCCTTTTGGAAACAAAAAGATTCGGAAGTATCATTGGATCGATATCATTGGTTCCACTTAAGATTGAGGCTCAAGGTTCTGCCTAACCAACTCCTGCCCCCAATCTGCAACTTGACTCGAGCCTGCCAATGATGTCGGTGTTAGCGTGCCTCCCCGTGCCTTTTGAGATTGATATTCAGAGCCTCAAAAGCACCCCTGCCCTCCTTGCTAAGCCGTAATTTGTAATTTACTCTGCAGCGTCGCAGGCTGAGCTCAGCCGCAGCTTCGAGGCCAAGTTGGATGGGATGATCCGTGCGTGGCAGAGAAACTCTCTATGCATGCATCACGAGCGTACAGCTGACTAGGTCTATACGTATATCACTATGTCTTGGTATAGGGTCGGAAATAACGAGTCCAACAGCGTGGTGGCGGATGATACTCATCGAATCAGCCAGATGGACTGCTTTGTGGCGCCAATCCCCCACGTGTGGACTTGTAGCACGTTGGTATCTTCAGCGGGCGCTTGATCATCAGCAGGCTACTGCATTGGCAGTATTTCCAACCACTCACATTACAGACAGTAGTGGCCTCTGTGGTTTCTTGAGATTTCGTCTGCTTATGTATGATCACGGCCGTGGCGGCTAAGCCGTTATGAGGTCTTATGACCCTCCCTGTTTAGTCGTTATTCCCAAGGCAGTTATCGACGACCTACATGTGCTAATGCAATTGAGATTCAATGCAAGTGAGATACAAAAGCATCGAGGCAAGTGCCTACAGCCCCCACTTGAATAGAGATACAACACTTCCGTATCCCGAAAGCACCTGGCCGACTTGTGAGAAACGGCCAGTTTTCTAATTCATCATGTCCGCCTGCTAAAGTTTTAGTCTCTTTGACACGAGCTGACACTGGTGGTTAACCTTTTACTCTGGAGGTAGCAGAGGAGCAAAAGATGAGCGTATCCCACGATCACAAGGAGCCTGCCCTGAAGCGCAATCAATGCCTTGTATCTGCAAGTGCAAATCTTGACACCACCACAAGGCAGACTGCGCAACCGATAGCCAATAGGTTTGGACGTGTCCTTCCACTTTGCAGTTCGTCCTATTTTTTTGATTGGATCAAGTGATCTGAGACTGTCCGTCCCACCAGACGCCCGGTTTGTGAGTGGCGATCCACTTTCATGCACAAGGAATGGCTGATCGACAACCTATTACTTCGTATGTGAAGCCAGTTGGCATGGCACACATTCCTTTTTTGGCCAATTGGATTAGACATCCATATTCTTCCCAGATATTTGAGAAATTTGAGAACATCGAGTGAGCCTCATTCTGAATTCGCTGAGCCGTGATTTCAGGTCTCCCCTGCATACCCACTGATTGTGTGGGTCCACGTTGCATTGGCATACCGAGGCCCTGGAGGCCTATGCAGGCTCAGTTGCAGGAGGCAACAGTGAGAATTCGCCCCCTTAGCTGTACACCCCTTCGCCATATTCAACAATCTGAGCCAAAGGCATTTGCGAGCAACAGGCTCTCACCCGCTACGCAGTGGTATTCCTCCAGGAAGCATAAGGTTTCCATTGGGCATCTGGGCTTAGCAAGGCCAGAAACAAGGGGTTGAGTCCTCCAGTCACCAATGGGAATCAACATATGTCCACCGCAATTTTTACGGAGTGGTTGCTTATTACAGCACTTCACTGACGTCACCTGAGCCGTAATTTCAGGGCCAATGGGAGTCGGTTCTCATCGAACATCTGATGGAAGAGGCAGTGTGCATGCGAGAAGACTCTTGTTATTCGTACATGCTGGCTTGCCAAAACGTATCAGGAGACACAAAGATCGGGCCGTGAGGCGAGCAAGTCCTGGCCCTGGGTAGTCAATAATCTGAAGTTCGCGGTGTCTGCAATACAAGATCGTACAGGTTCCACACTTTTTCTGGACCGTGACTCAGAATGACTCCAGTTATCCTGTTTAGCCTTCACGCATGACGGTGTATGAATAGTTATTTAAAGCTAGTCCAATCCATTTATTCCTGCGATACAACACCCTAAGCTTTGAAGTTCGGCATATGATCGTCCGGGTGGAGCCGTGCTGGTACTGTCTCAGTAGCGAACGAGAACTATTCGAGTCCGTCTTATAGAGACTTTTGACGTTTCACTCATCGATGCGCTACCGTCATCGCACCGCATTGCCGGGCCGTAATCGTTATCGTGGCATGCAGGTACGGCCCTGGCATCAAATGAGAGCCATGTCAACCTGTCTCTCAGACGCTTTTGACTTTTCACCCCTCTCCGACCCCTTTCTAAGACACCTCCTGCTGAGCCGTAATGTCCGCATGCGGGAAGAGTACCCAGCCTCTATGCCTGATAGGTTTGATTGCAAGCACATCATGCTCCTAGAAACAGAGCATAGCCTGCTTGCTCTCCTTCATCGAAGTATCTGTAGAACACAGCATGCCGCATTCTGAACCCTGGATGTATCTCTCAAGCTCCGCACATGCAATTGTCTGGCTCTGGAACGTAAGGCCGTGGCAACGGTGTCAATATTTGGGTACCCACGCTTTCAATGCATCCAAGAACAATTTCCAACATTCTAAATCACAGGGCCGCCACATCATTACCTAAGTAAACTTGCTATGGGCCAGTTCGGATGCAACAGCTCAGGAAGGCGCGATTCCGCCGCAAGATTCTTCAGATCAACGGCTCTTCAGACGAAAATGATTTTTTACAAAGAACAAAGAAAAAGAAAAGAAAAAGAGAGAGAGAGAGAGAAAAGCAGAGTAATTTATACCATTTCTTTGCTGACATCATTTTAGTCTTCAGAAGTAATCTAAGATCAAGAGCAGTGCAAATAAAGGTCCTGGGTGTGCTTCTTGGCTGGACCCATCTTATTGACGGGGTGGGGCCGCCCGTTTGTGGCATGGAGCTTAACTTGTTTCTTGGGACCTCTATCCTGACGACAATGGATGGTGGACAAGGTGTCTATTCAAAGTTCTGATTTCTGAGACTTCTTCTGACGGCTCTATTTTGAAGGTGCCGCACAAACCAGATACATCGAGATACTAGCATGCCAGGTACATGCCCCCTGAACAGAGATACCCCACTCACTGCAATTAAGAGCGAGGGGACCAGGTGACCTGCAGAGAGACGGCCTTCTGCGAGGTGTACACAACGCCTTGCTGGGTGCCGGTCGGCAGAGAGGCGGCGTAGAAGGTGTTGGCGCCGTTGTACGTCAGGAAGCTGCCGTCGTAGCCAAAGTTGCTGGCCGTGACGCCCGAGGCGCAGGAGAAGGAGGAGTCGGCCTGGACACCGCACTTGCCCTTGCTCGAATTGAGCTGAAAGGTGGTGCCGTCGGCGTTGGGGGTGGCGGTGTAGGTAGCGGGGGTGCCGCCGGCGCGGTACCAGGCTCCGCCGGAGATCAGGAAGCCGCCGTTGCTGTCGGAGGGCGTGTTGACGTAGAGGTAGGCCTTGCCGGAGAGGGCGGAGCCGCCGGTGGGAGCGGGGCCGGAGGTGGTGGCGGTACCTGTGGCGGTGGTAGTGGTTGTGGTGGCTCCGCCGGTGGTGGTGGTCGCGGAGGGCGAGCCGCCGCCGTACTTGGGCAGGTACTTGATGCCGGTCTTGGGGCAGGTCGAGCTGCCGACGGGCTGGACGGGGACGAACTTGCCGGTCTGGACGGAGCCCTTGGTGTTGAAGTGGTACCAGATCTCGTTCATGGCCTTGGTGTTCTTGTTGCAGTTGACGATGGCCTCGAAGCCGTAGTTGGCCTTGATGGCGGCCTGGATCTCGGCGAGGGTGTACGTCTTGTCGGCCGAGGGGACGATGCCCGCGGCGGCCAACCACTTGTAGCTGGGCAGAGTCTTGAACAGCTGGACGGTGGTCTTGAAGTAGTCGACGACCTCCTGGCTGGTCTGGTATTCGGAGTAGCACTTGCGGTCCAGGGTCGAGATGCAGGTGCCGTGCTTGTTGAACTCGTGCTCCCAGAACTGCTCGTTGTCGCCCTGGTAGTCCAGCCAGTACTTCTCCATGTACGCCAGGGTGCACTTGTCGGCGGCCTGCATGATCTGAGTAGCGTTGGTGATCTCGCGGGACTTGTCGCAGAACTGGGGATATGAGCCATCGCAGTAGTCGGGCCTGCACGCCCAGCGGTCAGTTGATGTTCTCCAAGAACACAAACAATATCCTAAAGCGGTATTGACTGCAAGTTTATATGTCCCTGCAATGGGTGCTACATTGTCAGAGCGCGGATTGGCGTCACCTACCACAGACCGTGGATGGTCCAGCTGTCAGCGGGGCCGGTGCTGGGGTCGGTATCCCAGAACTGGGTCATGAGCAGCTGTCCGCCCGGGTAGACTGTGCAGCAGGTGTCGACGGCGGTGGTGTTGTGGCACGAGAGCTCGAGGTTGGCGGGGCACGACTTGGAAGCGGCGACGGCGCCACCGACGGCCAGAGCGGCCTCGAGGAGCATAACACGGGACAGCATTGTGAGGACCGAACGGGAGTAGTGAATTGGCCGGCTTAGCGTATTCTTGCGCTGGGGAAGCTCACGGTCACAGCGAACTTGATCAGTCGTGCTGGGACAAGACACAGACATAGCCAATGCAGCGGCCAGCACAAGACTATATACAAGATGTAAGAGGGGGAAATCAGATGGCAGAGAGGTCGAGCTTCACGGCGGCTCGAGTACGCTATTGGAGCTTGATCTGCATTATGACGCAACGGATGGCTGGTTCCCCAAAGAAGGGGCCGGAGTTCCAGAACAGGCGGCGACTCAGCAAGACGCAGAGCATCCCCGTGTATCTGTCGCCCACTGATCGGGCACCTCCCTGATTGAGACGGCTGATCCGGATGCATCACCGACCAATTACAGCGGTACTCGGGGGTCCGAAACAGAGCACACGTGCTGGAGCTATTTAGTGCCAAGCCGACCCGTCCCTAGCGTTAGAGCTGCCGCTTTGAGACAAGAGCCCGAAGAGCTTGATCAGTCAACCGGCATTCACCCACGTGTGCCTGGGCAGCTTCTTCAATGGTTCTGCTATCGTCTCCTGTCCTTCCAACCTTCCAACCTTAATTCTCCCCTTCGAAGAGCGATGCACGTGTGCGGCTGTGCGGCTGAATCTGTTGTACAGCAGCTCTTCCCACCTTTACGGGAGATCGTGTTGTCCGGGAGCAAAGCGCCCCGTGGAGAGAGCCTGGAGCTATCCGCCTGGCTCCCTGTGGGCGTCATATTAAACTGAAACCTGGCTCTGTGTCGACAACCCGAGAGCGCCTTTAGTTCTGGACAGCCATTGGATCTCAGGCATCAAAAGTCTGATGGTCAATTTTCAAGCAATCTACCCCTCAGTGCCCATCTGCACCCCGATTCGCCCGACCAGGATAAGGATCGACAGGGATTCGAGTGTTGACAAGGTTCTTGATGCGACGGTGGACCTGGAGGGCCAGAGACCAACAAAACATCCAGAACCTCGGCAGGACTGTCGAGATTCCGCTGTGGGTGCGGCGGTTCCGCTATCGTTGCTTAGCGGCGGAGCTTGCCTGCTTGGTGGCCTTGATGCATCCGTACCATCTGCCTGGCATGCTTTGGACAACTACATAGCCGCTTGATCCTTGAGAACTTTGCTTGCCCATCGAAAAAGCAATAGTGCGTGAACATGTATTGTAGTGTAGTCTCACGGTAAGATAGCGACTGAGAAGACTCGATTACAATTCAAGCAAAAGCTAGCTCCAAGGCATAGAACAAGGTTGGTAATTGTGCACAGTGGCTTGCCAATGTCAAAAGTGCATCGCATTTCCGGGAGATACCAAGCTTGCTCGCCCGCAAGTAGATCTTGATGACTGGCTTGACTTGATTGCCCTAGACTCCAGATCCACGACCATACTCAAACTCAAACTCATGATTCGGCAAGGTAGCGCCTAGTTCACCGTGGGTGTGACCACAGTCTTGACCTCCTTAGTTGCCTGGACGTTGTCAACCTCGGCACCAGTGCTGTCGACGCCTTTGCCTTCCAGGACCGCAGTGCCGTTTTGCAGGTCCACGATATCAGGGACATTGCTATGCTTTGTCCCGTCGATGAGACGGTCAATCTCCTCGAGGGTAAAGCCTTTCGTCTCGATCCAAAAGACCAACACAAAGACGAACTGCAACACGTCCCATGCGGCGTTGATCATGTAAAGCTTCCAAGAAATGGCCGCCAATCCGAAAGGAAAGATAAAGGTGACAATTACACTGCCAAACCAGAGATTAGCTTTGTGACCAGCAGGGAGTAGATACTTGATGGGTGGACCTTACCCTGAGATGTTTACGGCCATCGTCCATGCAGCCATTCCATTCGACCGAATGGAATAGTTCAAGACCTCAGGAGGATACAACACCGTGAGAGGTGTGATCCCAATACCATAGCTGCCTTGGAACAGGAAAATCGACGCGATCGTCCCGTAGGTACCTGATGTATCATGTCCGTGCCCATAAACTGGAGTGAACTTGGTTAGCCACAAACCCTCTGATATTGAGCACGAATGACTCGACGTTCACCTTTGGTCAATGCTCCTACAATAAACAATGTAGTGGCCATCGCCATGCATGACAGCAAACACATTGTCTTTCTGCCAATGCGATCCATAAGAAGGGTGCCAGTGAGGGCGCAGACGAAGCACCAGGCATTGAGGATTACGTTCTGGAAGTTGTTCATTAGCACCCTGGTCAAGGTTGACCACGTAAAGAACAAACGTACGATTTCAAGCTTGGTCTGAGTGCTCGTGATCCCCGCTGCTGTCAGCATATCGCCCAGATAGTAAGAAACGATATTGTTGCCTGGAATACAAGTCAGCAAGCCGTCAACTGCCCTTTGCCTAGGTACTACTTACCGCTCATCATCGCAATCACAGCGACTGATACGGCGAGCATCACGCGCTTGCGTGAACCGCGAGATGCCAGCATTTCCTTGTAGTTGAGTTGCTTGCCCTCGGCACGTTCCCATTCAATGGTATCGATCATCTCTCGATATTGAGCCTGTGTTAGGGGTTCGGTGGTATCGCCGTCAGACTGCATTGACGCCACAACTTCCAGAGCGTCGTTGAAACGGCCTTGGTAGGCCAGCCAGCGAGGCGACTCGGGAACGAAGGCGAGCACCGCAGCACAGGCGAAACTGAACAGGCCCTGGAGGAGACACGGGAGGCGCCAGGACCACTCGCCTTCGATGTTGGCTGTTCTGTAGGTGACGCCAGCGGAGATAAGAGCGCCTGATTCACGATACCTTTGTGAGATACGGACGGGATCAATCAGAAAGCGCGAGCTACTTACCGACATACCACACCGTGTAGACGGCACTCAAGCCTATACCGCGCCTCCTATGAGACAGAGTTTCCGCCAGCCAACTGACCTCTTTGTCTCAGCGAATCGAATGACGAAAGCACCAGATGATGTACTTACGTAGAAGCCGCAACGCCGGAGGTACCAGTACCCATACCGAGCAGGACGCGGCCGAGAACGAACATGCCCACATTTTGGGCAGCCGACATGAACACCACTCCCATGAGTTTAAATATGATGGATAGCATGATGCCTCGCTTCCGGCCAATGTGGTTCACAACAGGTCCGATCCAGAGCGATACAAAGCCCGATCCGATGAAGCCTGCTGCCGTGTTCAGCGACTTTGTAGTTGTCGTCAACTTCAGCGTCTGAGTATACGAAGGCATGATGTTGATCCCGTTCCTAGAAGTAGGTGTAAGCGTCCTCCTTGTCCTGCCAGGGGTTGCTCTCGTATGTCTCCTACATCAAAGCGGCATCGAAACCTGTGGTCTGAATGAAGTTAGTCGGACCATTCATTGAGATAGGGGGGCCTGAAGGGCCGTATCCGTACCGTAGCGAAGATGCAAGCAGAGGCGACGAGAAGGATGGACGTCACCTTGCTCGACTTGAACTGGAGAGGCCCCTTGGCCCTGACGTTTTGCAACATGTTGCCGGTGAATTGTCTTGCTCGCCGAGTGACTCTACTCCCCAGATCTGAGGCCGCATTGTGAAGCTGGCGATCGTCCCAGATTTGTATCCGGTCGTGAAGTTCTGGTCTCCACTTGATTCCTGGTCGACAGCATTTCCCGTCGCTTGTGTAGGCACAGAAGATTTCCTCTTATCAAGGTTGGTTCAGTAGATCGCCTAGCGCGAGGACCTAAATACATCATCTTGTTAAATCGAGTTAGGCCTTTGAGGGGTAAAGATAGCCAAGGGCCAGGGCTAACCTGGGGTTATCTGCGGGGGCGGGCTCGGCGGGGCACGGGGCGGAGGAGCTCCGGCCGTTTTCGGCTCTAGATCCCTGCCCTCGGCATGGTCAAATACCCTACACATAAGTGGCCAGTTTTCCCCGTCGCTTAGATTGCAACACTTTGATTCTTGGTATTCAACATGGGACGCAGACGGGTCTCGTGCCACGCCTGTGCGGCGATCAAGACCATCTGCTCGAAAGAGTCTCCCTGCAGCCGGTGCACCAGACTCTCCCTTCCGTGCAGCTTGCAGGTGGGTACTCACGATATCGGCTCTGGGGTCAAGCGGCGATACCCCAGAACGACGAGCGGCTGCTCCACCTGCAGGCAGAGGCGAAAGAAATGCGACGAGAGACAACCTGTTTGTGGGGATTGTCGCCGCCTGGGACTGCTGTGTGGCTTCCAGCAGAGCAGGCTTCCAACAGAGCAGCATCTCTCGCCGCAGAGTACACTAGCAGACGAGCGCGGGTCGTTGCCTGAGGCTGGCTATCTTCAGGAGGCGCCGGCAGAATGGATCGCTCTGATCGAGGATGGCGATCTTGGGGAACATCCGCGGCCGGCCCATCTTGGACACAGTTCCGCCCTGCACGACTTTCCAATCACGTTCAGTCGGCAAGACGAAGCGGCAATGTCCACTTTTTATCCGCCACTCGCTCTGAGTAACCTTATCGAGCTGGGTTCCAACACGCTCAAAGACTGGAGCATCGGGGAGCGTTATCTACTGAACCACTATCTGCAGTCAGTGTCCCGCTCCCTTGTGGTGGTCGATGATAGCGAGAACCCATGGTTGCGCGTGGTAACTCCCAAGGCGTTGGAGAACCCCACGGTGAGCCATGCGCTGCTTGCGCTCTCCGCTGCACACCTTGGCAAAGTTTACCCGGCGTTCCTCAAAGACCTTGTTGATCACCGGAGCCGGGCGCTTCAGGGACTCAAGGCGGAACTTCAGAGCAGCCGGGACGTGCTGCCTGCGCTGATGACGACTATGTTACTCTGCATAACCGAGGTATGGTCTCTGTCGAGTATTGTGAGGCGAAGCCGAGTCACTGATCGCTTCTAGATATGCGACGGACTATCGAAGAGGTGGTTGATACACCTTCGTGGGGCTCAGGCATTGATAGTCAACTCTGATCTTTCTTTTGCCCAGGAGTCCTTGACAACACTGGTTGACATGTACAACCTGATCTCACACATGGGCTCGATCACTTGTGTGGGAGTACCGGGTGCTTTTGACGACCTAGTACAGCCTCGTTTGTTCCAGCCTCATGACCAGGTATCAACACATCCAACACACCCACTATACGGCATTGCGGGAGATATATACAAGTTACTGCAGCGTGTTAATAGGCTAGATTTAAAAGGGAAAGACGACAGCATCATGGAACAGCCTTCGGGCGAGGCATATGCTGAGGTTGAGTCTATTCGGATGGGCTTGCAGAACTGGACGCCTCCCAGAATTGAGGGCGGCACTCCCATGCAGTCCACGGCAGAGACTCGAGCGGCGGCAGTTGCCCTGCAATGGGCAACGATGCTATGGCTATTCCAGAAGACGGGGCGGCCAGATGACTTTGATGCGAAAACAGCTTCCGACAGCATACTGTCTACAATGTCTCTCATCCGACCCGGGTCCCAAGCCGAAGCTCATCTGCTCTTTCCGCTCTTCATGGCTGGGGTGGTATGCAACTCAAAGGCTGGCCGGTTGGCGGTTGAGTACAGATTGAGCAGAATGGAGGCCACGCTCGGGTTCGGCAACATCAAAGCAGCCCACAGGCTCTTGGAGGAGGTATGGCGAGGGGCGAATCAAGGAGACGAGATCGACTGGGAATGGTTAGCCCGGACTCGGTATCCTGGTCTTGTGCTCTTGTGAGCTGCTAAAGTGAGGGGAAGATGGGGAAAGATAAGCGACGGGGTATTCTGCGTCAACAATCCTGGACAGTCCACTTTCTACGCGACGGGGTTCGCCACAAGCGACGGCCTATTGCTTATATATCACAAGCGCTGCACCTTTCTATGGCCTTGGCAGATAATGATCAAACCTCCATGGGCATACTTGCTTGCTCAAGTCAGAATCTCCCGACCTCATTAGAGACTCCTCGACAGTCAACTTTCTGAAGTAGTCATGGCCCCTGGTGCTCTGATTCCGGAGACCGAACCGTCCCCAAGCACGCCAAACTCGAAGTCCTCGAGATTGTCATGTCCAATTCCAATTCTTACGAGGTAATGCAGTACGCTATGCTCTGTCATAGACCGCTCAATACTGACCAATCTCAGAGACGACTATGGCGACTTTAGGGACGAACTCAACAAGAATGGCTTCGCGGTCGTGAAAGGTGCCATCCCTCGTGATCGGGCCGTCAGCTACCAAGAGAGCGCGTACGCGTGGCTTAAATCTTTCAGTAGCGATTTGGACTTCAACAACCCGGCTACATGGATTGAGGAGAACCTTCCCAGGGCGAGCAAGATTCGCACGTATGGCGGTTACTGCGTGGCCCACGAAAAGTTCATGTGGGATGCACGCCTCGAAGACGGAGTGTTGGAAGCCTTCGAGCGCATGTGGGGGACCGACGAACTCCTCGTCAGCTTCGACAGTCTCAACATAACCTTTCCCAACCGCCCCGACCTCCAGGCGAGGAAGCCGTGGGAACACATAGACCAGAGCCCGGTCAAGCGCGGAGTCCATTGCGTCCAAGGCATCATCAGCTTGTCGTCCTCGGGGCCGGACGATGGCGGGCTGGTGGTCTACCCGAAATCACACCTCCTCAACGACAAGTTCTTCGCCGAAGTGTGCCAGGGCACGTTTGATCAGGAACCTATCAAAGACATCTACCTCTTCAAGCCTGAAGAGCTAGCCTGGTTCGAAGGCCAGGGACTCAAGCCTCACAAAGTCTGTGCCGACGTCGGAGACCTGATCCTATGGGACAGCCGCACCATCCATTATGGTTCTGATCCGACTACGAACGGCAAGGCGATTAGGACGGCGATATATGCGACGTACACGCCGGCGCGACTGGCGACGGCTGACCAGTTAGCTCTCAAGAGAAGGGTGTTTGAGAGCTACGGTGGCACGACCCACTGGCCGCACCAGCATATTGTGGCTAGGAGTAATGCAACGTATCTAGAGGACGGCACGCGCGATCCGAGGGACCGTGAAGAGCCACTGGAGAAGCCTGTGATGACAGACAAGCTTTTGAAGCTCGCGGGAGTCAACCCATATTAGCAGCACTGGAGGTGCAGTATGCTCAGATCAATCCTACCTTATCTAAAGATTACCGGTTTCGATAGGAGTTGATGAATGTGAATGCTTTGATAAGTGAGAGAAGTATCTCAGCCCTGGTCCAAAGCAAAACAAATACGTTGCCCCTGATTTCTAGCGTGTGGAGGAGTAGAATCCTGGGCAGAATCATGAAAGCCTGTAATGGATGTACACGGCGCTTCTTGCGAGATCGGAGAGTTCAGGAGAGCTCAGGGAGACTCCGAGTAGGCTCTGAGAGCAGCCTGAGTGCACCCGGATGACCAACTAGCCTGATTCGGAATTGCGAGGTGATTGTTTACGACGACAACTTCCATTCAAGTATGTGTATTCATGTATCTAACAAATTCGAAAACCCCTCACAGGGTACAGGCCCGGGTAACTCGTCATTCTCGAGCTAAGTGACGGTCTGATGATACTCCAAAGTCCCTTCAATCCAAAGCGACCATACCATCGCAGCGGTCAATGGATTCTGTAAATACGCAAGTTGATGTCTCGTCCAGGCCAGTCCTACTGCGGCTCTGCCGTACTGATCCCGAGGGCCGACTTCATCTCCTCGCTCCCGAGCTTCTCGGCGTATTCGACAGCGCTGCCAAAATAACCTCTCAGCCTGGGATCAGCTCCCCGACTCAGCAGCCACTTGACCCTCTCCACAGCCCGAGCCATGACGGCAGTCACGAGCGGGTACTGCGCAGTTACGTGCCGAGTCTCGAGCTTCCCGTTGACGTCGGCGCCGCGCTCGACTAGAAGCGCCATGATCGGGATCCTGCCCTCGTCAAACTCCCGACTCGGCGTCACCGGTCCTGCGCGCGGGTCCGCATCGGGGGGGCACGCTCCAGCCGCGACGTACAGCGGGCCACCGTTGGCGATCTTGGCGCCGGCGTCGAGCAGCTGCCGCACCGACTCGACGGTCCCGCGTGCCGCCGCGGTCTCGAGCGCAAGACACGAGTCCGCGTCGGGCGCGCCCCATCGGTCGCGGTAGTCGCGCTGTTGGCCGAGGTTTGGATCGGCGCCGTGGTCGAGGAACCACGTGAGGAGGGCCGGGGAGGTGACGAGCCTCGGGAGGAGTGTGGCGCCGTAGAAGCCGGGCAAGTTCGGAGTCCAGCCGTGCTGGAAGAGCAGCTCGAACAGAGGGATCTTGTAGATCTCAGGGGCCGAGAGGACGTGTGGCGGCGTCTGGCGAGTGATTGGCGCGCCGTTGGCAAGCAGGCAGCCTGCAGCGTCGACGTTGCCCACTGCGAGGGCCTGGACTAGACCTTGGTGCAGGTAGGCCTTGCTGCGAGGCTTTGACGTCACCATGGCCTCGACGGCAGCGAAGGACCCGTTTCTGCAGGCAGACTGGAAGGCTGCAAAGTCTGGGTGCGAGGTCCCGGCATGGCCGTTGAAGAGACTGAGATCGCCAGCGTCGGTGATGGGGATGTCGTCATGAGCCATGCCCATCTGAGCTACTCTGCCGGTTTGCTCCAGCTGAAGCTTCCTGGCAGCCTGCAGCGCCATCTGCCGCTGTTGGATCAATCGCCGCCGAGCCTCATCTGATGATTCCATATTGACTGGTGAGTAGATGCCTAATATCTCTTGGTCCTGTCTGGGTGTGGATCTTCGATCGTGCTTGGCCCGTCAAGTTGGTTGTAGGTCAATGGCGACTCAACTGCCGTGGCTGATGCGCTTCCCGATGTGTTTAGGGATTATCAGACAATCTAAACATACAGGCCGTCTTGTCAATCTCTATGGCACTCGTATGATCGTTTGAGGGGGTTGACATGAAGACGGATGAATCGCAGCCAGGCAGCAAGTGGCACAGCATTTTGTGGCGGAGCGAGTGGAGGTGCTTAGCTCATCAGCTTGCGCTGGGGAGGGATCTTGGGGACACGGCGAGGTTTATCTTGCTCCTTGAGTGGAAAAATACCAAGAAGTATCAAATTACATTTTAAAACTTGATGGTCATATCTTCCGAGACAGGCCTCAGTCAGTCATCATAGATGTCGTCTGAGCTTATACACGAGGAAGTAGACTCGGGCTCGGCCTCGCTGTCCTCGTCGCTGTCTGATACGCTGTATTTCCGTCTTTTAATGAGGCCGTCAGAGTAAGACTGCAACGGAAGATGAAAGTATGGTGCGATGGCAATCTGCTGCAGAAATGGCATCGACGGCAGCAGCTGGGTATGTGTGTCCTGGGGTTTCTGTTTCTTCGACGCCTTTGCTCCCGCGCAGTCCGTAGTGGCGAAGCTCAGCCCTCCGTTTTGGAACAAGGGAGTTGGAAATGTGTTGGATTGACTGGCATTGGAAAATACGGGGGTGTGCGTGGCGGATGTATCGAGGCCGGGTTTCCTAGCTTCTGATTCCTGTGGCTTCCTCTCCGTGTGATCGGAATACGCAGTCTTGAAACTCTGGTGTGACTCGTCGCTGAGGTAGGCATCGTCGTCTGGGTCATCGTCTTTCGTATCGCTCTGCTCATGGGTGACGGTGCTCGCGTTATCACTTCCGTCCAAGATTGTGACTCCAGAATCCTGCCGGAGCTGGGTTGGCGGGTTTTGCAAGAGGGAGTACAGGTGCAGATTGATTCGGGCATGTCCAGTTGGCAGCAGACGCCAAGTTTGCTGGCGACGACGCAGGCCCACTGATAAATTCCCAACATATTCCCCGCGCCAACCAAAATGATCAATACCGAATGTTCTCTGCAACGTTCCAGCACAATCAATCATGACGACGACGACGTATTCGGAGTACTCTGTCAACACAGAGATCGAAGCTTTCTTCGAGAAAACATCGGCGACCCGTGCGGCATGCGACGTCAAAGCAAGGGAGCTCGCCGGCGATAATGTCGTCCATATCGACGTCCAAGGCATGTGTAGCTACTCTGTCTACGCTGGCCCTGAGCTAGAATACGTCGTTCAGTTCCGACTCGAGTCCTTGGCACTCAAGACTGAAATCACTTCCTTAGCGACCGAGATTTACGGATCACTTGCACCAAAAGTATCCTTCAAGGGCAAGATAGGAGACGGGGCAAAGGAGCCGCTCCACATCTACTTAATGACCCGTATACGTGGAGTAACATATCTGGATTTTATCTTGATGCATGACTTCCCAGAAAATTCTCCCAACTATCTTTCATGGCGCAAGAACCTCATCACTGATGTTGCACAGTATGTTTCCACTGTTAAGCTTGTTTAGTCATAGTGTTGATTGACTATTTGCAGTTTTATGGCTCTGTCTTGGAAGGCTCCCCAGCAAGTCAACCCGGAATACCGCAGCAGTCTAGGACAAACCTATATTAAGGACTTACAACTCTTGCTTGCTGCACTTCCCTCTCGATTTCATCATATCATCCAAACCTGTATCAACTCGATGGACGACATTCTATCTTTACCTATGGTTCTTCTTCATCGAGATTTTGGATCTTGCAACATCATAGTCGATGAAACTACCTGTCATCTTGTTGGTGTCATCGATTGGGCCGAAGCTGAGGTGTGTCCATTCGGGCTTAACCTGCATTCTCTCCAATCCTTGACCGGAAAGCTTCATCTGCAGAACGGCTGGACGCGATATGAGGACTACGATACTCTACAGGATATCTTCTGGGAAACTTTTAAACGGGAAGTGGATGGCCTGTCTCATGATCAGCTCCGAACGATCAAACTTGCAAGGGTTTTGGGTCTGTTGCTGTCCAGTGGTTTTACTAGCCGTCTTGCAAACGAGCGAGAACCAGTGCCTATTGGCGATGACGAGCACGGACGCTACAACATGATGTCATTAGACGGGTTTCTTGTCAATCAGCAGACAAAGTTCGATGGTATTGAGTAACTACGTTAGGCCCCTATCTTGGTAAATAGAGGGTTTGTACCACGCCATTGGAGACCACAAAGCAAAATAGAGTAACCAGCAGTTACCGCACCACAAGGCCTCTAAATACACTTCATTCAACCTCTGGCGTGAAAACAGAACACTGCTAACGCTCGCAGGTCTATTATAAAGACCTGGTGATCCAGCAGCCAGAATAGAGATGTCAATTTGGAATATCTATCTGAGCTACTCTGAACCAACGCTGTCTTTCTCTTTCCAGAGAGAAAGCTGCTACAAAATGGCTATCTAATGGTAACGACTGACGCAGTAACGTTCCTGCAGATACGGGCTCCGATGAGCTCAACCATTCCGTCCAACCAGATCGAAATACAAATCAGAGAACTCCGGCTCCGACTAGGGCCGCCTTGAGATCGTCGACATTGTCGAGCTTTGGGTGTGGCTTGCCAGCGTTGAAGATCTTGTGGTTGCCCGAAGTCATCTTGGCGTGCGTCTCGTTGGCTTGGCAGACGCGAGGACCGCCGGGACCGGCCTCGAACCTCCATCCAGTCACCCTGGTGGGCTCGCAGTTCTTGATGGCGCCCTCCTGTAGCATGACAGTACCCTCGTCGAGGATGAGCTCATACATGGATCTTGGAGGCCGATTAGGTAAGTAAGACCGTTGGCTACGAGGTAGTTGACGAACTCGCCCAGAAAGCCTTGGCCGACGGTAGAGAGGTCAGGGAGCGGCCCGTTCTGATACTCGTAGGCACACAGTCCCTCCCTGCCGTAGACAAAGATGTGGCCGTGGACAGCGGTAGGGTCGATGTTCCCGACCTGCGTGACCCTGGCCCAGCGGCCCTTGATTCCCTCGAAGTTGGTGCCCAGAAGGACCGTGTCCTCGGGGATGCTGAAGTGACCGTGAATCAAATGGACACCTAGGACATTCTGGGCGTTGTGTCGGACGAAGATGGCGGCGAGGTTCTGGATGTGCTTGCCATCGACCGGTGGCTGGTCGCAGTCATCGCGCAGGGTGTTATATCTGAGTCGGAGATGGTTAGTCAGGTTTGCAGATATCTCTTGACGGCAAGAAACAGTCACAGCTCACGGCTCTTCCGAAAGCTTTGGACCTCCAGAGCCCTGTCAAGGGCCGGAAGAGTGGGAGTCGGAGCGAGAGTTGTCATGTTGAGTATTTGTTGAGATGAGTGGTTATGGAATACGGACGGGATGGAATACGGACAGGGGCAGCTAGCTTAACGGGTCGGAAGGTGGTTCGTGGTAGAAGGGAAGGGCAAGCTGGAGCGGGTCAAGAAGATGCTATTTATCTTTACCTAGACGGCAGCGGAAGCTCTACGGCACTCTTTCTCCAACTCCCAGATTCGGGTGACCGTGGCAGTGTGCCCCAAGGCTTCTGCTGCGGTGTCGTGTTGGTTCTGCTGCGGTGTCGTGTTGGTTCGACGCCCGCCGGCCCAACATACCCACCTAGTACTTCGGTAATGTATCAGTTGGCGCGCGCGAAATGGGTGGACGAAAATACCCCCAACCGGCCGGAGTTTCCTGTCCTGTTGGTTCATTGGTTTTAGCCCCTGCTGCCTGCAATACCAAGGAACCAACAGACCCACCGCACGACTCCCTAAGACCTTTAGATGTCAAAGCATGGATGTTGGAGTTCTTTCGAGCGAAATGAATGATTCTGTTGGTAAGCCGGCCCAGTGCACTGTGTGAGGGTGAGCTGGGTTTCTATTCCTATGATAAAAACTAACTGCAGGAGAGCCCTCCTGGTGAGGGTCTTATCCTGCAGTGAGGCCGTGCGCAGTTAGACCTGCGTTTCGCATTGCCAGCTCCCCTGTGGCCTCCAGCCACGGGGGCCAATTGAGCCAACCCTTCCACCAGGCCGTCTTCCCTCGGCCAGTGGACCAACAGATTCAGAAGTAAAATCTAGATTATGAGACTGTACTGGCCAGCTCTCACAGCTTATACGAATGTTGTTTACAAGTTGTCAAAGAACATTATATTACTTACATGAAGGCTCTGAACTCATACCACTTTTTATATTATCTTCTGACATATCTATCTGACAGATTCTAAATTGTGACCGATGGATTCGATGTCAGGTTCAATCTTTCGTTTTATTCATGCAAGTATGTTATAGGTCATTCTAGTAATGCAGCTATTGGTTCAACTAGAGAGCATTGCAAGCCTCGACAGTTTGTCGATTATACTTAGTAATATCCTCCCTTTGTCCACTCTTCCTCTCTAGAATGCTCCTTGCTTGCTAGAGTTTATTCATGCAAACTGACACCAACCTTGTTCCATTATATGATCCATCATATATTTCTAGCTATAGCTGTGTGAACCACACTAAGACGTTACCACTGTCACAATGTCACGTAACATCTACCAACTGGGCTTCCAGGGTTTTATGCCATAAGATTATGCTAACATGTTGGTTGCTTAATGGTTTCACTTCCTTTATTTCATCCATTCCCATTCTTTACATACAATAGAGGAATACTACTCTTCAACTTCTAAAGACATGGTGCTCTCTTGGTGAACTGTGTCGGCCAAGCCCAGAACATAGGCAATGGAAATAAATCAATTCAAAAATAGCCAAGGGCGCAAAAAGGACGCCCGTAATATTATACAGGAGAGCTACAAAAGAATCCTTGCAAGATTTCCTCCAATTTTGGATTTTGCGTCAACTCCAACCGAGGTGGCAGATTAAGGCTCCCGAAGCCTCGCCACAATCATCACCCCACTGCACACCCACCGCACACCCCCGCACAGGCTAAAGCAGCAGCAACACCGGCCCACCCACGAATTAGGAAATAGCTGAAGGCAAGATTCGGGCAGAACATAGTGCTGTTGAGAAGGATCACTCTCGTGGACGAGTGTTGCATCCGATACCTCCGGCCTCGCCGATTCATAAGTGTCTATCTTGGAATCTTCAAGCTCTGCCTCACATTGCACCGTCTCTTGACCCTGATCCTGGTCATCTGACAGTTTGACAGTTTGTTTCTTGTGCAAATTTGAGCGAGACGCCCTCTGATGCCGGGACTTTTGCCGCATCCTTGGCTGCCGGTCGCTTCCCTCCGACCTCCCCTCTGATGAAGTCAGGGAATGGCGTCTCCTTCGACGCGCTGGAGGTTTTTGCCAAAACATTGGGGGCACCTGAGCCTGCATATTGTGCATTGCTCTCGTATCCACCAACGCATCGAACATGGCATCGTAAAGTGTCTGTTTCAAAAGCACTCAAGCTTCCTTGGCCTCGCGATCATAGTCAACCAGTTGCTCGCTACCCGAGGAGCTGCTCTCAGGGACATCATCGTCGTTGTCCTCGGTATTGCTGCCTGCACCTCCCCGGTCCTCTACATGCTCCTCGCTGAACAATGGCGGTTGCTCGGCAGGCTCGCGAACTTCTGAAGCTTGTAAGACAGGGTCCACCTCTTGGTACTGAACGAATGATGGCGGTGTTTCTGGAAACTTGCTGCGTTGCGTCGCCCACTCTGCAGTCTTTGTTGCGTCCTCTGCGAGCTTTGCCTCGTCAGCAAGCTTGAGAGCGTCTGGTACGGCGGACTTTCCCTCGTTCAATGCCCTTTGAAGCTGTTCGACTTTCCGCTTGATGCTCTCCCCTGTAACTGCTGAGCTGGCGTTGGCTTCCTTCACCTCTCGCAGAAGGCGATCCTCAAAAACTGCCCTTCTTTCTGCTTCTTCGGCTCTGATCTCCTCCCTGATCTTTGTTTGTAGCTCGAAAAGCTCCTCTTTCGCAGATGTTGTCTCCCTTGCTAGTTGTAACCTCTCCTCTTCAACGGACTGGGCGGCAGCAACGACCTCCGCCGTCCGCTTCTCCTCGTTCGCCAGCCGCTCCGCCTCTCTCCTCTCCATATCTCTCTGGGACTTCTCCCTCTCCCGCTGGATCTTCTCCATCTCGTGCTTGGTGTGTTCCGCAAACTCCTCGACCTGCTTCTCCCAATCTCGCTTCTGTCTCTCGCTTGCTTCCAGACGCTCGCGGGCCGCTGCCTCTGCCTCGAATCGCGCCTTCTGCATCTCGTTTTCGAGCTCCTTGAGCACCAAAGCCTGCTCCTCGACAAGCCGGCGTGCCTGCTCTTCGAACTCTCGGGCGACCCCGGCCTCGATCTCACGCCGCATGGTAGCCTCTTTCTCAGCTTGCTTCTCGTGGATGAACCTGGCGTGCCCCTCCTTGAGCTGCTGAACCTCATCATCCAGATTCTTCCCCTTGCTTGTCCCAACCTCTGTTGTTCGTGCCGCTGCAGGTGCCGCTGTAGCGGCCGGAGCCGTGGCAGCAGGCGGGGGTGGTGGTGGTGGCGGAGGGGCCATGTAGGAGTGGTAATTCATCGGCGGGTATGGGCTGAGTCCTTGCGGCATGTGTGGCGGCATCAGCCCGTACGAGTTGGGGTATCCGTACATAAAGCCTTGCGGTTGACCCCACGTTGGCTGGCGCGAGTACCGGCCACCGCACCTGTTGCCGGGTGTGTTGCGCCGCGGATTCCTGCCATGCTCGTCGACAGGCGAATTGACGCCACCGCTGGTGTCGTTGTGGTCTCTGGCTGGACCGCCATTCCGCCGACGATCGCCGTCTCTGGGCGGCCCAGTGATCTGAGCCTGTGGGCTCCTCGGGTCAGGAGGACTGTCGTTGGAGTCAGCCTTTGCTCATGACGTCTCGTCCTCAGAGATATACCGTACGCGGCTTGGCCCTTGCGTCGCCTCTGCCTCCCACCCTCAATGGACGAGGATAGTTGGCTTGAGGGCCCGTTAGCCTTGTCGAACGGACGACCGTGATCGCGCGGATACTCTGGCTCGTCGTCCATGGGAGCGGCTCCGGGAGCTAAGATCAGTTCTCTGCAGGTATTCTCCGGCATGTAAATCAGGTTTTCGAGCCGCGATAAGGATCTGGCGTCCCGTCGTGACCTAGTCAAGCTCAAATTCTGATCTGCTTTATATGGCTAGCAGTCGAAACCTTTTCTCTGGTCGGGTCGCAATGCGCCCCTCCTCAACGGTGCACCCCAGTTTACAGCAGAATGGGCTCTTTTTTTGGCCAATGCCGAAGTCCTGCACTTTTCTGTTAGCCTGCATCTGCTGACTGGCTTGGAAATCACCTCCCGTTGTCAGCCCGTGATTGGACCTGCAGGCATCCAGCCATGCAGGAGCTGAATCTCCTCAGCTTTCACGAGGAAGGGTGGAGAAAGGAAATGCCGCGGGCAGCAAGACTTCTTACATGGAGAGAGAACCTGACCTTGTCCCATCGTGTCTGGTGGACAACCAGAGTCTTAGATGGCGATCGAGACTCATCTCAACAAGTAGCCTGTCGATTCTCGATTCCAAGACCTCCGCCCCGCATTCACCGTCACAATGGCCAGCCCTGAGCAGGACGGAACCTTATTGCCGGTCATGGCCCGGAACACCAGTACCGGCACGCAGTCTGTATTCTCGGCAACCGGCAGTCAAAATCACGCCGCCAGCGGCGCCAATGTGAACTATATCAGCAAGTATATCGTGGCGGTGCCAAAGGAGCAGACGAGTTCGTAGTGTGATCTTTGCACTGTCGAGCGCTTACACTAACAAGAGGCTTTTGTCTGAACAGCGGAGGGACTAATCGAATGGCTGGGTCGCGAGGCGGCTCCCCTTAACCCCCTTGACTACCATCGCCTGCTTCTGAGTCAGAGGACTCCTACAACGGGCCTCTGGGCGCTTCAGAGCAGACAAATCCTAGAGTGGAAGCAAGAGTCTTGTAAATCTCCACTCCTGTGGCTGCATGGCATCAGTAAGAAGAGCCCAATTATCCTTATCTCTAACTCTACTCACATCTCGCAGTGGGTTCCGGGAAAAGCGTACTTGCGTAAGTGTGGCTAGAAACGTCTGAAACTCACATTCAACTGATATCACAACAAGTTCAATTATAATTGAACATTTGGAGAAGGAGATCGCTCACCAAGACCGGATGGCCTGTATCTACCTTCACTTCCAGCAGCCAGACCAGCAGATTGCTCCCAGTAAGATAATCGCGTCCTTGCTCAGGCAATTAGTAAAACAAAAGAGAATGTACCCTGTGGTCGAAGCCATCCTGGTGACACACGGAGAATACGAAAAGAACAAGGTGCCACCATCGGCTGAACAGTACCTTGAGTTGCTTCTCGCTGAGATGAATGCCTTTCGACAGGTGTACCTTGTGCTAGACGCCCTGGAAAATTGCAATCAATCAGCATTTGTTCTGGAGATAATCAAAAAACTCCCACAGTCAGTCAAGGTGCTGCTCACCACCAGGTCGGGCTCTTTGATGGGAGACGAGCTCAGCATCGGGGGGGGGGGGTATCCAGCTCGAAGTCAAGGCGCATGCTTCGGATATCAAAGCCTACGTAAAGTCTCGAATATCCCGCGATAGACATTTACACGAGTTCACAATGCAAGAGGGGGATTCAACATTTGAGGACACTGTGATTCATAGCATCGAGGTCGGAGCTGGAGACATGTACGTAACACACCAGCGTGCGTTGGTTTTGTTTTATCCCTGCCCGGTACGGAGACCAAAGTAAGACAGGAGGAAGACTGACTGACGCTTCTGATCAAGGTTCCTCCTCGCCAAGCTGCACCTGGACGCACTGAGCAAGCAACGATCTCTCGCAGGCTTCAAGTCCGTGCTCTGTGAGCTCCCCAAAGATGCCGCCGTGATAGCCTTCAAAGCTGCCATCGAGCGGATAGACGAGCAAGAAGAGGCCGACAGAGCCTTGGCCGGGCATGTCTTCACCTGGCTGTTGCATGCGGAACGCGACGATCTCACTGTGAGAGAGCTGCAACATAGCTTTGCCATTCGCCAGTACCTACTCGCTCCAGAGCAGAACCGCGACGTTTGGAGCCACTACATACCGCCCGAGAGGCTCGTGTCTATGGTCTGCGGAGGGCTGGTGGTCATAGATCAGGACACCAAAGTGTGCCAGTTTGTTCACGATACGGTCCCAAAATACCTTCACAACCATCCTCTACTGCCGAAGGAACCACACCTTGAGATTGCATCACAGTGTCTACAATACCTGGCCATGGACGACTTCTCTTTACCCCTGACACGAGAGAACGAACCGGAACGCTTGCGCATCTTCCCACTCCGCAAATATGCAACACAGCATTGGGATAGTCACTTCTACCGCATCGCCGGAGAGATTCCCGCCTCGATCAGACAAGCAGCCCTCGACTTTCTTGCCGGCCCCGAGAGAAGCAATGAGTCATTCTACTATGGGTTATCCGATCACTTTCCTCAGAGAGTCAGTGGGCTGCATTTGGCTGTGATTTATGGGTTGGAATCCTTAGCTCAGGAGGGCCTTGCCCACGGCGTTTTTGACATTGGCGCAACGACTTCAGGCGGGAAGACTGTACTTCACTGGGCTGCCCGGATGGGAGACAATGGCATGATCACGATGCTGCTGGATAATGGGGCGGATCCAATGGCGGGAGACTCCCGCGGCGACACTCCATTGCATGACGCACTCTTTTGGAATGCGTCAGAGAGCACGATTTATCAATTACTGATCACAGACGCGAATGTGATCAGCAAGCCAAACAATCATGGGCAGACTCCTTTTATTTGGGCCTTGAAGCGAGGAGAGCCGGTGGTGACGAGACTATTGGCAAGATATCACCCGCCCGTGGTCCCGAGAGGAGCATCGGATATTGAATCGGCCCTTTGTCAAGTAATGAGGCATTGTGCCGCCAAGGAAGAGCTGGCTACAATCATGGAACTGCTCCTGCACGGAGGTGCGGACCCCAACGCGTTCTCGGAAGGCTACAGGCTCCCTCTTCTGCAGGCCGCGAAGGGCAGGCTCGAAGACGCGTGCCGGGTGCTCCTCAAACACGGGGCGGATGTGAACATGGCAGACTGGGATGGCAAAACTGCCCTGATGTCGGCGACTAGTCCCGAGATTGTCCGGATTCTCGTCAAGAACGGGGCGAGGGTCAACGATAGGCCTCAAAACGGACTCACCCCTTTGCTTATGGCGACGAGAGAGCGACGGCGGACCATCGCTTGGTACCTCATCGAGGCCGGAGCAAACATCGACGACCAGGATCCCGAGGGTCGGACACCCATACACCATGCCATTCAGCTCGGAGACACGCGTCTCGCCTGGCTGCTTGTGACAGAAGGTTGCAACCCAAGTCTTCGGGACTCGGAGGGCATGAGCCCGTTGGACTGGGCGGTGAGCAAGAAAGATTTCTCTATCGTATGGCTCTTCTGCGAGGCCCTGGGAACGCTCCCGCCCGACATTGCCTCGAGCGCACTGCACCAGGTTTCGAAACATAGCCGCAACGGTAGCCACATAGAGATATTACGGCTGCTGATGGGCAGGGGGGCAAGAGAAGTCATCGACCAGCAGGACGAGTTCGGCAACACGGCACTCATAAACGCGGCGGGCCGGATGGAGCTGCGCATCATGGAGGCTCTGGTCGAGTACGGTGCCTCGTGCGACATCCAGGACCATCTTGGAGGGACGGCCTTGCACCTCGCCGTCGGGGCTACGAATGCAGATCAGATCGAATGCATGATATTCCTCATACAGTCTGGAGCGGACGTCAACGCGCAGAACAGTTTTCTGAGGACCCCCCTGATGCAGGCCGCCGAGATGGGCCAAGAGCTCAAGGTGTGCACGCTGCTGAACTCGGGGGCCAGGCCGGACCTGGTCGACAGCGCTGGAGCCACGGCCTTTGACCTGGCACTGCAGCAGGGCCACGAGCCCATCATGATGCTCTTGAATGATAGGATGGCGCGCTCCTGAGCCCATGTATCTCGATCTGTATTTGGAAAAGTGATAGGACCGCATATCAAGCTGATCACCTCGGCGCCTGACATGGTCTGAGCCCTGAGGGAGGTTGTTCATACATTATCGGACTGAGCCGATTCGCATGGGTGTTGATGACAGAACCCAGGATTGCCAAGGCGACAGTCAAGGAGGGACACACAGGGAGTTCGTACACGCTTCTTACGGCCAATCGGGACTGCATCGTGCCAGAGATCGGGCCCGGCAGGCTACATATTCAACACGGTCGTGCCGGCAGAGGACGATAACTCGCGTATGGAACGCTACGAGGACGTCACAACTCCGGACGAGACGGTCGAGAAGCTGATGAAAGGGATGCTCAAGTGTCTCCAGGAATTGGCCAAGTCGCTGTTGCAGCTCATTACTCCGTCCGAGGCGGATGAACTGCAGGCGATGATCAAGGAGGTGGCCAAGCTCCCGCCGTCTCTTGCTGAGGAGAAGGTGTCGGGGTACGTCTTTACAAACTCTAGCTCTGGCTTCCAGGCGAATCATGTGGGGAAGGGGAACCAGAATATCAACAACGGGATGGCGCCACAGTTGAACGGGGAGTTCCGTGGACCCGTGAACCTCGGACCTGCATCAGCGCCATCCCCACTACCTGCTCCCAGATAACGGGCACGAAGCATCAAGGCGAGGGACATGCTGCTCGGTAGAACACGTAAAGTAGGCAGCGGGACAGACCATAAGAGAAAAGTGCTTGCCCTAACCGGGCTTCAGTCGTTCAAGTTGAATTGGCTTCCTCCGCAGAAAGAGGAGATCTATCTTTTGGGTGCACTTCGTCATCAATCAACGCAATGCTTTCATCTGAACCGGGGAACACATCGCACGGCGATCCCAAACCACGTTTCAGACACCATTCCACACCCACTCGGCGACAAAAAGACCAAAAACTATGACGTCTCGCGAACGACCTTGTCGACCGCCTTGGCAAAGTAGTCGACGTTGCTCGTGTTGAGCCCGGCCATGCTGATGCGGCCGTTCTTGGTCATGTAGACGTGGAACTCGTCGCGCAGCTTGAGCACCTGCTGCTCCGACAGGCCCGTGAAGCTGAACATGCCGATCTGGTCCGTGATGTGGTTCCAGGTGCCCGGGGTGCCGAGCGCCTCGAGCTTGGAGCGCAGCGCCTGGCGCATGTCCTTGATGCGGCCCGACATCTCGCGCAGGTTGTCGCGCCACTCGGCGAAGAGCTTGTCGTCGTTGAGCACGGTGCTGACGATGCGCGCGCCGTAGATGGGCGGGTTGGAGATCTCGGAGCGCTGCAGGATGGCGAGCTGCGAGGCGATGCGCGCCGTGTCCTCCTTGGCGCTGGGCCCCGGCGCCGTGACGAAGTGGAGGCAGCCGGCGCGCTCGCCGTAGAGGCCAAAGTTCTTGGCGAAGGACTGGGCGACGAGCAGCTCGAAGCCCTGCTCGACAAAGTGGCGGACGGCGCCGGCGTCGCGCTCGAGGTCGCCAGAGGCGAAGCCCTGGTAGGCCGAGTCGAAGAAGGGGAAGTGGCTCTTCTGGCGCATGATGCTGGCGATCTCGCGCCATTGCGCCTCGGTGGGGTCGACGCCGGTCGGGTTGTGGGCGCAGGCGTGGAGGAGGATGATGGAGCGCTCGGGAGCGTCCTGGAGGGCCTTCTTCATGCCCTCAAAGTCGAGGCCCTTGGTCTTCTTGTCGAAGTAGGGGTAGGTGGCCGTGGGCAGGGCGACATTGTCAAAGATCTGCTTGTGGTTGGCCCAGGTGGGGTTGGAGAAGTAGATCGTCCTGTTGCCCTTGTAGAACTTGGCGAGGAAGAGGGCGCCAAGGTGGACGGCGCCGGTGCCGGAGATGGTCTGGACGGAGGTGACTCGCTCGTCCTTGAGGGCGGGCGAGGCGGCGCCGAGGAAGATCTCGCGGGCCTTGCTGGTGAAGGAGGCCAGACCGGCGATGGGCAGGTACTCGTGGTCTAGGTTGGGGTCGTTGTGGATGATGTCGTCGGCCTGGAGAGTCGCGAAATCTGCCGGTTAGCAATTTTCGTCCCGTCGGAGCGAGAGTGTCCGGAGAGCTGGGCAGACTGCACCCAAGATTGACACGTACCTTTCTTACGACGGGAAGAACCCACGGCTTCGCATTGTTGTCTCTGTAGGCGCCAATACCCTGTGTCAAGGATCAATTGTCAGTAAGGAGAGGCTCGGAGAATGCTCGGGAGATCTCGCACCAAGTCGATCTTGTCCTTGCTCTGGTCGGCCTTGTAAGCTCGCATCAGGCCGAAGAGGGGGTCTTCTGGAGCCTGCGGCACGACGTCGGCCGGGAAGCTGGTTGCTACTGCTGAGGGCGCCATCTGGTCTGCGATCTTGCGTAACCGGGAAAGAGCAGAATTTGGTACTGAGGAGGAGGACGAAGAAGGGGAAGAGGAGGATGGGGAGGAGGAGCTGGCAGTTTTGGAGCTTGGAGCGGGAGTGGTCCGACGATGCGCCATGGTTTTACGTGTCTGTGACTGCGAGGTAATAGTCCTGGGGGAAATCGGAGTGGGGCAAGAGACGCAAGGTGGGGGAATGGGATTTCTTGGGGGAGGGGAAACGGAAGCAACAGCCAGGGGGCGTGCGAAGTTTCAGGTGCTCAGGTGGCCTCTTTGCAGTGGACTTGTGGGCTGGTCCAGGGCGATTCGCGCGCTTCTGTGCCACTGTGGGCTGCGCCAATTCTTCCAGATTTCGCCTTTTCCCCAGAAAATGGGTGCTAGCGAGTCCAATGCAGGTGTTGGCGGAGCAGGCACCGGGCTGATGGCGCGAGATACGGCGGGCGACGGGGTAGGTCGGAAGGGGCCTGCGAGGGGCCTGCGCTGGGCGAATCGGATCGCACTGAATGTCAAAGCTGGTCCGCAGCGGTCGGGCGATAGGCTCTGCAATCTGCTAATCACCTAATGCGATAATGCGAGGAGACGATGGAACGATGCGGTTCGGTGATTTGGCAGTCGGCACGGTCGGGACCACTGCGCGATGACAAAGAATAATGCGCAAAGTGGAAACGGGAAGCGGGACAGGGTTTTCTTGAAGAGAGGGAGAGAATAAACGGAGACAAAATTTCTCAAAAATAATAATCAGGAGGCACGATTCAACATCGTACACTTATCTGTGTATGCCCGTGTGCGCTGCGCTCTGAAGAAGGAAATACTCGAGGCTAAATAGCCAGCTATGGTTTACCGTTGTCCCCACTGGTCCCTGATCTCCCCTGGTATTTAGCGCACCGGATGCATGTGAAGATGCCACCAAAATCGGGGCAGATCGTCTCTGCAGGGCTGCTCGGGTGCTGACACAAGCCGGCCGAGGTAATATCGACGGCAACTTTGGCCACGAGGACGGACCGAGTGACATCACTCACGCGGTCGTCAGGATTATATCTACCCCGTACGAGGGCTTTGGAGGTAGTTACTTGTAGATAACCGCCTGGTCTCTGCCCCAAGGCTGTGTGTGGACTTTGAGGTAATGGGATAGCGTATTCAGACTTCTGATGCCAAAATCTTCTCGCGCCCCCTTTTGGTGCAGGATGGACGGTGGGATCACAATGGCCTCTTTATTCGTCAACGCCCTCGTGCTGCCTGCTTCTAGGTGTGTGCGTAAGCTTTATAAATCCAATTGCTACGAATGACTTTTGGCGAAGTAGCTCAGCGGTTTACAAGACATAACGATACTTCGGTATTTATTTCCTGGCCTGGATTCGTCCGGGACTTCGCTTTTTGCAAGCCAGGTCAACCTCATCAAAACGCAGGGCCGCAGTTCACTTCCAGCTGTGGCACCTATTTTTTTGCGCTTTGTTTTCTTTTTTTGTCATTTGCACTTCTTGTAGATGCACTCGGCTCAAAAGTTGCGCGGCATCTCTATTCACAGCACACGTACCCTTTACTGCCACATCTACGGGGGGGATGAACTTGGCTTAGATGAGCAGGTCCCATACAATGACAAACAGACACAGCCCGCTGGCTGCGAAAAAGGTGTACTTGGCTGTACTCGGCCTCTCCAGCGCCTTCTTCAGCTCCTTGTTGCCCCTGTCGACATTCTCTGCCGTGCTCAGCGAGTCTGCCACCAGCTGCTCGATATGCGATGCCTGTATCTCGAGGTTGTTCACCAGTAGCGTCTGCAGCTCCGAGATCTCGACCAGCGACTTTTCCGCCGTCCTGTAGAGAATGATGAGTACTTTTGCTTCCCTCGCAAAGAGGATATAAGGACCGACTTACTTGACCTTGTCCAGCGTGCTCTCGTAGTGTTTGAGCATATCCTGGTTGTCCTTCTCAAACATCTGGACCTGCTCGTCCGTCAGCTCGTCTCTGGCCCTCCGCCTCCTCCTCTCATCCTCCTCGTCCAGATGCGCCGCAGACGGCCCCTTGCCGCCCGCACCAGCTGAAGTAGGCGACGTGAACCCCGCCGCCGACGCCTCCGCCGACGCGCTCCACTGCGCGTCGAGCTGCGCCTTGGCCAGCACGCTCCTGTTCTTCTCCATCTCCCTCGTGAGCCGTATCTCCATCATGCTCTGCTGCAGCTGCCCGCACTCCTGCAGCCGCTGCCGCAGGTACCACAGCACGCCCTCCCGGTGCGCCGCCACCTGCTGCAGCGCCTTCTCCGCCGCCTCGCGCTCCGGGTTCGCCGTCAGCCCGCTGAGCAGGGCCGAGAGGCTCGCCGCGAAGCGCTTGCGCAGCAGCGCCTGCTGCGTGCTCTGGTGCAGCTCCTCGGCCTCGGACAGGCTGCGGATCGAGGCGTTGAGGTCGCGCAGCAGGCGCTTGGCGTCGGCGTCGATCTCCTCGCGCTGCTGGTCGGTCAGGAAGGCCTCCTGGCGCTGCTCCGCGCGGGCGCTGCGCGGCTGGGTCTTGCGCGGCTGGGCGGTCGAGAGGTAGGCGCGGCGGACATCGCGGAGCTGGGTGTGCAGGTTGACTATGTGCGTGTTCTGGGTGTGTGAGCATCTGAAGGACAGTGGCCGCTTCGGAAAGATACATCTGCTTACTATCCTGTATGCTTCCTTGAGAAATTCGTCGATGCGCTTGATGTCGAAGCTCCGGCGGGTTGGGGGAGCATCGTGGCTCTTCAAGAGCCCATCGAATGTGGATGTTAGGTCGGCCATTGGAGACAGGTCTCCGTCCGCCTCGCTCTTAAATAGGATGGGCAATCGAAGGATGTTGTAAAATCATGTCGCGGTCGACTGGGTGGCAAAGCAAAGCGACACAGCTCCTGATCGTGCCCAAGATCTGGCAACCAAGCACTCCTACAAGCTTGCTGGAGCTTAAGCTTGACGTGTTTCGAGCGTGCCACACGTGGCTTGCCCAGTGCGCCACGATGAAGTCAGGGTGCGTGGCTGATTAAGCCACGCTGTGGCACCCCTCGAATCTCCTCGGCCTCGGCGCTCGGGCGAGCTCCACCAAAATTTGACCTGCATCAGTGCCATTCATCCCCACCACACCAGCAAGCCAAGCTTTTCCCCGGCTTCGGAACGGCTCCTCCTGCAGCGAGCCCAGACGGATTTGTTGCCTGTCAAGCCTGTCAAGCTCTTGAGCCCATCTTACACACGCAAGTTGGAAAGGGATGATGCTCTCAGCATGCCTGCAACTGCCTTGACCTCCGCGTGTAAATCACATACACCAAGTCAGTTCTGATATCAGGACAGAAGAAGCGGAGCAGCAAATCCTCGATCTCCATCTGATCCCCGGCGTCGGAGGTTGACCGAACACGGAGAAGGGCCCACACACCAGCAATGCTAATGTGTGTCATGGCGTCCTGATCTGCTCTAAACGGATCAAGCGGCGGCCCAACGGCCATCACCACCTTGTCCAATCTGGTTATTCGCATTCACAATTGTCCAAGCCGAACAAGAGCAATGGGGATTGCGGTCCCGATGCTCGGCTTCGCCTGCGGTGAAGACGCGGAGCTTATCTTTAGCGTTTCCGGGGCCCTATAACATGATCAGCAAGACCGCGGTGGAGCTGAGGTTCTGTCCCAAACAGGTAGGCCGATATGCAGCTTTGGTATGGTATTGTTATTGCCGGACCATATCCCCTCGATGGGTGGACGCTAGGTTGGCTAGAGAATGCCGTACCCACACGAGTCTATGACTCCAGAAGAAGAGGCCTTTACCCAATCTTGTCGATCTGAAAGTTGTAAATAGCACTTGGATCTGTTTTATTTTCCGGCTTGTAAATCTCTTCTCTGCAGTACTTGCAACCTCGCCAGCCCGCCTGACATGACCCAACCTATGGCTGGACGTCATTCACTATGGAAGAGAAGAACGAGTCGACTCAAACCGTTCCCACCCCCGGCGAGCTTGTCCACCGGACCGGCAGCCAGTCCGTCCAGGAAGCGGGCGGGACTGGCGCCGTTCTCACCGCTGGCGGAGCCGGATCCGACGATGACGGCGCGGACAGCATAGACGAGCAGCCGGACGGCGGAGAAGGCCTCTCGCGCGTCTCCACCGGTCCGCCGTACAGCATCTTCTCAAGGACGACCAAGATCTGGATCATGGTGATCGTCTCCTGCATCAGCTTCGTCTCCCCGATGACCGCCACGATCTACTTCCCGGCGCTGAACCCCATCGCTGCGGACCTCGGCGTGTCTCTCAGCCTCATCAACCTGACCATCACGACGTACATGGTCTGCCAGGGCATCGCCCCGACGCTCTTTGGCGACTTGGCCGATGTGTCGGGCCGTAGGCCGGCCTTCATCATCGCCATGACCATCTACGTCCTCGCCAACATCGGCCTGGCCTTGCAGACCAACTACGCTGCCCTGCTGGTGCTGCGCATGGTCCAGAGCTCCGGCAGCAGCGGCACCATCGCCTTGGCCTTCGCAGTCGTCGCCGACATCAGCGTTTCTGCAGAGAGAGGCAAGTACATGGGCTTCGTCAGCGCCGGTCTGAACGCCGGACCGGCCATCAGCCCCGTGCTTGGCGGTATACTGACCGAGTATCTCGGCTGGCGAGCCATCTTTTGGTTCTGCGCCATCCTCTCGGGCGTGGCCACGATCCCCTACACGCTCTTCATCCCAGAGACGTGCCGGAAGGTCGTGGGCAACGGCTCGGTACCGCCCCGCGGCTGGAACAAGACGCTCTTGGATCACTGGCGGCTCCGGAAGCAGCCGAAGCAGACAGAGACGGCCGCGCCCAAGCAGAGGCTTGGCTTTCCGAACCCCCTCAAAGCACTGCGGATCCTGGTCGAGAAAGACCTGTCGCAGATTCTCTTCCTCAGCGCCCTGATCTATCTGGTCTTCATCCTCATGTCGGCGACGCTATCGACGCAGTTCAAGCCCATCTACGGCCTCAACGACCTCCAGATCGGGCTGTGCTACCTGCCCTACGGCTGCGGCTGCTGCTTCGCCTCCGTGGGGCAGGGGTACCTGCTCGACTGGAACTACCGGCGCGTCGCGCGCAAGATCGGCTTCGTCATCGACTACAAGCGCGGCGACGACCTGTCCAAGTTCCCGATCGAGAGGGCGCGCGCGCAGGTCGTCATGCCGATCCTGAGCGTCGGGCTCGTCGCCACGACGGGCTACGGCTGGGCGCTGCAGCGCGAGGTGCACATCGCCGTGCCGCTCGTCATGTCCTTCGTCATCGGCCTCACCGTGACGGGCAGCTACTCGATCCTGCAGACGCTGTGCGTCGACCTGAACCCGCACGCGCCGGCCACCGCCGTGGCGGCGCTGAACCTCATCCGCTGCCTGTGCGGCGCCGTCTCGGTCGCCTTTATCGAGAAGATGATCGAGCACATCGGCCGGGGGTGGACGTTTACGTTCTGGGCGCTGCTCTGCGCGGCCTTCACGCCGATCCTGTTCATCCTGCCGAGGTGGGGCCCGGGATGGAGGGAGGAGCGGCGCCTGCGCCTGTTGAAGGAGCAGGAGAAGAGGGAGGAGGCGGAGAGGGCGGCTGTTGGACCCGAGGCGGCACCGGAGTCATGATTGCATAGATATCCCGGACGTGTGGAGAGGCATGGTAAAGGCGTTTTCACACCAACAGAGCGAGCGATTTCACGAATAAAAGAATTGGTATTCCAAGGACAGACTGTTCTTAAGGGGTATCTAAAGACTGCTCTGCTTCAAGTGATAACATCTCAGGCCCTCTAGTGATTGGGCCTATTGTCGGTGTGAGTGTGAGGAAGCTCGTAGACAGGGTTCGCGGGAGCTTCGTGCGTCCCGTTGGACGACGACCCATCCATCTCGTGGACCGGCGCGCTTCGCCCATCCAACTCGCCAGCGCCCCCGTTCGGGGTGTAATACTCGTGCATCGGTCCTCCCGCCGACACCATCGGAGCCGATCCCCTCGGGGGCAGTGCCGGCGCCACCTTGCGGCTCCCCCTCTTCCGGCGCCAGATGCAGAACCCGATCAGCGCCACCACAGCCACGGCGGCGATCACAACGCCGGCGATTCCTCCGGGCGACAGTCCGGAGCTGCCCCCAGTGCCCATCGAGTTCCCGTTCAGCATCAGGACCTCCCACTTGCCGTTCCACGACCTCGCAAACTCGCTCGGCGGCTTGGCCAGGAACGACGCCGCGCCGTGGCCCGCGTTGATCGGCCGCGTCACGCTCTGGAACAGGTTCGGCCCGGGCGCCTGGGCCAGGTACGTCGCGTTGGCGTCGAAGTCGACGGCCACAAAGGCCGACTGCAGGAAGGCCCGGCCGAGCTGCCAGAAGCCCAGGGTGTCGCCGTCGTACGGCTTGCAGGGGAAGTAGGGCGTCGGCGCGTCGACGAGGGGCCTCTCGAGCGTCAGGTTCAGCAGCGCGAAGGGCACCTTGATCGTGACGTTCTGCGCGTCCTTGTCCGACACGACGAGGCCCAGGTACGCCGGCGACTTGACGATGCGCCCGTACTGCGGGTCGCCCGTGTTCCAGAGGTACAGCTGCAGCCGCTCGTCCCACGTCACGGGCAGGTGCTTGGCGGCCTCGCGGCAGGTGCTGGCGGGCAGGTACATGTAGGGGTCCGCGGCGTTGAGCGTCACGAGCGACGCGCCCGCCGCGCCGCCGAGCTGCTTGACGAGCTCGACGGCGCGCGGGGCCCCGTCGTTGCCCGCGTACACGCTGCCCGGGACGCTGCCGTTGTCGGACCACGGCGAGCCGCCGACCTCGACGCCGAGGGTGACGTCGACGAGGAAGGCGGTGTGCAGGCCGGCCTGCATGCGCAGCGTGGCGACGGGCGCGATGACGCGGTTGTCCTCGTAGCCGCCCAGGAGCAGGGAGCCCGGCAGGCTGTGCGCCACGCTGCCGAGGTGCATGCTGAAGGACTGCGAGGGGATGCTGCCCCGCGACTGGAGCTGCTTGAGGATCGAGTCGTGGGCGCCGCTCTTGTCGCCGGGGCCGGCCCTGGTGTCCGGGCCGAGGCCGAGGATGCCGACAGACGGGGTGTACGTCGCGCCCTGGGCGGCCGGGACCGTCCACTTGGTCGCGGCGGCGACGCTGGCGTTGACCTTGCTGGAGGAGTCGCCCGTCTTGCCGGTGAGGGTGACCTGGTCGAAGAAGCCCTTGGCCTCGAAGGTGCTGTTCATGAACGCGTCGGACCACCACGAGTCGCTCTGCCCCAGCGAGGTCCTCGTGCCCACTGCTGATTTCGAGTCCTTGGTCGTGTAGTTGCCCGGGGCCACGCCGTCCAGGACCTGGACCAGGTAAGAACCGCTCGGCCAGAAGGGCGCGAACACGCCGTTTGCGCTGGCTGAGCTGCTGCCGATCTGGACGAGGGCTGCCTGCCATGGCCCGTCTGGCCCGTAGGTCGCGGGCACCGAGTCCGAGTTCGTCAGTCTGTCGGTGGAAAAGGGGATCTGGAGGGGGCCTGCTCCGAGGGCGTGCTGGACCGCGAAAACGGCGCCAGCCGCGATGGTCGCCTTGTGAGAACGCATTGTCATCGACGGCAGTGACCTCCTTCGTCGTTGACCATTAGAAGGCTACCAGGACGCCTCAAGGATGGGCGGTCTTGGGTTTTATCAGGACTCATCTTGCGGTCGGTCCCGATACCCCGGACGATCTGTGCTAAGTTAAGTTTAATTAGTCTCTGCTGTGCCCCTGAGCACCGCCTGCCGCTAGGTATGAAACGTCCCGGGGGTGGCACTGACATCCATCGACTCGGGCGCGTTTATTAGCCTCACCATAAAGGCTGAGCAGTGGGGATGGGTAGGGGTAATGAAGAGGCGCCATTGATCAGCCAGAATCCTTCGCAAGGACCCCAGCAGCTTGTTACCTAGCAGAAGCTCGGACCTTTGCCACAAGCTACAAGAGCGAGCTATGAGCTCGATGGTCCTGATGTAATTTGCAAGGTCAAGCTTGGTTGATCACAACTAGAGCTTACGTGAGATTCCGGAATAACAAACATGAAGAACCATATCAAGGAGATCGACAGGAACTTTTTCTTTCTTATCCCTTATTGTCTTTATGCCTCTATTTCTCTCCCTTGATCTTTTTCTGCTTCATTTCTCTTCTCTTTCCTGTATTTTGCAAACACCCATATTTCCGTGCCTCTTTCACGGTTTCTTCTTTCCCTCCATTTCCCTTGTTACCTATTGTCTTGTCTCATAGAATGCAGGGGTTGCGCAGGTCAAGGCTAATCTAGAGAAAGCATTACTTGTTACGACAGAATCAACAAGCAATTCACTCACAGTCGAGTGTGTATCTAGCAACAACAATCTCCATATCCGCGCAGATTGAGAATATCATCAGACCATATGTGTATGCAAAATCGGCATCCTTGGCATGTGTCAACTACAGGCCAGGCCAAGAGCAGACAAGATAATTCGAAGCCAGAGTTTACTCAATCGCTGGTGGATGAGCCCACATCACCACTTTTCCCCAGTTATGATTGGGGACTGACTCGTCATTGGGCTGGCCGAAATGCTTGGTGGACAAAAATATTGACAACCCGGTCCACCTCACCGCATCATAATGAAAACCCTGAACATCACCCGCTGCTTTTGTGGTTCTCCCAGGCCAGGATCATTGTACGTGCCGCCAGGTGTTCTCATCGCATACGGAGATCCCTCGCGATGCCTTCTCTCTCCCATCACCGCACCGGCCTCGCCCCCCTGTCGCGCATGATACAAAACGACCGAGACCATGCCCGCCGACTTTGAAAAGCAGAGCTACTGGCAGAAGCGCTTCGCCCGGGAGACGGCCTTTGAGTGGCTCGTCTCCTCCGCGACGTTCCTGAGCCTCCTCGACCCCCTGCTCTCCCAGTTTGCAGAACCCTCCGAGATCCGCGTCCTGCACCTCGGCGGCGGGACGAGCGACCTGCACTGCCACCTCCGCCTCCGGGGCTTCGAGGACGTGACCAACGTGGACTACGAACCGCTGGCCGCCGAGCGCGGGCGCGCCCTCGAGCAGCGCCAGTTCGGCGACGTGCGCATGAGCTACCTGACCGGCGACGCGACGCAGCTCGACCTGCGGGACGACTCGGCCAGGTTCGACCTCGTGATCGACAAGAGCGCCGCCGACGCCATCTCGTGCGGCGGCGAGAGCATGGTCGTGCGCATGGCGCTCGGCGTCAAGCGGTACCTGGCCGAGGGCGGCGTCTGGGTGTCGTTGAGCTACTCCGGCTCGCGGTTCGACATCGTCGAGTTTCCGCTCCGGGTAGAAGAGTTGGGACGGATCCCGATGCCGAAGCGTTTGGAGTCGGAACCGGATCTATTTTACCACTGCTATCTGTTGAGGAGGAAAGGCTGAGGTGAATGTGGTTGGGTTGAGGCATGTCATTAGCGATTTGGAAATGCAGCGCCTTTTTGGATTCCCATATAGCGTTTGTCTTGTTCCACGGCGTTTAGTACTCTTCAACTCGGTTGGAATCACTTGTTACATACAGCTTCTGACATGTGGATGCTAGATAGCCTACCCTAATCATGTACGTTGGAACAGTTTAACCCAGCAACTCACAGCTTTATCAATCGTCCGGAATATCAGCTCTTCTCGCCATATTAACATCATGTCCGACACGACGAGGCAGAGTTAAAACTTCCCTATGGCAACCGTCTGAGCATGCTAGGTGATTACGAATCGTTTGATTGGGGTTTCATACCATGTCATCTTATGTTGAATGGTACTGACGGCCGAGGTATGGCGCGAGCCGCAGATACGAGACATAGCTAAGAGGCGGCAAAGGAGAAAAAGAAGGATGCCCGTTGCGGCACTATCCCAAGACTTATGTATGACGAGAAGGATTCAGATTTCCAGCAACAATAGGCCAAATGGTCTTGTACTCACAAGGGCTAGTGATGCCAAGTCATGAACATTAACAGTTCCTCTATCCTTCCTCTTCTTTTCACGAAAGACAGGCCACCCTACTCCATTAATATGAAAAATCTCCCAGTTGCCATGGTCCAGTTCGGTATATTCACGGAAGAGTGATACGAACTTCAACGTAACATAGTGCAATGTAGGCATCTGATTTATGTCGTGACTGGTATGTCCGGTATATATAGATCTTAAAAAACAAACATCCAACACGCGAACCCAAAACAATCAAAGTCTTTTCTTGAATCATAAAGACCCGTCGTGCCAAAAGCCACCACTCCACTAAAGACCGTTGACGCCACCTGCAAATCTTGGCCGCCCACCCATTTTCATGACCGTCCGTGTAGAGGAAGAAAACGAAAAAGAACATGTCACCGCGCATCACGACGGCGTGCGCTGCCGCTTCACCAGCACCGACCTGCTCGCCGCCTGCGAAGGCGAGAAGCCCGACCTGTCGGCCATGGCCCTGTCGTACTCGAACCCCCACGTCCTGTCCAGGTCGGCCATCAGGCTCCGCCACAGCCTGCCCTGCTCCCCGGGGCGGTTCGCGAGGCGCGCCTGCACGAGCCAGGACCGGATGGCCCTGAAGTCGCGGCGCGTGCGGCGCTGCATCCACCAGACGCGCTTGAAGCGGCACATGAGGCCGAGCCAGTAGCCAAACACCCACAGGGCGACGGGGTCGCGGTCGAAGAGGCACTGGCGGAAGGCGGGCGTCAGGGTGCCGACGAACTGCCAGTAGCGCAGCATGTTGATGCGCGAGGGCTCGAGCAGGCGCAGCTCGGCCATGACGCGGATGGGCTCGCGGAAGTTGACGTCGGCGAAGCTGGCGTTGGGGTCGCTCGTCGGGCTGCTGACCTCGGTGTTGAGCCGCGCCGCCGCGATCCAGTGCTCGGGCACCCGGTCCAGCGCGTGGCCCTCGCCCGTCAGGGTCCGCCTCGAGTCGTCCGAGTTGCGGAACAGGGGCGCCAGGAAGCTCCTCTCGCGCCACTTTGCCGTGGCGGCGAGGAGCGGGGAGAGGCCCTGCTGCACCGCGAGCCAGCCGAGGCGGTCGGGCCTGCTGCTGAAGACCCACGACTTGTCGATGTCGGGCTCCTTGCTGAAGTCCGGGTCCTCGTCGAAGGGCAGGACCATGGACAGGGTGTTCATCAGCATCGCCGTGAGGAGCAGCGAGTCTGTGCCCATCTGCCCGTGGACGTCGAACGGCGTGTCGAGCGCGGCCTGGTAGTCGCGCACTGCGAGCGTCACCTGGTACTGCTCTGCCACGCGGTAGTCCTTGTGGCCGGGGGCTTGGTGGCGGAGGTGGCTGGCGGAGATGGCCAGCAGGGTGCTGCGGAGATGCGGGTATCTCAGGGCCAGGGGGACGAATGACCCGGTGTGGCTCGGCATGTCGAAGATGCCGAACCAGTTGTTGCGGTAGTGGAGGAGGAGCTCATCAGACGAGGTGCCGACTTCGGGGCCGGTGACCGGGACGATAGCCGTGCCCAGGGACATCCTCGGGTCACCGGCGGCTTCCTCTTCGATCTTTGTCACTATGGGCGTGGGCGGTGAGGTGCCATCGTGAGGGTAGACGCACGTCCTGCGATTCCGCTGGCATCGGAGGCAGATTGGGAACGTCTCGTCGCACTTTGGTGAGCCGAGCTTCAATTAGCCTCTTTCGCAGGGTGCAGACGCTCGAACAAGGGTGAAACGACTAAGACGGAAGAAAGACAAGAGTGGAAAGGTAAAAAGCAGAGCTGAGAGCCGATAGAGGGAGGCAGTTAACCCACCTTGACCCTCTTCTGTTTGCAGGCGATGCAGCCGTTCTTGGTCTTTCTATGGGGCTTGCGTCTCTTGTACTCCCGGATCTGCGGGTTCGCGTCGTTCAGGGAGATGACCTGAAACCGGGGCTCCGACGGCTGGGGCCGGGAGGCGGGAGAGGGAGAGGAAGGAGCAGCAGCAGCGAGCGGCCGGGACGCGGAGGGCGGTGCAGCGGCCATGAAGCTCGATGAAGCGGGGAACCGGGCGCCGGCCCTCGGGGCGCCACTGGCTCCCATTTGCTCTCGGCGGCAGCTGCACTTTCGCTCAGCTCAGCTCAGCCCCAGACGAGAAGCACGAATGAGGAATGACGCGAATCGGACTGGCGCGACCCATGGGCGAACCGTGCTGGCGGTATTGGGGTTGGGCAGGTCTCTGGGCGACTGTCCTTTTAGCCCTCTTCCCGAAGAGGAATACGAGGAGGGGAGAAAAGTTGCAATTTGCTGCTGTGCGCGCCCGGGCCGACCCTGTGTGCGGGGAGAAATGGACTGATGTTGTCAGGGATCTGGCTGGTGCAGCAGCACTGAGGTCAGGGCTTGCCCGTTTACTCGATCCGCACTAGCGTCTCGACTCTTGCAGGACTCACTTTTCTCCTCCATCTGACTCGCCGAGCCTCGCATTTGCATCGGCTGGTGTTGTGCTCGAGAGCCATGGTGCTAACGCATGTCCAAGAAACAGCTCAGTATAATTTCAACGGGATGATTTAGAATGTATAGTGCCGCCTTGACATACCTTGGACTCGTTCATTCACCATCAATGTCCACGAACCAAACCTCGCCCATGCAATTCTTCTAGGTCAGATCTCCCGGCATAGCAGACGAGCGGTCTCTCTTCTTGAAACCGTTGAACTTGTATTGCCTATAAACTCATAATGAACTCGGCATTGCCGTCAACAAAAGCAATAGCAGTACTGGTAACACTACCGGCTGCCTCGCCCAGGAAAGCAACAAAAGAATAGCAAGGAAGGATACCTTCTAATACCACCGAGAAGCATGAACTCAAACGCAATATAGCAACATCTGTAGAATAGTAAATCAGTCTTGAAACAGTCCCGCATGCATGCACATGAGTAAGCCCTTCCTCTGACCCTCAACTGCACCCATATCCTTCTGTCAACAAACAGTATCTCCCATCCTGGCTATCACAGGGGTAGCTTGTTTCTTCGTCTGAGCTGGTTGCACAGCGGAAGTGGCATTTTTCGCGGATGCTCCTGCGCATCCTTGTTTCGCGCTGCGACTTTCCATTTGTGGCTCATCTTGCCAGCACTGTTTTGAAAGGTGAGCCTTTCTCCCTCGCCTCGATTCCAAAATCTTTTTTTCACCGAGCTTTTGTCAATACATCTGCCGTATAACTGCCATCTGTGAAAGCGGTCATAGTCGCCCCAGCCCAAGCCGACCTGGGCCGGCCGTGACCATTCAGGAATGTGAGCAGCTGAGGTTGCGGTCCGTAGATCCGCCCCTGAAGTTGTCCCCGAGATAAGACGAGGTGAGAAGGAAAGGGTCTCGTTGGCATGGTCGTTGCCTCCAAATAGCTCGCCCGGGGTCCACGTTGATGAACTTCCTTGAGGGATGAGAAGCTTCGCCTCCCTCTCAAAAATGTAAGCAGTGTCCCTCCACGGTTGATCAGTAGAATCAACATCTCTGGCCTCCTTTGTTATGCGACGATCCCAGTCATAACGATTCGGATCCTGCGGCCTCTCAGGATGATGCCAAAGCTCCTAGCCTTGGCTCATCATATCTGCAGATTTAGCCGTATCGAGAGAAGCAAGACTCATTTCCATTCCTTGAATCTGACCGTCACCCAACATTCTTGAGCTTTTGATCTCGTCCGGAAGTGTGGTTGCGTCTGACGCTCTCTGAACGATGAGAATAGGCTGATCCTCCTCTTCATTTGGCTCGCCTGGCATCGGATATTGACGAGGTACGAAGCTTTCTCGATCTTCGGCGATTTGGAAGTGGTGAACGCATCCCTTTTCCTCGTAAATTTTCTCTTTCTGTTCATAAGCCTCGAAAAAACTCTGTTTGTACATGGCAGGATCGCGGGGAGTGTAAATCCACTCAGGGCGGAAGCTGCTCTTTCCCGATTTGTTCCTTGGGTCAGTCCGGCCATGCGTAGCGGAGGCCGATGTTGATGCCATAGTGTACTGGATACCAATATCGTCTGGGGGAATCCTGGGAACAGTAATATCCCCTCTCGGGATCTCAGAATCACTCTCCTTCACGAACGCCGACGAGAACTAAGTTCGGGTTAGACTTGCCACTGCAAACACGAAAATTAAATAAACATACGTAGAGGGCACCAGTTGGTATTTGTACTTCATTTGCCATGATGCGGATCCGTCTGTGGACATGAAGTAGATGCTTGAACGATGCTAGATCACTTTTGAATGAGCGAAATAAAGTTTCGGAGCCGATGAAGCTTTGAGAAGAATCTGAGAGAGATCTGATGTCCCTATAGATATAGGAGGAGATTGTTGACGGTGTGGAATAGAAGTTAACACGGCTACACTCTCCTGATAAGAAACTTTGCTGGCAGCTTGCGAATAGGCAGCAGCAGGAATTTGGACGAGAGTGGTGGAAAGGAGAGGAGGTACCTTATTTTAGGTACTTAGTACATAATAAGACTGGCAGATCTACCTACCTCTTAGAAGCTGAATGTGGCAGGTACATCGGCAGCCTTCTCGACTAGTGGCAACTTCCCCTTTTTCGAAGCACAGGCCTGCCTTCTTCCACCCAGTCTTCCAATTCCACTTCTCCCTCACCTTCACACGAAAATGCACGGTGGTTCTAGCAACTAAGCTTCTGATCCATATTGAATCCTACTTTCACGTCTTGTCTTGCCACGGTTGATAATACCGCCTCCATTTGGACTTCCCAATACTTTGCCTGGGGCAACAGCTCTGGATCCTCTTCCGCAAGCGTCGATCATTGTCTTCACATGCCGCAGTCAAGATGAGCCCCTACCAGACACACCCCGTAGAAATACACCATCTCAAGCATGCAACCCCGGACTATCTCCAAGCGGCACTCACGGTTGTGCAGAACGTGCACAAATTCAAAGGGAAAGCGGACATTCTCGTCTTCCTTCCCGGAGAGAACGAGATAGAAACGCTCTGTTCTCAACTGCGACGGGCCAAGCTCGATCTAGAGGTCTTGCCACTGTACTCACTGATGGCCTCAAAGGAGCAGAAGCGGGTTTTCCAGCCGTCATCGAAGCGGAGGTGTATCGTGACCACGACCATGGCCGAAAACTTTACCACGGTCGACAAGGAGACTCGCTGGATCTCCAATGTCAAATATGTGGTTGACTCGGGCCTTCGCAGGCTCAGTTACCAAAATCCGAGAACAAGGATGGACATGCTCCTGCTGACACCAGTATCCAAACAGCAAGCACAGCAGCGAGCAAAGCGCGCTGGCGCGTTTGGGCCCGGAGAGTGCTACCGACTATACACCAAGAAATGCTACAAAGAACTCGCCGAGGACGCACTGCCAGACATGCTCAGGCTTGACATCACGGATGAGATACTGTATCTTAAAAACGAAGAGGGATCTGTGGATCTAACCGAATACGGAGCCGGTCCAGAGAACGTTCTTCGTGCTCTCGGGGATCTCAATGACTGGTACGTCATCATGAGTTGTCGAGAAAGATTAAAAAAATGCCTTCAGCTGACTCTCGTAGGGGATACCTCGATGACCAAGGTGATATTACCAGATTGGGGCGTGACGCCGCTTCTCAAGAGTTCCCGGTGCATCCAGTCTGGTACAGGGTCCTCCTCGAGGCGGCAAAGTGCGACTGCTCAGTGGAGATGGTGTCCATCGCCGCCCTCCTGAGCACACGCAGGACCGTTTTCCTCCGCCCATATGCGCACAGGCATGTCGCGGACTTGGCGCGCCAGCAGTTCGGGCACGCGCTCAGCGACCACATGAGCCTGCTGAACGCCTTCTACGCCTACTGCGGCCTGCTCAAGGAGGTCGAGGCCGGTCTCGACGTCGACGTTGAGGAGTGGTGTACGGATCACTTCCTGAGCCACGCAGCGCTGGAGGACGCCCTGGAGATCGAGGGCAAAATCCGGGACTTCCTGCGCGAGCACCGCCTGATCAAGGCTATATCCACGCCCTTCCGGTCTCCGCAGTACGACACCAACATCAGGAAGGCGCTCGCACGGGGCTTCTGCACCCAGACGGCATTTCACGAGGCTGGTGATGTCTACCGCACGGTCCACCGCGGCGATCACGCCCTGCTTAGTCGAACCAGCGCCCTGTTGGACAAGAACCACCAGTGGGTTGTCTATCACCGGTTTCACCTTGTGGCCCACTGCCGCCAGTACCTCGAGGTCGTCACGGCCATTAAGCCGGAGTGGTTGGTCGTAGGTCCACCCTTGTTCAGAATTTGACCATATGCCAAAAGGTGACTAATATCCCGTCGGTGATCATAGGACCTACCGTGTTTCCAAGACGAGCGTTGGGCACGACCAAGAGACGGTTCTGGAGATGCAATTCAGGCCGTAGCAAAAGCCTCCATTGACGAGGCTCGAGAGAGGATGCAGCAGTCTGATTGACGAGAAGGGAATCCCAAAACTGGCATGGCTGCCCTATCTCTCAGATTTATGAGTGCGTGAAGAACACCAGGGATGATATACAGAGCGTTGTGCTGTCGGGGAAAAAAAAGCAGCATCTCGACGGTGCTCCCGGAAATCATCTTCAACACTTCCATGTCAAGTCACCACAATGCAATGTTTTAATAAATGCCATCCCATTCCATACAACGAATGCCTTTGTCTCCCTGACTCTATGATAAGCAATTCTAATAGCCTCTCTTCCCTGTGGGAAGAGGATGTAATGTGTGTTGTGTAAGAAAACAAGAAAGGGATTAACAATAACCAGAAAAAACGGTTATTGACATGACAAATGTGTGTTATGCCGCCGACGCCGAAAAAAAACAGAGTGATTCCCCTTTATACAAATGTTTTGCGCTTGGAAAAACAACCCATGATGATGATGATGATGTCGTCCTCGTCCTGACTTTGTCAGCCCTCCTCCACGGCCCCAGACACCTCCGTCCTTCCCGTCGTTCGTGATTATATACATGCCGGACAAAGAAAAAAAAAATAAACGACAAAAATACACATTATATGATCTCCTCGGGACTCTAGGCCTCGCGAGCCCAGAGTCCTCTTCCAAGTCCCCCACTCGTAGTTTGGGCCCCAATTGATTGTCGGGCGACGATCGTGTCAAGGGTCGGGCCAGTGCTGTTCCCCAAATAGGAAATCTCACGGAACCTGCCTCCGTGACCCACCCCACTCTCATTCATCCTTCATCCTTCATCTGACCAGTTGATCCTCCCAGGACGGAGAGTCAAGAATTTCTCCGACGGAGAAGTGTCGAAAAATCAAAACCTGCTTTCCTGTCCTTTCCTTTCGTCATCTTTCTCAATTTTCCTCGCCCTTCATCTCCTCATCCCTAAAAGATAAAGGAAACGACAAAGATCAGGATCGTATACGCCGTCGCAAACGTGTACTCAAACTCGAACCACGCCGCCTGGCCCGCAAAGGCAATCTTCTTGCTCTTGCGCGTCGGGTGCGCCACGTGCGTCTTGGAGTCGCGGTCCAGCAGCTGCTCGCGCTCGGGCACGTCGGGCGGGTCGATGGCGTACGAGATGGGCGTCCAGAGCGAGCTGACGATGAACAGGAAGGTCAGCGGCGGCCAGAAGGCGTGCGTGAGGAGGCACGTGATGATGTTGCGGGCGCCCGTCTGCGTGAAGAAGCAGCGGTACGACGTGATGACGACGGCCACGAGCGTCAGGTAGACAAAGGCCAGGTGGAAGCTGGCCATGCAGTTGACGAGGATGGCCCAGAGGCGACGCAGCATGTTCTTGCGGCGCACGGCGTCGCGCTCGTTAAGCTTCGAGTCGAGCGAGCCCGTGGGCTTGAAGGCCTGGGCCTGGCCGCCGAGCCACTTGGGCAGGATGAAGGCGCGCACGATGCAGAGGGCGATGTAGGGAGACATCCAGAGCTGGTAGCGGGAGCCGCGCTGGCCGGTGTGGTAGCCAGCGGGGATGAAGAGGGCGAACTCGCACAGGCGGTTGGCCATCGTGGCGGCGAAGCAGGCCCAGATGAGCCAGCGGAGCTGGTCGTCGTTGGCGTAGGCGACGAGGGGCTTGCCCATGACCAGGATGATGGGGATGGCGAACAGGGAGATGGTCAGGAGCAGGGTGTACAGACTGAGCGACGCGTACAGGAAACCCGAGAAGCGCTGCGCGAAAGTCATCTGGCGGACCTTGTCGCCCCACAGGCAGAAGTTGAGCTTGAAGGCCGTGTCGACGGTGCCGATGGCCCAGCGGGTGCGCTGCTTCAAGTGGCTGGCGTAGTCGTCAGGAACGGTGCCGAACTGGAGGGGCTCGTGGATGTAGGCCGTCTTCCAGCCCTTGCCAAGCATCATGGTCGAGGTCGCGACATCCTCAGCCAGAGAACCGAGTGGGAAGTTGCCTATCTCGTCGAGGGCCTCACGGCGGACGACGTATCCGGAACCAGTGCACCAAGCGACTCCGAGAGCATCCTTGATGGGCTCAATGACGTGGACAAAGAAGTCCAGACTCTGGGCCAGGGGATCGGACGGCGGGGTGTTGTAGAAGAGCTGGGGAGGGCAGGCGAGCGCCATTTTGGGGTCGGCCATGAGATGGGGGAGAACGGCACGGAGCCAGTCCTTCTCGGGAATCTGCCTGCCGTTAGTGGACCGACACGTTTACGAGATCACGAGAACAGTCCGAACTCACCATGTCAGCATCCAGAGCGGCCATGTACTGGCCGGCTCCACCCGGGAGAAGATGCGTCTGCTCCAGACCATAGTTGAGGTTGCCGGCCTTGAAATGGTGGGGCTGGCCGGGGATCTTGGTGCGTGCGAGGTAGTACAGGTTGTGGTACATGGATACCGAGAGGTTGTTGACGGCCTCCTCCAGAGACTTGGACTTGGCATCGTCGAGAAGCAGGACGCGGAACCGATCGCGCGGGTAGTCAATGTCACAGGCGGCGCGGACGGTGTCGAGGATAACGTCGTCGTCCTCGCCGCAGCAGGTGATGAAGACGTCGACGGTGGGCACGTCATAACCGGTCAGGCGAAGCTTGGCTCTCCTCCTCTTCTTGAGCGCCCACATGGTCCAGAAGTTGTGCATCATCGAGGGGATGGCCACGGCGATCTCCACGGCGATGAAGATCCAAGCGGCGGCATACGTGGTGCCGTACGTTGCTTGCGCCGAGATAACGCAAAAGATACGGAGCCCGAGGTACAGGAGGTACAGCGCCATGTTGAAGAAGGTCAGGAAGGGGGTGAATTTGAAGAAGTTCCGCCTCCAGCCCTTCCAGATGTCGGCATCGTCGCGGTCGTGTAACCTGGCAATGGTGCCGGGCTTGACCCAATCCTTGTCCAGCATCGGCGCCGGCCCATTGGGAAGGAGCCCCGCCAAGCTGAGATGGCTCTGGTTCTATTGCATCTGTCAGCCAATTTCACTCTTGTCACGCCGGGAATTCCCAAGCTGAGCTCCTTCGGCCAGCGTTGGCAGCCGTGAATTCTCACCATTGGCGTCTGCGGCCTCGAATCAAAGTTTGGCCTCGAGTCGAACGACGACGAGTTGGTGTGCATGAACGGCGCCCCGGGCCGGGGGCTCCTCAGCTGGGGCGGCGTGCTCGGGCGGGAGTCGTAGCCATACTCGCCTAGGTACAGCTGCGAATTGGGCCGTGAGGCCACGGGCGAGGGCCATCCCGGGGAGCCGTAGTCGTCTGAGGGCACCCGGTGAGGCCTGGAGGGCGACATGAGCTCCTGGGGACTTCTTCTCCTATAGCTGGAGCTGGTATCGCTGTCGGGATGCTGATACGGGTTATGATGAGGGCTGTTGGGCTGGTCATATTGGTAGTAATGTTGCGGCGGGCGCGGAAGGACGTCGATCTCGACCATCTCGCCATATTCCTCCTGCTGCCCCTTCATCTTGGCGGCGTGGGTGGAATGGTCCACGATACGATCCGGGTGCGGTCCCTTCAGTGAGCGAGAAGAGCGAGCGAAAGAGTCTACAGACGGTGATAAGATTCCGTGGGATGGAATAAAAAAAAGGTGGTGCTGATCCAAAAGTTTGTTGCTGGTTGGATAGGAAAACGAATGTCTATGGTGAGCGAGCGAGAGGCGACACGGAGTGACTAACAAGAAACAACGTTGATCAGAAAAACAAACAGGCCGAGTTTTGTTCGATGGGGAAGGAAAGATAGGCAGGGAATTAGATGATGTCTGTCTATCGAGAAAAAGCAGGAGCCTCCAACCAGATCCATCCACTCCGTGCTGGGGCCTTACGGGACTACGGGGGGGGCCACTTCGAGCACACAGTAAGTACTCCGTACTCTGATTTCGTAATAAAGCAAGGTACCAACAGACCAACAGACCACCGAGGTCTCCAGATGCATCACACTAATAAAAGCAGAGCGACGGCCTATCCTAGCCGCCGATGGGGGACGACGACTGGAGCACGCACTTGGGGTGGAGGGGGGTGTGAACAAGCCAGAGATCAGAGATGGGTCCCCGACATTTTCACACCCAGGCTGAGCCCCCCAAAAGCAAGATGGACCTCCTCCGTTCGAGCCGACGGGGCATTCTGGCAGGGGAGTGTGTGACGTGATAGCTCACACAAAAGTCATGACTGACGGTGCCATTCTTGCTGAGCTGGGTACCTACGGGAGCACAGAGCGCAGGCCGAGGAGAATGACAAAGAGGGGGCAGGTCATGACAAGCGAAGTAACGTTATCGGCAGTCAGAGGGTGTGCCGTTAGAGAAGCCTCATGTTGGTCTTGCTCTGTTCTCTGTTCCTGCAGCAAGTCCTTCTCGAAAGAAGAAGAAAAAACAGCCCAATGCAAACTCAAGGGCCAAGGCAGGGTTGGGCTCGCACTGCTCGCACCCAGAGTGACAGGCCAGGTTTTCCTGCAGCTGGATCCCCAGTTGCTTAGCGCCATCGCATGGAGCTCAAAGGACGCTCGCTCAATGGGCATCGAATTGGGGCCGGTGACAGGCCCGCCAGCAAATCTCGCATTGGGAGAGGGAGAGGGAGAAGGGGGCCAGCCAGCCATTCTGGTGATTGGGCAGGGCAGAAAAGCTTGAAAGGCGAAGCAAAAAGGGTGTGTGGCCAACACGAGCGAGCACATGCAAACGCATGCCGAACTGCAGGCAGGGTACCTGGCTTCCATGCTGGCAGCACACCACATGCAGTTGACGCAGATTGAGTCGCAAAAACTGATAATCCCGTCACTGAATCAGCACATGCACAAGCGAGCAGCACTGAGCCTACCAGTCCTGCACAAAAACCGCAAACTGATCTCCCAGGTTTCCGTTGGCATGCTGGGCTCGTCTCTCTGCCCTTTCTCAGCTGCCGTCGTCGGATGTCTCGCCTTTTTTTCAGCACTGGGCGGGTCCCTGTGTCCATAAAAAGCAACGCTAGTGCCGAGTCTATCACGAACCCGGTCTGCCGGTGTCTCTGGCCTTGCCTTCAAGGTTGCTTGGTGGGTGTGTGTGCAGAGGTGGGCGAACCCTCGCCCAGGGTGGAATTCCCCCTGTCGGCCGCGTATCGTGGCGGGCAGTCCGTCGCCTGAGAATACCTAGCGAAACGGTTCAAGGTTGCCACATTCCGCCCAGAGGCTCCAAACTAAAGTAAGTCAGGGGTGCGGTCCGACTCTGACCTACGGAGTAGTAGGAAGACGCCTCTTTTTTTGCATACGGAGTACCTAGGCAGTAAGAGGTAAGACTAGGTAGGTTACCTACTCGAGGCACTCAATCAGTCACCTCAGTGCACGTAGGTAGGCTACCTCACCTGCAGATACGGTCTTGTCAGGGCGCAGCCGACAGGTAGGTAGTTACGTACTCTTTCCTGTGTGGGTATCATTCTTGGTACCAGCGTCCAGGCGCTGGCAGGTCAAAAATTACAGTGGCCTGCGCCAAAGCGAGCCTGAGGGTGTGTCCATCATTTGGGAGGAGGGGGGTGGGTGTGTTATCTGCACTCTTTTTTTCTGCTGTAGCCCATGCTCGCTCTTGACCCTATCGAGCCAACTACCGATTGTGCACTGTGATGCCATCTCTGCCAGAAAAGACATCTCGAGCTCGCCACGATTGATTTGATCATATCAGCACGCTCTGCCTGCTCTGGTGTCGCGCGCACACGAAGCTCTGATTCCAGAGGTGTTTTCACCACCCGTCCTCTCGCTTGCTTGTGTCGTTCGTTCCCCAATCCCAAGCCATCCGCCATGGGAGCTCTCAACTTCCGATGGCTTGTCAACGTCGGGCTGCTGGCACTGCCCATCGCCATCACGTTGGGAGTCTTGTTCGGCATTCAGTCACATAGAGAAGCGACCGGACAGCCACCCATATTCACGCCCGAGCCCTCAGGCCGCCCCAAGCTGGACAACAATGGCATCACGGTCGAGAACAACTGCATGAAGGCCTTCGGTATCGAACCGCCCGCCAAGGGCCAGAAGTACATATGTGAGTGTGCCATTCGGCAGCGCGCCGATATGCCTGCGTTGCGGTCGTCAGTCGAGATAGTGGTGCTAATCGTTTGTAGTAAACCCCAACCAGTGGGGTGTCGTAGACGGCGAGGGAGGCACTCTATGCTTGAATGTTAGTGTGGCACCTGGTCGCGAATGGCTTCATCTGGCAGAATACTGACGGCCATCGCAGGTTACAAGCAACAACAATGGAACGTATGCTACCAACACCACGGCGCCCCCGTTCTACGTGTCCTGGCAATTCCCCCAGCGGACAACGAGCCAGCCTGTGCACGCCTTCCCCAACATCAAGGTCGATGGCGGCGTCTTCCCCGCCAGCCTCAACACGCTCAAGGCGATCAACGTCGATATGGAGTGGACTTACGGCGTGGGCAACGGCTCAGTGACAACAACCGATCAGGCGTCACTGACGCAGATCTCGCTCAATTCCAACGTCGCCATCGATATGTTCTTGGACAAGGACAAGACGGTCGCGGAGGACAGTGCCAAAGCTAACTTCGAGGTCATGGTCTGGTTCGCGACGTTTGGCACGTCGGCGAAACCCCTTGGTTTTGGAAAAGGAATTGTCGCGACGAGGGTGCTCGACGGGGCGACGTTCAATCTCTACGTCGACCAGAACGAGCAGAAGCAATGGGTCTTGACCTGGGTCGCCTCCGCCGTGACCGAGAAGTTCCACGGCGACATCTCGCCTCTGCTGGAGGACTTGCTGACCATGGGCAAGGCCAACTTCCCCAGCAGCAGTGATTATCTGGGATATCTGAGTTTGGGAACCGAGACTTTCTACGCCGACGCGCCCGTCACGTTCTCCGTGCCCAGCCTATCCATCGATGTCAGATCTTCATAGCGGCTTTGTCTTCTTTTCTTAGGCATTCTTCTTTCCTTCTGGGTAATCAGGTATATCGCATAGAAAGGGTCATGATAGATACGACACACACATCGAACATTCAGAGTAATTACAGAGCATGTACAATTACGGAGTCTGGTACATTTTCCACAGCAAGCCATTGCATCATCAGAGGGCCGCGAAATTAGAGGTCGTACGTAGCTCATGTTCCGGGACAAATAACTACTGCCGCGCGCCTCCTGGAGCACAATGTGCTTGATGGGATGCGTGACACGCCTACCAACTACCTAGGAGCTCATCTCCATCAGTGAAGGAGGTACATGCATGACCTCGCACACTGGCCTACACAGACACCCCACGGCAGTAAGCAGGTACCTCCAAGCTGCCTTCCAGCGCAGCCGAGGAGGATTCCATGGATCCATGGATGCTGCGCAAAGTACCTCCCCTCCCCTACAGCCCGTATTAACAGTGCTAAAGGCCTCCAGGGCTGCGAGTGCACACCCCCCACCACGCCATGACAGACTTGTACCTGAGCGAGGAACGGATCAGCCCACCACCAGAGACACCTGGTCGCTAAATTGACCCCCTCCCCTCCACTTCCCCCCACCTAGTGCCAAGCAACACGAGCTACCATTCCTGGAAGTTTTTTTTATGGCCGCCATTCGACTTTTTATCTCGTCCAGCCTTTCCAGTCAACTTGGCAGAGATGAAAAGCGGACTGCGCGAGACCTGAGCGTCCGTCTCTCTTCACTGCCACAGCCCCTCTTTATTCGGGCAATCTGCGGATATCTCGATCTGATCAGAGAAGAGGCATGGCTCTTATGGGGCTCTTTCTCATCACCCGAGACCGTGATCTCCCCCCTTTCGCCTGGGTGACGTCAAAAGCCCACTTGCACATTGCTCGAGACGGTCTGCCCTCGACCCTCGCTGAAGTTTTGCTCCGCGCTGGAGGGGCCGTGGAATTGATGACGCGGACGATTCCAGTCCAGCGTTTTGGAACCAACATTGAACTCCAGTACGGAGTAGGTACAGCCGACGAGAGCTTGAGCCCGCCAGATATTTTTACAGCTAGCCTGGCCGGCTCTCACGAGCTCGAATCCCCCTGGCCGTGTCGTCTCCTTCGTGTTGGGGGTCTGCGGTTGTCCAGCACGCGACTGACATGGGTGCTTTCGCAGAGCAACTGATAGTGCCCTGATCACCGTCAGCTCCTCTGCATGGGCCAATCGCGACCCCTGCCCCCAGCGGCACGAGGCTTCCCAAGCTTCTGACTGAGCGCGCGGCCAAGCTTCACAGTGCTTACGAAAGCCCGCTCGCTGACCAGGGTAGGTAGGGGACCCTGGCGCAAGGGTGTTGTCGTACGGAGATGGGCGATCAGTGGTGCCTACCGGGCACCACTCCCCGACAAGTACCGTACCACACCCTCCAGAGCGCAGATGCAACTGTGACCCATGGGAAGCCGGTGCTTAGCTCACCACACCCCCTACCCTTGGCCAGCCCAGATTTGCTGCACAGATACGAGAGAACCAGGATTCTACCTACGTCTCATGCGCCAGAGCGTCGTATTCGATGTACCCTGACAATCCGGGCAGCGCGCGAACCTTACCGGTATTGACTTCCACCCAGTCCCGTACCAGGCCTCAGCAAACACCGGGCGCGCAAAGTCCCCGAACAGACAACAGCGCCCCTTGCCTACCGCGCGCGGGGGCGCTCTAGAGTAGCAGCACAGATTCAATACGAAAAGATGCTCCACACTCACAGGGAAACCCCATCACTGTGAGATGTTATCTCCGGGCGCAAGGAGTGATAAGCGGGCGACCAACGACACGCAGGTTTTTCTTCCTTCGATTTCGCCGAAATTGGCCATTCATGCTCATTCTGGCCCCAATCTTGAAACAGTAGCTTTGTCTTTCCTCTCCGCTCGACTCTCTCAGAAGAAAGAATGAGCAAGTGGGAAAAGAAAAAGAAAATTCTAGCTGCACGTCGCCACTAGTCAGGGGCGGACCAGCCGGCGGCGGGTCGCGTCGTGCATCCGCCGTCGCTCGACGCCGGCCTGATTGGACTCGATCGTTTTAGGGCTTGCTTAAGAGGCTTCAGTGGGCATACCTCACTGGACATTCAAGCTGAGAGGAGATTGGAACACTCCATCCGCAGTGGCCGAGAGGGTGACCTGAGATACCCAAGTGGAGGGCGAACTGGGTTCATCCAGCGCTCTTTTGACCTTTGTATCCAGTATGGATCGGCCATCGACTTACTGTCCAAAAACTCTGAGTCGATGGCGTCTCCCGCTCTGTGCCAATGAGATTGGACAGATGCATAAACAGCCTCTGGAGAGGGGGTGTGTACCGATGATGCACATCTGTTGGCTGTGCGACAACGCCAAAAGCTTATCGACTCTCTCCCCTTCCCTTGACACTGAGTAGGCTCGTAGGCAAAGTACAGTCGGCCGAGTGTCAGCAGCATTGAGGCGCCAGCTGAACAAATATCGAAGGAGGTGTTTGTAATAGGCGACAAGAGGCGCTGCATGGCATTAGCTGTCATGCCTTCAGCTTGTCACCCCTGAGGGCCATATATTCGGGGCATCCGTCCCTGTCCCTGGTCGCACGCGCGTGGGCAATATGTTCTGATTTTGTGCCTGGATTTGCAGCCAATCACGATGACAGAACCGACAAGTTTGCTTGCGAACTCGTGGTCACACAATCGCGATGTTGCACGAACGAAGCTCCTCTTCCACAGCACCATGCATGATATCGAGTCTGTTAACCAGTGACGACAGTCTACTCCTTGGGCCACAGTATCTTCGGGATGAACCTCAAACCTTATGCAAACGGCACCGAATAACCGGGCTGCAGTTCACCCCCTTTGGAAGGTCGAGTCATTGGCTAACAAGCCTAGAGCACTTGTGAAAGCCACACCTTCTCGTGCATTCAAGCCACGGGCTTTCTTCTGAAAAGGGTTCCATTGTTCACTCTCAGAAATGCGGCGTCGCAGCCCGGACGATGCCCACGAGGCTGGTAGGCTTGAGGCTGCAGCTGGCAATGCCGACCACCTACCATCCTCGCCCGTTCTCCGGGACTGCCCTCGTTGAGCTCGCTTCAGATGCATGCATATGCGGACCGAAACGGGAATACTAGTCTCGTCTCTCCCATTCTTTCCTGCTTTATCTGCTGCAGGTCTTGCTTGACCTTACGACAATCGATGCAAGCCGCCCTTTAACGTTACGGCCAGAGTCAGTTCTCTCCCGGGCTGAAACACATGTCTCACCTGGGTACCCCACGGGGAGAGAGCTTCGGTGAGAACAAGCGAGTTGTGATGATGTATGGCTTGTGATGGACACATAGTCAAGGTCGACAGAGGCTTGGAAATGCATGAATCGAACGCTTTGGGTGGCGTCGATGTGTCCTTTTGCAACTGGAGAGCGTACGTCAGTGAAGCCTTTTTGGCGAGCAAGTTCCTCGCAACCTGCTATCGTGCGGGAGTCGTGATAGGCGGTTCAAAGAGGTGGCTGGTCACACCTGACTAAGACTGCATGCATGTTTGTTTCAATACGCAGATTCATGCCATTTTCGATACACCCGCACCCTGCTCTCGCTGTACCACCTGTAACTCTCGAAGTTGACTTTCTAGGCTCCGTGAGCAGGAGAGCGGATAGACCGTTTTCTTCGTACAGTGCCACCAAGATTGCTAGATGGTATTTTGGCGAGAGAATCCTGAGATATGTCACTAGAATCAATTCATTACCCCAATCCGAATTGATATGAAATTAGTTAACTTATCAGGTGTAGCTGTTGAAGACGGCGATATTGCTGAACAGTTCCAGGATGGGATTACATATCAAGTGGGGGTCGCTTCCTCCACATCCTTATCGCGTTATCTTATCGATAGGTCACAGAAAATTTGTTTCAATGGCTGCTGCGAAAGGCCTGGGCCGTAGTGGCATTCTCGCCAGTCTGGACGCCTGCGACTTGAAAGCTCTGCAGCAGTTCAAACGCAAACCGCAGTCGCCATGGGTCAAGGACGCCGCATGAAGAAGAAGCAGGGTCTCCCTGACACCCTGTCTGAGGAGCACTTTGCCAAGCTCAAGAGGAAGGCAGGCCTGCCCGTCGATGATGTGCCCGCCAAGGCACCCCAGGCGAAGAAGCGCAAGACCTCCAAGAAACCCGAGCCGGTCCCAAAGACCAATGGCAAGGACAAGACCAAGGCGAAGAAGCCGCAGCCGGGCTCTGACGAGGAGACGGAGGACGACTCGGACCTGGACCTGCCTGCCGACGAGTTCTCCGACCTCGATAGCGACGAGAAGCTGGGCGACGACTTCCTCGGCTCCGATGACGATTCCGTGTTCGACTCTGATCAGGAGGTGGAGGGCAAGAAGGGCCAGTTCGTCTTCTCGGACGATGAGGACGACTCGGACCGGGAAGAGAAGCTGACGGCCGCCAACATTGAGGGTCTGTCGAGGAAGCTCGACAAGCAGCTCGAGGACGAAGCCGCCGCCGCCGAGGCCGAGCTGCAAGAGGCGGCGCTGCAGACCAACATTGTCGGCGACACGCTGGACGTGCTGGAGGACGAGGATGACGAGCTGGCGGCCAAGGGCCAGTCCCTGCTCGCCCCGGACGTGCAGCTGCTGCGCCAGCGGATAACAGACACGATACGGGTGCTGGACGACTTTGCAAAACTGGCAGAGCCCGGGCGGTCAAGGGTCGACTATACGAACCAGCTGCTGAAGGACATCTGCGCGTACTACGGCTACAGCGCCTTCCTCGCGGAGAAGCTGTTCAATCTCTTCAGCCCGCGCGAGGCGTTTGCCTTCTTCGAGGCCAACGAGACGCCCCGCCCCGTCGTCATCCGCACCAACTCGCTCCGGACGCACAGGAGAGACCTCGCCCAGGCGCTCATCAACCGCGGCGTCACCCTCGAGCCCGTCGGCAAGTGGAGCAAGGTCGGCCTGCAGATCTTCGAGTCCACGGTGCCCCTCGGCGCCACGCCCGAGTACCTCGCCGGCCACTACATGATCCAGGCCGCCGCCTCCTTCCTGCCCGTCATGGCCCTGTCGCCGCAGCCAGAGGAGCGCGTGCTGGATATGGCGTCCGCTCCCGGCGGAAAGACGACGCACTGCGCGGCGCTCATGAAGAACACGGGCGTCATCTTCGCCAACGACTCCAACAAGGCCCGTGCCAAGGGTCTCATCGGCAACATCCACCGCCTGGGCGCCCGCAACGTCGTCGTGTGCAACTACGACGGCCGCGAGTTCCCCAAGGTCATCGGCGGCTTCGACCGGGTGCTGCTCGACGCGCCCTGCTCGGGCACGGGCGTCATCGCCAAGGACCCCAGCGTCAAGACCAACAAGGACGAGAAGGACTTTATGATGCTGCCCCACCTGCAGAAGCAGCTGCTGCTCGCTGCTATCGACTCGGTCAACCACGCCAGCAAGACTGGTGGTTATCTCGTCTACTCTACTTGCAGTGTCACTGTCGAGGAGAAGTAAGTTGTCACCCCCCCTCCCCCATCATCATACACTCTTCAGCCAAAAGCATGACGCTAACGGTCTAATCAACAGCGAGGGTGTCGTCGCCTACGCGCTGTCGCGCCGGCCCAACGTCAAGCTCGTCGAGACGGGCCTGCCCTTCGGCAAGGAAGGGTTCACGAGCTACATGGGCAAGAAGTTCGACCCCAGCATCAAGCTCACGCGGCGGTTCTACCCGCACGCGCACAACATCGACGGCTTCTTCGTCGCCAAGTTCAAAAAGGTCGGCCCGACGCCGGCCAACGCCGTCATGGCGTCGTCGTCCTCCTCCTCCAAGGACGGCACCGGGAAGCGCGCCGTCGACGAGGAGGTCATTGACAAGACGCCCATCTCGACCGACGGCGAGGACGGGGCGGCCGCCACGAGCGGCGACGACTTTGGCGGGTTTGACGACGGCGAGGACAAGGAGTACATGGAGCGGGCGCGGAGGAACGCCATGCGCAGGAGGGGTCTGGATCCTCACGCGCTCGACCGGCCGAACGGCAAGGAGAAGGAGGCGGGGAAGAAGAAGAAGGGTGCCGGTAGTGGTGAGGGTAGCTCCAAGAAGAGCAAGGGGAAGAAATGAAGAGGCTGGAGGTGTTGCTGTGTCTGGTGGGATTCCGGTTTTGGTTCCTTTGAGGCATCCATACCCCAGTCAAAAGTTCTTGTGGCGACGGCATTGTATCGGCGTAGTATTTCATTCTATCCTGGGACTACAATACTGAGAAGAGATTTCGTATACCCTCATATTCGGGCTTTGATCTTTCTGGTTCCTAGTGGTTTTGCCGAGGAGGCAGGATCGCTGATGTTGTTGGAGACGTAATAGAACCGTTGTGCAAGATGGGATATCGACGGCTGGAGACACCGTCGACCGTGGAAAAGGATGCTGTTTATTACAAGGACCCAGACTTCTTGACAGCCTCACCAGTGCAAATGTTGTCGCACACATCAAACCTACCTAGACACCCGCCAACGCGGACGAACGTATCGCTGGTGTCTCTTATCCGGAAAAGGCTACCGCGGTGTGGATCCCGCGAAAGCCTCAACGATTCCGGATCTACGGTCTAACTTTAGTCGCTGTATGACTCCGGACCCCTTTGCGGGGCAAAATTCGGGGAAGTTCTAGGCGCTGGATAATGGTTACCGCGCCGCAGTATATACACACAATTGGGGGGAATAGGATGGCGGCCAAGCGAATAGTGCCATGCCCACTGCCGAGCTTGGTTCTACAATTGATCATATGCCGGGTCAGTTTAAGTTCTCTCTTTTTTGTTGTTTCCTTGGATCTAATCTTGGACCAGCCTACAGTAGATCTTGTGTGATTTTCGACCTCGCGGTGAATAGAGGACGTTGCTGGACTCATCTGATTGAATAGACTGACCGAAGAAGATCCACTTCTGCAGGGACCGGGAATAGCCTCAAAGAAAGTCGCTAGAGCCCGAGTGAGATCCACAGACAGGCACGTCAAGTTTGGAGGTGGAGCGAGCTTCCCGTCCAAACATGACGAAGCCTAATGGCGCGCGGTCCGTCGCGTCGATGAGCCTCGAGGAGGTGTACAGGAAACGGGCCATCGACCGGGAGAACCAGAGAGCATTCAGGTAATTATAGTAGCCATGCCGTCGCTAACGAAGTGTGTAGTTGAGCTTACGTGGGCCACAGATCACGGCAGAAACGCCGCATCGACGAGCTGGAAGGCGAGCGGAATGACCTCAAGGAGCTGCTGGCCATCGCCAACGAGCAGATCGAGCGGCTCAAGACCACCAATGCCGAGCTGCTCGAGACGATTCGCTCCGCGCAGGCCGTTCTGGGCAGCTTCGGCCCGGGCGCCAATGTGACCGGGTCTCCGGGCGGCGTGGACGTGGCGAGCTTGGAGCAGCAGTCGCCGCCGCAAGTGCAGCAAGGTCAGGGTGCGGCCTACAACCTCCGGGCCCAGCAGGAGCCGACGCCGCCGTACTCGGTGTCGGTACAGGAGCTGACGGACAAGAACACGGCCGTGGTGGACCCATCGACGGGCATCAGCTTTGATCTGTCGCAACTGGAGGAACTGGACGCGTCGTTTCAGTTCTGGGACGATGTCTCGTTTCACTGTGAGTGGTTTCGCGATGCCTGGCAGATCCTGCGGTTCCCTAATACTGACCCCTTCCCCTCAGCCGGCGGTGCCCTCGCCTCCAACGCCCTCAGCTTCGCCTTCCCGACGCCCACGATGCTGGACCACATCCAGGACGCGTCCTCGCTGCCGATGCTCCTGGACCAGCCGCCGCAGCTGCCGGTCTGGGAGCGCCTGCCCCTGCACGTGGAGCCGACGACCAAGCTCGACGCGAGCCTCCTGCGCATCATCGAGGCCGGCCGGCGGCAGCTCGCGACCGTGGGGCAGATGCCCGAGCTGACCGAGGACGCGCCGGGGGCCGCGTCCTTCCCCAGCGTCGCCTCGCTGCTGAACCCGGGCGCGCCGGGCAACCAGAAGAACGCCATCGCCGCGGCCGTGGGCCACGACTGCCGGATCCTCGTCACGGCGCGGGGCCTGCCGGAGCGCATCGCCTTCATGTACAACATGTGCCGGCTGATCCGGTGGCTCGTCTCGCCGACGCGCGCCAACTACGAGTCGCTGCCCGAGTCGCTGCGGCCCGTGGGCGCGCAGCTGGCCACGCCGCACCCGGTCTGGATCGACCTGCTCGTGTGGCCGCGGGCGCGCGAGCGCGCCATCCGCGAGATGGACTGGTCGCAGTTTGAGCGCTTCAAAGCCGAGTGCCCCATCTCGGCCAACTGGGGCCGCGAGCCGTCCGAGGTCCTGCGCGCGAGCGAGGACAAGACGGAGCTCAGCCTGAGCCCCGAGTTCGAGCGGCACGTGCGGGACCTGCGCAACTGGACCGTCGGCAAGGACACGGCCAAGCTGTTCCCTTGCTTTGACTGCCTGCCGACCGAGGTGCAGAGGTGATGTGGGGAGGAGAGGGAGGGTTTTCTTTATCGGGCTAGCAAAAGGGTAGATTAGATAGATGTCTTTGATTATGGTGCCGAAAGGCATATTCGAAATTGTGAGATCAACACGTTGAAGATGATGGGACTTGTGACAGGTTGTGTGTTCATTAACTGGCGACCTTCACCAAACTGTTGTATCGTTTTTGGAAACGATCTTATGTATCTGGGAGAGAGCCACGGCCATGGTGTCCATTTCTTCCCGCATCCAGATTATCAGTTGTCTTAGCAAATTTATTGAGCACGGCATCTGAGCTGTTCCTCGAAGCCACGGACTGGTACTAACTCGTATCGTAGATCAGCCTAAAAATGTTTATTAAGGTTTGTATCCAATATCTTGTATGAGTAAGATAGATGTTACAAGATGTAGCCAGAGCTGATTCACTGGAGCCATCAAGTCAATTGCTATTTAAAAGGGTTCCAAAAGAAATACCACTCTTAAACCGTTCATGAAACACATCAAAACTACTCAAGCAATAGCGAGCGGTAATTAGACCTTATTTTCCTACTTTTCTGTCCCTTCTTTGTAGCACTTCTTGTCTCGATCAATGCAAATTATGACGGATCAAAGGCGAGAGGCCTGAGTTCTAGTGCAGGAAATTGGCGATGGGATCTAGGTTTCATGAAAGTTGCCCAAATCAAAGGCAGCGCTGCCTACTTGATTAAGAAAAGCGAGGGCTAGTTTGAGAATGATTGGAGAGTTGAGTGTACTGTGTCAAGCAAAGGCGGTGCATCAATGATGTATCGAAACGAAGTGGTGCATAGCGAAGATGTCGGAAGAGCAACGGAGCTTGCCACTAGTCTAATTTCACGTTGTTTGGGATCTAGAGATTTTAGCACGCGTTGGCCTTAACAAGGCAAAGTTGAAGATGGTCTACTAACCTCTTACCTTTGTTAGAATATTTACAGATCATCAATGGTGACAAGTAGAAGAGCCCCAAAGTACTGTTGAATAGTCGAGTTACTTTCGAAGAGCTACCATCAGGCATATGGCAATCGAGGAGAACGGGTCGTAAATTAAAGAGATCTAGTCTACTCCTTTCTAGTTTGCTAGTTTCTAGGTTCTATAAAGGCCTGCAGATCATAGCTTGGGAGAATCGAAAGGCTGGAAAAAAAAAAAAAAAAAAAGAACAAGAAAAGACCCGTGATCTCCTTTTAGTCGGCGGCAGCCACTTAGGCAGCGACAATCTCGAGCTCGATGGTCGCGCCAATGAAGTTGCTGGGGTTGCCCAGGAGCAGGGTGTTGAAGCCGGGCAGGATGCTCCAGCTGCGGGGAGTGCTGGCGCTGGCGGCCCAGGCGCAGGAGACCTTGGCGCCGGTGAAGGAGCAGACGGCGGGCTTGAAGGAGGTGTCGATGCCGGCGCCGGCGGGGTTGGCAACCACGACGGGGTTGTTGGAGTTGGTGCCGGCCAGGAGGGGGTAGCTCTTGGAGCCGCTGACCTGGGACAGCTGGCCGCCGGTGGGGGTGCTGAAGGAGAAGACGGCGGCCTTGGAGGCGTCGCCGGTGAAGCCGAGGGTGCTGCGGTAGACGCCGAAGACCTCGGGGAGCTGGGGGTTCAGGAACTTGCCGTTGCTGGTGGAGCGGAGCTTGAACTTGGCAGGGGCAACGACGGCGGTCTGGGTGGCCGTGGCCGTGGCGTCGCTGTGTGGAGGGATGCTGTTAGGACTGAATTTGCAGGATACCAGCAAAAAGGGGGACAAGGAGCTCTTACGTAGTGGTGGTGGTGGTGGACTCGATGCTGGTGCTGGTCGAGACGATGACCTCGGTGGCAACAGTGGTCGTCTCGCTGAAGGAGGCAGTGGTGCTCTCGGAGACGGTGACAGTCGACGTGGGGATGGCGGCGGTGATCGTGACCATGGTGACGCCGACGCAAGCGCAAGCAGTCGAGTACCTGGCCTCGCCGGAGCAGGCCGACGCGTAAGCCGGGATGGTGGGCGCCGGGTCATCACGCTTCTTGAGAGCGGCGGCGATGCTGGTCACGGTGACGGTCTCCTGGGCGGTCTCCTTGACGACGGCGACGTCGGTCGAGGCGTAGGTGGTGGTCGTCAGGGTGGTCTCGGTGGCCAGCTCCGTGGAGGTGACGGAGAAGAAGTCGGTGACCGTGGCCGTCACGGTGACGGCGGAGGGGGTCACGGTGGTCCTCAGGAAGGCGGCGCAGTCACCGGCACCGTCGCGGGTGGTGTAGGCCTTGGCGATGACAGCTAGAGGCGGGACGCGGTCAGTCCTCGTTGCAGATCACGGACGGGGGCGGCACGGGGGGGCTTACCTCGGGCGCAGTTGTCACCGCAGCCACGGGCAAAGATGGCGGGCACGGTGGCCGCAGCCAGCGAGGGGGCGAGGAAGAGAAGAGTAGACTTCATTGTGTCAAGAGTTGCGGGTAGACTGAGACTGGATAACGGTCTTGAGAAGGCTGGACTACTTGTCTTGGGAGAGCTGGCTTGGCAACTGGAGGCTTGAGCTGATGGAGAGCGTGGAGAAGCGAGAGGGCCCTTCTTTCAGTCCCGAGGCCATCGTGAGGGGATACTTATATTCCTCCCGATGGCCCATGGACAGACAAGAGCCTCCCATCATCCACGCGAGCGAGCTGTCTGTGGCCGGCGAGGCGCCATCTAGGTCGGGCGCCGCGTCGTGCGTTGTCCCTGCGGCCAGGGCCTGGTCAGCCCTCAGAGCTGAGCTAAATGAAGCCACACAATATCAAATGAGGCAGAGCGCGCGAGACTACTTGGATGGATCGGGAAATCAAAGACGAGCAAGCATAAGGCCCGGGACGCCGGGAGGCTGCCAAAGCGTGGTGTAAGTCGGCGGGGTGGAAGTCTAGAACGTTGGGGCTAAGAGCTGGCACGCAAGGGGCGACAGGGGGCAAGCGTGGGCAAACAGGGGCAAGCATGGGATTTGGGCGTGCTTGGGGCAATTTAGGCGTATTTTAGGGCCCGTTTTCAGGCTAGCGGTGCTTTCCGGCGATGCGCTGGACCTTCAGCTCGGGACCAAGCGCCGTCCGGAACTGGCCCTAGCGCCGTCAATAGCCTGTCAAACTATCGTTTTACAAAGCAGCCTCTGCCACGCAAGCGGCTGACAACAGACAGGAGAAGAAAGAAAAAGATGACTTGCCAAGGCCAGAAGAAATAGCATCTCATATTATACCTAGCATATTCATATTGTGGCCCGGAGTCCGTGGCGTCTGAGCGCTTGCAGCCTGTGCTTGATTGCTGCAAGAAGCAAACCAAACCAGCCACTGTCTCCTCCGAGGCGTCCTCTTCACCTCGGACGAGCAGCCAATCGGCATCTGGAGAGGCCCTCTTGGCAGAACGGCAGCTGTCTCTGATGCTCCTTGCTGGCCCTAGCTGCCTGTGATCCCCTGGTCTGATCTGCTCTGGATCTGGGCGGCCATGTTTTTTCGCGCAAGCTTGGCATATTGAGATGGCGTCCACAGCTGAAAGACCTGACCGTCACCTTGTCAATGCACTGCATCCTATTCGTCTCCCATTCTTCGGGCTCTACCACGGTGGTGTAGCATTGGCCAGGTACCCGAACTGTATGCGAGTGCCTTGCATGAAATGGCGGTGATAAATCAGCCCAGCTCGATGCTACGAAGTATGCCATGGCATGCTGTGTCAGTCAGTCAGTGAGGATTCCTATTCCCTCCGGGTTGTTTGCTCGATTACCTTACCTAGTTAGCTCGGGCTGGATGCAGTCCAGTCCAGTCTGGTTGAACAGGGAAGATCCAAGGACGTCTCTTCTAGCGCAACCTCGGCCGTCATTTCTCGATCTTGCTGTAGTCTCTTACCAAGACAACGCGATGGGAGTCTAGATGCAAATATTAAAGAGAAAAATTCCATCCCGCCGAAATAGTACGTGTGCCTCATCGACTTGCGATCGGCAGGTTCAATGCTGCTGGTGACGCGGCGCGAATTTGGATCCGGGAGATGTATCCGTAATCAGATGGGAAAAAAGAAAAGAGAAAATTTGCTTTTTCTCTTTTATCTGTCGGCCGTTACTAGCTTTGGGCTTTGCGGGGGGATAGATTTCTTGAGCCTCTTGCCTCGGATCAACGAGCTCCTTGCTTCTTCTGGAAACACACAGTCTGCCTTGTTGTCTGGACTGTCGAGAGGTGCATGTGTGCATTTCCCAGGCATTTGCTACATGCTGAAGTGGCTGGTCTACATGCTTGGAGACACACAAAGGTTGTCTTTGAAAAGATTCAACTTCATATAAAAGATGTCTGTCTGTCTGTCTGTCTGTCTGTCTACTGAGTCCATGAAAAGTCTTCAGCAACACAGCACTTCGTTCAGTACAGTGTGTTTGGTCAACTGGTGAAATTTGGTGATGTCTGTAAGAATTAAGGTCCGAGCTTCATAGCTGACAGAAATTAATGTGGTCCTTGCCCTGGTCCAGTTCTTATCTTATCGCGGCCATGATGGCTGCTGTTGCTGGAGCAACGCCCTAGGCGCCCGCCAACACCAACAAAGCGAAGCCTCAACTGCGCGCCGCCCCTCCCGACATTCATCTGGCAGCGTCGCAACTCCACAACATCTTCTTGGCCTGCCATTGTCCGATAGTGCTGAGCACTTGTGTCTTGTACATCTCCATCCAGGCTTCAATTGCATCTGTTTTTCGCATTGTCCGGCGTGAATTTGGATCATCCGAACCAAGTATCCACAGCCATATCGTACCTGAGCGGGCTGGCAAGCTAGCTACCTCATCAGCATTCCAGCCGTCCAGCAGGACATACTGATCTTCACAGCGTCGCCAGTGCCCCGGTGTCTGGCCCCGTCTGCATTCCACGATAGCTCAAACACCTCGAACCTTCCTGAACAAACAAAATGGACCGCCCAGACACTCCGTCACGGCCTCCAGACTACTCTCTGCCATCCTACGACGATGAGCACGACACCCCGACTGGCAGCTCCAGCAATCCCGCAGCCATCCGCCTCCTGACTTCGATGGATGAGCCTATCTCAGAGCCTCGCCCGTATGTCAAGTTCCCTTCACCAGTTCTAGTTCCTTCTCCTTTGTCTCTCACAAGGTCACCCGCCTACTCCTCGCCTGCTGCGACGCCCGAGCACCTGTCGAAGCTGAAGCAGGCCGAGGAGGGCAAACCCAGGGCACAGGGACAGGCGCCGACGCGCGTCAAGTTTGCAGATCTCGTTGCAGAGTCGCCAGCAGTGCCAGAGCCAGTCGCTCCAGCATACCGGCGCAAGGCCGTCCCGGCCCCATCAGCAATTCCTGTAGCGAGAGCTTCCACTGTCAAGCTACAAAAGAAAAAGAAGCCAGACCATGTCACCCAGGCCGAGATTCTCAGCTCGCTTCCAGTCATCCCAGAAGGCCCTTCGCCCAGGAAGAGGTCGTTGAAGAAGTCTATCAGCGACCCGGTCTCCAAAGCACCAAAAGATACAGCTCAGCCACACATCAGAAACTCACATTCTGCCGTCCACAGTAGCCGGCCGAGGGGACGCTCATACCAGCCGTCTGTCATTTCAGACCACTCTCGCACGTCGTCCATCATGGATCCTCCGAGCATGCCTCCCCCGGATTCTTCTTACTCGGCTTATCGCCCCCGTGGCGAGTCGATCTCTCCCACTCGTCCCTGGACCCCCTCACGATCCGACTTTAGTCGCCCGCCTCCCTCCTCCGCCAACTACGAGCCGTCCGATCTGAACGGCAGCCCGCGCCCGGGTACCCCTTCGTCGAGATACGGCGGCAGTCCGCGACGGCCTCTGCCGCCCGCACCGCTCTTCTCTAACCCGGCAGCGCGGGCTTCGCAGGCATCCCAAGCCACGTTCGCCGACGATGCAACCGTCTCCATTCCTCTCGAAGACGGCGACGATGTCTTTGGCCCCGTCAAGTCTGATCTTGGTCGCCACTCGTATGCTAGTGGCTCCGAGGCGACCCTCGAAGAGCAAGACGCGACGGACGCCGACTGGCACGAGAAGGTCGAGCACTATGGTCCCGCTCCCGAGGGCATGCAAGAGCGGCGCGGAGTCCGCCCTCCGCAGATGAGCCGAAAGGAGGTCACCCTTATCAACGGTGAGCTCGTGCTCGAGTGCAAGATCCCCACCATCCTGTACAGTTTCCTGCCCCGCCGCGACGAGATCGAGTTCACCCACATGCGCTACACGGCCGTGACGTGCGACCCGGATGACTTTGTCGACCGCGGATACAAGCTCCGACAGAACATCGGCCGCACTGCACGCGAGACGGAACTCTTCATCTGCATCACCATGTACAACGAGGACGAGTTCGGCTTTACGCGCACCATGCACGCTGTCATGAAGAACATCTCGCACTTTTGTGCTCGCAACAAGTCGCGTACTTGGGGCGAGTTCGGCTGGCAAAAGATTGTCGTGTGCATCGTCTCTGACGGACGCGAGAAGATCCACCCACGCACCCTGGACGCGCTGGCCGCTATGGGCGTGTACCAGCACGGCATTGCCAAGAACTACGTCAATCAGAAAGCCGTCCAATCCCACGTATACGAGTATACGACGCAGGTCTCGCTCGACTCCGATCTCAAGTTCAAGGGTGCCGAGAAGGGCATCGTGCCCTGCCAGATGATCTTCTGCCTGAAGGAGCGCAACCAGCGCAAACTCAATTCTCACCGGTGGTTCTTCAACGCTTTTGGCAAGGCCCTGAACCCCAACGTCTGCATCCTCCTCGATGTCGGCACGCGGCCTACGTCGAACTCGCTGTACCACCTCTGGAAGGCATTCGATACCGACTCTAACGTAGCCGGTGCTTGCGGCGAGATCAAGGCGATGAAGGGCAAGTTCGGTGCTAATCTACTCAACCCCCTGGTTGCGTCTCAAAACTTTGAGTACAAGATCTCCAACATTCTCGACAAGCCCTTGGAAAGTGTGTTTGGCTATATCACCGTCCTTCCTGGTGCCCTGTCGGCCTACCGATACCATGCACTGCAGAACGACGAGACTGGCCATGGTCCTCTCAGTCAGTATTTCAAGGGAGAGACTCTGCACGGCCAACACGCGGATGTGTTCACGGCAAACATGTACCTTGCAGAAGACCGTATTCTCTGCTGGGAGCTGGTCGCCAAGAGGAATGAGCGATGGGTGTTGAAATACGTCAAGGGCTGCAAGGGCGAAACCGATGTTCCCGGTAAGTACTCCTTGTTTAGGACCACAAGGATCAGCGCCCCGTCTAACTTTGTGTGCAGACACTGTCCCCGAGTTCATCTCGCAGCGACGAAGATGGCTGAACGGAGCCTTCTTCGCCGCCGTCTACTCGCTGGTTCACTTCAGACAGGTCTGGAACACCGACCACACCATCGCCCGCAAGGTTCTGCTGCACATCGAGTTCCTCTACCAGTTGCTGCAGCTGCTCTTCACCTTCTTCTCTCTGGCCAACTTCTACCTCGCATTCTACTTCGTCGCCGGTGGTCTCGCCGACCCGCTCGTCGACCCCTTCCACGGCGGTGGCAAGTACATCTTCAACATCCTTCGATACGTCTGCATCCTCCTCATCTCGACCCAATTCATCCTCTCGCTCGGTAACCGGCCCCAAGGTGCCAAGAAGCTGTATCTCAGCAGTATGATCATCTACGGCGTCATCATGGGCTACACGACTTTTGCCTGTATATACATCATTGTCCGGCAGCTGCTCAACAAGGACGACCCCAACTCGGCGACCATGGGCAACAACGTCTTCACCAATCTCATCGTGTCGACCGTGTCGACCGTCGGCCTCTATTTCCTCATGTCCTTCATGTACCTGGACCCCTGGCACATGTTCACCTCGTCGGCCCAGTACTTCATGCTGCTGCCGTCGTACATCTGCACGCTGCAGGTCTACGCGTTTTGCAACACGCACGACGTGACCTGGGGCACCAAGGGCGACAACGTCATGAAGACGGACCTGGGCGGCGCCGTGGGCAAGGGCTCGGGCTCGACGGTCGAGCTCGAGATGCCCTCGGAGCAGCTCGACATCGACAGCGGCTACGACGAGGCGCTGCGCAACCTGCGCGACCGCATCGAGGTGCCGGCCCCGGGCACGTCGGAGGCGCAGATGCAGGAGGACTACTACCGCAGCGTGCGCACCTACATGGTGCTGCTGTGGATGATCTCCAACGCGACGCTGGCCATGGCCGTGAGCGAGGCGTACGGCGGCAGCCACATCGGCGACAACTTCTACCTGCGCTTCATCCTGTGGGCCGTGGCGTCGCTGGCGCTGTTCCGCGCCATCGGCAGCACGACGTTTGCGGTCATCAACCTGATCAACATGGTGGTCGAGGGCCGGGTGCGCCTGAGCCTCAAGATGCCCAAGTGGGCGGGCGGGTTCGGCGGCAAGGTCAGCGACAGGCTGAGCAGTATCGGGAGCAGTGTGAGGAGTTGAAGGGTGGAGGGAGAACGGAGAAGGGGGGGGTTTCGAGGTTGGTGATATATCCACTTGCTTTTCTGCTTTTTGAGCTCTTTTGAGAGAAAAGAGCGTACTGGATGGGAGTTTTCTGTTGTGCTCTGTTTCTCCACGAAGGAAGGGGGATTAGATTATTAATGATCGATGATTTTCTGTGGTCTGATGGATATGAAGGAGGGATCGCATCGGATCTCGTATGATTGTTTGGACTCTCTCTCTCTCTTCTAATATTGGGAGAGCAGAGAGAGATCTGGGGATGTTGAATGTTGTGGTTGTCTCATAGACGATGATGATGGTTGGATGGATGGATGATACATATTCCCCTGGGAGACTTCCGAAATGTTGGGGGAGATACAAAACGATACCGAATGTCTGCGAAGGGTTTACTGTACGGATATGGAATGGAAACGTCTTTCTCGTGCACGGGAGCAACTCTCTTCTACCCTGTGAATGAATGTGCTCAGCTTATTTGTGGTCAGATATTGCTAACGATGCTGGTGTTATTCTTGATGCTCTTCAAACACGGTATGCAAAACTCCTATCATGGCGTCTCGTTCTTAATGGTCATCTCATTTACATTGTTCTGCTCCGTGCAGCACACCTCACGCCGTGATGCCGCCCCAGATCTCACCCCACCGCCGCCTGTCCGTCCTCAGCGGGCCGTCCAGACGTCCGAACCTCGCCGGCTCGCCAGAGTTCGCCTCGGGCAGGCACATCCACTCGCGCACCGAGTCGGGAACCTCCTCGCGGATGTGGCTAATGCAGATCAGCGCCTGGTCCTCGGACAGGCCCCTGACCCTGACCTCGCCGCGCCTGGACACCGCGCTCTGCACGACGACGTCCCCCACGACGCCTCCTGCGTCCGACTCTCCCTCCGCCGAGAGCACGGCGCTGCCGCCGGCGGCGTACGCCTTGTCCTCGCCGTGCGCCAGGAAGAGCATGCACTTGTCGCGCACGGCCTCGTCCATGCCGCTGAAGGCCTCGTCGAGGACGACGACGTCGCAGCCCTTTGCGACGGCGCGGGCGAAGAGCAGCACGCGCTGGGCGGAGAAGGAGAGCTCGCCGAAGAGGTTGTCGCTGGCCCAGGCGAGGTCGTCGTCGTCGTCATTGCTATTACTACTACTTCTGCCCGAGGAGGAAGAAGAAGACGAAGGAGAGCCGCGTGAGCTGGCATGGAGCGCCGAGGAGGGGTTGAGCTCGTGCTCGAACCAGCGGAGGCAGGCGTCGACTTTGCCCCGCGCGGCGTCGTCGAGCCGCGGCCGCGCGCGGAAGGTGTCGGCCCAGGCGCTCTCGAGGACCTGGCGCACGGTCAGGGAGCGGGGCATGTGCTGGTGGACCTCGGGGCTCGAGTGGCCGACGCGGGCCTGGATGTCCCAGAAGGTGAGGGGCAGCTCCGCCGAGCCGGGCTCGGGCAGGCGGGAGCGGCCGAAGAGGCGGATGGGCAGGGAGTAGGTCTGCGGGTGGTCGCTGCACAGCAGGGAGACGATGGTGGTCTTGCCGGAGCCGTTGGGGCCGAAGACGCCCCAGCGCTCGCCGCGCCGGACGGTCCAGAAGAGGCCCCCTCGCGCGGTGCCGTCGGCCTGCCGCTGGGTCCAGTTGCCCAGGGCGATCTTGTCGCCGTAGCGGACCTGGCAGCCTTCCATCTCGATGATGGGCTCGCCCGCGGGCGGCGTGGCGGCGCGGGGCTCTGACGGTGGCGGTGGCGATTGTGTCGTCGGTGGTGGGGATGTCGTCCCCGGCACGGCGATGTGCTCCGCCTCGGCGAACCCCTCGCCCTCGACGCCGGCCCGCGTGAGCACCCGGCCCATCTCGCCCAGCGCGTGGACGGGCATCGTCTCGTCCTCGCGGATGCCGCCGGCCTTGACGCCGCGCACGTAGCCCCTCAGGCCCTCCATGACCGTCTCGCGGGGGCCCATGGCGCCGACCTGGCAGTCCGTCCGCAGGTACGCGAGGTGCGTGACCCACTCGGGCAGGGGGTCCTGCGGCCTCGCGCTCAGCACGAGGCGCGGGCTCGCGCGGTCCGCCATGCCCCGCAGCAGCGGGCTCAGCGAGGCCACGGTCGGCGGGTCGAGGCCCATGAAGGGCTCGTCGAGGAGCAGGACCTCGGGCCGTGTGAGCAGGGCCCTCGCGATGCGCGCCCTGCGGCCCTGGCCGTTGGACAGGAAGGACACGGGCAGGTCGAGCAGGGGCGCCAGGCGCAGGTCGCGCACGACGCGGTCCAGCAGGGCGCGGTCGACGCCGTCCTCGCCGGCCGACCCGTCCTCCCCCTTCAGCGGGTTGAGCTCCGTGTTGCCGAGCAGGAAGTCGCGCAGGGAGAAGTCGGTGATCTCGCGGCGGGACTCGTACCGCGCGGCGAGGTAGGCCGAGGTGGTGGGGCCGAGGCCGGCGCCGCCGTAGCGCTCGCCGTCGAAGCCGACGTACTGGACGGCGCTGCTGGCGCTCCTGAGGCGGTGCGGGACGGCGTCGGTGGCGAGGTAGGGGTAGGACCGGGCCAGGGGCGGCAGGCAGATGTGCTGCCCGCGGAGGATCTGGAGGAAGGTGGTCTTGCCGGCGAGGGAGGGGCCGACGACGCACCAGTGCTGCGGAGGGGACGCGGGCGAGGCTTCCGACGCCAGCTCAAAGGTCAGGTCCGAGAAGAGCGGGGGGTTGGCGTGGCCCGGGGCGGCGGCGCTGCTGGGGTGGTGCCTGTAAAAGGTGCCGTTGGCGATGCGGACGATGGGCGGCGCCGCCCGGGAGCACAGCCTGTGTGTGCGCTGCATCTTGCGAGCTCCAAGGGAAGGCCAATCGGGGGCACGGGAGGGGGTTCAGGAGCAATCAATTGGGATCTTTCCAATCCCGCATCTCGTTTTTATATATCCATGAGTCAAATGGCTTCGATTTACAGGCATGAAGCTCGAGCATGTCTGGTTTATGTGAATGCAGTCGAGGCACGGAGGAAGTGAAGGTGAGCTCAACGGGGCGATAGGGTCGGCGATACGGCGATAAGACCGGAGGGCCGCTAGCGCCCCCGGATAGACCGCATTCAGACTAGCGTCTTAGCGTCTTGTCTCCAGCTAGGTACCTACGTTCAGGTCTCCCTGCCTTGGGTGCACGCGAGGCCAACCTGCAGCCTAGGGCTCCATTATCACCAGCAACGGCTGCGAAGCTCCAACGCTCGAATCATCAAACATCACAGCTCGCATCAACCACCGCCTCACCACACCCATCGCCGTCGAATCGCCCTCCAGACCAGCGATCACCGCGACAAGCAATCTCTTGATCTTCTCTTCCCTCTTTCGACACCATCTCCACCAAGAAAGAGGACGTCCATCCTCCCCCCCAACCACCATCCAAAATGGTAAGCTCTCCCTCCTCCAACCCCCGTTCCCATCACCATCCACACCCTTCACCAGCCTCTACACGCCCTCCTCCCACGGTCTTCGAGCTCCCACGCTAACACCTCACGAAACCAAAAACAAAGTCCCTCCGCATCGTCCCCCAAGACGCCCAGTCCTCGACCTACTCCCACATCCGCCCCTCCCAGAAACCCGCCCCCTCGGCGCCCGGCCTGCACGACACCCTGCGCGCCGGCGTCGGCCCTTCCCCCTCCGCCCCCTCGGACGCCGCAGTGCAGTCGGCGCACCCGCTCGAGGCCCGCCTGCGCGCCTGGGAGGCCACGCAGCACGCCCTGCGCATGGAGTCCCTGCGCCGCACGTTCGGCATCGCCGAGCCCGTGCGCCGCGGCATGGAGCTCAAGATCGCGCGCGAGGGCGAGTGGAAGCCCGCCGCCCTGGGAGGCGGCGCTGGTTCGGGCGGCGGCGTGCACGAGGACGTCCTGCGGGGCCGCGAGGCCGTCATCGAGTGGGAGGACGTCTTCACGGGCGAGGAGCAGAGGGCTGCTGTGGGCGTGCACGACGAGATCGAGAGGAAGGTCCGGATGTGAGTGAGTTTGAGGGGGATGATGGGATCGAGAATTGAGATGGAGAAAGGAGGTATGAGGAGGGGTTTGCCCAACGAAGGGGGAGGAGAAGATTGCTATGTGGAATATTGGGCGATACGGAAAGGGATGACAGACGCGCCGTCAGAGATTCGCCATGCAGCCTGCAATAGACGGGAATTGTACGATATCCAATCATCAGCCGGACCAAATACGGGCAGACACATTTATTACACTCAAATGGCTTCTCTTTTGACATGAATGTCCCCCAAGGCGGCCAGACAATACATCGATCACTATCACCGTAGGGATGCTGATGCCCAAAATGAATGCTTTCTATCCAGCTATGAACGGGGCAGAACCAAACAACCTACCCTCCATCCTCTTGTCTCTTCACAACTCCTCCCCCAATGTCTTTCGCTGAGCACGGATGGATCATACTCCAGTGTGGTCAATGTCCGCGAGAAGAGATCAAGAGCGAGGACGGACAGGTGCCTCCTCCTTTCTGCCCCGAAAAATGAATTACACATGTTGGCAAAGCAAGCAAGCAAAAAGATGAAGTACGCCGTGGTGGTCCCGACCCTGTCTGTGCTGGTCTGCATGACGACCGCTCCCAAAGAACCATCTCGTGGGACAGAATATGTATATATATAGACAAATGCAGAATGGATGGTCGGGTTTGTGTAGGTGGGAAAAAAGTGTGCTTTGTTTTGAGGGAGGGGTATGGTCAGAAGATGGCCATGGTCTCAGCAGTAAAATACTCCGCTGTGGAAGTCCTCGCTTGGATTTCAGTCGTAGCAGACTTGCAGGCAAAAGCGAACTCGCCGTTCTTTGGCAACAGTTGGCCGGTTTTGCCCTGTGCCGGTCTCTCGGGGAGGGGCGCAGTTTGATATAAAAACAAATAAACGTGGTCGCTGAATAAGCGGTTTGGAGGGAAAGATCGCTTCCTTGGTTGGGAATCTCTTGGTGCGCCGTTTTTTTCGTGCCGCTTTCCGATGGCCCTCCTGATGATGACAGAGATCGATCGAAAGAAGCAATCAAGGCATGATGGCGAGGATGGCGCAATCATAATATAATACAGCAGTTGCTCGAGCCGTCGCGGTTCCTCCCCTCGCGGCCACTGCTCTTACCCTTGGCCGCTTCGTCCTCCTCCATCATCTCGGCCGGCCGTACCGACATGTGGACCACGTTGGGCGACTCGGCGGAGAACTGGTACTCTGTGAAAGGACCAAAAAAAATGCAATCATTAGTGAACTGTGCGAGATGGGGAGCCGGTCATAGACAAATGGATGCTCACTCTTCAGCTGCTCCTTGTCGTCCAGCAGCTTGCCAAAGTGTATCAGCCGGATGCTGCTGGGGCTGGCCGGCTTGGCCTCCCACTCGGGCCTCCACTCCCTCAGGATCAGCTCCTTGAGCTTGTAGACCGAGATGCTGAAGGGGTCCTTGCGGCCCTCGTCGTTGGTCTCGGGGATGTCGACGCTGCGCTTGGACAGGTACCGCTCGTCGATCTTGTACGGGTGCCGCGCGCCCGTGGGCAGCAGCAGCGTGATGTTGCAGACGGGGCCGTCCGAGGGGGAGGACACGCCGCCGTGCTCGTCCGTCCTGGTGATCGACAGCGAGTCCCTCTTGGGCTCCGTCTCGGCCTCCAGCCCGGACGCCGTCTTCTCCTCCGCCGGCGTCTCCTTCTCCTTGCCCTTTACCGATGCCGACGAGGGCTCGTCTGCGCCGCCTGTCGCTGCGGCGGCGTCGTTGTGGTGGTGGTGGTGGTGGTGGTCGCCGTTCTGGGCGCTGCCGGCCTCGACCGTTGTCATCTCGACGGCGTCGCTGGGCTGCTGCAGCGACGACTCTGGCTGCTTCTGTTCCGGTGCGTCCGATGGCACGGGCGGGACGGCGGTGGCGGCCGCGGCGCCTGCGGGCGAGGCGGTCTTGTCTGGTTCCGCCATTTTCGGGCCTGTAGGGGGACGAGCGGGAGAGGGAGGAAGGGGGGGTGGGCTGCGGCGGGCAGGTGAGGGAGGGTTGCTGCCTCTCGGACGACGCCAATCGGTTTCCGATGATGCCGAGACTTTTTTGTCTGAGATTGGGCGTGCGAGACAGAGAGAGAGAGAGAGAGAGAGAGTGCTGGATCCAATCTTGCAACCAGCACGAGAGCGAAAAGGTGCGGCGCCGCTGCAATCAATCACTTCCGTCGCACACACAAAAAGACAACACAAAAAGAGAAAACCCTGGATGCGGCGATGCCAAGGATATCTGGGGAGTGGGATGAGGAGGGAAGAGAGAGAAGGGGGGAGGAAGGTCGGAAGGCGGCCACGAGTTGAAAATGGAATCCGGGGATAGCAAGGGTGTGAGGTGGAAAGAATGCGGAGTCGGGGGCGGTGGTGGTGGTGAGAGGAGAGGAGTGGTGAAGAAGCCGCTCCTCAGCACTCTCAGCAGGCTCAGGTGTGGATGCTTGGCAGCGAGCACTGAACAGCGACACGGGGCGACAAGTGCCAATTCCCAAAGTAACCAGAAGCAGAAGAAGCAGGGCACCAACCAAATTGTTCCACCGATTTGAGATCACTCCAAGCAGGAATTGGGTGGTGGAGAGGTCATTCACGGCGAAACCCAAGCCAGAAAGGCCAGAAAGAGTGGAGAGAGAGTCAGCGAACAAGCGTAGCTTTTGCTGGGCACACCACGGCGTTTTAGTGCCACCGGGAGTGCGTCTTCCTGTTCCTGTTCCTGTTCTTCCTCAAACCATCGCCGTCCAGTCGCTGTGCTCGCTCCGGTTCCTGGGATTTCCTCCCCCCGCCTGTGCCGGGCCTGGGTCTGGGTGGCGGTGGATCAAAGGTCAGCACCCAAATACGCCCAAACAATATGCCCACTCTCGACTGCGTTTGTTTGTTCTGGAAAGCAACGGTGTTCGGGCAAGGCCGATGCGTCGCAGGCACTGAACGGCAACGGTATCCGTTTGCCTATCGAGAGATACCTTCAAGACATGCACATGCAAGGCTTGCCCAGATCAATCGATAGCGACTTGGCAAAAGCCATTTCAATAGGGGGTTTAGGGGTTTAGTAGGGCAGCCACATGGGACAAGTTCAGTGGCGAGCAAGCCAAGAAACCCACAAGTCTATGACACAGCACACCACAAGGCAAGGGGGACGAGAGGGAATGGAAGGGAACAAACGGCTCGTTAGTGATCTGGGTGCCCCAAAGCATGCTTTCCGGGTGAGGTTTTGGGCTGAACTAACGGGGACCTGGAGGGGAAAGAGGGCACCAATGGACCCCCCACTAGCGCCTCCTGTCTGGCTCTTAGCGGTCTTGTCGTCCCGGATAAGCGTCTTGGTTCGCCTGCCCTACAGCAGTCATCCGACCGCCCATCTAACTACAACCTGGAAGTAAGTAGTTAATATCAAGGATTGCCTGAAGTCAGCCTGAGCAGCAGTCTCCAGCTCTGCTTGCTTGTCCCTTGCCGATATCCATGTTGATTTCCTCCTCGTGTGCCACTGCTTGGCCAGCCCTTGCACGTCCTGAGACGAGGCCGGGGCTTGACCACGCAGTGCGACGCCGGATCGGATAGGCGACAACTGAAAGCAGGCGAGCACACGACACGACAGCCAAGCTGGCTTCACACAGATGAAACTGTCGGAGAGACATCCGATACTTCAAGCTCGCTAGTAAGGAGCACCAGTGCTGACTGTATCTTTCTCTATCTACCCCTCCAAAGTGCTGCAGATGTATATTTTTAGCTCTGCGCTGGCCAAAGTAAACCATGTGGACCTCAGAAGCGTTGACGGATCGATCTGATCTGGGGGAGCAAAAGCATGGCGGATTAAGAGCTTGTCTTTTTAGGGACGGCCGTTTTCCCCTCTGAAGCGAGCGTCCGCCGGTGCCTCGGATCAGCATGGTTCTCGACTGACTCGCCATGCCCTGAAGTCGAGACAGGCACATGCATGTGCTTTGCGGACAGTGTCAATTGCACGTCATGATTGCGGGCACTCTGAGCACTCACGAGGTATCACAAATAGCGAATTGACGACAGGCTGCATGCAGGTGCAGCCTGCCTGGGATCAACCCATCCAGGTCCATCCCGGAGATCCACGTTCACATCATCATTCGATAGCCTTCCCGATCCCGGCCTTTTATCGCTCTCGGGCGGAACATTGAAGCTTCAAGACATCATGCAATTGGCGAATGGCAGCCCTGGGCTGAATAATCGCACTTCGCCAGGCCAGGAGGCCGGTTTGAATGCCACCATACCCGGCTCTTCCTCCCGCCGGCTTAGTCATCATATGGACCACTCCTGTTCATCCTGTTCATCCTGTTCATCCTGTTCATCCTGTTCATCCTGTTCATCCTGTTCATCCTGTTCCACCTGCTCCGTCCAATCTCTCTCGGTCTGGATCGGGGCAAACTCGGGCAACTACATGTACTTGGGAGATTGTCAACTATCATCCTGATCAGAAGTGGCTTTCTCCCTGGTATTGTCCCCGCTTGTAACAACAAAATCCCGCCGTGACGTTAAAAAGTACTCGGCGTCCCCGATGAGCTTCGTGGCCGCTGTATTGGATTCATGCGGTTTGCATTGCAAGGTGCCGTGAGAAACTCACGTAACACAATGTCCCACCACACGCATTTGTCGATCCGGCAACTCGTGATGTTGTGACAGCCTCGCATATTATCCGGTACCGTAAAGGAATCAACAACGTTGAAACCCATGAAAGATGGAAACTCCAAGACTCCAAGTAGCCAGAACAAAGAAATCATCCTTCGATATTCTGTGACGGGATCGCTGTGAATTTGTTGGCTTGGAGAAAGTGATTAATCTATCTGCCGCGCCCATGCGTCTACCCGAGTGGCATATGCCAGTGGATTCGTGGGACGATGGCCTTTCAAACCACCGGCAGGTCCATCAAGCAGTGAATCTGGTCTCGTCAAGTCTCACGGCATAAAGCGAATAACCGTGTAAAAGTGCTCTTTCGAGATTGTAGATTGTGACAGTGAAGGGCTGCGCTTTGTTCGAAAGAAAGTGAACAAGATCCTTGTCTAGACAGCGCCTCGTATTCGCAGCCGAACAGAAATCTCCAATGCCAAGGCTCTGCAGGATCGACATCACATCTTTACCCAGCGTGTAGATGCCCAACTTCACCACACTCACCGTCTATCATCATCCTCGATTGGATCTAAAGCGCGGCTGTCATCTAGCAACTTCTCTTCGGCTACTCGCAGGGCCGCATTCACTAGCCTGTTTGCCTACGACTCACTTTGCAGCTCACTTCTCCTTCACTCTCTGCGAGTACCCTGCCGTAGTGACCCCGCGCCACGATCATTGTTGACCTTCGTCTTTTGATGCGCGTCTCGACAGATCAAAGTCCCACTGATCGTATTTAAGAGGCCTGTCTGCTGGCACTTCTTCCATCCTCGCCCTCCTCATCCCAAAACATCAACAACTTCTTCAACTTTGCCAGAGCAGCATCTTCTCTCCACAACCACATCGGACATCTTCAAATACTCTGGTAAGTGTCATCTACACCCTGCAGCTTTTGCTCAGATCACCACCTCGCCTACTTCATCAGAAATCACCTGTGTTGCGAGACCAACGCGTCGCGACACGTCCAGTCCGCCCAAGGCAGCCCATAGCAACACAGCTTGGACTTGGCTTTCAGGAGGTCTTGCGACTTTCATTCCCAACTTCTACATCTGCCCAAATCTTGACATTGGACATCCACATCTCCCTTCTCATTCCACCTCATCATCAAGCTCGCATCACATCGCATCTCAAAAAGCAGCCGTCACTGACAACCAGCTCAGCTTTCCTCTACCACATCAAACATCACCGCTCAGCTTGTCGCAGCAATGTCTCTCAAGCTCTTCCTCCTCGCCATGATGGCGCTCCTCTGCGGCCTCGTCCTCGCCGACGAGGCCCTCGACCTCCCCACCGGCCTCGGCCATCCGGGTGTCCCCGTCTACGAGGATAACCAGGTCAAGTAAGTCTTCATATTCCTCTCTACTCTACATAGTCCGTTTTCACAGCGTCCGCTAACCTCCCCATGTTCATCATCACAGGCCCTTCACCACCACCTACTCCACCACCTACACCGAGGTCTCCTTCATCTTCACCGGCCTGCCCGACACCCTGACCGTCTACTCGACGGTCCCCGTCACCGTCACCGAGGTCGAGACCCGCACCTTCTGGCCCAAGGGCGTCGCCGGCCGCGCCGACCGCGACTACCAGGACGGCGTCTACGACTGCACCATCCCCGGCTCCGTCGACGCGCCCGTCGCCACGCCGTCCCCGGAGCCGGTCGTGCTGCCCCCGCCGGGCTCGAGCCCGTCCACGACCACGCCCGCCGCTCTGCTGCCGCCCCACACCAGCTTCCAGGTGACCTCCCTGCCGACAACCACCGAGTCCACCACCGCCACCCAGCAGACCACGCGCACCGAGACCACCAACGTCGGCAACGGCTCCACGACCGTGAGCTTCGTCGCCTCGGGCACCCACCCGTCGTCGTCGTCGTCGTCGTCGTCGTCCTCGGAGGGCGTCCCGACTTCGAGCCCCGTCGGCACGGGTACCGAGCCGTCCGCCGGCACGGGTACCGAGACCAGCACCGGCTCGCAGACCCCGTCTGCCCCGCCCGCCAGCGGTGCTGACAAGGCTGGCGCCTCTGTGCTCGGCCTCGTTGGCGCTGGAGCTCTGGCCCTCGCCGTGGCGATCTAGATTGCCTGAGATGGTTGGGAGTGTGGGTGGCGCTGTCTTCTGAGCTTCATTCTTCTGTTGCTTGGGATTGATGGGTCATTCGTGCAGACCAGGAGTCTCTACTTCTTTGTACTTTATTCTACTGAGATCGGGATTACACAAAAAAATATGGCTTTTGACCATAAGGGGTTACGGAAGGGTTTGCGAATAGGGAATTGATGAATTAGATAGCATTCCGTCTTGCTCGTGTGTGATGCTGTGACTTGGTGACCGATGTTTGCCTATCATACCGATTTTGGATCGATGTCATCTTGCCAGTACCGAGGTTCTCTCTCAACCATCTCCTCGCACTTGCAGTTGAACAGAACCGTGCCTATCAGGCGGAGAGAGATCTCTGCGCGGCAACGAACTCTTCCCCTTCCCTTGATCTAGCACACCATACAACGCAACGGGCATTGCAGGGCGCCGACTCTGATGGATAGTATTCACGGCAGTTGCATACGTCAGAAAAAAGTGATACTCTTTCAATCATTATCATTGGGAACAAGATACACATTTGCTGCAAAGCTTCTACGGACAAGGTATGTGTCTCGACTGGCCTTGAATGCGCCCTCGATGCATGCCACCTGACAAAGCAAAGCGCTGCTCATGAACAGAACAATTACACCGGCTGGGAGTGGGCGAATTTCCTGCAGCTTCATATGCACCGATACATGTGACAATCTTCTGCTGTGGTGACTCGCGAGATCCCTGGGGGCCATGAAGCATGTAATAAAGAAGCAAGCTATCGTTGGCTGAGCACGATTTGCCTACGTCAGTTTTGACACTTGTACGAGGTGAATGACCGCCACTCGCAACTTGTGCCACATGCCTTCATACCTTCCAAGTCATCAGTATGCCCAATGGCTGGAATTCTTTGTCCGGCTTTGTGTCCCGAGATGCGGGAAGGGACGCGCTACCGGCAATGGTGGACGTCATCGAATTAGCGCCCAGGCGTCGTCGGGCTGGGAGGAGGCCGAAATGGGTTGGCCCGGCCGGACCTTACAAGTGTCCGAGATGGCGCGCCCCCCGGGCTTGCCCTCCGGACAAGCCAGTCCTGCAAGCAAGTATTAAAAGCTTGACGTGTCTATTAGACCCTTGGATGAAGCCTCCCGTTCTTGGCGATCTTATCAAGTATCATCATGTCGTCCCAATTTGTCCAGAAACACCCGCTCGCCCAGAAGCGCATCATCGTCACGGGAGCTGGCATCGCCGGCCTGGCTTTCGCCCGCGCTCTACACCTGAACTGGCCTCGAGAGCACCCCAGGCCAGATGTCGTCTTGTACGAGCGGTCGGCTGAGGTCCTCGACCGCGCCCACGAGGGTTATACCATGGGCATTCAGAGAGGCTCGGGGCTGCTAGCGTTGCGAGAGATTGGACTGCTCGATGCCGCGCTGGAGTCGCGCACTACTGGATCAGATGGATCCCAGGAGCCTGTGACCATCTGGACAAAAGACTGGACGGAGCTGTACAAGATGCCTCCAGCAGCTCCCACCAAGGGCGACATGCCTCCCAGGGGTGTCCGCCTCGTGCGGCATGCGCTGCGCCAGATCTTGTTGGACGGCCTCCCAGAGGAGACTGTTGTCCACTGGGAGAATGCCTGCGAATGGGTCAAGACTAGAGAGGACGGCAAGGTCGAGATCGGGCTGAGCGACGGCTCGACGGACGAGTGCGATCTCCTCATCGCGGCGGACGGTGCGAACAGCAAAGTGCGAGAATGCCTGCTCCCCGACGAGACGCTGCAGTTCGCCGGTGCCAGGCTCTACTCAGGCACCTCTAAATTTCCTCTGGGCAAACCCGACGCCTTGAAGACGTCTTGGGGGTTCAACGTCAGCGGCGAGGGCTACGGGTTCCTGACCTTCCCCATCGACAGCACGACCGGCGCGTGGGCCCTGACGCACCGCAGCGCCGAGCCGAAGGGGCGGATCCGCGGGGACGAGGCCGCCCGGCGCTACGACGAGATCATGGGCGACGTCCGGCGGCTGGGCGGCATGTTCGACGAGCCCTTCGCCCAAGTCGTCGAGGCGACGGACCCCGTCACGCTGTCCGTCTTCGATGCCATGCACAGGCCGCCCGTCCGGCACGCGCGCCAGCTCGCCGGCGGCGCCAACGCCATCCTCATCGGCGACGCGAACCACGCCATGAGCCCCTTCTCCGGCAGCGGGGCCAACATGGCGCTCATGGACGCCGTGGCGCTGGCGGGGCAGCTGGCGCGCTGCGCGGACCTCCGGGCCGCGATCGACGCCTTCGACGCCGAGAGCGCGCCCCGGTCGCAGAAGGCGATCGATTTCTCGTGGTGGGTGATCCGCGGTATACATGCCCGGGGGGTCGTTTTCTGGCTCGTCCGCGCCGTCTGCGCTGTGATGAGTGTGTTCGCCGGGCGAACGGATGCGAGGCAGACGAAGGAGTGAGAGTTTCTTGGAGATGGATGGGCCTATGACAACCGTGGATTTGGTGCTAATTATGTTGGACGATTGATTAGAAGGGAAGGGCAATGTCACCTTGAATTATTGCCTAGTTATTGAATCCAATAGTGTATGCTGAGATAGAAATGACTATTAGAAACGAAACCTGTTCATCAATCCCTCAGAAGACCTGTTTCCATAAACGGGGGCGAGAGATGCATAATAAACCACCATGATGATGTATTCTTTGTTGAACAGTAGAGTAGAACTTTTCGATACCCCCAAAGCTAGTGTTCTGATCCAATCGCCGTATCCCGTCCTCGTTATGAACTCAAAAGACAGACAATTCGCCAGCCCAAAGTCCAATCATGACTCCATGCCGCGCTCGAGCCTATCACACCGTCTGAGCTCTTTCGTATCGGCCGCGTTTGGTGGTCTAGATTATGAGAATTAGCTAGAGCCTTGTTGAACAAGGGGTAAGGGCAGAGCTTGCTGACCAATGTTTTTCCCACCTGGAAGGTTCGGCATCGTCAAACGAGACAGGCCCTTCTACCGGCATGTCCGGCGCGGTGGAGCTCGAAAAACATCCCCTTATTCCTCCATCGGAGAAAAAGACCCGACGTGCGAAGTCAGATGATAGGGGCAAACATGAAACGAGCAAGGAGAGCAACGAGTCTGGCAATGGCCCTAGCTCCCATGGCGGCGGATAACAGCGCGAGCCGGCGCCAGGATCTTGCGGATCCTCGAAGGGCGTCGAGCGTTGACCAACCTGTTGGTGACCGTGTAGTTGCGCTCGAACAAGAAGAGCTGATCTCTCTTCAGAGCGTGCGCGAGAACGTTGTTCGGGATCCTGCCAAAGAGACAGCACTGCAGGAGAAGTGCTTCCAGTTCCTCAAGGTCGCGGTCCGCTGTGATGGCCTGGAGAGCATTGTCGTAGGCCCACCAAGTCTTGCCCCCCTCGGGCTTAAAGGTGTGCTCCTCGATCCATTTCGTGATCAAGTCCCTGTCCTGAGCCGGGAGGTCTCGAGGGACGAATTCGCGGGCCAGAGCCCTCATCTCGGCGATCTCGTCGCCAGTCAGAAGCCGGCGGTCGGCGTCAGTGAGGTCCGCGAATTTGGGGGGAATGCAGTATAGCTTGCCGCCAACCTCGCGGAAAACATTCTGCCAGCGATGGCGGTCGTGGGAAGGATGGCCCATTCCTGGGATGACGAGTTCGGGCATCTTGAAGTTTGTGATCTTGATTCTGATCGAGGTGGTGATGAGGTGAGGGAATGGGATCTTGGGGAAATATCCGAGAAAACGACAAGAGGGGGGCGGGAAGAGAGTTGTCGGAGGCAAACAGGCTGGAGAAGAAGCGCTGCCTTAACTACATAAGTAAGGTAGTCGGCAAGGTTTGGGATTTGATGCTGGTCCAGACGAGGTAAGAGTGTGGTTAGGTGAGACTCAGAAGGGCATTCGGAAGGCTCTCACTTTCGATCCTTTTCAGAAAGGACTTGCCTCTTTCTTTCTTTCTTCTTTTTGTCTTTTTTTTTTATCTTTCCCCCCCCCGGATTCCACCACAACTTTTGACTGCTGGGGATGTTTGAACTCACTGCCAACTCTGATCACTTGTTGAAGGTTCCAAATTTATTTACTTTAGTCTTGCCTATTAGAAATGGTTCATTCACTTTCACCACACTCACACTGACTGGTCCTTCAGGGCATTCCTTTCCTTGAGCATCTGGTACACCTCTGGAGCACCCCGAGTCTCGAGTGAGGCAAAGCCCTGGATCACGCCCTGCCTGTCACCGCCCCTCTTCTCCTGGCTCATCTTGAACTTGCCTTCCATCCTGTCGATGGTGATCTCGATCCCGATGATGTTCTTCTTCATGAATTCGAGGTACTTGTCGGGCGCGTCCGAAAGCTTCCAGTCCGCCTGCGCACCGCCGACGCCGGTGTAGCCCATGATCTTCGTCTCGCTCTGGTAACTGAGAGCGGAGGTCTGCTCTTGGAGGAAGTCTGACTTCTCTTCCGACTTGGAGTCGTGGAAGATCTTGGCCCGCCCGTAGACCTGCACGGCGGCATAGTCCCAGGTCGGCACTACCTTGCCGGTCGATGGCTTGGTCTCGGCGTAGAACTTGGGCGTGACGTAGTGGTCTGCCGACGTAAAGACCACGAGGACGTCCTGCTCCAGCACGTTGTCTGGGCTCTCCTGGACGGACTCGATCATCGCTTTGCTCTGCGGGTTCTGCTTGGCGAGGTGGCCTCTCAGACGGCCCAGCTCGGTCTGGCTGGACTCGTCATCGACGTCGAGCACAAAGGGGATGTGGCTCATCTGCAAGTGAGGGTGGTTCGCCGAGGGTATCCCGGTGATGAGCGCGCCGAGAGGATAGTCGCGAACGAGTTTGCGAAGGACCCGGAGGTCCTTCTCCTGGTGCGCGGGATCGAAATACATCGTGCCTTGGGATCCTCGTGGTGATGATGCCCGGAGTGCTCGATAAATTCCTGGGTGGACTGCCAGAACTTATACACGCCCGAGCCAGAAGTCCCGTCGGAGCAAAACCGTTGATTTCAAATGCGGGCTGAGTGACTCGACAACGGGATATGGACGGTGTCGAATCAAAGCACGATCCGCTGCCGTAGCTGCATCTAGCGCCTGCCGTCGTCTTGGCTGGTGGGGCCGCGATCTAGATATCTCCACGGGCAGAGATGACTCAGTAAGTCCACCAACAGAACCAGCACTGGTCCGTACTGTATGCAACTGCGCGGCGAGATAGTCGACAGAATCGACACTTGAAAACTCAGAACATCGTTTGTCCAACTCATCAGTCACTCAGCTTGCTTAGTACCCGTGCAATGGAATCCGCAAAGACAAAACTCCAAGGGCGAGAGTGGAGGAAAGACCAGTACCTGATCTCCACCGACTCTAGTCTCGTCCCGATTGCAAAGCTCATCGACATCTTCAATTCAGAAGGGTTCTACTGGTCAAAGGCCTTACCAGCCCCGGCAATGCAGGAAATGCTTGACAATTCCCTGTGCTTTGGCTTGTACGAACAGGCCGAACCCATTGGCCCAAGCAATGCCACCCCGGAGCTCAAGTTTCTCGGCATCGCCCGCCTGGTGACAGACTACATCACGTTCGCGTACCTGACGGACGTGTGGGTGGAACCGTCGTGTCAAGGGAACGGCCTGGGCAGCTGGATGGTCCGGTGCATCGACGAGGTGCTGGAGACCATGCCGCATCTCCGACGTTGCCTGCTCTTCACCGGCGACTGGCAGCGCTCGGTCCCATTCTACGACAAGCTTCTGAGAGCTAAGTTGGTCGAGACGCGGAAGGGAGAGGGCTTGGCGATCATGGAGAGGAAGGGCAGAGGGCATCCGACATTCAACAAAGAAGGAACCGGGTACAATTGAAAGCCGGTTCGACCATATGGAATTACATGTATCGACGGGTTTGCTACAGCGTGGTGCAAATAGATGAGCTGATCCTAGACCTGGCTTATCCCAATTAGGAATGTTTTTTCGAAACCAATTAGGAATGTTTTTTCGAAGCTTCCAAGCGCCCGGCGGTGTCCGCTGGCGACATGCCACCCACTTAGGGCGACTCAAGCTAGACATCGTGTATAATGATTCCGTCGGTGTATGCGCCTACCAATTCTCCAAGGCTAATATCAAAAGACATGGACACTTGGGTGCCAGCGAAACGGCAATATCCTCCACGGGCGGGCCAGCCGGGTGACGCCAGTTCTCGATGGAGATTCGGGGGTGTGACGGGATTCGCGCTGGGCTCCGTGGGGCCGACGATCGCGGCGCCGACCTTGGCTGACTTGTGAACATATGTGCTAACGAAAGCACATCCTTCACGGATTTGGGATGACTGCAAACTAGGACTTCCGATGATGATCTACCTCATCATCCCCATCCATTCTCAGGAGGTCTCTATTAACACTTCATGTATGCTTGAAGCTACCGATGGACTGTATTATATATCGCTGCATTTGCCATAGTCCTTCTGACACCCATTCATCCGCCAGCAATGCTCAGTCGTATTCCCACAGTGTCCGCTATGGCGTCCTTTGATCAGCATATGCTCCCCCTAATTCATCCCCCGTGAAGTTGTCAACTTACTACTGCGAGCAGCAGATCAACGAGTCAGCCGGGCACCGGTAGCCGTAGACCCCGTCTCCCGTCTTGCCGCACGTGTTGTCCGGCGAGACGGTCACGCCGTCCCTGGGCGCGTAGCAGGCGTTGCTCCCCGGCGCGGCGTAGTCGGGCTGGCAGCCGAGCGACGTCAGGCAGTAGTCGTCGCCCGAGCCGCAGTAGCCGTGGCCGGAGCAGCACCGCTGGTCGAAGGGGCAGAAGTACTCGCCTCCCGGTTGCGCGCCGCAGGTCCCGTCGGGGGAGACCTGCTTCTGCGGCGCTCGGGTGTCTAGAGACGCGGGGAGCGCGGCGGGAGGATGGGCTGTCGCGGCGCTGAACAGACTGGCCGGGATGGCGGCGAGGAGGAGGTATGTGACGATCATTGTGGATGTGTTGAGCGAGTTGGAGCTTACTGCAAATATTGGTGAATTTGTTGGGCGTGATGTAGTTGATATATCCAAGCCAGAGACGCTTTGGGTAACCCGTATCGCCGGTCAGCGTTTGCACCGCGGACCAGGAAGCGCACTCATGAGAGTCCCAAGTGACCAATAGTAGTGAGAAGACACGTACTTTACGTTCAGTTATTGTTTTTCTGTATGAGACCTCGACCCAGGTAGCCGGAGATTAAAGTTACATCGTGTGCTTTTCGAATCATCAACGAAGCACATTCTCCCGTTGGTCCCGGAAGCTGTACTACTAGAAGGGTGATTAACGCCGAGCAGCACGAATCTGCAGCGCCTGCTCCGAGTATCACTGGAATACCGTTTCATCCATGAGCCGCAACCCACGGGTCACTCGGGTCGAGATCCACGACAGCAAAGCCGAGGCTGTTGTGCCACATGGACTATCGTCTGAATCCATCCATTCATGTTCTCTTGGGCTTCATCCAAACTCTCTCACACCTTTGCATATCGACTCTTCCCCCGAATGGATTTTCCATACTTGAAAAAGAGATAGGGGAATGGCATCATCGCCACAGTCAGGAAGGCCACCAACGAGGATGCCCATTGGAAGCCTAGGCCCTCATACATTTGATTCCCAAAGAGCGGGAAGATTCCTGCAAGGAATTTAGCCAATTAGAATAGGTTCTTCGATGTTCATTTGCAACGGCTGGACTTACCTGCGAACAAGCAACGCACAAAAGCGTTGGCGGCCAGTGCACTCGCTGCGTACTCGGGGTAGGCATCGACCTATGAACCGTTAGTACCCCTATATCGAGTAACTGGGACATCAAATATGCGACATACAAGGAAGGTGAAGATCCCAATAAATATCAAAATGTTACTGAAAGGTCCATGTAAGTCAGTTTACACTCGCGAAACATTGGATGAATCTGACTCACCCAGTGCCAAATAGCAGCGAGCCGATGATGGGGACGATCCAGTGTATGCTCGGATACGAGGTCCACGCGAACAGAAACAGGCCGATGGGAGCAATGAAGGCACCGAGGATTGCAGGGGGTAGTCTGAACTCTGGTTCTCCGTGCCCTGACTTGGACGACTCGCCATCCATCTTGCTGATGAGACGGGTCCGGACGCGGTGCCACACGGGATCGGTGGAAACTCCGAGGATCAGTCCGCAACCAATTCCCAGGAACGACAGGCCTATCTGCCAGAGATTGAAACCGTGGTTCGTGCTGAAGATCAACGGGAAAGCACCGAAAAAGAGGTAGAGGATGCCGAGGAGGATAGCCGAGTACATGCAAAGACTCAAGCACATGGGCTCGAAGATGAGAAGTTGAAATGGCCGCAACAGAGACAATGCAACTGTCCGGTGGATGGATTTTGTCGAAAGCTCCATCGGCGCCCTCCAGCGGTCGTCGCCGGTGGTATTGCGCACTTGTCGGGCTTTATTTCGGAGTAAGATAGGGTCTGATGAGGTTAGCCAGCCACATGCGGACTTGACAAAAAGGCCAAGATAACTCACGGTATGTCTCCGGGACCAGGAGAGTGATAGCCAACAGCATACTACCCGCCCAGATCAAGAGCACATAGTACGTCCACCTCCAATGTACATTGTAGTTGATGAAACCGCCAATCAGAGGTCCGATGCAAGGACCAAGGAATGGCGAGACCGAGAAAACAGCCATTGGGAACGATAGTTCCCGTTTTGAGAACAAATCTCCAACAGTCCCGCCCGAGACGGCCAGGAAAGTACCCCCGGAGAATCCGTTCAGAAACCGGGCAACGAGCATGGTTTCGATGTTGCGAGCTACCGCCTGCGGCACGAGCCAGATCACATACATCGTCCACGACACCAAGTAGATGGGACGTCGACCGTAGAACTCGCTCAATGGGCTGAAGAGCATCGGGCCACAAGCCATGCCGAAAACGAACAGTGTCAGGCCCAGCACTGAGACGATCCTGGAGTTTCCAAACTCGGCTTCCATATGGCTGTATGTCGACGTATATATGGAACTGGATGCGGTTCTACGAGTCTCAATCTTTTAGTAAGACGATTTCAACAAGTACCTCTCTGCATCGGTTCGGGGGTGCACTCACACGCAGAGAGTCGTCAGGCATACAATAAAGACCATCGCCCATTTTCGAGCCGTGCCGAAGCTGCGGGGGCACAGCGGATCATTGTCGCCATCATCCCACCCGACTATGTAGGTCTCTGGCACTGATCCGGTGGAAGAAGCCGAGTCGGATGCATCCTGAGCATTGTTCTCGATATCTCGCAAAGACAAGCTGGGGTCTTCAGCAAGAGTTGAGTTGTCTGGAGTAGATGTGTTCTTCACATACGTCTTTTCTTCCTGTTCCAAGTCCTTTGGCTCTGGTGTCGATCTTTCAATTTCCAACATCATGACGAACTCTCCCCCCTTCTTTTTGCCGGCAGCAGTATGGTCACGGATCGGGGAAGGGGTAATGCGCCTCGTCTGGTTGGGCTACTTTCCAAGGAACCAAATCATATCCAAGGTCTAAATATCACATCAGCGGATACTCGCACGAACTGCCAAGTAGAGATTGCTTCCTCGAGACCGTGAGTCAACAGTCGGTGGGGAAACTTGCATGGGTTCCAAAGCCCATCTCGGCCGAGTTGATATATGGGGAGTGGGGCATGGCCTCTTGCCGAGATCGCAACGCATGGTCTGGCAGAAGTTGCACTTTTGTCGGAAGGGATCGGCCTGGGTTCTCACCGGCCGGGTCGTGAACTAGTACGGCGACGATCCGATTCGCACAAGTGCTGTTGTTGAGAGCGTAGAGCGTTATCTGGACCACCTGGTTGGCTTGAGACCAGATCCGATGCATGAGTAGTGCTAGTCGATGGACTCGCATAAGTTTGCATAAGCTGTGGATGGGTCCGAACAGATGAGGCTGCATGCTGGCGAGATGCTCTGCAAATCAGACATAATATCCGTATCGGAGCAGATCTGTTTCCAGCTTTGGAGATCAGCTTCTAATTGGTCGGCCGCCACGGAAGAAGAAGAGGCTGCCGCGCGACTAGTGGCCATCGTGGGCTTCTGTGATTTGGCCCACAGATCGATCTTTTCTTGTCTTGGTCGTGAGGGAGCTATCTAGTTGCCGATTTTCAACAAGACCATGAGGCTGTTGGATGAGTCCTGTGTAGCTCATCAATCACAGTATGGATCCACTCCAGTACCTGAAACAAATCTCGGCCGAGTTTGCCGCATCTCCTCTTCGGTGGGGCTCTTACTCCCATCTCGGCCGTGTTCGCACACATGAGGCCCATCTCCACGATCCTTCACCTCGGCCGTGCTGAAAACACAGCCAATGCTGCAATCCAGCACCAGCTCGATGCCATGCCGGACCCAATGTCAAGCAAGTCACCGGTGAGAAGCAGCCAGCGAAACGTCCTCGCCTGCACGGAATGTGTGCGGCGCAAGATCCGGTGCTCCAAGACCATCCCTTGCGCGAGCTGCATCCGGCACAACAAATCGGCCGCATGCCGGCGCGAACAGGTTGCGGTGGTCAGCAGGAGATCGACTGCTCGGCGGAGCTCACGATTGACCGTGCAGGATGATTCCAGCCTCTTGCTCGAAGAACCGGCTGCCTCGCCCGGGCTTGGTGACTCCGGGATCACCGATTCCGTTCTTGACATACCGGAGACAGCAATTCCACAAGATATCGGATATGGGCGGCCATCTCAGTTGCTTTCCCGGGCTGAGCCTAGGCCAGAAGGTGACAGTAACCAAGAGGCTCAAACTTTGACAACACCAAACCAAACATCAGACAGACGGATGACCGATGAAGCCGCTGCAGCTCTCCAATTCCTAGCCCACGGGCGCCGCAATGTGCTAGACCAACTCTCTGGTCGCGACTCAGCTGCTAGGACACCGCCGAGCTTCTCGCTCAACACCTCCGTGTCGGAGGCTCCATGGGACATCTTCTTCTCGGTCGAAACGACGCGTATGCTGTTGGAATTTCACCAGGCTCATCTCTCTTGGATGCACTTGGCTGTCCATCTACCTACCTTCCGACGAGAGTTTGAAGACAACATCCAGCGACAGGACTGTGACTTATCCTGGATGGCTCTGTACTATGCCATGCTGTCTGTAAGTCTCAAGTGTCTAATTGCTTCTGGGGAGGTGTGCTTACAGAGATTCTAGCACACACTATATCACATCGATGGGGCTCAACTTACCTCTCTCATACAAATAAATATCGGTATGTCTGCTGGGAACTGGAACTGTGACTTCATATACTTGCACACAGACTAACATCCTTCACAGTCAACATAGACGCAGCCCGAGTTCTGTTTGACAAGAGCATCGAGACGTTGTTCCGCGCCAACTTTATGTCAGATCACAAGTTGACTTCTGTCCAAGCGATCTGCCTGCTGTTGCAAGTCGCGCACAACTTGGACAAGTCCGACCTGATCTGCATTCTCATCTCCACGGCGATACGCATGTCGCAGTGCCTGAATCTGCATCGGCTCGGCGCTGACAAAGAGCGGATCGCGACAGCCGGCCGGACGAACGACCAGCACATCATCGATCGCGAGGCGGAGAAGCGCGTCTGGTGGTTCTTGGTAAGGTATGACTGGTTCCAGATACCGTTCCAGAACACAAGCCAGGTCCACCCAGCCCAGTTCAACACACCCATGCCAGGCGATACATTTGAGGAACCGGATCGCATGGTCAAGGCCGGCGCGCTGGCTCTTCAGGGCCCAACAGTGGTCACCCCGAGCCGATGGGTAAATTGTCTGAATCAGAGTACGTAAGCCGTGTATTGTCTCTTCAGATCTCCACAGCGTGCTGAGCTACCGCATGCAGTCTCGGTGCCCATCTGCAAACTCCAGGAACGGATGCAAAACGTCGGCTTTCCATCGGATGACAATGACAACATCTTGAAGATATACGACCTTGTGATATCTGCGGATCGGGAGATCAAGAGCCTCTACGCTTCCTGGCCAAAGTACATGCGCGTGCTAGACGAAGCCACGTGCGAAGGTGCAGCGAGCGAAGCGTTTCCAGTCAGGCTCATGCCGGGCCTGGTCCTGCTCTCCACCGCACACAAGGTCTGTCCGATATCACCCTTCCGTATCCACAAGCCACGTCTAATGAATACCGTCAGATCCTAATGGTACACCGCCACTTCCACCTCTCGTGCTTCCGAGACAGACGCTTCGCGTTCACACAGCTTTCCTGCATCACCCTCGCCCAACAAGCCATCGCGGCAATACAGGGGTGGCCGGACACGCCAGATATGCGTATAATCAGGAGGATGTGGACAACCCACACCTTTGTCGTCAGCTGCGCCGTCGCCCTGATTTTCGTGCTGCTGTTCAAGTCCGAGAACCTCCTCACCTTTGACCTGGGCAGGATGCGTAGCCTCGTCGGGTTCTCGCGAGAATTTATCGGGGAGGAGGAACACACAAGTTCCATCGCTCGCCGGGGTGTGCGGCTCCTGGACGCGTTGATGGACCTCGAGGGGCGCTCAGAGGGCTCCGAGGATATCGAGGCGGACATCGGGGAGGTCGTGCGCGGCGTCGCCGCTACAGACGGCACCTTTGTAGAGATGAGTGCCACCAACGAGGCTCATGAAGCTGTCTTTCCTTACGGTCAAGATCTGTGGGCTAGCTTCCTGGGGTACTCTACAAACGGGGATTTCTTGGACTTGGAGCATCCCTAGCGAGCATGATCATTTGGTTCATTCCACCAGAATCTCAATCTATTACTCTATTCATGGACGCTGTATGTCTAATCATGCGCTAGTCGTAATGCAATCGTGATGGATCTCGTGATCCGTGGTCCTAACCCGGCTTAAAGTTCATGCTGTATCCTCCCGTCTTCTCGTCCTTGGTCATCTCGAAGTTATCCGTGCTAAGGCCGAACGGCTTCAGGATACCGTTGCCAAGCTGCGTTGCCGGACAAGATGCGTCAGTAGGCCGGCTCACGCCAGTTGACTCCTTTTCTGGGGCGGGCTCTTCACGGAAGACGAAAAACTCACATCCTTAAGCTTGCCCAGCATCTCGCCCATCTCCTTATCCTGGGCGGCCTTGGCCCGCGCCGGCAGCACCTTGAGCTGCGCCCGCACGACCTTGGCGTCCGCGGGGCTCAGGTTGCTCATCTTGGACAGCGCCTTGTAGTCCTCCTCGGCGCCCGTCAGGTTCGCCCAGCCGCCCTGCTCGCTGCGCGCGCGGGCCCGGCGCATCAGCGCCTTGGCGCGGATGCGCAGGACGTCGTCCCCGCGCCTCCTGCGCGCCTCCTCGGCGCGGCGGTCCTCCTCGGGCGGCGGGGCGGGGGCGGCGTTGGCGGCGCCCTCGCTGATGATCTCCTCCTCTACTTCCTCCTCTTCCCTCTTCTTCTCGGCGGCCTCCTCCTCCTCCGCGACGAGGGCCTCCTCGACTTTGGTCAGGCGGTCGAGCGCGTCGGTGGCCGACTTGATGGCGCCCTTCCACTCCTCGAGCTTGAGGTTGCACGCGGCGATGTTGGACTTGAGGACGGCGATCTCGTAGTCGAGGTGGTTGGGGCACATGGCGACGGCCTCGTCGTACTTGGTCAGGGCGGCGTCGTACCTGGCCGAGGTGAAGAGGTTGTTGGCCTCGGACTTGTGGGCGTTGGACTCGCTCAGTAGTTCCTGGCATGTGTGTGTCTTGGGTTAGCCCCGCTCTTTTTCATTCTCGATCGCAAGCTGCATATTGCATGCAGGGCTTCTGCTCACAGCTTCTTCCTCGGGAGAAAACTTGACCACCTCGGGCGCTTCCTCTGCCTGTTCGGGCTTCTTAGGGACTCCCTTGACAGGCGTGGGAGCTTCTTGGGAGCTCATCTTGCTGATTAGATGCTGGCTAGACTGGCTAGAGAGTGTCTTGTTGCTGTTTGGGATCTTAAGCCGGGTTGGTTCGTGATTTCGGCTGGCCCCTGTCGATCCCGGATGACGTCGTCAGAAGTGGTTGCGTCTAAAAGTTTGAGACGCGGAACGCGCTTTTAAGGTTAGTTAGATTTACAGGCGGGGGCCCACCAAACAGGCTTATCGCAATCGCTATCAATCCAGCCACTGTACCCCGCCATCCACCACCGCATTCTCTGGAATGCGCTGAATAGAAATATATGGAAATCCCTCCAGGGCTATTGTTGCGAATTAATGAATCAGACGCAAGAGGACCTGTCATATATCGCAAACACGTCGTCACACCCACCCTCCAACATGGCACCGCGAACAGAGTAAGCAACCGGGTCTCCCTCCCACCCTCCTCCACCTTCCGCCAGCACCTTCCAAAAGCACCAACAATCACTAACCGCAATGACTCCTCCCGCCCGGCAAACAGCTTCCCCCCGGTCCGGGCCTGCCTCTTCGACATGGACGGCCTCCTGCTCGACACGGAGGACCTCTACACGCTGTGCGTCAACATCATCCTCGAGCAGCACGGCCGCCCCTCCCTGCCCTGGTCCCTCAAGGCCCGCCTCCAGGGCCGGCCCTTCAAGCAGTCCGCCGAGCTCTTCCAGGCCTGGGCCCAGCTGCCCCTGACACCGGAGCAGTACGCGGAAGAGGTCGCCGCCCTGCAGCGGCAGCACTTCCCCAGCGCCAAGCCGCTCGCCGGCGTCGAGCGGCTGCTGGCCGACCTGGGCCGCACGCGCTACTGGGACCTGCGGGAGGGCGAGGGCGAGGGCGAGGGCGAGGGCGAGAGCGGAGAGGGGGACAAGGCGCAGCAGAGGAGGAGGAGTAGGAGGGTGCACATCGCCCTGGCCACGAGCTCGCACGAGACGACCTTCCGCCTCAAGACGGCCCACCTGGCCGACCTCTTCTCCGTGTTCCCGAGCCCGCGGCGCGTGCTAGGCGACGACGCGCGCATCCCGCCCGGCAGGGGCAAGCCCCTGCCCGACATCTGGCACCTCGCCCTCTCGACCATCAACGCGTCCCTGGCGCCCGGCGAGGACCCCATCCGGCCGGACGAGTGCCTCGTCTTCGAGGACAGCGTCCCCGGCGTCGAGTCCGGGCGGCGCGCGGGCATGCGCGTCGTCTGGGTGCCGCACCCGATGTTGGGGAAGGAGTACAGCGGCCGCGAGGGCGAGGTGCTGGCGGGCCGGACGGGCGAGGCGGGCCAGGTCGACCTGCACCAGCTGGGCGAGGTCGGCGACGGGTGGGCCGAGCAGCGGGCCAGCCTGGAGGACTTCCCCTACGAGAAGTACGGCATCGCGGTGCCCCCGCCGTCGGTGGAGGACGAGCCTTGTATGAAGGAGGCTGCTACTGACACCGAGGTTGAGATTGCGGATGGTGTCCAGGCATGAGGTCAATGGCTTGGTGAAATACAAGAAGAAAGAGAGAGGCTGGGGAGCTCATGATTTTACGGCTGTTGCATCATAGAGGCTGGGTAGTTCAGAAAAGGCTGGACATTGAGGTAGAGCTAGCTGCATTCAAGGTTGCATATCTAGATGATCTGGATTAGTGCAGGAAGCATTAAAGACTGGTGTAAGTGTACGGCAAAGGAGCAGATGGAAATCCAGTCTATTCAATCACCTTCCAATTGAAATTCTACTCGCTGCAGTGGGGGAATATGCAATGCCCCCATGTCTCCCGTCTATCCCAAGAAAAAAAGTCGCTTTATGAGATTTCCCTCCGTATGCTCCGGCCGTTAATGGTCATGACGCAGAATCGTCAAATTTTTGCTTCTCCTCCCAATGCGTATCAGCTCGTACTGATGATGATGATGAACTCTTTCGAAATCCCATTGTCCAAGACGCCATTGGTCAATATCCCTAGAACCCTGTTTCTCCCACTCTCCTCTGTCTTGTCTTTCTTCTTTCGTCCACACCTCACCCAGCAGACCAAAACCCCTGCGAATTGTACTGACTCGTCCGGTTCGGCGGCTCATACCAGTTCTGGTACGGGTGATTGGGCAGACTGAAGTCGGCCTGCACGAGCAGAGGGTGCACAGGCCTCCTCTGCGGAGCGGGCGTCGCGACAGGCACCGAGGCGGCCGACGTAACCACCGGCGGCGGCTGGTGCTGCGGCGGTAGAGGTGGCATCTGTTGCTGCTGCAGCGGAGGCGGAGGCTGCTTCAAGGGCGGAGGAGCCTGCTGTTGCTGCTGCTGCTGCTGCTGCTGCTGCTGCTGCCCCTGAGGCGTCCCCAGACTCAAATGCGGCGGCAGCGCCGGCATGACGCCACCGTTCATCTGCGGCCTGGGCCCGATCTGCATCGGCCCCGGGCCCGGCACCGTCGCCGGCGCAGACACGCCTAGAGCACCGCCGGCCGTCGCCGGCTTCTCCCTCCGCCAGGCGCGGTACAGCTCCTCGTGGACCTTGCCCAGGCGCCACCCCGTCTCGGCGTTGATCTTGTCGAGTATGGCCAGGACCTCGTCCTGCTCGCGCCGCTCGCGCAGCACGCACCCGGAGATGGTCAGGCTGCGGATGGCCACGCTGGCCACGCCGCGGTCCTTGGTGTGCGCCACGATGCCGCAGACCTGGTGCGCGTGGTGGAGCTGCTGCATCATGTTCTCCGGGTGGTCGGCCGGCTGGATGGGGTTGATCTGCGCGAGGAGGCACATGGCCGAGTGGTAGTAGAGGCGGCCGATGATGGCGGCGCGTTTGATAAGCCTACATCATTCAGTCAGCGGCTAGCCCTCTTGGAGGTGACACAGGGTATAGAGAGGGTGAGGTGCTTGGACGTACCAGATGTTCGGAAAGGCAGACTTGGCACCTGGCTGGGCTTTCATGTACCCAAACGGCCTCATCGGTCGGGGGCAGTGGTTATTCCACAGGTCGCAGAGACGCTTCAAGTAGCTCCATTCCGCAAAGCGATTTTGTTTTCTCACCTCCTCGTCGTGCGGCGAAGGCTCTTGGAACTTGGGCACACCGGCCCGGAAGTTGGCGATCCTGGCCACGATGTAGAAGATGCGGTGGACCCAGATCTCCTCCTCGCCGTTGCCGATGCTGTTGCCGCTGGTGTCGGACTCGCTCTTTGTACCCACGCCGCTCTCCAATTGCTGGATGAAATCGAGATCCAAGTCCCACTGGTCGGGATCCCAAGCTGTCTGCCAGTTAAAGGAGAGACAGCTCAGCACCTCCATGCCAATGTTTAGCCAGAAACACGCCGCCCCGATCCCCGTACTCTTGGCATTCCATCCGCATTCCCGAATCAGTGCTCGCGCGCCTGCGATATGGCTCATCCTCGCGCTCGGCTTCTCACTCATGATCTCGTAGACGTTGAGCACAACCGCCGTCGTGGCACACTCGGCCATATTCCTGTCGGGATTCTGCAAGCTTCGCAACAGTTGTGTGGTCGCAGTGTCATAGTAAAAGAGCGCCTTGTCGTCCTTGTACTGCTGGTTCACCAATGTCAGATGCTTGACGCCGCAAGCGAGGAATGCGTTGAGGAGCATGGGCGACTTGAGCGCGAGATAGGGTATCACTCTGCTGAAATGCTTGTCCTTGTCCAGAGAGTCCATCCACACCCCGACCTCCTCGACAAATACCTGCATGTACAGAATCTCCTCGGGAGTGCTCAGATACTCCTTATCCCCGGGCGCGTGGTCAGATTGCGGCGTCATAGCCCCATCTGGCGGGTTCGATTGCGTCGGACCCGTGCCCGTTCGGAAAGATGCGTTCGATGCCGGTCCGAGGCTCTGCGGTACCATGGACGATGCGACGCTGGAGACATCACTGCCCTTGTAGTTGTGCGTCCGCGGAGCATTGTCGCCCTTCAGGCTGTACTGGTCATCCAGCGCTGCCAACGTGAAGTTTCCACTATTACCCGCGCCTGGTCCTCCGAGATTCGTCTGCCCCTGGCCCGGAGAGATGCCCATAAAAGACATTTCGCTACTCCTTCGCGAATGCAGCTGCATCTGGTCATCGAAACCCGGGTCGACCTGGAGGGTCCTAATTGCCGGAAAATATGGCACCTGAGGTGGCTGTGTGTTGTTTTCGCTTGTCATCGACGCGCCTGCTTCCGCTACGCTCGGGCGCCGTTGTTGGGCAGCCTGCCTGTCAGCGTTCTGAGTAGCCACAGGTTTCTGGTCAAACGGCGCATATCGACTGAGTCCGCCTTGATATTCGGATGCAATCGACCTTGACTCATCCTCAAACCTCACTATAAGTCAAATGTTAGCAAACGGGACTGAAGTCCGCTGGCCCAAGCGCTGGTGAGCGCCGTGGTGCCAGGGAACCACGCACCTGCCCACTCGACCGCCGGCGGCATATACGGTGGTGATTTGACCTGCACGTCGATAAAGTTCAGCCGTACACCCCTCTTGCATTCGCGACTGCTCTTGCGACAGTTCATGCAGTCCGGCACACCCTCGTCGCACTTGAGGTGCCGCTCGCGGCAAGTCAGACACCCCGTCCGCACTCGTTTCGATTTCGTCCCAGGTGCCGTTCCCACTGCTGAGCTTCCAGTTCCTCCCCTCAACTTCTCTGGCGCCTGGGCCGGAGGTTCCATCCCAGTCTCCATTGGGAGAACAGGCTCTGGAGCCGGAGGCGCGTTGAGCTGCAGTTGCTGGTTGTCCGTCCGACTACTGGCGACAGTGCCAGCCACCGAGAGCTTCCTCCGCTTGGCCGACGGGACCTCGAACGCTTCCTGCGCCGGCCGATACCCTCCTCCCGCTCCGACGGCCGCGTACGCCGTCGAGGGCTCCACTGAGTAGCTCTGGTAGGCATGGGGCTGGGGTGCACCGGCGGAGTGAGGTTGATGCGGGTGCTGCGGGCCGGCTGGCATCGCACCAGGACCGTAGCCCGGCACGACGACGCCGGCAGAGTGCCCGTATGTCGCCAGGGCGACGATGTTGGCCGCCGTCGAGACGCCGTTGTGGTTCCTGCGCTGCGGCTAGCCGATGATGTAAACCAAAAAAGATATATGCGTGGTGCCGAGATACGGCAAGCGGCCGCCTGCTTGAGAGCTAAGGCCGAAATGTGGTACGGCTACGGCCTGCGCGTCCTTGATCTCTCCCTCCTAGGAAACGGAAATATGTATCATAGGGCGAGTGGAAAAAGACACCAGTCGGATGAGAAGCAAAGTGAAGCAGACAGCATGTGTCAAAAACTATCGCGGGGTGAGCATGGGTCGCGCAGAGAGCGTAGTGATGAGTGGGAAAACAGAATAAGTCGAACAAGGTGTGCCTGTGAGTGCGAAGGTGGAGAACCAGCGTGGTGTGGACTCTGTTCAAGAGAGATCGATCGCCGGTTCTTGCATGCAGCTGGGGTAACAATGCCTCGAGACTAGCCTCGAAGAATTTGTTTGGGAGGCAGCAGGGGGGCGGCACTCGAAAGCTGCAGCTTGCCGTCCTGGAACCGTGCTGTCCAGGAGCTACTGGTCGATCTGGGTACGCCACCGAGGCAGATGGGAATTGGAATATCTTGTGCTGCGTCGGGACTTGGTCGAACCTCGTCGCGTGGCGCTGCCCACGGGACTATTCGTCCGTGAAATACTTGTAATAGTACCGAGCAGCTGAATAGAGCCCGCAGCCAGGTCTGCAAGCTCGAATGCGACTGGTTCCTTGTCAACGAGGAGATGTCGGTGTATATGGCCGTGACCAGAGACGCGGTCTCACATGCAGGGACCGAATTAATCTCGCGAATAGTTAACAGCTTGTGCGTTGTTGCAATCAAAAGAAGACGACACAAGACATGTTGGTTTTCTCCAAAGCTCCGAGGCACAGCGCAAGCAGGGGTGATGTCGCCTTTTCTTGCAAATTGAGAGGCAAGGGGCCTAAAAACGGACGGAGTGGGTGTCGAGCAGAGCTCGGAATGGCACAGGACGAGCCGAGCTCTGCTGCAAGATCAGAAAATCGATTTGATTTTGGAGAGATGACAAGTGACAAGGGTTGCACATTGGATGTGGGTGGGTTGGTGTGGAGGTGGAGGGAACCGTGAAGGTTTGAAGCAAGCACACCGGCAGCATCAGTGCGTCAAGTGGCAGTGTGTCGCTCGGGTATCCCAAGCTCCAGACGGCCCTGGGCGCCGAGCCAAACACATCGTGGACCCATGTCGCCTGCGAATGCGAATTGTTGTACCTACAGCACCCGTGATTGGGGGTTGCTCCACTGACTACGTAGGTGTGCTGCACTAAACTCCAGCGGCCCCACCCCTCTAACCCGGGGACCAGACTACCTTCAACCACACCACCCTGGCATGCTCGAGCTGTAAAAAGACGACAGCACTACATCCAATTGGAGGCACACTTGACCACTTTCTCTCTCTAGCTTGCTCTTGCCTGCAGCTGATGAGGAGACGATGACGACGGCGATCATGAACAGACGAGAGGAGTTCGAATGGCTTCGTGCACGAGAACAACATTGTCGTGGGGAAGCATTCAGGAGCAACTCGACTTGATTTGGAACTACCGAGCCCTCGATAATATCAACTGCTGGCACAAACAAAGGCTGAGACATCAATCATGTATCCTCGCTACCCAGCATGCTGGCATTGTCTGGGCGTCGAGGGACGCCAAGACAGCTTGCTCAAAGCGAGCGAGCGAGCTTGCTTTTACAAATTGGCTTCCCAGGATGGCACTTGTCTCTGACTTGGTCAACGGGAATGGTTGGTCTCGGCCCAAAACACGGAATTAGTCCCCGGAAGCAAACCTCTCGGGAAAACTCAAAGTATCATCTGGAGCTACCTGTGTGCGACAAGATGATTTGAAAACAATGCCCTTCGAGAGGCCATAGGAAGCAGCACTGTGGTTTGTTTCCCACTCTACCTACTCTACTCAAAGCCCTTAGCTAAGGTAGCTTAAGTTGGCACCTTGAAATGCTAATCTTGCTAGCCTTTGGACGGTTTGGCGAGCGGTTGCCAACGGGGAGGGCTAGCGGGTTAGCGGGGATCCTATCAGTGGGGGTGGGCGGCCCCTGAGAAACTGCACAGGCGAGGTGGAAGTGCGCACTTCCGCCCCGTCTCGAGCTGTTTTTGCCAGCGTCACTGTCAGAGATATGCTTCGGCTCGACACTTGTCTTGGCTGTACACTCTCTTCCCTCCTTTACAAGTACGCTCCTTTCACTTTCCCCATTATCCGAGAGGAGAACTCCATCATGGGGGCTAGGTACCTTACCTAGTGGAATTGGGAAGGTGCGCTTTGCCCCAAAGTCGGCTTAAACCCACAGTGGGTTCAGCGCCCACAGACCATCTCAACAGACAAGTATGCATCATACATACTCCGTACATCTGCAGTTACGTACAAACCGGCCCTTTGGACGCAGCTCATTTCGGGTGTCCAACGGTCTCGATGACAGCTCCAACTCAGCTGCGACGCCAATCGCGCAAGGGAGACGCCAGGCTCGAGCCAGAAATAACCGGGCGGATCTATCAAAGCACCAGGTGCTGCTGCTCTCTCGCCTCCGGTCATTCGATAAGTCTTGGCCCAATTGCGGCTCATCGCGTTTGAGATGCTTCTCGCCGCCTTCTCTTGAGCGATCGCCGAGCTTCCAGAGCCGTGATCGAAACATCCTACCGGCGTTGCCGTCTGCGCGAGCCGTCTTCCGGAACGGTTTGATCGTCCTGGCTCGTGGTTCTCGGTCCTTCTCTGGGCTCCGATCAGCAGCCGAACACGACCTTGTCTGCAACCTTACCCTCGACCTTAAATCTGACCGAGGGCGACAGAAAACCTTGATAAATATAGCATCTACAAGTAGTGACTCGGCAGTGTGCTGTGACCCTGTACTGTCCGCGAAAACTTGGCGCATCAAGACCACGGGCATCCGCGTTTGCTCAGAACAAAAGGACTGATAGTACGATGCTCGCGCAAATCACTTGCACGATGAGCGCAACGAAATCCCTTTCGCTGCACTGCCGGACAGGTGAGAGAAGATCCAACGTTTGCGGATCCTCGAGCAAGGGAAACAATTTCTTGGCGTTTCGTCAGGGCGAGCCCTGCAGATCAGCTTCTCTGTCCCCTGCTCCGGAGGCTGAACATCCCGAGAAAGAGACGCTCCCGCCAACCTTGGAAGTGTTCGCTGAGCCACACGCCAGACCACGTCTGGAAGAGTTGCGTCAGTTCTTCTCCATGGTGAGTGATTCATTTGTCCGACTGTCAAGGAACGGGGATGTGCGCCGAGGACGCAGAGAAAAAGAGGACGAGATTATGCACCAAAGCGCTGCTCTCGACCGTGTGTCACCCGGGTGATTGATTCACTCGAGATATGTAAAACATGCAACGCTATCTGATGGGCTGGCTGGACCAATGCGTTCCAATGAGTCCCAGCCTGCCACGTCCTGTGGCAGGTAACACGGATTTCGCGATTTGGGAGCCCCCTGTCTCTCAAAAGTGACAAATTTTGCTCTGGCAGCCGGTCCTTGTTCTATGGCTTGTTAGCTGCACTATGAATCTCGAATGGGATGGCCCTATTGATCGCGGATGATCCCCGCGCGCGCTGGACTCTCGGGTGGCGCACATTTTAGTATCGAGAGATTTATGAGGCGCCCACTAGCCGCAACACCTTCGGTTCGCATGTCCGCATCATGGTAAGCGCTGACGTACCAGGGAATGAAGGGTAGCACTGCTTTTTGATGGGCAACCAAGTTCAAGAGCACAGATTCGACGGGGGACGGTAGAGTTCATGGCAGCATGTGCTGATCTCTGGCTTCGGAACCTCGCAGGTGTCGTGTGCTTCAGGCCAAAAGGAGGGTGTGAGTTGTGGGACACGAGCACGTTGCTGGGAATCCGCTCCCTGATCTTGAAATTCGCCATTGTTTTCTTCACCGCAACGTTGAGTCCTGCATGTGTCCGAGACACTGCCAGCAATCAAAGAGATTAGCCCATGCACGCCTTGTCTCTGGGTGGTTGCCTGCAGCTCGATCGATGGGTTGGGTGTGTACATTGCTTTTTTATTATCGATTTGTCAAAATTCCGGAGCGCTACGATGAGAGAGGACGAATAACAACGGTGCACTCCGTAGTTGAGAGCGGAAAATTCCGCATTCTAGTCGAAGACTCCGGATTGAATGGAATCCATCACGAGAGTTGTTGTAGTGATCCGAGATGGAGTGTTGCGGCTCTCTGAAATGGGGCACCAATCGAAAAAGATGCCGGCACCCAGCTCCACCACAGTAGCTAAATCGGACGACTCCGGATCAGCAAGCGCTATCAATGGTGCATTGTCAGGTAACCTGGGCCGGTGATCTTTGCAACATAATTCCATCACGGCTTCCTCGACGACTCGCAGTATAAGCAAAGTTGCTAGGGTGCAATGTCGGAGGCATAACCCAACCGGCAGTGCGTTTGCGTTTTCCAGAGGCCGCAGCCCAAGAATACGGGGCCTCCAATGGCGAGCGAGGCCGGACCGCCGCAGCCCAAGGCCGTCCTACGCGGCCACAAGGCGCAGGTCCACGCCGCGGCCTTCGTGCGCGATAACCAGCGCCTGCTCACCGGCGATGCGGACGGCTTCGTGGTCGCGTGGGACCTCACCATCATGCGGCCCCGCGCCGTCTGGCGAGCGCACGAGAACGCCATCCTCGGCGTCGCCGGGTGGGGGAGCGAGCGGGTGATTACGTGGGTTATTGCAGACTCCTTTCTCCAAGCACTTCTGTGTGAACAGTGACTGAGCATGGCTTTTGATAGACATGGCAGAGACAACAAGTTGATTGTGTGGAAGCTGCGGCTGGCGGACGAGGCTGCGCTGAGCACGACTGTGCCTCTGGACCCGTCTGCCGAGGACAGGCCGCGGCCGTGGATGCTGCACATGCTCGAGGTCAACACGATGAATTTCTGTTCTTTCGGGCACTGCGCTGTGTTTGAATCGGGCGTGGCATCGTCCTCGGAGCTTCTCATCGCTGTGCCGAACACGTTGGCGTCCGAGGCCGTTGACATCTTCCATCTCCCATCGCAACGGCGGATCCACACAGTCAAACTGGGAGAGAAGAACGGCATGGTCATGTCCGTCCGCCTCTTCTACCAGAGCGGGGCCGCACTCACTGTCGTCGCTGGCTACGAGAATGGGCTGGCTGTGGTCGCCCAGTTGAACGAGGAGAACTCATGGGATGTCAGATACAAGGCACAGTCGCACAGCCAGCCTATCTTGTCTTTAGACGTCGGCCCTGACAAGGACTACTTCATTACCTCCGGTGCAGATGCATTGGTGGTCAAGCACCCTCTACCCACAGCCGTTGTCCAACCACAACCACAACAGAGCGCGGCGCCACCAGCCTCGCAAGCCAGCCCTGAAGCCGAACCTTCAAAACCTCCAACCGCCACCACACCACAAGGCGCTCCGGTCTCCGCACTCTCCGCCACCCTGGCCAACGCACCCAGCCAGCCTCCGCCGCCCCCACACCGGCCGAAACCGAGCGTCGAGACCCAGCCCGTCAAGGTGGTCAACACGAAGCACTCGGGCCAGCAGGACCTGCGCATCAGGTCGGACGGGCGCATCTTCGCGACGGCCGGGTGGGACGCCCGCGTGCGCGTCTACTCGGCCAAGACGCTGAAGGAGCTGGCGGTGCTCAAGTGGCACCAGGTCGGCTGCTACGCTACGGCTTTCGCGGCGGTCGCTCCTGCGGACAGCGGCGCCCAGCAGGACGAACAGCAGAGGGAGACGCCGCGGACAGAACAGGGAGGGGCGGAAGCGGATGGGGAGGCTCAAGGGACAGACAAGCCGGTGGGCAGCGAGGTGGCTAGGAGTACGACAGGTCGTGGCGGCCGCGGTCTGGTGCCGCGGTTAGTTGATATGAGTGTCAAGGACAAGAGGATATTGCAGGCTACGACTGCGCACTGGATCGCGGCGGGTGCCAAGGATGGAAAGGTCAGTCTGTGGGATATTTATTAAAGTGGCAGAAGCCACGACGTTAGAGCTGGAAGAGGCGTTGTGATGAATTGATACCCCGTTACGATGCTTAGAGTGTGTGAGTCTTCTATGACATTGCCATTATTCGTGCTATCTGAGCGAACAAGCCCTTCTCCTCGGCTTGGTCTTGATCCCGCCGAGCCAGTTGAGACTAGACTGTCAATCTAGTACCTGCTCGGCTCTTGTCGTCAACACAAACCCGGTCCTACTCGAACAGGAATTGCGTTAGTTCGGCTCATCATGGAATGATGGGAGGTGTAAGCTCACCTGCGAAGGACTAACTGTAGCTATTTCTACTGTTCGGGCCAGAGTGCAGAGCTCTTGGGCCTACCGTATCGGCACAGCGCGTGACGACGTCTCTCGGGCAAGGCCGCATGTATCGGCCCTGTTCTTGGTAGCCATCCGCAGAGCGGTGACTGAGACCATTGGAGCAAGATAGTCCCGTTCGGAAGGACCACGGCCAAGGTGTGTCAAAATCTTCGTGCCGGACAGATTCGGTCCATGTCGTTCAGATATCCTTCAAGAAATGCCTCTTGAACTTCTTGTTCGCCCGGTCGGCCGACCTCGTCAAGAACTGATCACCCAGGATCTCAACCACCAGGTTCTCCACCTGGTCCTTCTCGCCCTCCGCATGCTCGGGCGGCACCTCGACCCGGAATATCGTCCCTTCCTTGGGCACGACATTGAGCTGGTCCCGCCTCGTGACGATCTCAAACACAAACTTGGCGTCCTTGACGACGATGCCCCTGATCCCGACCCGGCTCACGCACCCGCTGCGCACGACCTCGACCTCGGCGCCGTGCAGGTCCGCGCTGCTCAGCTTCGCCGCCGCCGAGGCGTCGGCCCCGGGGCTCGTCGCCGCGCCGAACATGTCGCGGCCCAGCAGCTCGCGGACGTAGCCCAGCCACAGCCGGTGCAGCGGCTCGAACAGGGCGTACCGCTGCTGGTCGCGCGGGAGCTCGTAGAGGGCGAGCCGCTTGCGCTGGCGCGCGGAGAGCGGCTTCGGCTTCAGCGCCCTGGTGCGCTGCTTCTCCTTCTGCCGGCGGGCGATGCGTCGGGCTTCGCGGGCGTTGGCGTGCGGTTGCGGGGAGGAAGGACGGATGAGGATGGGTCGGTGCTGGATCTTCTCGGTGAAGATGCGGTTCGCTGAGTCGGGAGAGTGCGCTCGGGCGAGGAGCTCTTGGGTGACGGGATGCGTGGTGGAAGCCATCGCGAATGGGTGGTAAGGCTTGCAAGTCCTAGGAACCGCAGTCTGAGATCGAGCGGCAAGAGACTACGCCACAATTGCGGCCTTGATCAGATTGTCTTGAAATGCAGCGTCGACAGCGAGACGCATGGCTGGATGGTGAACAAATTTAGTGTAGATGCGCCCCACCATACCCGCGCTTTCGTGCATCTTACAGGGGTTCCCCACTGTCAGGATATCACATGCCAGCTTTCCCTCGGCATAACATCACCAAATGAGGTGCGCGCCCGGTTGCAACCGACGGCTCTAACATTGGCCTTCTTCCCCACGTCTGGGAAGCTGAGCTGTTTGAAGCTTTCCCCAGATGATGAGTGGGGCATACACATCCTCCTTTCGAGATTCGATTCTACGTATCAACATCAAAAAGCTATCGTGAATCACTCCCAGCATCATCTCGGCCGGTGGATGGCATCATCTCTTGAAACCAGTCGCAAACCACGCCACACGATCGTCTTACTGGAAGTGGCTGACAACAACAACAACAGCAACAATGCCCAATGACGAGGACTCAACGCGCAATTCGGCGCCGGACCTCAAGATCCTGGGCGACCAGGTAACCTTCCAGCCCAGCGGTGTCGAGCCAGGCGCAGCGCAGGATGGCGACAAGGAGGAAGCGCTTATGAAGCAGATGTCGCGCTTCCGCTCCGAGCCACTACAGTATGTCCCATGGAATACCCAAGATGACCAGGAGGCCGTGGCTAATGATATATCCTTCCCAGATTCCTCCGCGAAGTATCCCTCTACGTCTCCGGCACAGGATGGCGCGCATACGACAATGTGATCGGGCAGCCGATCTTCTACTCCGGGTTCACAGAACACATGACCAACATGGTGCTCTCGGCGCCGCTGCTGCGGCAGAAGATCTCCGAGATGGCAGACATGAGGCTGGCCGCCGAGGAGAAGGAAGGGTGGTTCAGGAAGGGGGACAAGGACTCCGACATGAAGCGCCAGCAACGCCGATCGGTGCTCGAGGCCAGTCTGTTCCAGGTCGCCGAGAAGTTCACGGACAGGATGATCTGCAAGTTCGAGAGCAAGACCTTCATCCGCGGCGCGTACTACCTCTGCACGCAGCTCCTGACTAGGGCATACCACCAAGGCATCCACGTGTCCAGCGAGGATGTTCTGCGCCTACGAAAGGTTGCCGAGAAGGCGGAGAAGGCGAAACAGAGCATCGTGTTCCTGCCGTGTCATCGATCGCATGTTGACTACGTCTCGCTACAACTGATTTGCTATCGACTCGGTATCGCGCTCCCGGTCGTGGTCGCAGGAGACAACCTCAACTTCCCAGTCGTCGGGAGCTTCCTCCAGCATGCGGGCGCCATGTACATTCGCCGCCAGTTCGGAGACGACATGCTTTACACTACGTTAGTTCAGACATATATCGACACCATGCTTCAAGAAGGGTACAATCTGGAGTGCTTCATCGAGGGCGGCCGATCAAGGACGGGCAAGCTTCTACCGCCCAAGTTCGGCATTCTGAGTTTCATTCTCGACAGTCTGCTGTCGGGCAGGACGAAAGACGTTGTCATCATTCCGGTCAGCACGCAGTACGACAAGGTCATCGAGACGGAGGGCTACGTGAATGAACTGCTAGGTATACCGAAGAAGAAGGAGAATCTGGCGGACTTCCTTACCGGTGGCACCTCGGTCCTCTCGCTCCAGCTCGGCAGGGTCGACGTGCGGTTTCACGAGGCGTGGAGCTTGCGAGGCTACATCGACGAACAGCTCACCAAGCTCTGGAAAGGTCCTTCCACCCCTGGGGTAGACATGAAAGAAAAGATTGGCCCAGTTGTCCGGCAAAAGCTACTACGAACTATGGGTTACAAAGTGCTGTCGGACATCAACGACGTGTCAGTGGTTATGCCCACCGCCCTGATCGGAACTGTTCTTCTCACCCTCCGCGGCCGCGGTGTTGGTAAGACCGAACTCATTAGGCGTGTGGAGTGGCTGACGCGCCGCGTCCGGGCCAAGGGTGGGAGGGTAGCCCATTTCGGCGACGCCCCCATCAGCGACATCATCGACCGCGGGCTGGATGTCCTTGGCAAGGACCTCGTCGGCGTGGTGACTGGCCTCGCCGAGCCCGTCTACTACGCCGTCGACAGGTTCCAGCTTTCGTTCTACAGGAACATGACCATCCATCTCTTCATCTCGGAGGCCCTCGTCAGCGCGGCCATGTACACGCGCATCAAGCAGGGCGGCGGGCCCGATGTTCAGGACATTACGTACAGCGACCTGCACGACCAGGTCCTCTTCCTCTCGACGCTCTTCCGCGGCGAGTTCATCTTCTCCGCTGAGGGTCTCACTATCAGCCTCGACAAGACGCTCAAGGGTCTAGAGCATGACGAAGTTATCCGTCTGCAGCGCGACGAGCACGGTAACGTCACCAAGATCGGCCTGTCGGACAAGGAGCGCAGGACGGGGCGCGAGAACTACGACTTTTACTGTTTCCTCATCTGGCCGTTTATCGAGGCCAGTTGGCTCGCAGCCGTGTCGCTCATGGGGTTAGTACCGCCTCCCGGCGTCACGGACGAGATCTGGCTCGAGGTACCCAAGACGCAGAACTTTGCACAACTAGTATGTTAAACCCATCCTATCCCTTCTACGCCCCCCGATGTCGTTCTAAAAAGAAACTAACACTCTCCCCTTTTCACTGTAGCTCGGCAAAACCCTCTACCACCAAGGCGACCTCAGCTACTTCGAGGCCGTCAACAAGGAGACGCTCAAGAACTCCTACCAGCGCTTCCAGGAAGAAGGCATCATCCAGGTCGTCCGGTCCCGGGACGCCAAGGTGCCGGCCCGCCTGCGCCTCGCGCCCGAGTGGGCCCCCTCGCGCGACCCGGCGACGGGCGACATCGCGGCCGCGGGCCGCCTCTGGGACTTCACGGGCAAGATCGCGTCGAGCCGCCGCGAGGGCAAGAACAGGCGCGACGGCGCGACGGTGAGCACGCGCGTCGTGGCGCTGACGGACCGCGTGGGTAGGCAGCTGTACGCCGAGGCCATGGGCGCGGCGGCGGGCAAGGGCGCGGCGGCGACGGCGACGCTGACGCCCGAGGAGGCGGCGAGCCTGAGGAAGGTGGTCGGGGAGTCGAAGAGGAGGCGCAGGTTGGAGAACAGGCCGAGGCTGTGAAGAGGTCTTTGCTTGCTATTTCCATTTGCACCGGTGGTGTTTGGAAACTCGGGCGCGAGCCCTGTGTGGCTGTTTGTACACTTAGCGAGTATTGATTTCACTACAGTGAATGTTAGAGCGGATGGCTTGTCCTTGAACTTGAATCTTGATTCCCACGGTTTTGTGAAACGCGTGCTCTTTCAATGCGGAGACTCTCCGTTATATCTTGTAATTTTATTTACGTTTTTGCCTGCTTAATCTGTTGACGGCTTGAGTATGACATTGTCAATGAGCCGTACCGGCGGTCCTCCGCTGTGACCCAGATCCTCGCCTGGTTGGGGATCTTCTACCGGCAGCATCTTGACCGCACCGCTGACGATCGCCCCCCTCGCTGGGTCAATCCTCTCAAGGTGCTCCAATGTGTCGGGATCCGACAGGGAGACGTAGTCCACCTCAAACTGCGCCCTGTCCTTTAGCTCCAGCGCCATCTGCTCCGCCAGCATCTTCTCCGTGACTGCCCTCGCCGCGCCCAGGATCTTGCTCGCCTCCAGCTCGCCCGCAGCGTACGCCTTTTCCGTAGCCTCGAGCGCCCTCCGCAATACGATCCCGACCGCTCTCCTCCTCGTGCCCAGGTACACGTTTCTCGAAGACATGGCCAGCCCGTCGGCCTCGCGCATCGTGTCGCCGACGACGATCTCGACCGGCAGCAGAAAGTCGCGCACCATCTTGCGTATGATGACCGACTGCTGCACGTCCTTCTGGCCAAAGTAGGCGCGCTCCGGCTGCACGGCGTTGAAGAGCTTCATGCAGACCGTCGCCACGCCGCGGAAGAAGGTCGGCCGCGTGCCGCCCTCGAGGAGCTCGGACATGGGCGTGATGACGACGAAGCTGCCCTTGGAGTCGACCTCCTGGCCCGGGAAGCCCGAGGGGTACATCTCGGCCGTCGAGGGCGCGAAGACGGCGCTCACGCGGCCGAGGTTGGCGCCGTCGTCGGCGAGCTCGCGGTCGAGCCGGGCCAGGGCCGCGCAGTCGGCGTCCCAGGTGACCGGGTAGGAGGCGAGGTCCTCGCGGACGCCGAACTGCGCCGGGTTGACGTAGAGGCTGACGACGACGTGGTGGTTGTCGCGCGCGGCGGCGCGGATGAGCGAGAGGTGGCCGTCGTGCAGGGCGCCCATGGTGGGCACGAGGGCGACGGAGCGGTGGTCGAGCGTGTGCGGCCTGCGCCAGCGGCGGAGGGACTCGACGGTGCGGAGGACGCGGATCGGGGTCGAGGGGATCTTCTCGAGGCCGCCGGGGCCGGGGCGGGAGGAGGACGAGGAAGAGGACGGGGTCTTGCAGGCGTAGGATCGTCGAGTCACCTGTATCGGAGCGCTGCTGCTGCTGCTGCTGCTGCGGAGTGCCGGCGTGAGGATGTCGCGTGTGCCACGGCTTCGCAGGCTCGATGCGCCCGTGGCGGCTGCTGCCCGACGGGCTAGCGGCCGAGCGAACATGATGGAGCAAATGGAAGCGGAACGATGGCTTTTCAAATAATGGTACAGAGGAGAAGCGATTGAGCCATTTCCGGGGCTCAATGGCTTGGGGTAAGCACAGTGCTGTGATGAAGACTGCTGCGTATTTTTGAAGCCGGACAGGCCCCGGAGCGCACAGGCCATCCGTGACGTTTTTGGGCCAGAGAGTCCGAGTTGGCGATAAGATCCGAGATCTGATAAGACTAACATTGTCCCTGATCGTTCGGAAACACGTTTTTACACAACAATGGCCCAGTCACAGTTGAAACAAGGTGTTTGGCCCTTTTGTAACGACTCAAAAATTGGTGTGAATTAAGTTTCTTTTTTTAACTTGTCTTCAATAGTACATGAGCACTGAGAAACCACAACCCAAAGAAACCAGAGAAGTTGAATACTTGCACACACCTGCAACACCTTCACAAAGCATGTCACCACTACAACTACATATAGGTACTCAAAATGTCAGGTTACGGTACATATAATGAATTAAGTTGCCTGTAGCTCTTTGAGCATTTTATATATCGGAACCATTCACCAAATGTCAGACCATTGTGAACGTCAACTGAAGTGAATAACCCACTTCAGATGATGAATGGGAGTTGTTGCAAGACATCCAACACTTCACCGTTGATTCAACCGACCTGCGCTCTCAAATTAATCTCTCCAAAGGTATAAATAAAACCTGGAAAGATCCTCCCCTCAGCACCCGGCCTTGAAAAACCCAACCGACACAAAAGGCAGCACTTTTGTCTATCTCTGTCAAGAACTCAGAACCTACCCTTCGCACCCACGCATCTCTAGTTCTCTCAACCACCCAGAAACACCTTCAGACAATCTCCATCATGAGCGACCAACAGTCTGAAGTCCGCACACCCTTCCCAGGCTATCAACAGGGACAGGAGCTGCAACTCCAGTTCACGGCTCCCGGACAACCGACTCGTCAGATCGCAGCCACCATCCTCCGCGTCAAGGAGCCTTTCACTTGCTCTGTCGCTTTGGTTGTCGGCATGATTCTAAACAACAACCCTGAAGTCTTCTTTCTGAAGCTCTATGACCATCGCTTTTCCCACGGCATGCGCGCACAATTTGAAATCGGCCCATACACCCCCGAGATCGCCACTGCATTCAACAACTTTGTCCAGACCGGCGGCGCCGATGCCTTTGGGCTCCACCTTACGGGACAGGTTCACCTGCCTGGTGTGGAAGGCTCAGAGTTCACCCCGGAGCAGGACGAGATCTTCGTAACCAAGAATCTCGACGGGCTATATCTGAGCGAGGTTGGCGCCTACGACGGCCTGCAAGCCTCCCAGGGCGTCTCCATCCCCCGGTTCATGGGCACATGCGTACTCGACGCCACCCCTCCGGGCTACGACAGCCACGAGTACTTCCAGATCGAGGGCATCGTCACCCAGTTCCTCCCCGGGTTCTCCCTCGAAGATCTGCCCCACTACGCTCCGCGGGGGCTCTGGCAGGAGATCGTTGACGCCGCCGTCGCGGTCACCCGTGAGGTCGACGCGGCCGACATGCTCAACATGGACACCCGTCCGGACAACTTTATCGTCGTGCCCCACCTCGAGGGCGGGTTCTTCAAGACCTACATGATCGACCTGGCCATGTGCGTTCGGCGCCGGGAGGGCCAGACCGACGAGCAGTGGGGCCGGGAGAAGTGGTGGCGCAACGAGGAGGGCTGTGTCGGCGAGGCGATGCAGCACATCCTGAGTCAGCATGACTTTGAGTTGCGCTTCGAGCGGTCGGACAAGTACGACGCGTATGCTCACCTGGCCGAGGCAGAGGAGGACGGCGATGGCGTTGAGGCGGAGTGAAGGGAAGGGAAGGGGAGTGGATGAGACTGTGGATGCCCAGAGGTGCCCTTCATCTCTGAGGCGCTGCCTCTTCTCAAAACCATATCAAGAGGTCTTCCTTGGACACGGCTCGCACGTACTACAGTCTGGCTCAGGACATTGTTCTGACTTGGGGAGAGGCATGGCAGGAGGAGTGATTAGTTATCGACCCAGTCAGGAGGAGAGGTTTACTAGATAAGAAAACAACGATACGAGGAGCCGAGTATACTCTTTAACTTTTTCTATTGCATGCAGAGAACTAGATCGCAATGTAACATCGCCCAATCCCGCTACCGAGCATATCATATGGCCTTGACCTCCCTCTTGAACCGGGGCACCTGCCTCGTGAACTTGGCCGGGTCGTCCCTCGCGCCGTCCTTCCAGTAGTCGTACTCGATCCAGGCGTTCTCGGGCATCTGCTCCTCCATCGCCGCCATCCACTTGCCCAGCTCCGGCGCCAGGGGGATGACGCCCGTCTCCAGCACGTACTCATCCCACAGCTTGATCAGCTCCTTGAGCCGCTCGGGCTCCTGCTCGGCCAGGTCGTGGACCTCGCCCGGGTCACGGGCCAGGTTGTACAGTTGCCACTTCTCCGGGCCGCGGGGCTTGGGGATGAAGACGATCTTCCAGTCGCCCTTGCGCACGGCGGCGCGCCCGCACGTCTCCCAGCCGTTGATGAAGTCCTTCTCGTGGATCGAGGGCGCCGCGTCGGTCAGGTACGGCACCATCGACTTGCCGCGCATGCCGACGACCTCGCGGCCCTGGTACGTGGGCGCCGGGTGCTTGGCGCCGGCCATATCGAGGATCGTGGGCGCCAGGTCCATGACGGTCGAGAACTGGTGCGAGATGCCGTTCTTCTCCATCTTCTGGGCGAAGACGGCGGGCGGCTTCATCAGGAAGGGCACGCGCACGCCGCCCTCGGTCGTGTAGGCCTTGAACAGCCGGCTCGGCGCCGTCGCCGCCTGCGCCCAGCGCGGGCCGTACCAGATGAACGAGTCGCCGTTGCCCAGGTTGTCGATGTGGTTGTTGTAGTACTTCTTGAGGTGCTGCATCATGGAGCCCTGCACGATGGGGTAGGTCTCATACGCCGCACCCTCAGCTCCGTTGTCTAATTTTGCGATTAGTTCGGTTCATGGGGACACTTGAAGCACAGAGTGGTGATCAGGGAAATGACATACCGCTCAGGAAGCAGACAAAGGTGTTGTCGAGCTCGCCGACCGACTCGAGGTAGTCGACGACCTTGCCGACGTTGACGTCGATGCACTCGACCATGCCGGCGAAGCACTCCATGGCGCGCGCCGAGTTCTGGCGCTCGGCCTCGGACATGTCCTTCCACTCCTTGACCTCGTCGGCGACGACGGGGTGCGCCTCCACCTCGTCGGGCACCAGGCCGAGCTCCTTGAGGCGCTGCAGGCGCTTCTCGCGCAGCGCGTCCGGCCCGTCGTCGTAGACGCCGCGATAGTGCTTGATGTACTCCTGGGGCGCCTGCAGCGGCCAGTGCGGCGCGGTGAAGGGGTAGTAGCCGAAGAAGGGCCGGCCGTCGTCCTTCTCCTTCCAGTCCCGGAGGTAGCTCAGCATCTTGTCGCCGTAGCCGTCGGACGAGTACCAGCCCTCGGGCAGCTTGCGGACGTACTCGCCGTCCTCGCTGTGCAGCGCGATGAAGCTCATGGACATGAACTCGGGGATGGGGTCGGGGGACTCGAGCTGCGGCTCGTAGGCGAAGTGGTTGCTGCAGGCGGGCAGGTGGGCGAAGCTGCGCTCGAAGCCGCGCACCTTGGGGCTGCGCTCGGGCGTCAGGCCCAGGTGCCACTTGCCCGACATGACGGTGTGATAGCCGTTGTCGCGCAGGATCTCGGGCAGGGCGACGACGCGCTCGTTGAGGTAGCCCTCGTAGCCGGGCATGCCGCGCTGCGGGGCCGTCGACATCTTGCCGTTGGGGTCGTTCTGGCCCGAGACGTTGGTCCACTCGATCAGGTTGCCGAGCCCGGCGATGTGGTGGTCGGTGCCCGTCATGATCATGGCGCGCGACGGCGAGCAGGCCGCCGCGGCGTGGAAGTCGGTGAAGCGCAGCCCGTTCTTGGCCAGCTTGTCGAGGTTGGGCGTCCGGATCTCGCCGCCGAAGCAGGAGAGGTCGGAGAAGCCCAGGTCGTCGGCGACGATGACCAGGAAGTTGGGGCGCTTCTGGCCAGCCATCTTGGGGGACGGGGATGGTAGGAGTAGGGGAGCGTTTAGAGAGGGGACGAGAGAGTGTGTGGAAGGCGAGAGGCAGATGTTACTTTCTCCAAACAAACAGAGAGGTAACAAGCAAGCTGACCAACACCGGAAGCTGTACGATGGAATGCGAGAGGTGAAGAACAAACAACCTCTGCTTGGATGTAAGGAAATGCTGTTTCTAATATGCTACCCCTCCATCTCCAACTCTCGGGCGTCTGCCGATCCAGAGCCCCGAGTCCCGTCTCCACCATGCGCCGCTCTCGGCCCCCTCGCTGTGATTCCGTCCTGCAGAGTGATGGTCAGGTTAGTTGACCTGCTGCTAACGGAAGTACTTGACTCTCCATCAACCCATCGGTTTTAGGTAGTGGGATAAGTACCAGAGCAAGGACATGCATTGTTAACATTGAGGTAGCTCCTGATGAACTTCCGCCAACCATTCTGGCCATCACTCGCCTGCATCATGCGCAGTGCCGCCATCCGACGGATAGGCTTGTCTGTTCTGCTCGGCTTGTGATCAGTCGTGCTACACGCGATCAGCAATATCCCATCCGTTCCAGGGAACTAGTGGAAGAGCCTGGTGGAGAAGGTGGTGAGCACTACGACGAGCGAAGCCCGAGGAGCGACGGCGGCTGGCGATTGGCCGGACGCTGGCCTCTCGGGGTTGCCTCTCCACAAGTGATCCCCAGAACCAATCTCCAGACGTTCCCCGCGCAACTCTGCGAGCGACCAACATGTGTGAGCCAGGTCTGAGACGAGTTCTACTCCACTTGGAGCCCTCTGTCGTCATCTCACTGGCTCGTGGGCCGTTTCCTGCGTGACCAATCCCTGCCCCTGGGCTGGCGAGGCGCGCGAGGAAACCTCGACAATACCACCGACCTTTGGTTTAAAGCCGGGCTAGTCTGGGCGAATCCCTTTCCTCGGATCTTAGAGACCTACATAAACCGCCGAAGATCGCGTCTGGGGTTATCCAGTTTCCGTCTGGTATCAAAACAAGCCAGTATCAAAGCCCTTTCAGCACTCAGTCTTCACCATGGTCAAGGGTACGACGCTCGGCAGGGTGCGAGCCTACTGGCTCGGCGCTGTAGTCTGCATGGGAGGCTTTCTGTTTGGCTATGACAGCGGAATGTAAGTGTTCCTCTCGCAGGCGACAGCCTTGTGTTCGTTTCCGTGCTGACTGATGGGGTAGCGTTGGTAAGTCAGCCATCGCCGTCGCGCGAGGTGGTGGAGAGCGTCCACTAATGATAACATCACAGGTGGTGTTTTGACTATGAAGTCCTTTGAGAGGGACTATAGATATGGGACAGGTGATACCACTCGGACCAACTCCCTTGCTGTCGGTCTGCAACAGCTCGGAGCCTTTGTGGCCTGCTTCCTGGCCTGGCCGATGACCAACAAGCTCGGCCGCAAGTATTCGCTCATGATTTCATCCTTTGTCTTCTGCATTGGCGCAGCCATCCAGACCATCAATACCCACTCTCTGCCCGCCTTCTACGTCGCCCGTGTTATCGCTGGCCTGGGCCTCGGGGCTGCAACGGTCGTCGTTCCCATGTTCAGCAGCGAGATGGTTCCCAAGGAGATGAGGGCCACCTGCGGTAGTTTCTTCCAATGGTTCTTCACTTTTGTATGACGCCCTGCAACTCTTCATCAAGTCTGGAACATTGCTGACTCTTCTAGGGCATCTTCACTTCCTACTGGATCGACTATGGTGTTGCCAAGCACGTATCACCGGACGAGGCCAAGCAGTGGCAAATCCCCATTGGCCTCCAGATCCTGCCCGCGGCCATGCTCGGTCTCGGAATGCTGACGCTCAAGGAGAGCACGCGTTGGCTTACCAAGAAGGGCAGACACGACGAGGCTTGGGAGAGTCTGAAGTGGATCCGGGCCGACGACTCTGAAGTCGCTCAGGCCGAGATGGACGAGATCCGTCAGGGTGTGGAGACCGAAGCCAGGGAGACAGAGGGCTTCCAGTTCAAAGGTGAGGCTCCCGTGGCTATGACGACTTCTGTGTCCTCACATGCTAATATGTGGAACTCCAGAACTCCTCCAGCGCGACAACTTCAAGCGTATCTTTACCGCCTTCGCGATCTTCGTTGCGCAGCAAGCGACCGGGGCGACTGCCTTTGCCTACTTCGGCCCCCAATACTTCAAGCTCCTCGTTGGAAACAACCCGGACCAGAACCTGCTCTTGACGGCCATCTTCGGCGCCGTCAAGGTCGTCGCCTGCGGCCTCTTCGTCATCCTGGTCTCCGAGCGCGTCGGCCGCCGCGTCATCCTCATCGGCGGCGCCTTCGCCATGGCCTGCTGCCAGATCGTCACGGCCGTCGTCGTCAAGACCAAGCCCCCGCCGCCGGGCGGCGACGTCACGTCGTCGGGCATCGCCACCATCGCCCTCATCTACATCTTCGTCATCTTCTACAACTTCTCCTGGGGCCCCATGCCCTGGCCCTACGTCTCCGAGATCTTCCCGACGCGGATCCGCGAGCCCGGCATCGCGACCGGCGTGGCCGCGCAGTGGCTCTTCAACTTTGTCTTCTCGCTGACGACCCCGTACATGATGGCGAGCATGGGCTGGGGCACATTCCTGCTCTGGGGCCTCTTCGACGCGGCCATCGGCGTCGTCGCCTTCTTCTTCCTCAAGGAGACGCGCGGCTTGTCGCTCGAGACCATCGCCCACCAGGAGTTCAAGAAGGGAGAGAACGCCGCCATTGTGTACGAGCAGAGGAAGGCAGCTGAGGACATTGAGCAGACGAAGGCCACTGATGACGTCGAGCACAGTGAGAGCCGTGGCTGAGTACTGGAAAGGGACCTCTGATGTGTACTCTCATTTGTAAATTATGTGGACGTCCGATTTCATCCGGCGCCGACAGAGAATAGTCGAGGCGGTAATGTAAACTGGACAGGGGTTCTTGTGTAGTGGGATGAAGTCCTTGTCCAGAAACAGTGTTGATAATTAGGGGAACAATGTATGCCTTTGGTCACCCCGTGTTCAGTCTTCTATATTTCTACGGGTTGGCGAGATTGAAGATGGTTTAGTCGCCTGGACAAGCTCAACACGTACGTATTCAAGGCCTGGGAACAGTCCAAACCCTACGCAAGACGTGGGATGAATATTCATATATATGCCCCTGACGACAGCCAGTGCAGAGAGTAAGTAGTCCTCAGTCTCCTTTTGAATTGCAGAAGCTCCCCCGGAATATCTGGCCATGATTGCGGACGTGAGCCAGATTGGCTAGTGTTCCTTGTTTGGGGAGGATTTGTGATGAACGGTGCAGGCACGGGCGACGAGTCAGCCTCGGAGCTGCTTGTGATTTTCTGTTGGTCATGGGAAAGCAGGGAGCATCAGTCCTGTGCCCCTGGTGCCTTCCAGCTTGCTTCATTTAACCTCGTTTGGGAATTCGGAACATTACTTCCCCCTCGGAGGGGAGTGGCTCACCAGTGTAGGCAGTCTTTCTCGAGACTGTTTTACACTCGCCTGGTTCAGCCAATACCAACACCATCCTTTTGACCACCAACTCGCTGTTCCTTGGAGTTTGCCTTTATCCTGCATTTCCATTTGCCTCCAAGTGTATCTTCAGGACTACCCACGACAAAAAGACAAGACCCGCAGAATCTATTTGTCCTTCCTCTTGCCTTTCTCTCCCCGAGCAAGCATTACAGTCACGGTCTCACAGCACTTTGAGTGGGCCAGGTCTCAAAATCGCCTTGTTTCCGTGGTCTTCTTTGGTACCATCAGCCAAGGCGAGTGTATTGAGACAATCCAGGATGTGCTGAAAGACTACAGCTATACTACGCACTGGCCAGACGGGGTGGATGGACGTATCGCCAGGGGGATCTCACCGGTGTTACATCGAGTTCGACCGTGCGGCTGACGCTGATTCTACAATGTCTTTCTGGAAGACTCCTTGGGTCCGGGCGGCCAGAATGAGGGTGGGTGGCTTGCTAGACTGTATAGTAGAAGGGATGGCCCTCGCTAACTCCCCGCAGCCACTACCTGGACCGGCGACACTTACCTCCATCGGCGACACCGCCCTCGGACTCGCAAGTCAGTCCACTGGCACTTCCTCCTTCCCAGCCCTTTGAGAGTGCTTGTCCTTCATTTCCGACTGGGTTAGGCACCCATCCGCCTGCTCCAACCTCGAGTACAGATCCACCTACCGCATCCATGGAACCACTTTCAAACTCCATCTCACCATGTGCTTTTTATATCGAACAAGATTCTGGAAATTCTGTGAGCGACACGTCGGGGGCTCCAAGCTGCCCCCCACCGCCCGGTTCTCTGTTGACGAAGGATCACCTCCGCCAGGGAGGGTACGGTCAGCGGCAGCGATCTCAGCGGGCAGCATCCAGAGGGAACAGAAAACGGGGCAAGTGGTGTGGAAAAGGCGTCGACGAGGAGCAGATCTTCTGGGTTGTGCCAAATCATGGGCAACTTGAAGCTTACAGGGTCTCCTCATCGTTACTTTCGCTCCTCAAGGTTGCAGTTACTCGTCTCAGTAGTAAGATGACGGCTCTTGATATATTGACTCTCGGTTCTTTTAATTACTACTCGGCATCTAGGAAGCAAGAAACGTTTGCATGTGCACCGCAACACATGCTTTTGTTATCAACGATAGGATCATGGAGATATCTTCAGCGAAAGTGCAGAGAACGAAAGCACCCGTACTTATATAATTAGCAAGGCGGTCTTGACACTTCCTAGAAGAGCACAGTCGCCAAGAATGATCATGTTCATCCTGTTTATCCTGTTCATCCTGGCCTTCTTGTGTGACGGCTCATCCCTGTACCGCTTGCTTGTCAATGAGTGAAAGACACCATGCCCTCAACAAATCATCAAACTTGGCCCTCGCCCACCGCGGGCCGTCTCCAAAGCAAACAAAGGAATTAGAGAGGATGTCTAAGAAACTCTCGATGAGGTCCGCTCCCTCGCTCTGTTGCGACTCGTGTCTATGGTTATGCCTCGCCTCCCATCGGTCAAGTGCGGGCGTCGCCAGCACGGCAAAGACGTCATCGCCGACAATCTCTCTGATCCGCTTCTCGGCGGTGATGGGCGACAGCCAGTCAATGCCGGACCCTGTGGAAGAGGGCGTGTCGTGATCGATAATGGGGAATTGCAGCGTCTCCAGGCGAGAAGGATGCTCGATCCCATCGCGGGCTGCCTCCCGTCGGGCGAGGTCCACGCGCTCATCCACCATCGCGATCCACTGGTACGGCTCCGTGTGTTGCATAGACTTGGACCTCCGCAGCAGGTCGACTAGCCTGGGTGGGGGCTCTGCCGCCGTGGTGGAGTGCTCGAGACTGTTCCGCGGACTGATTAGGTCGCCGTACAGAGCTGCTTCGAACTTTTCGGTCAGATGCCAGAAGATCCGCCCTGAAATCGTCAGGGCGCCCATCCCGAGGAATGGGAGGACTGTAGCAGCTCCGTGCTCGCAGCGGTAGTACTGGAATGGGTCTCGACTGACGCTCGTGTGAGGTAGCCTTTGTCTGATGAGTGCGCTGACTTGGTCGGCTCGGGCTTCTTCGCTATCGGCAGCGAGCCAGCCATCTTCTCTCAAAGCTGATGCCGAATGCAGATTCGATGTTGCAGAACTATGAGGGTCCAAAAAGGGTATATTTGATATCCTGAACCTGCTCCGGGTGCCGCCCGACGCTGGTGTGCCGGGACCCGGTCTAACGCCGGCAAGCTCGGCCGCATCCCGGACCAGGGACCGCAGTGCGGGGCGGTCGTTCTCGCTGATCTCGCCCATTATGCTCTCGAGGGCCTGCTTGAGCCTGGAATTCTCTTCCAGCATGTCCTGACGGGCCTGCGACTGGCGCTTGCGGAAGGCGCTCTGTGCGGCGCGGCCGCGATTGCGGCGTCGCTTCAAGGAGATGTTAATAGCAATCATCAAGACAGGCTTCTAGGTCCACAACGAGCTGCCTACCTCGATCCTTGCTTGGTCGTCGCTCATTTCTTTCCGTCTTAGTCGCAATTGCCCAAATGGTCTGCGCTACTAGGTTGATAATTGTTGGTAATGCCTTTTCTTGAACGGGATTTGGAGATGCGTCGTTACGTGATGTCTTACGTGAGCAGGGCGGTTACGTGATTCTTGCCTATTTGGGGACCTAGCGTTGTCAGCCTCGACTACATACCGACAAATACAAGACTCGAGCTATGTCCACCCCTTTTAGACGCATGGGCTTCCGGAAATCTCATGCTATCCATTAGTGATGAGTAGCTAATGGCCAGCAAGTAGCTCCGTGATATTGTCTTCCCGCACCCCCATCAACCATCAAGTCATTACTCCGCCTTCTCTGGGATACGCATAAGAATGGTGCAGCTAGAGTACATCTGGCAGACGGAAGTCATCTTCATGAAACCAACCTGACTTGAAAATCGCTAAATAAGTAGAGCATTTACTTGGCTAATTGTCTAACATTCGGATTCCCTAAGTTCAAACGAAACATGAAATTGGGGCTTGGATCCATGGAAGGGGAGTGAATGATGCACTGATTTGGTCACAGATTGTGTCTACTTAAGAGTTTGACATGTAGGTTTGACAAGCTGAGCCACCAAACTCTCATCTTGGTAACGCACTGGTACTAGATATCCACGATTGAGCGCTTTCAACACCGCAGTGCCCTTAGACACGCTTGATCTCCTCCGCATTCTCCTCCTTCTTGGTCTCGCCAGCCGCCTCGTAATGGCCGGCCTCGGCAGCGGCCACCTTGTCCAGCACGGCGGCGCGGGGCCCCTCGAAGACCTCGCGGATCTCCTCGAGCGTGTGGCCCTTTGTCTCGGGGAAGAGGAACCAGATGATGACAAACAGCACGCACAGCAGGCAGCAGAACACGAGGTAGTACTTCCAGCCGATGGCCTTCATCGCGATCGGGTTGACCTGGTTGCCGACGATGAGGCCGACGAAGGAGACGATGTAGGTGAAGGACAGGCCGCGGCTGCGCAGCGTGTAGGGGTAGATCTCGACGGGGTAGGCCTGCAGCAGCGGCGTCCAGGCGATGTCGTAGAAGAAGTAGAAGATGAAGATGAAGCCGACGACGGCGCGGCCGGTCGCCTCGTTCTTGCTGTCGACGAAGTGAGACGTGAGGGCGGTCCAGACGGCGTAGCTGGCCGCCATGCCCGCCGTCGAAGCCAGGAACAGCGTGCGGCGGCCGAGGCGGTCGACCATCATGGCGCCGGCGAAGATGGCGGCAATCCAGTTGAAGATGTTGAGCAGGCCGTTGATGAGGGCCTGGTCCTTGGTCTCGGTGATCCCGATGGTGTTGAGCACCAGGACCAGGTAGTAGCTGACGACTCCGTTGCCGGCCCACTGACTGAACCAGCCTACGACGGCGGCAATGAGGGTCCGTCTCCGGTTGGCCGGGGTGCGGAACAGCTCGAGCCACGAGGACTGCGAGACCGTATCTGCCTCCTCCGTGATCACAAGCTCCATTTCCTGCAGTTCGAACTCGACCAGCGTAGAGTTGGGATCGCCTCCGCCATGATACTTGGTAAGAATGGCACGAGCCTCTTCCTTCCGGCCCTTGGAGATAAGCCATCTGATGCACACTGTCAGCTCTCGACCTCTTCGCTTCTGATCGCTCGGTCTTACCTAGGGGATTCGGGTAGGAACCACAATCCGAGCAGCTGGAAGATAGGCAGCGAGCCCTGCAGCAGCGAAGGGATTCTCCAGCTCCAGGTGGACCCGATCTTGAACGTGCCGTACGTGCACCAAGCAGCGTAGATCGAGCCGACATACTGGGAGACGCGATCTGTCAGCATGTTTCACCCGTTGCTACTCCCCGCGGACGCAGTCGTCACTTACGAAGAAGGTGTTGTACAGCGCAGTCAGCTTACCACGCTGCGTCGGGTAAGCCAGCTCACTGATGAGGATCGGGCTCGGCTGGCTGATGAACGAGGTGAAGAAACCGAGCAGGGCCCTGGCCGTGACAAACGCGGGCAGCGTCTGAGCAAGACCCTGCATGATGGCAAAGCCGATGCAGGTGACCAAGCCAATGAGGAGGGGGAGTCGTCGCCCGTAGCGATCCGAAACCCATGCGACGAGAAAGAGGGCGACGACCTTGCCCAGGGGGTAGACGGCATTGATCAGACCGAGGATGGCGCCCTCCGGGTTGTTGAAGAATGTGCGCCACTGCTTGAGTGTTTGAAGACCGTTCATCATCGAGCCTAGAGGAAGGAAGGAGGATGGCATTAGCAAGGTGTCAACGATAGGTAGTGTGTATGCCGAGAGCTGTCAAGACTTGCCATCGTAGCCAACGGATGCGGAAGACATGAGTGGCACCAGAAGGATCAAGTTGAGCTGAATGAGATGGGCGGTCCGGTACCACGGCTTAGGGTTCTCGGGGAGGACCTAAAGGGCTTCATGGTTAGATTAGAGCTGGAATAGAGTCAAAGTTGACGCAGCTAAGAGTGGCATACCGCTGCGAGACCAGAGCCAGCAGCTCTTGTGGCCTCTGTGACTCCTTGGCCGCCATTGCGTTTGAAGAAACCCATTGTTCTCTTGTGGAGGGTGTAGAATCAAACTGCGAGGCTCTGCTGAGATTGCTGGACTGGCGGGGATCGACATTGTCAAAGCTGCATGGGAATTACGGAGCCTTTTAAATCTTAAATTGAAGTCTAGATCTGACGCGAGATCCCGCATCCACGATCCGGGGGACGTTCTCCTCGCTTACTCTCGACGCCATTGAACGAGGCGGCACTCCAGCTCGGCAATTTCAATCGCCTTGTTAATATAGCGGCGCTTAGAGAACTCCCCACTTCGTATCCCAAAGTCTGGTGAAAGGACTTCGTTCCTCCAGGTCTGGGGTTTGCCAAGGCTGGCAACGCCGCGTGCTATGCACGAGAAATCCCAATAAACTCGTGTGGAGGGTTGCTTTTGACCATCTTTTCCCCAGTTCTGATGCACGAGAAACGCCGGCGATTAGCCGACCTGACCTCGACTCGGGAGTTGCCCCAACTAGGAAGCCAAAAGGTGGGAACTTGTGGAGGCGGATGCAACTTTGCCAAGACGTCCCGGCCCTTATTACGGGGAAATGACCATGTTAGGAGCTGGATTCCAGAGCCTAGAAGGTAGTTCAGAATGAAGAAAAGTTCTCCGCCCTCTTGTTCAAGGCTTGATTAGACCAACTGAGGGACTGTTACTATTGCATCTGAAAATCTCTGTTAAGGGCAGTCTTGCGTTCTTGGCGTTCATGCTCTTGGCGGTTCGGTGTCTGGTTTGTCTGTCAGAGTTTGTCCGGTATGTGGTGTGTTGGGCGAATCTATCTCCCTGCCTCCCTGCTCTCTCAACCAGCCATGCGGGAACGAGATTAACAATTCGAGGAGAGACAAGTCGACCAAAGTATAGCCTTGTTTGGCAATGGTCAGGAGCCAACAGGGAGCGAAAACTTGAAGTGCACCATTGCTTCTCGGAGCCTAAGCACGAAATCACAGATTGCTGGCTTGTCTCGACTTGTTTGCAAAGGACCCTCTCGACTCAACCAGCCAATTTCTTATCTGAAGACTGAATCATCTCCGTCTCGGCAATGACATCCAACGACGTCGACGAGAACTTCCAGGCCGGGATCCGCTTCTCGAACAACACATCGAGCTCCTCGTACGTCCTCCCGCGCGTCTCGGGCAAGCGAAACACACTCCACACGGTCGTGAGGAAGGCCAGGCCGAACCAGAACAGCGCCGTCTTGCCTCGCAGGTTCGCCTCTGTCGGGTTGATCAGGTAGGGCTCGATGGTGTTGTTGATGATGTTGACCACGTTGTACGCATTGCGCGCTACGCAGATCGTCTGGATCCGCAGGCGCGTGGCACTGACCTCAGCCGCGAGTGCGAAGGACTGCGGCCCGAGAGTGGCAGAGTAGATCCCGAGCCAGACGATGGCCAGGGCGGCCTGCGCCCATTTTGCCGTCTCTTGGTTCTTTGCAAAGTCTAGGAGGCCGATGACGAGCAGGTCGATGGTCAGGAGACCAAGTCCCGTGATGATGAGCGTGCGACGACCAAAGAACGTCATCAGACCCCAAGAGATCATGGTTGCCACAAACGCTACGCCCATACTCCCGAAGTTGAGCTTGTAAGCATCGCCCGCCGACAGGCCAGCCTGCGTGAAGAAGAAGCTGGCTGAGTAACAGAGGGCTTGACCGGGGAGGCTCTGAGCCGACAGCGTCATGCATGCTATCTCCGTTCGCCTCAGGTTTGTGCCTTTGAAGCAGTCCACGTAAGATGACTCGGTTTGCACAGCGACTTCAAAGTCGTTGGTATGGACCATCATCGCAACCTTCTGCTGAACTTCCTCTTCGGAAAGCCCTGTTGAGAGTCTCTTGAGAGACTTGAGCGCATCATCTGCTCTCCCACGGCGGATCAACCACCATGGCGAGTCTGGTGCAAAGAAAGCCACGATGATCAGGGGCACTGGCCACGCCCACTGTATGGCAAAGGGGATCCTGTATGCCCACTCCGTGGAGTTGTTCACCAGCCCCTGAAGAACGCCCGCGCAAATGAGCTGCCCGAGAACCCAGCAGATGTTAACGAAAGACGTCAGATACCCACGGACGGCCAAGGGACATATCTCGGAACTGTAGGCACTGCCCTGGATACTGAACACTCCCCAGGGGATGCCGACCAGGAGCTGCCCGACGCATAGAACCTCTACCGAAGGTGCGAAGAAGGATATGAAAATAAGGCCGGACATGATGATCAAGCCCCAGATGGTGACCATGCGGTGGCCGTACCACTCCGTCACGTACCCGTTGATGGCCAGGCCAATGACAGCACCGCACTGGGAGGCGATGCCGAGCCCTACTTGCCATGATCCCGAAATCACGTACCGGTCGATCTCCGGGTGATACGTTCCATACTTCTTTGCAAAGGGCGGAAAGGCGAAGAAGCTGCTGAGGAGGATGGTATCGTAACCCTCCATGACACTGGATACTTGTTAAGGTGTGTCAAACTGAGACGTGCTGGAAGGATGGCCTTACATCGTGAAAGACATGGCAATAGCCCAGAACACGGCTTTCGGATATCGTCTGAAGGCCTCTCTTACCGTGAGCGAGTGCTCATCGTCAGTGGCTACGGCAGCGGCATTGTCAATCTCAGCTCGCCGCTCTCGATGCACCGCTTCTGCTCTACTGTCCTGCATAATCTACAGCCAAGATAAGATCGAAAGGTGATTAAGGTGTCGTTCTCGATGCTGACGGAGTCGTCGCGTACGAAGATGTCAAATACACTGGGCGAGACAAGTGAGGGGAGAGCAAAAGTTACAGGGTCAACTACTTAAGCATCACTGCATGGGATCAGTCCAGGCCGATAACATGCCGACGGACAGGGTTCTCTATGGTGTCGATCGGCGAGAATCCCGGGACTTTGGTGAGGTGCAATTAACCGCCCCTGGGGACGTCTCTAGGAACTCCCACATCTCGCCAACTTGGAGATAATACGCTTATTCACTCCTCCCTCACGCACCTGGGTCCGGTGCCCGGCCTCCTGAGACCAATTTCCCACCAGTTCCTGTGCCGCTTCTCTATCCAGTCAAGATCTGCATACCCCGCAAGATACGATGATCGGGGGGGATGTATTGCGGAGGTTCGAGACTGAGATTGCGGGGGTTAAAGAAGCTTTAAAGTGGCAGCCTTCGGCATTGGGCGCCGATGACCGGGTGGGGATGTCCATTCTCGGCCGGAGCTAGTCCGACGACAGCACGGGAGGACTAAGTGGTCAAAAGCTGTCCGCCAACCTAGCAGAAACGTGTCTGAGAATTAGTCAAGATATTTCACTTTGTGTACCCGGTTAACCTTTCCAGCAGCCAACCGGGTATAGCCTGAGACTAGCAATAGAGCAATAGTGTAACCGCACTCATCCCTGATCCGTTGTCTACTCATCGAGCGAGCTGAGCCAATCTTCTCGGGGCCCCGTTTCGCGACAACGCCGATCATCGGTAGAAGTGGCACAACGGACCTGACAAACGAGCGAACTCCCGCGCCCCATTTACTTTCTGCCTAGCCATCCAAGCCGCCCAGGACTGCTTGTTGCGTAGCATCCAGACCCTGATATCCCAAGCGTCACCTGAGAAATTCCGCTGAAGATGGCACCCCTCCAAGCCGATTACCTCGAGCGCGTCTACGCGGGCGTCCTGGGGAAGCTCATCGGCGTGTACGTGGGCCGGCCCTTCGAGGGCTGGACTCACCAGAGGATCCTGGCGGAGCTCGGCCCCGTCAAGCATTACGTCCACGAGCGCCTGGGGCTGCCCCTCGTCGTCACCGACGACGACCTCTCGGGCACCTTCGCCTTTGTGCGCGCCCTCGAGGAGCACGGCGTGTCGCCGGACCTGACGGCCGAGGACGTCGGGCGCACGTGGCTCAACAACGTCGTCGAGCGCCGCTCGGTCTTCTGGTGGGGCGGCCGCGGCGTGTCGACCGAGCACACGGCGTGGCTGAACCTGAGCGAGGGGGTCTGGGCGCCGCGGAGCGGCTCGATCGCGCAGAACGGCCGGACGGTGGCCGAGCAGATCGGCGCGCAGATATTCATCGACGGCTGGGCGCTCGTGGCGCCCGGCCGGCCGGAGCTCGCCGCCAAGCTCGCCAAGGCGGCTGGGTCCGTCAGCCACGACGGCGAGTCGGTTTATGCGGCCGTGCTGTGGGCCGCCATGGAGGCCGAGGCGTTTGTGTCAAAGAACGTGGACCACTTGCTCGATACTGGGTTGCAGTACATCCCTGCCGAGTCTGACATCGCTCGTATGATCGGACAGGTCCGGGCCTGGTGCAAGGAAGACGGCGAGTGGGCAAAGACAAGACAGCGAATCGAGGATACGCATGGTTACGACAAGTATCATGGCGTTTGCCATGTCATGCCCAACCACGCCATCATGGTCATGGCTCTTATCTACGGCGGCCACAGCTTCCACGAGGCGATGCACATTATCAATACCTGCGGGTGGGATACCGACTGCAACTCTGGCAATATAGGTTGCCTTGTTGCGATCATGCACGGCTTGTCCACGTTTGAGGGTGGTCCTGACTGGCGAGGGCCCCTTGCGGATCGTGCACTCATCTCTAGTGCCGACGGGGGATACTCGATCAATGATGCAGCACGCATCGCCATCGACGTTGCCAACTTGGGATACCAGCTTGCTGGCGAACCGCCCCTAAAAGCCCCCAAGGACGGTGCACAATTCCACTTCTCTTTGCCAGGGAGTGTCCAGGGTTTCCAGTCCACTGGAAGCAGTGCCAAGGTTGAACAGGGCTCGGATGACCAGGGAACATCGGGATTGGCTATTCGCATCCAGGGGTTGACGGGATCATCGAACCCAGTTGAAGCCTTGACTCAGACATTTTCACCGAGAGAAGTAGAACGGATGGGACCGACATACCCTTTGATGTGCTCGCCGCTAGTATATCCAGGGCAGAAGGTGTTTGCCAATGTCAAGACCGAGGGAAAGGGCGGTCCTGTGAAAGTCCAGCTTCGCCTGAAACACTATAGCGAGAACGATGAGCTGATGTCCCACGATGGAACTAGCGTGGAGCTTGTACCAGGTACCGCCCAGAGAATGGAATGGACTATCCCTGACACGTTGGACAGCCAACCTATACAGCAGCTCGGACTTGCAGTCTCGACAACCGGCGATCCCTTCGAAGGCACTGTCTGGCTGGAGAGTTTAGGATGGAGCGGCATACCTCGGACTGTGTTCCGCCGGCCGGCCGCCAAGGAATGCAAATACTGGCATGATGCATGGGTGACCAGCGTTGACGACTTCCACATGCGCATGATCCCATCCTTTCACATCGTCAAGAACAGCGGCGAAGGGCAGATCAGCATTGGCACAAGAGAGTGGGCCGACTACAAGTTCACGGTCCACAAGCTCAAGGTCACCTTTGGGAACTGGGCAGGCGCCATCGTGAGGACGCGAGGCTTACATCGATACTATGGCGTAATCTTGAGCAAGGATGCGAAGGGCAACAGTTGTCTTTCGGTCGTCAAGGCTCGAGACGAGCACCGCCGTGTGCTAGCATCCATACCTTTCGACTGGGGCATTGATGCGGAATACGAGATGGCAGTGGCTGTGCAAGGGAACAAGATCAGGGCTGAGGTTGGGAGTGCGTCGATTGAGGCGAGTGATAAGGATGGACCATACTTGAGCGGCGGAATGGGACTGGTTGTGCAGACCGGATCCCTCAGCGCCGACAGTTTAGAAGTCTCACCAATCGAGATATGATTAACTCTACACTGGTTGGTACTGTTGTCTGTTGCTAGATGCTCCTCACTAATCACTCGTGGTGGAAAGCAAAGAGACGTCATCATAGCTCCTCATATCAGTGGAATTTTCACACAAATGTGCTACAACCGTAGTCTTCTCAAGATAAAAAAAGAAATAAGAGCCCAAGGCCAAAGTACCCGATTTGTGCTCAGATATAAGAAAACGCTCGCAAAGTAATAACCCCCAAAACAATATCCTATAACCATACCATCAATTTTCCTGGTTATTGCTCCTCAACTAGTACTCCACGAGTTCCCCCATAGTAGCGTCGATGTACTCCTTCTGCTCCTCTAGGAAATCCTTCACACCCTGGAGGTCGAACTTGCCTCTGTTCTCCTGCACCCGCTCCATCATGATGCGGAAGCGCTCCTCGAGGGTCTTGAACCGATACGAGGTGAACTGGCTGTACAGCGTGTTGGGCTCGCTGATGGGCCGGATGCTGGTCAGGACGCACTCGTCCTTGGCCATGGCGTCCTTAGGGCGGAACGAAGTGACCATGCTGATCCGCTCGCGGCCGCCCACGGCCTTGAGCGCGAGGTGCTCGATGTACCGGCCCTGCATGATGACGGCCGTCCCCTGGGTGGGGCCGCGGACCTTCACGGTGCCGCCGTCGCCGGTGCGCATGACCGTCTCGCCGCCCCGCATGTTGGCGCAGTCCGAGAGCATGGTCACGCAGACGAAGGGGTAGCTGTCGCGGTGCCAGGCGTAGGCGCACATGTCGGGGTCGGTCTCTAGCTTCTCGTCCCGGCTCCGCGCGGCGCCCGGGTCGTTGACGGACGCGTTGACGTGGCCCACGTCCCAGGACAAGACGGGGACGAGCTCGATGCCGGCAATCTTGGAGATGTGCGCCAGCACGGTGGGGTGGTGCCACGCCGCGAAGATGAAAGGTGCCAGTCTGATTGCCGGAGGTTAATAGTGTAGCCCACTAAGGTAACAGTATATTTGATGATGGCAAGAACGGCTTACTCGGGTCCATATCCCCTGATCATGTTTGTGGCGAACGCACTAGCGTACTGCGAGTTCGCGAGCACAGCCTCGGAGAACAGCTCGCGGCGGAACTGCAGGATGGCGTCCGGGGTGAAGAGCGAGAAAGGGTCCGAGGCTGCGGTGTTGGAGATGCCCTCTCCAGCCAGACCGATTTGCTCCATGGTGTAGACTTGAGCAGGGTCCTGGATCTTGAGATGAATGGCAGGGTCAAAGTCGACCTTGGGCGTGCCCCGAGCCTCCTCGATCAGCCAGTCTGGCAGCTGCTTTGACGGACGGTAGGGCTTGAGGTTGCCTGGAGCGTTGACTGGCGGTGCACGCAGCGTGCGGGCCGGCTTTAGGATAGTCGTAGTGGCCATGATTGAGATTTGAGGGTTTGAAAAACCCTAGATTTGTGAGGACGGGTAAGCAGTCGATGATAGCCTTTATTGCTACAGCTTGCAAAGCAACTAACGTGACAACTAGTGGGCATTGGCGAGATCGGAGATATATTTGACAAGGGGAGAGCGAGAAGGAGGGTGAGTGAAGGGAGCAAGGCAAGGGCGGCATGGTGTGTGGGACAGAGTATCTACCTTACGGGAGAGCCTTGCCGGGGACACTTTAGCTGGACGAGGAAGAGAATGGAAGAGACTCGCCTATTAGACTGCTTGCCGAGATATCAAGATGCCCATCTGGACTATGGTGACTTTGAAGCTGGGCTCTTGGTAAGGCACCCCGGCGGTAGCATGAGGCATGCGTGCTTCTTTCTGTGATAATCTGCAGCTGTACGGCAGGGTCAGGCATATGTGCATCTTCCATCAACGAGACTTGATACGTAATAATGCTGGATCGTGTGGTTCGCTAGAGGTTTCTAGACTCTCAAAGCCCGTTCAACTGCATAATGCAATGGAGCGCTGATTCAGATTGGCGTGGCAGTCCCCAATCGGGAATCGAAAAAGCAAGGCACCCCTCCCACCTTCACAAACCCTGGTCTAATCGGATTGAAACCATTTGCGGTGGCCGTCACTCAGGTTAGACTTGCATGTCTCCGCCACCTCCTCATCACCTCCGTTAACGGCTGCAGAAGAGAGGGTGTGGCACTCATGCAGCAACTTGCGGAGGTGACTGCAACATGCCCATCTAATGCCAATCCAATGATGGGTGACAGCGGTCGGGGAACCACGCGGAAGTACCAGAGAGGCCCAAATTGTGATGCCGATCCTAAAGACAGTTCGCGAGAATCTGTAATAACAAGTGAAAAATACAACCCCACAAGCGCTGGTAGAACCGGTCAGACGTTTACTGACAGTTGACAAGTGCGAGGCAGCCAGTCATATCGAATTGTAGTGCTGACAGAGGACCCAGGTAGCATGCGGCCCTTGCATCTATCCCAGCGGAAGCATGGTCTCGAACAAGGCGTGCAGACGCAGGTGAGCATGTTTGTGTTGCTTATATCCGATTCGCTCATTTTGTTAAGGTTATGATCGGATGGAAATCTCCTGGATCGACGTTCCGAACTCTTTCGGCCTGGCCGCCATCCTCCATACTAGGGGAGATCCTTCGAGTGATAGACATGTTCAGGATGAGAGAGTCCGAGATAGTGGCAATGGCAAATGCATACAGCCTGGTCAGAGACCCAAGCTCGCATCCCGTCTCTCGCATTTGGCATATGGATATGGTCAGCATGGCCGCGTTCATTATTTCCATGAGTACAAGATGTCCATAGACGGCCTAGACACTTTCACCTTTCGCCCCCAATGCCAATCTCGGTTGTTGTTGGCCATAACTATAGCCTGTTCCTCCGGCAGCGTCGATGGGCGTCGAGAAAGCAGACTGGTGAGGGCAAGAGAGATTTTCTCGAGGAGGGCTCATCCAGGTGGAAAGGTTTGCCATCTTTCGCCTATTCTCTCCTCGCCATTGAGGCAGCGGGTTGCGAGATGGTTTGCTTCTTGTTTGTAGATTCGACTTTCAGACCGACATCTTTAATATCATGAACATGTATGCTCAAAGATCCTAGACAAATTCTGTAGATGCACAAGAATAATCCTGACATAACCAGGCAATTATTTGATATCATTAGTCGTTCAAGCAGGGTCTGGGTTGGAAAGAAATGCGGAGTGAGATCACGCCTGGGGAACGGGCCACTGAAAATGCAGGTACAGGCGGCCCGGGCCAGAAGGGTTCGCTCAGTGGGGCAGCGCTATCTCGAAAGCCTGCAGGCGAGACCTAGGCGGCTGTGCTCCAACTCGGAGCTGTTGTTCTGATCACCGAGCGTGAGGGCATATTGCAAAACTTGACCCTTATTGCCAAAACACGTATTTAGTCTGGCGGTGCGAAGGATGCAAAGATCACTACAACGAAAGCTCGCTCCAGGGCGAACAGAAAATAATATCCAAGATTTACTTTTCTATGGTATAATGCTCACAATCTAAATGTACTTGTAGGGGTTCATGATGCCGTTCTGTTTCAGTTCAATACCGGATTAGCGGATGACGTTCTCCAGAAAAGAGAGGGGATTCTGGTGTCGGATCGGGAAGATCCCTTTCTGGGAAGACTTACCGGGTCGTACAGCGCCTTGAGCTGCTTCATCATGCCCAGGACCACGTCGTTCTGGCTGTAGCCGATGAACTGCTTCTTGGCCAGGCCCAGGCCGTGCTCGGCGCTGATGCTACCCCTGCACTCCTTGATCCACTCGTAGACCCAGGGCTCGAGCGCCTCCTCGACCTCCTTGCTGTAGCGCCGCACGGCGATGTTGAGGTGCAGGTTCGCGTCGCCCATGTGGCCGTAGCCGACGACGGTGCGCACGGGGAACGAGTCGTCGTCGCCGACGAGGCCGAGGCGCGTCATGCGCTCGAGCGTGTCGTCGACGAGCCGGTACAGGTCCGACAGCGGGATGGACACGTCGAACTTGTAGGTGCCGCCGAGGTGGCTCAGCGTCTCGGTGATGCCCTCGCGCCAGGCCCAGAGGGCGCGGAACTGCGTCTCGTCCTGGGCGAGCACGCCGTCGGCAACGATGCCCTCGCCCATGATGTGCTCGAAGAACTCCTCAAGCTTGGCCATGTCGTGCTCGCCGTTGGAGCCGTGCGTCTCGACGAGGCCGTAGAAGGGGTACTCGCCCTCGATGGGCAAGGGGTTGCCCGTGGCCTGGCCGACGAGGCGCTGGCTGCGGCCGTCCATGAGCTCGAAGGCGGACAGGATCTCAGACAGGCGGCCCTTGGCCTCCTTGAAGGCCTCGCACATCTTTTCGTAGCTCTCGAAGCCAAAGTAGGCGACGTTGACGGCCTTGGGGCGGGCGGGGCACTGGACGGCGGCCTTGGTGATGACGCCGAGGGTGCCCTCGGCGCCGATGAAGAGCTGCTTCAGGTCGTAGCCCGTGTTGTTCTTGCGCAGGGTCGAGAGGGTGTCGACGACGGTGCCGTCGGGCAGGACCGCCTCGAGGCCCAGAACGCTGCCGTGCAGGGACCCGTAGCGGAGGAGGCGCAGACCGCCAGCGTTAGTGGCGATGTTGCCGCCGATGTGGCACGAGCCCTTGGCGCCGAGGTCGAGCGGAAACAGGTGGTTGCGCTCGGCCAGGTACTGGTCGGCGACCTCGAGTATGACGCCGGCGTCGGCGACGAGCACGCCCGACCGCTCGTCAAAGGACTCGATCCTGTTCATGCGCGACAGGTTGAGGATGATCTCGTCAAAGACAGGCACGGAGCCGCCCACCAGGCCGGTATTACCACCCTGGGGCACGACGGCGAGCTTCCTGTCGTTGCAGTACTTGAGGATCTTGCTGACCTCCTCCGTGGTCGCGGGCTTGAGCAGCAGCCTGGACTGGCCGCGGTACTTGTTCATCCAGTCGCCGTTGAACGGGCTGAGGTCATCCGAGGCGTCGGCGGTGACGCCGTCGATGACGGCCGAGGCGGAGCCCAGCAGGTCCTGGAAGAACTTGACGTCCTCCGGCGTGACCTGCGCAAAGTTTGGATTCCGCTTGAGGTCCGGGTAGTTGTTGGCCGTGAGCTTGCTGGGCGCCGTCGAGTCGGCGCGGATGGCAGAGGCCGAGAAGGCGCGCGCCGCGATCGGCACGGCGTGATGACGGGCTGCCGCCCGGGCGCTGCACATGGCGGTCTGCCGCAGCGCCATCCGGGCGATCCTTGCGCCGCGCATCGTGGCGGTTGTGATTGGGATGCACAAGGCTCCCTTGTAGATGGAGTACAGACGAGAGCGCAGGCTCAATCGCGTAGGCTTGACCTCGATGCCGGAGTCGCCGTGACGCAGTCACGAGTAACGGTATGACACCCGTGAGAACTGTGCAAGGCCAGCTGATGCTGGTCGGAATGGTACAACAAGCACTTTCTGGAATCGCCTTCTTCCCGCCAATAGCTTATACGGGTCTACAGTCACAACGCGTCCCCGTCGAAGCAATGCGAAGCTGTCGATGACAGTCAGCTCATTCGAGCGGCGAAAGTTCCGTAACTTTTTTTCCGGGGGAGGCCCATAATTCACGCTAGCTCTCATTCGCCCCCAACATGCGGACATTTTTTCTACCGCGCCAAGCCCTGAAGCCCTCCGAAAAGGAAGATGGGTACAGCCTCCTACATCCATTCTGGAATCCACTACGGTCTCAATCAGAACTCGATATGCGTACTGTGGCTGCTCGCTGGCCGACAGCCATGTTTCTTTAGGGTCCAACCTGGAAGTTCGGGCCCATGCGTGGAATCTGAACTGAGGTTCGGGCTTCTCCGCGAAGACGAGTGATAATATGACAGGACCTCCGATTGGCGGGAAGGCCCGAGAGTGGATCAGACTGGTTCTTTAGAGCATTTGATTCGGAGGTGTGTCGTGGAAAAGCGGTAGCAAGTTTGAGCGAGTCTGTAGTTGGAGAACTAACAGCACGCGGTTGATATGGGATTCTCCTCGCCATGCGCAGACTTCCCACGCTTTGTTGGTCGGGGTCACGGGCTTGCCAGGACTTGCCACCTAGGCGCCCCTCGTGCTCCCACCTGCAGATGAAAGACTGGTCGTTCCTGCTGCACAGAATCTCCTCGGCATGCATAATCAGGTACCTGTTTGGGAAGGAGGCTCTGTGATGGCATCCATAGGATGGCAGGACCGGGGGGCGGTAGGCACGCCTGGACTGTAGGTGGATTGCTGGGAGGGGTGTTTCCCTGGAATTACAGAAACTCAGTCTCCCAGGCCACCGTCCTATCAACATCAATATTTTCTTTGTGTATCTACTGAAGAGGACTTTGCTGGTATCAGCCATCGTTGAGCATCCAATTCGAGGTACGCCCTCCACCATCAACATGAATACCCTGCTGGCTGGAGCCCAGAACCTTCTTGCGTTCATCTTCCGTCGCAAGCCAAATCCCAACGAAGACACCCGAGACTCGCGGATGCTGAGTGATGAGGAAAGGGGTACTGAAAGAAATACTGAAGGCGACAAAGATTCTCCGAGAAGCAGACAAGATGACCTCAAGGGTTTGGACATGGCTTGGAACGTCTTGGGCGAGTCTCTGAATACGCTGGCTGGCGCTGGGAAGCCCGGGAACGATGCTTTGACTACACAGCATAATGCTCTCGTGGTCTGGGGCAATGCTTTGAAAGCACAGGAGACTGCCTTGACGGCACTCCACGCCAGTTTGGAGGACTGGCTGAATCTTCTGAGCGAGCGAGAGAAGATTTTGGCCCAGCAGGAGGTAGTTATGGTCGCAAGAGAAACCGCTCTGGACAAGCGAGAGAGGGTGTTTGCCGAATTGTCTAGGCTTCAGGACAACAAGGCAAGGAGACCATAATAGGGGAGAAAGACTGCCCACGAAATGAGCCCAGTGCGCACCACCAAAGTCAAAACACGAGCTTCTTCACCAACATTTGTCGATACTTATATGTTGCCAGTACTCCTGACGAGCCTTGCCAGGCATAGGACCTTCGCCGTCACACAATACCGAGCTGCCTTGAGATCTAGATGCGAAGGACGAGTCGATGACAACGACGAGAATTCACCGGTGATGGTACCGCCAATACCACATGCAGATTTGGAATCGCCGTCGGGTTGGAGTTTGTCCTGGCAACGTCAGTGCCGCGATTGCCTGGGCCAGGCCGGAATCAGTGCTTCCAAAAGGGGCGGCAACTGTAGGACGAGGTTGAACTATTTCCTTAGAGAGCTGTCCAACATGCTAAGGAGCTTAATATCACAGACTGCTGAGTACTGAGCTGTCGAATTATGGAAACAATCATGTCCGAACTCATATCCGAACACCCCCTGTGACAATTGTCCGCTCAAGCAGTGAAATCGTATCCGCCGCAGAGTTATCTTCAGGTCAGTTGACTTCGTTCTTTGCCCCGTGTCTACTGCAGAATGGCCTCTATGTTGGTGATCTTGCAGTTAGGCAGGATCCAGTTTCATTCCTCCTTAACAAGCCAAGCAATTTTGGCTAATGCGGTCAGAATGTTCATACACCTGGGGCGTTCCGTGCCTCTAACTGATCTTCCGAAATCATGGCTTCGCGGCCCTTGACTGCCAAGATGCGCACGTCAGCCACCGGCCAGGTGGTGGGAATAGGGGGGCGTGCTTCGCAAGTTGGTAGGGGGTTCCTGCGTACTCCATGAACATCCGCGACTTGCGCAAGTGCCACACCCCCTGGTCGTGAGGAAGGGGCCCTTATAATTCAAAAATTGGTGCCTACTTCTCAGGGGGGCGGCATGTGGCGGCTTGGCCGGCTGGTTAAGTTCAGGTCAATCGTGTCGTCCTGCGGTGGACTAATGATTCCATTTCGGGAAGGGGATGGGAAAGGGGCCAAAAGGGGATATGGAAAGGGGGAGGACACGGGTTCGAATCGCGGCGAGGAGGACGACAACCGAATTTTCGACAACCACGGAGCAAAATCCCCGAGATTTTCGTAGCATACCACCCACCGGGCTGGTATGCGAGCTTTTTGCCACTTATGACAATTCATGTAAATGTCTTTTTGAAAAGAAGTACTACTCAGTAACCTCATGGCCTATATCAGGATGAAAGAGGTAAATATAGCTACAGAAAAAGACGGCTTAAACCTTTTGATTTGTTATTTGCTCTTTGTCTATCTCACACAGGCAGTGTCCTACATATAGCATCTAGCTCCTTGGCTGGAATCAGGTCATAGACCCAAAAGGATCAGCCAGCTGGGAGGGCAAAATGTCCATGCTTGCATATGCCAGTCGTCCAGCGCAAAGCGCTTGACTCCCGCCTGAACGGTAACATCAATCACCAACTTTAAGGCAAGGCTATCTGGATTATTGGCAGCGACAAGAAAGCTGAGAACAGCTTCAGCGCCTGAGAAACACTGACGAGTGTGTCTTTGTTCTGGTAAGCGTTGTGTACCCAGCCCGCAGAGCCCGGCAAGGATCCTACTCAGTCATTGAGAGGTGAGATTCGTCAATGATCTTACCTTGCGGTCAAACGCTATGACTTCATGTTTACGGTGCTCGGCGAGCACGTCGATAAGCTCTAGGGTTATGCCTGGTAGAGTAACATATGCCAGTGCTGTCTGGTCAAACCATGCTAAGGCCTGTGGGCAGAGCCATGTAACTACCCCTTTCAAGGCCTCGAACAGAAGAGTCGGGTTCATTTGATTCAATTAGATCACGAAGATTAGGTTTGTCTTAGCACCCTAGTATCGTAAGAGGCGTCTTTTGTCATCACTACCACTACTGCTCTTGAAGGTCAAGATCAGGAGAACAAATATTCCAATAGCCCAACCTCATATCAACTACCAGCAGGGTACCCAACATGGTAACATAACCAGCATCTTCAAGCTGAGAATCCCAAAAAGAGGCCAAATGGACTAGCATTAAGTTTTCTCTGTTCTTACACATTACCGTAGGTCAAAGTTAAGGCCCAGTGTTCGGATCACAATGGCAAGAAAGGTAACCTTATTAGAAACACTCAGAATTGAACTTTCATGGCTTCACGAAAGCACAATGATGCTCTTTGAAGTGAACATGCTTGATCTTGTATTCTACGCGGAGAGCTCTTTCAACTCGTCCAAAAATGAGTCATCTAGCCCACTGTTCGTGATTCCGAGCACACATCCTCTAATCTCCCAACCAGTCCGTCCAGCACCTTCTCAGCAACGTCTTTGCTCACGACGTCCCTTTCGTACGCTCCAGTCATGACCAGGTCCCCGCCAGCTACTGTGGCCACGTTGAGAACGATCCCGTGGCACCCGATTCCCCCGTTGGCTGCCGAGGCCGAGAAGACAACGTCAGTGACAGACCACTCTCCTCCCTCTTGCACTGGCTTGAAAACTCCCAGGTTCGACACCAAAATGGTGTGCGCCATGTTTACCGAAGGGAGCGCCTTCTTCACTACCGTCTCCAGGCTGTCGTCGAACAGCTTCGGTGCAACATAGACCTTCTGCGCCTGCTTGATGCCCCTCTGCGCCAGGTCCGCCTTAAAGTCCCGGACGTACTTCCACAGCGCGGTACCGTCCACCTTCCCGTCCGGAAACAGCTTCCTGATGGGCGCCAGGAACAAGGGCCGCTGCGCACCCCCGGCGGCATTCATCATCACTCCCGCGCCCGAGGGACTGCTCCCCTTCTCGAACTGGTCCATTGGCAGGAAGGGCCGCATGTTATATGGCAGGCACGCCGTCGTCATGGACGCGTCGGGTTCGTGGTCGAGTGCCAGGGTGGCGATGAACAGGATCAAGAGGAGCGGCGTCAGCTGGGCGCCGTTTTCCCGGCAAGCTGCTAGGATCTTGGCAAGATCGGCCGCCGGGATCCTGCGGACGGTCACTCCCGACTGGGTGCAATCCTCCGCCGCCGGTATCTTGCTAATGTCCTTGAAATAGGGCTTTGAAGGGGGGAAGTCGTTGTTGAGGCGGCTTTTGCTATAGACAACGCGCAGAATCCAAGACACGAAAGTGTGCCATAGGATGGCCAAGAGCTCCGGCTTGGGCAGGACATTTGTCGGAGAGAGCTTCACGGCGCCCGCCTCGGCCACCTGGCCATTGGACCGGGCAATGGTGGGCGGCACCGGCTGCTCTATCATGGAAGGGGGCAAATCGTTCAGAGCCGTCAGAAACTCTCGGTGAAAGACATAGCCCGAAATCCCGTCAGCCACCGCATGCGTGCATGCGAAGAGCACGTGGACGCCCCCCTTGACAAACACTTTCCATTGCGGCGCTGTCGGCTCATCCGCACGCCATTCGTCGAACCATGTGTTGTGAAGCCTTTCCAACAGTTTCTCGTCCATACCAGCTCCGTCATCGTCGTCGACAAAGACAATGCAGTCCTCCACATTGATCTCGTTCAGGACTGCTATCTGCAACTTGGTTACCTCTCCCTGGCGCTGAGGAATGCAGACATATCGCAGACGTGGCTGTGCTTCAACCACAGCCCGTACGGCAGCAACTACCGCTGTTTTCGCAAGGGCACCCCTAGCAGAGCTCGTATAGGTAGCGCCGACTGTGATGCTTGACTGGATTCCCAAACGATAGTAGAGCCAAAAGAAGCGGTCGTACGAGTCTATGATCAAGTTAGCAAGTTCCATGAGAGGTTACAATGTTTGTCACATACCCGACTCGCGAACTACTGTATACGGCGCATTCATGATTGCCCCTGATATCTATGTCGTTGGTAAGGTTGAGAAGAAGATAACGATGATGAGATGGGTTTCTACCATATATTACCAGAACATTGCTATACCACCCAGACCAGTATTTGCAGGATCTTTCCACGAGCAGGGCTTCCTTTCTCGTGATTCGTGATTGGTCGCGTTCGTGATTACACAATCCCCATTCGGGTCACCCCTGTGGTCGTCGTGGGATTCTGCTCCACCCACTCATCTCCTAAACTCCGCCTTCAGTAAGCAATTGGCGCATCTCGGAGTTTTCTTGCGGAGGAAAAGGCCGACGCAAATGCTCTATTCCTTCTCACTTGAGAATGTTTGCCTCTAGAGAAGGAAAGAGAGAACAGAAAGAAAGCCAGAGCGGTGGAGATGGCAACGAAATGTGTGTGCACCAGCCATCTTGGTTCATTCGATCTCTCTTACCAAAATCAGATGCATTTAGACTTTCTGCACCCTTTTGTCACTGACATCAATCATGGCACAGATTGCAGTACTTCAACTACATATGGTTCCCTTCTGCCCAAGATGACGGGTGAGACGACACTTAGGTTTGCCATAGTCACTTCTTTCGACAACTTCTCTCAGCAATCAATGAGGGCTTTCAGCATTAGGAATGCCAGCAGGACATGCAAATCTTCCCAAGGGCCCCGTCCGAAGTCAGACTGATGAGAATATGCTTGTAAGTAAGTAAGTAAGTAAGTAAGTAACATCGAGTACTTACATGGAGAGAGCTGTAGGTGTGCCCCACTTTAAATGCCAACCGCCATCTGCTCTGCGATCGTGCGGACCAGACTCTGGGCTTATCTTATCGATAAGAATCTTTGCCAATAATTTTTCTGCCCTTCACCGTCTCCAGAAGTCCCAGAGCGCAGTAATCCAGCCAACACCCAAAGCTGGCAACCCGATCGCAACAACCGGCACAATGGCGGACGACGGCATGCTCCTCAACTTCGAGATCGGGGACGGCCCGCTCCAGCCCAAGATCAAGTTCAAGGGCGGGCGCTGGCGCGACCGCATGCGCGCAGAGAAGAACCTCAAACGGCACGGCACCGATGCCCCGCAGCCTCGATCCGGAGCCAACGCCGGCGACGTGGGCAGCAGGCCCGACAGGAGAGACGGATTCGACGACTCGGACAGGCCGGCGAAGCGGCCGAGGACGTTTGGGGGTGCGGATACCAGGGGCCCGCGACCGTCATTTGGTGGATATGGCGATCGCGCAGACGGAGGAGGCAAGCCGAAAAGTGGTGGTGCGCACGGCGTTACCTCGCGATTGTTCACCGCAAACCCGACGCCCGTGACGACGTTTGACGAGAAGCCTGCCGAAGAGACCGAGCCCGCGAAACCCTCGAACGCGCCGCTGTCGGACGAGGCCGAGAACTTCCACGCCCTGGGCCTCTCTCGCAGGATGGCACAGCACCTGTCGTCGAAGCTCGAGATGAAGGCGCCAACGGCTATTCAGAAGAACACGATACCCCAATTGGTCAAGGAGGACAGCGACGCCTTCCTCCAAGCCGAGACCGGTTCCGGCAAGACGCTGGCCTACCTGCTGCCCATCGTCCAGCGCATTATGGCGCTGAGCCACAACGAAGACGGCTCGAGCAAGAACGTCAAGATACACAGAGATTCCGGGCTGTTCGCAATCATCCTAGCGCCCACGCGAGAGTTGTGCAAGCAAATCGCGACGGTGTTGGAGAAGCTGCTGCGCGCCTGCCCATGGCTTGTTAGCACCACGGTCATTGGAGGCGAGAGCAAGAAGTCGGAGAAGGCGAGGATACGAAAGGGCGTCAACATCCTCATTGCGACGCCCGGCCGCCTGACGGACCACCTCGACCACACCAAGGTTCTGGATGTCGGCACGGTCAGGTGGCTGGTGCTCGACGAGGGAGATAGGCTGATGGAGATGGGCTTTGAGGACGACATCCGCACGATCGTGGGCAAGATCCGGAAGGAGGACCTCAGGAACAAGAACAAAGACGGGGTTGTCCTGGACGGCATCCTGCCTTCGAGACGGGTCACCGTCCTTTGCTCGGCTACGATGAAGATGAACGTCCAAAAGCTAGGAGAGATCAGTCTCGAAGACGCCACCCACATTACCGCCGCAAACCAGGACGGCACGATCGACACCGCAGAAGTCAACGACGCCATCTTCTCGGCGCCCTCGCAGCTCAAGCAGACCTACCTCATCGCTCCGGCCAAGCTACGCCTCGTCACCCTCATCGCCCTCCTCAAGTCGACCTTTGCCCGCAAGGGCTCGGTCATGAAGGCCATCATCTTCATCTCGTGCGCCGATTCGGTCGACTTCCACTTCGATCTCCTGAAAGACACACCCACCGCCGCCACCCCCAAACCCGACGAACCCGTGGAAAGTGCAACCAGCACCAGCCCGGCCGTGGACGAGGACGAGGACAAGGATAGAGACGAGCAAGCCTCCCCAGCAAAGAGCAAACCCAAACCCAGCCCGTCGTCCCACACCGTCGGAACCGTCGCGCCGGCAGCATACATCACCTCCCCGGCCAACCCGTCCATCACCATCCACAAGCTGCACGGCTCCCTGCCCCAGCCCGTCCGCACCGCGACCCTCGCGTCCTTCGCCAACGACAAGCAGCCCACCGTGCTCATCACGACCGACATCGCCTCGCGCGGCCTCGATGTGCCCGCCGTCGACCTCGTCGTCGAGTACGACCCGGCCTTCGCCGTGGCCGACCACGTCCACCGCATAGGCCGCACCGCCCGCGCCGGTCGCCCGGGCAAGGCGGTGCTGTTCCTCATGCCCGGCTGCGAGGAAGGGTACGTCTCGCTCCTGGGCGCGCAGGCGGCGCCGCAGCTCTACGACGCGGTGCTGCAGAAGGCGCTCGCGACCCCCGTTGAGTTCCCCGTCGCGACTGGCGCGGGCGCGGGGGCCAGGTCGACCGACGAGGCCGAGTCGGCGAGGGGCAAGAGGCTGACGTGGACGTCGCGCGCCGAGGCGCTGCAGCTGCACCTCGAGCAGCGCCTGCTGGCCAACCCCGCCGCCACCGCCGACGGTGCTGATGCCGAGCACCAGCAGGCCTCGCCCAGCAAGGCCGGTGGCGCCAAGGGCACCAAGAAGCCGCAGAGAAAAGGCGGCAAGGACTCCGCCGCAAGCAGCAGCAATAAGCTGCTCGACTCGGCGCGCCAGGCCTTCCGCTCGCACGTGCGGGCCTACGCGACGCACACGCGCGAGGAGCGCGTCTACTTTGACTTGACGCAGCTGCACCTGGGACACCTGGCCAAGAGCTACGGCCTGCGCGAGGCGCCCGGCGGCATCGGCGGCGGGGTGCAGAGGCGGGGCGGTTCTTCTGCTGCTGGTGGTAAGAAGGGCGGTGCCTCGGGTGCTGGCGGGGGCAGGAGTGGTGGTGGTGCTGGCGGCGCTGGGTCCGACGACGAGGGCGGCGGCGGCGCGGGACAGGTCGACGAGGGCGCTGCGAGGAGGATGAGGGAGAAGATGAGGGCTGTTATGGACGGGGCTGGGGAGTTTAACATCGGGTAGTACTCGGCCGACTTAGTCTTGGGGGTGAGACTGCGCAAGGGGGGGTCGAGGGGAGAGTGTGCATGTGCTGTTGGGCGATAAGTTGAAAAATTGCATATACATGGCGTTCTCTTATTTCATAGATAGATCGGGAGTTATCAAAAAGTGTCCCTTCACACGGTGTTGTTCCCCATCTCTCCAACCTCTGCCAAGTGGTTTTGATTCGCTCGACAAGGAGGCGCACAAACACTCTACAGTGTAAAACAGTCCATGCCCACAGCAAGTCTCAATCCGATCCCAGAGACGATGGAAACCACGGAAAGGCAAGCAGATTAGGCAAGAGGTTTTTGTCTTTAACTTGTTTATTCATATAATTACACAGAGCCCCTAGGGAGTAGCAACCCCCATGACCAGAGCCCTGATGGAATTAAAGGAGGGCGGTTTTCGCTTTACACACGCAGCCCGATAGCCGCGTCGTGCAAAACACCACACCTCCCTGAGTGGAGATTTGTCTAAATTGTTCAGATGATGCCGATGCCCCAGCCGTCCACCCCATACATATGGTTGTTCTCTCTCTTTCTGAGCCATATTATCTCTTCTTCCCTTTTCCCCATTGAAAAAGAAAGCCCACCCGGGCATGTGAAACCGAATGGGTTGATTTGCCAATGCTTCCCACCTTTGCCCCTCCCTTTGCAGCCAAACGCCAGAACGCTGGAAACATGATGCTGCCCTCGATGCCATGGTGGGCACCAAGAGGGGTCCCAGAGCGTCCGTAAAGAGCAACATTCCCTAAACATAGAAGAAAATGAACACAAAAGGGATCGACCGACCAGCCAGTCTCTCACTCTCCCTCACCATCCCCACTCCCGTCTCGCCCTCCACTCTTTCTCGGAAAACGAAAACAAAAAACTCTCTGGGTATCATCACACGCGAGACGGAAGGCCTCCTTTTTTTTGGCATGACAAAGGAAAATAATGATGCGGGAGCTCGATGAATCACTCCTCCAGCAACCTCACAAGCACACTCCTTCAAGCAGAAGCAGCGACGGAAGCAGCAGCGGGAGCAGGGGCGGCAGCAGAAGCACCCTCCTCACCGCCCTGCGCCTGACCACCGCCCAACAGCTCAAGCACCTTGTTCACCACGGCGCTGGGGTACCCCCGCCCCAGCATCTCCGACGCGACGCCCTTGGCCGCCTCGCGCTCCTCGACGGCCAGGTACGCCCGCGTCATGGCCTCGTACGTGCTCGGCTCGCGCCGCGACCGCCCGACGCGCGAGTACACCTCGCGCGCCTTGCCGATCTCCCTCTCGGCCGCCCAGCCGTGGATCAGCGTGTTGGCGATGTAGGGCGTCATCTCGACGCCGCGGCGGCGCATCTGCGCCAGCACCTCCTCCGACTCGGACACGACGTGGTTGGCCACCATGCCCTCGAAGAGCGCCTGGTACAGGCACGCGCTGGGCGGGATGCTCGGGTCCGCGACGACGCTGTCGAACACGCGGCGCGCGCCGGCCATGTCGTGCATGTTGCAGCCGCGGGCGTGGATCAGCGAGGCGTAGTGCACGGGCTCGGGCTGCTGGCCCGAGGCGCGGATGCGGTCGAGCACAGCCTCGGCGGCCACCATGTTGACGGGCTCGAGTGTGGCGTGCGTGTCGACGAGCAGCTTGTATGTGTGCGACGTGGGCGAGATGCCGCGCGCCAGCATGCGCTCGTAGTACGACAGCACCTTGGCCTTGTCGCGCTTTGTCGTCAGGAAGAATTGCATCATGCTGTTGTAGGGCGCCGGACGGGCCTTGTAGTTGGGCATGGCTTCCATCTCGTCGAAGAGCTCCTCGGCGAACTTGTCATCCGAGACGCGGCACAGGGCGTTGACAATGGTGCCGTAGGTCACCGAGGTGGGCTTGATGCCCAGGGCGCGCATCTCGGCAAAGTAGAAGAGGCAGTCATCGATGCGGCGGGCCTTGCCGAGCTTGCCGATCAGGGCGTTGTAGAGGAAAGAGCTGGGCTCGACGCCCTCAGCCTTGGCGCGGTGGAAGATCTTGACGGCCTCGGTGGCCTCGTCGAACGTCTTGGTAGACTCCTTGAGCGTGGTGATGTACAGGCCGAAGGTATTGGCCGAGGGCGTGGCACCCATGGCCAGCAGCTCCTGGTGGTACTGCTCAGCCAGGCCGCGGTCGCCGAGGGTCAGGCAAGCGCCGACCATGGCGTCGAGGATCGAGGACCAGCCATAGCGAACAACCGCGTACTGAGGCATCAGGGGCACATCGGTGCGGGCCATGGCCAGGATGTCGTGGCACATGTCCATCTTGCCGTCGCGGGCGGCGGCCGAGATGAGCTTGGCGTAGGTGATGTACCGAGGGTGGCGGCCAGCACGGCGCATGTTGCGGAAGCGGCCCATGGCATCGCTCAGCTTGGGTCCCTTGCGAGCGTGGGGGCCCTCCAGGTCGTCGGCAATCAGGGACGAGCCCCGGAAGTCGGTGCTGTGCGCATAGGGGTCGAAGGTGTCCTCGTAGCTGGAGACCGTGGGCGTAGATGAGTACTGCGAGGGAGTGAAAGTCTCGGGCACCAGAGATACAGCAGGAGACACTGAGCGAGGATCGACAATGTTCCTCGCGGCCATGTACTGCGCAATGAAATCGACACCCTCCTCGATCTCGTCTGCGAGCTGAGCACGATCCTGAGCAGACTCACGGATGCGCTGGAACATGACCTCGGACTGCGTTAGGCCCTCGAGGACCTGGCCGGAGCCAATCATGGCAACAGCATACATGGCCGTCGGCTCGATGAAGGACGGGGTAACCTGGACCTCGGGGCTGCTTAGAATTTGCCAGTAGTTAGAAGCAGCGACAATGTCACCCTCGCGGACGCTGAGCGCCATCAGGGCCATGGCGGGCTTGGCAACATCAGCGAAGCCAGCGGGCAGGTTAGCAAAAGCGGCGACAGCAGCATGCTTGTTGTTGTTGTCGGCAGCCAGGGTGGCAACTTTGCCCATGGCCGAGGCGCGAGCCTCAGCCTCGATGTGCTGAGCCCAGGCAAGCGCCTCCTCGAAGATGCCTCGCTCAATGAGGCCCTGAACGAAGCCGCCGCTGACGATGGCACCCTTGATGTCGGCGGCGCGGGCGCCGTACTCGGTGATGATCTTCTTGTAGAACTTCATGGCACCCTCGAGCTTGTCCGAGATGACGTAGGCGTTGATGACCGCCGCATACACCTGAGCGTCGAGGCGGTCGAGCAGAGTGGCCTCGCCATTGTCGTTGGCCATGGCCAGGTTGCGGTACTCGCTGTAACACTCGACGGCGCTGACCAGGTCGCCAGAGCTGGCAAAGGCCGTGATCATGGCCGGGAAGGTGGCGGCGAAGGGAGTCGTCTTGGTGACCTCCATGTGCTCGAAGAGGTGCAGCATGTCGGAGACGCGACCCGCCTGAGCGCAGGCTGAGATCAGCTGGTGGTAGGTCTCGGATGAGTAGGCGGCCTTGTCTGCGGTGACCGAAGAGGCGAAGAGCTGGACAGCGAGGTCCAGGCGGTCATCCTCGGACAGGATGGCGTACTCGAGCTCGTGGGAGCCAAACATGAACTTGCCAGGCTCCTCCATGCCGCCGAAGCGAACGCGCTTGTCCTCGAGGGACTTTTTCAGAGCAGACACCTCGAGGGAACGAGCCGCGAGCAAGCCAACCAGGATGTTGTAGGTGTCGCTGTCGGGCGTCACCTTCCGGTGGCGCATGTCAGCGTAGACATCCAGGGCCTTGGTCACGATCTCGTTCTTGGCGGACGGCAGGTGAATGGCGGCGACCAGGAGAGCGTTGTAGGCGGTGGCGATGGGGCTCACGCCGGCGACCAGCATGGCCTCGAAGACCGCAGGGATCTCGGCATATCGGCCAGCCTCGGAGAGCTTGGTCAGGTGGTTGGCGTAGGTCAGCGATTGGGGGTCGACGGGAGGCGTCGCGGTGCGGGCGATGCTCTCGGGGGTTCTCATCCGCGACACCGGGGTCAGAGATCGCGAGAGGGCCTCATCGACAGCCGAGGGGGCGGGCGACCGGGTCGAGCGTGCCTCCTCCTCCAACACATCAAGCTGGCGTCTAACCTCAATCTCCTTCTCGATGGCGGCATCGATGTGGGCCAGTGCCACGCGGGCCTCGTCGGGGACCTGTCCATCGCCCGGCTCGCCACTCTCGAGGGTGTCGGTGTTGATGGGCTTGTGGTCCGGGCCGAGCAGGATGGAGGCCGGGCTGGGCTTCCACTCGATGCGACGCTGGAACTGGAACTGGACCCATTCCTTGTCGGCTTCCTCCTCCTCGGCCTCCTCGGCCTGGCGGGCCTGCAGATGCTCAAAGTAGGCATCTAGGCCGCCGTGGCTGAGCGACTTGTCGTGGCCATGGCGGTGCTCGACAGCGACGCCGCCAGCGGCAGAGGCGGTCGTGTGGAAGGCATTCTGGAGCTGGAGGGTCTGTAACCGGCCGAGGCGGTTGCTGTGCCGCCTGGCAAAGGACGGCCGGTTCTGCGAGTTTAGAACATGGGGGTGGGTGGCAGCTACGACCGATTGTGCGTAGCCGTGGGTGAAAGATTTGGCGAATCCTTGACGGATGAAACTCTGGTACAAGGAGGAGTAGATGGTGGGCATTTAGGAGACACCGGGAGGAGAGGAGTACTAGAGCGCGAGACAGGTTTGTGGTTAGCAATCTGCTTCCTGATCGTCAAAAGGCCCGGAATTGAAAGACGGAGGTATCATGAAGCTATTGCAGAGATATTTGGGAGCTCAGATAGCTTTTGGTGTTGGTAGTAGAGCATGTATCGCGAGGTGCGGTTAGAGGCGCATCGGAGTTACGGCGAAGAGAGAAAAAAAAGCTAGCCGGCAAAGTACCGAAGCCGAGCGGCGACTTACATGGAGAAATAAAATTATGCGCAGTTGCAGGTTCATTTGACAGCAATGAAAGCCGCCAAACAAACGCGCGATCCTCGAGGGGATTATTAAAAGTTGTATGGGGGTGTTTCTCTAGGGAAGAAGAGAAAGAGGTTTGAATGAGGGGGAGAAGAAGAGGCAGAAGGGAGTGTGTGTGTGAGAGAGAGAGCGTGGCAGGGAGTGTGAATGATATGTATGTCCCGCAAATTGGTGAATGTGGATGGTGTTGCTGGATCTGATAGTGGAGAGGAAAAGAGAACGGTGGACCGTGGGAGAGGGTCGTGGAAGAGAGAGTGAGAGGAGCAGTGAATTGAGCGCTCGGCGATTGGGCCTGGTACCTCCAGCTTAGCTCCAGGATGGATGCTCGACGCGGGCCCGAGCAGTGGTGATGATTCAATCGAGGATGCAGTTTTTGGCTTTTCTGGGTGGTGGGCATGAAAAAAGCCGGAGCCAAGGCATGGGCGGCCAAGGGTGGCTTCGGAACTGCGAGGGCGGGCTAGACAGGGATGCTCCTGCCTTAGTCTTTTCTGGGGTGGCAGTGAGTGACTCAGGCAGACGCGAGGCTACGCCATTCACTCGGCCATTCCTGCTGCCTGTGGCCAACCACAGCGCCTCTACGCTCAGCACTAGGGGAGAGTTGAAGGAGGTCCGGATTGTGCTAAAAGGTTGCTCACAGAGCACATCCAGGTACCCATTGGCCGCCACAAAGGGCCCCCTCCTCCGTATATTACCACTGCTAGCTAAGGTATGTATGTACACGATGGATCGGGTCCCGCCCAGCGAAATAACCCCCAAGATTGGTACGAAGAGGACCCTTTTTCTCTCAGCCAGCCTGGTCAAGAGCAGAGTGAGTAGCGGGGCATTTGGACGCCACTGGAAAGCAATAGACATGTTTCAAGGCCTACCGACAATACAGTACCTACAGTATCTACTTGTATCTGGCTCGCAGGATCCATGTACGATCTGATACGGACCGGGGTGGTTGATAGCAAGTGAGGCGCAATCCATGCATCAGTGGGACGAAGAGGACAGCTAATGGCGAATGGTCTCTCAGTCCTGACGACGCGCAGATGCGCAAGAGTGGCAGGTGTGTGCTTGCATCACTGGATTGCGTCAACCACTTTCAGTGGACGCGGCGTCGGTGCGTAAATCCTCCGTCCGAGCAACCACCACTGTAAAACAGAGCACATGTGAATCATCGTGGAAGAAGGCGATCGCTAGTTAGTCCTTACTGATGTCAGTGACATTTTGGTGGCCTCGCGGATGCCTCGGGCGCGACAGAACTGCGGGACGGCCCCGTTCAAGGTACGGTAGCTGGACCAGACCAGGGGCCAACATTAGGCGAAGAAGACAAGCCGGGATGCCATCCATGGCAGTGGGAGGTGTGTGTCAGCGGGATGTGCGTTTGTACCTCAAATTATGCCCCTTGTTCTTCTGGTTACTCCGTATGCGTCTGAAGTCATTTCCAGAAAAAGAACACTAATCAAGGCGATCATCCATCCTGCATGCCCGTCACCAGTAGTTCGGGCTCAAACGAACAGAAACGGGGATCAGCAAAGCCCGATGATCAGCCAGCTGCCACGGGAGCTCCCATGTTGTATCGCAGCGCAGTGAGAATGAAATGGCGTCTGAACCCGTCTCACCCACGTTTTTCTTGCGCAGTAATACACACCAATGGGCGTGGTGGCATTTTCTAAAATATGGGGTTGGCAGGGTAAAGCCGGAAGCCGGGTCCCTCAGGCAAAAACAGTTGAGTCATCATCCATCGACGCCTCAGGTCGCGTGTCTTACTGCGATACCAGTTTTTTTTTGGTACTTTCAGCTTTCGCGAAATGCCTCAGATCTTGTGGCTTCGGGCCCTCGTTTCTTCTTTTTATTTTTTCTTGGCTAGGGCTTGACAAAGAGATTGCAGTTTCCATGATCCAAGGACCCCTTTTTCCTCTGTCATGGGTCTCTCATTTCATGCGCGTCAAGAATCAGGAAATACAAGTAGGGCAAATGCGAGAATCCGCGTCGCCAATTTCCTGATACTAAAAATCTTTGCAGCAGTGCAGGGGGGTTGAGGTCCCAGCCGTCCCAATGGCTCCAGTGGTCCCAGTATGGGGTACTCGGTTCCCAAAAACAGCCAGTAGGGGGCCTCCCGTTTCAATGGCTTTGCAAACACCGAAGCCACCAAAGGCGTGTTCCAGAATGTCGACCCCTAACAGATTTCACCAAAGAGGCAATCTGTCTACAAAGTAATCAATCAACCCTTGCTCGTCCCCCTGTTCCCGGGTGGGTTTTCCGTGTTCGCCTTTGCGGGGACCCGCCCGGCCACCAGCCACTGGGTCCCCTGTTGCTTTTTGGAGTGTCACATGAGCCATTGCGACGAAAATGCACCGCTACCGTTATTCACGCATCCATTTTGGCGTCGCGGGTCCCCCCCGTTCACCAAGGTTTTGGGCTATGTTTTAGGGCCTGTCAGCCTCAGCAGGCGCTCCAGCGCGCTGTGGACTGGACTGTGCTACAGTCCGCTGCGCGTGCATGCATGTGCGTACCTACCTAGGTACTCCGTACAGGTCCAACCCCGTATTTGGCTCCATTGGACCGCCGGCCTGAGCCAACCCTCCGGCTGACCCGTTTCTTCTTCTTCGCTTCTTCGCGGCCTCTTCAGGGTATTTACGGACCTCGATTTCCCTGTTTCTGCCGCAAGGCCCCAGAAATGATTCACTGGCACGGCCACAATGTTGGTCACAGGGTGAGAGTCTGGGGGATTCGAGATGAGATGAGATGAGATGCGATGCGATACGAGGGAGAACTTGGACGCACCAAGTGGTGATGATGATAACATGAATGCCTCCGGCCCCGAGCATCCTGCACACGCGTTCGTCCGGCTAGCCAACTACAAGCTAGGTAGGTTGAGACTGATCCACGAACGACAAATCGATTACGTCCATCGTCCCCGCAAAAAGGGAGCCATGGAATTGTTCTAGGGAGCGTTTTCTTCTTAGCCCCTTTCTCCGGTGCGGCAAATTCGTCTACACACCGAGCACACGGCGAATCAAATGGACTGGCAGCCCCACAGACCACTGCTATCTCCGTCCCGGGCACGGCATTGGCCGGCTGGTTGCACGCGGTTCCCGGGAGCCACGACCAAAACACCGAGGCCTCCTCGGAGGTAGCTTGTGGAAATCGGACAGGTAGCGCAATGCTGCACTCTCTTACCAGGTTGGATTCTGGACGCTCGTTCCGATCCCGGACTTGATCTTGCCGGCCACGGCAAAACAAGTGTGCTATGTAGCTTATACGGCGCTTGGAAGACCACTTGCACTTCATCCCTTGAAGATGTATAGACAAAAAGACGCTGTATCACCGAAATGTATCACATTGCTTCATCCTCCTACCACTCATCCTCAGAATCGCCATCCTCCCCGTCCACCTGCTCCGGGTCCTCCGCAACGTCCACCGGCGAGAAGGGCTCCGTCTCGTCGTCCGACTGCGGCTCGTCCGGCGGCGCCTCGCCCTCGTCCCGCTTGTCAATGTACGGATTGGGAACCAGCTTTCCGGTCCACCTGTCCCTGTTCGCCTCCACAGCGACTGGCAGCTTCTTCCTGACCGGCCCCCGAGTAGGGTTCTCGTCCTGCAGCGTCGGAGGCGTAGCCGAGAACTCCTTCCTCGTGAAGCTCCAGTCGCCCTGCTCGTCCCTCGCGGCCTCCCAGACGTAAGAGTAGCCCCACGTCCAGTGCCGGTACGTGATCTTCTTGGTCGCGTTGTACAGCCATATGCCAAACTCCTCCCGGACCTCGACCCTCTCGAGGTCCACCGTCGCGTACTTGCCCGCCCCCTGCCTGACGTACCCCAGCACGGGCACGGTGTGCGTCGGCCCGTCCTGGATGTACACGTCGTCGGCCGCCCTGGCCGCGCCCCGCGCCGCGGCGCCCGTGTCGAACCGCGCCCCCATGCCGTAGAAGGGCGCCTCGTTCTCGGCCCCGTCCAGCACGGGGAGCGGCACCTCCGTGACGCCCGTACCCGGGGCGCCGGCGTACGTGGCCACGCGCCTCGACGCGAGCACGTTCTGCACGAGGCCGATCCGGTCCTTGAGGTGCCGCCGGCGCGTGACGTCGACGCGCACCTTGAGCGCCATCCACTGCGCGTCGTGCGCGCCCGACCGCGGGCCGAACTTGACCAGCTTCTCCCTCTCTCCCGTCGCGCGGCCGCCCGCCGACGCGAGGGGCCGGCCGCTGACCTTCTTGGCGAAGCAAGCCCGGACGGCCTCGCAGCGCTTGACGGTGAGCCTCGGCGGGTTGTCCTTGATGAACCGGACGTCCTCTGGGTCGTTGCGGTCGAAGGGCTTGGCGGGGACTTTCTTCTTCGGCGTAGACATGGCTTCTTTTCTCCTTTTTCGGCTGGTCGGACTTGATGCGGTGAGTGTATAGTAGCAAATTGGGGGATGACTTGATTTTTGTTGTTATATAGACCTTCCAGGAACCGCCGATGTGAAATGGGAATGTAGTGCATATACCGAATCAGAAGTTATATACGCATTAGATTTCATCAGAGTCATATTATCTTCTTCCATCAAACACCAATGCCCAGATACTTGGCCTTCAGCTGAGATTGACTCATTAATCAGCGCCAGCATAATTCATCGGATGTATTGATACTATTCTTGCTATCATGTGCTGTACATACAGGGGTGCAACCCAGGCCAGGGTTTCTATTCCAGCGGCAGGCGGCTAGGTGCCTAAAGATGAATTGATGGGCTGAGTTCTAGGATTGGCTGTCAGAGGATGAGACGCTGACCTCAATTTCGGGCCTTCTTCAACGAACTTGACCGCAGTGCTTCCCTATCACTATTTAGAGCGATGACCTTCAACCTTTTGACTAAGTGACTTGTCACAAGAAAGGCACCCGTTTCATACGCGTTAGATAGGCTATGACTCGTCTATGTGGCGAGGCTGCAAGAGAGTAGAACACTGCCTCGTCCCTTAATAAGCCACGGCTGCTGACGCAGGGTGCTCCCGGCTCTCTGATACGCTCATGGCAAGACGGCTATCTGACTTGTTGGATGCGCGCTTAGCCTAGTGCCTTGCGTCCAGTGTGTCAGATCCTATCCTCCACCAACTCAGCTACTGACTTAACGACTAGAATGTTGATTACACATTCAGCCCCTGACTGCAGATGGGCGTGTCTGAGCTATAGTTAGAAACTGGTAGGATTTTGTCCTTCTCTGAGAATGGTGTCTTTTATGTTTTTTATTCCTGTCGTGGACTCGTATATTTCAGAACTCAGTCATATAATACCTTATCAGCTTGACAACTTAGGTATTTCAACTGTACAAAAGTTGTGCCCTTAGAATTTACTTCTAGCAAGTCGTTCAATTTTCGCATGCTTCACACCTGACAGCAGCATTCACCAGGGCGTCGTAATCTCAGACATTCCACAATGGGTGCCACATCGAAAAGACCAGCTGCCCAGGCTACGTCCTCCAGGAAGCCGCAGCACGATGAGACTCCAGCCAAGTCCGCTACAAAGAAGGCTCAGGTAGAGGATATCGAGGAGGAAGATGCCGAAGATGATGAGGAGGTTGAAGAAGAGGACGAGGATGAGGACGAGGATGGAGATGAGGAAGACGGCGAGGTTGAGGAGTTAGACGAAGAGGAGTTAACAGAAGAGGAAGATGAGGAAGAAGAATTTGATGAGAGTGACGAGGACGAGGAATACGAGGAGACCGAGGACGAGGAAGAGGAAGTAGAAGGTGATGAAAATGAAGATGAATACGAGGATGGAGAGGACGAAGAAGAAGACGATAATGCAGAGGAGGATGGCGCTGAGGAGCAGGAGGAAGAGAGTGGTGAGAGCGAAGCAGACGAGGAAGAGCAAGAAGAAAGCAAGCCGAGCAAGGGGTAAGACACGTCCTAACTATGACCAAAAGCCTGCACGTCAATTGACATCAACGATCAGCAAAAGTACGAAGCCGAAATCCGGGTAAGTCATTTCTGATCCTCAAGATAACTGTGCGACAGAAAGCTAACAATGCACAACTATAGCACTAAGCTCGACGTCCGGTCCAAGAGTGCCGCTCTCAGTGGCAGTACCTCAAGCTTGAAGAAGGATACAAAGGCAAAGGGTTCTGCTTCTGGCAAGATCAAGCCACCGGCCTCTGGGAGGACCGGAGTCCTGCCGCCCTGGGAGCCAGTCATCCACAGTGATGATTCTGAGGAGGATGCCAGCGACGTCGATACCATCGGCAATGCCCCGAAACATGAGGCCACCAAGAAGCCGAAGAAGCCGACGACAAAGAAGCCAGTCAAGAAGGCCACCGCAGAGTCTGGAGACGAGGCTGCCGAACCCGCCAAGGCACCAAAGAAAAAGACGGGCGCAGGGAAGCCAGCAGGCAATTCAGACAAGACCGTCAAGCCCAAGAAGAAGATCACTGCCGCTGGCACACAGGACAACAAAGACGAGTCGGCCAAACCTAAAGTGGCCAAGAAGCTCAAGAAGACTGCTGAGGAGGCCGAGGAGGCGCCCAAGGTCAAGAAGACGGTTCCGAAGAAGAAATAGTCATCAGTATTACGATGATACAGGGAAGAGGCTTTGGACCGGTGTTCATCTACTTGGTATCGATCTTGTCTAAATCTGTTCGCCATCTCGTATAGTTCACGTTTATTAGGTATTGCTGCTGCTGTTGCAGGGCTTTGGCACCCGCCTTCTTGACTGCATTTCTCTTGTCCAGTGCCACGGCATCAGTTAATTGAACGGATTTAATGACGGAATGGCGCACCTCCAAGCCTTCTCCACGAAGATCTGACCCACTTGTGCCAAGACAGACCTCTCGTAGCCTGGGGTGAGATGATCGTCATGCCACTGGGTTGGGGTGCATATATCTTCTGGCATGCCAGGGACCCCGCTCCCGTAGCCCCACGGGGACGTTGGACGGGAGTCCGGCAGACGCACGCCATCCATGGGAATTCCCCCTATCCACGGCCCGGGCGACGGCATTCCATGCCTCGCTGGAGAAGGGTGGAAGAAGAGGCGGAGAAACACGCATGTCTTGCAACTCCCTGACGCGGAACAATCATCAACTCGGACTCACCCGCCGTCCGCATCCTAGTCCCGCCGGTCCAGTCGGGGTGATCGGGCACAATGCATCATGATATGTGTGTTTGTAAGGCTTGTGCGCACAAGTAATTCTCGCTCATGGCATACAGGATCTTCTCAAGATAGTCCTGCTCTGGCATTAGGCATTAGATGAAGTAGTATTACGAATGAGACGCCATAAGCGTGAGCTTTCAAGGAGTCCAAGTTCTCAGCTATCTGCACCTTCTGCCCCGGACCCTCCCTCCAGTCTCAGATCTCCTTGATGAAGCCAACTTCGACTACCTTGTCAGCGTCGATGTCAAGATCAGCAAGCTTGGTGCGCGAGTTCTCCCGGATCCAGAGGAACATGCCCAACAGCGCAGGCCTGACGTAGGCCCAGGGCGACCGCGAACCGGCAGCCGGGCCCCGGATCTTCAGCGCGCCCTTGCCCAGGACGTATACCATCTGCGACCCGTACGCGGACCGGAGGGCCTCCAGCTCGGCGTCGGCGTCGGCGGCGGCGGCGGCCAGCGGGCGGCGGGAGGCGCCCTTGGACACCGCGAGCTCTATCTGGGAGAGGATGTCGCGCGCCAGGCCCGGGTACAGCACATTGTCGGTGTAGCCGTGGCGCAGGGTGACGCTGTAGCACCCGTCCAGGCCGGTCACGCGGGTGACGACGTAGCGCTCGGCGGCGGGGATGGAGGGCACCGACATGGGCCGCATGTTGAAGAGGACGATGACGGCGGGGCGGGCGGCGAACTTGAGCACGAACTGCGTGAAGGACGGCGGCAGCCTGGCCGGGTTGCCGGACTTGTCGAAGAAGATGCCCACGCCGGGCACTGTCGAGAGGGGCAGGCCGCCGCCGGTCGTGGAGCTGAGAACCGCGGGCGACTTGTCGCTTGACGGGACGGTGGTGAAGGCGTCCCGCAAGGCCGGCACGGACAGCTGGTCCTTCGACTCGGCCTTCCACTGGCATTCCTTGCCGAAGCGCCAGAGGGTGAAGATAAGGGACAGGATGAAGGCCAGCAGGAGGGTGAACCAGGCGCCGTCGGGAACTTTCTCGTAGACGGCCGAGAGGAAGGCCCCGTCGAGGGCGGCAAATACGGCCCAAATTGGAACCACGATGTATGCAGGAAGACGCCAGACAAGGATGGCTACCAGGGCGACCATGCAGGTGGTGACTAGAGGAGGCCAAGTCAGTTTTTGAGGCTACACGACAAGAAGTCGCAGGAACTGACTGAAAGTGACAGTGATGACGCACACGCCGTAAGCGTTGCCAAGAGAGGTGGTCTGCAAGAGGTATTAGCCCCAGGTTGCTAGTCGGGAGGAAGGATAGGCACACTCACGTTGTTGTAAACGGCTGTGACAATGACCGTGCCAATCATCAGGAGCCAGTTGGCCATGGGCATGTATACTTGCTCGTGGAACGTCTTGCTGGTATGGACGACCTTGATGTGAGGGAAGTAGGAGAGCCTCATAATCTGAGTCAACAGCTGGAAGGTCGACGTGATCATGGCCTGGGACGCGACAACAGCCGCGAGTACGGCAATGACGATGCTGAAGTAGAAAGTCCCCGGAGGGACGGTGTAGAAAAAGGGATTGGTGATGGCGATCCCGGCCGCGTCTCCAGAGATGTACGCGGACTGGCCAATGTACGCGAATAGCAGGCACGGATAGGCCAGGCAGATCCAAGAGATGTTCACCGCGCCCTTGCTGAAGGCACCGAGGTCTGCGAACAGGGCCTCGACGCCGGTGAACGCCAGGAGCAGGCCGCCGAGTGACTTCCAGCCATCGTGACCGTTGCGGATTAGGTAGGCAAAGGCGTAGTGCGGGCTGAAGGCCTTGAGGACCGTGTAGTCGTGGACAGCCAGGTTGTAAATACCAGAGCAGAGGTTGAAAAGAAGCCAGACGGTGACGATGGGGGCGAAAGTAGTCCCGAGCTTCGAGGTCCCAAAGGGTTGGATTAGAAATAGAGCCACCAAGATGGCGCATGTGATACCGACGATGGCAGACGTCCCAAGGTCCGGGTTGGCGACACGGATGCCTTGGATAGCACCCAACACGGACTGGGCTGGTGTAAGCACACCGTCGGCCATCACCATGGACACGCCCAAGACACCGATGAACTGGAGCATGAACTGCGAGAACTTGGACCTCTCGAGGAAGGCACGAAGGCCTCTGCCACCAGCTTTGAGGTCATTGGTGCGGTATCTCTGGAGATGTACAGCTGCCGCGATCTTGGGATCACGGCGCGTGATGTTGGTGTACCTCGACAGCAGGCTATATAGAGCAAAGGTGCCTCCCTGGCCGTCGTCGTCGGCGCGCAAGACGATGAGGCAATATTTGACGGTGACGATCAGGGTGAGCGCCCAGATGATGATGGACAGGGCGCCGACGAGGTCCTCCCAGGAAGGCTGAGACGAGAAGGTAGACGAGAAGACATACAGGGGCGAGGTGCCAATGTCGCCGTAGATGACGCCCGTCGCCTGGAAGGCCAGCCACACGAGCACAGTACCGCTGTAGGACTGTGACACGCGTTAGTTTTTATCTGTCGTGTCCCGACAGGTTGGAGAACTAACCTGCTTGCGTGACTGATGCAGATCCTGCTCGGCAATGGCCATGGCCTTTTCTTGGTCAGTCATATCCGCCATAGCCGCATCTGTGCTTGCGTCGCCACCGCCCTCAGACTGGGCGGCACTTTGGCCCTCTGCACTAGTTCCGGACATCGTGACTGTTGCAACCTGCTGTACGTAAGAGAAAGGTCCAACTGGATTGGGTTGCGGTTCTACGACGGGGGAGGCGGTGACGGTAGGCGGAGATCACTCAATTTGCCGTGCAGATCGAGGTAGTATCAGCAAGGGACCGGCAGACTTCAGGGCAAGAAACGCGTCGATAGAGCTGAGTGCATAAACTACCTGGCAAGGCAAGGGGGAACGCTCCATCTTAAGCTGCATCGCGAGCTCATGCTACATAGGGGTGACAGTCCATCAACACACGTGGACGCCACAAACCAAGTCGATAAGAGTCACGACAGGGAATTTCCATGAGCATATCCAATTACTTTCAAGATTTAGCTAATCTTTCCTGTCTGCCTGCCTTTGCTGGCGATGTTCTCCGTGAGGGATATTGCAGCACTCAGACGGATAGGCTCAACTCGTCCGGCAACGTGCCCCGACATGTGATAAATCCCTCATTGGATCATCACACGCGGTCTGGGGGATGGAGTTTGATAAGAAGTCGAGACCAGATTTGAGGAGAATTCTGGGGGTGTCAGAAGATGGTATAGCTCTATGCGCATAGCCTCCCGCTTAAGATTGCGGGTGAGAGGCTCTCCACCAAAGAGAAAAATGCCTCAAGCAACCTAGAAATAGCTTCCAGGTTGGGAAACAACACCACCTCGAGACGGTGAGACGGTGAGACGATCGGCTATGTGCTCGAATTCGGTATGGGCCTGAAGCCCAAATTAGCTCTGTTTCTTCTCTTTCAGGTGCAGCAGGTCAGATACCACCTAATAGAACTCTACAGAGCAGGCATTCATTGCTAGCCTGTGAGCCGGAATACCTTTTCTAGCCGCGGTGCCACTTACAGAGGACTTCTGGGCCCTGACTAGCGTTGAGGCTCTTAATTCTCGGGTTGGCTTTGGGCCCTTACGACCGGATCTTGCAATGTTCTCGACCATCTCATCTCCCTTGATCTGGGGCTTGTATCACAGAGCCGCAATGGCGGGCCTTAGTCTTATTGATGGTGAACCTGACTTCTCAAGGTTAGGGGCATCCCTGCTTATGTGGCGCGAAGATCCAATAGCATTCATTGTAAGGCTATGTCGGTGCAAGAACATCGAATATGTGAAAAGGACAGTGACACACGCGACCATGACATTACTTTTCATTCCCCCCAACTGGTCCTTCATAATGAAATCTCCATGTAGACACCTGTGCCCTTGACCAGCCTCCTCCTGTATCCTCAATCTACCCCATGGCATAGTTGGAGTCACTCCGCTACGGGTTCTAACCCTGATCCCGGTCTGACCCGCGCCGGATCGCCAGCGGCGGACGGAAGATAGCAGGCTGGAACGGGACGCAGCACCAGGGCTGTCCCGGGGCCTCGCGACTGAACGCTGGGGTAGTTCGCTAGCAAGGGCAGCTCTCGAGTCGACTGTGGTCTGCGTTAGGATGGATATTTGTACGGTTACGAGTGGACACTTAACTCTGGGGCTGCGGCGCTGGGATGCATGCGCGCGTGACTCGAGGAAGACGGCTTGGCGGGGGCGTGAAGGCGGTGCAGCCGGGGCGGAAGTGATGCCGGAGGCAACGTCGAGGCGGCTGTCGCAGTGTAAGTTGTCGACGCAAAACAGAGTGAGTGTGACAACAGCAGCGCAGAGATTAGCCGCAGCGGAGCGCTTACCAGAGAGGACAGGTGACAGACTGCTGGAGCAGCCACGGGTCGATGCAGCTCGTGTGAAAATCGTGGCCGCACGGCAGCGGGCGGATGCTGGCCTCGTCTAGGAAGTTCTCGGTGCAGATGGCACAGGTATGAGACTCGCCTAGCGGCAGAGGAGAGCCGTACGACGGAGTTCCTTTCTTAACCCTTGACGCTCTGTACTTGACGACAGGAATCAAGCCCACGGCGTTGGGTGTCAGGCAGACCCTCTGCCTAGGGGCCTCTCCCTGTTGTCGACGTACAAAGCATCGCCTGAGTGGTGTCTTGGAGAGGATGAAGGGCGAGACGAATACAAGGACCACAGCGACGGTGGCCAGGCCGACTGCTGTAGACGAGGGCCCAAACTCGGCGTTGGAGGCTTGCTCGTGACTCGCCCTTTGATGTAGCACGGCCGGAATGATCATCACCAACGAGTTACTATGGTGATGTGCGCGCGCCACGCGTGGAAGACTCGGCGAGACTTGGAGGGCAAGCTCGGAACATGGGCCCGCGGAGGGGCATATGGTCATCAAGAAGTAGCAGTGAGAGAGGACTGCCGCTTGCTAGACACGTCACAAAAGCCAGGGCCTATGAGGGATATATGCCGTGGGGTCAGGTTTGTTCGGACCAGTACTATTGAAGGAGTATCGTTGAAGAGGCGGTAGGCATCCATCCATGTGCTTCCCCACAGATTTCTTTCTAGCAGGGATGCACAGGACCCCTGCTGCCAGTCGGCACTTCCTCTCAAGCCTGGTATTGGCCATGCTCGTTGGGAATCTTGGTGTTAGTCTTCTGTAGCTATGCCGAATCGCACATGTACCTCACTCACTCAGGTATGTACATTGCTGAAAACCGCTGTTGTTTTCTCCGACACCTCAGAGCCTCCCGTCAATGAATCTCTCAAAAGTATCATCACATCATCACGCCCTGCAACTTAAAACAGCGAGCGGATGATGCCAAAAGGATTGACCCTGGGTAAGACACACATACACTGACAACACCTTCCAAGTGCCTCGAACACCAACACCTTGCTGCTGAGGCACGCGAGCCGAAGATGGCAAAGTGTCCATCGTGACAAGCAGGCTGAACTGGGCCGCGAGGCTCACCTTGGCAACTCACCGAGGTGCTCGACGTGTTTCCTGAGCCAGGAGAGGCGGAATTGAATGGCGATGATTCGATTGAGAAGCCGAAACTGGTGAGCCCTTTGGTTCTGAAAAAGAGCCAGACAGAGGGCCGAGATGCAAGGGCAACAGCGGCTTAGATGCTGGAAGAATGCTATTCTTATTTGAGCTTAGCTGGTCGGGGTGTGCAAATCTAATATTAGAAGTACCTTAGGGTGGACCTAACATCCCCAAAACGGCCTGGAGGTTTTCGTCACGGATTGAGCTCCAGGCCTCCAGGCCTCTGTGAGTGGAGTGGAGGGGTAGCTTCGAGGGGCATAGCTTCGCGGTTTTGCACGTCATTGAAGCATCAAACCGTGTCTCGCCCTTCATTTTGGACGCCGGGTTCACAGCCAAGCTTTTCTGTTTGCTGCTGTCGCTCGGGCTGTGCGGGATACAGACGCCCGTCCTGTCGTCTCCTCACCCGCGTTCCAACCCTCCCCTCCTTTGCTGTGCCATTGCCCTCATTTGGGAAGAAGAACAATCAGCTGCTTCTCCGGCACACCACCCACCTCCTCCTTGCTCCCGCGCGGAACCCGGCAGATACAAGCCTTACCCACCCCGCACGGCTGGATCGACGGATCGACAGGATCAGGAGACAGCGAGCAAGCAATGGCCGGCCCCAACCCCACCACCGCCATCTCGGCGCCGGGCAAGGTCCTCTTCACCGGCGGCTACCTCGTCCTCGACCGCGCCTACACCGGCCTCGTCTACGGCCTGAGCGCCCGCATCAACGTCATCGCCCAGGAGATCACCACCAGCCCCGGCGTCCAGCTCACCGAGATCGTCGTCGAGAGCCCCCAGTTCCTCGAGGCCCAGTGGCGGTACGGGTACCACCTTGCTGACGAGGACGGGGGCATCTCGGTCACACAGCTCCAGATGTAAGTGTGTTTTTTGTTGTGTTCTCCTGCGAGATCTCACACCATCCATCCATCTCATGTCTCTTGCTTGCTTCCCACTCCCCAAGACCCGAATGCCCCAATCCCGTTTCCCACAGCCCCTCCCAAGACTGACCGCCCTCACTCACACCAGCGGCTCGACCTTCTCGCCCAACCCCTTCGTCGAGACGGCCCTCGCCTACGCCCTGACCTACATCTCCCGCACCTCCCACCAGCACCCGGCCCACAGCATCAAGTCGGCCCGCCTCGCCATCCTCGCCGACAACGACTACTACTCCCAGTCCTCCGGCTCGTCCTCCACCTCTTCCTCGTCCTCCACCGTCACCGGTGGCGGCGCTGGCAGCACCACCGGCAGCGGCCGCTTCGCCCGCTTCCCCACCACCCTCCGCAAGGCCAACAAGACCGGCCTCGGCTCCTCGGCCGCGCTGGTCACCTCCCTCACGGCCGCTCTGCTGGCGCACTACCTCGCGCCGAGCCAGTTCGACCTCTCCACGCCGGCAGGCAAAGCCACGCTGCACAACCTCGCGCAGGCCGCGCACTGCGCCGCCCAGGGCAAGGTGGGGTCGGGCTTCGACGTCGCGGCCGCCGTCTACGGCTCCTTCAAGTACCGCCGCTTCTCCCCTTCCATCCTGTCGGGCCTGCCCGAGCCCGGAGCGCCGGGGTTCGCCTCGGCGCTGGTCGGCGTCGTCGACGGCAAGTCGGTGACCTGGGACACCGAGACGGCGACCGCGGGCGTGGGCCTGCCGGCCGGCGTGGCGCTACGCATGTGCGACGTGACGTGCGGCTCCGAGACGCCGGGCATGGTGAAGCAGGTGCTCGCGTGGCGGGCGCGCGAGGGCGCCGCCGCCACGGCGCTGTGGGACGAGCTGCAGGCGCGCAACGAGGAGCTCGCGGCCGTGCTGCGCGGCGACGGGGGCAACGGGACCGGAGACATCCGCGGGGCGCTGGACGCGGTGCGCGCGCTGACCCGCCGCATGGGCGAGGCCAGCGGCGTGCCCATCGAGCCGCCCTCGCAGACGGAGTTGCTCGACGCGCTGGCCGACCGGGTTGAGGGCGTGTACGGCGGCGTCGTCCCCGGAGCGGGCGGGTTTGATGCTTTGGCGCTGCTGGTCCGGGACGACGAGGAGACGGCTGCGAGGCTCAAGGCGTTCCTCGAGGGGTGGAGCAAGGAGAAAGGGGCCAGGGTCAAGTTGCTCGAGGTGCGTGGCCAGCTGGAGGGGGCGAGGAGGGAGGAGTTGGGGATATACGAGGGGTGGCTGCGGTGATTATTTGGGCATGCTGTTTCCCCCTTTTTTGTCTTTGGTGATCACGCGTGGCACCATCTGGGTCTGTTTCTTTGATGAAGAAATCTTGTTCTACTGGGCATTTTTTCCGTTTGATCTAATGCTATGAGAAGTATCGAAAGGCAAAACACAAAAGTCCTACGCTCTCTTTTTTCTGGATTAAGTTTTCCCCTTCTTCTGGTCAATCTAATGCCTTGTGATGTTTGTGTTTATTTCCGTAGTGGTATCAGTCTTCCCGCTCTTTCAAGTGCCCTGCCTGGTCGAGTAAAAGTGTGTCGTGTATTAGACCGGATGGCACCCTGAATCCTTCCCATTTCCCCTTGTCCATCCATCCGTTTCGTCCTTATGCCTGCACAAAGACAAGTAGCCGCTCCTCCTGTAACGCCGTTGCCCGAGAGGATACCGTGAGTTGATCGCCGTAGAGCAGAGAGTGTAAGCCACCCCTTCCTGCCAAATCACTCGTCAACCAGCTTCCTTTTCGCAGAAAGCCACAATGATATCCCATGGGGTATTTTCCCTCCCTTTCCCACACAGACACAAAAGACAAAAAGAACCATCCTCACCGGCACACAACCAATCCCAAAAAGTGTGTACAAGTAAAAGCTTCAGACCCCTCTGAAGAGTCCCGTCCCCAGAGCCGATAAGAAACGAACAACAGACACACGTGTTCTCACATGCGACCCTCGCTCAGAGACTCATCTCCTTCTCCAGACCGAGGAAGCTACCCTGCGGGCTGACGCTGCGCTCCGAGGCGGCCACACCGCCGCAGCGGCAGATCTTGGTCGTCGACGACACGGGCGAAGAGTAGTCGCTGCCGCCGTCCAGCTGCTGCTGCTGCTGCTGCTGGTGGTGGTGCGACAGGCCCAGGTCCATGCCGAGGCCGAGGCCGACGTTGGGGCTCGTGCGGCCCATGGGCAGGGCGGAGGGGTCGACGGGGTTGAGGCACAGGGAGCCGCCGCGGCGGGCGGACAGGGCCGAGGGCATGGGCCGGCGCTGGTGGTGGTTGTAGCTGTGCGGGCCCGTGGTAGTGTGATGGTAGTGCGAGTAGGTGTGCGAGTGGTGCAGGGCGCCTCCGCCTCCGACGCGGAAGTCGGCGATGCCGATGCGGGACGCGGCGGCCTTCTCGCGGAGGATGGAGATTCTATTTTTTTTTTTTACAAGTTAGTCTTGGGGGTATAAGTGGTAGAAGTCAAGGGTCATGAACGTACTCATCATCCGAGATGCCGGGCAGGATGGACTCTTCCTTCTTGAAGTTGAAGGGCGCGGACTGTGTTGGTAGTAGGTCTTTGGTTAGCTTGGCTGTCTGAATTTATGCATGTATGAATGTGAATGAGAAAAAAAAAATGCTTACAATCTTGAGGCCCTGCTTCTTCTTGCGGCGGATGCGGCAGAAGTCCTGCAGGCGGTGGGCGTAGGCCATGACGTTGAGGCAGTGCATGTTGGGCGAGTCTGAAGGGAGGAGAAAATCGAAATAAAAAGGGGGGTATCACGAAATTGCTGAAAAGGCGAAAAAAGCGAGTTGATCAGAGCGAGAAATATCGAGCTCTGATGGTGCTTTGGGGTATCGAAGTGGTGATGCTGGCTGTGGGTGAGCGAGCGAAGCGCGTGTAAGTTGGGTTTTGGTGTTGGAGTTGGTCTTGGTGTTGTCAGATCCCAGACCTGTTGTGTCGAGGTTGGCGGGATTTATGCTGGGCGAAATGCTCTTCGTCGGCGGCGAGCAATAAATTCAAAAGAATGTCAATAGACGGAGGGCGAAGACGCGTCAATGCTCTGCCAGGTCTATTGTTCAGACTTCAGACGACAAGTTGGTCGTGGGTTGCCCTGGTGCCAGTGCTGGGACTGAATCTCGTGCCCGACGTGTTGCAAATTGGCCCAACTCTGAAAAAAACAAAGACCCAGCGCGACAACAGCGGGGTTGTACGGGTAGGAAGAAGAAGAAAAAAAAAAGAAGTAGATAACGAAAGAAAGAGGATTGGGGCGGTTTAAAGAAAGAAAAGAATGCGACGAGGGCAGGTGGTCGAAGAAAGAGCAGCGCAGGTGTGGTCCTACGCTCTTTGTTCCTCCGAGTCCCCTCAGCTCCCTTTGATGCACATACAGAACAGCAGCAACAAAAGCAGCAAGCGGCAGCGGCGGCAGCTAACTAACACACAGCGCGGTGTACGTGTGGATAGGTATGTATGCCGGGCAAGAAGGAGAACGGAAGGAATAAAGACGGGGCAGCGGGCTTCCCTTTATTCCATCTACCGGCTCACCGAAGGAGGGTTCGGGGTGGTAGGGCGACGACTGGAATGGGCTTCAATCCTAGATGGGGAAACGGAAAACGAGGGACGATCAAGGGTATCACCCACGCTTCCTCAGTCGGGTGGAGTAAAGAATGGGCTGTCCTGTCAAGCCAAGTCAAGTCCTGGCAAGTCGGTTGCTCGGTCGTGCACGTCACAAACCTAGCTACGAGGGAAGATGGGAAGAGGAACCGGCACAATATGTATGAGACCTCTCTCGTTCCGCTGCCCGGGTGTCATACGCAAGACGTAAGCTGGCATGCTGAGGCCGATATCCAATACGAAACGACAAAGCATCCCGTACAAAAAAGTGCAGAGGGCACAGTCAATCAATCCCGCAGGGATGGAAAAGCACAGAAAGCCATGTGCGAGGCTGCCACTACCTAACGAGCGGCCTTCCCTTTTGGCAAGGGCCCCAGGCAGGTGAGACGCACCGGTCCGTTTCCACGGAGGTGCTCTGGAATGTGGCCAGAATGGAAGAGTGCGGCGGCGAACCAGTGGTGAACAGTGGTGAGTGGTCGGGCAGAGAGGTCGAGCTCTGGTGCCCAAAGAGGCCGGGCAGCGGACACAGGGGGCGGCGGGTCGTCGCCGGGTGGATCCCGGGAGCGAGAGCGCGGTCAGAGCAGCGACTGGAATGGGCGGTGCGTTGGTGAGGCAGAGCTGGAATGCCGGGCCATACTCATACCTATTCCCGCCCCCTCTTCACCCCTTTGCACGCAGCGCACTGCTCTGGCTGGCTGGATGGCTTGCTGGCCAAGGGACCATAATTTGCAGAGGAATCTCCGAGGCATTACCCTGCTCAATAGCCGCGCCCGTAAGCTGTACAGAGTTCACTTGGACGGCCGCATGACGCGCCCGGGATGGGCAGGAAATAAAACCGTTACGTCCAAGACGGGTTGGCCGCCATTCCCTGTGGTTCCCAAAGAGGAAAAGGAGAGGAAACAAGAGCGTGAAAACATCTACAAATACGGCAAGTAATCTCACACGCTGCACGTCTGTCAAGGGCGGAGAGGTTAGCACCAACGGTTGACCGTGATGAGGGTTTTCTGCTACTCCTCCTCCCAGCGCTGCTACGTGACAGTCAGCCTTTACCCGCGTTTCGGAGGGATTAAGCCACATGAGATCTCCAGGTATGCCATTCAGGTGGACAGGGCAATTCAGGAAAGTATCTCGCGTGCAAAAGTGTGAATTCGGGCTGTCGTGTCTACCGGAGTCTAATTGCGTGGCACCACCATAAAGGACTGGACTCCCTTGCTTCATCCGCCGCGAACCAGATCGCCCCAAGAACCCCCCACTACCAAAAAAAAGGCGTCGCGTCCCCAGCCCAAACCACAGGGCGCAGATCCAGAACAACGCCACGGCACCACTCCTCGAGTGGACTTTCTCTTTCCGCTCTATTTGGGGTAGTCCTTCAGGTGGTAGCTCTTGAGCTTGACGAACTGGTCAAAGCCAAACCTGCTCAGGGTCTGCCCCTTGCCCGAGTTCTTCCACCCCGTCCACGCGAGATCCTGCCCGTTGGAATGCGCGTTAGCAAAGACTCTGGCGTATCGTCATCTCCCAGAAATTACAGCACAATTCGATAAGAAAAGGGACATTTCCCATATGGGAAAGGAAACGACAAGAAAGGGAAGCCTTACCGGACTCGGGTAGTCGCATCTGTTGACAAAGACGGTGCCGGCCTCGACATCGTCCGCTAGCTCCGCGGCCTTCTCCACGTCCTTGGTCCAGATGCTCGCCGTCAAGCCAAACTCGCTGTCGTTCATGAGTCGCACCGCCTCCTCGTCGTTCTTGACCTTCATCACAGGAATGACCGGTCCAAAGGTCTCGTCCTTCATGACGGCCATCTCGTGGCTGACGCCCGTCAACAGCGTAGGCTTGACAAAGTTGCCCTTAGTCGGGGGCGTGTTGAACGTCTCGTTGTCCGGCGTCGCGTCCTTGGCGCCCTTGCTCAGCGCATCCTTGATGTGGCCCTCGATCGTCTCCTTGGACCTCTTGGAGATGACGGGACCCACGTGCGTCGCCTTGTCGAACGGGTCGCCCAGCCTGTAAGCCTTGAGCACGTTCTGGACCGCCTCGACAAACTTGTCGTGGATCTTCTCGTCGACGTAGACCCGCTCGATCGAGCAGCAGCTCTGGCCCGAGTTGAAGACAGCACCGTCTACAATCTCCTCGGCAGCCCATGCGATGTCCACATCGTCTCGGATGTATGCGGGGTCCTTGCCTCCGAGCTCGAGACCGACATTGACGATGCGGTCCGAGGCTGCGCTCTGCACCGCCAATCCACCAGCAACGGATCCGGTGAAGCATACCAATGCAATATCGGGGTTCCTGACGATGGACTCAATTGTCGTGGGAGAGCCGGAGTGGAAGTACTGTAGAACGCCCTTCGGCAGGCCCGCCTCTTCAAAGGCCTTGGCGACCTGCTCCACAACCGTCGGGGTCTGAGGCGACGGCTTGAGGATGACGGTGTTGCCGGCGAGGAGTGCTGGAATCAGCGCGTTGACGAGGATAAGGTAGGGGTACTGTCAAACGTTCAGTCAGTAAGTTTCGTGATATTTTCTTGAGCTTGATCAAGGTTGGCCAAAACGTACGTTCCACGCAAAGATGATAAGGACCGGCCCGACGGGAACCTTGCGGATGAACCTCTTGAAGCCCTTCTCCGCCTCGCCGTCCGTGTCCTTGAGCACCTCGTCACTGATCTTGAGCAGGTACTCGGCCCTCTTGACTGCCGTCGTGACCTCCTTGGCGGTGTAGGCGATCGGCCGGCCCATCTGCACCGTGAGCTCGAGCGCAAGCTCGTCGACGTTCTTCTCCAGGTTCTCGATGGCCTTGCGTACGATGATCTGCCGGTCCGCGAGCTTGGTCGTCCTCCACGCCTTGAAGGCCTCTAGCGAGGTCTTCGGCAGCAGCTGGAGGTCGGCCTCGGAGATGCCATTGCGCGTGAGGATGGGCTCGTTGGTGGTGGGGGAGATGGTGGTGAGGACCTCGACCGACATCTCGGACTGTTGTCTTCTATTGCTTTATTGGATGTGTTGATTGATATGTGGGAGTGCCGGACAGGAACAAGTTGGGATCACGGTATATCAAGAACAATAGGCATCAATTGAGAGAGGAGCAGCTGTGGCAAACTTGTACGACGATCTACTCACACCTTCAATTGCACCCCCACCATATCGTGTGTAGACCCGGTGATGCCCCACCAAGAGATATCGTCACCGATAAGATAAGGACCCCAAGTGCCGTGTTATCGATAAGCGCCGCCTCCAAATAAATTTTCTGAGGATCGCCAAGCTAGAACCGCACTGAGAGGGACAGGCTTCTGGTGGGACAATTCGGTTGCGCCTCAACATCTTGCTATTGTACATAACCGACAGCGTCAATTTCGCCAGTCCCAAAAGAGATGCCTCTCGAGAAGCGCAACCAGTTCCTCGACGCCGAGGAGAGCGACGACGACGGCAGCCAGGGCTACGACTCCGAGGCCGAGGAGCTGAGGAAAGGCGGCGGCCGCACCGCCAAGCGCAGAAAAGTCGACGATGCCAGCGACGACGAGGGCGCCCTGAGCGATGCCAGCGACGACGAGGACGCCCTGAGCGATGCCGGCTCCGGTAGCGACGAGGAAGACAGGGCAAGCGATCAAGATGAAGAAGACCACGACGACGCCGCAGCCGCCCAGCTCCGCCAAGAGTCTCTCGACATCAGCACCAGCCAACCGCACGAATCAGAGGACGGCGAAGAACCCTTCGCGGCAGAGGAGGAGGAGGAAGAAGAAGAAGAACAAGACACAAAACAAAAGACCAAGCCCCAGTCCCAACACGAGCTCCCAGGCCTCTCCAAGCCCCTCTCCAAAAAGAACCTCGTGGCCAGCGAGGCCGCCGTCCGCAAGTCGGGCGTGGTCTACATCTCCCGCCTGCCGCCCTTCATGAAGCCCCAGAAGCTACGCTCCCTGCTCGAGGCCCACGGCGCCATCAACCGCATCTTCTGCTCGCCCGAGGACCCGGCGGCCCACGCCCGGCGCGTGCGCGCGGGGGGCAACAAGAAGAAGTCATACACGGAGGGCTGGGTCGAGTTCGTGCGCAAGAAGGACGCCAAGCGCGCCTGCGAGCTGCTCAACGCGCAGACCATCGGCGGCAAGAAGGGCAGCTACTACCGCGACGACATCTGGACGCTGCGCTACCTCAAGGGCTTCAAGTGGCACCACCTGACGGAGCAGATCTCGGCCGAGAACGCCGAGCGCACGAGCCGCATGCGCGCCGAGATCGCAAAGACGACGCGCGAGAACAAGGAGTTTGTGCGCAACGTCGAGCAGGCCAAAGTGCTCGACGGCATGCGCGCCAAGCGCGAGGCGAAGCGCAAGGCCGCGGACCGCGACGAGGACGACGCCGCGGCTGCTGGGAAGAGGAGCAAGAAGAGTAAGAAGAGCGAGAAGGACGGCGGCGCCGCGGAGGAGCGCACGACGACGTTTAAGCAGATACCCCTGGTCGACAAGAAGAAGAAGGAGAGGATAGAGCAGCCCGAGCAGGTGCAGAGGGTGTTGAGTAAGATTTTCTAATGTGTTCCTTCATTGTCTGGAGTTAGTTACATGGGTAACTGGTTATTGAAAATGGGTCAAGGCACTGGCCATGGTACGAGAGATGGTCAAATACAAATAACTGTCAAAACTTTTCCGATTTCAGATGATGCTATTCGCCCTAATGATGATGCTCCGGTCTATCAACCCTCATATAATTCCCATAACGCCTGAAAAAGCAGATATTATGAACCTTGGTAGCGCAAGGCTATTTTGCAACAGGCTCATTGCTGGTCCTCAATCGCAAGCTCGTCAAAATCATCCAGCAGCTCTTCCATGTCTACCCGCGGCGCGTCATCACCGTCGACATCCTCCGTCATCTCCGTGCCCGCCACGCTCATGCTGTCCACGTCCATACCGCCCTGTTGCTGTTGCAGCTTCTTCTTGTTGGTGTTCTTGTACAGCGCCAGAGCAGCGCGCAGCTCGTCGTCCTCCTCGACGTCGCGCAGGAAGGTTTCGTACTCGGCATCCATGCGGGCCTGGTCAGACTTCTTGGGAAGCAGCTCGCCCTCGTCCTTGGCCATACGCTTGAGCCGCCAGTGGCGCTTGCGGTTCTTCTGCTTGCGGGGCCAGTGCTTCTTGACCAGGACGACGTCGGGGATGGTGGAGCCGTAGGCGTGCGACTCCTCAATGGCGTCGAGCTCGGCGCTGTTGAAGTTGGTCCCAGTGAGCAGGTAGCCCATGGCCGAGTCGCCGACCTGCAGCATGTGTCCAAGGTGCGTGCGGGTGAAATAGGTGGTGTCGTTGGCGCCCATGTCCGAGGCCCTGGCGACAGTGGCTTCGGCGAGCACCCACTTGCCCTTTCGGTAGCCGGTGGGCTCAATATCCAGCACAACAAACTCGACCAGCTCTTTCATGTCTGCCAGAGCACCGAACTGATGCTTTTCTCTCCAGTATATCGGAGCGGCAATCTCGGCACTGGTGAGAGTCTGTGGGTCCAGCAGGTTGACCGAAGTTCCAATTCTCCAGCACAGGCAGATGGGCGAGATGTTTCCTATCCTCTTGGCCAGCTCCAGCGGGAGGGCGACAAGGTCGTCTTTGCAGATGGGGACGATGTCCACCGAGAAGGCAAATTTCATGGACTTGGTCGACGTGTGAATGTCTTCGGAAATGAGTTCTGGGGAGTTCTTGACAAACACGGGAACGACAGACTTGAGAAAGTCGACAAACTTGACAGCCTGATTCCTTTGCGAGAAGTAGAAGTCGATGCCGTCTTTGGCTTCCTTGATGTTGAGGGTATCCCGATGCGCACCGTGCTTCATGATCAGCTGCTCCAGGAACAAAAAGGTACGCTTGTGCAGCACCTTTTGTCTGACCTGGACACACGCCCTCCACACGTTCGCCGTGTATGACTTTTGGCATTCGGGGCACTGGTGGGTGCCGACGACGTAGACCACCTCGAAGCTTTGCTGCAGCACAACACCCTCCGCGACCGAGTCCTGGATCGTGAGCTTGACGCGCACTCGTCTTGAGTTGGGCTCTGTCCAGATGAAGCTGGCGTCGATGACGCGGACCTTATTCAAGCCCCTCAGCTTCTTCAGGCACAGGGCAAGCATCTCGCGCGATTCAGGCGCTGCCACGACCCAGCTGTTGGGCGGCAGGAGCCATCTGTCGCAGTCTTTGCAGAACTGGATATTCGCTTCGCGGGGGATGCCTTGGGAGATGTCGACAGTGAGCTTGATACAGTCGTAGCAGAGGGCGTTGGCGGAGGTGGTGCCATCGATCGGGGCAGAGCAGTTGCAACAGAGAATACTGGAAACGAAGTCAAGTCAGTCCAGGATCTCTTTTCTTATCGGCAATAAGTATGGGAAAGGGAGGGATAGAACTCACGTTGCGCCAGTCTGAGCGGTTCCACCCGAGGCGATGGACACGGGAGCGTCCATATCTACATCCATCGACGACATTTTGGGCAAAACTCACAAAATGCGCCTCTGGGATGTTTTGTTAGGGGGTTGAATAACGATTTCAAAGCCAGAGAGTGGCGGGGTTGAAATTTTGGAAATTTTGAGGCCGATTAGAGTCAGAGCCCCCGCTATCAGTGATTGATAAGCTTGGCCGCTTGGCTTACCGGAGGGGTGATCTTGGCGGAGGCAGCTGGTGCCAGCTGCGCTACTGAACCTCAACTACATACATAATGTACCTAACTTAATCCACCGTCCGTTCAACCACCACCAACTCCGATCCTCCTGCTTGCATGCATCCACGCCACGAGATCAATAAAACCAGTAGTATGCTCCTTGGCCTTGACCCAATAAGCTCGTGACCTCATCTCTCCCCTAGAGCTCCGTCCTCCTCGCACCCCGTCTGGTTTCTTGCTTTCTTGCTCTCCGTGCGAGCGTTCCAACTCTTAGTTTAGAGTATCTCGCCGAGCCCTGCCGAGAACAATTATCCGTAACGCGTACCACAGGAGGTGCGTCTCCGCCGATAGCTGAAGTTGTAAATACGTGGGATCCGTAGCTTATCAGAGCAACCTTGATGACACAACCACAGCCCCGCTGCGAAAGCTCGGCGAGCACTCTCTGGATTGCCCGAGGCCACGAACGCTTACTGTCGTCCATTGGATGGGAGACAAGTTCCAAATCTATGAACATGTAAAGGTATGGGATGTTCTGGAGCACTGAGGCGAGGATCTGTAGCCATTCTTCGTAGGTCATCGCAGTGTTGCAAGCTCGTAGTCGTGGGGATAGCTCGGAGTCTGTTTGGATGGTCAAATTGAGTCGGATAGCTTGAGCTATGAGGATTTTGAGGATGTCGATGGACCAAACCTGACTATCCGCCTGTTGCGGGAAGTCTGCGGGCTTTAGGGCCCAGATGACAGGAGTTTTCGCTTCTTGCAGCGACATGATCGAGTCAGTACAGAAATCGCGAACGATATGCCGCAGCTTCCACGTCCCGTCAATCATAACAAAACCTGAACCATGTCCCTGATTCCAATTCTGCATTTCCGTCGTGAACCAGAAACGGAGGCTATAAGGTACTGATATATGTCGACGCCGTTTACGCAGGAATACGGATGACTCGAGTGACTTGAGCGGGTCAAGAAGTGGTGCCTTGGAGAGGATATCGACAAATTGAGTTACCTGGATTGATGTCAACTGTTGGCGAAACTCAATCCTCGCCGAGGCGTTGATAACCTGCTCGGCGGCCATCGAGTCCTTCATCTGTAGCACGACATCTCTCAGTCGCGTCATGTCCAAATGCATAAGGCGCAATCTAGTATGCAGGTCTCGTTGCTCAGCAAGGCCGCTGACAAGAGCTAGCTCTGATAGTCTTTGCGACAGTGATGATATTTCTGCAATGATATCATTGTAGCAGAGCTCGGCTGGTCGGGTTATGGCGTGTATGGCTCGCATGGTCCTGCTTTCCTGGTACCAGCGGAGGGCACGCACGAGGAACTTCAAGATGCTTGTGTAGAGGGGCACCACGATTTGCTTCATGTAAGATGTTGAATAGAGCTGTATGCTCAACTCGACTCGTGGCAAAATGTCGGCAATCTGGCAGAGAGCACCCGCAAGGGTTGAAAGCAGATTCTGATGATTCACAACCCCCTTTGTACGTCGTATTAGGCAACCTGCCTGCTGAGAGTCGCAACGAAAGGGACAAACTTACCACAAACAAAACTTTCATGGCACCCCACACCAGAGATACATACTCTGGATGATGCTGTACCATGACATCCAGGACCTTTCCGTAATAATGGATTTTCTTTGACAAGTCCACGAGCGTCCGTCGCATGGTCGACTTGTCTTTTTGCGATTCATACTGAGCCTGAGCATTGACGGTGGCTGAGAGCACCTCTTCGAGGCTATCGAGCCGCGAATTGTACAGCCATTGTACCTTTGTGCTGTCCTTCGAGAGCTCGCTTTGGAATGCCTGCATTGCCTCCCGGAAAACTTCGGTGAAAAGTTCTTTACTGTCCACATCGAGTCTGTTATTTCGGTTCCCTTGATAGTGGGAAGGGACTTGGACATATCCTTACTCGTGCACGTTCTCCGGTCCGGAGTAAAAGGATCGAAAAGCATCAATCTTCTCCATGATGTGACAGCCTGAGCGTATACAATGTGCTCAAAAGGTCTACAGTGGAACAGGATTGGTGCTCAAATCGCCTGTTCATAGGAGGTGTTTCTACATCTTGGTGCTACGTCTGATGGAAGAGGCTGCTCGGATTGTTGTCGGCGGCACCCGTTGAGGGGTAGTCGCTGAGTGTGTGGCCTGAATATGTTGAATTGTAATTAGCTGACGCATCGGCTGCGTCATGGAACGACTGATTTCTGTTGGTCGCTCGATCTCGTGGCACTGTCCTATTCGTGGGAGGTGGTAAGGCAGATTCGACACCGCCCCTTCTACGGTGTTACTCGCCCAACCCCTCGCCACACACAATTTCGGACCGCACAAACGAACCTTTTGAGAGGCGAGCTCAGCCCTGCATGCTGCTTGCAGATGCTTCTCGAATCCGTTTCTGGTCAGACACTACCTTGGCCTCTTTGACACAACAACCTACATTTTACATGTACTACCGCCAATATCATTTCCGACAAATATCAATTATTAGACTTGGAACCACCCAAACGAGATTCTATGGGGTCTTTCGCAATGAACGGATCCTCTCAGGCACGACTCTCGGCCAAGGAGAGACCAAGGCAACAATCCGGGCCACGTTTTCCAGGGAGACTTTCCGCACAACGAAATTCCGCCCTCAGTTCCGGTGACACTTTGGACCATGGTGCTGGTGGCGATGTCAGCACCTTTGAAGTTAAGTTAGGCGATGATAAAGAAGGAGAAATAGGAGAAGATAGGGAAGAAGAAGCTGATGAAGAAGGAGGGGAAGAAGGAGAAGGAGGAGAGGAAGACAGCGACGGAGAACAAGCAACAACAGACGATGAACACAGCGATACTCCGACTCTGCCTACCCAACCCCACAAGAATCAACGCCTACAAGACCGCACGTCGAGACACGCACCAGACCATATAGTCCCAAAAACGCTCCCCAGCTCCAAAGCCAAGTCTGTGCACCTAACAATCTCTGATGATCGAAGCAAAGGTAGCGCTTTCGAGACAGAGCGGCGCGACCTCGTTGCATTAGAGCGGCGTGAGCTTAGGAAGAATACTGGCTTGCTTCAGGCACCAAGCGACACCAACCCAGAGCCGGCACCGCCGCACGGTAATGCCATAGGCGTGACCACTAATGACACCCATATAAATTTGTAGGTTCTTTGTGTGTCTGTTTTCATTGGAAGTCCCACGGCGAAAACTGATGCGGGCTGCGTTCTGTCTTTCGGTCTAGTCCACCTGACTTTCCTAGTCCACCTAGTTGCTTAATGCTTATGCAACAGGAACTCAGAAAGAGAAAAATAATGGAAAGGTTAGAAGCGAGGGATTCTGGCGATACTGAACAAGTTTTCTTCGCTGGTTGGTCATACCAATGCTACACATCCAGCTCTGCAGAGGGCGTATCACGTCGCCTCATGATGCTAACAAGGAGCCCAGAAGAAACAACTAGTTCATATCCAAAAAGACGCCGTCATAGTCCTCGAAGTATCACCAATGAGGGAAGCCCAATTTCCTCCCTTCCAGGCAGCAGCGAGGCCGCAGTTCCTCGAATGATCGATGCTAACATTCTAGGGCTTCCCGAGGACGCAACAACGAGTCCCGGGGCATTTCAAGCTTATCTGGCTAATTTGGTCCGGTGTAGTCAACTGACCTTCGAGCCAGCGTCCCGGAAGAAAATCATTCATCACATAGGAGACGGTGGCAAAGGCCCCTACTACTTTGATCACCCTCAGTGGGTCTTTGGGGATGGCGAGTCGAAAGCGTTGAAGAGCAACATGCCCGTGCGTAGCATTGATGCATACCTAGAAAGACGCCCGGAAATTGGGTTTGTCGTGTTTCGACATTACAACCCATCGACTATGAAGGCGCCTGAGGTCACAGACGATGAAGAGGGTTCTCTATCGCCAATCGGGCACACGTCCGAGCATATCGAAACAAGAACGCCCAATCTAGTGGCCGCTTTCAAGAAGCTCAGCAAGTTCGGTTCAAACAACTTCAAGGTTGAGCATGGTACTGTAATTGCGGATTCGATCAGCCTGAGCTCCCCATATCTTGCTATTTTCCACAGCCGGGAAATTCTAGCTGAATTCTTGGCAACACTGCCTAGCAACGAGAGGGCCTCGCTTCAACTGCTGCTTGAGTACATCCTGTGCGAGCTCAATAATGAGTACGAGTCTGTTGATAAGCTGCTTGGGAAGGGAACCATCACAAGTTCTTCCATTGAGTATCTTTTCAAGCCTGGTGATCTACTCTTGAAGGGGAAAGGCAACGATATTTGCGGTTATCTCGCCACGTCTTGGCTTGATCACTCAACTCGTCCCTTGAAAGAAACGGCGGAGATGAAGAGAAAGAGCTGCTGGTCCATCGTTTGCGAGCATTGGGACTTTGACGGAGTCTTCTCTCATCGCAAAACGATTTTGCAATTTTCACTCGATTCCGACCAATCCTCCGAGCTCAAAATCGATGAGTTAGATGTGAAGCCTTTGAGGTCCGGCGACCAGGCTACTGAAACTCTGCGCCGTAGAGGTGAGATGTTCTGGAAGTGTCGTTTCAGACATTTTGTCTCGTACCTCGAGGATCCGACCCGAGACTCCTCGGGTGAAGAACGCTTCATGATAGATCTTGGCATGTACCGTGAGCTGCACAAGAGAGAGTCTCATGATAAGTCACTGGGGGAAAAGGAGGTCTCAGATGACCTAGGGCCTCAACGTATGAAGAGTGAGTCACCTCCCGACGAGGAATTCCTCTACCTACTACCCCGGACGATCAAGGGGTACAGCCTCAAGAGGAAAAAGTGGCTCGATCTGGAGGTTGATAAAATCTCCGAGGTCGCCTGGAACAAGGATGCCTTTGAGAATCTCGTGCTAGAGAGAAAGACAAAACGACTTCTCCAAGCTTTGGTTAGTAACCATCTCGAGGCTGAGAGAGGGACTGATTTGATCTATGGCAAGGGGAATGGCCTCATCCTTCTCCTTCACGGAGGTCAAGGAACGGGTAAAACACTCACTGCAGAAAGTGTCGCCGAAATTGCCGAGAAGCCTCTCTACCCGGTCACCTGCGGCGATATTGGAACAGAGTCAGAGATGGTCGAGACGTACCTGGAATCCGTCCTCCACTTGGGGAAGACATGGGGCTGTGTCGTTCTATTAGACGAAGCCGATGTGTTCTTGGAACAGCGGAGTCTCGAGGACCTGCAGCGCAATGCTCTAGTCTCGGTCTTCCTCCGTACCTTGGAGTACTACGATGGCATCCTCATCCTTACGAGCAACCGCGTCGACACATTCGACGAGGCGTTCAAGTCGCGTATTCAACTGGCTCTTCACTATCCCAACCTGGAGACACACCACCGCATAAAGATCTGGGAGAACTTTATACGCCGACTACAGAGTTTGAAGGAGAACATTGACTTTAGCGACTTGATCAGCCATGTCCCGCAACTTGCGAACCACGAAATGAATGGGAGGGAGATACGCAACGTAATCACAACGGCTCGAAAGTACGCCATGTGGGAAAAGGAGCGGCTGGACTTCGAGATCCTGGAGGATATAATTCAGACCACGGGTCGTTTCAACGCTTACATCAAGAAATTGCATGGCAACCACACGCAAGACGAACTAGCGGAGGAGGATGGGTTGAGGTTGCAGAGGTTATGATCACTGCTTGGGAGTCATTCTCAGTGAGATTCAGAAACGCCCTCGAAATCTGGTTCATTCTTTGTTTTTAAGTCTGGTTTCCTTTTTCCTAGTCAGAATTGAATTGGTTGTAACAAGATTTAAGCCGTCGTTGCAGAGTCCAATATTGAGCATCCTTAAGCAAGATTCAACGTATCCGACCAGACTCCACCGAGTACATTGGCCTATGAACTCCAAACGCTAAATATTTACCCAACTCTCAACATCCGATCTGCCAATTCTCTACATTCTATTCCACTCGCGTACCAGACACGCTTCGATGTTCAACCTGAGGCGTTCCATCTCTCGCATGGCCAGATGCCGCACCCAGCCGACCTGGTGCAGGCACGACACCAGTTCGTCCCAGGTCCTCAGCGACAACGAGCCCATCGCGTCAATGATCTCGTCCACGAGCCATGCCCTTACCGGCCCCAAGTCCATCGTCGACTGGACGACTAGCACCCATAGCCTTAGCTCCTCCCGCCCGGCCCAGTCCTCTCTCTCGGTACGACGTAGAACGTCCTGCCAGGCGCCGCTGCGGTACGCGGTGCAATAGAGATCGTCTCCGCTGGTTGTGCTTATCACCGTGGCCACGAGAGCTAGGGCTGAGACGCGGACCAGTTCGGCGATGGCAGAGAGCGGTACTTTGGGTGTCGAAGGCAATAGCATATCTTCATTTCGCCGAGGAAGCGATAGCAGATCATGCGAAATCCTGCAGACCGGGATGAGAAGATCAAAGGCCATCTCGTGCTCGTATTTGCCAGGTATGTTGTTGACCAAGGCGGCTAATTGAGAAATCGATCGCAAAGCGCTGTCGATGACTACTGATGAGAAGTCAGCCGACCGTGAAGCAGCACTCGTTATTGATGTGAGGGGAGCATGTAAGGATGATCCTGCTGAACCGTTCCATGGCATGGAGCTGTCACGTATTTGTGCAAAGCGTGGACGGGCGTCGTAAGCCAGTGATCCAAGGACATCAGTGCTGCTGGAGCGATTAGATACCACTCAACAAGAGATCGTGGTGTAAAGAATGCCTACAGGAACAAAGCCTGGCGGGTTGCTTGATGAGAATCGAGTGTGTCAACACCGCCGTAGAGTTTGACGATAGTCTCCAGCCCTTGCATATGCATCGCCCATCCCGCATAATTACGTCGGGCTCGCACCTGGTACAAAGGTGATTAGTCTCGAAACTCGGCTCAGGGGGTGGCACGATGGTCTTCTCACTTCGAAATATGCCAGACAGACAACAGTCCCGACAATGGCATAGCGACCAGCCTGGTACTCCCTCGTTGAAAGGATGGAGCTTCGTACAAGGCTAACGGAGTCGGTATACTGCTTCAGTTCGGCTAGGGGTGCTCTCTTCCCCAGCTCGTTCTGGCGCTGCAGGTCGTGCAAGCCCTCGTACAACCTCGGCCCGGAATTATGGGCTAAGTTGTTCACGGCTATGGATACCAGTCCCTTGGATACCATGTCCATGGCTTGGAACAAGCGGTTGAAGTGGGTGCATATCCTGACCTCACCCCAGTAGGACGGGGTGGGAAGCTGTAGCTGGGGCCGGGCGACGTCTCGGCAAGGGCCAACGTCGACAGAGTCGAAGGCTCGCCTCCGAGGCTGCTTGGACGTCAGCACGACATGGCGCCGGATCTTGCGCTGCGTGAGCGGATCCTTGACCTGCTCGGGATGGGCGACGTTGACAAATGCAAGCGTTCGGGGGTTGCCGGGATGGCCCGGAGCTTGTGCGGCTGGCGGGCCTGCCGTCTTCAGCCTGTACTTGCGCTCGAATATCACTTTGTGGCCGACTGGCATGGCGCTATACTGAGCTACACTCTGAAGAGGAAGACAAAGCGTTTCCGAGGCCATGTCAGCACGAGGCTTCAAAACCCAGGATGACTGGTGTGCTTAGTCATGCCCAAGCTCTCAACAGATGCTAAATTGGCCCTCACCAAACACAGCTGGTGTGATTAGTGTATCCAAAGTGGAGATGCGACAGACAAGTATCTCCATTGCTTTACAGTTTAAACAATACAAACAAGGAAGAGCAAATGCAGGAGGCAGAGAGCTCGCGAGAACCAGCATCTACGGAGAAACACCTAGAGCTGACAGGCGCTCCCCGAACATTGATTGCGTGCAAACAAGAGTTGAACTCGGGTCGGGTCGTATTTCCGCTCAGTACGGTTGGAGCCGGAAAGACCCTCGTTTCATAAGGACTGAGCAGGTATTCTTGCAGTAAGCAGCAGTTACGGGCTTTGCGAAGAAAGAGTTTAGTGTTCTCGTTCTGGCTCGTCGTGGGATTGCAAGCCAGTCACCACCAACACCTTGGAAAGACAGATCACTATCATCATAGCCACATTGAAAGAAAAGAAGGAGAGACATACACTCAAAATCCCTGCAGACGAAACCCTGTTGATGGAGTTTGCTGAGGGTTGTATCCACCCACCAACGACATCTTAGCGTCCTCGCACCCACCACGTAACAGTTGAGCCTGGCACAAGGTGCAGATGTGGCGTCTGCAACCTATGCAGTTTTACGGGCTTCTTGCAAGGCAGAATAGGTACGTTTCCTCTTGACCCCGAATACTCTCCTCTTTATTTCCCGACATCCCAAACCGTCGTCTACGCTTCCGCATGACGATCCGAAACACACACATTCCGCTGCGGTTAACGCAATATTGACATTCCTCGGCATTTAAACCGTATCGGGTGCATTGTTGGCAATGGAAGTCGTCGGAGGCGTTGCCGCAGTCACTGAGCTTCTAAGCTTGTCCATCAGGCTGAGCCGGGCGGCGAAAAACCTGACGCAGTCCTTCCGCAACTCACCGAACGAATTGCTCGAACTATCGTCAAAGATTGATTTATTATTCTCGCGTCTACATCAGTACGAAAATCTGTATTCAGAACTCTCGGCTGCTGATTCGAGTGCCCTCCTCCTGGACGAACATCACACTATCTTTCTTGGCCAGCTCCAATCCCAACTACTACGGCTTCAAAGCCTCAAGGCCGCAAATGAGGCACAATTGCAAGACACCCCGAAAGTTAAAGATCGATTGCTATGGGCAACTCTCAACAAGACAAAAGCCGATCGCGTGATCAGGGAGATCAAGGAAGCGGTAGCCGGCGTCGATAACATGCTCAACATTCTAGGGTTGTAAGTAATTGAATGTTTCTCTCATCAGCTATCCGACTGAGGAGGTGGCATCTCGCCTGGATCTGACCGCCATTCCCAAAGCCAAAAAAAACGCTGTACTAATTGTTTAACTGCATTGATTAGGCGCTTAGCTAACTTCAATTATGTCTCTTTACTGAATCTGAGCGCCGTCCAGAGTGCCGCCCACGAGGATTTGAAACGAGACCTTCAAAGCATTCGGAGCATGATTCACAGCGGGATTGACGCTCTGCTAGTACAGGTACACCACCCTCATGAAGATGATAACTTGAATACCTAATGTGGCTAAGCGATCCGTGGAGTCCGAACAGAATACTTCTAGGCCATCCGCAGAAGAAATCCAACATCAAGGAGTAAAATTGCCTGTCCGAGCTTTGGAACAAGGTCATTCTGAAACCGCCCATCAAACCAAACCACTCGATAGCAATCCGGTCGCCATATTAATCCAGCATAATATGAGGAAAACTTTGAATCGGTCCTTTGCACACTTTGGCGATACGGACATGACCAGCTTACCAACGTCTTTTATCACTGCCCCGAAGGTGGGGGGATCTGTGGCGATTGAAACCAGACGAAACCGCCGAAAAGGCCGATTCCTGTTGAAAGTGGGATTCTATTTCCTTTGCCAACGGATCCTGCTTTTCGAAGTTCATACCCAGCAACTGATCGGATCCTGGGTACAAGCGCCTCGTTTGGGTTGTTCCCTCAGGATTTTCAGTGTTCGGCCAAGTGACGCACCCATATTTGATGCCTGTCACAAATTGGACTTTGACCGGGTCCGATATTTGTTGGAGAACGGAGAAGCGAGTGTTCATGATGCAGACGAGCACGTTGGTGGCTTGCTAGAGGTGCGCTATTTCAAGTCACTGTCATGGAGACTGATCTGTTAGTTCTAGCCTGCAGTACTCACAATGCATATAGCATGTTTTCCAGGACGTCTTTAATTATCAAGAACCCTTCAACAAATACAAGGGCCAGATTGTTTTGGAGTACCTTCTGGGCCAGGGATGCGACCCGAGCGCGTTTTATGGAATAGTTGAACACAAACGGATGTTCGTGAAAATACCCTCTAGCCACTTTCATTTGAGACTATTACTAATGGTTCACGTTTCTCCCTTATATGCAGGCCTGCAATAGTACAAGCATTCAAACGTGGTCTGTCCGATGCCGTTTCTACGTTGTCTGCACACGGTGGCGATCTTCTCTCAGCCGGCCCGGCCCTTGCTGGTCTCTTGCATAACCGAGGCGGCCGTAATCCTGGACAACTGCTCCGATGGAAAGTCAAATTTCTTCGATCACTGGGCTTTTCTGACTGGAATGCCAGCGATTCTCGAGCCAACCCTTACCCAGTTAACTTGCTATACAGCGCCTGCGAGTGCAAGAACCTGGAGGAAACATTGTTTGCCTTGGAAGTGGCCGGAGTCGACCCTAACATTGAGGGGTCTTTCAGGCGCACTGCGCTTGGAAATGCAGGGGTGATAGGATGGGTCGAAGGCGCATCTTTGTTGGTTCAGTGCGGTGCAGAAATCAATGGCGGCGTTGGGAGCTATTTCGGTACACTGCTTGTGCGAAGTCTCAACCCCAGGACTCAAATTAGTCATTGGTTTCTACAGCAAGGTGCTGATCCGCAGCTAACGGACTCTAATGGCCTGAGTGCATGGGCCAAGTTTATGCGTTGCAGGTATATTGATCATTTGACTGGCCGTTATGGTAGTCAAATTGGGCCATGGTCGTATCCTTGGGTTGAGGGTGGATTGGCCCATCTGCTTATGCATGATTCGGACCCCTTCGAGTTATTCATGGAGCATGCCAGTGATTATCACCTCACAGTTGATACGACGTATCTACACTGGGATGAACAAATCCGAGCCGCCGATGTGGCACAAAGGTTGAGTACCGGGATACCAATTGGAAGTAATATGATAAGCCCAGGAGACTATCAGGCGACCGGTCTCTCAGACGACCCAAAACTCTTGCGAAGATTTACTTTCACTTGGTCTAATTCAGGCGACTTCTACGGTATGCTAATCGATCTGAATCGATCATTTCCCAACCTCATCACTATAGCCATCACCAGCATTTTCTATATGAGTGCTTTGACACTGACGCAATCTGACCTAGCTCGATCATTACATAGCGAAAGTCTTGCTGAGGATGACGATGGCCATGGCGAGGACGATTATGACGAAGAAGAAGAGGAAGATGATGATGACGATTACGTTGACGAGAGAGAGGAGCAAGGCGATGAGGAAGGAAAGTATTTCTTCAACGCAACCCGGTTCTTCCAGCACACCTCTACGGAAGAAGGCCGCGCACAACTCTCAAGTTTTCCGATGGTTAGGGCTCTGTGCGATGCACTGCAGTATGCGGGATACCGCGCGGAAATGGACAACGACGGCGACATCTGGTTCGAGGATGAGGATGGCGAACGATACTTTGATGCTTGGGAATATCTACCGCCCTTAGACGAGTGGAATCACTACAAGTGGCTCACGGCTAACTGTCGGGTCTGTCAGCGCATGGAGTGGCACGGATTGGGTGATGTTGTCAGAGAGGCTGAGGAGGGACGCCGACACCTACATGAATACCGTGAGAAACTAAAAGCAGTCAAAGGTAGATAAGCTGTGCCTTTTGGGCTCCCAACATCTTGCCACCAATATCCAGATAGATCAAGTTAGGGAACCCCCAAGCGATCAAAATCAGAACAACCAGCTGCTTTCCAGATTGTGCCGAACTAATACGAATAGGTTGACACAGATAAATCTGTATGGTTTTAGGTCAGTTAACTGCGTGGTCTTCTACTACCGGCGCAACGCGCATCTCATGCAACTTAGCCACGCTCAAGATCCCCTGATGGAAGATGATGGGCAAGAAAGCGTAGAGGAGGATGTTGCGGTGTGGCGACAGCTGGTTAGCGTACGGCACTTTGCCCTGTTTGGAGAAGACCGGTACGGGTCCCGGCAAACGAGGGTAGGTTCCGGTCAACACTTTCCAGACGAGGCAATGTCGCAAGGCTCGCCAGAAACCATACACAGTTCCTTGAAAGTTGCAGACGGTAAGGCCATGGCGAAAATATGGTGTCGAGTCTGCAGTTTCTTGGGCGCCGCTGATCTGCCGTATCAGACCTGGCTCAAGTTCGTGCTTCATGTTGGATATCGACTCGTATTGAAAACGTGCCAACAGGGGTGGTCCTTCGATACGTTAATGTGATCGACACATACTGGGAATAATGGGAAAGGGTTCATAAAATCTTGGTTCTTATAAAACGCAAAGATCGCTTTATTCTTGTTTCGATTATGAGATGATCGTCTCTTTGTCGGTCACAACCCTCGTGTCTCGTATCGAGGATCGGCCTAAAGACCCCGTTGGAGCCACCACGCTGGGTCCCTCTGCTTTTCCCTTTACGGAAATTCAATGACACAGGCCTGTCTGGTGATAAGTAAGAAATGCCGCGAGGCCGAGCGGCTAGCTAGCGTCTCAGATGACGACAGGCGACAATTCGTGGTAATAAGTGTGATGTCTCCTCTGTTGTCATTCCATTAGACCGCCTGTAGCTCAACTTGAAGGACTTGACATCAAAGGCCGCGCCTTGTTCTTACGCCTCCTTATCAAGCTTCGTTGCACAATATTGCCACTCTACTGGTGCTTCAGCGTTTCCTTGCCTCTTCGTCCGTTCTATCGCTCAAACGGTTAGTTGATTCACCATCAAGCCCCTCACTGTTACTAACGTGCAATGACGCGGTATACAAGACTCACTACACGAGATGGCCGGCCCGACCGTGTTGCCTGGCGCCGAGAGCGAGTTAAAGCATTACCTGCGCTTCCAGTGGTGCCGCGATCAATTGATGAAAGAAGAGGTAGTCATCGTTCCACGGTTGGACAAGGAAACGGATGGCCGCGGCAGTACCGGAAAGCTCTTCAGCGAGACCCTCAACACGCCAGCGACCATCTCCAACCGCATTGTCATATTCCACGACCCATCCATCGAGCCTACATCGCATCCTGATTCGGATAGTATTTGGTTACCCGTTACTACCTGCACGGTCTTTTATACGCTGGGAGATGGTGTCTGCGGCTTTGGCGACATATGTCATGGGGGAATCCAGTCCACACTCCTCGACGATGTTATGGGTGTATTTGGCATAATCAACGCTCGACTGCAAGATGGCATGATCCCCTCGAGACCGCCTGGTAAATTCTTTCCAAGGAATAATCCAAGGATGCTCAATCTGGCCAAGAAATCGATAGCAACACAGGGAATCCAAGTGGACTTCCTGCGGCCTCTGCGTGCTCCGACGGTGATACAGGTCACTGTGAATCTTAAGGATATTGAGCACGATGGGAATTCTTTTCTTGTCCATGGTGTTATCAAGGATGGAAAGGGCAGAGAATACGCCAAGGCGCAAGCACGTTGGGTGGTATTTAGCGGTAGACGAAAGCTATAAGTCAGACAAGAACCAGCTTAATATGTTACAATTTGCGCAGGCATATTGCACACATGAGACTGAACAGGTTGTTTTCTCGCGTCTTATAGACAGCCGTTGCTCGTCCATCCATACCTCAGTAGGCCACTCCTCCGCTCACACTGATGTACTGTCCGGTAATCCATCTCGACTTCTCGTTGACCAGCAACAGCACTGCATCTCCGATATCTTCTATTGTACCGGGCCGGCGAGCGGCACGTGTGATGGAGACCTCGGACTCCATCATCTCCGCCTCGTGGCCTTCGGGGTAGATGTCGGTCTTGACCGGACCCGGCGCCACCGAGTTGACCGTGATGCCTCGGCTCCTACCAAGCTGCGAGAGGCGACATGGTTAGCCCTTTCATTCCTGCCATTCAAATGTCCTGATCGATTGGGAGCTTACCTCCTCGGCCCAACTCCAAGTCAGACTATCAAGCGCTGCCTTGGACGCCGCATAACTCGAGATCTTGGCATTGCCTCTCTTGGAGTTTGTGGAGCTGATGTTGATGATGCGGCCGCCGCGAGGCATATGAGGCACGACAGCATGGACCATGTAGAATGGACCAAGTATGTTGGTGTTCAAGACTTTGGCTAGCTGGTCGACGTTGGGCTCCTCTGCGATGGGACAGAAGAATGCGGTGGCAGCGTTGTTCACTATACGGGATGAGTTACAAGCCACATCCTGGAGAGGACGTGGCACTAATCACTTACCGAGAATATCAATGTGATCAGTCTTAAATCCGTCAAGAGTTTGTCTGACCAGCTCACGGGCTCCGTCGAGCGTGTCCACAGCAGCCTGCACGACGATGGCCTGACCGCCGGCTTTGCGCAGCGACTCGGCCACGTTGGCAGCTCTCTTCTTGGAAGTTTCTGACACGTAGTTCACAACAACTGAAGCCCCGTTACGTGCAAGGGCGACGGCGATGCCTGCGCCAATGCCGTTCTCGCGGCCTGAGCCCGTGACAATGGCAACCTTGCCATGAAGGCTGAGAGTGTCAGCCGTCATTCTTTGGTGCACAAAGAAATGAGAAAGATGTTGCTCTATGAAATATTTAGGTTTGAGATAGAAAGCTAGAAGAGGAAGTCTCTGAGGTCAGGGCCGTTGATCGTCGGCCAATTTATATCTGTCCGTGGCATAGTATTGAACCCCGAGAGTGGAGTAGAGCATTGAACTCAACGAAAAGGAAGTTGTTGAAGTGACGGGTATATCTTCTAAGAAGATGTCCAAGATAATGCCGACATGCCCAGTGTGCTTTGACCGTTGTCCTCGTCTGATTGGGCGCTGCGACGCGATGCAAGATCACGACTGGCAAAATTACCCGATTAGGAAAATGGGGTCTCGGAAGAAATTATGGGTCTGGTGCAATTCATGTCTGTTCGCTGCAGCGGGATGAAAGTTGTTGGGGAAGGCCGAATCACGGAGAGAAAAGATTGTGACTGCCTGAGAAGTCTCACATCCCACCTCGAGGACTGTGTCCTGAGTGTTGTGCCCTCTGCGGGAAGCTTTGCATTTCCAGAGTCCCAGGTGCGGGTGACTCAGATTGACTACGATGCTCTGAAATGGTAATCTCCACCCAGATGACAAATCCTCCAATCTGTATGCTGAAGACTTCCACATTCCCAGCTTCGAGAGTCTGCGCATGAAGCTTCTAAGCCGTCCAGACGATTGTGATTGGCCTGTTATCTGTCCTGCCACAACACCCTCTCTCAGGAACATGGCTCTCCGCATCGCCCCGGTCAAGCTGGCGGACCTCGACACCTTCATCTCCGAGGCAGCCACCGCACCCACCCCCGGTGACGACCTCGTTGCACCGCCCAACCCGCTCGCCTGGCCCGTCACCACTTCCGCCGAGGCCGAGCAGCGCGCCCGCAGGTGCTTCGCCCTGCAGAGGCGGCGCGTCCTCGAGGATCCGACGACGCGGTTTATGAAGGTCGTCGACGACGACACCGGAGCCACCGTCGCCGTAGCCCGGTGGCACTACTACCCCGACGGCTACGCCTACGCCAGCGAGGCGGCGTGGGAGATGGCACCGCTGATGAGCACAAACGATGACGACGACGACGATGAGGCGTACCCGCCGCCCAACTTCAACGTCCGCCTGCACAACCACATCCTCACCGAGCGCGACTCGTTCCGCGAGAGCTGGATCCCTCTGGGCGAGCCGTGCTGGATCCTGATGCACCTCGTCACCCGGCCGAGCCAGCGCCGCCGGGGCGCCGCGGGGATGCTGGTCCGGTGGGGCATGGACCGGGCGCGCGAGACCGGGGCGCCGGCGTACCTCGAGGCCGGGGTGCAGGGCATGCCCGTGTACGAGAAGTTTGGGTTCGTACCTGTGGGTGATGTGAGGAGGGTAAGCTTGGAGGGCCTTGGCGAGGTACCTGGCGGGTTGAAGGAGTTTGTCCTGGTGAATATGAAGTGGGATCCGAGGGTTGATGGGAAGGGAGATGAGTAGAAGGGCGTAGCGATGCTTGGTTACAGAGAACGATAGATGTCACCCATAGACCAATAGCGATAGCATAGACCGGGCAAGAGAAATGGTAATTCGAAATGCCAGACTCTTTTGTCAGTTTCGAGGTACAGCTCGAGTGTCCGATGAGCAACGGGGTGATTTTGCTGAGCAAGTTCACCAACCTTTCTATTTGTGCTAGTCTCTGCAAACAACGATTAGGTAACGAAATGCACACCATGAATATCTTCGATGACGAGACTCTTCGACCCTCAGAGACCCGATGTCGCCCACCAAACTCCACTCCCTGTCAGCAACTTGGCCCCCAACATATAGAACAGGCTTGGGCGCGACGGGATCCTTGTCTGTACGACCATAGCATAGTTTCTGACGCCAGCCTGACATCAACTCCGCGGGTTGGCCAAGTGGGTGCCCCAGGCACTAAGCAGAATTTCCCTGTGTCCGTTCAAAGAATGAACGAAGACGACACTGGTTGCATCATGAGAGTCTGGGTGCGCGTAACTACATATCCCCTTAAAGGCTGGAAGAGCGCCATGACAACCAACGAGATCCATGATGCAGGGGATCCTGCTGGAGTTGCCTACCTTAGAAGGATGGAAATGGGCTTACGAGGTGTTGTTCCGGCTTTTAAAGGGATAAATGGCTCAACAAACCGACGAGTACAGCAGGTTACGCGGCCGACCATAGCCGCCATAAGCAGCGCTACGCGTTGCGGCTGGGCGCGGATTGCTCCCGGGCGATCACAATCCTGAATGATCTGCACTCGTGTAGGCATGTCAGCGTCAGTCACTCAGACAATTAAGCTTCCCCTACCCCCACGAACTCGAGCAGACCGCGGAAGGGTCGGCATGAAAGCAGATCACTCATTGGACAGCAGTCTTGAGAATGAAGATGAGCAGCTGCCTAGATTACGTGAAAATACTACCTAGAAGCGTACGTGAACTGCCCTGAAAAGCTTCAACAACTTCAATGTTGATCCGTTGAAAGCCTTGCCGAGTTGATGATATCATAATGAGCTCAAATCTAGGGGGCTGAAGAATCCTTCCATTCAACCTAAGGAGCTTGAATAGTGATATAAAATGCTGCGCCATTGCCATACAAGCAAACTGGAAAGTCAACAGCAGCTCCTTCAATCTGGCATTTCTGGCATTTCTGGCATCCATCCTCCCGAAAGCTATCAACGCACCAAGAAAAGCCCAACATGCATTTCTCATCTGCCCTCTTGAGCGCACTCGCCCTCGCCCCTGCGGCCTACGCCACCTGCTTCAGGTACTCCTGCCGCATCTACGGCCTCGAGAACCCGGAGCGGCCCGGCGTGTACGTCGACATGGCCATCACCAACGGCGACATCTCCGAGACGTACTGCACACTCCAGCTCGGGCGGGACGAGTACATGAACCACGGCAACGTCGAGTTCTTCACGTTTGACTGCCCGCCCAATGGCTGGTTCGCGACCCTGCACGAGGGGTCCGACTTCATCCGCATCACGACGCCCGACTCGGACAAGGAGGGCAAGTATATCGATGCGCCTATCGACTGGGACAGCAGTGACGCGGGCAATGGGATTGGGTTCCTGCTGTCGTATGATGGTTCCAATGGTTGTTAAAGGATGGCTGTTGTTGTGTGTATCGGCGTGGGATGTACCCGTCGATCATATTGCAAGGAAGCGGAGGTTCAGCACTGAGCTTCTTGAATGTAGTATCGGACAACGCGCCGGATATGAATGACAGTGTCTCTTGTTGTATGGGCTTCTCTCTCATAGCCGCTGAACCATGCCTCCAAAAGTGCCGCTCTCGCACATTCGCCTGTTGAAGTCTTTCTGTGCCGGGTTATACATGTAAGTTGTGCCTTCTCATATCCAGGAAGGAACCACATCCTTAAATGAATCCTTCTCGTCTTTGGCCTTCTTCTCTCTGGCACCCCGCCCGGCACGGCGTGCTCGGTCCCGTTCGCGCCGCTCCCTCGCTCGCCGCATAATGTCCTCGGCGCCGAAGCCTCCGAAATCTTCCTCCTCATCGGCTTGCGGCTCGGGTGGGTGCGTCTGTATCACCGTCCGTCGATCCTGAAATGTGGTCGGTGTATTCGATGGCCCTCGGTGGTTCTCAGTGCTTCGCCCCGCTGGCCGTGCTGGCCGAATGGGGGGCCGGCTTTGATGCGACTGCTTGTATGGGTCGAACGTAGTAACCCCATCAAGGTCATCGCCGTCATCACCAGAAGATGCTGTCGCAGATTCTGTGGCACCAGCCGTTCCTGTCTTATCCCAAGCACCAGGCCCAAATCGCGATCGCCTGGAAGGCGAATTTCCGGCAAGCCCAGCAGCAGCCCTCGTCCCGCCAGCCACAGACGTGAGCGCTGTCAGCGGCACCGCAGTCTTCCTCGGACTGGCCATGAGGCCCTGCAGCGCCGTGCCCGCAAACGCCGCATCTCCCTCGTCGTCATCGCTATCCCCATCGCCATCGTTCACCCGAGCACGCGCCCTCTTGATCCCGGCTCGCTGCCGTGCCGTCCGGCTGAGCGTGGTCTGCCGGCGGCGCACAAGGTCCGTCATGTTGCCCGTCACGGGCCGCGAGATGTTCTTAATCGTCTCTGCGTTCTGCGACTTGGCGAGCTTCTTGAGCCGCTGGTACTCGGCGTTGTGCAGGTGTGCTGTGAACATCTTTGCCGTGGCGAGGAGCTCGTCCTCGACCATGCGGTACTTGTCGTCGTTGTCAGCGCCCTCTATCATGAGGCTAGAGAGATATTTGTGAGTCTCTGACACAAGTGAGTGAGGGCGCGTTTGACTTACCTCTCGGTGGGAGGAGCGGGCGGGGGCGATGTAGACGGTGTGCGGTCTGGTGAGCTGTTAGTAAGCCAGTCAGGAGGCTCAGAGCTGCTGCTATGCGCACTTCGCTTGAGAGAAAGGTTGGATCGCGGTTTCTTGTCGTCACGAGATAGATCGCGCTCCCTCTTGGGAGTGGGACTTGGTCGGCCGGGATCCCGCTTGATCGGGCTGCGACCTCGTGATGATGAAGGGCTGGCGTTCGATTCGCGTTTGACGGCCACGGGATTCGATGCGCCACGGCGCTTCCACGGCAGTGTGCGAGTCATCACTACATATAGAGAGACCGAGAATTGAGAGGCAGTTTGATATCTGATGCTTCGGGGTCTGGGCATGTGAGGGAAGTCGTGACCGTTGGGAATTGAGCCAGGTCTGTGATCTCGCCAGCAATGAGGACTCAACCTATCTCAACAGCAAATCGCACGCGGTGTATGGTAGCTGCGGTATCTCCCCTCAGGGCTTTCAAGTCACTGAACATGATGCGATATTCATTGTTTGATGTAGCTTCATAGGAAACAAAAGCAATTGGGGATCAGTCTTCAATCGCGTGAATGAAATTAGGAGGGGAAGACGCGCCAGTGAGTGAATCGGCTGATGATGACTAATCACATAGGACTGTGCCGAAACTACCTGCACTGTACTCCTTCCAGTCCGACAAGACTTAACACAGGAAATTGATTTGGAAAAGAAAACTGAAAGAAACAGTTCGTTACGACTCAATGCACAACAGATGCCTTGATCCTGCATTCCATAATTTTGTGTCTCTTATGCAGTCGCATCACCCTGAGTTGTGCCGGGCCTTTTCTAGTCAAAGTTGAACTGGAACCACTCCTCTTCAGCCCTCTGGACGTTTAGAACTTCCGAGATGCATCTCTTAAAAACCCAGAGACGGTGGAATCTCGTCGGTGCTGTCCCTCATAAATGGCAATGATTAGACTTGGGAGCTCTACGTTTGAAAGTGGGCGTCTTTCTAGTAACTTTTCCTCTGTGAGCACAGCTGGTTAAGCCATATTCACCTTGGGCGTCTCTTGTTCTCCCTTTCCATTCATTTCCTTGTATGAATCAGAGGATCATGTACTTGCAGCGAAAATAGGCGTCTTCACCGATTCACTGTCGCTCACGGCGCGCTTTCTTTCCTTAGGTACATAGGCGGGCCACCAGTCTGATTCCACCACCTCGGACTCGGAGACTTTTCTCCTCGGTCTTTGTGGTCGCCCCATTTGCTTTGTAAGTTATCATCAGCTCCAGGACAAACATCTGGCGAGTAAATCGGCATATGACAATGTTGGGCAGCCTTGCACCGCTGCTTGATAATCATATGCGGCTTGACCAACCAGGCGCCGCGAATCCGACTTCAGCGGGGCCTCCGGGTATCAGGTGCGGAGGATTGTCACGGCTCCGTCCCCGTTGGAGTACCTAACCTTGAACTTATAAATGGGATGCTTTGGCCCAATTATCTTATTAAGTCGACAATAGTTGCATACCCCTGAACAGCAGAAAACATGGCGAAAGACAGGATCGATGTCGACGCCTACACCAGGCCGTACATGCTCACTGCCAAGATACACAGGGATGTGTACCCGGCCATCGACCCTACAAACCCGGAGCTGAGTGCGGCAGGCAAGGTTGTTGTCGTCATTGGCGCCACCGGAGGCATCGGCTTTGTATGTTGCGAGAGTTGAGAGGGCACCCAAGCCAGGTTTGGTAGGAGCTGACTAGACTATTGTTAGGCAACGGCACGGGAGTGGAACAGGGCGGGTGCGCGAGGGATAGTCCTGGTCGGCCGTCGACAAGAAGCACTCGATTCTACAGCGGCCGCTCTCATGGGGCCGGCAAAGATCATCACCGTCAGCGCCAACATCATCGATGCCGCGGCTTGTGCCGACGTGATGGAGAGGGCGCTTACCGAGTTCGGGTCGGTGGACGTACTGGTCAACTCTGCTGGCGGTGCAATTCAGGGGATGATTAGAGAGATCGAGCCTGCGAAGTGGTGGCAGAACCTGGTTAGCAAACAGCCTCCCCCGACCTGGGTCGTGATCCGGCAAGTTGACAAGTTACTTACGTACTTCGCACAGGAGCTCAACCTCCGCGGCGCCTTCAACATCAATCAAGCCTTTATCAAAGCCACTGATGGCAAGGGCACCATCGTCAACATCGGCAGCATGGGCGCCGGGCTCACCCTGCCGGCCATGTCGGGATCCTCGGTCGCGCAGCTCGGGCTGATCAAGCTCTGCGAAAATATGGACTTTGAGCTGCCGGGAATCCGCGTCTTTGTGGTACACCCGGGCATCGTGGCGCTCGAGGACGGCCGCGGCGCCGTGCTGAGGAATATGTTGGATGTCGCTAAGGACACGCCGGCGTTGACGGCTGGACTGACTCTGTATCTGGCTACACCGAGGGCGGAATTTCTGAAGGGAGGGTATCTGCATGCGAACTGGGATGTGGAGGAGATGGAGTTGCATAAAAGGGAGATTGTGGAGAAGAGACTGCACAAGCTTGCCTTCCTCAATGCAAAGCTGCAGGAGGGAGTGTATTCGTGGTCTGACGCGCCGGCTGAATCGTGACTGCGGTTGTACGTAAATTAGCATGGTTGCGATGTTTGCATGTTACTGTTTGTTGCACTTCTGGCTCGCGCCTGCAAGCAAGTTCCAAGACGGGCCTGAGCCTATGCTACACTGACATGGCATGAACTCTCACATCCTTTCACGGGGATATCGTCCTCACTTCTCACAGGCAGGGAGATTCTCGACGGAGGGGAGCCTCGGTGAACGCGTATGGTGTCGATGTACCCCGATCAAAAACCTTATCCGAAAGGCCCGGGCTTTTCTTGATACCCTAACACACCCCGACTTTCTCAAAGCAAAGCCCTTATTATTCTGCTTAGGACGTCTAGTATACATGGGGGTAGGATGGTAGATGGCGTAGTGGTCAACCACGACAAATTAACGGGGATTCCACAAAACTAACCTGTCATCCTACCCCCTTGCGGAGGAGGACACCACAGAAATAATGTGGCTGACCTCCTTCACCACCAGAAAAATCTTGAAATGGGTTTCTTCGTAGGCAGCAGTTTGAAACTGAGTGCTGTCGAGCTTTTTTGCCCTTTTTGGGCTTTTATTTTTCTTGGGTTGGCCTGATCTTCACTTGACTCCCCTTACTCTGTTCCTGTCATTGCCTTCCACTCTCAAGGTTCTGTTCATTCCAGCTTGCTATTCAATCTCATTTTCCTCACAGCGAAGAAGGAGGCCATCTTCTGCTTTCGTTGTCGGCTAACTTCTTTTTGGTTCCAAGTATAGTGTAGCAGGGACATTGTCTCGACTGCTATTTGGCTCAAGCTTCTGACCGAACTCAGCCAGCACGCAATCGTCCATTCAATTTAGAGATATCAACAACACTGGTAATTCCTAGATCAACTTGCCGAATCATTCAATTAAATTTGGTTGTGCTTTTGCGTCGCAGCAAATTCTTTCTTAGTCACCTCAGCTTCTCGTCATTCACTATTCACCTCACCTAACCTTGACCTCGACTGAGTGGCCACCACTTCACTTTCGTCACTACCCTAGCAAACAGAGAATTAGACCGCTGATTCGATTTCGGAAGAAATTCAAAGTCGACCTCATTGGTCTCGTCCTGTTGCCTGCAATATAAATATCTCCCTTCTCTCAAATTCTCCCACAACTTCTTTCCTCTGTCAGCCTCGCTTCTCACAACCTCTCTGGTCCCTCAAGCCCAACTCAACTTTAACACCACAAAAGTCCCGTGTTTCCTTTTCTGGCAAAGCTTTACCGCACACTACACCAACTCCTCAGCATTTCAGAACACTCGTCAACCTTCCCTCATCTCTTGATCGCACGTTCCTTCTTCCAGCCTCAAACCCAATCTTCTCGACTATCGCCAACCATCATGGTAAGTCCAGCAACTTGTTGCCTACTCTAGCCCTAGGTCTCGAATTCTGCGCATCCGCCGCCATAAGCCTCAGTGTTCCGAACGCAAAACCCCGACAGCCAGGGATGAAACTAGACTGCTCTGCCCTTTCCGCATTGCGGTGCTGTGGCTCAGGGCAGGAAGTTTGGCTTCGTGGGTTTCTCCTAGGGAACAGATCTCAGGACCCCCTCATGTCAGAGCTCCAGTTTCGTGCCCTTGATCCAAGGATCCAGAAACTCTGTTTCTTCTTCCATAGATCTTGTCTTTTCAGTGGCTATAGCGATGACTGATGGTCCACCCAGAGTCAACTCTGGTGCCATTCCAGGGTCCAACTCCCTGGTATCGAGATATCAAGCCTCTCGATAAGGCAGAACCCCCTCCTTTTCCCCGCTTAGGGAGTTGCTCACCACACGGGTGATTCCCTCTCTCTCCGCCGCTTGTGCTCGGCAGTGGCGGAGGGGCGCATGAGCTAATCCAGCATCGGCTCATCAACACCAGGTGACGGTACCCATCTAACCAAGGAGTGACTGAGGCGCACATTCTTTGAGGGGCCTGGCGATAGGACTTAATTGCTTAGCGTTTCCAACCCGACGCTGACTGGATTGTTTTTGTCTTTTTAGGTTCTTCCCGAGACCGAGAGACTCACCCGAGCCTTGAGGCATCTCCACGGCGCGATTCTCGCCGGCAGATCCCCCTGCTCAGCAGGGAACCCGAGTTGCTCACCGCCAATGTACGACCGTCAGGCTCTCGTAGATCTGACCGAGTCGTACATCGATCGCCTTGAAGATCGCGGAAACGCTCTTACTGCTCGCAAGAGCATTATGTTGACTCGAGTGGACGAGTTAAAACAAGTACTGTCGGATATTGATCAAGTCCTGGCTACGGAGCCATGCGAGGCGGCCAGAGCGGTAATGCTGCACGAGCTCCATCGACGCATGATCTCGCTGTGGACTTTTGTCCAAAAGGAGCATCAAGTTTACCAGGCCGAATTTTCACGCTTGCAGGAGAACACTGCACTGGTAGGTTAATGATTCCTTTTTTCCATGATTGTCGCCTTCTATTCGGTATGAAGTCTAATCTAACTGACTTTCTGTGTCCAGGTCCGCGATATTATAGCCCGATTGTCCGTATAGTTCGGTTATTTAGCCAATTTCCGCGTCACTCACCGAACACACAGACATGATCAGATCATTTCAGATATCCCCATATGAGGATCCGACTAAAGAATGATCGCTCCCACCAAATTCCTCTTCGCCCCGGCACGTATGGCATGGATCTGCTTGAACTCTGTCTTCAGAGTTGTATGCCGGGAACTCTTCGAGTCGACAATGAGACCAGATTAGAAGCCCCTTGCAAGAAATAATGGCACAGGAAAGAAAACAATTCAATTCAATGGAATCGTTGTTCCTATATACTTGCAGCTCGTGGCTTTCATTGTGTTGAGTTGACTCCCATCGCGGGATATGGTAGGTTTGGCGTCATGTAAAACTGTCACAAAGACTTGAACAGTCTTGCAAATATGAGCATCGTTGACGAGATATATATATGTATATATGACCCAATACGGGTGACAGCATCTGCGTATCATTGTGAGAAGTTCCTTCTTGTTGGTTTGAAGACTTCGCACAGGGTGGAATGCTGGAGATGCAGCAATGACAGGTTCAGGACTAAGGAAAAATTACATCCGTGGCTCCTCCATGATAACGGTCACCACCATCTTCCTGTTCAGTCCCCAGTTTGTGCGCAGGAGCCATTGCGGCAGTGCATATTTGTTATTGACTCACCTTGGCCAGGCCTGAATTTCCCCAAGGCTGGTCCTCATATTGTATCCCAATTGCCATGATAATCAATCCCACTCAAGCAGGACCATGGTTGAGACCGCAGAGATATCGAGATTCCGGAGGTCCGGACTAGGGCTCTCTGGCCCAGGGCACCAACCTCGATACTCCCCTGGAGACGAGGAAAGCTTGTCTGTCGCTATCTAGCAAACTTCTCTCGACCTCGCGGCGGGGCTGGACAAAGGGTAGAAGACAAGGAATGTCTCTACCACAAGAAATCAAGGGCCCAAATCTCATTGGACAGAATGAGCTTCATGATGTCTTCCATTATCTACCTAGGTATATAAATGCAAGTTCTCTCCCCACGGAGCAACTCAAAGTGTAGTAGTTCGGCTCAAAATCGCCGCCGTGGGTCCACAACTGCGGCTTGGCCCGTGTGAGTCCCCGGTCGGCACCGCCGCTGACGGAGATTGGGCGCTAACCAGACTGCGCCATGCTGTGCCATGCTGTGCCACTGTCCGCATACTGCCTGGTTGACGAAGAATAAAATGTACTTACCACCACCAGCACCCATCGTGGCCGGCGGCCAGGCAAGCTCGTCGACATTTCGTCGAATTACTTCACCGAGCAGCAGCTGTACGATAGCCAGAAGAACAAACTTTGACATCACAAATTTGCATGCATCATGGGCATCACGGTCGCCCAAGGCGGGATGGCGTTCGGGATCGCGGTCGACGACCCAAGTAGTTTGGCTTGTTCGCCCGGCGACACCATCGTCGGCTGCGCCATCCGCAAAATGCCCCTGGTGAGCCCGGACGCCGTCGTCACGGTGACCCTCTGCGGCAGGGCCAAGACCAAACTCATCGTCCGATCCGGCAACAACTCGACCCGCACGTACCGCGGTCGCTTCGGCCTCGTCGACCAGCGCGCGCACATGCAGACCCTCTTCCGGGGCCCGCTTCACATCGTCAACGGCGAGCCCGCACGGCAGTGGCCCTTTACGATCCGCGTCCCGACGCACTGCGCTCCCAAGGCGCTAGGCCCCGTGTCACAGGCCGAGAGCTACCTGCCGACAGACGCCGCATCTGTGGCCGCGACCCCGCTCCCCAACTCCTTCTACATGGACGGCGGCCCCGGCTTCTCCCACCGGCAACGCGAGGGATTCGTCGAGTACTTTATCACAGCGACTCTCACCTACACGCACGGGGGTGAGCGGAAATCCGCAGAGGCCACCCTGCCAATCGCACTTAAGACCGTGACCGGCGACCCGCCCATCGTCGACTTTCAGCTTCGGCGCTACCGCCAGATTGGCTGCGTGTCTTCGTTCAAGCTCCTGCCGGGCGTCGACGACTCCCAATTGACATTCAAACATAAGTTCCGGCAGGCGCTCCACTCGTCCAAAGTGCCTCGCTTCCAAGGCTTCATGGAGATGGCCCTCCCGGGCACCATCCAGCTCGACAACCCCAGCACGATACCCATCCTGCTGAGGTTCGTGCCCGACCCCAAGATGACGAGCAGCGAGCTGGCCGGGACCCCCATCGAGATCACCCTCGTCTCGATGCACATGCAGGTCGAAACGGAGATCGGGCTGCGGTGCGAGGGCACGTTCGGCCCGCACGACGGGGAGGCAGGGTTCAAGACGCGCGTGCCCATCTGGCCGCCGATCCGTGGCGGCGGCGGCGCTATTCTCATCCCCTGCACGCCCGAGCAGGCCCCGGTCGACGTCGGAGCGAGGGCCGACTTTAAGGTGTCGAGAGTCAAGGCCTTCCGGGACAACATGTCGCCGACCTCTACGACCTTCAACATCAAGCGGTGGCACCGGGCCGATTTCGAGTTTCGGGCGCGGGTGGGTGAGGCGGGGGAGTTTCGGATGAAGAAAAGCTTGGTATTAACGATTCTCCCGCCGGGTGGTGAGCTGAGGAGTACAGCTGCCCAGGCGGCTGAGCAGGTGGGTGGCTCTGCGCAAGCTGCGAGTGCCGCCGTGAGCGATGGCGAGGAGGCGCCGCCGCCACCCTTTCAGGCGAGGTCGGAATCGTGGATCCAACCGCCAGCTGAACAGGAAGCGCCGCCGAGCTTTGCGCAGGTCCGGAAGGAGGACGCTATGGCGGGTAGGGATCGGAATAATGGCGAGAGTGCGGGAGGTTCTGGAGCTTCGGCCTCGTAGTGTTAAGCGCAATGATACCACTTGAAATTTGAAAAGGTCTCTGCTCTTCTCCTGAGTGTTTCATTTCGATTTACGCAGGTAGAACTTCGTGAGAAAAACATTCTTCTGAGGCGGCCATGCAGTACGCAGCTGGTGAAGAGAGAGTTCAATGGATTACTAAAAATATCACTCATCAAGTACTGCGAGACCTAATATGTACTTATGTAGCTGCCTAGTTAGACCTAGTCCAGGACGGATGTTTCAAATACCAAGTTATACGAGATTGGCTTCCCCCAACAGTAGTATTGAGATGCTGGGATTCATGATATCGACTTCCAGCCCTTTGGAGGAAAGAGAGAGGGCGAAGAAACAGGAAGGAAAGGGGACAAGAAATAGAAGAAAAGAAAAGATAAAAGAGCAGAAGGAAAAGAAAAGAAAAGAAAGGCTTTGTGCCTCTCGATCTAGTCAACCTAGTTATAAATTCAGTGTCAGAAGCACACGGTTGTAGAAGATACTCAGGGTGGTGATTTCATCAGGCAGATCTCTGACCTTGGTTGGCTTTTGCATTCTTCGCGTCGTTCACAAAACGGCTCAGGGGTGGAAGCAATCACAGTAAGGCCCCCCTAAGTTTGGCAGAAGATCCATAAATATTCATTAAACGTGATCGAATACTCCTTAACTTTGCGAAATAATCATCAACCCAGCACTAAAAACGCCTGATGCCCAGAGCAAGTACCCGCCAGCAAGTAATTACAAACAGAGAACGTAGCAACTGCGGTATCTTTGGAAGCCCAAGCCAACATCAAGTTCACGTGTACACGCTCTCCGTCCAGGCGTTGACCTGCAGACCCTTCTCCGCCATCTCGGCATCCTTCAAAAAGTCCAGCGGCATCCACACGAGGTGGCCCTTGATCTGGTCGAGATACCTCCGGACCTCGTCGGCCGGCATGAACTTGTCGTAGATGTGGCCCGACTTGACGCCCTTGGGGGGCAGGAACATGTTGTAGTCATCGAAGGTTTTCACTTTTGAGCAATCACTCGTCAGCACGACATCTCTCTCGCAATTAGGAGCGGGCAAGGCTGAAACTCACCATGGTCATCTGGATCCGCCCTAAACAGCCGCCTAAACAGCTCCGTGTTGGTTGTCGCCTGCTCCGTCCACCTCTTCCACACCTCGTCCGACATGGGGTCCTCGACAAACTTGTAGCTGTCCTCCTGATCCAGCACATTGTTGGGCGAGTCGTCGCCCGGCGGCTGCGCGTTGGGGTCCTCGGAGGCGTCCAGGTCCTGCGGGGGCAGCAGGCCCAGGTGCTCGCGCCATAGGTACCGCCGCAGCGTGGCGGCGTGGTACCCGGCTTCGAACGGCTGCCCGTCCATGGTCGACTTGATGAGCCTGATGTCCTCCATGACGATGCTGAGCTCCGAGTCGTGCCCGCCCTCCTGGCTCCGGTCGTTGAGGTTGCTGCTTCCGCAGACGACGATGCGGTCGTCGACGATGAGCAGCTTGGCGTGGATGTACAGCTCTTCCTGGATCCAGTTGGCCACCTCGTCCTTGGGGTCGCCCTCCCAGTGCTCCTCGGACAGGGGGCCCGTGTCGGCCATGGCGTGGTGCGCGACGCTGAATGCCGTCGAGGGTCCGTCCTCTCCCTCGCCCTCGTTCTTGCCCTGGCCCGCGGCCTCGAAGCGCCGCTTGGCGTCGATGGCCTCCTCGTCTGCGTCGGACTTCTGCTCCTCCTTCTTAAAATCCTTCTTCTCCTGCGCGTTGGCCTGCTCCTTCTTCTCGCCCATGTGCTCGTCGCGGCCGTCGGAGGGGTCGACGGTGCCGTGGATGCCCTCGCCCATGATCTCCTCGGCCTCGGCGCGCTGCACCTCCTGGTACTTGACACCCGACTCTTCCTCCTGCTTCTTAATGGCCGGCGTCTTGTTGAGGCGGTCGTAGCTGCGCAGGTTGAAGAAGAAGATGTGGTCCGTCGGGTCGACGCCCTCGGCCTTGATCTGCTCGAAGATGGAGTGGGGCCCGCGGCAGATACTCTTGTACTGGTAGTCCATGATGGCGCGGGTGCCGGTGGCGGCGTCGTCGCGCAGGTCGCCGGCGAAGCCCGGGATGGCAGGGATGAGGATGATGACGCGGAACTTGCGCTTCTCCTTGCCAGCGCGGACGACGGCGTCGACGATGGCGCGGCCGATGGTGTTGTGGATGGGCGATTGCTGGTCGCCGGTGGCGGTGATGAAGAACTGGTTCTCGATGTAGACGTAGTGCTGCGCGTTGCGGATGATGTCCGAGTAGGCGTTCTGGATCGACTTGTCCGTCAGGATGCCGCTCGACCAGTCAGCGCTCGAGCGCACCAGCTGCGCGTGGACGGTGCCGCGGTCGTCGAGGTTCTTGGTCTCGAGTGGGGAGAGCGGGTGGACGACGTAGTCGCCGACGGGGTGCTTGGGCCGCTGGACGCCGACCAGGTCCTCGTCATCGCCCTGACGGCCGCGCAGCTCGAGCCAGTCGAAGCGCTCGTCGCGCTTGTACTTGTCGCGCTTGACAAAGTTCCAGCGCAGGACGAAGTGCTCGGCGATGTCGTACACACAAGGGCCGACGATGCCCATGGCCACGTCGTGCCAGGGCATGCGGCCGTACTCGGCCTTGCTCAGCTCGTTCTGCTTCCAGTCCTGCACGTTCTTGAAGTCCATGACGCGGTTGTTGTTGAAGTCCTGGCCCGGCCAGACCTCGTTGGCGACGCCCTCCGGGTGGACGTCGGAGAGCAGGTGCTGGTGGGCGTCCCAGCGGCCGAAGCACATGTCGAGGCCGCCGATGAAGGCCATCTCATAGTCGATGACGACGAACTTCTCGTGGTGGGCCCAGTAGAAGGTCATGTCGGCGGCGTTCTCGAGCACGTTGTGGTCCGGGTGGCGCATGATCCTGATGTTGCCGTAGCCCTTGGACCCTTCGGGACACAGCGCCTGCAGGGCGTGCTTCGTGTGCTCGGAATTACATGTCAGGGCCGCCTCGACCTCGCGGTAGACGCAGACGTAGACCTTGACGCCTCTCTCGGCCGCGCGCTTGATCACCTGGTCCAGCCGCCATTCCTGGTTGTAGTAGGGCGGCCGACGCAGGAAGAGCTCGGGTGACAGCCACCAATCGGCGATGTAGATGGTCTCTTTCGCCTTCTCCATTGCGACGGACACGGCCCAGAAGTAGTCGCGGCCGTCGACGTACCACTTGATCATGTTGCCATCGCGCTCGGGAAAGAAGGACTGGAAGCGATGCGACTCGCAGATCTTTGTCCGCTTGTCATCGCAGGCCTTCTCGTGCTCCTCATCGTGCCTGTGCTGGGGATTGAACTGTTTGCGCAGCTCTCATGTCAGCTTGCTATGGTGTGCGCGCGCGACGGGCGCAAACAGCGGGGTAAGTTTAGAGTGCAGTGGGTGGTGTCATGTTGGTGCTGGTTCTGCGCCTACCAGGTTTGCAAACTTGCCGATCTGATGTCTGTCTCGTGTCAATTGAAGTGCTTCATAATCGCAATTGATGCTCAGGAATGTGTGCGTACTTCTTATGAATCAGGCCGACCTTGGTGTCGTGCAGCGAGGTGTGCTCGAGCTTCTCCTTCAGCTCGTGGAAGGGATGCTTGAGCCTCTCAGACAAGCTGCTCCCCTTGGACTCGTGAGGCTCGTGGGTTGCCATCGTTGCATGCGATCTGTCACAAGCATGGAGGGAGTGAAAGGTGCCGGTGTCAGGAATTACCTTGGGTTCCGCGTGAAAGAAGAAGCTGGAGCAGGTGTGGACAAATACAAGACACACTACGTGGAGCTAGAGAGCATAAAGTACACCAGGTATCGCGGGTACGACAAGCAGCCGCCTTCGCAACCTCGACCCATGCCAAGCTCAAGCCATGCCAAGCCTGCGAGAACGAAAAGGAACGGCGGCTTCACCGACTGGTCGGACCAGACTCCAAGAACGGACAAAACATGGCAGGAACTGGCACACTGGCACAGGGCACAGGGCTGATGGGTGGTGCGAATCAGGCGATGTCATCGCCCGCCCGCCCGCAAGCATGCAAGGTCGAGCCCCGATCCACGCGGGCGAGGTACGGCGAACGTGGGGCAAGGTTGCAAACATGCAAGCTGGAGCCCCAATCTTCGCATCTTTGGACTCCGTTGCCAATCTCCCCTGTTCAGCTGGAGATGCAACGCGATCGGCCGAGCGAATCAAACCCCTACGAGCGTCTCTCCTCCATTCATCTCCACGTCCCAAGGGTCTAGGACTCAGTGGATCAATACTTTGTTAGATCCTGCCGCCGTCTCGATGCTATTACTGACATCCCGATCCAAGGATTCTTCAGGCACTCCGCACACACATGGACCAAACACCGCCGCCAAGGGACGATCTTACATGACGTCAGCGGGGTATGTCCCTAGTGTTTCAGGGAGCTCGAAGGCGCGCCGCGGTACTCCGTCCACTCTGGGAGACCTTGATTCCACAGCATCATTCGAGAAGGCTGCCTGCATCTTCAATGCGGCAATGGGTCGTGTGCTAGTCCATGCTCATCCAGTCTGCAAACCTGTTGTTCTCCCTCCCACCTGTTCCGGCCTTGGCGCATGTCATTCCAACAACCCAAGCCGGCTCTGCTGTGCCGAGACGCTGGGTCAGAACAAGCTTTTAGGCTGTCTGCCTTACGGGTATCAATGATGTTCAGCTTCGGTCCCGTGTCCTTGTACACTGGGTCGTGTAATACATCCAGGATGATGTCGTGAGCGCCGGGTGCATGAGCCGGAGAGAGAATGGATTCAAGCCAAGTCGCAGAGCACGAAAACGAATGAGCGGCGGGCCGTCGATGGGGTTCCGTCCAGCGCTGCCGGCATTCGAATCAGAAAGCGGATATGCTCGCTGAAACAGCACATGCATATACTTCGTAGCATTGCACCTAGGATTGAATTGGACATTCATTTGCCCTTTGCAATTGTCGAGGCGGGCGATATTTGGGGCATTCGCCGCATCTGAGATCGGGCTGGCAGTGGCAGCAGAAATGGTTCCAAAATTGGCAGCTGCAAATGACGCCACAGGGAGATGAAAGCCACTATCATCACATGACTGCGCTGGAGCAGAGCCCTGGAACTAACTAGGGGACGTGGCGCCAGAGCAACGTGGACACCACCGCGTTATGCGACTTCGGGAGGGGCAAGCTCGCGACCTCAACCCCACAGCTTGACCGCTCTCCCTTTGCAAGCATCTGGGATCTCGCACCTCCCTTCGTCCACCTCCCACAGAGTATCAATTGAAGCATATAGAAGCTTGCGCTGCAATATCTTTCTTCCTTCATAATGGCTGCTGCAATCCCTCCCGGAGGCACCCTCCTCGACACCTTCAAGAAGTCCTTCGTCGATGTCCCTATCGATGCTGAAAAGGACAATGCCATCTCCACCGCCGAGTTCCTAGAGGCTGCCGAGTCTCTGACCACCATGTTCGGTAGGGCATACTTGGTTCCAGACATGGCTGCAAGCGGTTGATTGACCTGTTACACAGATGTCCTTGGTTCCGTCGCCTTTTCCCCCGTCAAGTCCGACATGCTCGGCAACGTCAAGGTGCGTTTACGTGGCCAGCTACTCCCAACACCCGACACCGCCCCAGCGAGACAGGGCCGGCTGGTTCAAACCACATACTAATGATGCTTCCCTCATAACAGAAGCTCCGTGACCGCTTCCTGGCTGCCCCCCTGGAGTCTGAGACCATCCAGAGCCTCTGCCTCAACGAGCTCAAGACCAAGAAGCACACCGCCACCGAGGGTCTCCTGTGGCTGACCCGGTATGTCTTGCCTCTACAACAATATCTACACTTCCACCCATAAGCTCTCAAAAGACTAACCTCTTTGCCCTGCCACAGCGGTCTCGAGTTCACTTGCCTCGCCCTCAGCCAGAACGTCTCCAAGCCTACCGAGGAGCTCTCCGACTCCTTCCGCAGTGCCTACGGCGTCACCCTCAAGCCCCACCACGGCTTCCTGATCAAGCCCGTCTTCAGCGCTGCCATGAGCGCCTGCCCGTACCGCAAGGACTTCTACTCGAAGCTCGGTTCCGACCAGGAGAAGGTCGCTGCTGAGCTGAGGACCTACACCGCCGCCCTCGACAAGATCGTTGCCATTCTGAAGGGCTTCCTGGAGCGCAAGGAGGCCAAGTGGTAAACCTGCAGGAAGATTTGCGCGCCGCGGCAGCCGCAATATTGTTCTGGGCCTACATTCGGAGACGCATACACGCACACACAAGGGCGGTAACGAGGGAACGTACATTGACGGAGGACGAAAAAAAAAGATAGAATGGCCATGAAAACGAAGCCAAACGATGTATGCAGACTTGAACCCATACGACGTACCATGCTTTATGAGCTCTCACTTCTCATTGTCATCTCGTTATTTCCATGTGTTCGCCTGTCACAGATTAGTGGTCTCTGCGCAATCAAATGCTGATGTTGCCGCTGTTCTCGGACAACCATCCACAGCTTACAAGTGACCTTAGGCTTAGGCCTAGGGCTATAGCGAGTTGGAACATTGCCTTTGATGGATGGGTAAGGAAAACATGATTTTCTTACGACTGAACACTTTAGCTTTAGCTTTTACCATGATAGCGACCGTGTTGAATTAATGTCCGTGCTGTGGTGCGGAGGAAGCACAGTCACCAACTTAGGGGGATACACTCGACGTCACAGAGCTTCTTTCTAACTTCCACCCTCATAATCCTTCTGATCTTTTATCATGAGAAGCTCTGGATCGACTCCCATCCAGCTTCATCAACCCGCACGAGCACCATGTGGAGATGTGGAGGTCCACGCGGGGTCTGACCGGGGTCTTCCCCAACTACAACTACTCATGTCGGTCCATCATGGAAAAATATCTTTCCACCCATACAGAAGGCCTGCATGCATCCAGACCAGCTGGGGTAACCAGAGAGCCTCTGTGGAACTATTCCCCATTCTGGCAAACACCACGCACCAACGGCGCCGCTTGTCATCTTCAAGGTGACAGGATGGGCCTCCACAACCAGGATGAAGCAATTGACAAGTCTACTAGATCGAGCTTCCGATCCACGAGGATACTAGTGGGCTGCCATCTCCAGAATTCTCGGCTGGACGGCATGATAGACAGAGGAATATAAAGAGCTGCCCCCCCAGGTCAGCTGGGCGATTCACGCCCCCTTAACATCATCCAGTCTACTGCTACCCCCAAGTGACCTGATACACGGAGAGCAGTACAGACAAGCCATGCGTCTTGATAGAACCATCGCCGCCGCGCTGGCCCTCTCGGTCACCGGTGCCGACGCCCAGCGCACACAGTGTGTTGTCAAGTCTCAGTACAAGTGCAGCGGCGGCAAGTCCTCGGACTCGCCTGCCATCGAGGAGGCCTTCAAGAAGTGCGCCAAGGATGCCGAGATCGTCTTCTCCGAGGGCGTCGAGTACAACGTCTTCTCGCCGCTCAAGGTCAGCGGCCTGTCCAACGTCATCGTGCATCACCTTGGCAACCTTAACCTGCCGCAGAACGTGACCTACATGCAGGAGGTCACGGCCAAGAACGGCGGCTCGCTCAAGTGGTTCGATATCAGGGGTGATAGTGTGAGCTGGATTGGCACGTCCAACGTATGGAACACATTTATACTTCTAATCTTGAGAGTGGAACGGAAGCTGACCAAGGGCCCACCAGATCACCACCGGCTGGTTCAGGGGTTACGGCCAGAACTGGTACGACGCCAACCCGCCTGGCGGCACCGGCCTGCCCAACCGCCCGCACCTAATGTACTTTGGCGTCAACAACGGCTACGGCGAGTACTGGAAGTCGTCCAAGCCACCCGGCGCCAACTTCCAGCTGGCCGGCAAGAACATCACCATCCGCAAGCCCATCATCGACGCCGTGTCGAGCTCGTCATCCTTCCCTTTCAACACGGACGGCTTCGGCTGTGGCGCCGAGGACCTGACCATCGAGGACGCCGTTATCTACAACGGCGACGACGCCTTTGCTGTCGGCTCGGGCGCGCGCAACGTTGTCGTGCGCCGCGCCACCATCGGCTACCAGACGCACGGCATGAGCATTGGCTCACTGGGCAAGGACCCGAGCAAGCCTGCCTCCGTGTCCAACATACTCTTTGACGACGTCACCGTCGCGGGCGGGCTGTACGCCGCGCGCTTCAAGTCGTGGTCCGGCGGTCAGGGCCTCGCCAAGGATGTCACCTGGCAGAACATAAGGGTGTACAACGTCTCGTTCCCCATCTTCGTCACGCAGGTCTACTACGACCAGGCCAAGACGCCTGGTGGGCCGGGGGGCAACGGCACGACGCAGGCGGTCAACATGGAGAACTTTTCGTGGGTCAACTTCACGGGCAGCGTCAACAGCTTTAATTCCGGCGACGGGTCGTGCGCGAGCAAACCCTGCTGGTATGACATTGGCTTACCCAGCAACCTCAACCACACCGAGGCGGCCATCATCCAGTGCGCGACCGAGACGTCGTGCAAGAACTTCAAGGTGGAGAACGTGCGTCTGTTTCCGGACAGCGGGGAGGCGCCGACGCAGATATGCCAGGGGGTGTCGGCCGAGACGAGCCCGCACTTCGGGCTCGTGTGTGCCAATGTGCCTCATGCGATACCGCTTGTGCCGATTTCGTAAGGAGTGTTGAGTCAATAATTCATGAAATGATACATTTATCACGGTATCAGAAACGAGATGTGCTATTGTGCTTCTACGATGCTATGGAAACAAAGGGTATTATGGCCCTCTGCACAGAACACTGAACCAGCAATGTTCCTATGCTTCCACGGGGGCCCTTGCGATCCATGTACCAAACTTCGTCGAGAGAAGCTCAGAGCATGCCTTGTGATTCCTCTAAGTAACAGCGATCTAGACTACTCCTCGCTTCTGCAGACTTCGTAGTAGTCCATCCAGAGCTGGTATGCGCGCTCCTCGGATAGGGTCTCGCGGAAGTGCCTCATGGTCGTGGCGATGCGGTGGTCCATCTTCCTGATCTTCTCGCGCATGTTTTCAGCCTCATCTATGACGACTTCCTTGTTAAAGGCCAGCTGGACGATGGCCTGGTCGGTGACGCCCAGCTTCTCGTCGTAGTCGGCAAAGAGCTTGTTGACCTTGTCCACTGAGCGCCGCATGTCTGCCTCAAACGCTTCCAATCGTGCCGTCAACGCGTCAATCTTTTCGTCCTGATCCTTGAACTTAGTCGCCATGATGCTGGAGCGCTCCTGGCTGAGGTCCTGCTCGTCCCTTTATGAGCAAAATGACAAGAGGGGTGGCCCAGAGGTTGGCACACTTACAGCGGCATCTTGGTGATTCTGCAACTCCTCTTTGGCCTTCTCGGCCGCGCGGGCAAGGCGATTGCTCTTGCGATAGGGCGATTTGGTGTCTGTCTTCTTTTGACTGTGTTAACTAGATCACCAGGCAAGAAATGGATATCAGATCGTTACGAACCTGGGTCTCTGGAGCGTCCCCGCTGACCTTGGCCGCTTCACGAAGCGCCTTCATCTCTCTCGCCTTCTTCTCCCGGAATCGCTGTCTCTGTGACTTCCTGTTCTTGCCAGCCTATATCAACAGCAGACATTAGAACTAGAAAACGGAAACTGTACAGTAGAAGATGGCTTGCCATCGTAGAGACTCTTGGAGCCGCCAAAGTCTGATATTATGTTGGACAATGTCGCCGTTCCAGATGTGACAAGCAGAGTTGGCAAACAGCAGACATCAGCTAGCGTTAGGCAGTAATTGGAGACCCTGGGTCCGCGCTAAAAGGGGCTGTTGAGTGTGGTGACTTGCCAGGGTCGCAAATGAGCTTCAGTCCAAACGTGACCCCAACTTGACTTTGTTCTCACCCTCAACTTTACCACCACGAAATATTTAATGAAACAACTCAAATACCCTCATCTACCTGCAAACTCCCGACCTCACCGCCTTGGGCAGAACTTACTATAAAACCCCTCGCTGCCTCCCCTCTTTCAAAAGAATTTCCTCACTCCTCCAACTTCTTTTCCAAGCTCCTTTCTCTCACAACACACAAGCCCCACCTCTTCAAAATCCATTCACTTATCCAGCATCCATAATCAGATCAAGACAGTGTGTCGATTCTTTCAGGTAAGTCCAGCACTCTCTGCTCCTTCCAGGCCCCAAGCCTTCGGGTCACGCTTCCGCCGCCACAAACACTCGCGATGAAACGCAAAATCCCCTCAGCCGTGGATGGGCTTCATACCCTTGTTCTACTCTACAGATCAGGTGGGAAGAACGGCTTCAGGATCATCTTTATTGGGGCACCTTTTCTAGACTGATGTCTCCCTTTGCTTCGCCTATGACTCAATCTTTGATGAGGTTGGCATTGGGATCTGAAGTCCACTCAGAGACAACTCTGAGGAAAGCCCCCCGCCCCGTGAAGTTGTCGATCCGCGAGCGGTTTCTCCATTTCCTCCTCGCTTGCGAAGGGTTGAGAGATGAGCTAATCCCGGCTGCTCATCAACGCTGGGTGAAGGTACTCATCTACCAACGGAGAAATACGGCGCGCGTTTCCTGAAGGCCTGGTCGAGGACTTACTCAGCGTTTCCAACCGACGCTGACTGGTACTTTTTTTCTTCTCTAGGGCATCTCTCATCACCGGCAAGAGTCTGCTTCATCACTCTGCAAGAATCTGAGGTTATCATGTCGCGGAGTTGGCGGGGCAAGGTTGGTTGATCGAGATGTCACACATGTACCTTTATGTACCATAGGATACCTAGGTAGAGATGCATTTTCAATCATCAAAACACTTTAATGCATTGCATTTCGGTCCTACTTGAAGTGTTCTTCTTGTCTCTTGCAGAAACAATAAGTGAAATGTGTGAATGTCATCTTGAAGGTACACCTCGCCACCGCCGCATGACTTTGCTCACGCACAAAACTTGCAACGTAGGACCCACAAGGATATGGACCATCGGTATATGCCTGACCGGCATCATAACATGCACTTCAATGCCTCAAGGGAAACACGGTCCAGGTGAAACTTGTCATAACATGCACTCCAATGCCTCAATGGAAACACGGTCTAGGTGAAACTTGTATTGACTACTGGTAGGTAGTTCAGTTTACCAGACCTAGAGAAACTCGAGAAATTGCCATGACCAGTGCCTACAAACACTTTTGCAAACACCCAAACCTTGATTTCAAACTGATAACCGGTAACAGCTTTGTAGCTCTAAAACCCACGCTTCTCGAGGTCCTCAGCAGTAGCAGAGACCTTCATCATGTCAGCTGTAAGCCCCCGAAAGAGAAGAGGTCATGGATGTCTACCTCCATGGCATCTACCTTGAGAACAAGCATAAGGGCCTGGACGCAGAGCTCAAGCTTATGAATGCGGTGCTCCATCTCCTTGACATTAACGACGAGCTTCTTCTGGTCCTTCTCGTGGGCCTCCAAGAAGCTGTGGCGAAACTCTTCGAGGTACGGAATAATGGCCTCACTGGCCGCATTTCGGATGTCGATGGGGTTGGTAGGATCTCTAGAGGCCAGGAATGCCTGTTGGATGGTCTCTAAGAGATTGTCGGCATCGGAACGCTCCTTATCAGCCTGAGAAACACCGAAGGGCTGAGAAACAGTCAACAATCTGCATATACCAGAGAGTATCGAACATCCAAGAGCATGACTCACGACCATTGACGCAATCTGCTCCATGGCTGACATGGGCTTGTCGTTGCCCGCATGCTGGTTGTTGGCTTTGGGGCGGAGGGGAGTAGAAGGACCCTAGTAGTCGAGAGTGAAGAGGATACAGTCAGTAACAGATGCAAACACGGTGCTATCAGCTCGCAGTTGCCATCAGACTCGTATGCAGTATTACCAAATACTGATACTGGAGGAGCAAAAGAATTCTGCACTTACAGGAGCTTCACCCAAAGCATCAGGCATCTCCTTGTCAGTGGTAGCCTGAGGGTCGGCCTTGGTGGTGTTGGAAGACATCTGAAATTTGTACAAGATTAGTGAGGATGCGACAATGGTGAACGAGATCGGTTGAGACGATAATATGATGGTCGACAGACACGTCGCTTGGTTGGGTGCAGGAACGAGAGAGAAACAGTGAGCAGTAGATGATGGATCTCGCGGGTGTCACCAAATCTCACCTTTTGGACGATGTGCTGGGGTTGATGGACGTGAAGCTCGATTTTGACAGTCTCGAGGGTTGGGGGAACGAAGTCGTGGTTGTTGAAACGTGCGATGAAGGTTGGAACAAGGGAAAATGGTGCTTCCCGGCTGCCTATCCTGTCACGAAACCTAGGATTCTCACTTCCCGAAACCACAACAGAACCTCTGGATACTAAAGGGGGATGCCTGCCTCAACTTCTCTCAAGGTACGTTCTTTCTCAACTATATCGAGTGTTGTTATTAACATCGCGGTTACACCTTGCTGCCGTGTCACTGCTTGTTCATCATACTATTACGCTTTGTCTGAATTAAGGAAAAGAAGGTGCAAGAGATGTGCCAGATCGATATGCAACTGTCCAAAGTTTCTCCCCCAAACAAACCCATAACGCCTAACCACCAAGAATACCGAATCGACCTGTCTAATGTACTTCTTGATTGAACTCTTCCACTCTTGCAGATCCCAGCAATCCAGCATCATCGTGTCTCCCCAACACTCAGTCCTTCCATCGACCTCGTCATCCCCGTGAACGGGCACACGCCCGCCGCCCCTGCAGCCGCACTGCTCCCGCCCCCGCTCCCGCTCCCACCAGGTGACGCCCGCGTCGGGGATTTTGGCGTGGGGATCTTGCTCGGCGTCGTGGGCGTCGTCACCGTGCTGGCCGCCGAGGTCCCCGACGACGACTCGGGCCCGTCGCCGCCGCTGTCCGACTCCATCTCCTCGTCCGTTAGGATCTTCTTGCCATGCAGGTAGCCTTCACGCTCGACGACGATCTCCTCCTCCTTTTCGCCCGCGAACTCCTCGCCGTCGCGCACGTACCACTTGGCGAAGAGGTCGTTCTGGATCCAGATGACCTTGCCCAGGGCCTTGACGATGGCGATCTTGCGCGTGATGTGCAGGCGCGGATGCGACAGGATGGCCTCGGTCAGGATGTCCTGGATGATGGACAGAGCAGCGCCGATGTGGATGTACTCGACGTGCAGCGGATGTGCGCGGCCGAGGCCAACATGCATCATGCTGTGGGTTTCTATGTCAGTCGTCTGTTTCTCTCCCCCATCCATTCATGGCCAGTTGAGTTCCTGGCAAGAAAAAACTTACCCGACTTTGTCGAGATACTCCCAAAACTCCATTTCGCTCGGGTCGGAGCAGATCTTGGTCAGGTAGGCGCGCAGAAACATCTTGCGGTGCATGACCTGCGGGCTGTTCTCGTCGGGCTGCTCGTCCATGGGGCCCTCGAAGCTCGTGCTGCGGGTCGTGAACGCGCGTGCTGTGATGTCGTACTGCAACAGCTTCTTGTAGACGATGTTGACGACGGCCGGAATCAAGGCCTTGATGTACTTGGCGCCTGATACTAGCGCTTCGATGTCATCTGCCACAGGGTCAGTGATCATGATCTTGGCTATTCTCCACGGACTGTTCACCTACTGGTACTAAAGTCGAGGAAAGAGTGGAGATAGTGTATCCTGGCCTCGAGGTTTGTGTACAGCTCCTTCCTGTCGATGTGCTGCATCGGCCGTCTGAATAGCGACATGATTGCTGTGGTGGTGTGTAAGTCGGAGCGCGGATTTCCTTTTTGATACCCCTGCTTGTAATGTCGTTACTGATGACAAGTAATCGCAGTGAAAGCTTCAAGATACAAGTGTCGCGACGTCCGAATAAATGCTCCAAAACACACCCAAGGCCGATGAAGAAGACGCGGGCACACGCGCCTATTTAAACAGGATGACCAAAAGATGCACGCTCTGTGGCTTGCCAGCTTCAGGAGCAGTGGTCTGAGACTCGGTCTCGGGCGCCCACGCTGTCTTTGCGCGGCGCCGCCTCAGCCTCACAGCTGATTTAGTCGCACCCCGGCCCGCACCGATCAGCCCATTCTCGCCATCAGTCCACCTCGTTCGCCCAAGATTCCCCACAGGCCCTCCCGAAATCGCATGTTCGTCTCGTCTAATTGCGATTTTGTAATGGGCGAGGGGTCAGCAGCATGGACCGGGGTCCTGGCTCTTGCTTGCTTGTGTGAATAGGTATTGATGCACCTTGTTTTTATTCGCGCTTGCTGCCGTTTCATTCTCGTTCTGCGTTGACTGCGCATCATGGGTTACCCCGGATTTTCGGGACATCGCGGGAAGAGCTAGGCCCCCCCGGCTAACGGCGCGCGCGAGCTTCTAGAAGACTATTGTTTCAAAAGGATGCTTGCATATGTACTTTCATTTGCAGTTTTGCACATACAAGTATATCTTCAGGCGGCCAGACCAGACGTGAGCTACCCAAAGGTCGGCCCACTGATCTGGCTGATGTGTCAGTGGCACAAGATACCCCGAATGTCACCAAGCTGACCGACCTGATCCTAGTACTCAAAGGGAATGTGTTCACTAGCTCATATAATCCATGTTCTATCGCGCTACCTGAAGAGAAAAATGAACATGCTTCTGTAACTAGCTATACGTCTACCGATGTGAAATGCTGTGCAGACAAACCTTAAAGTCTTCCATTGCTTGATAGGCCCCCTCCCCACCCCCCCCCCCCCCCCCCCCCCCCCCCGTCGCAATCGTATGCAATGCTATGTATGGTACGTCCTGATGTCTCTTCTCCAGCTATCACTTGGTCTCTTATCCAACTTCTGATTCTATAATGAGAGCAAGATTCTCATAGCTTCCTCCGGCTCACTCACTCACATAACCACCCCTCTTCAAGTCATCAACTCGATATGCTTCAACTCACTAATGAAACCCAACAGAAAGTCAGCAATCTTTACTTAAAAAAAAATAAAAGGTTCTCAAATCGAAAACAAGACAGGACAGATACTCACGCCTCAACCTGATGCCCCACCTTCATGGGCGGGTACTCGACCTCGTCCCCCTCGTCTTTACCGAGGTTCATCTGCTCGAGGCGCACGGCGCGGGCGCGGTCGGCGAGCTGGGGGATGGGCCTGAGGTCGTAGTCGGACGACAGGTGCCAGAAGAAGGTGCTCGAGATGCGGATCTGCGGGCGGTCGGGCTGGCGGGCGGCGCGGCGGGCCATGACGTCGAGGGTGCGCTGCGTGACCACGACCTCGTGGTAGCCGGCCTTGACGAGGCCGCCCGTCAGGTGCTCCATCTGCTTGCCGGCCTGGACGAGGAGGTAGTTGCCCTCGGGGATGACGACGGCGATGCGCTTGCCCGTGTTGCGGGCCCACTTTGTTGGCGGTAAAAGTCGGTTAGCAAGGATGGTGTGGTGGGTGAGTGGTGGTGAGTGAGTGGATGAAAGGGGGGATGGATGGATGGATGCCATGCGAAGGGGGGCTCACGTACGATGTGCAGGCCTGGATACCGCGAGCGGCCGTGGATGGTGAGGAAGTTGAGGTCGGTGTGGAAGCCGGCGAGGATGGTGTCCTTTTCGCCGTATTTCCTCAGGTCCGAGGCCGTGGGGGCGAGGAGGTGCGGTCTATACTCGCTCGGTCAGCATTGTGGGAGAGAGAGAGAGAGCGTCCCGGGACAGAGACACGTCGCAACACATACCCGTAAGCCCCTGCATCTTTGAACGTGCCGCCCGGTAACCCCATGCCCAGGGCAGCCATCTCTGCTAGATCCGTTACACTATTACACGCAACCCGCCGCCCCATTGTCAGTTCATCGTCCAGACGTCGGATAAGAGACGAGCAGATGTACTCACGCAGTCTTCATCGAGGCGCCCCACTGGTCCATAGTCGGCTTCCACTTCTCCTTGATGCCCGGGGCGGCGGGGGTCACGTTGGCGGCGTTGAGACCGGGGAACTCGCTCTCGTAGGGCGGGTCCTCGACGACGCGCCAGAAGAAGCGGCACTTGGGGTCGGGCTGGTGGGCGGAGACGTCCTGGGGCCGCTCCGAGGGGGCGAGGCGCTCGATGACGCGCAGGCAGGGCTCGTCGACGGCGCACTTGGGCTTCTCGGTGTTGTCGAGCGTGATGCCGACCTGGTAGGACAGCTCGGGCCGCTCGTCCTGGCGCAGGGCGTCGTCGGGCTGGGCAAAGTACTCCTCCATGAGGTCGAGGAAGGACGAGTTGTCGGCCTCGGAGACGCGGCTGTCGTGCAGGACGAGGGCGCCGTAGGTGACGAGGGCGTTGGCGGCGCGGGCGCACTCTGCCTGCGCGGCGGCGTGGGCGTCCGCGTCGCTCTGGCCGTCGCGGGCCTTGAGGAAGAGGTCCAGGTCGATGACGGGCAGGCCCATGGGCACGTCGGGCTCTGGGGAGGGGGATAATGACGCGGGAGCCATGTTTGGTTGTGAGTGTGTGCGCGCGTGTGTCTCTGTGTTTGTGGTAGATTTGGGCCTTTGGCGTCCTGCGATTTTGGGGTGCAGTGCAGGAGGTTTGGCGATGCAGATGGGAAGGATGAGCGGGTTGGTTGAAGGCGGGTGTGAGTGGGCGGCGGCAGAGAACAGCGTATACCACCCCGTAAGATAGGTAAGGGAGGTTCAGAGAGTGTGAACCTTCAACCTTGGTTTTTGCGTGCGCGCACGGGTGTGTGTGCGAGCGAGCGAGTGAGTGAGTGAGTGACTGGTGCTCGTGGGTGTTGTATGTTGATCACTTGATCGCGCTCTCCACACACAGACCGGACGAATGCCGAGATGGACAAAAGGGTGTGTCGTCGTCGCCGGGTGAGTGAGTGCTGTTCAGTAGGTAGAAATATGTCCCATGTGATGAAGTTCTTTTTATTCCTTGTCTGTTTCTCCTCACCCGCCCTGATCAATCAATCCTCAGTCACTTGTGTGTGTGTGTGTGTGTGTGTGTTTGCGTGTGTCGGGCTGTCTCACTCGGCCAAATTGCTGGATCTGGATGCTTTGGCTTCTTGGAGTCGTAGCGAGCTTTTGCCGGCCTGCCTGATCGGTTTCAGCGCGTCGGCCTGTTTGGGACGTGGTTGGCCTGGATGGGATCTGGCTTCCGCGCATGCGCCAGCGTCAGCCGACGGATCCCGGTGGACGAAAAAAAAGTTCAGATGGGTTTCTAGCGTGTTTAGCGCTAATCTAGGCACTCTGCTGCCTACCGAGCCCACTCAGAAGGCAGGAGGGCCGAGAATCTCACCCGCGGGGCCGCCACCTGTGGGCCTCTAGTCTTACGATCAAATGCCAAACTCGAGGGAGGCCCGGGTAATATCCGTGATCATTGGTCCTTGGTGTTTTCCAAGTCTTTCAGATTGTCGGCTGCTCGACCCGTCGCGTTTCCACTGGCCGGACGAGGTTTGATGGCTCACCCGGGTACTGGGGCTGCCTACCTACTTGTAAGGTACTCCGTACGTAGCTGGCGGTGCCCTTCAGTGAGCCCCTGCCTAGCGCTCCAGGCCTGCCTGAGCTGCCTCGGCAGTTGCTTCAGCCGCTAAGATAGTGTGATAAGGAGAAGCACAAGTGGTTTTGCCACCTGTGTGATGTCGTGCATCGGATCGACTTCTTACGGAGCAGTCCCGGCCATGACAACTCTAGTTACTCCGTCATGCAACGTTGACTTGACCGATACTGTATTGAATGGACACAACATGTGACAGCAGGCTTTCCTTTGGACTTGGGATTGGATTATTCTGGCCCTGCTTCAACTACTTTAACCCGACCCACTGCCTTCTAGTCAACCATTTATAGCTTTAAAATCAAACAGATCAGAGCTACCATGATACGTAGACACGAACGAGATTTCGATCAATGACCTAACTCAAACGACTCGGGAATCCCATCTTTTGGTTATTTCGCTGCCAGCATACAGAACCGCCAGCACTACCTGAGTACAATCTCAATAGACTTGATTGAGCCTAGAGATGCTGTAGAAATACCCGTCAGACATCTGGTCTCGTCAATCAAACTGAACATGAGGCTGATGGAACAGGCATCTGGAAAGACATGTGTATATATGGATTGAAACCCTTTTCAATAACAACTTGAATATGCTGCTCTTGGGCCAATGTGATGGCGAGAACACAGCACCCTCGCCAGAAAGCAGTTGGCCGGTTCCACTCTCGTAATGATTAGCGCGCCCAATGGTCACCATCACGAACACGTTTGCGCGTTATTGCCATTACCGTTACGCAGCCCCTGACTAAGCATTCACGAGCGTATAAAACCACCCACGATAATACATTTATCTGAAACACAAGCCGCAAAGGGGGCTTCAAGATAGCCATCAACGACATCGCATTCGCCTCAAAGCATCAAACCACAGTTCACCCACAGAAACCAAAGGGCCTTCGGAGATCATCATCACCACACCCACGCGACCCAAAAACAAGACGTGCCACCTCTTCCGCTCCCAGAGATCATGGACCTCCCCATGAAGGCCTGGGTCATCGCCCACAACGGCGCTCCCGCCAAGGCCCTCTCCCTGCGCACCGTCTCCGCGCCGCGCCCGCCCCGCCGCGCCGAGGTCCTCGTGCGCGTCACCCACGCCGCCCTCAACCCGGCCGACCACGCCTACCTCAAGGTCATCCCGTCCTGGCTGCCGAACCGGTGGGGCGCCGCCACGGGCCTCGACTTCGCCGGCGAGGTCGTCGCCGCCGGGCCCGACGTGCCCGCCGGGTCGCCCGTGGGCAAGGGCGCCAAGGTCTGCGGCGCGCTGAGCGTGCCGCTCGTGTTCTGGGGCGCCGGGTCGCTGGCCGAGTACGTCACCGTCCCCGCCGCCCTGGTCGTCCCGCAGCCCGAGGGGTGGGGCGGCGCGCGGTCCGCCGGCGGGTTCGGCGTCGCGTCGCAGACGGCGCACATCATGGTCAAGGCGGCCGGCGGTCGGGGCAGGCTGGGCCCCGGGGCGAGGGTCATGGTCATCGGGGCCAGCGGCGGCGTGGGCTCGGTGCTGGTGCAGGTCGCCAGCAACCTGGGGGCCGAGGTCGTGGGCGTGTGCTCCGCGGGCAACCACGAGATGGTGCAGAAGCTGGGTGCTGCCGAGGTGAGAACTCTTGATCTTCCCTACGAGGATGGAAACGTGGAATCGGAAGGACTGATGAGCAGAACAGATGGTCGACTACACGGCGCACAACCCACTGCCAAAGCACCTCGCGCAGGAGTACGGCAGTCGCCAATTCGACTTCATCTTCGACTGCGTCGGCAGCCATCACATCTACGTCGGGTCGCCAGCGTATCTAAAGCCCGAAGGCGCCTTTATCAACATCGCCGGCGATCCCGCCAACGCCATCGGCATCATGGCCGGCCTGTTCCTCCCGCGATTCCTCGGCGGTGTGCCGCGCCGGTACAAGATGCTCGCCCTCAGTCCCTCGGGCGACAACGCGAGGGAGGTGGCCAAGTGGGTGCAGGACGGGCTGCTGAAGGAGATTTTGATTGATTCTGAGTACAGTATGGACGATGCTGTCAAGGTGAGTCTCTGAGCGAACCCGATGTCAAAGACAAAAGGACGAAGAACTGACGATGTCGTTTCTACAGGCGATGGACCGAGTAGGGAGCAAACGATCTAAGGGGAAGGTCGTTGTGAGGGTTGCGGAGTAGGTAGATTGTCCCGGAGATGAGGTAATGATATCCACACTTGTCGGCCACCACAAGCGAATCGGACAAGCCTCCTTTCAAAATTTTGAAAGAGTAATAGACATTCATTCATCCTCCAAAGAGAATGACCTTAATAGTTAACCTAAAGGCATGATTCTTCGTCAGATCCGATACTATAACTCCCAAGGCCTCGAGCTCCGAGCAGTCAATGGCCTCTCCCAAGAGGAGCAGTGTACACAAGTGTTCAGATATCACTGTTACATTTCTTGTAGACCGGGAATTGTGTTTGCTATTTGAACGACTCAAATCGATGAAACGAGTGACTGAAAAAAATAAACGGCAGCAACACCCAAGAAACGGATCGGCCAAGCCTATGTCAAGCCGTCAAACCTACGCTACTTTTGTGAGCAAAGAATGGACTCGATACCACGAGACTTCGGTCTCCTCAGCTATAGCCCCAGACTCAAGCTCCCCAGAGCCTGAGATACTCAAGCAACTCCCCCTTGAGCTCCATCCACTCCTCGGCAGTCCTCTGGACCTCGCTCTTCTTGGGCTCGCTCTTGGTCTCCTCACCCTCGGCAGCACCCTCGCCACTAGCCTTGCCATCATCCTTGGCTTCCTCAGCGGCTTCCTCGGCAACACCCTCGGCCTCCGCAGCCTCCCGGGCCAGAGCCTTCCGGATCTCCTCGTCGACCCGCTCCGTGGCCGTCACGGCCGCACCGAGGGGACCCCCGGGCGGCGCGATCTTGACCACGTCGACCTGCTCGCTATTGAGCAGGCTGCACGCGCAGCCCCGGCGGGGCCTGTGCTTGCAGTAGTGGTCCTGGTCGCTGACGTAGCTGGGGCAGTCGAAATTGGGCCAGTGAGGGGCCTCGTCGTTCGGCATGCCCCCGTGCGGCACGAAGGGGCCGTCCCAGCAGTTGTAGATCTTGTCGCACTCGCAGCAGTACCGCGCGGCTACGAGGGGAGAGTCGTCGGCGGGGAGGGTGCTGGCCCAGGCCACGAGGAGCAGGGGGGCTGGCTCGACCGAGAAGAAGGTCTGTGGAAATACAAAGTCGCGTTAGTCAGTCTTACTCAAGGAGGTTGGGGGTTGATATAGGGTGGCCGAATACAGTTTCTCTCTGAGACATGGTTGTTGAAGTGCTGGGCTGGTTTCGAGAGTCTTGGATCTTTGGGAGAGGTTAAGAATGAGTAATGGTGATTTTGAAACGGTTGATGATGATGTTCTTTGAGGTCAAGAGTTTGCAGAGCGGCATATTTTATAGACCATACGAGCCGTGATTCACCAGTTCTGTGAGAATAGAGCAACTTGGTGAGCCTGCACATCCGCGTCATCATCCAGAGGAGTGGGATCACAGAAGAGCAGGAGTCACAACTTGTTGAGTTACACTATCAGAGGTGCCAAACGCGTTGACAGGTAACGCTGTGGAAGCGTGCCACAAGGCGGCCCAGGCTAGAGCTGGGGCCATAATCATGTTTAACTGGATAAATAGATAGCTTTGAGTTACAAGGGACTGTGACAACGGAAGACAGACCCATGCGACAGAGTGGTCACGTCCCGCCGCCATTGTTGCTACCCGCCACATCATTGTCTCCGACCAGGAAGGTGGCTAATGAAATAATCATAAAACTACATAAATCATAACACTACTTATTTATTAATGATTCTCGAGACCTTCAATACGACGCACAACGCCCATCATTCTTTCCTAGTGGCCTCCTCGGCCTTATCCTGCGTGCCCGTCCCTCCCAACGTAGCTGGTGTAGAGTCCTCAGCCGCACCCTCCTTCATCTCGTCCACAGCCGGCCCATCCTCCTTGCCTCCCGCTTCATTCGACTCATCTGTCAACGAAGATGTCTGTTGCTTTCGTGAGAAGAAACTAGGCATATTAGGCATTCCCGGCATCGCGGGCATGGACGGTTTAGGCATGCTGGGTAGGGTGGGCATCGTCGGCATGCTAGGCTTCGAGATGCCATCGAGCTTGGGCATCTTGGCCGGCAGCTGCGACGACCACTCAGACATCCTCTTGAGGCCCGTGCCGGCCTGCTGAGCGACACCGAACAGGTGGCGCATGTAAGTCGCCTTCTGCTGCTCGTCGGCCGGCAACTCCTCGATGGGCACGTCATCGTCGGGCAGCGGCACGAGCGACGCGGCCGCCGCGATGTCAATGGGCGATTCGTCGGGCAGGGAATCTGCCGCACCCTGGGCGGCCTCTTCCGCTTCTGGAAGCTTATCGGTGTCGACCTCCACGCCGTCCTCGGTCGTCTTGATGGCCTCTTCCTCGGGCGTGAGTTCCACTGCCTCTTTTGCAAACTTTGGGTCGTCGACCACTTCATCGTCGGCAGTGAACCACTTGACTGCCAACTTGGCCGCCTCATCCGTCATCTCTTCATAGTCCAAATTCTTGTCAGGCACAAACATGCTCATGTGGGCCTGGATCTCGTCCTGAACGCTCTTCAACACCCGCCTCTCGAAGAGCTTGGACGCCGGCTGGTCCTCCTGGGGAACAGCACAGAATGTGCGCTCCGGAACGAAGTAGCCGCCGCTCCAGTAGCCGTTCTCGCCCAACGATGCATAGAAATCGTGCAGGCCAATACCCTGCAGGGAAGTCATCCGCTCCAAGCGGCGATTCAGCTCGGTCTGTTTCAGCAATGAACCGACAAAGGTGAAGTGCGCAGACAGCCAAGCAAAAGACTGCCCGACATTGTCGCGGTTGATGTAAGCTAGACCCTGTCCGAGCGCGTCGACGCTCGACTGATAACCTTCAATGACACTCTGCTTGTTGAGATTGCGCACGGAGCGCATTCCTTCCATAATCTTCTTCCGGTGGATGTAGGCAGCCACGCCCCCGGCTGCGATGGCACCGACGGTGCCTGTCTTGACAGCAATCAGTTGCCAAGCCTTCCAAGCTGGAGCGCCGGCCGCGCCAGCAGATGCGGCACTGGCAGCCATCTTCTTGCTCCCTCGACCAAAAGCTAGTTTCCCCAGTGCTGCCGGGCCGGCGGACAAGGCCGTCATGACGTTGAAGACACTGCTGACCTTCTGGTAGTTGGAAAAGGCGCCGTAGACGAACATGGATCGAGATAGGCCGTTGTACGGGGTGTCAAACGCAAGAACGCCCTGGATCAAAGGGAAGAGTGGCGCGGTAGGATTCTCACTGTTGTGACGTTCGTTGAGGGTGAGAAACAAGCTGTCGGCTGCCACAAAGCCTCTGGGTGAATGTCAGCATGAAAAGCTGGTGGCAAGAAGAGACGAAGTGATCTCACCCCATTGAATGTGCAACCAGGATAACTCCGACCTCTCGGTCATTGGGAGGCCAGGGGTTCTGGAGATGAGCTTTCCTCGAATCCATCACGCGCTCCTTGAGCCTTGACGCTGGATCAGCAATGCTGGCTCGACTCGCGGTGGAACAGAAGGCCGAAGGACATACCATTCTAGAAACTGGGCAGTGGCCTCTGCCAACTCTCCTTTCGTCTCATACTTGGGATAGACCACAGACTCGACCCGATGGTCTGGCAGCTCTTTTGCTACTGACCGTTTGAGGTCCTGTATCGTCGGCTAGTTAGCCGACGAGCGTCTCCGCTCGGAGGAATTGAGATCTTACCTCGGGAAACTCATGAAAAGTGTCATCGTCGCCCTAATCTCATGGGTCAGCAGATAGCACATGTCTCTTTCCTATGTTTGCCTGTAGCACACCTTGAAACCGTGGATGAAGCATAGGATGAGAGTACGCGCCATCGCGCCGTAAATTCAGGGGTCAAGATCTCTGCGTCCACAGCGTAGCGCCCACAGCAAAAGAGCCGTGATGATGGCCTTTTCAATTACACACAACTCATTCGGCACAGGTCAAAACCGTACAAGAATGCTTTCCAACCCTTGCGAACGGAGACATCAAGGACATATCTTGCTGGGAGCAACAGCTAAATGAATGTCGTCAGCCACACGTGCTTTCCTCGTCGGGAAGGCGAGTGTGGCGGCGAGTGGCCAGCATTGATTTGGGAAGGAGGCCAGTGCGTCACGGATAACGTCATGGCAGGCACGAGAACCAGCTGAGCAGATATCCGCCAGGGAAATGAATGGACGGCTGCAGTAGTTCAAATTTCTAGTGCGCATTTCCAAGTCTGTCTGGTGCATCCTGAAGAGTTCTTAGATGTCGTTTCCCGATCACTTGTCGGCGCGAAATGCTTGAACATCAGACTCTCATGTGAGGTCGGGGTGCTGACTCCACCCTGCCCGAAGACAATGATTTTGCCGCAGGTGAACTCGGCCGAGCTTGCCCCGACAGAAACCCAAGTCAGTGGCCACCAGAACGAGAGTGCCGATCCGCAAATCGCTTGTCGCTTATCCAGCGCCCAGCTCTTCAATGTTGCATCGACAGCAGTGAGGTGGACTGCTTCTTCAGCAGAAGCCTCATGTCATATTAAGGCTCCCGATCTCGCTGGTCCCTTGCATACTCCCTCCATCTGACATGCAGGCCCTGTTCACGATCGAATTGATGCTACATTGAGCACCTTGCTCGGTGACCTAATCCTGCACTCATCCCCAGCGCTACTCCGCATCTTAGTGCGTCCAACTCCGCCCAACCAATAAACACACAGTTAGTTCCGAGCCCAAAAGCAGATCCCACCAAAAAACACTCACAGGATCGCCAAGGGAACGGCAATCTACCCCCAGAAGCTCGGCACTTGAAAGCCAAAATCCTGCGGGAACTGTTCGCATGCAAAGTTTGGGACCATGCTTGCATTGGATACTGCTACCGTTGCATCAAGCTCTGTGATTGGATCCTTGGCCGCCTCGCTGCACGTCGAGTTTGCTTTCGCAGCCAGTCTCGCGTCCCGCGCATCGCCCTCATAATGGGCGTTCCCCCGCACGAGACCGACAAGTCCAAGGGGACGAGCTTTAGGCCCGAGAAGTACGAGGAACCCAGCTTGTTCAGACATCTCGCCGTGCCAGTCTTCATCTATACATCAGCCATGTCGGTGATCTTTCTTGCTATCTTTTGGGCCTTTGGCCTCGGGGAGTCCAAGGCCATCGCGACTCCGTCCCAGGCGCAGGTCATCAACCAGACCTCGTTTAACGTGCTCTCCTCCGTGCCGCCACCGACCGTAGCCAACGGCACTACTGTAAGACGTGACATATGCTAGTGCAGCTCAAGAGAAGCGCCCCGATCTAATTTGAGACATGACCTTGCAGCCGTTTATCCCTCCGGGTACTTCCAAGCAGTCGCTGATGGAAAAGCCTTTCCACATCTACGATGACGAGTTCAGGGCTGTCCTCGGAGACAATCCAACTCTCTCGTTGATTGCGCGCACCGACAAGGATCCCATCTTCCACGAAGCCGTTGTCTGGTAAGCCAACGGTGCGACGGGTTTTGGCCCAGGTTTGAACTAACCACAGCCTGCAGGTCCAAGTCGACAGACGAAGCTTTCTTCGTACAAAATGCTGGCGCCCCTGCCGCGGGTACTGGCCTCAACAAGTCCAGCATCATCCTCAAGATCAACATCTCCGAGGCAGCCGCAGTCTCGAGCCAGCGTAATGCATCAGGTCAAGTCAAGGTTACAACCGTCCCTTCGAACCCAATGGTTGTCAACCCCAATGGTGAGAGATGCTACGTAAGATTGAAACAACGTGATCAAAATCGCTGACCCAATATCAAAGGTGCGACGAACTACAGAGGTCAGATCGTCTTCGCGGCCGAGGGCCAGGGCGCTGACATTCCGTCGGCTCTGACTTTGATGAACCCTCGCGCGCCCTACAACACTACGGGTGAGCACGAATCTCGGAGGTGCAAAAGTGGCCTTATAAGTTCTGACTCTTGTACAGTCATCCTGAACAACTTCTTCGGTCGCCAGTTCAGCTCGCTCAACGACGCCGTGGTCCATCCTGTCAATAAGGATCTGTACTTCACTGACACACTATATGGCTACCTCCAGGACTTCCGGCCAACGCCAGGGATCCGAAACCAGGTTTACAGGTTCAACCAAGGCACTGGCGCGGTAACAGCCGTGGCAGACGGCTTCACCTTGCCTAATGGTGTTACCTTCTCGCCTGACGGCAAGCGTGCCTATGTCAGCGACACTGGCATCAACCATGGCTTTTTCGGGTTCAACTACTCCGACCCGGCGTCTATGTATGTGGAGTTATGATATCGCGTGTAGTTATTGTGTGGCGTTGACTAATGAATTCCGTGTAGCTACCAATTCGATGTATTGAAAGACGGTACATGGGATAACCGCAAGACTTTTGCATTTGTCGACGCAGGTGTTCCTGACGGTAAGTCGCATCATATGAACACTGGAAAAGAGTTGTTGGGCTGATTGATGACGTGGAGGTGTTCACTGCGATGCGGCCGGCAACGTGTATGCTGGCTGTGGCGACGGGGTTCAGGTTTGGAACCCCTCTGGAAAACTCATTGGCAAGATCTTCCTCGGCACGACGGCGGCCAACTTTCAGTTTGTCGGGGATGGGCGTATGGTCATTTGTGCTGAGACAGAGCTGTACTTTGCGACGGTAGCGGCAAAGGGTGACTTCGTGAGGAGCGAGCTCTGACTTCTCCGGGTCTCAGGACAAACCATTGGGAACAAATTCTGCTGATTGTTATCATCTAAAAGTTGAAATGATTCATTTGAGTAAAGGAATTATCCCTCCCCTACCTCGTAAGGAAGAGCAGCCGTTGTATGTTCGAGACGTATGTATACGCGCAATACCAACGACAGTCCAATAACCCTACTAGTGAAAAATTGTCCTAGCCATCATGCACAAGTTCGGGGAGGTCGTGACGCCTGACCGACTGCCGCGACCGGGCCATGAGCCAGCGATTTCAAGATCAAGCTCCCAAGCAGGTGTCAGAATGTTTGGAGCAAGGCTATCAAGTGATACTTCAATGCTAACAATGGATATCTTGATTCTTAAAAGCCATGCAGATTATCCCACTGCCTCGAATTGATGAGTACGCTGGACGGGAAGTACTTTTGTTCCCAGGCCGTCAACTCAGCTGAGCACGAGGAGAGCAAGCTCCCCATCCCATCATGGACTCCCACAGGCAAGGGCAAGGATGTTCCCCTCAAATTCCCCAACATCACTGGAACCCCCTCCACAAATTGTCCTCTAGCACTGTCTCGATCTTGGACGAGCTCTGTGTTGGCTTCGTAAGTGGATACGCTGAACCGAATGAGGTACCGAACCGACTACCGAGAGTCGGGGACTTCACCGCTCATGTCTTTGGATGCGACAAAACAAGCTCTGCGGCTTGCTTCACGCACGCGGCGCGAGATGCTTAGCACCCTCCCCGACACCCGCTAGCTCCCCATGCCCATGGGGTATTGAGTAGGCTGGGGGAGCGCGAGAAATTCGGCAATAGGATATTGCGAGAGGGGGGCCTGTCTGACTCGCAAACGAACATAAAGGGTCTCTCAAGAGCTAACTATCACGATTAACTTAATGCCTGTTGTCTCTCCCTCGCTCATACAAGGACCTCGGTCATTAGATTGAGTCCATTCGCCTGTAGTCGAGCCAGCACCTTGTCAAGGCCAGCAGAGCTGTCGTCAAGATGGGTTTCGATCCGTTTCCCCAGCGAAAGTTTTTCAACAGGCAGTTGGCCTTTGCGACAACGCTCATCGCGCTGTCGTCCTTCAACTATGGCTTCGACAACCAAGGCTATGCAACGACACAAGCCATGGATCCCTTCCAGAGGCAGTTTGGGTGGTACAATGCCAAGACTCACAGCTACTACCTCGAGCCATCGTGGCTGTCGCTCTTCAACAGCCTGCAGTACATTGGCTTCGCTGCCGGTAAGGGGCTGTCTATGTCCTCCATGACCAAAAGACAAGCATTGACGACTGAATTCTGTAGGCGTCTTCATCGGCTCCCTCATCAGCGCTCGCATCGGGCGCCGGTGGTGCATCACCATCATGAGCCTCTGGGCCCTCTGCACGGCGACCATCGCCATCACCTCGCAACACCGCGAGCAGATCATGGCCTCCCGCATCCTCAACTACGTCTACATCGGCATCGAGCTCTCCGTCGTCCCGGTCTACCAGTCCGAGATCGTCCCCACCGAGATCCGTGGATTCGTCGTATCCACCTACCAGCTTGCCTTGCTCAGCGGCGGCCTCGTCATCAATCTTGTCTGCAGGGGTACCAGCACCATCGACGGACAGGCCGCGTTCCGCATTCCGTACGGTCTTTTCTACTTGATCCCTCTGATCTCGCTGTCCGGTATCTGGTTCATCCCCGAGAGCCCCGTTTGGCTGCAGACCAAGGGCCGGTCGGAAGAGGCTCGTGAGAACCTCGGCAAGTTTCGCCAGGGTGTCTTCTCTGAGCAGGACATCGAGGAGCAGTACCAGCAGATGCGCATTGGTATCGAGATCTCGCAGGAGAAGGCGCGCTTCCTCGAGATCTTCCAGGGCAGCAACCTGAAGCGTACGCTGCTCGTCGCCTTTGCCAACTTCTTCCAGCAAGGTACGTTAAAATTGACTGAACTTCTATACCATTTGCCATTTGTCTTGGGCATGCGCGCTAATGACTGTGCCCGCAGCTACCGGTCAAGTGTTTGCCAGTCAATATGGCACCATCTGGGTCAAGTCGCTCAACACAGTCAGCCCCTACAATATGTCTGTGATTCTCGTCTGCGTGGATATGTTCACGACGGTCATTGCCATCTTCTCAGCTGATCGAATCGGTCGAAAGTAAGTTTCCGTTTATTCCACGTGTCGGAACACTGAAGCTTACCATCTCCCTCCTCTCGCTTGCAGGCCCTTGTTGTACACAGGCACGGCCATCCAGACCGTCGCCTACTTGGTCATGGGTGTCCTTGGCTGCTTTGCACCTACCAAGGAGCTCAAGCTAGGAATTGTATCCTTGCTCGCGATAGCATCCGCCGCCTTCGCCCTCGGCTTAGCCACTCTTATCTACGTTATGTCCACCGAGATTCCCACACCGAGGCTCCGCGACCATACCGTCCGGGTAGGCTTCATCACCAAGGTCGCAACCAAGTAAGTCCTGATAAACAGACTCTTCTTTTCTCTGTAGGAGTATTTTATTTCTTCTTTCTGTCATGCTGACAAAACACGCGCTCATGACAGCTTCGTCGTCGGCTTCTCGGTCCCCTACATCATCGACCCCAAGTACGGCGGCCTCGACGCCAAGATCGGCTTCATCTTTGGCGGCATGTGCTTCGTCAGCCTCTTCTTTATCTTCTTCTGCGTGCCCGAGTGCAAGGGCCGGACCCTCGAGGAGATCGAGCTCATGTTCCGCCACGGCGTGCCGCTGCGCAAGTTCAAGACTTTCGACACCAGCACCCTCGTGGCGGCGGCCAAGGCGGACGACGAGGAGGGGGCGCTCAAGAAGGGTGGTCAGCCTGTGCATGTCGAGACCAAGTAAGGGTCTGTGCTGGGGTAGTAGCAGATAGGACGAAGGGTCCCAATGGGCTGCTTAAGTCTGCAGGCGGATCGTGTATTTGGACCAAACGGGACAAGAAAACTACACAGGTGGGGCCCGTAAGCAAAGGTGCCTCGAATAACCCGAAGGCTTCGGATATAGGCAGGATCACGTAAAAAGTGACGTAGGTCAATGAAAAGCGTCGCACACCTCAGTCTTGGTTTTATTGTGTTAGTTTCACCGTCCTATTCGGAGTATCAGGTCACATTGTTGCCAGGAACGCCTCCATCATGGCCTCGGAGAACAAGACGGACAATCTGCCACATGATGGCCAGACGTTTGACTACATCATCGTCGGGGGCGGGACCTCCGGCTTAGTCGTTGCATCGCGTTTGAGTGAGGACCAGGACGTCAGTGTCTTGGTCATCGAGTCTGGGACAGATCAAAGTGCCAACCCTCAGGTCTTGACCCCGGGCATGGAAGTTGAGCTGCTCGACAATGCCGATCTCAGGTGGACCTTTGTCTCGCCTCCTCAGGTACGTATCGCCATGTTCGAGATAATCCAAGGAACTTACAGAGGATAACACTCCTCTTAGGCGACGCTCAACAATCGACCCATCATCCAGGCCGCGGGCCGCATGCTGGGTGGAAGCTCGGGCATCAACGGCTTGGTGACCATGTACCCGAGTCGGGCTATTGTCGATGCTTGGGGCGCACTCGGCAACAATGGCTGGTCTTGGGATACCCTTGCGCCCTACTATCATAAGTTTGCAGTGACGTCTGCACCTCCAGAAGCTCTGCAGTCTAAGGCTCGTGCACGACAATACTACGATGAATCTGTAGCGAAGAAGGACGACGCGCCTGTGAAGGTATCATACAGCAAGGGATGTACTGATGATAACTCGGCCTGGATCGATACCTTTGCTGGGATGGGCATGCAGATGAAGGGTGACCTCAGAAATGGAGCGACAATCGGTGCTTTTCAGGAGGGCAGGACTGTTGACCCTGCAACTGGCATGAGGTCGTATGCCGCGCTGGCCTACCTCGGCGAAGAGGTCAGAAAGAGGCCGAACCTCATAGTGCTGACTGAGAGCGATGTGACTCGAGTCGTGATCAATAAGGGCGAAGCCAGCCAAAACGTCACTGCAAATGGTGTCGTGGTTCGCACCTCGACTGGAACTGAGGTCACATTCCGCGCCACTCGAGAGGTCATACTGGCCGCAGGCGCCTTTCACACGCCGCAGATTCTCGAGCTTTCTGGTGTAGGAGACAGAGCCTTGCTTGAGAAGCATGGCATTCATGTCTACGTTGACAATCCCAATGTCGGCGAACATATCCGTGACCATCCGATGATCTTGCTCTCCTTCGAAGCCTCAGACAAGGCGACATCTCTGGACATCCTCCGCGATCCAGCCGTACTGCAAGCAGCTGTTGCCGAGCTCACGAGCGCCGGGGACGGCTTGCTCGCACGCACGGTAGCCAGCCAAGCCTTCACCCCTCTCGTGCACGCATCCGGAGCCATGGATGCCCACGCAACCCAAAACCTCTTTGAGCAGCACCTCTCGGCTCCTTCAAAGGAGCAGGAGATCCTTCGCAGTGTCTTTGAAGACCCGGAAAACCCAGTCCTTCACTTCATTTTCGGCCCCGGGCAGGTCAGCGTGCCTCGCACCTCGTTCCGCGAATTCTACAACCAGAGTGCCCCCGAGAACTATCTGACTATCATGCTGCTGCCTGCCCACCCGTTCTCGCGCGGCGGCGTCCACATCACGTCCGACAGGCTTGAGGACCAGCCCGCCTGGGACCCGCGGTACAACTCGGAGGCGATCGACATGGAGATTGCGGCGCGGGGCGTCATGTTCGTCGAGAAGCTTATCACCACCAAGCCGTTTTCCGACCTGATCCGGGACGGCGGCAAGAGGATGCCCGACATCATCGCGAACGATCTAGAGAAGGCGAGGGAGGTTGTGAGGCAGCGCGAGACGCCCGCGATGCATGCGACTGGAAGCTGTGGGATGCGGCCGAGGCAGCAGGGCGGCGTGGTGGATGAGAGGCTCCGCGTGTATGGGGTCAAGGGTTTGAGAATCGTCGATGCCAGCGTGGTTCCATTAGAGCCGCTGGGCAACATTCAGTCGACGGTTTACGCTGTTGCAGAACGTGCTGCAGACTTGATCAAGGAAGACCGTGTGAACGGCCTGCCTTGAAACATTCTTGACTCCTCATAAATTCATACCTTTTGAGCGACAGCATCCCTGTCCTTTCTTCGAAGGTGATCCAGATTGTCGGCCCCCGATCCTCTTCCATCCAAGCATATTGATTTCATAGTTAAAATAGCGTGGAAAACGTGAGAGATTCACTGGGTTGTCTTCACAGCCCCAGACTGAGATGCCACGAACTTCTCACAGTCACAAATCCATCTTGCCACCACCGAAGCCTCAAGGGAGCTACGAGTTAAGATTCGCAGCACAGAATGACTTGTGTATACGGTAAACAATTGAATGAACTCGTGTGGTGTTCAAACTGAAGTCTATGGTCTTCCAGAGATAGCCACAGACTTAATATCAGGTGCAAGCGTGCTCGAGCTTCTTCCTTTAGCATGTCACGATTATTTCCTGCATGTGATTTCCCAGTCAATTCTTGCATAGACAAGACCTAGCCAGGAGAGAACACTGGCAACAATTACTGCAATGAATGATCTGGTACTGGGATTGAGACTATCCGAGTTCCTGGTCGTCATCACCTTCGGAGAATTGGCTCGGACCTTGAAGGCAGCTATTTTAAGGCGCCCATCAGGTGGAGTCTTCTCCAACAAAGCTAGCCCCAGAGGTTACCTATTTACCACGTTCTCCACGGTGCCGTGGACGTTGCTGGGTGGATATGGTGTCAGCCCTAGCCGATCCGCCCCAAAACATCATCCATGGATGCAGGCCGATTTGCCTTGACAGTTCCCATTTGCGTGGCTCGGCAGGCGCATCGCCAGTCTAGAAGGATTTACGCTGCGAGCAGCTCAGACTGCCGCTCGCTCTTGGTAAAGAGGAAAGAGAATAAGAGGAGATGCTTACCAGAACACGGAAGCTTTTGAAAGCGAGTCTGCAGCACGGTGGCACAGTCTTCTTCAGGACGCAAAATGCCTCCCAGATCGGGTAATTATACGCACTTGGAGTCAAAGCACCCATGTTTAGGCACCAGGCAATATAGCAAATGGGCCCAATCAAGGGAAAGATAGTGGGACACAGCTTACAGTATCACAGGCTGTGTCCGCCCATAGCTCTGTGCCGCAATGCCCGGGCTGTCCGGCTTTGTGTGCGCGCGCAGTCATCGAGGCTCAGCTCCTTGAAGTGCCTTCCCTGAGGGGCGGGACGGCCAGGCAGCGCAAAAACCTCATGGGAGCCACAATGTCTTGGTCACCACCCGCGCAGATCACCAGCTAAATCGTCATCATGCGGGCGCGCCGCAGCCCTACACCGGCTGTGATCGCCCAGGCTCACGGAGCGGGGACGGATCACACCCTAAAGTGGGGGAATCTTATTCAGGTCTTGGAATGTGAAAGGTGCAGTCAAGATCAACCAGAGATATAAGAACTCGCACCTCGCCGCCTCGAGTCAGTTGTCACCTTTTCGGCGACCTCCCCCTCCACCATCAACAACCAGTCCTGGTACAGTCCATTGCTCCCCTCATGATGATCAGACAGAAGCTTCAAGCCATCCTCGGCCTCGCCACCGTGGCGGCAGGTCTACCGACTGCTACAGATTCCAAGAGCAATTCGTCCGCGATTGAATGGATCCCGTGCCCTTCTGACGTCCCGAAGCCTGTTGAATGCGGCCAGATCGCTGTGCCGATGGACTACAGGTTGCGGAGCGGGCCTACCATCAACCTGGCTGTGTACCGTCTCAAGGCGAACGGCACCGACCGTCTGGGCAGTCTGTTTCTCAACCCCGGAGGACCCGGCGGCTCCGGCACGAGGCCAATTGCGCTGCAGGCGCAGCGTGAACAGAAAGGGATCAGGGACGCGGTGGTGAGCTACGAGGTGCGCCAGCGGTACGACCTCATCGGGCCTGACCCGCGTGGCATCGGTCTCAGCACGCCCATCCAGTGCGATCCAGCCACGCAGCAGAACCGCACGAATTACTATGTCAGCGACGAGGCCGGCTTCCAGGAGCTCGTGAGGCGCAACAAGGAGTTCGGCGAGAGTTGCGCCAACCTGAGCGGGCCGGCCCTCGGCTTCGTCGACACCATCTCGGTCGTGCAAGACCTGGACCTGATCAGGAGAGCGCTGGGCGAGAAGAAGTTTGACTACCTCGGCTTCTCCTACGGTACCCAGATCGGCGCCCAGTACGCCGAGCGCTTCCCCGAGCACACGGGCCGCATGGTGCTGGACGGCGCCCTTGACCACTCGGGCGACAGCCACACCATGTTCCTGACCGAGGCCGTGACCTACGAGAGCACCCTTAACCAGTTCTTCGACTGGTGCAACACAACGTCTGAGTGCGCCTTCCACGGCCGAGACCTGCCGACCATCTTCGACGACCTCGTCGACCGGGCCGAGCGCGAGCCCCTGCCGGCGCCCGAGTGCAAGGCCGACCCGACGAAGGGCTGTCGCGCGGACGTCACGAGCTACGACATCCTGCGCAACGTGCAGCCGCTGCTCACGCGTGTCAACGCCACGGCCTCGAGCGCGCAGAGCTGGGCGATGCTGTCCCAGATCCTCAAGCTAGCCGTCGACGACAACAACGGCACGGCCCTCGCCGCCTCGGTGCCGACGGCCAAGACCGACTTCTTCTTCTCGGAGCGCGCCGTCGAGTGCCAGGACTGGCCGCGCGCCGACTCGGCGGGCTTCCTGGCGCGGCGCATCATCGCGGCCCGGGCTCTCGCGCCGCACACGCGCGGTGTGTCGCAGTCGTTTGAGATCGAGGCTGGCTGCGCGGGCTGGCCGGCCAAGATGACGAACCCGCCCGCGCGGCTTGATGTCAAGAAGACCAAGAAGGCATCGCCGATGCTCGTGGTGAACGCCTTCCACGACCCCGAGACTAGCATCGCGTGGGCGCTCGGCCTACGGGAGCAGCTGCCGACATCGGTGAGCCTGTTCCGCGACGGGTCGGGCCACACGAGCTACGGGCTGTTTGGCGAGACGAGCAAGGCCATCGACAAGTTCTTGCTGGAGGGGAAGACGCCCAAGGACGGCGTCGTGTATGATTCTTGAAGGCGGTAGGCCGCTTGGTGCAGGTTATACTTCTTGTACATATTTTGGCTTCATAGGGCGTGGACATTCTTTCATGATGAATAATACCTCAATATTGCAATGATGCAAATCTTTGCCGCTTTACTTCTTAAGCCCGTCAACGTGGACAGCAAAGGCAACATGAGGGCATGGGGGGTAATGACAGACAGCCAAGACAAGGAGGTGGCCTGAGTGTGTAATTGCAGATTCTAAGCTACGGCAGAATAACTTCCTGTTGCTGAATCCTGGCGGATGCTACGGAATCCTGCGAGTGAGACTCCTCACACCAAACGCTGGATCAATTTCGGCATCCATACTGCGGTTCAATCCTGATGTTGACGTGCGATATCGTTCGGGGACTACTTGACAATGCGAACGCAGCTGTGTATATTCACGTCTTGGCAAATCGTGTCATTAACAGTGCATTCGCGCCGTTATCGGATGCCCGGGCTGTCACTGTTTCAATCCAAGCATCGCAGACCTGTCAGGAAATCGTCTGTACGGCTCGTCGCATCGAGTTCCAAAAACTCTGCATTTTGAGATGTCCTGATATCCCAATCCCTTGCTGCGAAGGAGCCAGAGCAGGAGCATAATTTCCGTCTTTTCAAAGAAACGCATGCATGCTGACAGTCAGCCATCGTGACGACGCTCGGTCCCTTCGGGTTTGAGTTTTACGCGTAAAGATCTGCATCGCAAACTGCCTCTCTCGCACCTTCTCACCGACTTGGGAAAGCAAGGAGAAGGAGTTCGTGTGTGTTTTTCCTTCTTCCAGCCTCCCTCACCTCCCTTCACGAATAGCGTGATGTGGACAGCGAGACCAGGGACCCCGGTAAGCCCACAATTGCTTTCGGTATCTGATCGGCGGCTTACTTCAGACAAGCAAACTGGCGACGGGAACGGGTCTGTGGCGTGGTGGATAGCGTGTGGCTTCATCACCTGGCTGAGCGGCTCTTTCTTGCAAATTGTCCTCTTTCTTCGAAATTGGAAGCTATCGTATCGCTCGAGGACAATTTCAACCAGCATGAGTGCCTGCTCCATTCTGATCTCGTCTGCGGGCGGCCGGCACCTCTCACGAGATCACTGAGGACAGGGTTGCAGGCTGTGCTGGTCTTTTATGGGGAAGGCTAAACCGTCTTGGTCCAGCACATGGGGATCTCAATCCGACGGATCCTTGTCAGGGGGCATTTGGCCATTCGTGGCGCCTTTGTTCCTGCGTCCAACAGCATCCACCAGACCACTGACAGCGTGCGGCGCCCGTTTGAGGATGGGGCTCTCACAACTCCCGCAGCAGCCCTATTCGCGGCCTCCTAAAATTAAGCTTGGCATGAGGGAAACCTAATCCCTTTCATGTGGCTCGAAGGCGATGGGAGATCGAGATTGGTCCGACTGACGGTGGAGACGAGCGTCCACCTCGGCATCCAAAGAGCCAAAGGGAGGACCGGTCCACATCCAGCAGTTAGCCGGCATTGGCTGCGGACGAGACCGCAACCTTCTCCAACCGTACGGAACCCCTGCTGACCACGCAGGGCCCGCAGGGCTGGAGATAGAGATCAACACCGCAGGATGAAAATCCCACGAAGACCGTTCCACCTCTACCAGGACTGGCAGATGCGTGGACCAGGCAGGAGTCGCAGGAGTGGCAAACCTCCTGAACGGTGCCAAGATGAGCAGACTCACATGGGTTGCAGAGGTGCTCAAAAGGCGAGTTCTGTCGCCAGAGCAAGAGTCTCTTTCTTTTCCTTCCCTCCATCACCTTCTAACCACCAGTCGCTCTTTCGTCCTGGTTCGTGTTGTTGTTTGTGCTTCAGTCGTTCTTTTCCGGAGTATTATTTAGCTCCAGCCATTCTTTTCGAGTCTACAAACAACCACAACAATGCTTATGCAATACCTCCCCCTCGTCGGGGCTGCCCTGGCGGGTGTCTGCCAGGCCGCCCCGTCGAAGATCCTCTCCCCCGAGGTGCCCGTCGATATTGCCATCCCCATCGAGGCCGAGGTTGCCGGCCGCAGCCTGGCTCCCATCAGCTTCCCCGTCAACAAGCACTGGGACCACGAGACGCTGTTCTCCGGTCTGATCGACGTTGACGCCAATGTCAACCTCGGCCTCAGCCTGCCCAAGGCTGCCATCGCCGGTGACATTGCTATCGAGCTTGGTGCCGACTTCCTCCTGGCCCCCACCATCAAGGTTCTGCTCGGTGGCGTCAAGGCCTACGTCGAGGTCGATGTTGCCGCTACCGCTGGCGTCTTCCAGTCCATTGAGCTCGTCAGCTCCGAGAAGCTCAAGATCGCCGTCCCCGGCCTGCTCGAGGTCGACATCGGTGCTGCTTTCGCTCTCGACTTGGTTCTCGGTGTCTCTGCTGCCGTCGACCTCGAGGCCGGTTTCTACGTCTCCTTCCCCGAGGGCTCGTTCATCGAGATCAACCTGCTGACCCACAAGATCGGCCGCCACATGCTCGACGGCCTGGTCGCTAACCCGCTGCCCATCGCCGTCGGTGCTGAGGTCGATCTGTCTGCTGCTGTCGAGCTCGACATCGGTCTCCGCCTGCGTGCCGAGCTCGGCATCGGCGCAGGCCTCGACCTGCTCGGCCTTGACATTGGTGCTGGTGCTGACCTTGCCATCTGGGTCTCCCTGTTCGACTACACCACCACCCTCATCAACACCCCCGAGTGCGCTCTCTCCGTCGTCGAGGCTTTCGACCTCAACGTCGGTATTGCCCTTGACATCAACGTCGATGTTGACATCCTGGCTCTCACCCTGGCTCCCACTGCCTCCGTCACCCTGGCTGCTGCCCCCGTTGCCACCATCTGCCTGCCTCCTGGTGGCGGCCACATTCCTCTGCCTCCCCCTATTGGCTCTGGCCCCGGCAACAACGGCCCCGGCAACAACGGCCCTGGTAACAACGGCCCTGGCAACGGCCACGGCAACCACGGCGGCAGCAAGGGCACTGCGAGCGCTACGGCCACTGGCGGTGATAAGGGTACTGCTACGGCCACTGGCGGTAACAAGGCTACTGCTACTGCTACGGCGACTGGTGGTTCCGGCTACCCGACCATCACCCGCGCCCCGACCAACGCCAACCAGACAGGCCTGTACCCCACCTCCACCGGCGGTGCTGGCGACATGATCACGTCGACCATCCACACCACCAAGACCTACACCATCACCTCCTGCGCCGCCTCTGTCGTCAACTGCCCGGCCGAGCACACTCAGAAGATCATCACCAGCACCACCATCTCGACCATCTTCACCTGCCCCGCCAGCACCACCTCGGCCGACCAGGGCGTGCCCACCCCGGTCACCGCTCACACCACTGTGACGCTGACCACCTGCCCCGTCCCCACGACCGGCACCTTCGTCCCGCCCACGGGCAAGCCCACCCCAGTCCCCACCGTCACCATCTGCGAGACCACCCCGGCCGGCAAGCCTTCCACTGGCTACCCCACCCAGCCCGCCCCCGTCACCAGCCCGGCCCAGTCCCAGCCCACCAAGGAGGTGACCAAGCCCGGCAACGGCGGTGAGACCAGCTACCCCGTCCAGAAGCCCAGCCAGAGCTACCCCGTCCAGCAGCCCAGCCAGAGCTACCCTGCCGAGCAGCCCAGCAAGAGCTACCCTGTTCAGCAGCCGCCTGCCAGCTACCCTGTCGGCCAGCCCACTCAGGGCTACCCCGTCACCACCGTCCCCAGCGCTCCCCACCCCTCGGGCACTGGCGCCGGCTACCCTGAGAAGCCTTGCCCCACCTGCGTCCCTGTCGCCGCTGGTGCCGTTCGCGTTGTCAGCCAGGCCCTGGTCGGTGTTGTCGCCGCCGGTGCCGCCTTTGCCCTGCTGTAAAGCGGGTAAAGTATAAGGCGAATGGGTGTTGAAATTTTTTTTTTTTTTTTGGAAGCGCTGTCCCCTTTGTTTGATATAATGATGGTGTGGAAAGGCAAAGTTCATATTCGGTTCTTGTGAATACATATATACCTCCGCTGGGCTGTTATACCATATATAGTGTATATCTGTAATGATACTATGTACATGTCAATGAGAACTCCGGAGCCCCTCGACGTGGGACAGTGTTGCATATGCTTTCGCGGACTTGGCGACGTGTTGCTTCAATCCCCGTTTATTGTGGTGTGTGGCTGTACGCGCAAAGTTCTTGATTGTACGTGCATTCTCGACTGGGACTAATTCCAAGTCTATTACCATGTATCCCAGCCTAGTCTTATTTCGTCAATCCTCGAGTGTGTGAATATGGAGAAGATTAACCTGTCTATTTAATTCTTGCCATTCTCCGGCATGTCTTGAACCCACTGCAGCCTGATTGCTTGAAGTCCGCACCTCCAGATTACATTGTGTTCCATGAGGTCGACTGGCACCTGAAGGTATCTCTACATTGCGACATGGTAAGTCGTCCAAGACGTATCATCGGTGACCCAATTAACCCAACTTATGACTCAGGATTGCAAATGCCTCAACTTGAGAACCATTGTTGGCGTGCGAGGAAGAGCAGGAAGACCAGACACAAAGAAAGGCTATCATACTATCATACCAAGTATTCCTTGAGAAATTGACAACCCCGCAGGTCTCAAAAATAGCCTGCAGAGAAATCATCGGACCTCTGTTCCTGCGCATGCATGGGAAAGGTCACACCCTTGATCAGAAAAGCTTTGAATGTCTATACAGAGATCTTAATGGCTCTCCTATACCCAGACACCCATGTGTCTTTGCTCTGAGTAGTATCACCCATATATCATAATGGCAGCATCAGATCGACTGTTATCAAGGGGACATTTGACATAGCGGCTTAGTAGAAGAAAGAGATAAGTCGCAACAAGGCCGTGGGCACGAGTGTTCATCCTGGTATTCATTCTTAGAGGACTTTGCTGCACAGTACATAGACTCAACGTCTGGGTTCTTTAACCCTCACGTCTCTAGACTCGCGGACTCGAGAACTAATCCTTCTTGGCACTTCTGGCGCCCTCATTCTGCATGCCCTCGCACCCAACGGCTCGGCCCATCAGCTCCTCCGTCTTGCCATACCCTTGCGTAGCGGGGTCTCTCTTCTCGCCGGCGGCCTTCATCGCGGCAACCGCCTGGGCCTTGTCCTGCTCACCGGAGCCCTTCCACGCATGGGAGGAGATTGCCGATCCAATCGTGCTCTGGAATAATGCAGTGTCAGCCATCACGTAGGGTGTGATGAGACGGTACAGTCTTATCTTGCATCTTGATTGAACTACATACCTCGACGGCGCCCTTGACATACTGCGCGTGGCCGGCGACGAGGCCTGGCTGCTCCTGAGGCTGGTTGCTGTTGCTGTTGGAAGACATAGCGTGTAGAGATGCGTTTGCAAAACTGGTGTCTGTCGAAAGTCATCTATGAGAGACTACTGAATTGTTCGCGTAGGTAGAGCAACGAAGGCAGGATGAATGCTATTTCGAATGATGACGAAGGTAAGTGAATGAGCGTGCATGTGGTCGAGGAGCCTAGATGACGGACGAATTGGGTCCATGACGTAATTGGGCTGGGCGAGGAATGGGGGACCTCGAGCTACCTTGATGCTTATCCTCAAACCCCCAACAGTCATTGATTCATGCGGCATCTGGTACTCCAAGGTTAGCCGTTGTTCGTCTGCTCGGATGACAGTCCCCTGATCATGTTATCCAGGCAGTTTGACGCTCCTTCGAGAGTCCCTCCCTTGTCCTGACCTTTGAATAGCGTACACTGCTTCCTCCCTCTGGTGCCCAGATCACCATCTCGCAGGAGGTCTTTCTTTATCCTTTTATAGCATTCTCAGTACCACATGACGAATAACTACTCCCTCCATTAAATGGGACCAACTATTATATGCTGTCATAAGTTCAGGCGACTGCATCCAATTTATACGTAGCCATGAAGTCAAGACTCGCCTGTTGTGCATCACGTTTGTCTAGGTTACGCAGGTGGTCCAAACATCCGTACTCATGTATTTCACTTAGTATGGCGATTTGTTCGCACATACGAAGGTATAAGTGCCATAGTTCAGTGACAAGCAGCTTCCCTTATTGGTCACTGGCTGCAGGGCTGAGCATAAAAGACGGACAAGATCCAGCCATGGAGGTATACAGGACGGCCACACCCGGGATTTCGATTCTATTACTCTCTACCATTGTCAAAGACGCAATAGACTGGCGAAATGGATCCAAATTTCCTGGTAAGGCTTCTATATGGGGATGGCCCTACTGCAAGCCAGTGGTCAGCAGCGATGCAACGAGAAACCCTCGACCAGATTGCCCTTGACTACACAGATCGTGGTTCGACCGCCGAGGAGATCGCCGATTTTGTTCTCAGTCAATACACCAAGGTAATTCCTCCTAAGCCATTGAGAGGTCCTCATCTGACTAATGTGTCCTGAGGCCTCTTACCTCTACAAATGGGTCAAAGACGAGCCCATGGGGGCCCCTGAAAAAGTCAGGTCCGAAATGTACGGTCACATGCTGCTATTCAAGCTCTTGAACGAAGAGGACCTTACCCACTGCGGCAAAGCTGCCATACTCACGAAGTTGAGCGGGTTTTTCTATCAGCCCGGTCGGCTTGCTTGTCCCCATACACCAGGCTGCTCAGCCACCGCGTTGAACCCTTGCGAGCATGTGAGAGAGATGCTTGAACTCGCGGATAATCAACTCAAGAGCGCGTTGGAGTTGTTTGATTTCCAGGTCGATCCCGAAAACCCGGACCCCGAGCAACCCGTGAAAAAAGCTGGCAAGGAACTCGCTCTCCAGCTGCGCCGATACATTACATACCAGCTCCACCCGGAAGAAAGGGGCGACGAAGATGACGACTATGATATCTCTATGAGGAGTGGTCTGGAGAGTGAAGGTGATGGGTCCGATGACTGCAAGAAGCCCAACCTTATTGAACTAACAGTGATCTAGAATATCTCTACAACCTCCAGGACGATCTTGTCCAACAGTTTGAGAACAACCTCAGGCCAAGCCACCTTGTTCGGGATGTCTCCGACGATTTTCAAAAGTTAGGGCTGTGAAAAGCTGTGGGTGGGCAAGAAAGTCGAGTGCGATGATCTTAGGAGAGGGCCCGAGGGGTCAGTAGGTACGCGGAAGCCACGTTTTCACTTGGAGTAGAGCTTCAAGCAAGCCGGCCCCAGAACAACCGGTGTCTATGGAGCGTTAATATAACGCTCGAATAAAGTCTTTTCTTGGAAGCAATGTCATACTTTCACGAATCTTCAAACTTCATCTGCGATCGTGATACCTGCTCAAGCATCTGAGGCTTGGAACCATATTCTCCTGGCCGTGGTTAGGTTGATTATTTGGTGACAAATGAAACCATGCCTTAATTGCTTGCCCAGTACACATATGAGCTCTCTCGCGATACGTAATTTTATGGATATTTAGCTGAAAGGGCGAGGAGACGGAAATCCGATTGACCTGACCCTACGTAGTGGTCATTTATGTGCTTACTTTGAGCCATGGATCAGCATAAGCTCTAGCTATGACGAAGATCTAAGAATTAGATATCGATCTTCTGGACTTCACATTGAGTTAGTTGCAGTTGTCAACATTGGGATATAGTGCATCTATACGACCAAGATCATGCTCTAACGTCCATGGACAAGGTCAAGCGCCACAACATCCCGCACTAGGTCACGCAATAAGCCATTCATTGAAGTAGCTTCCGACCCTGGAGATTGTGTTCCAATGGACTGCTCCCGGCGTGGTACATGTAACACTTTCTCCTCTCTTGGCTGCGCCTTTTGTTAGCCCCTAAATCAGCCTTTGGGTTACGCAAGGCCTCATCCTGAGTCAAATGCAGTCATCGTAGACAAACTCCCTCAGCCTGTAATGTGACCCGCATCGGAGAACCCGTTCGCCAGGGATCCCTACACAGCTTGTGCTGCCGAAGGGATCAACGAGGGCGTTCTACGGCATTTTGCATTGACATCACATGTCCCTGGGGTTTCACCACATAATGTAGCTCATCGTCCAACCCCAAAGTCGTATGAACCCTTAGAGTGAGACCGAATGCACATATAATTCGCGTTCGCCGCGTGAGTAGCGTTCCACATCCCTAGCTCTATGTGTCCCTTGGACTGTGCTCCTCCCCTCATCCACCTTCCAGCCCTTCATCATGAGCTCACCAGCTTCCCCGCCAAATACTGTCGAACTTGACGCGCTCATTGTGGGAGCCGGCTTCGGTGGCGTCTATCAACTCAAGCATCTTCGAGATGAAGGCTATAATGTCAAACTTGTCGACTTCGGGGGAGACTTCGGTGGCGTGTGGTACTGGAACCGCTACCCCGGCGCCAGAGTGGACAGTGACATCCCCCAATACGAGTTTTCTGACGAGTCTCTCTGGAAGGGCTGGCAGTGGTCCCAGCGCTTCCCCGGCAGTGCAGAGATTCGGGAGTACTTTGCCTATGTGGCGGATAAGTGGGATCTGCGCAAGGATGCCGAGTTCGGAGTCTTTATTGCTGGAGCCACCTGGGACGAAGAGACGTGTAAGTGGACAATTGTCAGCAAATGTGGCAAGCAGTATCGCGCCCAGTTCTTCTTGCTCAACACGGGTTTCGCGGCGAAGAGATACACCCCTGACTGGGAGGACATCGGCAAGTTCTCTAACTGGTTGCACCCGTCGTACTGGCCACATGAGGAGCCAGACTTGCGAGGAAAGAAGATAGCCGTCATTGGCACAGGGGCGACGGGAATCCAACTGGCGCAGGAATTGAGCAAGATTGCTAGCGACCTCGTACTATTTCAGCGCACGCCTAACCTGTGTCTCCCCATGGCTCAAGTCGAGTACCAGGGAGGGGAGCAGGCGCGACCCAAGGAGCAATACTCGGGGTTGTTTGACAGACGACAGGTAACATATGGTGGATTCTTCTTTGACTTCCTCGACCGTGCGACTTTCGACGACACCCCGGAGCAACGACGGAAGACATATCAAGAGCTCTGGGATAAGGGAGACTTCCACTTCTGGCTGGCCACGTACAATGACATGCTCTTCAATGCGGACGCTAACAAAGAGGCTTATGATTTTTGGAAGGCCAAGGTCCGCGCGCGCATCCGAGACCTCAAGCTCCAGGAGATCCTCGCCCCCGATATCCAGCCCCATAGCTTTGGTTGCAAGCGCGTTTCGCTAGAGAATGGCTTCTACGAGATTTTCAACCAGCCTAACGTGTCTTTAGTGGACGTCAAGACCACGCCTATCGTCAACGTCGACGAGACTGGCATCAACACCACCGAGAAACACTGGGACCTGGACTACGTGGTGTGTGCCACGGGGTTCGACTCCATGACGGGTGGCCTGACGCAGATTGATATTCGTGGGGTGTCAGGCCAAAGCCTGAAGGATAAGTGGAAGTCTGGCGTAAAGACGTACCTGGGCATGACGGTCGTGGGTTTCCCCAACATGTTTATCACGTACGGGCCCCAGGCCCCGACGGCGTTCTGTAACGGTCCGACGTGCGCCGAGTATCAAGGCAACTTCACAATCCGAACGTTGAATGCCATGAAGTCCAATAATTTCCGACGTATCGAGCCCAAAGCTGATGCTGAGGAGAAATGGGTTGAGAAGATCCATGATCTTGCTGATGCATCCCTCTTCCCCACAGCCAAGTCGGTAAGTCAAAACATCTTGAACATAAGCACCCAGTTCGATATGACTAATGACTTGCCTCTAGTGGTACATGGGAGATAACATTCCGGGCAAGACGCGTGAGTGTCTGGTGTATCTCGGAGGCGTCCGGACATTTCTTGAAGCCTTGAATGAGGAGGCAGATGCAGGCTATCCAAACTTTGAGAAAGGACAGTCGCTGTGAATACGCTTGTCGCCAGTGTGCGCACTCTTTCTTTTCATGGGATATGTCGAATGCTCTGGTGTTACAGTAATTAGGCTTATAAATGTCAAAGTCCCTTGGTAAGAGTTTTATCAATTCGCGTTAAAAGACTAGCCAGTATCATGGTCATGTTATCGCCTTTAGGGCCATGCTGATGTCGGTATTGCTTTCGACATCATGCATGCTGGATTTCCTTCTGAGGTGGCGAAGTGCTAGAACGATCTGGCTAACCACAGATGATCTTCTGGACCTACCAGCCTGGCCGGGAGCGGTACTGTATATGGACCTGTACTCCAGTCTCGTAGTGAAATTGGAGAGCCCAACTCGCCCCGGCGGTGATCGGGACCAACTAACGTTGTAGACAGTCCATTACTTCCTGGAAAATGCCCCCATCATTCTCGTCATCCTCAATGAACTCATAGTCTACTGAGTCTTGGCGAAGTCCAAAACAGCGGGTATTATCAACTGCCGCCTCACGAAACCCGGGATCCGGAAAACACCACCCGTTCAACTAAACCGGAAATGTCCCCGCACTCTCCATTTTACACCAACCCCAGCTTTTGCCCCAGCTTTGCCCAGAACCGAGTCTAGACTAAGCGAGACCAACAGAAATGATAACATATGTTTGGTGCGGAGTGTGGCTTTATGCCCAGGATTTGGTCACTATGGACTGGGAAGGCAACCCTTACTGGCCGAGTCATTGGTGTCTTGCCAACAGACACATATGAATCAGTGAGTAAACTTGGCGAAATCTGCCTTCTGCAGGGGGGTTTTCAGACATATGGAGTCAAGAACGTGGCACAGATCGCCAAGGGACTGCCACGCATCCATCTGCCCGGCATCAGATCTTCAGCTGATCCCCGCCTCACCCACACGGGCCATGCCAGGCTGTCTCTTCCGGCTCTTCCTAAGTGCAAGGGTCTGGACCGTTTTCAGGGACCCGGCTCTCGTTGTCCATCGGGCTGCATATATGTAATTGCCATCCCGCTGTCCTTGCTGAAGGCTCTCAGATTCCCGAAGATCAGCACATGCTGCATTGCTTGTAACCGATACAACCCTTGTAGCCGGCCTCCATATCCTACACACACTCTCTCGAGTCATCATGGCGGAGCCCAAGCATTCGGTTGCACACCAGGAGGCTCCCGCCGTCTCGGACGTGGAGAGCAAGAATAACCATCTTGAACACGTACAGACCAGCGAGACCGCGGGTGGTATCACCGGGTTCGAGGCTGACGCCGATGACCTGCCACCGGGTTACTTCAAGAGCCGTTTCTTCCTGGGCTCCATGTTTGCCATTGGCATGGGTCTCTGGGCCACTGTTGCCGCCTTTGTAAGCATTTCTCACTTCCCTTTCCAATATGTATCTTGTCAGCCGGTTGTTTCTTCCTCTCTAACACCCTGCTCTTTGCGTGTGATATAGGGCTATGCTGCTCCCATCCTCGGCCAAATCAACGCGGACCTGGGCCCGGATCCGCGCTACGTGTGGATTGCCAACGTGTACAACTGCACGCTTGCCGTGTGTATCGCACCCGTCGGCCGCTTGTCTGACATCTTCGGCCGCCGGTACTGGTGGATCGGCAGCGCGTGTCTCAGTGTCGTCGGCTGCATCGTCTGCGCTACGGCCAAGTCTGTGACCACGCTCATTGGGGGCTCCGCGCTTCTGGGCATATCCAGTGCAACGCAGCTCTCGTTCCACTATGTCATGGGGTAAGTCGACACTCTAATTCGTCTTAGAGGAAAATGGACCTTTTGCGCTGACTCTTAATTGATACAAGTGAAATCGTCCCTATCCGCTACCGCTACCTCGGCTCCGCCGCCGTCTACATCTTCTGCATACCCGGCTCGGGCGTTGCTCCTTCCATCGCCTATGCCTTCGTCAACTCGTCTGTCGGCTGGCGCGGCATTTACTACCTCCTCACGGCTGTCAACGTCGTCGCCCTCATCTGCTGGGTCCTGTTCTACTTTCCCCCTTCCTTCGATAAGAAGCACCGAGGTGACTCGCGCACCAAGACGTACTGGATCATGCATTTTGACTATGTCGGAACGTTCTTGTACGCGGGCGGCTTGATAATGTTCCTCATGGGCCTGAGCTGGGGCGGTGCCGTGTACCCCTGGAAGAGTGCGGCGACCATCTCTGCCATCGTCGTGGGAGGGGTTGTGTTGGCTATCTTCGTGCTGTGGGAGATTTACGCACCACTCAAGGAGCCACTGGTGCCGATGCACCTGTTTCGCAACAGGGAGTGGGTTGTTGCTGTCGTGCTTATGGGTTTGGGCGCCGGTGTCTACTATGCCTTTGCTATCGTCTGTGAGTGGATAGCCAGAGCCTTTTGGTATTTGACATATATACTAATGATGAGATGGCACAGGGCCGATGCAAGCGGCAGTCCTTTATGACAACGGCAACTCGGCTCGCCTAGGGGGGATCGCCGACGTCATCGGGCTCGCCGTCATCGCCGGCCAGGTCACTGGCGGCACCCTGGCCGCACGACTGAAGCACAACAGGTTCCAGGTCATGGGCGTCATGCTACTTGGTGGCATCTTCTTGGCTTGTAAGTCTCTCTTTCGCCCTGCTCCCGGATGGAGAGCCGAGCCTAATGTGCTGCCCTAAAAGGTACTGCCGTCTCCACTCCTTACAACTTCAATACTGCCCTGGCCATGATCACCGTCGGTGTCTTCTTCGTCGGCTGGAACGAGACCATCTGCATCGCAAACTCGACCATCTGCGTCCGAGACCAAAAAGAGATCGGCATCGCCGGGGGGCTCGCAGGATCGATTCGTTCCGGAATCTGCTCTGTAATGGTTGCAATTTATACTACCACCCTCACAAACCGCCTCACCACCACCGTCGCCGAGGAAGTTCCCGCCGCGCTGGTCTCGGCTGGTCTCCCCGCGTCCAGCGTGCCCGATTTCCTTGCCGCGCTGACGGGTGGCGTGGCAGGCGCCATGAGCAAGGTCCCCGGTATCACCGATGGAATCGTGGCTGCGGGTGTGGCGGCATACAAGGTGGCGAATGCGGACGCGTACAGGACGGTGTATCTGAGTACTCTGGCGTTTAGCGGGCTGGCGATCTGCCTGAGCTGGTGGGCGCCGGACACGGACAAGTATCTGTCGAGCAAGGTTGCTGCTACGCTGCATCGGGAGGACGTGTCCGATGAGGAGAGGATGCAACGGGCTTGAGTGAGCATGTGGTTAGGTACCATGGCACTGGCAGGAGAATTCGTGGCGATGGGTGATGTCGGTGCCAAGATCCAAACAGCTTGATGATTAATTACAGGTACCCCTAAAGGGCTGAAGCCTGGAGTAAATCAAAATATCATCCTCAATCCCTGAATCGTATGTGTCTATAGATTCACATGGAGTCGGGGGCTACAGTTCTGCTGCCCACAGCCTCATTCATGGCGTTGCGTGATATCCATAAGGGTAAGCAGGAAGGAACCCTTTGGTTCATTAGGTAGCCTAAGTGCAACAATAATGGCCAGTCCTTCAACTGAAGTCCTCCATGTCGAGCGTGTCCGCGAAGACAGCGCATCACGGAGCCACGGAGGATCTGAGCCCTCGCACTCATGTTGTGGCCCGACTCTACTGATATCTTAAAACAGCCTTCCTCAAGCCGAATATCAGCCCCTTTCTCATCCTTCGGAAACCCTTCATCCGCATCTGTGAAAAGCGTGCGATATCCTAATCCCTCGTGTAATCAAGTCACATCGCCACTATCCAGCTTCTTCGATCATGGCGCTGCCGAACAGACGCAGCCATAGTCTCATCATGGCAGGCTTCGTCGTGCTGGCCGCCTTTGCGGGCGATAGCATAATGGGCTTAGCTTATCGGAACGGGTACCTGCTCCTCAACGGGCGTCGGGCCGCCTCTACGGGTATGCCGAGGCCCCGATCCCCCGAACATACACCGGCCTGCGCGCGCTCGGCGAGTGGCTTTGGGGCCTGCTATCCATGTTCTGACCCCTCGCGACCATGACCTGTGAGAGACCCACGCTGCAGGTGTTTATCGTGTACATGGCTGGCCAATGCTTGGCTCTGCACACTCTGGTGATGGTTGAGGGGATTAGGAAGGGTAATCGCCGGAGGGTCGTGTCGTTGGGAGTGGAAGCTTCTGTGGACTATCGAGTGAGTGGTCTTTTGGCGCTGACCATCTTTGCAGTTTTTCTATCTGGGGCTTGGTTTACCAGTCCATACCCTGGGGCGTCATCAAGCCGCTCTACTGGGCGCTGTCTTTGGGCACACCGCCCATGTCTCAGGTCGATGCCTCAAGCTTGATGTCGGCCGCTCAAATAGTAGAGATTCTGACCTAAGACGCTTGCCAGCTCTTGACCCTGCCATTCGCCATGCTGGTCGGCTATGTCTTCCCAACCGTCATGGCCAGTCTGCCATGGGCGCAACTGTCCACACCTGAGAGGCAACAGCTCTGAATCGTCATCTAGCAAGCGTTCCCCATTTGGGTTGGCCTCGCACATTCATCCTCAGCTTTATCGTGGCCCAAAGCGCAAGCAACAAAAGATGGCATTGAGGGACAAAGTCGATGGCATGTTCGAGTGTCGCATCCCGCAACTGACTCGGGCCTCGCCCCCGAAATCTACATCCGTGTGGGTCCCGGATATCAAGGCCAAGCCCCGCCCGAGGATGGGGTCTCAGTTGCACCGGAATTCGTAAGCAACAATAATGACCAATCCAAGCGACGTCAGACCGCAAATATTCCGCCCATCTTCCGGCGACCGAACCTATCTGTCTTTTTTCCCCCTCTCTAACCGCAACCGATTGACACCTGCGTTTGAGACCCGTGTCAAGGTCGCGTCTTCCTACATACGTACCTACGGTCTTGTCCTCCTCTCTGATCAGACCGCGAGCCCTTAGCAACCGACAAGTGGCTTGTTGGCACGCCCACCCGCCCAGCCGCCCACCGACCATGAATGTCAAGGCAAAGGGACTAGACCGTGAAGCCAAGCGAAACCCCACCGCGTGCGAGCATTGCAGGGCAGCCAGGACCAAGTGCCAACCCAGTGAGCAGCCGGGGGTGTGCAAAAAGTAAATTGCATCAAAAACCAACATTTGCTGTGGCACTTCTCTACACGTCATACTTACCGTCTCGTTCTCTCTCTCAGATGTCTTGCTCTGAAGAGGGAGTGTATCGCTCGAACCAGACCCCGACCGCGACGATGGGAACGGAAATGGGGGTAAGATCATCATCGTCTTATTACACAAAGGACACAGTCATCTCTGACAGCTGAAACTGTTGATGCAGGGTGGAGGAAAGCAACCCTTCGCCGCAGTCATTCGGCCAGTTGAGCGACTTTAGTATCGACTACTCCGTGCCAGTCCAGTCTGATCTCGACGACAACTTTGAGACACTGCGTGAGATGCATGAGCAGACGTTTGACTCTGTGCTTGTCGACGAGGACCTCTTTGACGGATCGCAAACGCCGAGTCAAACAATCAGCTTGTCAAGTCCTTCCACCACGTCAAACCAAGCACATTCCATCACCGACATATGGCGCCAGCCCTTGTTCAATAGGGCCTCTGCCGAAGCTCTTCTCGTCACCTTTAACTCTTTAGCCGATTACTTGCCGTTTGTAACCTTACCGGAAGATGTTTCCGTCTCGCAACTCGCTGCTACCAAGCCCTTCATTTTGCTCTCCATCTTGACAGTGACGTCGGGCTCGAGGGCTGTCCAAAAACACGCGCTGTACGACGATGAGTTTCGAAAAGCTTTGGGCCTCAAATATGTCTCTGGTGGAGAGAGGAGTCTCGAGCTGCTGCAGGGCATCCTGATATACTGCGCATGGTAGGTCGGTTGTGAAGTGGATGCCACAGGGAATCAGCTGACAGCCGGGCCAAGGTATCCATTTCACCTACGACCAAAATCTGGGCGGCTCGTGCATTTCTTGCGGATTGCGGCGGATGTAGTGCAGGACCTCCGCCTCGACGAAGACTTCCGTACGCTTTCCGGCTCTTGGGATCAGGAGGCGACAGACGATGAGCTCGACAAGATCCGGGCCTATCTGGCATTTGTCTACCTTGTATCCACGTGAGTAGCAACCTCCACACGGTCGAACAATGCAGTTGATGCTTACCTCTTGACTCCCCTTAGCTACATTGTGGTGTGGAAAGGAGGCAAGAGTCTGAGTACACGTGTGCCCGAGTGGGCAAACACAGCAATCGACACACTCCAACACAACGCTCGTGTTGACGGGGATAACATCCTCGCGGCTCTGACGCGTCTGTCTCTGCTTTTCGCCAATGCTGCCCAGGCCATCAATGACAGAGGCTTGCAGACTGTACAGAACAGCCGTCTGATACTGGTCGGCCTCGAGCAACAATACCAACAGGTGATGGGCAGCATCCCCACCGCTGTTGCAGATAATGGTATGTTAGCTGAAGCAGCGCATCATACATCCTCAGAAGAGACACTCACGCAGTTCATCAGAAGCTATACGTCTGCAGGCGATGTTCGTCGATATCTTCCTCGACTGCGGAAGTATCATCGCCCTCCCCGTGGCGCAGACTTCCCTATCTGCCAAGGTCACTCCCTTTCCCCCTCCAGTCGCCAAAATCTGCAGCGCCACGACGAAGCTGCGGGCTCTGCTTGACTACGTTATCGGCATGGACGACTCGGCGTTCCTCAACTTCACTATCAACGACTGGACCCGATTCATCGTCGTTATGACTCTGTCGTTCCGCTTCTCCTTCCCGCTCTCGCAGTGTCCCGAATTTGACTCGGCATGGGCCCGCTCCCAGCTCCAGCTGGACCAGTTCCTAGACAAGGTCTCACAGGGTGGCAACATAGACCTTTCCAGCGTGGCTCGCTCGAATGACATTCTGTCAGCGGACCGCGCTGTGCTCGGCGTCATGAAGACCAAGTATGAACGCCGGTTGGCTTCGCTAGGGGCGCCGCCGCCGGCTGCGGGCCTGAGCGGAATATTTGGGTGTCCTATCATGATGAGCGGTAATTTGAGAACATCTCTGGAACAGCTTGATCCTGAGCTGATTAGCATGCATCATCAATATTTGTCGGAGTCATCGAACGGTATTGAAGAGCCGAATAGCCTTCCTCTCTTTCATGATGTATGGGCTACTATGACCATGGGGTGGGGAGAAGCTGGGAATATGTCTTGGAACGCAACCGACGAGAGCTTTTGATTGGTTTGTTGTCTAATGAGTCCTGGGAGCGGCCGTGGTTGGATAAATCGTAACGGTTCTAATTTGAAGGCCTACTTGTTTCGTGGCCTCATGAAGAACCTTGGACCCAGGGGCTAATCAATAGAAGGTTAATAATAGATAGAGTGTACGAGAATTCTGAAAATAGAAACCAACCTCACTTCCATGCTATTCAAGCGAATATATGATAAAGTGACAAGTCATATGAGGGGGACCTGTACGCTTTCCAAGATTGTCCAAGCCTGGTATATCCGGAACCAAGCCGGAGGCTCCATGCTTCTGTCAATTTGACACACTGCGTACCCGGTACATGATCTCAACGCTATCAAGGAAGCCGTACCCTAAAGAGCACAAGGATGCATTCCAGATAGAAGTCATCTCACAACTTTGTCGCCACTGACGAGATACATACATAAAACAAGAACATTTACATTGCAGTCCAACCCCATCCAGAAATATAATGTTTTACACCAAAGAAAGACTGACGCAAGTCGACAACCAACGACCGAACCTTATCACACTCTTGTCGCATTGGCGGCGGAGACGGAAGGCTTCTTGTCATACGGCTGCCTGCCAATGTACCAGGTAATACAGTCACGATAGAACCCGCCACCTTGCTTCCACAAGTTAGCTCGCTTCTCCAGGTCGCCTGCAACAGAATAGTCAGCGCCTCTTCAGTGAATGTATGTAGCCATAAAGGAGGTGGCATGGCCAATTCATTGACAGCTGGGGTTGGCAAGAATGGATAAATAAAACTCACATGCATCAATAGGGCGGAGCAATCTTGAGTTGCACATATCGACAAACCCATTAGAGGTTACGTCGAGCGTTGGGCAGTCCTTCGCCGCATCGTTCCAAGAAGCGGACACGATCATCTTGTTGTACACGCCCTCAATGAGTCCGGGTTTCACACCGCTCGAGTGCATCGAGTCGCAAAACATCTCCGAAGCCTTAATAATGTCCTCCCGGGTGGCGAAGAACTCCGGGTCATCCTGCTTCCGGCCGGGCGGTTGGCACTGCAGGTTCCCGAGGTCGTGCGAGACCTCACGCGGCCACGCCAGGCGCTGGATGGCCTCCTTGTGCTTGTTCTTGATGGACGTGAACGCCGCTGTCTTGGGGTGAAACGCTTTGGTGACTGACTCAGGCGCGTAGGTACGGAAGTTTCCTTTGTCGCTATCGGACAGGGAGGCGACGTACCGGGCCGTGTCACAGTACCAGCCGTACGCGAAGTCAGTCTGGTATTTGGCGTCCTGGGTGCACTTCCCGGGGTCGTACTTGCTAAGCACATCCTGAGCCGTCATCGTCTGGGGGGAGTCATTGCCTCCAATGGTGAAGAACCAGATGTCTGGGTCGTCCAAGGTCTCTCGACCCTTTTCGCAAAAGCGGTGCGTCTCGTATGTGTCAAGATCGAAGTCATCCATGTAGAAAATTCGGGGCTGGTCCCAACGTAGGCCACCGTTGTACCTTTCAAGGAACTGCTTGATCTCGTCCCTGACATATTCAGCCAGCCGGTTAAGCGTGTGGCGGAGCTCGTTGGTCAGAAGAGGCTTGTACCCGGGTATGATTCCCATACTCTGGGAATTGCACCACTCTGTGCCTGGGCCTTCACCGAAGAAACCGGGGTAAAGCTGAACGAAAATGGTACGCTTGTTCCCCCGGTCAAGTCTCTCGATAATGGCATCGTATCCCTTCTTCAAGACATCCCGGAGCTTGTTGTCGTCGAGCCATTTGCGCACGCTGTTGATCGTCTCATCACAGTCGTCTGAGAAGGGACCGCCGGGCTTGAATACGCAGGCCTTGAGAATCTTTCCAAAGCCTACGTCGTTGCCGCCAATGGAGACGGTGATGACTTGTTGATCTTTGTCCATGTTGGGTATCTGTGTCGCGATCATGTCGGAGGTTACGGCACCGGTACACGAAAGGAACTGCATTCCGTTGTTCGGATAGGGGAAGTCTTTGTTTAACTGGGCAGGGTACGAGCCATCATTGCGAAAACAGTCTCCGCTAATCTCGTCTCCAAACGGTTTACCCGCCCCAGGCCCCGCGGAAAAGGAATCTCCAATGGCAACCCACGGATACACAGGATCTTCCCTGATCGCGAGACGAGCCGCTGTGGAGCTTGACGAGTCCGCGGGCATGGACAAGGCCAAAGAGGCGACCGAAAGCAATAGACCGATTCTCTTGAACTCTGCCATATTGTATGACGCCACAATCAAGAGCATGAATTTAATATACAATGTGCGTGTGGCAGAGTAAGAGTAGATACCAGTTGAAAGCACAAGACGATCCAGAACATTCTCAAGCTGTTGGTTCCGATGGTCATATATATACCGAGTGCAAGTCATGGCAAGGGAGACTGTTCCGTTCCCTTCTGCCCTTCTCGTTCACCATCCTCCTTTAACTTCCCGACATATCTTGAGCCACAATTTGTGAGACTCCGGAAGGGTGGTGTTGGGTATTTCCAGTTCAGTTGCTGTGCCGCAGGATTTGCACTGCCATAGCCTTGACCACAGCTGCATTTACGTCAGGGCCTCTCATCTCGGCCGGGCACCTTCGTCCTACAGCCACCAAAGGGTACACTTACGGACCAAGTGTTTCAAATCGCGACCTGCACATAATTCTCTGTCGTCTCGACTGTGACCACGCCGCAAGAACATCCCGGATGGCCAATAATGATCGAGATATCACGGTGTGAGGTCATCCCACCTCTGGCCCGCTTACTTTCGGTGCTGTTGGCCGGGACTGTCATTGCGCGCGTATCACGGTTCCCCCCTATGGAGTCGTAAGCAGTTGTCTATAATTGGGTGTAAAGCTTTCTCGATGGGGGCGCACAAGCTACCTAGGTAGAGTGTGACGACGGTTCTTTCGATGACTACCTATGGAGGATCTCTTGGCAGAGAGGCATTGCTCCAGTCAGCTTGCCGCCCCCTGTAATTTGAGTGAGAATGAAGGACTTGGTGTGAGGTCTGGTGTTGGGCTGCATATACGCACCCAACGCCTTGCGCCCCCGTGGCACGCCTCCAAAATCCCCGAATCCCCGAGGGGGCGAGACATGGGTACCGAGACGTGTGGCCACCAGAATAAAAATAAGCAACAAGCGCCTGAAACATCATCTTAACCCAACGCCCTGAACCTTTGCCTTCCACCGAGCTTTCAGAAAGCATTCAACACTCCGCAATTGCAACATCGGACAATCCTCTAAATCTCCGAGTATCATCAGCATAGCTCACTATCAGTCTCAAAGAGCCTCTTCTCAGGTTTTCGCCATGCATCGCACCGATACCAGGGACTGGGCGTCATTCAGCCTCCCCTTCCCGGACGCGGTCGTGTTCACCTTCGCCTCGTCAGAGCCAACGCCTCACAATGAGACCATTCGCATCACCATACATCCCTCTGGAAACTGGAAGATGCCCCTACACTGGCACCCTTCCGAAAGTCCGGATTCGAGGCCAGACACTCGGGCGGGCCCGGGCTGTGAGCGACTCAGCTGTGTTGACGGTTCCCTCCACGTCTTCGTCGCCGAGGGCATCTCCAGCAACTACGACAAATTCGGGTCCAAGGGCATGATTGTCAACTTTTCCCCAGGCCAGCGGGTCCAGTGGGACCGGTCCCGACACGCCAAAGAGACGCCGCTCACCGTCGATCTTGTCGCCAATCCAGTCCTGTGGCGCAACATCTGCAGCGCCGTCCTGGATGCTGATAAATTCCCCCGGCTAGAGTCTACACCATGGTGGTTGAAGGCACTCTTTGCCATCTTGAGACCGGCGTGGCACGCCTGGCTTTTGCCTCTCACGCTTCGGATCCAGCTGCTGGCCATCTTTGCCTCGCACGACCTCTTTGTCTACCACGGCTACATCCCGGTAACTTGGCCGTGGATGTACCAGCCTTGGGGCGGGAGACCGCCGGTCTGGGCAAAATGGCTGCAGTTGCGGAGCATGTTCTTGATTTCGAGTGTGGTTATGAGGAGTGCATGCCTGGTCGGGACTTGGTGTATGGGGATGAAAGGGCAGTATCCTGAGTATACGCCAAGATGAGAGAGTCGAACATAGGACTTCTATGAGTACTGCTAGTACTATTACGCCTGAGTAATATGTTTCGCGAGTTGCCTGATGGTGCATCAACAGTGTAGCTCAAGAGTATTGAGAGGGACTTGCGAGGCTATAGCGGCCCTATCATAGCCACATCGATACGGGGGAACGTGTGCCTACTTATGCCCAGCCACGACTATAGGAGGTATGTCACTCATGGGGTCTTCCTAGCCCTATACTTCTATCCCACCGACGCATCAAGTCAGTCCTCTGGTTCGTAGAGAGCTCCCGTACGAATGATAACTCGTCAAAATTTGAAAAAGATCTTGCGGTACACAGCAGCTTTAATTCCCCAATCAAAAGAGCATTATGTGATGTGCTAAATTAAAGCTCACAAGAAGGAGAAAGAGGGTGACAAGAACAGGTTCAATGTTGCTTAGAAACAACCCTGTGCAAGCCTAGACACGGCTCCCAGGCCAAAAGATGCCGTAGAAGAGAATATTGGAGCTGAAACTTGCGTAAAACATAGCTTCGAGCGGAGGGGACATAATACTAATGTCCTTCTGTAACCTGTTGCGGTTGAGCTTTTGAGATGTTAGATCCCAAAGGCCTTGACCCCGGAGGCTTCCTTATCCCCAAACCACGACCAAATATCATTCAGCAGACGACCGGGCACCTCGTAGGCAGCAAAGTGGCCGCCGTGGTCATTAACAACCCTCTTTTTGACATTTCCTCCCCGCTGTGCCCACTCCAGAGGCATCCGGTACGTAATGTCGTAGGGAAACTGGCTGATTGCGACGGGCACCTCAACGAGCGGCAGCGTGCCGAAGTCGAACGTGGCGAAGCCACCATCCCGAGATACCTCCTTGTAGAACCGCATGCCTCCATAAGGGCCTTGGATGTAGTACATGAGTGACCAGGTAATGATCTCTTTGGGTGTCCAACTCATGATGGCCGGGTCGATGATCTTGTTCATCAGGGAGTACATCCATAGGGCGTTGCCGAGCGGCGAGTCGGTCATACCGTAGGCCAGCGTCAGAGGCTCTGTGGACTGTATCACACGGTAACCAGAGGCTTGATTGATGTAAGTCTCGAGAATCTTGATGTAGGCGACCTCGTCCGGCGTCGACTGGCCCTCGGCGAGTAGGCGCAGGTCATTTTCGCTGGGCTGGATGATCCAGAAGTTGCTGAGCGCAGAGACGACACTGTCCGGGAACAAGTGGGACTGGTAACGCAGGATGACGCCACCGAAGTCGCCACCCTGGATAACGTACTTCGGATACCCGAGCTGTGCCATGAGCGCGTTGAACGAGTGGCCAGCTTCGACCGGACCGAAGCCGTCTTTTTGTGGCGCGGGGGAGAAGCCGAAGCCGGGGATGGAAGGGGCGACGACATGAAACGCCGGCACAGATGCGTTGGGCGGATGTGTCAGGTTGGCAATGATGTGGCTGACTTCGAGGAAAGAACCTGGCCAGCCGTGGATAAAGAGTAGTGGGATGGCATCGGCACGGTCCGACCGGTGATGGACAAAATGCAGCGGGACTTGATAAGTTGCGTTATCGATGACCGGCTGGACAATGGTCGTGTACTGCTCCAGCCTGGCAGGACTATCAGTATCTCGGTTATCTAGGCTGCAACTAAGCACTTACTTTGAATTGATAGCTGCCTCGGTGTCGTTCCAGCTATACTCATTGGCCCAGAAGTCCCGAATGGTGGTAAAGTTCTCGGCACTTGGTCCGTCACCTATCGCGTTCAGGAAGACTGGTGACCTGGTATTTTCCACACGCAACCGAGTCTCCTCAATGAATTGCCGATCAACGTGGATCTCAAATGGCTTCGGTGATGTCTCAAAGATGGCTTCCACGTTTGGCACCGAAAACTGCTCCACAGCAACAGCCAGGATTGGCCCAAGACCAAGCGTTAAAAGAGAACTCTGAAGCATCTTGTGTTTTGCTTAGCCAACGATATTCGTATCGACTGTTCTCTAGCATCATCCGTCATTCATTCAGAGATTCAATCTGCTCTTTATGTCGAGGCATTCCCGGCCTTTGCTCTTCCCGACAGTCATTCTTCCCGGCGCTGGCCGGACAATGCAGCGGTGCCCAGCACGGTATATCCCGTTTCCGGTCGTATGATAGATGCTTAAAAGGTTTGATATATACTTGCTTGCAAAAATCGCCGCATTCTACAAGCATTTGAAGATTAACATTCGGGGCGGATCCGGGTGGGGCACTGCCCGGGACTGCGTCGAGAGCCCACTTCTAGATCCGGCGCCAAGCCGGACGAGCGCCAGGCTGATGGAAGCCGATTACTTGCTTACCGATGCCTGCATCAAACTTCGACTGAAAACTTGCTCATCCACCTACAGACAGATTCTCCAATACCTGGGCGGCCGATCACGCCGTGATTACTATGCCGATTTAGCTGTGCATCTCTCTGGCTGCTGACAAAGGCAGAGCAACTGGAGCTCACCCACCAAAAGAAGACCGGAAAAACTCCTACCCCCCCTGTCAGGGTTTCTTCATGAGAAGCATAAAAGTATGCATTGTAATTAAGGACGAGCATCCTTGAACCAAAATATCTAACAGAATCACACGCAGTCCACTGCGGATCAAGCTTTGTGTGCCGAAAACGACCGCAAGCATTATCGCAGGAGTGCAACTCACGCAAGTATCATCTTCCAACTTCGACTCTTGCACAGCCTGCAGCCACACAGTATCCAGAATGGCGCCTATTCAGTTCGGCATCCTCGCCTTCAACTACCAAGTCGTCGATGCGGCCGGACCGACCGACCTCCTTGCCGCCGCCAACAAGATCGCGCTCAGCACCGTCCGCGAGTACACGCCCTTGATCGATGACGCCCTCGTCGCACAGGCCCCGGAGTTCGTCTTCCATCACATAGGCGTGACCAAGGATCCCGTCCGGCTCGGAACCAGCAATCTCACCATCCTGCCCACCACCACCGCCGATGACTGCCCGGAGCTCGACATCCTGCTCGTCGCGGGGCCCTACCTCGGCAACTTTGAGCTCCACCCAAAGTACGCGGACCTCATCCGCGCGCACGCCGCCAAGGGCAAGCTGCTCTTCACGACGTGCACGGGCGCGAGCCTCGTCGCCTCGACGGGCGTGCTCGACGGCCGGCGTGCGACCGTCAACAACATCGAGTACGAGTGGGTGCGCCGGCGCTGGCCGAAAGTCAACTGGACGCGGGAGAAGAAGTGGGTCGTCGATGGCAACTTCTGGACCGGGTCCGGCGCGACGGCGGGCACGGACATGATGGCGCACTGGCTGAAGGAGAACTACGGCATGGAAGTGATGCGGGTGGCCGCGTCAACGCTCGACTTTGAGCCACGGGACATTGACGGTTTGTACACCGTGCTTCCCCAGAGGTTCGATGAGAGTGGAAAGAAGATCTCGACCCATGTCTTTCGGTATCATGGCGTGGATTGAGAACTAAAAGCATGGCTTAAAGTGCCCGAGAGCATTTGGGAACTTTTGGGTATTTCGTCATTCCAGAAGGTGCTGTCTGTTTGAATAGGCGGGCTCTCTTCGTTCAGTTATGCAACACGAAACTTGTTTCTCTCAGTTAGAAGAAAGGGCACTGAGCGTATTCAAGATTCAGAGATGCAGAACAGATATGGACAACCCCGGCCCGAGGGTAGGTAACCTGGTCTTCAGCTCAGTAATATCTGTTCCATATAGTTGATGATAGTACATTCTTTGGCTGCTACGACCGTACCGTTGGGGTGATCTGGAAATACTTCCTTCCATCGGAAGATGCCGCAAGACTACATGACTAGGATAGGTGCGTCGTCCATGATGATCTCAATCCACTTCCGCGCCTTCCTCCTGTTCCATATCGTCTGAAGAGCCTGGAGGGCGGCGGGAATGCTGCCAAATCTGGTATACTGGTAGAGCGATCCCAGACGTTCGGTGAAGAATTCTCGGTGCTCAGGGGATACGCTCTCCGCGGCGGCTATATAGTAAGTCCATACAAGTGCGTGAGCACCTTTGCTGAAGGAGTCGAGCCCAATAACTTTGTGGCGGAGTCTTTCTATCACATCAACGGACACAGCAGGGGAGAACGAAGACGGGTCGGCGCAGTTTCTGTAAATTTCACAAGCGTCGCAAATGGCCGATCGCATGAGCTGCAGGTTCATGAATTGCTCGGATGTCGGCGCGATTTCCGGGTAATCCATGAATTCGAGGTAGTGTTCAGGAGCAGTCGACATGATTTGCAGGCCCTTATCCACATCTGACAACGGGAGACCAAATAATTGAAACCTGAATACCTCACAGTTAGTATTCTTACCAAGTTCAAGGGAGTATGTTTCACGCACATCTTCACCTGCTGCATGAAGAAAGCCCTCACGCTCCCGGGAAGCATGTACACGGACTCGGGCAGCCGCATTAGGCAGGCGAGCATCTCCAGAAGATAACGATAGTTGCTTGCGCCCGTAATGGTGTCCCCAACAAGCAGAACAAGGATTGTTGCGAGGGTATAAGGGTTAAAGAGCTGATTCGGCTCCAGCTCCAGCGAGTCACGTCTGAGCTTCTCTACAACCGCGCGGTGTCCAGCCTCGGCGATGGGAGCCAGATCTGGGGCTTGTTGCGCGAGGTGGAATGCAGCAACGACAGACACAGCACGCCCGAGGACCTGGTCCTGACAGGCAAGCGGGAGAATGATGTGCCTATAGCCGTTGCTAACAGAATCGAGGACGACCATGACAGGAGCGACTCGTTCCGAGACTACCAAGGTGGAGGCATTAGAGCGAGCGGTAGTCACAGGGTGCGTCGACAAGTGAACGGGACTCACAATGTTGAAATAGAACCCTCTCTTGTGCTGAAAGGAGCTCAGTGGGCGCTGTTATGAGTGAAAATTCTCCAAAACACTCCAGCGCGCTGGGTGTATAGTCGGGTTCAGTGTCGATTGATGTCGGTTCTTCAGATACATCAGCAACGTTGGCGGAGGAGACCTCTGACGAAGCGATTGAGAGGTTGCTTTCTGAGTCCCTTCGCTCTCTTGCACAACGAGACTTCTTGGCTCCCCTTTTGTCGTTTACCCAGCGCAATGTCTTGGTGTGCGGGGGAGCTGTTTTCTTCTCCCAAGAGGTAGACGATGATGATCTGGTAGTTGGAGAAGGCGCAGTAGCGAGACCATTCTCAAAGGAGCTCATGTGTCCACTCAGGCGATAGCGAGGACCTTGCCCCGAGCATTTTATACCCTTCTTTTGGCACTTGAGGCATGAAGGCTCCGTCTTATCGCAGATGAGTCTTCTCTTGCAACACTCATGACACCCTTGCAAGACATGATTGTTAGTTCGCTCAAGCAGAACAGTCTGGCACTAGAGGGAGGTCCAATACCATTATTTCTCCTAGCAAGAGACATATTTAGCAGAGTTCTGGAAGCCGACTGGTGAGAAGTGATGGGGACTGATGATCACCATTTGAGGTTTGATGTTTGATGCAGGTGACTAGGAGAGTTCCCAATGGGGGTCCAGTCTAAATAAGTAGCTAATGGATTGGGGCGTCAAGACGACCTGTAAAGATGGGGGGTTAACTAGAGGTCTGGCGTGACAAGAACTACGCCAACAGGATCGACAAGTCAGTCCAGAGCGGAGCCACCGTGGCTTGCGTTACCAGCCCACCACTACAGAGTACTTGTAGCTTCCATGTCACGGATTCTGTCCGGCATGCTATGGATTGATCAATGGTAGGTGTGTGATTGGACGGGGCGTAAATGCAATGGATTGATAGCAGACAATTGAACTAAGCTATGGGCGGCCATCTTGTCTACCTCATTCGACAAGGCATTAATGGACATTCTTAACTACATATGTATGACCCATTTTCAAACTACAACTTCCCCTTCAGTTGTGAGGGAGCCAGGTCAGTCCGAGCCGTGAGGGCTGCGCGAGTACCCTCCTCAATCGCACCATCGATAAAGCTACGCCAACCGAGGGCCCAGTCCGAGCTCCCGAATATGACCTTACCATGCCGGGCTCTCATGTCGCCAAGGTGGTTGGAGAGCAGCCCTGGCTGCGAGAAGAACCAAGCTCCTTTTGCAAATTCATCCTTGGACCAGTTGTGAAAGACCTTTGGTTCTATGATTAGTCGCCGGCTTGTGGCAGACAGAGTTGGCAATAGACTTACGAGTCTTTCAATGTCCATCGGCACAAGCCCTTGCAGCTTTCTAGCTGTAGTTCCAATGTTGTCCTCAGGGTCGAAATGCCCGTTCTGTCCGCCAAAAGCGACAATGTGCGTGTTGCCGGCTGGAGTAGTCCCGTCTCCAAAGGCGTAGAAAAGTCCGTTTTCGGGACGGGCGATGCCAGTATACGAACGCAAGTCCTTGTTTCGTACCTCGGCGTGCACCTTGACACACTGGTTCACGTGGCCGATGCTAGCAGCTGTCCTCTTCCCACTAGGCAATGGAGGGTTGAAGACGACATTATTCATGACCTGCAAGGGTATCGCGCTGATAACTCTCTTCGCCCTGTATTGTTTCCCATCCCTGGTGCTGACGGTCACAAAATCCTTCGTATCGTCGATTTCGGCGACGGGTGAATTGAACGCGTAGCTCAGGTTCCCGCTAGCCAACGCCTCACGGAAGAAGCGGATGGCAAAGCTCGACTGGCCGCCGCGAAACTTGTATTTGACCAGGTAGTCTATGCACCCCTGATAGCTGTAGTCGCTCAGGGCCCACCAGTGAAGAAACTCGAAGAAGCTGGTCGTCTCGAGCGTGCCGCCGCTGCACAGGAGCACAAAGGCCTCAACCCCTGAAAGTTCATTGGGTGTAAGGGAGTCCTTTATCTCTGAGAGTCGGTCGGCCACAGACATCTTGTCGTATCGGAGTGCCTCTGCCGTGAAGGCAGCCGTGTGTGGAAACGGGATCACCCGCTTACCGTACTCGCCGTCGACGTTGACCAGCTTCCGAAGGCCCGACTCCATCATCTCGTCCTCTTCTTCATGTGTGAAGTGCTGAGCTCGCTCGGTGTTGACTAGGATGTATTTGTTGAGACCTTTCGAGAAGTCGTACGAGGATACCAGCTCGTCCTGCATCTGGTACCGGAGGATCTCGCGCCAGACATTGGCTTGTCCCCAAAAGATCCAAGTCCCGCCAAGCTCAAAACTGTAGCCATCGATGTCAGAAGACCAGGAGCGGCCGCCGATTCGATCGCGGGCCTCAATAAGGAGTGTTCGGAGGCCTAAGCGAGAACCCGGGTTGTCAGCCACTGATTTAGGTGGGAACAGTGTTATCAAAAGACGCGAGAAAGGAACCTAGAATACCACTTGTTGTGAGATCTCGAGCCGCTGTTAGGCCGCAATATCCAGCTCCAACTACGATCACGTCAAAGACCTCTGTGGAAGCGCGATCAAGGTTTGTGGGAGGCTGGATGGTGCCGATGCAGGGCACGCCAGACTTCAGGCCTTGCTTCTCGGTCCAAGAGTATCCGTCTCGTGAAGAAGCCATGGTATATGTGCCTTTGGATCCGTGCTTGAGCTATCTCGTGCAGTCTAATGGAACAGAGATCGATAGTACTCGGGTATAAGTACAAAAGGGCTTGAGGGGAAATGTGCAGGGCTTGAACATCTCGGAAACAATTTCTTTCCACATCAGACAATTATTGGAGATTACTTCTTTGGGTAATTTCCAGAGTCGACTCCACCTTGAAGCTGATTTCGTAACGTTTTCTCGTGGCAGGTCGCCAAGCGGCAAAGGGGTCAGCGGGGGTCGATGGTCGATAGCATCATCCGTTACCTCCTTGGCCCCGCACCTTCTCTAGGGCAAGACCATGACTCGCCGAATATTCGATACTGACGAGGTAGAGATGTTATCAGATACTGACACTTTATCACTTGATAAACACTACTTTGTGGGACCTGGAAACCCACACAAGCATGGACCCAGAATCATCGGCTGTGCCCTGGACCTGAGTGCCGGGAGTGTGCGGGGAAGATGGTTTCTCGAAAAATTTCCCAAAGGGGAAATTCTCCTCTTTTTAGCTCAGAGATGATAACACGAGGTTGGCCGGATGCTCCACCAAACTAGCCTGGCGGATATCAAGGATAGGTGCGTGACTTGACCAGTTCGCGATACGCATGTGGGCTCGTCGTCCTTGACAAGAGTTGCGGAGATGACACCAGCTGTCGGCTTATCTGTCCTAGGGCTATGCTGTCTCTCGATCTGGATCCTGAGTGCCAGCGCCGAGTGATGCTATCTCCTGCACCCACCCCCGCACTTCTTGAAAGGCTTGGTATGCTAGTTCCTGGGGGTGTCTCTCGCAAAATTTCCCCTTTGGGCGATTCCCTTTGTCTCTGGTGTGGTTGGGAATGGCGATAGACTGCTCGCAAACACGGTGTACATCGCCATCTTCAGTGTCAAAGCTCACGCGAGACGGACACGGCCACGGCAATAGACACGGCGAAGCATATCTCGTGCGTCTACCCAGAGCGATGCGTTTGTGGACATAAGTTTCGTGCTCCTCGCTCCTGTCGTTCGATCCGTCCGCTCACATGGTCTGATCTCGTCAACTCGCTCTCTTCTCTCTTACGCAAGTGCCTACTTCCCAAATATCGATATCGACATGGGTGCCAATCACACGCCACCCCAAGGGGAGGGCCACCTCCAGCAGAGGCTTTCTCTCGTGACAATGATGGCCATGTCATTTGCCATCCTCAAGTCTGCCTACCCTCCTCGGCTATCTCTGGTTAACGCTGACAAGTTGTAGTACCTGGATTGCATTAGCAGGTACCATCGGCTTCGTCTTGCCCTCCGGCGGCTCTATCTCACTCGTCTATGGCTTCCTCTTTTGTGTTCTCTGCAACCTTGCCCTCACCGCTAGCCTTGGCGAGTTGGCTGCCTTGTGGCCAACAGCCGGAGGCCAGTATCACTTCGTATTTGCCCTGTGCACAGAGAGGTGGAAGCGTGTCATGGTACGTCCAGCTGGTGCGGCCCGCGAGAACTTTCAAACACTGAGACAAACTGCACTGTAGAGCTTCTGGGTCGGCTGGACGAACATTGGGGGCTGGCTGACCATTGTTACGGCTCAAGGGTTCTTTGGAGGTACGTAAGGCCGGGCCATAGTCTTGCCCCCTTGGCTTCATGCTGACCACCATCTGCTAGCCCAATTCGTCTCCGCCGCTGCTGTCGTGGCTTCAAATGGCACTTTCGAGCTGCGGCAGTGGACGACTTACCTCATATTTCTAGCGATACTCACCTTTGCAACCGCCGTGAACATCTGGGGCAACAGAATGCTTGGCCGATGGAATGATGCCGCATGTGAGCCACCACACAACAGTCTTTCTCGTGCGACTTCAACAGCGCTGTATTCTAACCTTTACACAGTGTACTGGTCCCTTCTAGGTGTTGTCATCATTAGCATCGTTCTTCTATCAATGTCCGACAAGACTGAACCCAGCTTTGTCTTCGCCAACTTTCAAAACGCAACAGGATGGCCAGATGGCGTGTCTTGGCTGTTGGGCCTGACACAATCTGCTCTCTCCTTGATCGGCTTCGATGTAGTTATGCACATGGCTGAAGAGATGCCAAACCCTTCAACCGATGTCCCTCGTGCTATGATCTACTCCATCATCATTGGTGGAACCTCGTCAGTTTGCCGCCTTATGGTCATCATCCTTGAGTGACTAACCCGATCTAGGGGAATTGCCTTCATCCTGGTTATGCTGTTTTGTTTCGTCGACCCGGCTACCGTGTTGGGGACTTCCACCGGAATGCCCATAGTCGAGCTCATCCTCCAAGCGACCAACTCCCGGGCAGCAGCCACTATCCTGGCGCTCATGCTCACTATATGCTTCATCAATGGTACAATTGGAAGCGTGGCCAGTGCTAGTAGGCTCGTGTACGCGATGGCTAGAGACGAAGGCCTCCCTAGGCATAGTTTCTTTTCGCACATCGACCCGAAGCTGAATGTACCCATTCGGACCATTGTTCTCTGCTACTTGTTCAACGTAGCATTCGGTCTCTTATACCTCGGACCCAGTGTCGCTTTTAATGCGTATACTGCTGCTTGCACCATCTTTCTCAACATCTCTTACTCATTTCCCATTATTGTCTTGCTCGTCAGAGGCAGGGATGTCCTGAAGCAGCACCAGAGCGTCGGAGTGCCGTTCAAGCTTGGCAAATGGGGCTATTTCTTGAATTGGACAGCAGCCCTCTACGTGGTTATCATCTCCATTGTGAGTTAGCAATTTTCACTTCACGCAATGATCCAGGTCTTAATTTGAATCGTCGATAGTTCTACTGCTTCCCCCCTGGCTTCCCGGTCTCTCCAAATACCATGAGTGAGTCTCCTGTCAGTGCCGCTGTTGGCAACTTTGCGAATCTGACATATGGCAGATTATGTTTCAGCCGTGCTTGGGATCTTCTTCACCTTTGTTGCCATATATTGGTTCATGTATGGAAACACGTTCAAAGGTCCGGTAAGTATTATATTTCAATAAACATTGTGATAATCGTTCTCCTCTAACTCCATGCAGACATTTGATATCATTATCGCAGAACATCTGCATGTTGGTACCTCCACGGGAACTTGTTCCGCCGACCAACGCAAACAGGAAGTGTAGTCCTGTGAGAGTTGAAGGTGCTGACTGGCAACGACAAAAATGGAAACTATCCTGGGAAGTAAGAGCTGCTGGCTAGGCACTAAAAATGCAGTGTTGACTCCTGTTTAGCCTAGGAACAAGCAAGGTCTCTGCACATGGATGGCATTGTAAAAGATACAAACCTGGTTGGTTCCTAAGGTTCCATAGCTTTAAATAAAGGCGAGATTCCGTGTAAGGTAGCTGTATGGACATCATCAAGGTATTCTACGCTCCGTCATTTGCAACCATGCAGCCGCAATCGCTATTATCTATCAATGCTCTAAGATTATTGACCGGCTTGGCCAAGTTGGCTTAGCCTAATGATTTCAAAGATCGATCAATGCCTCTGTATTACAGAATCAAGACTTTAGAGATTTGAATCGCTCATCTTGATCACAGTCAAGAGCCTGTAGAACCGACAGACCGCTGGGTTCCAACCTCTGAAGCTAGATTGGAAACTCTTAACGTACGCAAACTTTGCCACAGCTCTGATTCTAGTGAACAAACAGAGTTTAACACACATATTCCCTGGCACCATTCGATTCAGACCATCTAGAAAATCGACATACTTGGAGGCGGAAAAGCCTACTAGTAAACAGCCTGTTAGATATCTACAGCAAACCTTTCTCGCAGCCACAACCCACACTTGTAAAACACAACCGGTACAGGCAAGAAAGCTGCCAGGATGAAACCCAAAACACTATTTCCCCAGCCCAAGCCGATGGTTTTGTAAAGCGGGTCCGCAGCCAGGGCCAGGAAAGCTCCGGAGCCGTTCCGGATCAGTGTGGTGGCAGCCAGGGCCGATGCCGCTGCCTGCGGACCAAACATATCCATCATATATAGCTGAGAAGCAGCAGTGATAACGACGACACCCAGCCCCACGAACGCGGTGCCAATCATGGGGACAATCCAGTGCACACCATAGTCGGCCGTCCATCCATAGATGAAGGTCCCAGCAGGTATGGCGGGACCAACCCAAATCATCAATATCAGACGGCGCTCTGGCCCGCCGTTGCCGCCCAGTAGCCGGTCGCTCAGCTTAGCAGAGAGCAGCAGGCCGACGGTGCAGCCGAAACCCAGGCCTAAGTAGGCAAGGCCAGAGACACCGACACTCCAGCCATACGTGGTGCGGAATACGCTGGGGAACGTCGCGAAGAGGAGGTACGTCATGCCAAAGGTGAGGGCCATGTACAAGCCTGTAAGGAAGACGATGGGCGAGAAAAAAAGCATTCGCAGGGGGCGTAGTAGCGCGCGCTCCACGAGATGCTTCCGCATGACCTTGTTATCGTTCGCAGACCGCAGATCTTGGTTCCCGGTCTCCTTTCGTAGACGAGCTGCCTTTCGTCTGAGAATTATAGCGGCGTTTGTTTCCCGCATAGTGATAAGAGCAGTAACTGTCACAGTGCCGGCCTGTATAAATATTGAGTGATTAGATGGTGGGTGCACTCTTAGGTCTGACAATTGTAGACTTACTAGAATAAGCACTAGATAGAATGTCCACCGCCAACCGAGAGCCTGCGCCACAAACCCGCCGACGATAGGACCGACGACGGGTCCTAACAACGGGCCGGCGCTGAATACCGCTGTCGCAGCGCCGCGCTCCTCCTTGGGCAGCAGGTCAGCAATGGTGCCGCCGCCACAAGTCATGAACGAGGCCCCGCACGCGCCGCAGAGGAGGCGAAACACCAAGAACATGGCGGCGTCGGTGCTGCGCGCACAGCCGACTGTACAACATATGTACAAGACACTGCTGGCCCAGTATATTGGCAGGCGGCCGGCGAGCTCAGATAGTGGCGCGAGTAGGGTCGGGCCGAGGGAGGCGCCCAGGGAGGGTATGGTGACGGTCAAAGTCGCGATGACGCTGCTCTTGATGCCGAACTCCTCGGCCAGTTCCTGTGCACCGGGCGCGAACATGGTGGTGGCAATATTGCTGGAGAAGCTAAGAGTTAAATGAGGATCAGATTTCCGACTTGATTTCAAACATACGTGTAGAGCACAGAGAGGCTGATCAGAGTAACGTTCAAGATCTTGACAGATTTGGACCAATTTCGCGGGTTGGCAGGATCATTTGGACCGTCCCAGTCGACGATGTTCGGATCAGTGAGTGCATCCTGGGCCGCAAGTCTGTCGTCAACGCCATGGATATTATCCGGCGAACCATGGCTGTCTTCGCCAGGAACAGGCTTTGGTTCGGCATTCTTTGTTACTGCCAAGAGGTCGTAGGCAGGTGCAAGCGTGGTGCCGGTGGCACTGATGTTGGCACGAAATGGCTGGTCTTCTGACTTCATGGTAACTAATTTTCAAGCTTCCGTACCACAGGACAGTCTTTCCCGAGCGCTCACAAACACTGTTGGGGTTTGGCTTGTATGTGCTTCTCTGGTTTTAATTATATACTAGCAAATCGCAAGAAGATGAGATTGAAGGAAGTTACCCTCCCATTCACTTCAAAGTGGCAATTCTTCTATCCATCTTTCTTTATAGCTACAGAGACTCTGCGGCAAAAGGCCGGGGCTGGAACTGGCATTGAAACCTGACCCACGCATGAAAGCTTTGAGTCTCCCCCCGGCAGTTGTGTTTTGCTCCGTCGTTTGCTCCGTCCGATTTAGTGGGGCAGGCTCCACTTGGCGGAGGTTCGTCAGGAAATACCTCGATGCTAACAACGAAGGTGTTCATTCTAGCAGTCTCATGGGCTATCCCACTGATGGGTTCGATGGAGGGTAAGTACCTTTGTTGTCAGGCAGTCAACCAAAACTGCCCATCATTTGACCTGCTGCCGTCATCCCCTCCGTCTGCTTTTCTCCCTCAGTCTTCATCTCCGATACCACCTCTACCTAGTGGACATACGATGAGTGTTGTCCGCAGGATGTCTCAAGCTGCCATTCTCTACGCTACGTGGCGCATCTGAGCCTAGCCCGCGTCTGAGCCAGGGCAAGGAATTCATTGCAGGTTCATGAACTGCGCCGAAAACAAGGGCCCTTGTAATCAGGCTTGAAGTCTGTGGCTGAAGGTGTACTGCACTCTTTGGCCATGGAGCAGTCCTCTGGCATCGGGGCCAGAACCCCAAGCGACCTCCCGATCCATCCGAGTGCCACAGCCAAGGCTGCAACGCCGCAGCGGGACCGTCGCCGTGAAAAGCCACAGCTGTCATGTACTTTTTGCAGGCGGCGCAAGTACGCTCTCTCCCCGTCCTCAACGGGACATCGCCGGATCCAGAATAGACATGGATGCTAATCCCCGAAAATATTCTTAGAATGCGATGTGATCGCCAGCTCCCATGCCAGTCCTGCATAAGCAAAGGAATCGAGCTCACCTGTAGCTATCCCCCAGCCCCGCAGAGTCAAGGCGTAAATAGTGTCGGAGACAGAATCCGACAGCTCGAAGCCTTAATTCAATCCCTCGCCCCGCGACAGCAGACATCCTTGCCGATCGTCGGAGCTGTTGGCGAAGATAATGAAAGCTCTTTGCCAGGCTCTATCAACGGGGGCCTGGTACAACTCACTTCCACGTCTGTTACCTCCGTGTCCACATCTGAGTCCCAGGATGGTGGGAGCGCTCAGGTCCACTGGCATGGCGAGAAGTACGTCAGCAGTGTGCACTGGGCCGCCGTTCTTGACAGCATCTCCGAGCTTAAAGATCAGTATGAGAAGGAAGAGGAAGCACGGATGCAGCCCGCTACGAATGATTTCATTCCATATTATACACCCGGTCCTCGATTGCTGTACGAACCGGTTCAGGCGAGTAGGCAGGAGATACTCGCTTCGATCCCGGAGAGACCCGTGGTCGATAGGCTAGTTGCACGGTACTTTAACGCGCAAGGTCTTGCGCCAGGTACGTATGACCAATATCTTTTCCATGATGGACGTTGTTGCTCATCTCCTGAACACATCCAACAGCAATACTCCACAGTGGCCAATTTCTTCGAGAGGTGAGACGCCGTTTACCATGTGTCTGGACGTCCTCCGGCCCCTCCTTTAAGCCATCAAGCAACTACTTACTAACATGCTCTAGTATGAGATGTTCTGGCAGAATCAAAATGACACTCCCTTTACGTGGATCGGTTTGCTTTTCAGCATCTTGTGCTTATCAACCCAGTACCAACAATTGGCGGAGGGCTCCGCCGACCACCAACTACTGACGAGCCTGTATCTATTCCGCGAGCGCACGATCAACTGCTTGGCCTTGGGTCAGTTCACACGAGGTGGCCCGCATGTCCTCGAGACGCTGATATTGTCCTGCGCTACAGAGGCCCTCCTGTCCAAGGATGCGGAGATGGGTCCTTGGCTGCTGCTGGGCACGCTGGTACAGCTCGCCCTGAGCTCAGGATACCATCGGGAGCCCCGCAACTCAAATATCTCCGTGTTCTCTTGTGAGATGCGGCGGCGCGTGTGGGCTGTCATTGTGCAGATGGACTTGAAGTTGTCTAGCCAAATCGGCTTGCCGCGCCTTCTCAACACATACCAATGTGACACGGCGGAGCCACGTAACCTACTTGATTCAGACTTTGATGAAACAACAGAGGAATTGCCTCCGTCACGGCCCGAGACAGAAATCACGCCAGTTCTGTACGGCCTGGCGAAGAACCGAATCGACCGAGTGGGTGGGCTCATCAGCGATTTGATTTCCGACATCAGGGACCACCCCTACTCGGAGATCATGGACCTCGATCGCAAGCTCCACGACGCCGAGGACTCTCTTCCAGCTATCTTCCGATGGCAGCCACTGAGTCAGTCGTTCATGGTGGCCCCGCATGTTATTATGCACAGGGTCTGGCTGCGTCTTGCCGTGCAACGACTCCTCATCTCGTTGCACCGCAAATATCTCGCTCCTACCTCCGTAGATGAAGTGGAGCTCTTCGAGTACTCGCGCCGCGTCTGTGTTGAAGCCGCCATCCAAATTCTTGAAACCCAGAAGCTCGTCGATGAGGAGACGCAGATTGGTGGGCAGCTGGAATCTGTTCGCTGGATACAAACCTCATTGGCCCAGTCCTGCTACCTCCTCGGTATGAGCGTGCTCTGCTACTACCTGCAGCTAGTCAAGAGAGCGAGTCCACCCCTACCGGAAGACTGTGAGGGCACGAAGGCCCGTATTCACGATTTACTTCATGTTACGTACCCGATGTGGCTGCGATCAAGTACTGTTTCGAGAGAGGCAAGGCGCGCTGTAGAACATCTGAGTCTGCTCTTCGGCCTGAGGAGCGGCACTTCCACGTGTTCTTTGCAGGAGGATGAGATGACATCTTGTCTGTCTGCAGAACAGAACATCGCTATGTCGATTGACCCGGTTACATGGGATGCTTATCAAGGTATATTCTCATTTTCCCTACTTTTCCGTTTGAGACCCATTATCCGGCCTGCGTCAACGTATACAAAGCTAATGGCCAATGCTGTGCTTTCCAGAGTGCATCGCCAATCTTCCCGAGGTATTATATGAACAAATTCTTACTCCTGATGTCACTGGGCCCATTTCCCTTGAAACTCCGCGCGTGCACAATGCGTTGTCGTGAGTCAATACTGCTGCTTGATATCTGTAATTAGGACGTCGGTGTGAATATGGGAATTTCCCATTCATTATCACGAAATGAGCAATACCAGAAACCCAACTGTATAAATACATTGTACCTTCAAGTCCTGAAATGTGCACACAGTTGAGTGTATGTAGCATAGACACACTCTTCGCCAAAACGAGCACCTGAGTAACTTTGTACCACGAAGGAATCGGTGTATCACCCTTGAACTTGCCAAGGTTGTAATGTCAAGATAGAACCATGACCTATTACACAACCACAGACGATAGCAAGCTCAAGCCTACTAGGGTTACGGGCCGCTCCGGCTTCGCTCTACTTTCGACCTGTCTAGCACCGCGAAACTCGCAACGCCGATCAATTGCCCCAACCTGTCACTTCCGGTGGAACAGTATGGAGCGGGACTTCGGGTGGATACATTGGCATCATCAATATGGGGTAATGATGCGGGGTGCTGATGGCAATGAAATCTTGGGGCCTTGGGGGCACAGTAAGACCATTACTCCTCGAGACTTCGCTTAAAATTGCTTGGCCAAGGGCATCGCATCCGGTGGAAAGCATGTCTCGTAAATGGGCATACAAAGATGTATTAAAAGAGTATTCAATCCCGGACACGCATGCCATGTCGTCCGCCCGGATATCCAGTCTCGTAAGTCAAGTGACCCGCTTGCAATCATGGTATCGCAGTCTCTGTCGGCTCTGTTGAGCCTTTGCAGTCTGGCTTTCTGCGCTCTTCCGCAATTGGATGGCTCTTTCTATCTTCATGAGCTGGATTATCTCGCTTCACTGGGTAGTCGGCTTACCGGCTCCGCGAACCAAGCGCTGCTCATCAACCACATCAGGCGGGAACTCCAGAACCTCGGCTTCCATGTCTATTCAGACAATTACAACTTTCAGTATCAACGCCCACCTTCGGACCCCATCAACCTAACCATCAACGGAGAGTCCGTGCCAGCGTCAGGCTTTGTCCCTTACGCTGGAGTCACAGATGCAGAGGGGGTGGAAGGTCGCTTGGTAGAGATAGAGGTCCCTGAATCTTACACTGAGTCACCAGATTGGTCCCTGGCGGCTGGAAACATTGCCCTGGTGAACCTTTACAACACACCCCTGGATGGAGCCAATAGATTTCCAGTTTGGCACGGATCTTCGAAATGGTCCGGAACTATACCGGGCATACCCGCGACGAACCCCGGCGTTCGGAACATCAGTCTGGCTACAGAGGCAGGGGTCAAGGGAATCATTTATAATTGGAAGAACATCACATCTTTCAATGCCTATGCCCAGTACGGGCCATTCAAGCAGAACGACCAAGGCACCCCGGCGATTTATGTGACTGACCAGGCTCTCCGTCAAGTTGAGGCACGAAATGGATCACGCGCCTCTTTCACATCTAATGGAGCGATGATTAATGACACCCACACCGAAACTATATGGGTCGTTATTGAGGGAACAAATTTGAAGAACGAGACCGTTCTCGTCAACACCCATACCGACGGCTGCAACGTGGTCCAAGAGAACGGGTACATTCCTATGCTGGCGAGAGCCAGAGAATTGGCCCATTCGCCGCCCTGCCGGACAACGATTCTGCTTTTCCTGTCCGGTCACCTGCACACCTCAGGATTCACCGACAAGGGAAGAATCACCGAACGATGGCTGGAGGATCATCCGGACCTTTGGGCTGAGAGCTCTGGGTCGGGCAAGAAGGCGGTATTTGGATCTTGTGTCGAGCATCTTGGGGCAGCCCACTGGAAGGAAGACCTTCCCAATGAGCTGTACTACCCGACGGGTGCGGTGGAGGATGAACTGCTGTATGCGTCAAGTCAAAAGCTAGCTGACATGATCGGTGGCTTTTGGAAAGGCGCCGACCCGGCCGTCTTGAGAATTGTGAACCCGCATGCCATGAGCTCTGAGCAGTCCGGAGAGGGCCTGGCCTATCTGTGGCATGATATTCCGGAGGTTTCTATCTGCACAGCTCCGGATTGGCTGCTCAAGGTTTTCCCACCGACCTTTGACCAGATGTCACTTGTCGACGTGCAGGCCGTTAGGCGACAGAGCGAAAGCCTGCTCAAGCTATGGGGAGCTGTTGATCACCTCAGCTCTGAGGATATCAGGCATCTCTAGTTACCCCACCGTACGTGGTGTCATTCATATACCGCCATACTCAAAACAGGGTGTGGCTGCCAGGTGGTTTTGTTTACTTAGCTTTGTGCCTACCTTGGCTTAAATCCGAGACCAATGCTCAAGTCATATATGCCCTAGAGTACTAAGTACAAATACAGTACAATACACTTGACTGGGAGAGCAGCAGGCCCAAAACTGGCTCCTATACCTAAGTGCGCCGAAGCCCAACCTGGCGATTCCGTGCACGAGTCTAGCCTCGAGGGCTCTTCGAAGGAGGTAGTTGACTTATTGCTTCCAAGTGTACGATGTACGGCCGGGATCACCTGTGGATCAATCTTCCTCTTTTTAGGGCCAAAAGCGACCGCACCGGGTGCACGGAATGTCCCCTGACACAAGCTACTTACTAAGGTAGTAATTAAGCGAGAGTGCTAGGCAAAAGTCTAAGTTTGCTGGCATGCTCTCGATCCAGACAGCATCTGAGAGCTCCAACCTGGAAGCTTCCCCATCACCGCACTGTCTAGGAGGCTGGAGCCAAGCAGAGGTCGCAAAGAACCTCCCCTCGAGGGATCTATTGGCTACTTACGCGATCATTGCTGTTCATCGACGAAGCCATGACTTGGCATCTCCCGCCCGCATCCAGTACGCCATGACTTTAGCCAGTCGAACCTCCAAGCTGCCCTTCCGGACGGTGCTGCGCTTCTTCGTCCTACCCCTTTTCCTCGCCGCCCTCCTCTCCGTCATCGCCTACACTTACTCAACGGCCGGCCTCCCCTCCAGAGTTGGTTCCCTGCTCCCTCCGCTCCCGCACATCGACATCCCCAATCCCCTCGCCGCCAAGCCCTCCGAGACGCCGAGGAATACCCACGCGCCCCCGAAGCACAAGCCCACGCCGACATGGTTGCCACCAGCCGCGACGGACCCTTTCCCCCTCCTAGCCTCCTCGACGGCCTCGCCGCCCCCGATCCCGAAACATAATGCGCCCCGGGCCAACATGCACGCAGAGTACGGTCTCAGCCACATGCCGCCCCTCTTCATCGGCTTCACGCGCCAGTGGCCCATCCTCCTGCAGGCCGTTGTCGCGTACATCACCGCCGGCTGGCCGCCCGAGTCCATCGTTGTGGTTGAGAACACGGGCGTCCAGGGCGCCAACGCGGCCGGCCGGCTCTCGCTGCAGAACCCCTTCTTCCTCAACCACACCACGCTGGCTCGCCTGGGCGTCAGCGTCGTCCGCACGCCGGCGCTCCTGACCTTTGCCCAGATGCAGAACTTCTTCCTGCACACGGCGCACGAGCGGTCCTGGCCGTACTACTTCTACAGCCACCAGGATGTGCTTGTCTTCTCCTTTGAGGACGGCGCGGACACGGCGCACCGGCCCGGGGATCGGCCCTGGGAATTTTACGACGCGTCGGACGAGGCCGATACGATGCGGCCACCAGCGGCGGGGCAGCCTGGGTACAGGACTATATACGAGAATTGCCTTCGGGAGCTCAACAGGACCGTTGCTAGTGATACGCGCTGGGCGTTTCGGTGGTTTCAGTACGATCACTTGGCGCTGGTGAATCGTGCGGCGCTGGACGCGATCGGCGGCTGGGATTCTATGATACCGTATTACATGTCGGACTGCGACTTGAACGCGAGGCTGGTCCTGGATGGCTGGAGCATGAAGCATCGCAGGGTGGGCATCATCAACGACATTGCGAGCACGCTGGGGGATCTATCGGCGCTCTACGTGACCCTGCGGTCACCCCAAAGTTTGTGGACCCGAATCCATTCGAGGTCGAGGAGAAGGCCGAGGGAAAACGTGCAGGGCCTCGAGCGCCTACAGAGCCGTTACAGCAAGCCGGTACTGGTGGCGCGAGCATCAACTTGACAGACCGGGCCGAATACTTCCGCGCTCTCGTCAAGGTAGGCGACGCGATGGGGGAGCACAAGTATGGCAACCGCGGACGCAACACATGGCAGGCCAGCCAGCATGGTGGATTTGGAGATCCGTACTTCTACTACCCGGAGGGCTTCGCCAGTGCCTTTGACGTGTTGACCGAGGCTGGAAAGGAAGTTTATCGCCGAAAATGGGGCCACCGTGACTGTGACATTGTCGAGGGTACGGCATTGAAGCTCTGGGATCAGTGGCAGGTTGAGAGAGATTGGGAAGAATAATCCGGGCAAAGATTTGGCCAAGATCTTTTCATCATGGCATGGCGTTATTTTGGGATACTTCAGGAATAAACATAGGTTCAAAATTCGTACATGTAACTCCAGGCTATCAATGACAAAAGGAAATCTATCTAGAGCTTAGAATACAACATACTGATGTTTAATCAACTCGACCAGCTCCGCCCCGAACTCTTCCACGAGCCTAGTGACCAGACTCTGATCACCACGCAAAAGGTCCTTGTCACCGCTCACATTAATGGTGACGTTCCCGTTCTGGCGGACCAAGATGTTGAAATAGAGCTGCTGATCATGCATAGAAGATGTGTCCAGGCCATCGATGGTCGATTCAATGAATGACGGCGTAGTTTTGGTGAAGTAATCGGAAGCAAGCGGTTCTCCCATTTTGTGTCGTTGTAGGATATCGGCCTGTTCGGTGTGTCTCGATTGCAGATCGACGCTCTCCTCCGAGTAAAGAATGTTGATGTAGGAGTTGTATCTGGGCGACAATCTGTGCAGGCCGTCTGCCTGGGCGAAGCGAGCGAGCTGGGCCAGGTGGTCTTGGACCGCGTCGAGCAGTTGTTGCCCCGGCAGGGCCGGTAGGTTGAGACTGAGTGGTACCACGGTCATGGTCGGGATGCTCACGCCCGTGAGATCAAGGGTGTGTTCACCATCGGCGGAAGATAACGAGCGTGAAGAATAATTCACTCCGAAGGTGGGCTGGGAACGACCTGTGAGCTTTCCGAGCGTCCGACCATAGGCCGCAATGAGCGCGGCAGAGGTGCGAGCCTTGTTGCTGATGGCGCCGTTGAGTATATCGGCAATGCTTTGTGGCAAGAGGTCTGCGTAGGTTGCCTTGAAGTGTGGTCCCATGGGAGCCTTTCTGGCATCAGATACCGCGACTTCGGACTGGATGATTGTATCTTGTGCTGAGGCCAAATGCTGCTTCCAGTATGTTTGTTCGGCGCCAGGCTGTCTGAATGAATTGATGTTCTGCATGGCAGACTCGACAGAGGGATAGACAGGCAGCATTTCAGAATTGAACAATGCAACAAGGTCTTTCTGAATCATCTTGATGCTCCACGCATCATATAGCGCATGGTGCACGCGAAGGACGACTGCCTTCCCGTTAGAAGCGTGGATGAAGGAGAGACGAGCTGGAGGTTCCTTGAGATCGGAAGGTGTTGAGTTGCCCTCGCGGACGTGCTGGCTAATCAAGTCCTGAATGGAGATTTTGTTGTCGTGGACCCCCAAGAAGCGGGTAGCTGCAGAAACCCTCTCATCGAGCGTGACCTGGATTAAGTCCGAAGGCCCCTCCGTGTATACAAAGGTTGTTCGTAGCACCTCATGTGCGTTGCAAAGTGCTTCCCAAAAGGTTTTTACCTTGTCTACATCAATCGATTCCTCGTCGACTCGGTACACCCAAGGAGCTTCAAAGAACCTTTTCCCGCTTTGGATCCATTGCTGTAGGGTGTGTCGCTGGCCTGGCAGAACAGGTACGACGGACTTGATTTGTGCTTCTGCCAAGTCGAGCTTCTCGGCTACCGACTTCTTGAGCTGCCTGCCTTGTAGTGCCAATTGCCCCTTCGGCTTCTGAGCAGTGCTCTTCTCGACTGGTCCGGACTTCTTCGCGATGTCCCGGACGCTAGCACCTCTGATGATCTCGAAAACACTGACGTGAATGCCTAGTTGTTTGTTCAAGATCTTGGAGAACCGAATAGCCGAAATAGAGTCCAAGCCAACGTTCACAAGCTTGGTGTTGTGATCGATCTTCTTCCCTCGAATCTTGTCTCCTACAATCCTCTTGACAAGTGCCAGAACAGCATCTCTCTTCTCTGTCGATCCACCTACTTCCACGCTATTCCCACCCTCGTTGAGACCGGTCTCTCCGTGTCTATGTGGCTCGTGTTTGGGAGTCGCAGTTGGATATGTATGAGAAGCCTCGAGAGCCGGATTGTGCAGTTCCTCCAGTACGATGTATCGCAAGGCCGCTTCAAGCTGCTTGCCCAAGTAGAACGCTTCCTCGCTGCTGACCTTGGCCCTCAGTGCACCGTGCAAGGCGCCATCCTTAATGCGAAAACTGACGATAAGGGGATAGTCGTCGTACGCAGGACTCCCCCCTCCAGTCTTCGAATCATCTTGTGTCTGAGCTTGAGCAGGGATAAGAAGTTCTGGCGAAGTCCTGTTACCGTCAGACTCGATCATGCCATCATATACAAACAAGCTCTGAAAGAGACCGGCGGACGTGTTGGCAGCGCCAGCTCTCGTCGACCGCCAGGCTGTCTGCACAGCTCGCAAGGATGCCATCCCATTAGAGCCTCTTGCGTTATCGCTCAGTGCCTGCAGGTCAGATAGGGCCTTTTCAATGGCCATGGTGCTCTGCTGGCGAGCCAATTTGACGCGGACGGGGACGGTGTTGATCGTCGGGCCCATCACAAGATTGTCATCGTCATCACTGCTCGCGGTGATGACCTCACCGAAGACTATATCTGCTTGCTTGTACAGAGACTCGCAGAGGACTTTAGCCCACGCAAGTTGCATGGCCGCTTTAGGTGTTACATTGGCCGTTCTGCACTTAGTCTGCAAGCTGGACATATCTGCGGCGTCCAAGCAAAAGTAAAATGAAGACGAAGCATGCAGGGATTCTTCAGAGAGCACGACGGGCGTATACGTGTAGTCTTGCACGGTCTTCGTCCAGAAAGTGACGGCACTTTTCTGCACCATTGCAAATGCCTTAGCAAGTGGCCGGAAAAGATACCGTGCGGGTGGCTGCTCATCTCGGCCCTCGCCATGACCTGCGAGGCGCTTGGCGTAGTTTTCGTGAAGAAGCTGCCAGATTGCTCGGATGGACTGTGCATCGTACAGAGCGTGGTGGATCTTGAGCTGCACAGCACCTCTCTTGGAGACGGACCAGTTGACAAGGTCGCTCTGTTCCGTGGGCGAAATGACACCGACCCATGGGGCATCATCACGATTGGTGAAAATGAAGCGGGTCCGAAGGATCTCGCAGGCTTGCACGGTGTCGTTGACGGCGATGAAAAACAATTCGAAAGTAGGAGTATCCTGTTTCATAGCAGCCTGAGATAACTGCATTGCGTGAGTGTACATGTAGGCCTGGTCGGCGAAGGCCATTGATGCGCTCAGCATGCCCTCCTGGAGGGGCGTGGCTATGAAAAGGAGATCGCCAGCTACCTGCTGCAAGGTCTGTTCATAAGGCAGCAAGTGACTGTTGGAGTTGCCGACCTGAGCATTGCTTTCAGCCTTAATGGTGCCGGGGACGTCGCTCCTGCTCCTTGCCTTGTCAACAAGGGAAGCCACACCTTGTAAGGTACGAGCCCGTATCACAGCGTTGGGAGTGATCTTAACCCCCTGAGACTTGTTGATGAGCTTTATGAAGGGAAGAACGTTAATGGAATCAAGACCAAGCTGGTAAAGGGACGTTGACTCGGGACTCTTGGCGTTGAGCTCACGCTCGTCTAAGTGTAGGAGGCGGCAGGCAGTGGACTTCACGCAAGCCAGAGCAGCTTCGAAGTCCTTGCCAGTGGGTTTGGGTTCCGCTGATATGTACGCGTCATCGGGCGTGGGGCCGTAGTTTGTGTCATAGTTGACAGATACAAACTGCTCAACCGTAGCAGACTTGTTCGCAGCCTCCGCAACGACCTTCTCAAACAAGATACCAAGGTCCTGAAGCTGTGCCGCGTTGAGAAAACCAGCGGACGAGAGCATCAAGTCAATCTTACCGTCAGAGTGTAGATCGATATCGATAGTCAAAGCCATGTCAATCCTGGACTTGCCCGGCAGAGGAATCATGGCACCCGGCGTGATCTCTCGGTTGACCGACTCGCCATCTGTAGGGACAACATTGATAGTGAGAAGGCTGTCAAACAACTTCTCCTTGAGGCCAGCCCAGCGCTGGATCATGTCGGCAGTTACGAGGGGCATTTTGCCCTGGCAAGCATCTGCGTGGCTCTGGTGAACCCGCTCAGCCAAGCGAGGCAGCGTTTCGCTTCCGCTTCCAAGAGCAACTGCGTGAACAACTGTGTTGAGGCAGGGCCCGACAAACCCATCGACGCCTTCAGCAACGTGACTCAGAAGAGGTCTGAGGGACTTGGTAAATCCGTAGACGATGGATGGCTTCTTGGTCAAATATGCCAGACAGAGAGTGGTAGCAAGCTGGAAGGCCGTAGAAGCGGAAATATTCCCTCCCTTCAGCTTCAGCCTAGTCTGGAGTTCTGCAGATGTGTAGGCAAGACAACGAGTTGCACGAGCCATGGCATAATTCCCGTCTTGGTCGGCATCTTTCCCGATGCGGCACGGCTGCATACCGTGCAGTCTGGCTTGCCATGCGCTTCTGAGGACTTGGATCTCTTGGTCGGCAAGATCACAATGGTTCGCAAGACTTTGCAGAGTGAAGAGACTCCGGGCTCCAGACGCAGCGGTTGGATGACCATCCGCGTAAGCTTGTTCCATCTTATTCCTTAGCGTAGCCATAGCCACCCCATCATACAGAGCGTGGTGCAGCTTTATTGAGGCGATAATCTTGCCAGATGGTCGGTCTTTGTGGATTTGAAGCCGTACGGGAGGTCGGGAGCTCATATGGGCAACAATTGCGGCAGCGGAGTCCTCTCCCCTATCAAATGGCGAGGGAGGCGACTCCAGCACAACCTGGAATATCTGGCCATCCTGCTCGCGTTGAATAAAGCAAGTCCGCAACATTGCTTCCGAGGAGACTACTCGTGCAGCGGCCTCCTTCCATTGAACCATGTTCGTTCCGGGCGCAAGTTCGAAATTGAAATGCGTCACGTAGGGAACCTCCAAGGTCTCTCCCTCTGACCCAAGCCAATTGAGAGACAAAGCAACCAATGGTGCTTGAAGGGGCAAACAACGGAGAACAGCAGCGACATTGGCACCTTTGAGGTGGTTGGCACTGGGTCCGAGGTCATCTAAGCTCGGTTCCTCCGGCGGGGTTCCAGGGGGAGTTAATAGCTTGTCGAAAGTCACATCAGATCCGGCTGCTCGGGCGAGGGATCCTATGGAGCAAAAAGGAGAGAGCAAGTCCGCAAGTGTAATTTTTGCGAAGCCCCGCCGTTTGAGGACCGCTACTAGATGCATTCCCGAGAGGCTGTCGATGCCTAGACTGTGAATGGCGCTGGCTGGAGTAGCGACAACCTTGTTGCCCATGACCTCTTCAAGCGCCGCAATGACCTCTGCCTCTGCTCCGCTCAATGGAGTAGTCCTTGAGGTAGCTTGGCTACTAGGAGCCAGGGGACTTTCCTGGAGGGCTGTAAAGTCCCTGGCCAGTTTGATGAGGAGCTTGGTGTCGACCTTACCGGATGCTGCAAGATAGGGGATCTTAGAAACCCACACCATTTCGGGAACCATGAAAGCTGGGAGCCTTTGCTGACATTCCTTCTCCACGGATATGGCTACAGCCTGCAAAGCTTGGCTCTGTTGAGACAGCACTTCAGGCTCGGCCTCAAATTCGGCCTTTAACATTGTGTGTGTTTTGCGCGCCAAGAATCCGAAGAGTCGTTGTTCAACAACAGCCGCAGCCACGTCGAGAGCTCCTTGCTCTGCAACAGTCTTCTTGATGAATGCCTCAACCTCGCCGAGTTCGAAACGCTGACCGCGGATCTTGGTCTGTTGATCTCTTCTGCCGAGGAACTCAACTGTACCATCGTGCATCATCCTCATGATATCTCCGGTCCTGTAGATGCGTTTCTTACCAACCCCCAGCAATGTAGTATACTGGAAGCCCTTTGCGTTCTCCTCAGGTCTATTGAGATAACCCACAGCTACCTGTGGGCCAGCAATGCAGAACTCTCCGGGCTGACCCTTGCGGGCAAGAACTTGCTCATCACCCTCTCCCTGAACTAGGAGAAGAGCTTCCAAGCCGGGCAGCGGCAGTCCCAAGTTACGAGCGTTGGAGTGGTGCCCGACTATGTGACTCAAGCACCCCACGGTAGCCTCAGTCGGCCCATAGAAATTCATCAGCGCTGCCTTGGGGCTACCAGTGTTCAATTGTTCAAACAGCTCATGGGACGCCTTCTCGCCGCCAAAAGTCAGCACTCGCATCGAGGGGACGTCCTTGAGGCGGAGGCCCAGCTGGAATAGCACGGAGGGAACGGAGCCCATGTGCGTGATCTGGACTTCGTTGATGACCTGCTGCAAGCTTGCAAAGATGCCGTTGCGGTCCTTGCCGATGGCAGAGCGGAAGCCGAGGTGCCAGGGCGCAAGCATGGAGGTGAGGTGGGTATCGAATGCGCGGGATGCGACGTTCAGGTATTTACCCACGCCGCCTAGCTTGGCTGTGTCTGCGTTGGCCTCGATGAGACGCTGCGTCATGGCGGAAATGAAGTGCAGGAGGTTCTCGTTGGTCACCCGTACTCCCTTGGGCTGGCCAGTCGAGCCTGATGTGTAGAGGAGGTAACCCCCATCCCCGGTTTTGACAGAATCATTGGTGATGGTACAAGGCCAGGAAAGAATTATATTGAGCTCATCGCCGCCTTCAGGTAGGAGGACTGCCGGAGTGCTGCTTATATCGAGATCCAGATCGCCGACTAGGCTTTCTGTCGAAATGACGAGCTTGGCATTGGCATCACGGATAAGGAGCTGCTTGCGAGCTGCAGGGAGATCCCCGTCGATAGGCAGATAGATGTATCCAGGCTTGAAAATGGCCAATATAGCTGCCATGGATTTGGTATCTCGGTCAAGATACAACGCGACAACATCGTCAGGCTTAAGCCTCGCTTCGTGACTGATCAGCTTGGAGGCAATAGCGTTGACAAGCACCTGAAATTCGCGATACGTAATGGTGCTGGTGGTAATTTTGTCTTCGCCATCTTCCCCATTGTCCAAAAAGATCTCCTCGACTGCAATCCAGTCAGGGTGCTCAGCCGCTTGTTTGGACACCAGATCCGCTGGATTTCTCACAATTGCCGTGCCCACGAGGTCAGCATGCTCACCAACCGTAGACACAAGCTGGCGATCCATGTAATTGCTCAGTCGAAGAAGCGGCACCTCAGGATGCTCCAACATGGCGCAAGCCTGGGCGAGAATCTGATCCAGCATGAGCTCTAGCATAGGCTGCGAGATACGCTGAGAGTTGCCTGTCAGCTCGATAATGTTTTCACCTTCAAAAATGTTCAAGGCCATTGGATGTTCAACGTTTAGTGGTAGCGCCTGCCCAACTTCACGGAACATTTCCACTCCGGCATCAACGTGATCATCGTCACCAGCGGGATGGTAAACAAAGAGCGCTGGGAATGGAGTATTACTATCGCCACTGCCCTCATTGATCATCTTCTTGATGTCCACCGGGTGTAGACTATGAGCACTCTGGCCCAAAGACAGAGCATCGCGGCTCATCTCAGCCCAGAGCTCTTGAGCGCTCGTGGCATGTGCACGAATGACGACCGGCAGAGTAGCCATTGCCGGGCCGACAACCCGGGCAAGGTCTGGGTGCAAAATTCTCTGTGTCACAGTTTGGCCGAGAACGACAGTCTTCAGCTCAAGCACTGCCGCCAGAACACAACCAAAGGCAGACTGCACAAGTCGGGGTAGATCAGGAGCATCAGCTGCATTCTTGAGCAGCTCTCTTGGGATTGTTGCCTTGATAGAGCGAATGGTCCGTTCCTGCTTTTGCCGGGACCCCGTCAGGTCAGGGAACGGCGCGTTCAAGGCCCCATCAGATTCGACTAGGTTGTGCAGACGCCTAGACCACGCAGAGAAGGCCTTGTCTCGCTGAGCGATAGGAGGCAATAACCCTAACTCCATACCCCTGCTCATCGAGAGAGAGCTACTTATAGCCTGGATTGGATTGCGGTATAAGCTGGCAACGATTTTGAGAATCATGCGCGATGACTCGGCGTCGTGGAGGGAATGGTGCATGCTCAGCATCACCTTGCTCTCAATCTCGCAGAATGTAACAGCCCACGGAGGTCTAGGCGTATCGCCTCCCAAGGGAGAGAGTTTCACTTGTGCCTTTTGAGCGAGAGAAGCGAGGCTTTCAGCATCCGCGTGCTGAACAGTGGTCCAGTAAATGTTGGGCTGGTCCAGAACGAGCTGGAGCACAACGGCATGCACACCGTGACGGCGAGCCCACTGGCCAATGCTCATATTCTGTCCATCACGTACAGACAACTGCGAGAGCGGGACAAACACCGTCCGAAGGATATCAAGTTGGGCGGCCGCAGCAGTCCATGAATCTTTCAGACGAGAGACATCAATCTGACCAAGGTGGCCGAGATCAAAAAGGCGGTGGGACCAGTATGCCTCTGCCCCAATCATCGTCTCAACGAGCAGCGACTCCTGAACTGGTGTAGCAGGAAGGATGTAGGAAGTGTTCTTTGGCCTCGCGTCTCCATGAAGACTCTTTGTCAGCGTCTCTCTGACAGTAGTCACCCATGAGGTTTCCGGGGTCTGTTCAGTCGTCGGCTCTCTTAGACTCTTCGCCTTCTTCATAGAATTCAGAACCACCTCGACCAGCTCACCAAGAGTCTGGCATCGCATCAGCTCGAGTACACCGACGGTGCACTTCATCTCACGTCGCAATGCCCAGGCTAACTTTGTGACCTGCAGTGAGCTGAAGCCGAGCCCAGCTAAGCTGTCATTCGGATTGAGGCTGTCAAGTTGCATTCTGTTGTTCTCTGCGATGGTCTTGAGCACCGATAGCTGCTCTTTAGGCCACATAGTCTTGATATCCGAGCCGTCTCCAGCAGCAGCGTCGCGGCCAGCCAGAACATTGAGGTCTGCGAGATTGTAGATGGCTTGCAAGACCTTGCGATCGACCTTGTTGGAAGCTGTACGCGGCATAGTGGTGTCTAGCACAACAACATGGCCAGGAACCATGTACGCCGGGAGCATCTCCCTCGCTTTCTGGAGGACCTGCATTCGAATCTTTGCTGTATCAACTGCCTGCTTTTTGACAGAAACAAAAGTGACAACAACTTTGTGGTCAGCGTCGCCGCCACTGACCCCCGGGCGTGGCAAGTACAGTGTCTCAACATGCTCGACAGCCGGCTCCTCGCTTTTGATGCTAGCACAGGCCGCACTGATCTCACTCAGCTCGATACGTATGCCAGTAATCTTGACCAAGTCGTCATTGCGGCCCAGGAACTCAAAGCCATGGTCGTTCAGACGCACCATATCCCCAGTGAGATAGATCCGCTCGTCGATGCCCGGCCCGCCCTGGATGAAAGCCTTGGTCGTCTTGGCCTCGTTGTTCAGGTACCCCTTCGCAACTTGCGCGCCGCCGAGCGCCAGCTCGCCGACGCCGTAGCGCGGTACAAGCTCCCACCGCTTCTTCGTCACATCGGTCGGGTCCGCGACCTCACGCACGACGTATGCTGTGCAAGAGGTTAGAGGAAAGCCCACATTGGCGGCTTTGGCCTCATCACGGCTTTTGCCGAAGAACTGCCTCATGGTGGAGACAACGGCGTTCTCAGCCGGGCCGTACGTATTGTACGCTTTGGTGGTGACTCCCGGGGCGGCCCATGCCTCGGCGACGTCCTCGGTCAGCTTCTCACCGATAAAGGTGACGAATTGAAGAGTAGAACCCCTGATCTCCTCCACATTGATGCTGGCGCCGAAGGAGGGGGTGAGATGAGCGTGCGTCGGACGGGACTTGTTGACAAAGTCGGCAAAAGTGCCTAGAATAAGCTCGCGTGTGCCGCTGATTACGCTGCCGGCTAGGCCCCATGTGTAAAACAGGTCTTGGACGAAGACGTCGAAGCTGTAGGCCGACAGCTGCAACGTGCGCACTTGCCCAGTCCTGTCGTCATGCTCCACCCGGGTTTGGAGGTCGCGCATGGCGTTTGAAGCGGCATAGTGCTGGATCATGACACCCTTTGGCTCGCCCGTCGTGCCTGAGGTCCAGAGAAGGTAGGCAAGGTCTTGGCCACTGATGGCAGGGCGTGAGGCGAGAATGCTTTGGCGCGGCTTGGCCCTCACGGACGTCTTCTTGTCAGCGTAGTGGTCGACGAGGATAACGCGCACACCAGCTAGACTTTCGTGAGCTAGACAGGGTTCCACCAGAGGATAAGAGTCGGTGTTAGTCAACAGAAGCTTGCCCTGCGTTCTGGCGATTAGGGAAGTTCGCCGTTGGATGGGAGAGGTTTCATCGATGGGTGACCAGGCAGAGCCAGCTTTGAGAATGGCCAAGATGGACACATAAAGCTCCACACTACGGTGCATGCAGATAGGGATAACACCCACGTCTTCTTCTCGCAGAATGTTGGCCAGGCCGTTGGCTCGGGCGTCGAGCTCGGCATAGGTCAACTCGATAGGATTCGCGTCTAGAGCAGCATAGAAGCTCAAGGCCAGGAGATCTGGTGTGGCCTCTGCTTGTTTCTCGAGTTGAGCGTGGAGGACATCGGCACGTCCTTTTTTCTGGCATTCCTCCTCCGCGGAATCTTCTATGGGCACAGGGAGGGAGCCTTCTGCAGACAGTAAACTCCTGGGTAGGCGTGCGGGCAGGGAGTGCACTAGGTCATCGGCCTTGCAGGTCAGCAGTGCCGCAGTCATGGCCGCAAACTGTTTAACGATAATCCGAGCCGAAATTTCCGAGAGAGCATCGTCGCGGTATGTGATCTTGAATACCATGGAGTCGATTCGCTTTCCGCCAACAAGAGGACCACTCGGAAACACCTCGGCAAAGACGTCAAAATCGTAGCGGATGGCTGGGTTGAGCACGTCGGTCCAAGGAGCCATTGCCCCATCTGAGCCATCCTCAGGCGGGGTATATGTCTGAAGAGCCAAGGCCGTGTTGTATGGCAAAGCCTCAAAGACACCAAAGGACATGTGACGACGACAAAGAGCAAGTCTAGAACTGCTGTTGAGATTACTGAGCAGCTCGTGCACAGTCTGGCGATCAGGCAGAGCGACTCGACAGGGGACCACCGAGAAAGTAGGTGCATGAGCAGCCTCGTGCTGACCAGAAAGAACACTTCCAAACACAACGTCTCCTGTATTTGCTTCAGAGAAGATCTGGAGAAGCAGGGACCAAGCTGCCTGCAGAGCCGCGAGGGGAGAAGCGCCAAGTATCCTGCTATGCGCCTCCAGCTTCTGCCAATGAAGGTCACTGGCAATCTGAACTACTGCGTGGCCGTAATAGGCGGGCACGCCCGGTGCGGGCGATTTAAGATTGTTGCCACTCAAAGCGTGGAAGCTCTCGGTCTCCCAGCCGATAAGTGAGTCTTTCCAATGCCTGTCCGTTTCGGGGTGGACATTCGACGCCCAGTCGAGGATCACGTCTTTGATGGACAGCCGTGGCAGGGGACTCAAGCCTGCATACTGTCTAGAAATATCCCTCAGGAGAACGTCGAGGGATGCACCATCGCAGAGGCAATGCGCCACACTAATCACAAGTAGTCCTCCAGACTCAGTGTCCGGCTCGACAATCTGAACTTGGTACAGCTTCTGTGACTCGAAGTCCAGATACCGCTCAGCAAGCCCAGTCCAGTATTGCGCACTGCTTGCACGAGCGTCTCCACGGTGGCGCACAATCCTCGGACTGTCTCGTGTCCACCTCCGGTACGCATCAGGCTTCAGCACAACCTGGGCAAACGGCGAGAGATCGTCGTTGCATGGCACAAAAGCACATCTATAGATGGCCTGTCCCTCCAGGGTGTAGGTGACTGCTTTCTCGAGCGCGTCGAGGGAAGCGTCGGCCTGAAGTGGCAGGACCGTGTAGCTGATATAATTGCGTCGGTCTATACCAAAGCTCACTGCCAACTGGCTTTGTGTACTTGTCGCAGGCAGCACCATCTCAATGTCATCGTTGCCAATCCCACCCAGTTTCTCAAGAGCTTCTGCTGTGTGGCGGGAGGCGAATTCGGCAACTCTCCTTTGTGCTGTGACTCTACCGACGGTTAGGCTGCTGCAGGTTGTTCCAGTCGAGGTCGATGGGAAGAATACAGATCGTATGCTGGTTCCAGGGTCGAGAAGCAAGGCTAATGAAGGCTGCAGATGCTTGCAGTCTGGCCAGCGCCTTCTGATCTCGCGTAGCAGCCTCATCGCGTGGAGACTATCTACGCCAGTCTCGGCGAGGAGTGTTGTTGCTGTCAGTGAGATCTTGGAAGTTGAGTCGCTACTGATGATGGTGGAGAGAATCTTGACAAGCTCCGCCTCAAGGTGTGCATCCTCAGCACTGTCCAAGACCTCCGCTTCGGAATCCCGAGTCACGCGAGTTTCTAACCCTTGCCATGATGTGCGCACGTACTCTGACGCCGCCTTGCGGTCCACTTTGCCAGAGGCTGATCGCGGCAGTGCATCGACTTGAAAGATCCGAACTGGCCTCATGTAGTCCGGCAGGTGCCGCCGCGCTGCCTCCATGCATTGCTCTCGGACCACATCAAAGCTCAGCGCACTCTTTGGATTGACAACGACCAAACTCACCACTCTCTCCGAGCCAGATGTACCACTCTGAGCTTTCCACACACACGCCAGTGTCTGCTGTACACCTTGGGCCTTGCTCGCCAGAACGTTCTCGATCTCACCGAGCTCAACACGCCGACCACTCAGTTTCACCTGCGCATCCGATATGCGACCCAAGAACTCAACTACGGGTTCTCCGGCTTCATTCCATACAACACGCGCACGGTCGCCGGTCCTGTATATGCGGCCCCACTGGTCGTGGTCGAGGAAGGCCTTCGCCGTCTCCTCAGGGCGGTTGAGGTAGCCGATCTTACTGACCTGGGGGCCCGTAAGGACCAGCTCTCCCGCAGCGCCCATAGGGACGGGTTGAAGCTCAGAGCTCTGCTCGCCAACGATGAGGACGCCGCAGGTGGCGAGTGGCGAGCCGATGATAGAGCCGCGCTGGTTCCCGGGGACATGCTCCTGGGCGAGGGAGTAGATGGTGACTTCAGTGGGGCCGTAACCGTTGTAGATGCCCTGTGGCACTGAGCGAGTATCACTTGTCGAGGGGTTGTAGCGCGAAAAGTCTTGAAGGAGCCGGGTATTGGGTGCCTCGCCGCCGACCATAAGACCGCGTAGTGAGGATGGGTCTATCAGGCTCGCAAAACTGGGGGTGACGTTGGTGATGTCGGCCTTGAGAGTGGTGATGACTTGGTCAATATTCTGCATGGTAAGGTGTCTGGGTGCACAGCATAGTGTTGATCCCGTGCTCAAGGTCCAGAATATCTCGAAGAGAGAGATATCGAATGTTGGAGATGCGCCCTGAAACCATCTAACAGGACGGTCAGGGTTTGGTGTGCCTGACGAGCAGAATCCGTAGAGATTGCTGAGAGAAGTGAGGGTACAGGCGGCTGAGAGATGGCTCACTACCACACCTTTGGGGGTTCCTGTAGTCCCGGAGGTATATAATACATATGCGGCGTCGTTCTCTGTGGTAGGAATCGGAGGAAGCGGCTTGGGTTCGACATTGCGCGCCTCGAGGAATTCTGTGACGCTGGTCGTCTCTGTCTCGGTCTCGAGGCCACCAGGCTCGCCCACCAGGACTACTACAGGCTTCAGGTCGGCAAGCAGCGTATCGATTCTCTCCTGGGGGGCATCCACGGGTATTGGGCAGAAAGAGAAGCCGGCCTTGAGAGCAGCGAGATAGCTGATGTAGAGCTCAGGAGACGGGCCAATCCTCACTGCTACTGTCTTTATGGTTGCGTTTGACTTGGGACTCGTGTGATAGAGCTTAGTGGCTAGTGCGGTAGCAGCATTTGATAGTTGTTGATAGGTATATTGTGTCCTCGTGCCACTTTCAGAGTTGGTCAAGAAATCCAAGGCCACTCTCTGTGGACAGTCCTTGACTCTATTTTCGAACCAATGATGTAGCAGTGCCTGATGTCTCGCCTGGCTCTCGGCCGGCCATAATGATATTGGTCGTTCTTGTGGAGGATAATTCAGGATGGAAGGCTGTGTCCATGGAGCAAAGCCTTTGCTGTGGCGGTGATCATGGTCGAAAATGAGGTCCAGCAGCATCTGACCCAAGGAATCTAGCCCTGGCTGAGATACTACTCTAGCCAATGCGATCAGCCGCACATGATCGTCTGCGGCATGAAGTTGAAGGGCCTGGAGCGGTTGTCAATTATGTGAGCTTCAACGTTTGCAGCAATGCGTAACTTGACAAACCTTTCCTGGCCCGATTGAGAAGTCGGTAGGAACATCAACATGATTCTCCCCGCAATGTACAAAGGTAGAGCTACCGTCCTGGGTGCTGTCGCCTGCGTGAGCCAGGATATAACCGCCACGTGTAGTGTCCTCAATGCAGAACGCCTCGCCGGGTTCGACGATGGCGATCAGGTTGACAAGCCTCACGAAAGCTTGCCGCACCGTCGTCTGGCTTGTTGTTGAAGCTAATGAGCTTTTCCAGCCCAATTGAGTCGTCGGAGAAGTTTCATCGTCCTCAATGCGGGTATGCAGAGGTCGGAGCTTGGTGACCGGCCCCCGGTTGGGCGACATTGGGTCTTTCAAGAGAAGGATAACTTTTTGCGATCACAGCTGCGCGAGATGACGTCTGCGAGTGCAGTGATGTCAGGACAGGGCGTTGTCAATAGGGTATATACAATTCATGGACAACGAAAGGATTCAATGAAGAGCGGGAGTTTGTGTCTGAAGACGCGATGCTTGTCTTCCACAGTGAGATCGGATCTCGACCAGGTATCGGATCCTCTTGGTGATGATCCTTCTGTAACTGCAGATGGATGGTGAGCATCGCCGCTGTCGGCACATGTTCACATGGGCGGGTGAACCGTCAACCGGGGTCAGGGCATGGCATGGCGGCATGCATGTGGACTTCAAGGGTCAATGGTTCCAAAGACCCCCAGCCGTGTATCGAGCGAGGCCATACCCCTGGCAGTTTGTTCCATCTACCCCCCACCCCCCTGAGCGCGCAACAAGTGGCCCCGCGTGTGGAATTCTGGGAATTCTGCTGCTTTCATCACGGCCGCCGGAGACCCACCTGCGAAATCGAAAGAGGAAAGGATCACAACAGTGTGTGGTGACATTTTGGTTTTGCGGACGGATCAGCACGAATGGCGACATATCTGCTGATTGATAAGATTGGATGTGGGCAAAGTCTCCGCTCTGTGCCCGACACGGTGTTGCATCCTGCACTCATCCATCAGGGCGCGCCTCGAACCCGCCGGGACTTCGCGGACTGAGCATTGAGCTTACCTGCCCGGCGCCAGCCAAGAAATTCGTCACATCCGATCCGGACCAATCCCATCCACAATGACGTCCAGCATGACGTCCAGGTTTGCTTTCCTACGCACCCCCCAATCGCATGACCCCCACACCTTGACCGAGGCCACAGGGCCGGCTGTTACAAATTATCTCATCTAATCAGATTGATTAGATCCAACCAGGGATTTCAGGAGTTGCTACTTGTAAGTGCAGCCGACAGGACTCGCGAGCCCCGAGCCCCGAGGTACGCGGTTCAGTAGTGCCGCAGAGGCACGCATGGCGCCTGATGAAATGTGATGCCATCCAGGGGCCTGCTCGCGAGAAATGAGGATGGCGGCGGGCATGGCTGGATTACACATTCATGCAAAGGCTCAGTTCAGCGTTGGGTACGGCCGCAGTGCACGCGAGAGAATCATCCATTCATTGCATTGTTGAAGACACCGCTAACGATTCTGCCCACTCGCATTACACAAAGTGTCCTTCTTGGAAGAAGCGGTCCCGCTGCAGCGCAATCAGCATCGACGTCTTGTGCGGTAGGTGAAAACGCTTCTTCTTCTCCATCGGGATGAACCTCTCCTGGATCTGGAGGTTGGTCTTGCCGTACTCGGGCTCGCCGATGATCTGCTTGGTGCGCGGGTCCCGCAGAAAGGCCAGGTGCTTCATTGAGGAGTTGGCGGCCTGGTACCGCTTGCCGCCGCGGAACTTCTCCTCGCCAACGAGGAAGTGCGTGTTTTGGTCGTGCTCACCCACGATGATGTTGCAGTTGGACCCGATAAAGCAAGCCACATTGTCCTCCTTGACGAAGCCGATCTCCATGTAGCCCGCCAGCTCGCCGTCCCACGAGAAGACGCATGACATCGTGTGCGGGTCGGCCAGCTGCTGCGCGAGGTACTCGCGGTGATGCTCTGGGGGACCGCGCTCCCTCCATCCAGCGTTGACGCGGTCCGAGTTTTGCCACTGCATGTACTTCTCAAAGTGTAGCGGGTTGCTGGCGTCGATATGGTGGATTTGTAGCTGTTGGCCAACTTCGACGATGTAGCGAGAGTAGAGCAGCGTGCCAGGGATAGGCTTCGGCGGCCGTACAGGATGAACAGTGCAAACGTTGCCTTTCCTCGTAAAACCTAGCTGGCTAGGGAAGTCGCCCGTCACGTTGAACCCAGGGAACTGGGTGGTTTCGGGCCGGCAGCGCACCCAGCTCTGTGAGACTGGTTGTCCGGCGCCCTGCCAGAAGGCCTCGCGGTGGAGCCAGAATGTGGTGTCTCTGGGGATTGAAGTCGTCGTGGACCCCTTCTTGGAGAATGGTGAGACAACCCCTAAGCCAGTGCATCGCAGGAACTCTCCAAGCCTCTCATTGTTCACGACAACAGCAAACAGGTCCCTGTCCCGAACCTGTGGATGCACCCAGAGAGCGTACACAGATGCCCACAGCAAGGCCACATCTTCTTGTCCAATCGTGCTACCACCCCAGGAGACCGTCGATTTGCCGCTTTGGCTCATATCGTATTCGAAAACATTGTCATACTCAGCCACGTTGTCATTCACCATCGCTGGCGAGACCCTGACTTCATCGGCCCTGGACCAGCGGCACAGGGTTGTCCTTTGCTGGCCCACCTCGAAAGCGACGCCCTTGCCCGAGGCCACGGCTTCGATCCATAATTCAGTCTTGCCATCGGGCAGTCTGAATGAAACCAGGCTTTGCTCGTGTCGTTGGGACGCAGGGTCCGAGTCGTTCCCAAGGCTTCCCATAGTCGTTTGTGCGTTTTTGCTCGATTGAAGCTTGACAGAACTAGCATTTGGCCCTATCTCCTATGCTTAGAATGACATGAGATACAATTGGAGCTAGGAACTGCCGGGTTCGGCTTTGTATTAAGGTGTGGCGCCAGCTAATGGAGAAGAAGGAAAGGAGAACCCCCACAACGGCAGTGTTGGTGGCTAGAAACCTTACCGTCGCGCAGGTCCTTCCGGGGCGCAGGCAGTCCCGAAGAAGTAGCTCGGATATCATTTGAGGCCTCGTACTGGCTGACCACAAGCTATCCGTCCTCTTCCGTCATTCCACAGAAGCGTTGCGAGACTCGACCGAGCTTGTCGTCCAAACTTTTCTCCCTCTTGGCCAAGGATGACGCCAGGCGGGGTTCCGAGCCTTCCATCCTGGCTATTGACTTGACCTGCAGGGCAAAACCTACCATCAACAGGCATGATCTGCAAGCTCGGGGCGGCGAGCTTCGTGAGAAAAAGCCGCACCGGATCCTAGGCGAATGCTACGGTATTTGCGAGCTGCGGCTGTTCATTTGCGATGTCCGGGAGGCGTGAATGTAAAATATGCAAGAAAATTCACAGTACAAGGTAGGAAAGGAGGATGATCGGTGGAGGGACGGAGATGGACACCGAAAAGAAGCCAGAGGTAATGTACGAACGTACGAGACCGGCGGGTTTCCACCCTGATGCTGCATGTGGGTGTGGTGTCCCTGGGTGTCCAAGGTGTCCTTGTCCCCATGCAGTTAAGATTGATAAGAGGGAAGCAGAATCAGATAACTGCCTACTCGCACGGTGGCCCCATCGACGGAGCCTTGGCGCGCCCCTCCTGCTGCGGCACATGGGATCGTCGTTGAGGCACTTTGTGTCAGGTCAGCGAATCCCGTTTCGAGGGCGCGCGCCTAGCGCCAGCACCGCACGCATGGTTCTCAACAGTTCACTAACCCGAGGAGCAAAGGAACAGAGCGAGCGTCCTGAATTGCCAAGTGAAGGAAAGGAGGAACAATCCAAAAACCAGGCACACCCACCCGCAACGACAGGGATCCTCCCTCTCTCCATTACGTACATGGCGTTGCAATGCCGCTTACACACTCCCTCCCAGCCTCTCCAATATCCCCCATCGGTCCCTCACTTGCTGCAAGTGCGGACCATCCACCCTTTCGGGGCGTGGATGTATGCGGCGCGGATACCTACGTTCGTCGTCTACCTACTTGTACCTAGGTAGCTTTGATGAACAATAGCAATCTCAAAGCTCGCCCATCCGTGGCCAAGCTGCCAAGGCTCCGCTATCGGTTCGGCGCCGATTACTTCCGTCTTGATTCAAGGCCTCTTTGCTCGTCCATTCATGGAGGTGTGTGTGTGTGCGCGCGAGGAAATGGAACCCAATGTCCTGGTGAAGCGCCTTCTCACGAAGCAATCTGGCCGACTTGACTCGCCGGGCATCTCCAAGCTGATCCGGACGACACTGTCATGGAGACCAGCGATGGGAAGGCCTTTCCTCGCCGGAAATGGTATAGGAGAGTACCTTTCCTATCGCAGAGACCGATCGAGACTAAGCTCACGGAGCGGCATGTGAAACCGAAGTCTACCTCCACGTCCAACGCCGAAAGTGGCCAGGGCACCGACACTCAAACATACGAGACGGAAACGCCAGAGACGACGGCGAACTTGCTGTCCATCATCACGTTCAACTGGCTGGGCACACTACTCCGGACAGGCTACAGTCGACCTCTCCAGGCCGACGACCTCTATGATCTTCCAAACACCAGCCTAACCATTGACCATGCCGATCGGCTCGAGAAGTCATGGGCTGCAAGGCTCAAAGCCAACCGAGAACGACCTCCTCCGCCTAAAGGGTGGCTTTCTTGGAGACCCTTCTGGGAGCGACGCACGACCGACGCAACCGTCCTCACGCTCTCCCTCAACGATGTCTGCTTCCGCCGCTTCTGGACAGGAGGCTTCCTCAAGATGCTCGGCGACCTGACGCAGATTGTGTCGCCGCTTCTCATCCGCTTCGTCATCAACTCGCTGAGCGACCCATCCGAGCAGGCATACCGGTCGGGCTTTGGCCTCGCAGTGGGGCTATTCCTGGTGCTGGCCTTCTCCATCATCACCAATGTCCACGGCTTCTACCGGTCCGCGTCGACCGGCATTCTCCTCCGCGCCGCCCTCATGCACGTCCTCTACCGTCGAGCGACGACGCAGCTCACCGAGCAGGCCAAGCTCAAGGGCAGCTACGCGACGGGTAAGCTCATGAGTTTGATGAGCGCTGACATCACTCGCATCGACTTTTGTTGCGGCTTCTTCCACTCTGCATGGACGAGCCTGCTCCAGATCATCCTGTGCCTCGGTCTCACTATTTGGACCCTCGGATACAGTGCGCTGCCAGGCTTTGGGCTGTTGGCACTTCTCTACCCACTACAGTCATTCATGATGAAAACCCTCTTCCGCCTCCGCCGAAACAGCATGCCCTTTACAGACGCGCGCATCAAAGCCGTCACTGAAGCAGTGTCCACCATACGTCTAGCCAAAACAAACGCTTACGAGCAGAGCATGCTGTCCAAGATTGGCAAGCTGCGCAACGATGAGGTCATTTACATCCGCAAGAGGATGCTCCTGCGCGCCCTGAACATCGCCGTCTCGTTCACGGCGCCGACCCTCGCGTCGGTGGTGAGCATTCTTTGCTACGGCGCTACGAGCGGCAACATGGACCCCGGCAAGATCTTCTCGTCCCTGGCTTTCTTCCTCCTCATGAGAACGCCGATGGGCTCCCTGCCCATTGCCATCTCAGCGATTGCCGATGCTAGAGCCGCACTGGAACGACTGGCTGGGTTCATGGTTGTCTCTGATGAGGCCGTTGCGCGCGACGCCGCCCGTCGCGAAGAGCTTGGTCGAAGGGGACGAGAGGCAGGCGGCGATGCTGTTGTCGAGGTTAAAGATGCGATGTTTACCTATCACGACGACCCGCAGTCATCAGACAGTGACGATTTCACCAACGAGAAGGCAAATGCTGCCCCATCAGCGAACCTGTATATCAATTCGCTCAAGGCGAAAAAAGGTCAGGTTGTGTGCATCGTCGGCCCCGTTGCATCTGGCAAGTCCTCGGTATTCAGGGCGCTGCTGGGCGATATGCACCTCGCCAGCGCCACGTTGTGCTCCATCAACCTCGACCTATCCGTACCCTCGCAGCTGGCGTTTGCGCCCCAGGCAGCTTGGCTTCTTAGTGAGACAGTCCGGGAGAACATCGTCTTTGGACGCCCTTTTGAACCCGACTGGTATGACGAGGTCCTCCACCGATGCTGCTTGCACCCGGACCTTGCGATGCTGTCTGATGGCGACATGACTGTCGTCGGTGAGAAAGGCGTTTCACTGTCGGGGGGCCAGAAGCAGCGAATTGCGCTGGCCAGAGCGGTGTATGGTCGCAGCCAACTGATGCTCCTGGACGATTCTTTCTCTGCGCTTGATGCCCAAGTCGGCGCGCACGTGTTTGAGAACGTTGTCAACCAGGCGCGTCGGAAGTCTGAGGGCACCATTATCCTGGTCACGCACTCGATGGTCTTCGCTCGTCAGGCTGACCATGTTGTGTATATGGAAAAGGGCCGAATTGTTGAGCAGGGCACGTTTGATCAGCTTGAAAGGGGCGGCGGCAGGTTCTCTGAATACATCATGTCCTCCAAGTCAGAGGAATCGAGCTCGGCCACATCCATCGCCACTACGCCAACCGCTGAAGCCGATGACAAGTCTGAATTGCGGCTCCCAGATGAAAGGGTAGCTAAGACAAATGTGGAAGAAAATAAGCAAGACAAAGATGAGCCCTCGGCTCTAGCAGGAAAACAGCCGACAGCACAGAAAGAAAGAGGCAAAGAGATCATGCAGCGTGAGGAGCGCCTCATCGGCACCGTCAGCGGAAAGACATACCTCCGCTACCTCAAGTTTGGCAACGCCTGGATCACGGTGCCCCTCTTCTTCGCAGCCATCGCCGTGTTCCAGGGCAGCAGTGTCGTCTCGCCCCTCTGGCTGAGCTGGTGGCAGACCGGCAAGTACGCCATGACGGAGGGCGTCTACATGGGCGGCTTCGCGGCATGGGGCATCGGCCAGTCACTCGGTCTCTTTATGACCAGCGTTGTATTTGCCCTTTTCTGCTTCTGGTGCTCCAACCACCTCCATGCTGCCGCCCTCTCGGGCATCCTATTTGCTCCGATTGCGTTCTTCGACACGACGCCGCAGGGTCGGATCACGCATCGCTTTAGCAAGGATATGGATGCCGTTGACAATGTCGTCGGCGAACAGTTGCGCATCTTCATCTCTACGACAGTGCAAGTCATCGGCACGATCATTGTCGTCAGCATCGTCCTGCCAGTCTTCTTGGCTATTGCGGCGGGTGTCTTGCTCCTGTATATCTGGACGGGCATGTACTACCGTCCGGCCGCGCGAGAGCTGCGGCGCCTGAACAACCTCCTCCGGAGCCGGATCTACGAGCACTTCAACGAGTCGTTGTCTGGACTGCCGACGCTGAAAGCCTTTGGTGTTGTGGGGCAGTTTGTCGATGATAACGCGCGCAAAATTGATACTGAGAATAAGGCGTACTGGCTCTCTATCGCCTGCGTGCGCTGGCTCAATTTCCGGCTAGATCTCTATGGGGCTGTGCTTGTCCTCGGCACGGGCCTGCTTGTAGTCGGGCTGCGTGATACTATCGATCCCGCTTCAGGAGGTGTGGTACTGTCCTACATGGTCACTGCCCAAGCAGCGTTTGGCAACATGATTCGCTTCAGCGCCGAGATTGAGAACAACATGAACTCGGTCGAGCGGTTGCTGTACTACGCTTATAACATCCCCCAAGAGCCCCCACATGATGTCAGGAACAACAAGCCTCTTAAGGAGAAGAACTGGCCCAGTAAAGGCCACATTAAATTCGAGAACCTCACGCTCAGCTACCGCCCCGAGCTGGACCCGGCACTCAAGGACGTGACGCTCGACATTCGTCCTGGTGAAAGGATCGGTGTCATCGGCCGGACGGGTGCGGGCAAGAGTACTCGTAAGTTAAAATACGCAGCAAAACATGCGTAGTGGCATCAACAGCTAACCTTTGGATCCCACAGTAATCACTGCTCTCCTCCGACTTACCGAGCCATCCAAAGGCCGGATCGTCATCGACGATGTCGACATCCACACCGTCGGCCTGCACCTACTACGATCAAACATGTCCGTCATCAGCCAGGACGCCGTGCTCCTAGCCGGTACTATACGTTATAATCTTGATCCTTTCCAGCAGTATGATGACGAATGGCTCGTACACTGCCTGCGCATGGTCGGGCTCGGCGGGGATGACAACAAGGCTAGCACGGAAGAAGCAGACAGCGACCCTGAGAAAGATACCGGACATCGCGGATCTGTCCTGCACCTCGACTCCGAGGTCAAGGAGAATGGATCCAACATATCACACGGCCAGCGGTCGCTGATCTCCATTGCCCGGGCCCTTGTCAAGCGGTCCAAGATTGTCATCTTGGACGAGGCTACGGCTTCTATCGATGGCCGGGCCGACAAGGAAATCCACGCCATGCTACAGGAGGTCACGGGTGATGCTACTGTCCTGACAGTGGCTCATAGGCTCGACACTGTTGTCGACTCGTGTGACCGGGTCTTGGTCATGGAGAAGGGGACCGTTGCCGAGTTCGATACTGTCTCTTCTCTATACGCCAAGCCGAATGGTCTGTTCAGGGCTTTATGTGATGCTGCTAAAATCACACTTTCAAGCTAGAGTAATAATCTGACTCAGGGGGTTGTACTCCGTCGGCACACATTATCTTGCGGGACTAGACAGCTAGACTAATGTATTTCGATACCCATGAATTTCAATGATCGGTTCAAAGTGAAGTTGGGTCTGTAAACTCAACATTCAACTGTGACGAAGCTTTCAGGTAAATTGATTTGTCACTATATTCTTTCAAAATGAGCGGACAGGGTCCAGAACATTTGGTCATGCCATATATTGCCAGGATGAGCTACTGACAGTGACAACCCGGCGGCATGGTCCGCTTATCGCCAAGACTCATGTCACTCTCGTCTCGCGAGTACTCCGTAATCATAGGACACTCACTTGATTACCGGAAGACACGTGCCGACTGCGGCAGAGTCAAGTCGAATCCAAGGAGGAGGACAGGCATACGGTTACGTTCGGAATCGAGACCGAGTGCGTGGTGAGGTGCTGTTCGGGAAGCAGGGGCATGCATAAAGTTATCTCGTGTCGAGGGATCGACGATCAACAGGTAGCGTTGGGATGGCGCGGACAACTCACAGTGTTTCTTGGCCTTCGATTGACATACATGATGAGAAAACGCAGGCTCTGAACTGAACAATGACCAACAAGCGCCCCATGCGCAGTGATCTTTGAAGGTTTGGGGTCACTTTGCCAAATTTGTATCGGGTGACTGGTTGGTGGTGATCTCACTTCCTGGCGCTCCTGTTCAAGAATTAGCAACAATCTTGAAAAGGCATTAAACCCTGGTAGGAAGTCAACACCGGAGCTGCGGTTTATGTCACACCAATAGGGGCTTTCAGTTCAAAGACAATACCCTCTTTTGCAACATCCCGCAGGGTGGCATCCGACGTCGGGCTCCAGATGTCGCCAGCCTCCGAATTGCAATCCTTTTGCAAACCCTCTGCGACCCCCAAATTCGCGCATTGCACCAGAGACAAGGGGCAAATTTTTTATCAGATCCTTTTTTCTTCTCCACTCACCGGTGCCAAGACAATGAACGAGGTCTGGTCTCGAATGAGATGGCAGCAAGGTGTAGGGATCGTCGGTATTGCGCGACGCGAGACTTGCCGATTCTTGCCTGATGGGACTCAAGCACAGTGCACCATTTACTGTGAGCGGCGCCTCGATTGGTTTATCAGATCCAACCCATGCCTCAAATGTCATGTTAGGCCCACCCGTGCCGCAAATGGAGCGTGCTAGATCAAAGTAGCTTCCCAGGCTCCATGCTTGACAGAGGGAGAATCGATTTCCAACTCGACACGACGTGACGCTAACGCACGTGGGACCCTGTACGAAAGGAGTACAATACTGTCTGTTGGTGGTTTTCCTCGTTCGATCCGGACTCTTTACGACGGGAGACCACGGATGGCTGCGGGCTACCAACAACTCATCCGGGATGCCCACTGCAAACCCAAAGCGTAAAACAGTGACGAGCCGACATTACACCTTCCCTGGTCCTCGTTTCTCTCTCTTCTTCTTCTTTCTTTTCCTCTAATCTTTCTCGTTGTCTTTCAAAGGTCTTCAGGGTCCAATTTGAAGCTCTCCTGGGAGCTCAGTACAGCAGACCACAGAACCAAACCATGTCGGCACCCGCTGACAACGAAAAGTCTGCGGGCTTTGAGCCCAAGACAACGGCCGCTGCTCCCACCGAGTCGGCCGTGCTGCAGCAGGTGACCGAGTCCAACAACAAGGCCGACGCCTCCTCCCTCTCCAATGGCTCGCGGCGGGACTCGGCCCAGGGGTCCCCGTCCGACTCGGACAGCGGCCCCAAGGAGATCGGCGTCAGCAGGGTCGAGGCCTTCAACAAGGTACTCTACAAGTCGGGCAAGAAGGGCAAGATCTTGCTCTGGCTGCTCGCCGCCTCGATCGGCCTGACCATGTTTGCCTACGCTCTCGACATGGGCATCACTACCACCATCTTTGGCGCCCTGGCCGCCTCGACCTTCAAGGTGCACAGCGAGCTGGCCACCGTCAACACGGCTGCCCAGATCATCCGCGCCATCAGCAAGCCCTTTATCGGCAAGATGGCCGACATCACCTCCCGCCCGACCACGTACGTTGTGATCCTGGCCTTTTATGCCGTAGGGTTTGCCGTCGCGGCCAGTGCCAGCACCTTCGCGTCGTACACCGTCGGCATCTGCTTCACCTCGGTCGGCAAGTCGGGCCTCGACCTGCTCAGCGACATCATTGTCGCCGATCTGACTCCGCTGGAATGGCGTGGCTTCTTCAGCGCCTGTCTTTCCTTGCCCTTTATTGTCACGGTGCCCATCAATGGTTTCATCGCCGATGGTTTCTACGACGACTGGCGATGGGGCCTGGGTATGTTTGCCATCCTCGTGCCCGCCCTCCTCATCCCGGCCATCATGACCCTCTACGCCATGCAGCGGCGCGGCGAGAAGGCGGGCATGGTCACCATTGCTGACTCCAAGGACGTCCGCACTGGCGTCTCCGAGGCTACTGGCAAGGGCCTCGGATACTGGGCCAAGCTGGCATATAAGGGCCTCATTGATATCGACATCATCGGCCTCATTATTCTCGGGTTCGCCTTCTCTCTGATCCTTTTGCCTATCACCCTGGCCAAGAGCGCCAATGGCGGGTGGAACAATCCCAGCATGGTCGCCATGATCGTCGTCGGCTTCGTTGCTCTCATCATCTTCGTGCTCTTCGAGATCTACGTCGCGCCTAAGCCCATGATGACGCGGCGCATCCTCAACAACCGCGCCTTTATTGCCGGCGTCATCATCCACACCTTCAACCAGATGGCCTCGTCGGTGCGCAACACCTACTTCTCATCCTACGTCCTTATTATCAAGCAGTGGACGACCTACCAGTGGACCATCTTCCTTGGCATCACCACCATGGGCCTCTGTATCGTGGGCCCCATCGTGGGGCTGGTTCACCGCGCCACCCATCGCTACAAGAGCGTCATGATCTTTGGTGCCGGAGCCAAGGTCCTCGGGTACGGCATCCTCATCCAGCCTAGTGGTGACATGACGCAGGACACGGCCCGCCTCGTCGCCGCGCAGCTCATCTTCTGCCTCTCATCGCTCAACGTCGTTGGCGCGCGCGTAGGCGTGCAGGCCTCGGTTTCGCACGATGACATCGCCTCGCTCATCTCCATCATCACTCTGTGGTCGACACTTGGCTCGAGTGTCGGCAGCGCCGTTGCGTCTGCCATCTGGACCAACCAGATGCTTGACGAGATGCGCCGGCAGATGCCGACTGTGCCCGAGGCCACCCTCAAAAAGATCTACGGCAGCATCAAAGTGCTGCGCAACTACAAATGGGAGGACCCCATCCGCCAGGGGTCCATCCGCGCTTATGCTATTGTCAACGGGCACATCACCACCGCCTCGATCTGCCTTGCCTGTGTGACTCTGTTCGCCTCGCTGTTCATGCCGGACTACTACCTGGGCAAGCAGCAGAACGCGGTCAACAACAAGGGCCTGGACGGCGAGCTCGTCGAGGTCCCGGATCAGCGCAAAGATGGTGCGGTGGTTGCTGAGTCTGAGAACAGAACAGTGTGGCAGAAGCTGGTTGCTCTGTACCGCAAGTAGATCAGTTCCAGATCTCGAAGCCATATTCGGTGGATTTCTCACGGTCTGAACTTGTATATAATGTCGCCAATGTGAGATCACTTCTGGCAAGCCTTTCCTCAGGAACCTTGCTGGCAGAAATACCATAGTTGATAGCACACATAAGAAGAATGTAAAACAAACGTTTCAACCACATTTAACCTAGCTTTAGAGGCGTCGTGGTCAGCTGCCCACGCACGCCAGGAAAGTGAATCCTGCTCTATGCCCTCGTAACAGAATAGGCAATGCAATAGTGGACTCGATAAGTCTCTTCTAGAACCCAAGCAAATCAAGGCAGGCTCTGGACCGTAAAATGAGAGGAACATTTAACAACCGGCCGGTCACCCAGTTTCCACGTGATTCATGCATGCTGACCCACTGCAGTTACTTATCTGATCATCTGATAAATACCCGCTCGCACGCCGCTCCCGATCCTTCATTACCCAATGCACGATAGTTACAACATTCAAACGCACACTACCAACCGGACATCGTCAAGCGAGAGACCAGCAGACACATGCTCACATGAGGTCGAGCGACAATGCAGATTCGGCGCCTGGGTCTCGCAGCATGCTTCAACGCTTGCTTCGCACCTGGGCTGGCCCAGGCGGCAGCCCCTGTGGTGGACGGCAAACTCTGCGGCAAGGCATGTCGCCAGACCTTTCGGACGGTACGTTTCTCAGACGCTCCTGACGGAGCCTACTTTCAATTGCAAGAGTGTAGCAGCCTTCTGCACCAGCAAGCGCTTTATCTCTGCTGGGATCTTCACTGCCTCGAGGAGGTCCGACTTGCCGAGGCAACGATCCTGAATGAGACATGTATTGAGATCTGGGGCGCGTATATCCCACCGCACGATGTTGTGGACGGATTTGATGATGGCGACATAGCCCAGTTTGCAAGGTTCGACGAGAGCCTGGACCGTATGCACAGTGTGGATGAGGTGGTGCTGCCAACACAGGTGTGGTATGAGCTTTGGATGCGCACTCTGGTTGGTTTTCTCCTCTCCTTTTTTTTCTCTTTTGGACTTTCAGAGCCCCATTGTGATTGAAGAGACTTGCTGAAAATGTCGGTAGGATTCATATAACTTCACGCATCGTTACCATTCCTGCTACGGTTGGGCAATGGGCATTTTCTGGGCGTTTGTTGTTGCTTTGGGCATCGCTAATAGAGCATTTACACGTCTGGCAACTTGGTCCTCGCGATCGGCCTCCTGTCAGAGCCGGAGTTCGTTATGGTTGAAGCGCCATATTTTCATGCCGGCGACATTTGGTCGACGCTGCGTACAAGACTTCGCGGGCTGGGGCACATTACCTCCTCGAGTGCAGTCATTAACTGTTGTTTTGTTTGTTCTCGTCAATGTTGCATGCACCATACATGGATATAGGATATTCCCGGGATACGTTTAGTGAGTTCTGCTCAGCGCTTTTGTTTCTGTCTCTGCATCACTTGCTAAGATGGCGGTCGCCAAAGCTACCCTACCGTGAGTCAGCAAGTGTTCCGACACGTCTCTGATAGGACGGGTATTATGTCGTTTGCCAACTTCCCCATCATTTGGCTCTTTGGTATGAGGAATAATGTTGTCATATGGCTCACTGGATGGCACTTTGGGACATACAACAATTTTCACCGCTGGGTAGCGCGGGTCGCTACTTTTCAAGCTGTCGTCCACTCGATAGGATATACTATTCTAATCTTACGGAGTCAGTCACAAACCGAAACCCTTTGTTTTTCTGCTACTGACGTTCCTCTTAGAGGGTGGAACCGATTACTTTTGGCAGATGTGCAAAATGTTGTACTGGTGGACTGGGGAGCTGGTCAGTTATCAGACCATCGACTCCTCTACCTTGATGCTGATCTTGACACAGGCCACCATCTTCATGAGCTTGCTAATTGGCTTCTCAATGCTTTGGATAAGACGCAGACAATACGAGATCTTCCTTATTGTTCATATTGTGTTCTCTGCCCTGGTTCTCCTCACAATGCTAGGGTAGGTTGACCCGTCTCTCATAGAGGGACATTGCACGCTAATCTTGACGCAAGGCACGTCTCAATATTCAAAGGCGCTTACGATCCTCTCTGGTATATTCCAGCTTGTATCTGGCTTTTTGACCGGATAGTTCGTGGCCTTCGAGTTGTGGCCTTCAGCCCGCGTTTCTGGAGCGCAACTGCCCAGATAACATACAACGGGGACGCCCACATGGTCCGTCTCGTCGTTCCAGTATCCCTAAGTTTTTATCGCATTGAGCCCGGAACCTTCTATTACCTTATGGTGCTCAACAAGTGGAATTTCTGGGAGAGTCACCCCTTCACGGTAGCATCGGTGTCTAGAGGCGCTCACTACGATGTGGAATCGGGAGACGAGACATCGCCCCTGCTACGCCATGGGCCTAATTGCTCGGACTCCATCGTGGAAGATTCAGAGAAATGTACTCAAGAAATGACGTTCCTGATTCGACCTTATGAGAGCTTTACGTCACGGCTAAAGGGGTACGCAGAAGAAAGGCACCCTGAGCCAGCTAGGGTGAGGATTGCGGTCGACGGGCCGTACGGAGAGACTTTGCCTCTGAAACACTTCAGCAAGGTAGTCTTCTTGGTCGGTGGTAGCGGTATCGCGGTTCCGCTGTCGTACTTACAGCAACTTACCACATCCTCACCGCTGCCAAGGTTAATCCAGATTCACTGGACCATCCGGCAGCCGGCACTGGCCGTCGATGTGCTCAACCGCGAACTTAACGACGCTCTCAATTGCGATCGAGTGAAGATATTCGTGTATGTCACAGGGGCTGACGGCAGTGAAAGGAGTGACGATGCTATCTTCCGCCTCGCAGAGTGGAAGTCCACGCGGATGAAAGTCGAAGAAGTCCTTGACGCAGCACTAGATGTCGCTCAAGATGGCAGTCTAGCGGTCGTTGCGAGTGGTCCAGGCAAGATGGCGGATGATACTAGAAGAGCGGTGGCGGCGAGGATAGTGCATACTTTGCCGCGTATAGAGTACTTTGAAGAGAGCTTTCAGTGGTGATAGGGCCTAACATGATAGAATCTGGGTGTGTTGAGTTGCAACAGCGAGTTAAACAATCTAATAGATAGATCGCTGAGGTCACCGGGGGCTTGATAGTGTTATTATTTGTTGTGCGTGCTGCATCCACCTCTGAATTGACTCTTTTGTTCGGATCATCCCTTCTTTGCCTATCCTTCGTGCTCCTATCATCGTCTCCTAGGGCATCGCCATGCCAGAAATGCAACTATGAGCGCTGGTATCCCAATACCGAGCGAACACGCTATCCCGACCTTAGAATCTCGCGATAGCCCTGAGCTACTATCGGAGACCTTATGGTCCTTGTTTATGTCTGAGCCGTCCCGCGAAGTCGTCTGAGATAGCTTCACGCTTGGAGTAGTGTCTGGATAGTTCGCTCTCGACGTTGTATGAGATTTGTTCTCCGTCGAAGCTATCCCAGGTTGGCTCGTGCCAGAGGCCAAATCAGGTTGCATCCCACTCTGTTCTGTACTCGGCTGGTTCGTGCTCAAAGACGTGCGAGAGAGCAACGTACTCGTTGTGGTTGGGACCAATTTTAGGGTGGAGGGAGACGATACAGACGTCACGAACCCCGAAGGAGATCCTTGCGCCGTTAAGGCCACTATATTTGTCATCAGCTTTCTGAATGAAACCCTCGGAACTCTTGAGCTCTTTCTCTTCATGCTTAGACACATACACTTGTTGTAACGCGTGCCAAAGAAGGTACTTTCTCTAGGAGCACAAATGTATTCAGAGAGGGTGCTCTGGCCACCATCGACTTCAACTTCGCGAAGGCCACAATTCTTGGCCGTAGAGGGACTGTGCGTCTTAGCTTTATCTGAGGCATAATAGCTGAGAATATACTTACCAGATCCATGTCGATGTACCGTCAAATCCCCTCATGGAACCACTTGAGCATGCGGTGTAGTAATACCACCCTATATCCACGTCATAGCAGCCCGCCCATTGATCTCTCGAGGTAAAGATTCGGCCAGGCTCGCAGTACAGGACTGTTACCAGGTTATGTTATGGTCTGAGGACCCATGTATGCTTCTCACGAGAGCTGGAATTCTTTACTTACCACTGGGACCTGAAGAGCCACTGAAGCATGCATAGAAATTCGGGGGAGCCGCAGGAGGTATAGACTGTGTCACCGGAGCACGGGGCGGGTTTCGGCTGCTATCAAATGTCGTTGGAGGAGGAGCTGTAGTTGTACAGCAACTTAGACTCGCATATAAATGTAGGAATATCACGAGAACGAGTCGCATGATAACAGTCATGATGATTATGAAACTGTGCAACAACAAAGTATGGACAGGGAAAGAGATAGCAGGGTAGGAACGGTATTTGAGTGGGACCAAGTTTCTATTTTATATTTCAGGCTCTCTGGGCAATCATGCTGCCCAGCCTCACAGCTCAGCAACGGGCTCAGATGCCCAAAATAGTGTCCATACCTTCCTATTGAATCGGATTATTATCTATTGGCTGAGAAGGAACAATTCTTCTCAGTTGGAAGCGCCTCACATATAGATGGGAGCGCGAATCTGGACAATGGGCGGCGCTGTAAACGTGTCTGGGCAGGCAAACGACCAATGAATAGAGGTCTAGGTCAACACAAGCCACCTTCCAACATAACCTAGTGCTTGGTCAGCATGTGGGCAGTATGATAGGTTCGAAATAAGCGCGTGTGAGTACAGATGTCGGCCGAGCACGAGACCAGATTATTATGACCAGGCTGAGGTTTTGGGCCCACGCGTTAGCTCTGCGTCTTCGCACGGTACCGTCAGTTGACAAGTCGGCATATCTCTTCAGATATCGAAACGCCCATATGGCGCTTATCAGTACTCGGCCAAAATGACTGTCGACGAGGCTCCAAGTGGTATTCTCGGCTGTTGAGAACTCCACCCGGTCAGGTTATGGATCAGGGGACGACCTGGTAGTATAAGTACTTCCCCTCCATCAAACTCATCAGTTTCAGGTACAGGGATAACCCGTGATGTTGTCAAAGTAAAGAAAATGTGTTGTTACAATGGATCGAGTGATGGAGACGTTTGAACCGGTCCAACACTTTCTAGTACTTCCTCAGAGAGCATTGCGGCAAGTATACCAGTTCTTTGATTATCCCTATGGCGTATTTTCATAGGATTCCAATGAGAGACGCCGATATTTTCAGCTGGCCTTGACTGGCTTGATGAGAACGCTGTGATTGGTGGTTGAACTTCGAGGCTGAAAGAGGGGCAGATCATGAGGCACAGAAGCGCGCGTCAGGGCAATGCCACCCAAAAGCACTTTACTCATCGAGCAAGGCACACATGTGGCTGCCGATCGACGGCAATTCAAACTCAAAAGCCAGACCCCTCTCTTGCAGCGTCACCGGCCGAGTATGAGGCGCTTCGTTCGCAGAAAACTTCATGTTGGCAAGGAAGCTTCATCGATGCAAATTGATGATGCATCCAAGGACCCAGCTTCGTCCACAAGCTCGTTCACACCCGACGCAGCCGTACAGGGTGACTGCAGCTATGGAATGCATGTCCTGGTCGCAAAGCCACATGACGAGGCGGGCTTGATTGACATTGTTGCTCTGCACGGCCTCAACGGACACTACTACCATACCTGGACACTTCCAGCAACAAGATCCAGCCCAGCATGCAACTGGCTGGAGAGAAGCCTACCCCGCGAGGTACCTAAAGCCCGCGTCATGTCATACAGCTACGACTCTGCTGTATTTGCCAAGTCGCAGGCGAGCATTGGGGATTTCGCCGATCTGCTGCTCCAAGACCTTATGGCGGAACGATCATCAGTGGCGGAGAAAGAACGTCCCCTGCTGTTTATTTGTCATAGCCTGGGCGGCATCGTCTTCAAGAAGGTAGGCTGGTTCGGGTCTAAGACTTCTACAGCAAAGAATCGTTGATGAACGTCTCAGGCTCTTATTCGCGCACGCGAACGAGATCGATACGAACAGACATTGCAGAAGGTCCGCGGTGTGGCATTCTTCGGCACCCCGCATCGGGGTTCTTCCATAGCGGATTGGACAAGTATACTTGGCAGAATCTTAAAAGCTGCCTCTCCGGGGGTCAATGCGAACACACAATTGCTGGATAGCCTTCGAACGCAGTCAGAGGTCCTATACGACATATCAACGTCCTTCGTAGACCGAGGGAAAGGTTTGAGTATACTCAGTTTCCTAGAGACACAAGCGTTACCGCCTTTAAACACGATGGTAGGCTAGACCCTTAAGACGCCATCCTGGCTGCAGAGTCTGATACCCGTTAGGTTGTCGATAAATCTTCCGCCACCCTGTTCGTTCCAAACGAGACAGTCGTTCCCCTTCCTGGTGACCATCGGTCGATATGCCGATTCTCAAACACCAAAGAATATGAGCTGCAACGAGAAACCGTCCTACGTTACATAGGCCAGGTGTGTGAAGACATGTTGTGGACTGAGGCCACTTTCGTATCCAGTGAGTTCAACAGAGAGCTTCCGAGACGACGCAACTAATGCTATTCTAGCCCTGTCACATGCGGAACAGAGGCTCTGCCTGAAGCAACTTTACCCGGGGAATTATGAATCTTTCAAGGACTTCAACGTCGAAAGTGTTCCAGGGACTTGCGAGTGGGTCCTGAGACATCCACAATACCGAAGCTGGAGCGAAGGCGACACTTCATGTTTGTTATGGGTATCAGCAGACGCGGGCTGTGGCAAGTCCACTCTCGCAAAGTTCCTCGTCGATCGCCTGCGTACTATTAGCTTTCCGGAGAAACCACCATTCTCCGTGTGTCATTTCTTCTTCAAGGAAGGGATCAGCGAACAAGAAAGCACCGTTCTCGCCCTCCGTGCGATCTTACATCAGATCTTTACAAGGGATCGTGCTCTCATGCGGCATTTTCTCCCTTCATTTGAGGCGAAAGGTGAAGCAGTGATGAGCGAGCTCAACACGCTTGTCCAAGTTCTGACCTCAATCACGCGTGACCCTGAGTCTCCCAGCTTCATAATTGTCTTCGACGGGCTAGATGAGTGTTCAGAGGCTCATTTACGTGGGCTGCTCCAGGCTATAAACAGTCTCTATCAGGCGGACAACGAACCTACACGAGCCTCGCAGTTCCTCAAGATCTTGATGCTCAGCCGTCCAGAGAACCTGATCAAGAACACTCTGAAGCGCCAGCCGATGACTATCCGCCTTCGAGGAGAGAATGAGATAGAATCAATCGGAAAGGATGTCTCGTTAGTCATACGCCACTTACTAGGTGGATTGGAAGAGGATGGCATACCACACGACCTGCTCAACGAGTTTGGAGAAAGTCTGGAGCATGGGGCGGATAACACCTTTCTTTGGGTCACCCTGATGATACAAATCCTCAAAGACCGCAATCAAACACAAGGGGGCACATCTCGAAAAGAGATACGGCAGCTTCTCAGCGATCACAGCATATATTCAGTATACAACCACCTGCTCAAGAAAATTGGCAATCACTCTGACACGCGGAAGATGGTCGAGATAATACTCGCTGGATCTCGGCCTCTGTCGATCCTCGAAATGGGCACTGCTCTCGCGTCGTCTCCTGCACATTGCACTTTGGAGGACGTTGCTAACGACATCAAGTATCCATGTGAGGATTACGTGAAGTCATTAGGCGGTCACTTCATCAGGATTATTCATTCTGAAATTTTTCTCGTTCACCAGACCGCTCGTTCATTCCTTCTCAATTTCCACGAGGTTGCAAGTCAAGTCTCAAGACCTCCGCGGGGGTTGGGATGGCAACACTCCTTCACAATAGATGCTGCCCACTGCACCTTGGCAATGGCCTGCATATCATATATGGTGTGCGTGGAACGCTCCCTTCAGAATTGCAGGGCTCCCTTGATTCCAGCTTTCGCGTATACTGGACCATCTGCTTTGAGGAATGAGGTTCCGCATGTTCATTCCCAGGATGATACAGTTGATAAGATCCAGTGGGTTTTGCCTTCATGGAGCCCTGGAGCATGTACGACAGTCGGCCATGATTTTGACAGCTCGTGCGGCCCATTCTGGTGGTATGCTCTGGAGAGTTGGAGAACCCATCTCAGCTCCTCGGCGAAAGCTGGAGGAAGGCAAACCTTGATTGACAAGGTCTGGGAGCTCTGCCAAATAGTGCCAAACGAGCCGGGATACCCCTTTTGGACCCGGCAGCATTGGTACCTTTCTCGGACCCAACATAAATTCCTCGATACGCAGTTTCGAGGCAGGTGCTGGGACCGCGGGAGCAACCTGTCTCCAGCAGCTAAGATAGCAAGAGTCGTTGCAGGGATCCATATCACAGATGTCATGACCCGTTTCCTCGAACTCCACACGGGCGCGCATGTTGTGGACGGCGATCCACTGCTACACATAGCCGCCGCCCTTGGGATGATCTCGGACATTTTATTGATACTTGAGAATGGGGCTGATATCCACGCGCTGGACTCTGAGGCCCAGACCATTGCACATCTAGCTCTGGAGAATAATACGCTACAAGACGGTGGACTGGATGACGGTGATGATGCACAGGACAACAGTGAACGGCTCGGCCCCAGTCTGCTACGTCTTCTGAGCTTCCTCATTAGCCGCGGCGCTGATATAAACTCTCGAGGGTGCGAAGGAAACACGGCGCTGCACTGGGCCGTGAGAGCCTGCACCGCTGCGGCAGTGAGAATGCTGCTACAGCTTGGGGCAGACACATCAGTTAGGAACTACGCTGGAGATACTCCGCTATGGGTAGAAACACCAGAGGATTGTCGCGAGCTGGTAGAGTTGGTACTCGACCAGGCACCGCACAGCGTCGAGCCGAGGGGGGACACTATCGTCCATATCGTCCACCAACACGGGAGCGCGTCGATGAAGAGCAAGATTCTTCCGCACGCGGCTGACCTTGTCATCTTGGACGATGATGGACACAATCCCAGTCGATTCATTCTACGGCGGTCGACTGTCAATCCAGATGATATCACAGAACTACACAGAAGGTATGGCAGAGTTGCTGAGGATGAGGATGTGGAGATGGACCCCTGGCATCTGAAACGAAAGTTTTCAGAGCTGTTCTAGCAATAACATCTCTATACCTTTTCCTAGAAGAAACCTAGCTGAATTCGTTGAACAAAATGCGATCCGCCTTCGGCTCAACCAGTTGGGGGGTGGGGGGGACAAAGAGACTTCTAGAGCTCCGTTCGAGTTGTTTGAACACTTCCAAGTTGTTTAGGTGGGTCCCGCTGCTGCTTTAAGTCGCACGATATTCTAGGAAGTAGTAGTGCAGGTGGAAGAATGCGCTCGATTCAGACAGTGACGTCCTTTGGCACTTTGATGATGATCGATCCAAACCAGGCGGGGCAGCCAGCGATGGGTCGACACGCGAGACGAGCCCGGTATCCGCAAGTTACGGTCGGTCCTCCACGTAGATCGTGCCAAATTTCAGGGGCTGCCACCAGCGCCGCTGACCCAGACAGGGCCTCTTTGATGAGGGAACAGACAAATACCCAGCTGGAATTATTGCCGCCGTCGATACCTGGTGTCTGAAAGATTTGACTACTCCATCCGTGATACTAGTTTTTCACTGTGGTAATCTTATTGAATTGACGCTAATTATCTTGCATTTGCACAGTGACAACCTCCAGAATCTTATACCTAATACGGCCTAAGCTGATTTATACAAACACACTGTCAAGCAGATATCTGATCTGTGCCTTTCTGTAATCGTCCGTGGCGGTGTAGCGTAGATTTGTCTTGTTCGTATCAAACACCAAGTTCTCGGGGTTGGAGCTCGTGTACTGCGGCCACTCGGTGCCGTCGATGTTGGGGTTGGCATCGCTCATGAACCTAACCCACATCCTGCTCATAAGATCCGCAAGCTGGATGTAAGTCTCAGGCTTACCCTCGAAGGGATTGGCAGAATAGCCGCGACCGTTCACGTTGTTGAAGACGAATGCGACCTCCTGGAAGTGAGTTGCGCCGTAAATGGGGTTGGGAAGGCCATTAACGATGACATTCCAGAGGTAAGAGTAGACGGGAAGACCAGCAGCCGCATATGTCTCAACCAGGCTCCTCCTGCCGCTGTGCTGCTGGTAGTCTCCAGCAAGTGCGGCGACGCGCTTGAACTGGAGGCCGTACGGAGAAGCCGGAGGTCGGCCTTCATATGATGCGGGGATGCCAACGGCGGGGTCATCAGGGTAGAGCGTCGAGAGTTGGTGGATCTGGGTGGCAGAGAGCCCAAGACCGCTGAGCCATGCTGTCCACTGGGCGTCGGTGCTGATGCCCTGCTTGGCGTACGCCGTACCCTCGTCAAAGTTGTTGCCGGTCAAGAGGGGAACGTGGGCGAACTTGCCCTGCTTCAGAAGGGCTGAGGCCTGAGCAGTTATAAAGTCACCGTCAATGACGGCGCCGAGGGTAGGTGCTGTGACGCTCAGGGGGTTGGAGCCATTGAAAATGGCGTTCAGGGTTTGCCAGGGCAGATCTCTCAGGCAGTTCAGCCGGTCGCCCGCGTCGGAGCAGCCGGTCTTCGCGACAAGAGCATCAAAGTACGGCTGCCAGCCGGTGGCATTGTTGAAAATGGCTATCGGGCTACCACTCTCAAGAATAGCGCTTTGAAACAGGTTGCCATGCTGACCGTCGTGGGCCACAAGCTGCATGCCCAGGGACCGGGCGCCAGCGGACTCTCCCCAGATGGTGACCTTGGAGGGGTTGCCGCCAAAAGAGGCGATGTTGTCTTGAAGCCATTGAAGAACCATGCGTTGATCTTTGAATGCGATGTTGCCAGCTCGGGCATTCTGCATCTCTTTGCTGAAGAGGAAGCCCCAGTTTTGCAGACGGTAGTTGATGGACACGGCGACGATCGGCTTCTGCTCCTTGACAGACTGCTCGACGATGGCACCGAGATCGTATCTGGGGTCACGGGAACCGCCCATAACATAGCTCTATCAGAGGAATGTCAGTATCAACGGGGCGTCGATGCTTTTGGGGATTAAACCTACGCCGCCATGTACCCAGACACCCACAGGGAGGTTGTCACCAGCCTTGACGCCCCGAGGACGAACAACGTTGAGTGTCAAACAATCCTCGTTAACCGGATTGCCCAGATTGGCCGTGTCTGATCCATAGCCGATGCACATCCAGCCGAAATTGGTGGCATTGCGCTGTCCAAACGACTCCGTCAGAGGCTCTGGTGAGGCAAACCGGAGACGGCCGACTGGAGGTTGAGCGTATGGGATGCCGAGGAACTTGTCTTGAGCATACTCGGTGCTCTGGACGCCATAATAGGTGCCGGTGCTCAGCTTGGCGGTAGGAGGGCAAGCAGCTGCAGAAGTGGTCCCTGCAATGCAAGCCACAGCCCCCAGAAAGGCGGCGATGGTTGCCACGCGCGAAGAAAGCATCTCAGCGAAGGCAGACAATTCACCTTTGACTTGTTTGTCTCAGCTGAAGCGTTGGTGTCCAAGCCACAGGCAATGAGGAAAAGATACGAAGTAAGGTAACTTGAACTGGATTTGGCTACTCTGTGTCCTGCCGATCCCATAGTCTTGTAGGTAAGTCCGTGTCAATCATAGCGTCAAAGCGCCCATCCAAATACCCCTTGCCTGTCTCCATAGCATGACGATCCCCAGCTATGGATCCGCGGATTTGCCGAAACTGGGTTTTCCTCCAGATCAGCGATGTTATGCTCGACGCTCGATCCGAACCCTTGCAGTCCGACAAATAAGCTTTTAACAACGCACATACCATCGCACCCAGATTTTATCTTGACAATACTATGGGTTCATTGACTCGCAGTGGAATAACTATCTTTTCAGGCTACATCGCCTGCCTACGGAGTAGTCAAGAACAAAGTCTGAAGGGGGACTTGCGGATCCTAGCAAACCTGCCATGGCACCATCTCGGTGCCCCGTGTCGAGGACGCCCAGAGATCGCGTGGCTTACAACTTGGAAGCAGACCATGTCGGATGGGTCCCTCTTCTCAGCTCACCTCGTATGTCATAAATCAAATGTCAAAGCGCAGAAAGCCAGAAAACGGGCTACTTCTATTGGACTCCGATGTTGCTTGATGATGTTTGTGAACTTGTCCAAGTACAAGTATTGTAGATGGCAAGGCTCCCGATTCTTCAGCACCATGCAGATTCCAGAACAATGTTGTCCTCCCTAGCGCGCAATCGGTGGTTGCCGATGGTAGTGCGAGCAACGTTCCAAAGATTGTACTAATTACACACAACCCGGCAATAGAAAAGACCTAACTTGCTCTGGCTTGGGGACGAGTAATGCAAGCAGTCCTGTTTAAGGAGAGGGGCGTTTGCAATGCACGTACTTGTAGTCTACCTACCTTGGAGTAGATCCACTCCTGCATGAAAAAGTCCAAGAGAACCGGTTCCTGATCGGGCGCCGTAAGTGTTCCACCATTCCACTGGTGTCTCCGAATCAGGCTAAGAGAACCTAACCGTACGCCTGGAGCGCCACCATTCCACCACCCAACAGCTAGAACCCAGGAACGAACAAGTGGGGAGAAAGAAGCTTACTTGTAGTGATGACCCCCTCCCCTTTCCCCTGGCCTCGTTCACTAATAAACCCAGCGTGGATGGAGCCTCCCCCTTGCCTTGGAACCACCTCCCGACTTATTCGTCGTCTCCTGTGCTTACGTGCACTAGGTATCGTCGCCATGGCCGATGAGAGAGGGACTCGCCTTGTGGCCGCATGTTGGTCGCTCACAGCTGCAGCCGCGATCTTGCTCTTCTTGCGCATCTACTGCAAGATGTGGAGAGGCAGAGGTCTGTGGTGGGACGACCACCTGCTGATCGTCTCATGGGTAAGTCTTACAAGTCCCTGATTATGCATGCTGGGCCTGCAAGCTCATGGGACTACGAACCAGGGGACATTGGCGATCGCCGTCTCGATCAATACCTACATCGTCTCGCTGGGCTTCGGTCGCCATATCGACACCATCAGCGATGAGAACTTGAGGACCATCAACCTCAACACGATTCTCGTCGCCACCTTCGGGATCATAGCAACCACGACCAGCAAATCGTCTTTCGCCCTCACGCTGTATAGGATTTCCACGAGTACTTGGATGAGGTACTTCCTCATCTTTGTCATCGTAACAGTCAATATATCGATGAACCTGGTTTGGATCTTTGGCCTTGCCAAATGCACGCCATTTGAGAAGGTTTTGAACTCCAAGTTCCCTGGGACGTGCTGGGATAGATCGAAACTCCTCAAGTTCCAACTATTTGCCGCTTGTAAGAGATGACGAACACGTGCCCGGGTGCGACGGCTAAACATTCACAGACTACTCAGCCATTCTAGACTTTGTCTTGGCTCTCCTGCCATGGCAGATCCTCGTGGGCATGAAAATGAGGCGCCGCGAGAGATTCGGCGTCGCTGCGGCAATGAGCTTAGGCGCTATGTGAGTAACTCCCAAGGCTCCTAGATACCTGCACTAAAGCTGACCTGAACTCAGAGCTGGTATCACGGGCATTGTCAAGTCAGTCCTAGTCGTCAAGATGAGCAGTCCCGACTTCACATATGAACGGGTCGACCTTACTATTTGGACCTTGACCGAGCCCGCTGCGTCGATAATGGCAGTCTCCATTCCGATCCTGTAAGTAAAAACCCTTTCACAAGTCAAGATCTCTCAGCTAATTGGATAAAGGCGTATGCTCTACCGAGAGATCAAGTCAAGTCGCTCCGGATACAAATCAGGCAGCACGAAGCCCAACCACGCAGGCACGGCAGATATGAACCAAGGATCTGATGCCAGACGGTCCAAGCGATTCGCCCCTCATTCAAGATATGGCCGGAACTCCGTCCTCATCATGTCAAATTCCGGTTGGGAAGAGTCTCAAGAAGCTCTGCAGGAGGCGGGGACTAGTCGAACCAGGATACCTCCCAACCACGGCGGAGTTCTCAAGACGGAGGAGGTGAGGGTGCAACACGAACGTTTAAGTGATGAAGATTCTATAGAACTGAAGATAATGGGGCGGGCGGGCAGGCAGGATGATAAAGGCTTTTCATCTGCCTAGAATATCAGACTCGGGCTTGAATGCTGCATCCAAATTGGCTAGGTAAGTGGATGAGAAAGGACACAAGACGACTCAGTATGTAAACAAGATCTAGAAATTGGCGTCACCACCCCCTTAGCTATCTCTATTCGATTGGCGGTCTTGTGATGGCTTGCTCTCGTGCTACTTGCGTTCTCACCTACGTCATCCGTATTGGAGGCTTTCGTGGCGGAGGTCTCCGTGCCTGATGGCTTTAATGTTGGTCGTTTGTCGGACACTTTTGCGTCTGGAACCAGACCTCTGGTGGTAACTTCTATGATGTGTCTGTAGCTTCCTTTCAAGGATCTGAGCAATCAAGAAAGTATCCTTGACGCAAGTGGCAGATGATATTGAAACTGAAGAACCTATTCAGACTTGAAAGCCCATAGGGTCATATCTTAGATGAGAATTGATACTCCAACTGTAAAATCTCATAGACCTAAACTTCAAGCGGTCGCTAAGATTCTTCAACGTATACAGGATTGAAAACACCAAGGCCATCTTCTGAGACGTGGCCACGGTTCTGAGATTGTTGAGTTCGTCCGGAATGGAATGTCCTTGACTTGCAAAGAGGACGCGCTGCTTTCGCGCGTGGTAAACTGTCGCTTGCTTTTTTTTTTTTTTTTTTTTGTGAAGAGCAATGTTGCGAACACATCGATGATACGCCCTCACTGTTAACAGGATCATCATGACGATGGGTTGATGAGGTTATTGTTCCTGGAATTAGCCATGTGAGTGAGTATATTCCCACTATTGACTCAAAGACCACGACTTGCTCCCATTGATAATTCAAAGACAGAATTGATCAACTTTGAGGATCGTTCGAGAAATTGCCGGTCAAGTTGTACCGTTTATCCCTTTTGTCACAACTTGATCCTCATTTCTCCTTCTAATGCCCTGCTGCAGTAGAAGGTTCCTCAGTAACTTGATCACTTGCGATGAAACGATAATAAAACCCGTCCAGGGTTCGCGAGTAATGACCGCCAGCGTCGCGAAATCTTCATCTTAGCACGAGCAGGAGAAGAGAAAAAAAGCTTGTTGTGAATCTTGATCAATTTTATTCTATTCTAGGCAATAGAACAGGTTATCCCTCTCCAGTGTTGCCGTAACGAACCAAGTCTCCCCTGCTTCCCAACCCAACCCGAGGGTCTCCAGTCCTCGAAAAGGGGAGAAAGATGACAGAGAGAAGGAATCTAGGTCTATCTAACAGGCGACTAAGAGTCGAACATGCTCTGATCATAGTCATGAAAAAAGCGACAAGCAGAAATTAGGACAGAAACAAAAGAAAAGAAAAAGAACCCAGGATGCAGAAAATGCCCAGAACCGTAACACCAGACCGCAACTTTTCATGACCGGGCCCAATTATTCATTGAACGTGAAGAAGGACAAAGAAAAAGAGGATAATGCACGCCAAAAAGGCAAGGTGGGGTGAGCACACCAAAGCGGCCATCGCTTAGATGTCGTCCTCATCAGAGAAAACCTCCTCACCACGCTTGCGACGGGCCATGCGCTCCTTCTTCTTCTTGCGGGCCTCGGACGAGGTCAGCTTGGCCTTCTTCTTTGTGTTGACAATCTTGTTGCCCATAGCATCGAACTTCTCCTCCTCATCGTCGTCACCGGCCTTGAGGCGGGGACCAGAGCCCTGGCCCTGGACCCAGTTGTGACCGGAAGGGGTCATCTTACCGTCAAGGACGGCCCAGACCTCCTCAGTCAGATCCTTGGTGAACTCGGCAGAGTGAGAGATGATGATCACACCACCCTCGAACTTCTTCAGGGCCTTGGACAGGGCACCGAGGGAGTCACGGTCGAGATAGTTGGTAGGCTCGTCAAGAACGATCAAGTGAGGTCGCTGCCACGAGCAGGCGGCGAGAACGACCTTGACACGCTGACCACCGGACAGACCGCGCATGCGCGAGTGGGAAACCAGCTCGGCATCGAGACCGAAGTTGGCGCAGTGGGCCTCGATCTCCTTGCGGACCAGAGGGCGGAACTGGCCAGAGGCGAGGGCCTCCTTCATATCGACCTCGGCAACCATCTTCTGGTGAGAAGCCAGAAGCTCGGAACGGGGTAGCCAGGCGTTGTCGGCAGTCATCATGGGGACCCAGCGCTCGTTCTTCATGCCAATGTTCTCGCCCAGAGCGAACGAGCACTCGTACTCGTAGCTGTTCTTGAACTTCCTGCGGGAGTGGATGCCAATGACGCGGCGCAGGCTACCCTCGACCTTGAAAGCCTTGTCCATAGCCTTCTCATCATCCTCAGTGATGATCTTGTTGGCACGGTCCATGGTCTCACGATCCTCACCAGACTGGAAACGCCACTGAATGTACTCAGAGGGGGTCTTGTCGAGGTGGTTATCGATGTGAGCAAAGGCGTGCTGCTTGATGTAGGCGATACGGATGTTCTCGTGCTGGTAGATCTCACCACCGGTGGGGATGAGCTCACCAGTGAGGACGTTGACGAGGGTGGACTTGCCGGCACCGTTGGGGCCGATGACGGCAATACGCGAGCTGAGGGAGCACTGGAAGGTGATGTCGGTGATCTGGGGCTTGGGGGTGTTGGGGTACTGGAACTGCATGTTGGTAGCACGCAGAATGGCCTTGGCCTTGGTCTTGACACCCTCAAGGAAACCGGGCTCGGGGAAAGAGAACTCGATCTCGGAGGCACCGAGCTCGTAGTAGGACTTGGCCGAGGGAACACGGCGGACAAACTCCTTCAGGTTACCACGGTAGCGCTTGAGCTTGAAGCGCTCGTAGTGGATGATGTGCTGGCAGACGTTGTCGAGGAAGCCCGAGTCGTGGGAGACGATGATGGAGGTGCAAGGGGAGCTGATGAGGTAGTCCTCGAGCCACTTGACGTTCTTCACGTCCAAATGGTTGGTAGGCTCGTCGAGCAGCAGAATATCGGGAGCCTCGAAGACGGCACGGCACAGAGCCAGCTTCATCTTCCAACCACCGGAAAGGGCAGTGATGAGACCCGAAATCATGCTGTCGCTGAAGCCGAACTCGTTGAGCTGCTTCTCGACAGCCTCGCGAGTGACGTCGACCTTGGCCTCGGCAAGCTTCTTCATGGTCCAGTCAATGGTGGTCATCTCAGTATCGGCAGAGTCGAGGTCGTGCTCCACGAAGACGGTCTTGACCTCGGACTGCTTGGGGAAACCCTCGACCTGCTCGTTGTTGATGGCACGCATGAGGGTGGACTTGCCGGAACCGTTGGGGCCGCACAGACCGTAACGCTGGCCGCGCTTGAGGCGGAGGGTGGTGTTGTTGAGCAGGATCTTGGCACCGTAGGCAAGGTTGAAGGTGCAGTTGCACAGGTCCTCACCCTCCTCCTCATCAGGCTCAAGCTCCTCCTCCTCGGCAAGGCCGGGGGAAGCCTTCTTGCGGAGGGCCTCGACGATGGGCTCGGCAGCCTCGGCGCCAACAAGAACGGTGACGAAGGGCTTCAGGTTGGTGACCCAGCTGAGGGGCTCAGTCTCCTTCTCGTCAATGAGTTGACCAGCGATGGCAGCAATGTACTCGACGACAGGGGTGAACTTGGCGGCAGGGGCATTCTTGGCAGTCAGAATGTCCGAGAAGTGCTTGGCGACGACGGCAATGTCGCCGTCGTTGCGAGCCTCGGGGATGACGCCGTCCTTGACGTTACCGACGCGGGCGAGGGTGTCGAGAGCCTGCTTGGTCTTCTCACGAGCCTCGGGGTCGGCCAGGTTGTCGTAGTTCTTCTGGAGACCGGGCATCATCTTGGGCAAGAAAGGAGCGACAATGTTGGGGTCGTCGACGAGCTTGCACATGTTGTCGACAATGACAGCGGCCTTACGCTTGATGGCAGTCTCGCGCTCAGCAAGACCACGGTCAAGCAGGGGAACCATGAGAGCGAGGGTAGGCTCGTGGACATCGGTAACGAAAGTGGTGGCACCGAGCAAGTGAACAGTCTCCGGGACGTTCTCGGGCTTGGCGATACACTTGATGACCTCGGGAATGAACTTCTCGATATCCTTGTTGACGATCAGGGAGCACAGGGTCTCCATGGTCTTGTAGGCACGGTCCTTGACCTCCTTCTTGGTGTCCCACATGGCCTCGGAGACGACGGGGATCAAGTCAGGGACACGGAAGGCAACCTGAGCAGGGGCAGTGCGGACGATGGTGTCGATGAAGTCAAGGACAGTCATCTTCTCGGGCCACTTCTGGGCATTGCGCAGAGAGTCGACCAGGGCGGGGAGAGTGGCCTTGACAGCGTTGGGGTTGATGGCCTCGGCAATGGCCAGGGCAGCAGCGATGGCGGCATTCTTGACAGCAGTGATCTTGTCGCCAGCACCGGCCAGAACGCTAGGCAGCAGAACGACGAGGAAGGGCTCGACGTGAGAGGAGACCTCGGAGTGCTGGGCAATGGCCTGGATGGCGCTCAGGGCCTTCTCGCGGGCAGCAGCATCCTTCTTGTTGCCGAGCTGCTTCTTGAGAGCCTCAATGGTCCTGGGAAGGTCGCATGTGTTAGCTTGTGAAACTGGGCGATTCTGGGGCGGGAATCCCCTCAATTGGAAATGAATAAAAGCTCGGTGGTGATGTGTATTGATTGAGATACGTCCGCCAAATAATCATACGCAAGGGAAAAAAAAGAAAAGAAAAGAAAAAAAACAAGGCCCGGATTGCCGGTACGAATGCTGCGGCCAAGACCGTTTGCTTCTGCTTTTTTTTTTTTTTTTGGGCTGCCAATGGAAATAGGCAAAGTGTGAAACCGCCATGCTGATTTTTTGACGGCGGGATGCGCGATCTGCGAGGGGTCGAGAAAGAATCTCGGTCCCTGCAGTTATGCAACCGTCGACACCGCCAGAAAAAAAATTCTGTGCGGGCGGCAGAAATGCGGTGTATTGGAAATAGCGAGGGGCAGTGCGGGACACCCTGGCTGGCGGGTTCATCCAGTGTGGGGGCAGTGTAAAACAGGCGGTAGCAAGCAGTTGCGGGAATGGTAGGGAAGGATTTGGAGGGGCGAAACGTGAAGCGATAGGCGGGCGAATTTTTTTTTGTTTGGGTGCTTGGGGTGTGGCATGGAACTTACTTGGTGGGAACATCGAGGTCCTCGATGTCGCCGTTGATGAAGCCAGCAAGGGCTGAGGAAGCCTCCTTGACGGCGTCGGCCTCCTTGGAGATGGTGAGACGCTGCATGAGGTCGTCCAGGACCTTGACGGACTTGGCGTTCTCAGAGGCAGTCTTTGCGTCCATGGCGGCAGGCATTATTGTAATTTTTGTTTTTGGTGGTGGGGGTATCTGAAAAAGATCGAGGGAGGATAGTCGGAAACTTGTCGGGATCTATGCAAGATGATAGAGATCTAAAAACCGGTCGAAGAGACGTGTCAAAGTCTATCGAGTGTCGGTGGTGATTTTGCCTTGTCTATTGAGGGAGGGTATCGAAAAACCGTATCGCGACAAAAAGACGGCAGGCCCGCAGAACAAAGAGGTCGATGGAGGGTCGAACTCGGAGATTCTGCTCTAGGTGGCTCTGTCAGAGAGGGTTTCAACTCAGCTGGAGAGAGACTGAGAAGAAGTGATGTTCTGTATCCTTGCGAAGAAGGAACAAGAAGAGAGAATGGGAAATGGAGAGAGAGAGAAGAGATGAGAGGTGTAGGAGGGAGGAAGACGAGAAGGCAGAGTAAATGGAGCAGGGCGATATTTAAGAAAGCGCAGGCAGGCAGGCAGGGAGGGGAGATAGTAAAGTTGGGTAGGTACCAGCAAGCGGCCAGTAGTTGGTGCTGAGGCGAGCGGCGGCGGCGAAGAGTGTTGGGGTGGGAGGACTACTTTTTTTTTTCTCTCTTCGAAGCATCTCAAAAAACTTTTTAGTGGGGCCTGGGATGGGTTTTGGAGGGGAACCTGGGCGGCTTCGAGAATAACCCCTCGGTTGATTGGCCCACTCACCCTCCCCTTCCGACTCATGGCGCTGAGATTCCCTGCTTATCTCCTTTATCGCGGCATTGCGCTAGTCTTTTTTCGGCTCGCCAGGAGGGCGGTGAGCCGGAATTTCATGCAAAAATTTTCAGACAAAGCTGTCCTGGACGTTGCCCCTCGGTTTCCACTAGGTGGGGGGTCCTCTGCGTTCAATGTTCAAGGGTTTACTCCGTTTGCCCACACTCGGCCACTCTGGTGCCAGTTATCTCGCGGCCGTACAAGTATGAAAAGAAGAGGATGTCTGGCATTCGGTTCAGCCTCTACTGACTAGGTATCTTTCTTGGGTGGAGCAGCTGTGTCTGGTGCAAAGGCATCAAGTCAAGACTTCGAGGAGAACCAAGTTTCTGTCTACGGCACGCCTGACCCTTCAGCGCTCCTACCCCTGGCCTGAATCCTTGGTTGCAAGGTGACAGCGGAGTTTGCGCAATTATCCATGGATGGCTCTTCGACGGGTCGAAATATTCGAATGCTTGGTTCGACGATTGGATCTAACTATCGGTTAGGTACATTACATGGCCATGTCCATGTTCGGTTTCCTCATGGTTCCGTCAGGACATCACTAGAGCATGTTATCATGATAAGTACCTACATCTAGGTAACCATGAATAATCGATATCGGGAGGCCACCTCCTCAGTTTCTGGGGAACCTAGGCGGATCGCAGCCCTGGAGGGCTTGAGCCAGGGGACGTTAGCGGGGGGGGGGGGAGGGGGGGGGGGAGGGTGGGGGACAAGCGCTACCGCCCCTGGAACAGGCCCTGCAAAATTCGCTAATCAACGGGAATACTAGGTAGGGGGAGAAGGACATGTGAACGGACAGATAAGACTTCCAAGGTTGGTCCTCCTTGCGTACTGGTCAGCACGGGGTGTGAGACAGGCAGTGTCAATCTGCGACTCTGTCCTGTCAGCAGCGTTTGCGAGCCAATCTGTGTGATACACCCCTTTATCTCGGTCCAGGCTGCATCCAGAGCGACAAGCCCTGAGCATTGCCACGTTGTATCACAGCCTACAGGCCGAGACTCATTCTCCGTCAGGTTACCAGTCTGGTCGATACTCTTCTCTTCTCCAGGTTCATTACAGCCCATTACCCGCTCCAAGCGACTTTATCACCTCGGTGATCGTCTGGTCTGTCGATGTTCCGGACCACTAGGAGCGGCCCTAGTCGCCACGGGCACCCCGATCTTGACACCGGCTGATAGATAGGCCAGGCACGCAGTACATGACACCTACCTTTTGTAACTAACACGGGTAGCAGTGAGTGCTCCGAGAAAACTCAGCCTAGGCTCCGTATGGAACTCAGTTAGTGGTGGACCTTTCTGGTTTCCCCAACAATCGGAAATGGAAAAAAGTTCCATATGTGCCAAATCCAAATCCGGCAGAATGAGCGGCGGCTTGGTCCCTGACCTCGGGGCGCCTGAGGATCCTGCTATTTTCAGGGTCCCATCTCTCTCAGACCTTGCCATCATCTCACATGCTTGCTGCGGGCGGCTGCCCACCATCCGCTTCTATTCGTATTGCCTTGCATGCAGCAAGTGCATATGTAATTCGACAAACATAATCTCAGTCAGCCTCCTGGCTTATCGTACCCTCCCCTCTCACCCCTGTCCATGTCTGAACACCCCTACAACCTTTTCACCACCTTCGTTGTGATCGGGGCTAGGAAGAAGGGCAAGAAAAGGGAATCTGGGGTGAATCGTTATCCCCCACGGAAACAGGATAACGAAATCGTGGGGATCTAACTACGCCGGCATGCGCGCTGCGCTCAAACATGCCCAAGCCCGTGGCTGACCGCCTCCTCGAATGTACCGCTCTGCTTGGTGGCAGAATCCTTTTTTTTTTTCTGCGCCTTTGGGGTAGGTACCTTTTTTTGATCGACCCACCCCACCTGGGCCTTGCCACCACCAATGCTTCTTCCACCGCCAGGAATGGCGAAGCTTAACCTTTGTTCCCCCCTCAAAATTCCCATCCTAATCATGTGACGTCACACGTGCGCGGAACATATGGTTCTGGGATGCTTCTAGAAGCTCAAACTTGACCAGGTCGCGAATTGAGAGGGACGATCAAGGCAGTCCGGAGGTGAGTGGACCTGGTTTCCGTGCCGGTTCACTTGTCTGGCCTTGTCTGGCCGCATTTACTACCTAGGTACCGAGGGCTTGAGGAGCCCACTCGGATCATACGAAGAAGCGCGAGCTGTCTGCGAAATGTTCTGCCAGATTTCTGATTTCAATGTTGATTGAGGCTATCAAATACATATCACTTGAACGAGAGTCATCGAGTGTACCTAGGTACACGTCCAGCCAGCCAGCCAGCCAGCCAGATCACATCAAGCACACGCCGAAAAGCACAAGCGCCACGAGAGATGACATGAGCTCCACACCCCAAGGCATGAGACCTGCTCCCGAGTTCGTGGTGGACGAGGAGGTCGGAGAGGACGTGGAAGCACCCGACGAAGAAGTTGTTGCAGATGAGGATGATGATGAGCCACCCGACGACCCAGTGCTCCCCGAACTCGCTGTGGAAATAAATCTGTCAGCTTTCGGCATTTGCATCAAGGGAAACCCCTCTGTTACTCACGATGGGAGTTGCAGTAATTCACAAGCGTGGTATTGCTCTTCAGCGCATCGAGCCTGGCGGCAGCACTGCTGGCCTCCGCCTGTCCCTTGTGCGTCTTGTCCGCGCCGGCCCCGCCACGAGTCGACGTGGCGTTCTGAGCCTTATCAACCTCCTTCTGCAGCTTCTCCAGCTCCAAACACCGCGCGTGGTCCCGCCTCGCCGCGCAGAACTGGGTCAGCGTCGCATTACTCGACAGCCTGGACAGCTTGCTCGCGTCGGCGGTAGCCTCGGCCTTGACCGCCGAGATCCTGGCCGCGTCTCCGTGGAACTTGTGGTCCAGGAGAGTCGCGTTGGCCGCCAGCTTCTCAAGCCGCTCGTAGTAGTGCATGCGCACGCACCGCTCGACCATGTCCTCGTGGGCGAAGAACTGCTGGCATGACGCCACGAGGGTCGAGTTGCCCTTGAGGTCGTTGAGCGTCGGGGCCGCTTTGGATGCCTCGGCCTTGATGGCGGCCGCTTTGGTGGCGTCGCCGTGGGTCGTGCGGTTGAGGCGGGTCGCATTGTTGGCTATGTTGATGAGCCGGGTGAGTTCCCTGATCTCTATGCACTTGAGGATGGTCGGTTCGCTGCTGGCATTGGGATGGGGGCCGGTTCTCGTCTTATTGTGACGATCAGAGCCCCTGGTTACGTCGAAGGAGTCGTCCGAGTCTACTTGGCGGTCGTCAAAGGTGTCCTGGGCGAGGACCGTGCCGACTACGGCGAGGGCAAGGAGGCGGAAGAGTCTCATGCTGGCAGGTGTTTAAAGTGCAGAGAGACTTCTCGACCCTGGTGATGCTGGAACAATGTCAGGAAATGGCCTTGTCGTGCTTTTCCACAGACTTTCCTCTTTGCTCTCTTGTAAGTCGGGAGCCCGGGAGGTTGCGAACATTCTTGTCATCCTTCCGCGAAGGCGGCCTCGTTAAGTAAGTACTGGGCTGGCCCGGCATTACGCCTCCGGCTCCCTTGACTTGCTCGTCACCCCGGCCGCGTCAGCTACCGACCTCTTAGCGCGGCGAGGTTGAATCGGGAGGACGGGTTGACTCGTCGCCACCAATCAGAGCCGTGTCGACCCCAAGTGGGGGCTGCCTATGTTAACGTCGGTGGCTCAGAGGCAGACGTAACAAAGATTGTGAATTGATACTAGCATTAAGAGAGCAGATCTGGCGTAGGGCTGGTGTGGCAATGTGATCACGAGTTGCGTGCGCGTCCAGGTCCGCAGACTAATTCCCCTATTTGTTGGCGGACAGCAGGTGGCTTGGTGTCGCTTGGTCTAGCTTTGTCCTAGAAACAAGCTAGTCGCCATGAGCACTATTCTAAGAGGATATATCTCTTCCAATAGCCACGTACTTGCAGGGCCTGGACCTTGCTTAGTTGGATTCGTGGTCCTGCCGGCTACGGCGATGAGGCAGAATTGAATTGTGTAATGATGGGCAATGTGGCTAGATGTGATTCCCATTTTCATGTTCTATAGCCTCAACTCGTAAGGTTGGAATGACTCTGTGGCGAATGGACTTTTACAGAGCACTGTTAGTCTCTGTCCTGGTAAAGATGTTTGATAAACTGCGCTTCCCGGAAAACTTCCTGTCGCTCGTCGGCTGAATTTTGGAGCCACTCTAGGAAAAACAGCCATATACCAACAGGGCTCAGGAGTGGTGTAAATACTCATAAATACCCCCTCTATGTACTCAACACAACCTACAGTGACAAGCCCGAGACGCAAGGATCTCTCATGCTTGTCGAAATACCAGGGTTCTGTAGCCCTCATTCTACTGCAATGTTGAAACTAGGTGTTGATCTCTCTCGGTACCAGACGTGACCGAATGTTATATGGACGCCATACGGACGGACCTGTCTGGTATTGATTTCAAAAGGGCTTGTGAGTGGGTTGAAACACCTAGTCAAAAGCCCGTGGACTCGCGGGCAGATGTCTTCTTAATAGAATTGTTTTGAATCGCGTCAGGTGTGATCTATACCAGGTATGGTGATGCCCCCAGATCCAGATGGATGAAGTGAATTCCCAAGGTATCGATGACACAGGACATAATTATTACTCAGTGCTAAAATATCTCCAGGGATTCAAAAGCTATTGCAGTCGTTCTAGAATCGCAGTGGGACATGCAGGCTCCACTCAGTTCGACCAAGAGCTTCAGCCTTTGAAGGCTGCACCGAATAGTTAATGGGTCGTGAAGCATACTTGATAGCTCGACCCCTTCGTCGCGGTATTACCAAACAAGGTGACAGTGAGGTTTATCAGTTAAGAGATGGTCAACTGGAGAGATAACTGGTTCTCAGTAGTCTTCGTCTCAAGCAGTGCCGAGCAAAGGGTTAGTGACAGTCAGGGGAGGGCTGTGGTCTGGTGAGTGGAGGGGGAGCCTCAAGTTTGGGCATTCCAAGGGCTCTCACACGATAAAGGACCTTGTGATGAGACCCTTTTGCAATTCCCTTTTATTTTACTTTTGATTTCTTCAGTATCATTATTGATTACTATGCAAAATGCTGGGCAAGTTTTCATCCGTCTTAAAGCACAATCTGGCACTAGACAGATGCATCCATGGATGTGCAAAGCGTCGACCTTATTATGTATGAGTAGGTAGGAAGGATTCAAGCCTGGGGGCTTCGATCAACGATTTTTTTCTTCTTTCCTTCCCAGCTAGAACATTGAACTCGTCTATTGCATCGGCAATGGAGCCTCCCCGGATCCGGAGCCGCGTCATCGGCAGTGGTAGCACTACTTGTAATGCCGAGACCGTGGTGGTGCCGGATGCCAAAAATAGCCCAGAGGGCCCGGAACTCTCCATCAATGTCTGGAGACTCAGCCACCGCCACGCCACACCAGGAAGAAACAAGAAACAGCGGAGGGTGTGCCCGTTTCCCGCCAAGCCCGCCTTTCAGGTACGTGGCCGGCAATCCATTCTTGCTGATCTCCACTGGTTGGGCCGCCCAAAAACCCCAGCCCAGGGATCCGACCACGCCCACAAATGCCCACCAGCCCGCCCACTACGGGCTCGTGCGACAGGGGTGGTTGGCCTGCAAGTTACGCAACCTCAGCATTCCTGGGGTGATGTTCAGGGGACCAGCCCACCTCTTTGTTCCTTGTTTTATGCCTCTCTCCTCAGCCCTCCACGGCCTTCGTAATGCCTTTCATGCTTTGAGCGCCTGATCTTTCTTTGCTCTCGACAGAAATCCATCTTGAAACCTGCCCTTGTGACTTCTAGCTTGAATCGCTTCCTGACAATTGCTCCTCGCTGAAGCAACAAGAGGCACACGACCGTACGAGTGAGTTCACGACACGAACACAAGGCGGCAAATCCATTCTCCCCCTTCGCCTTGAGCGCGACGGCGCACACGAGTTACCTTCAATACAGACACATCGCGACAAAACAAAACAGTAATGGCGCCTGTCGCTCGCCCGCCCTCGCACCCGCGAGCCCTCATCCGCTCAACCCTCCTCCACTCGGCCCGCTCCGCAGCCCTCGCGGCGGCGGCGCCCGTCCTCGCCCGCCGGGGCTTGACCGTCACGCACACCCAGACCGTCACCCTGGGCGTCATCGTCGCCTACGTCGCCGCCATCGCCATCCTCTGGAACATCCCCTACGTGCGCAACGTGCTCTGGCCCTTCAAGATGCTCGTCATCGCCTTCCACGAGTTCTCGCACGCCTTTGCCGCCGTGCTGACGGGCGGCAAGGTCGTCTCCATCACGCTCGACCCCAACGAGGGCGGCGCCACGCAGATGAAGGGCGGCAAGTCCGCCATCACCCTGCCCGCGGGGTACCTCGGCAGCTCGCTCATCGGCGCGCTGCTGACCTTCTGCGGGTTCGACATCGTCGCCTCCAAGGTCGCTAGCATCGCCCTCGGCGTCGCCTTCCTGCTGACGCTGTGGTGGGGCAAGAAGGACTGGCTGACCATCCTGACGGTGCTGCTGGCCGTCGGCCTGCTCGTGGGGTGCTGGTTCATCGCCCACGCCGAGCCGCTGCGCTTCGTGGTCCTGTTCATCGGCGTCATGTCTTCGCTGTACAGCGTGTGGGATATAGTAAGTTGCCCCAAAATCCCAATCCTCCCGGTACCAAGCCTGGTTGAGCGAAGGAGTGCATGCTGATTCATGTTCGCGACAATGCAGTGCGACGATCTCATCTTCCGCAAGGTCAACTCGTCTGACGCCAGCGTCTTCGCCAAACGCTACGGCGGCTCCTCCCAGTGCTGGGGCGTCATCTGGTCCATCATCTCGCTCATCTTCATGATTGGCGGCATCCTGGCCGGCATCGCGGCCTTCCCGCGGTCTTTTGAGGAGCAGGAGAAGGACTCGCAGGGCTTCATCCCGACAAGGTGAACAAACACCACACCACGTTGAGCAGCGGAAGGAGACATGTTACCACTGGTATTGCTTGCTTTCGGCGTTTGGATGCACATCCTGCTTGTGCAGGGGGCTTTATCAAAGGACACAGGGGGGGCACATCTTTTCTCCGCCGGTCAAGGATGATGAACTGGACACCAAGACCTCTAGACGAGGGTCGAAAGAGTGCGCCTAATGATTTCATATGATACCATAGAGATAGTGGTCCCGTAATGATCATAACTTATGAAGTGTTTTTAATATATACCCAGAATGGTAGCAGTGCTACTTGTTGTACCCTCCCCCCCTCCCCACCTCAGTGCCCTTCGACGAAGCAGTGAACGCCCGTTCAAGGAATAGCAACTTGCTCGTGCCTAGCCAAGAAGTTCTGCGCCTCCTCCACAGTAACCTCGCGCTTCCTCAGCAGAGTGCTCTTGTCCTCCCGCTTGACCTCCCGGACAGGCACCGGCACGAACCTCCTGGCCACTTCGGCCGCTCTCTGCTCCGACCTCTTTGCGTCGCGCTTGATCCCGCCGTGCGCGCACTTGGCCCCCTTGAACGCCGCGTTGGCCGCCGCCTTCCACACCTCGCGCACGTCGCCCACCATCGCCTCGGTCCAGTAGAGCCGGCAGTCGGCCTCCTCGTAGACATACTGCGCGGGCAGGCCGTCCTGGACGTTGCCCCGCAGGATCTGATCGCGCACGTTGACCGCCGCCGCCGTGGACCGGTTCACGGGCAGGTCCGAGTAGCGCGACAAGGCGGCGCGCTGGGCGTCGGTCGTGGCACGCTTGTGCGCGTCGTCGACGTAGCGTTTGATGTCGGCCCACTGCAGCACCTGCGAGCCCTTGATGCCGCCGACGCCCTGGATGCCGCCCGCCTTGGGCCGCCCGCCCATGGCGATCGAGGGGACGCCGCCCTGCAGGCGGAGCATCTCGGCGGCCAGGGTGCAGGTCGAGGCGCAGAAGCCGTCGAGCAGCATGACGATGTTCTCGGGAGCAAAGGGGGCGGTGGCGTTGGCCAAGGAGCGGTAACCCGTAATGTCGATGCCGATGCCAAAGGTCGCATTCTTGGTGGTCAGCGGGTCCCAGAGATTCCAGCGCATGAGATCGGTGTAGGGCGTGTTCTTGAAAACGTGCGGATCGAACTTGTCCTCAAAGGAGGTAAAGGGCTGGTCGTTGATGTCGAGGTCGTACCGCCAATTGAACCACGATAGGTAGTCGTTGATGAGCTGCGAGTCGGAGCTCGTGTTGGGGTTGATGGAGGCGACTGCATCGGATACAACGCGAGAGATGGTCATGAAGCCGTCGTTCTCCTTCCAGCGCGAGTAGCCGTCCTGCACTACATCGGGGAACAGCTGCCGGAAGAAGTCGTATCCTTGCAGGATATAGCCGCCACCATTGGCGGAGAAGTCGATAACGAGCTTCTTCTTGCCATCCTTGACAGCCTGAGCAAAGAACTTTTGCAGCACGGACTGGAACTCGACCGGTGAGTCGTTCTCGAATGCGAGCAGGGCAACAACAGCAACATCGTCGAGCCCATCGCCCTCCAGGTAGTAGCCAGAGACAATGCCGTCCTCGGTGCTGATGACTGCGGGCGGGTAGCCCACGACGTCGGCGGCCGCAGCGGCGCCAACTGGCGCGCCGATCCTGCCCGCGACGGTCGCTGATGCGGAAGGGCTGCAGAACTTTTGATACATGGACGCGCCGTCCGTGATGCCTGCAAGGGACGTCTTGACACGGGCGTAGTTTTCAAAGGTGGCCTCGGTGCCGTTGGCAAAGGTGAAGGTAGTGTTGGCACCCTGGTAGATGAATCGGATACGGCCACCGCCGCTGAAGTAGCCTTTGCCAGCACCGGCGGGCGGGAAAGCCTTCTCGAAAAACATGGTATTGTACGCAGCATCGGCGTCCTGGTTGAACGAGGCCGTGAATATGACGTCCTCGACATACTTGGCGGCGTCAATGCCGTTGATCTTAGTCACGGCAGAGGCCGTAGACGGAGAAGACAAGACATCCTCGTAGATCTTGATCACGGGCAGGGACGTGCCATCCTCGCTGACCGAGACGAGCGATCGCTGGCGGTTGAAGTCGAAGACCTTGGTCAGTAGGTCCGGATAGAAGACGTAATGGCCGTCGTGACCGGGTCCGAAGACAGTGGCGTATAGGTCGGCCTGGAAGGCGTACTCGCTGTCGTACTTGTCCCCCTCAAGCTTGGCCTTGACATCAGCTAGGGCCTTGAACAGGTCGTACGCCGGATAGAAGTAGTCGGAGGGAGGAGCAGCCTTGTAGGCGGCATCGCTCTGCCACTCGAGGTAGGGCTCCATGGCCTCAACCAGCTCGATGGCAGCCTGCTTGCCCAGAGGCACTGACTTGAGGCAGTCATTGGCGAGGGAAGCCGCAACAGTGGGGGTGGCTGAAGAGGAGGAGAGATGTCAGAGATGCTGGGTAATAGTGCACGAAAATGTTCTTGCTTTTCGCCTACCGCTGGGATTGGCCGCGACTTGGGCAGCCCACGAGCTGCTCACACTGGCGCAAGCTCCAGTAGGTTGACCAGTCGGCGGGGCCGAGGTCACCGAGGTCGTCGTCGTCGCGATGCACGAGCAGGCGCTCGAGATACGGGCCGACATCAGCGCATTCTGGTTGTCCTTGCAGCCGTTGAGGGCGAAAGTGGGAATAGCCGTCTGGGCAACGGCCGACACGGTAAAGGTAGCGCAGAACGCCCGAGCAGTCTCGAGACGGCCGGGGGTCTGTGTCGCCCGCAGAGCGCGGAGGCAATTATCCGCAGCACACTCGGCATAAGCCGAGGCGGCGAGCAGCGCCGGCACAGCGAGGACTTGTGCCTTCATGCTTTGGCTGTTTATCGTATCTTCTTGACCTTGTGGTGCGTCAAACGCGAGCTCTTTTCACGCAGGGACCGCCAGCAAACGAATGACAGGCAGGCGACAGCAGCGCACGACTCTTGAAGGGGTTGGCTCGCTTGGGAGGCATCGCGGCGAGAGCTCTGTTGGACACCCGTGGGGAGTAGCCAAGCATATATACGCAGCTGGTCCCTCCGCGGCGAGCTGCACGTCCCTTGGGCCATATGGCCGGGGGGTCCAACGGTGAAGGAGCCCGGGCGGGCCGAGAAGCAATGCATCCCTCGCTTTCTGGGCAGGGCTGTTGTGATGCCTCGCGGTGCAGGTACGGTGGGCGCTACTGACGCCAGGACCTGAGGACCCATATGTAGGAACAAGGTGAGCTGCCATATGAGGAGTAGCTTCGGAGGGCTACATGGCTAGCGTGCGTGGGTGGATGTGCGGCAATCCTCTCCCTGCATATCGCCGATGGCCTCAACCATGGGCTGGCTTTTGTGTCGCGCAGACTCAGCTGCAGCAGGACGCATCCGAGGACTCCATGCACCGGGCAGAGCAGAGCAGAGCAGCGCAGAGCAGAGCAGCGCAACCAGGACCAGAGGACGGAGGTCCACATCGCAAACTAACAGAAGGCCGGCCGGAGGGCAAGGATCTCGCAGCCTGGGAGGCGATGGTGGTTGGCCAGCCTTATCCAACACGCCCGAGCGTAATTTAGATCAGCTCAATGACCTTCTGAAACCGGCAGGTGAGTGGACATCAATGTGGTGACGGGTCGATGTTGGCGAACCGGGCCCTCGCTGGACGTGCTGCGGCGGCGGGAGCTCGAGATGCTGGGGGAAGGTCTGGTGTGTCCCTGGAACCTGGTTGCCAGCGAGATCAATGGATAACTAATTAACTACTCGGGACAAAGCACAGTGGTGTTATTGCTTGTTAATGCAACCTCACGGCTCGTGCGGCCCAGTGCCATCGCGGGCGCCACAGGAGCAGCAGCACAGGCGGCGCGCGCTGCGTCTCCTGGCTGCAAGGCTGTGCATGCCTCATTTCCCATGCTCCTGCCGTTGCCGTGTCGTCGCTCACACCGCTGGCTTCCGTGGGCATGGCCGATGCCGAGACGGGGTCAAGCCGTGAGAATCGACCTACCCGATCCTACTTGGCGTGTGTGTGTGTGTGTGTGTGTGTGTGTGTCTGGGATGATTGACTTTCGTGGTGGACCCGACCGTTTATTACGAGTACTTAGGTACCTACCCTCCTACCTACCTACCTAGTAGGTACCTCCGTACTTGTGTTTATCAGTTTGGGCTAGCGCCTGACGGCCCGTTAGCGAGCGGCTTTACAGGGGCCGTCCCTCCAGGATTCCCGCTGAGGGTGCCATTTCCCGTGGCCACGAGCACATTGATTTCCTTTTGGGTCCTGGCCGGCGGATCACCTGGGCAGTGCTTGTAGTTGCAGTGAGTGTGCCCTTTGCCCTGAGAGGCAGGTCTGATGGAGATAGTTAAAGTACTTTACCTTACCTACCTGACTCCATCCATACTTTTCCACCCAACTAAGGTAGGTAATCTACAGAGTGATACGATCTGGTGAACTATGTGGATATCTGGTTGGGGGCGGAGACGGAGACAGAGACAGAGACAGACCGAGACAGGCAAGCTATGGTGACAAGACATGTGCTACCGTCCTTTCATTCGCGATGCCCCGGCCCTCTGGCTTGGCCATGGAGCCCTGCATCTCGACACGCCTCCACCTGCGCCAAAAGCAAGCAGTGAAGCATCAAATTCACCAAACTGCCCGTTCTTATCCGCCAAGCCTTGCATTCTTTTTCTATTCCTTTTCTTTCTGTTTGCCCTGCATCCGGAGAAAAGAAATATTCATCCCTTCCTTTCGTTCTCGCATTTCACTCCCGCTTGGTACATAACTGCAGGTCTGGGTGACCTGGGCCGTTGGGTGTGGCCAGGTCTTGGGTTTGGATCTGCTGACCCAACACGCAACAGCACCAGCCGTTCGGAAGAGACGTTGAGTTGATGGTCCAGCACGACTTCTGCATGCGCCGTCCTAGGCCTATACCGAGAGTCATCTTCATCGCATGTATTCCCCGCCGGCTCGTTGAAAAGGACGGTGCAGCCAGACGCATTCCTCCGACACCGGTCTGAAGACCTTGATGCTTCGGCCGTCCAGCACCAGGACAGCAGCGTGATCGACCTCCCTTTCGGCCCTCACCGTCCGCACTCGCACAAGCCACTGCATCTGTCCAACAGAGGGCACGGCTTGAACGAACTGACCACTGTCCACTCGCATTGGCGTCCATCGCGAAGTGTCACAGGCGAGCTGGATCTGGTTCATGTGCAGCAACGCACACCAACCGGCAAACACGGCTTCGACTGTTCCAGTAAGCCGAGTCGATCAGAGCATTTGCACGTCCTCCTTTTTCTTGGGTCGACGAGAGTCTTACAAGCCACGCTAACATGACCTCATGTGCCTACGGAACCTTCCTTCAACCTTGCTTCTTCATCCACACGGCACAGGTCGAATGAAGGATCTCCAGCCATGCCTCCGGACTGATTAATGATCAACGCACGTAGACAGCGTCTCCATCCTGGGCTTACCGTCCCACCAGTGATGCTCTCCGACACCGACGGACACCCGGTCGGGGAACACACTACGTCAGTCTGGCGATTCCAAAGGAACAGCCCCGTCCACTTCGACGGCGGCGCACGTCTTCGTATCCAAAATTGGTGACTTGACAGGCTCCAGACCCTTCCTATTCCTGTAAGATGCAGTCGGTGAGAAGCGAGAGAATGTAATTAATGCATGCAAAGGCCCGATGACAAGCTGCCCCAGTGTGCACCACGTTTCGCTGCTGCTCGTGTGTGTGCCGACCTGAGTTCAAACTTCTTGCCATGTCGCACTACTGCACCGGTACGGAGCATCATCACGGGTCGTCTTCTTTTTTTGGGTCTTGGAGGCTTGAAGCTAGGCATGACGATACGAAACAGAGAAAGACGCGCATCACAGGGTCTACCAGAGGCAGAGAGTCGAAAGTGTATAATAAGATGGCCTAGGCCTTGATCGAGGGCTTGTTCTCGGAGCGGAAGACAGCACCGCAGTTTCCAGCCTCTCCCATTCGAGCAACATAAAGTTTCAAAAGAACATACTCTCCCTCGTTGTCATTGTTCCTAGAGAAGCATCACTTCGGCGCCCCTTGGAGAGTTCGCAAAATGCACTTCCCTCCCACCAGCGTCTCCGTCGCCCTCCTCTTCGCATCCTCGGCCCTCGCGGCAGCGGTCACCCGCAACGACCCTCATCAGGCCGACTTCCGCACCTTTGGCGTCGCGGGCTGCTCCGAGGACAACCAGGGCGTGTACACGCTGACCCAATCCAACGTGGGTACCTGCAAGCCCTTCACCGCGCCCATCGGGAGCATGTCTGTCACCAACAACCTCTGCAAACGTAAGAGCCTTCTCTCATATGACTGCCAACACCATGCCATCGAACCGCTCCACAGAATACAGGTCTAACCCGCGTGCCCGCTCAGTATACGTGTACGACGACGAAGCTTGCTCGGCGGGGGAGACGGAGCTCCCCGTCGGATCATGCCAGGACGGGGCTTGGCTGTCGTATAAGCTTGTGTGCTAGGTTCCATGTAGGATTATCATTTGGAGGAATTTAACTGAGGAGATCATAGCCCATATCAACGCACAGCTCGGAGGCAACAAGCGTGTCGTTTACAATAGAATGATGCATTAATTCTACCATCGAATCTGGTCATCTGTTTGGTCCTTGAGCTAGAAAGCATCCAGTCCATGCACACCCCCGTCCCGTCCAGTGACATCACCATTAGCCTATAGGTAATACTACACTACATCCAGTACATCCACAGCCGAAAGCCTCTCGACAAGTACATCCCACAAGCCATCGAATGGAGACGCCGTAGCAAGGTCCTACACACCCGTCATCTCGCCAAACCCTTCCACCCCAAGCGGACGCTCTTGTAGCTGGCTTCAACACCTTGCACATCATCGGCGGCTGCTTCCGGCTCCCAAGGAAAGGAAACTCCAGTTGTCCCGATCTGCAAGTGTCCTTTAACGCCCTCAAGCATGCACTCTGGTTCTCTCCATTCAACATCCTGACCCTGACTACAATTGCAGCCCAGATCCGTCGTGGAAATCAGAGATATACGAGATTAAAGCTGAGGATGAGGACCGACTCACATGCCGTGTGGGCCGGGGGGTCATGCGGCACGGCATCCCGGGTGCAGGAGGCTATTTCGACAACCGTGAGCGCTTGGCCTAAAATGGGATATAGACCAATGAAAAAGTCATTATTCATTGATAGATAAATCTGATGCCAACAACCAGAACCTGAATGTGCTATGCTTCTACCCCGGTGGGAGGCAGGTCTCGATAACCCGAATCCCAGAACGCCGTGGCTCCTTTTCTTTCTTTGATAAACCCTGCTCAAAGTGACCATTCGATGCATCCGTCGTTCAGAAAACGGGGACGGCAGTGTGTATCTATCTACTCCTGCCGCTGCTTCTTCTCCACCCGGCCCTCTCCATCTGGGTCCGACTTGGGAACGTCGGGCAACTCGCTCGCCACAGTCTTGGCCTCGGCCGCCTCCTCATCAGCATCCGTGGGGTCGGCACTGTCGGGGTTTTGGAGGGGGCCGGTCTTTGCACCGCCTTCAGGGACGGGAGGAAGATAGACTCTGCACATTGAGGCAGGTCAGTTCAGTATTCAATACTGCTAGGCATATGAACAAAAAGGAGGGGGGACAGGAGGTGGAAGATACATACGGGAGGTACTTGTGGTAGGCATCCAGGTCCTTCTTCTCAAAGACCACAAACACCACCAGGTCCAGGTTTGTGCCCATATCGCTCTCGAGGAAGCGCTTCACGGCCGTGATGGCCACCGGCGCAGCCTCCCTGCTGGGGTACCCGTAGACACCGGTGCTGATGGCGCTGAAGGCGATGCTGCGGCACGAGTTGTCAATCGCCAGCTCGAGGGCGGTGGCGTAGCAGCTCGTCAGGTCCTCCTCGCTCACGCCCGGGTCGATCACGTTGTAGACGGGCCCCACGGCGTGGATCACCTTCTTGCAAGGCAGGCGGTAGGCGTCGGTAATCTTGGCGCCGCCCGTGGCACAGCCGCCAAGAGTCTTGCACTCCTGGTAGAGCTGGGGCCCGGCGGCGCGGTGGATGGCGCCGTCGACGCCGCCGCCGCCGAGGAGAGAGGTGTTGGCGGCATTGACGATGGCGTCGACGGCGAGGGTGGTGATGTCGCCGCGGTAGAGCGAGATCTTGTCGTTGAGGGCCTTGGAGGGCTTGATCGGCTGCAAGGAGGGATAGGAGACGGTCGTCGGGGGTGGGCGGGCGGTCGAGGGAGGGGTCAGGTCGATCTGGTTCGCCTTGTAGAGGAGGGAGAGGGTGGGGAGGTCGGCGACGGTCTTGACGGTCATCCTGGCGACTTGGCGAAGGGACATGCGGCTTTTCTTGCCTTGCTTTGCGGTTTGAGGAAAGCTCCCGAGCGAGGGACCAGATCAGTCAGGCTGCCTGATGTGCTCGGGCGCCTTTGGTGGGGGTCGCGAGCGTCGGATTTGGTGTGTTTCAGAAATGCCTGTCGATGCTGAGAATCGAGTTCTCTAGTCTGCAGGAGCGACAAGAAAAGAAGGGAGCGAGTGTTGCAAGAATCTCATCTCACGATCACGGGATGATGTATGCAGCCAAAGGCATGCGTGCGTGCGTGCGGGAGAGGGAGAGAGAGAGAGCTTGGAGCTTCTGGAGGCTATGACGGAAGCGGGGGAGGAGCTGGAGCTCGAGCTCGAGCTGGAGCTGGCATTGAAGCCAACCAAGCCAAGAAATGGCTCCACCCACCCATTCATTGTGGAAGTACCTTATTGCAGTAAGTAATTACATGGTCTACTAGTACAAGTAAACGCAGCTGGTCCTCCTTTCCTCCAAGTTCTGATGATAATAATCACTGCCAGTGACTGTCCTGCACCAAATTCCATTCCTCCCATGGTTAATCCCCGTGTGACATATTTCCTCCTGTGATTCCCTCCCTCCCTCAAGACCACCTCAGCAAGCCTTCAGTCCTGTCCTGTTCCTGTCAAGAAATAGCCCTCCGGGATCTCCGTCTTTCCCACCAGGCCAAAAAGCTTCTCCAGCATTGACCTGAGCTTCTTCCGAATTCCCTCATTGCTGAAGTTCTTCAATGCCTCCTTTGAGACCGCAGCGAACTCGGACCGGATCGCCTCATGGATGGATGGCTCCAAGAACTCAAGGCAGTAGTCAAACTGTACGTTGTCCTTCCAGTACTCCTTCTCGGCCTTTCTCACAAGACTTTTCTTGCACCTCGGGCAGTAGTCCTCGACCATCCAGGTGTATTTCAGCTTGTACTTGGTCTCGCAGTCTTCTCCCATGATGGCCCTGCAGCAGAGTCGGCTCTTGGTTGGGATGGCGTGATTCTTGAATTGGTCGGTATGAGAGCACTTGTGGTACTTGACGTGCCGATAGTAGTAGCACATGGTGGCTGTTCCGTAAGTCTGTGAAGTTGATGGTGGGAAATTTAGCGATGACTGGCTGGGCTTGACTCTTTGCGGCGGGCGCAATCGTGGGTGTTTGGAGGAGGTAAAGAGAAGGTGAAGAGAAGGTGAAGAGAAGGTAAATGGTGACCGATGCTTCACTTTTTGATGACCGAGCGCTCTGATTGCACCCTCAGGTTAGGGGAAACCAGTGGGGGAAAACAAAACCAGCTTCACTATCTATCGCAAGTTAATCACCGCCTGAACTATCGAAATTCAGGCGCCCACTCTGTCACTTGCATCAGTGGCCCGGGCCTCCCAACTTTGGTGTGAATGGCTAGTAGCGTTACTCAATCCAGCCCTGTCCTTCAGTGGGCAGTGATTGTTGACGACTTGGTGATTTGAATTTCTGCTTGGCGAGACCATTTGATACTGAGGTTATTGTTGGCACTCCGGCACTCGGTGTGATCGCAGTCCGGCTGTTACTGGCAACGGATCGGGTTGAGGCAACGTGCGGCTGTGCAGCAGCCACACTGTGACTGGCCAGTATTAGTCTTACGACACCTGGATACGTAGTTACGTACCCAAAACACAGCCGAACCGACAGTTATGTATATATCACTTTCGTATCAGTTTCATTTTTGCAACAAGATAAGGACAATGAGTGCACTCTACAATCCCCACAGCTCCGAAATTCACAGTCAAAATAGCAGAGAGGCTTTGTTTGTTTGGTTTGTCTGTATCAAGTGTTGGTAGTGTATCGACTGGAAACTTTGGAACTAGAGATAGATACCTGCAGTTCAGCACATCAATCAGCATAGGTTCCATAAACACTATAAAGATAATAGTGCCCCCCATCACTACAAGTCACTCTGGTGTACCAAGCATGTATAGTTAGATGATAATGGTTGGAAGGCTGGAAATGAGCGTGATAGTGAAATTCACTGAAGGGCCTGGCCAAGGGAAGCACATCACCAAAGCCATCACTTCATTCGCACTTTGGAATCATCCATCTCCCAAACACTTGACCATCTTCCGACCCTCAGGCGACCACACTATTCAGCGCACAACATCATATTATCCTGCAGACTTCTGCACTGTGTGGTCAACCGTTACCTCCTGGTTGTCACTGCCGTGACTTTGTGCCTGCTCCAAGTAGTAGGAGGTATAGGGGACTTTGCTTATGGAGTTCCAAAGAACCTCAAATGCGTGCGTGGTCGGTCCTTTGTCTATAAAGGCACGAGATTCTAGGACTCGTGGCAGATATGTTGGGTTGATGAGCGCGGTCCTGGGGGCCCTTGGGAGACACATCAAGCCGCTGTGATACTTCTGTTTCGGACTGTTGTGAAATTACCCTTGCGGGAGGTGGTGAGGCTTGGTCAAGTGGGAATCACACTCTGCCTTAGCGCCATTTGCTAAGTTGACAACGGTGATCAACCTGGTCAACTAGGCATTGACTGGCTGTGGCTGGCTGATTATGTGGCGTGCATCCTGATGCAACCCTGATTGGTATTTTCTCACCTTAGAAGCTGGAAACAGCCAATCGGCTGCTCCGCTGAATATGCATGCACATTCTATGCAGGCGACCTAAGTAATCATTTGATCATTCTGGCAGGCAAGCAGACAAGGAGAGAAGGCTGAAATATAGACCTTGCATTGTTGGCCACCTGCCCAGTTATCTGCCCCCCAAAATTGTTCTCCGACTTGGGCTGGCTCTTCCCTCCTAATCGCTCATGGCTGTGGGAGATGGACGAGATCTTCTACCGCCGGCACCTCGACGAGTGCGATGTCATTTGCGAAGAAACAGGTTATCTGCAAGTCCTGCAATACTCGGTAAGGCATGAATGACAGCAACCTACGCACATCAAGCCAATCGCTAACGTGCCAATGAATTCATCAATTGATTCCAGGATGGCCAGTACAATACCTCCGACCAGCACAGTTTGAAACTGGGCGATGACTTTGACAATTTCATTGTTCGCAAAGTAAGCTCCAAAGACTGAAACGGTCTTTTTTATTGTACTGACCAGCACAGGGGACGTTCAAAGCCCCGGCATTGCCTAAAGGAACGACATTCGCCAGTGGGATCCGCCTCCTGTGAGTAGAGTCGTGATCAGGCATTCGTGTACCGATACACCTAGATACCAAGGTGTACTAGTCAGTCCTTTAGTCTAGTGATATTCCTCAAGTGATGCAAAATTCCCCCTGGTCGTTTCACCCATCTGATACCGCGTATTCGTGTCACAGTCTCCAGCTCAATGCTCGCGACCCAAAAACATTCGAACCGGGAGTGATCTCATTGCCGAAGGAAGCCTTTGATGGCCTGGTCCGCCAGTTCAAGCTCCCATTTCGCAACCTCGAGACATCAAGTGCCGTCGGCCCGTTGTTTTGGTGGACTGGCAAACGGGAATTGTCGAAAGATTGTCTGCGTAAGTCCAAATACCAGGGCTTCCTTCTTGCCAAACATATTCTCACAAAAGCAACAGAGCTCGTATTTCGCAAGTCGGATGTCGAGTGGCTGGGGCACTCAAGAGGATGGATGATGATGCTCTCCTATTCTTTTCCAACAAAAATGACAAATGGATACATCAAAGCTACAGAGTCCGCCAAGTTCAACGAGACCCTAGACTTGTTCCAGGACTTCAAGGAGCCTGGGAGCCATCCACTGCTCTTGCCAGTGCTGGCACTGAACAAAGAGCTGGCAACTAAGAACGACAAAATGCAACGGGACGTTCGAGCCAAGCTCCGCGCGCTCGAAGAAGCATTGTCTCAACGCTATCAGTTGGATCCAAGCAAGAGTCAACCCTCCGCCAATGACCACCTGCTCGATGCGATTAATCGTGGCCTAGCCGACTGTCAGTGCAAAGCCATGTGGAAGCGTCCGCAGGCCTGGAGAAACGTCATTGACCAGATGGCCGATGCCACAGAGTTCTTTTGGCAGACCTGCTCGGAAGATGAAAAGTCTCAAGAGCTGACAGAGATGCATCACGAGATAAGAGACCGTTTGCAGTATCTGACAATAAAGCTCAACGCCCTTGAAGCATACTCTCAAGTCACACTCGAGCGGCTAAATGTGCAAAGACAGGTTGTATGTACAGAAATTACACAATGTCTTGCATGGGGCTTGGCAACCAGCACATCTCAAGCTTGCTAATAGTGGTCTTCAGATGGATAGCCTCATAAACCAGCGAGAATCAAGACTGAACCTGAGGATCGCAGACCAGCAGAGCCGCCTGGCTTTGATAAGCAGGCAAGACAGCATGTCAATGAAGACCCTGACTATGCTAGGCGCTTTCTTCCTCCCTGGCACATTCCTATCGTCCTTGTTCAGCATGTCTTTCTTCAAGTTTGACAATGGTGAGGAAACGACAGAGTCCTCCTCTAGCGTGGCAGGACTTTGCGCTGATACACCCAAAACTGCGCAGATATCCACGGCTCGGTCTCTCCTCGCATCTGGATATACTTTGCGTCGATGATCCCCCTGACAATCCTGGTCCTGGGGACGTGGTGGGTAGTCGATCGTCGATCTGGCCGGGTGCAGCCGGAGGATGAACAAGCAGCGAATGAACGTATGGACAAAATCGAAGACGGTATTATGAGAAACATTCGTAGAAGAACAGGCGCAAGGCTTGCTACTGGGTTGGAAGACAGCGAGAATCAACGCTTGGCTTGAGATGCTGGAAGATGTCTACTGTAGGCACGCCGGGTTTCTGCACGAAAACTTTTGAACGTGGTAGCTAGGCCGAGCTTCAGGTTGCTGCGGATGAACTGGCAAAGACATGATCCACCTAAAGTACAATATCTGGCAGGAAGCACGTTTATTGTTTATGTGCCAGTCGACACGCATATGGCTACTGCTATCTTGCACAACTGGCAGTGACTGAGAGCATGTGCTGGGGCATGGGCATGCTCCCTTGGCTGCGTGGCTGTGGTAGAACGCCTCGTTTCCAGGCAGAGGCTCCATTATGCGTAACGATTAAATCTTATCCCAATACTGTACTACGAAACCGCCATTCGTTACTGTTGGTGACTCGGCCCATGCTCACTCCGTCCACGACAAGATCCTCCACCTCCAGCCACTTAACATCTCCAGGTCTCGCTCTTGAATATCTCCCTCGCCACTCTCAACCTTGGCCGTGAGGCGCTTCAGCCTTTTAGACAGAGTCTTAGCCACGCGCAAAGAGACCTCGTTCGAAAACACATAAAGGACAGCGAACACGAAGAAGGCCACCGATGCGAGCCCGCTCTTCCCATGCACCGAATTGAGAATCCGTGATATCAAAGTCTTGCTCTTCTGGAAAGCATACTCCGTTCCACTGACACCCTCAAGCCCCTTCTCCTCGCGGGGCCGCCGAAAAAGCCTCTTGACCAATGGGATGAACGATGCACTGTAACTCACTGTCAGCGAGATCATGACAAACCCAGCCATTCAAGACAGGGGGGAAGTCACAGAATGCCACCAAGCATCCACTTCCTCCACCGGTGCGCCTCGGCCTCCCTCGCCAGACCTACGACCCTCTCCCGCACAGCCCGCAGGCTTGCCCCCGCCATTCCCGCTTGCCGCCGTATGCGGTCCTCGAGCGCCGGGTCGCTCCCGCCAACGCTGGCCGTGCTCGCGCCGTACCGCCGCCGCTGCAGCGTTATGTACTCGCGTACCGCGAACTCGGCTGTCGACCGCGCGGCCTTGAGGTCTCGGTCCCGCGGCACCATCTGGGTCGGCGATTGGGTCAGCACAGGCCCCGTGACGTGGATCTCCTCGAGCCTATGCTGCTGATGCTGCTGGAGCGAGCCAGGAGGAGGAGGCGAGCTGGCATAGGCGCTGCCGCCAGCGCCGGACATCATGGGCGGCTGGGGCGGCTGGGGTGGCTGCTGCGAGTGTGAGAGGACGGGTCCGCTGGGCTGGATTGGCTGCTGTTGGTGATGGGATGGCATCATGGGCGGCGGGAAGCTGGACGGGGACGGCTGGCAGGCCTGGATCCTGGCTGGCGAGGGGCGGTCCATCATGGCTGGGGAGGCAGACTGCTGTGCTCAGAGATTGAGCGATTGCCTTGGAAGGATAGTTAACAAAAGGATTTCGATACCAGCAGTTGTGGTTGGGTGTCGTCCGTGGCCGGCGATGCGGATCGAGCCGGCGTCAGTCCGGCGAGCTAGGTAGAATTGTGGGTGCTCGAGAAGGTGGTGTGGTCTGGTGGCTTGGAGGTGTGTGTTGGCAAATCCCGGTGGCTGGGAGGTGCTCCAGTGACGATGCTTGACTGGTCGACGAATGAGCGCCCACCAGCCAGCCGGGGAGTCTTCACTACGCAGACATCGACACGACATCGAATCGACCAGTAAGACCAAGGGGGGTCTCCCACACTGTCTAAATCCAAATGCTATTTATTGTCTGTCGCTGAGCTGAACCGATAAGTGTCCCGGGCGAGGAAAATAAACAGAAAGGCCCCCTAGCTCACGGTTCGCTCGGTGCCGCCAAGTGCGCACACAACATAGTCAAGACGCTACTGTTGATCAGTCAATCACCACCACCCTCAATGGCGCCCTTAACGTCGGCCCCGATCCTCCTCTCCAGTAGGGGTGTCGTCTCTGGTCCTCTCGTCTCCGGTCTCCTCCTCGACGTACGCACCGGCACACAGGTTGGCATAAATGTTGGGTAAATCGGCATTGCCATGTTTCCTCCACTCCCACACGGGCCCCGTTGTCTTCCAACCCAGGTGTTGGTGCAATGCCTGGCGGTAGCACCTCTCAAACATGTCTTTCTGACCCTTCTCCAGCTCGTCAAAATGGTTCCAGAAATCCGGGAAGTAAAACGTCGCCTCGTTTCTTCTCTCCGTCAATGCCTGGATCTCAGCTTTGGAGAACCTGCCTTTCCCCAGCAACTTTTCGGATACCAGCTCGTCCGTGAACATCTTCCAGAGCCTGTCCACTCTTCGCACCCACGCGTGGCACACCGGGCACGGGAGCGTCTCATCTTCGAATACATCAGCCTCGATGTGCTCCGTGTTGACCTGGTATATGTACGTGTTGCATTGCCTTTTTCCTTCATCGGCCTGTCTGCACTACCCCAGAACTTTTCGATGTTGGGGTTCAAGATCATTGGAGGACACGGCATGGTTGCATTTTGCCCAACGCACTTTGCCGTAGTAGTGACACATCTTGTTGGACTGGCTGGATACTCAACCGAATACGAGGAGGATACGGCTTGTCCTGGGCTGCGGGCTGGCTAGTGGCGATCGAGTAGCAGGGAAGGTGGAGCCGTGCAGCAAGTGTGAGAAGAATAACTGTAGTAGCCCTACAGGTGGTGTATGAGATTAGCGCGTGGAGCCAGAGCGGCACGTTGGAAACTCCCTTGACTTGCCTTGCCCAATGGATGAGACGAGAACGAGCGATAGTTGATGGCATGTGGCTTCTGACAAAAGGTGGATCGTATGTTTACCACGAGCGGTGAAACGACGATATCTGAGCGATGGTTGACATGAACGAAAGGATGATGATGTTTGCAGCCAGAAATGGACACTGGCTGGGTCTGAACGGGATGCAAAGAAAAGCTTCACAAGGATGACGTGGTCCTGGATGATAGGATCGAGCCTGAGCACGGGTTCAAGGAAGCGGGTGCACTGCAGCTCTACCTGCCTTCCGTACGGGCTTGTACGCTAAGGAAAGTACGTCTATTACACTGCAAGTCTGCTGGATGAACATCCATGGCAAGGAAGCTCCGAGGCTGCATTACCTATGTACGCTGCTTATGGCTGAAGTTAGCATCTCCCCACACTGGAAGCAGGTGCTCACCAATGCATACATTCCAGAAAAGCGCCGCACGTCGCAATGAGAGTCATCGGATCTCAAGCATCCCGCATGTGAGACTGTGGCGCTGTCATTATTCACACTCGTTGATCAACAGGTAACTACCTAGTAATAGCTTGCCGATCGGGTGCTGCGTGAACATGTAAGATGTTCTCAACTCCGTCAAAATCTGAAGAACCCCTTTGTAGCCAAGGTATATGGGGTGGATGATCCATCCTCCCCTGTCGGTGCAACGAAGGCCCCGGAGAGAACCTTTACGACATGAAGCAGTTCATAGTGCACTGCATGGCAAACATCTTCCAGGCGAGCCACGGCTGCCACCTCGAGAGTGATATACAGCCCGCCAATTCCTTTCCACCCGCTGCACAATCTCTTGTTGCCACTAAAATTCTGGATGAATCTCTTATTACCACTGAAATTCTGGATGCAGCGTCTTCTTCATGCGGAGCGGTACATCCTACTACCTATACGCTTACATTCATCCCTAGTCATCCATCTACAGCGCCTATGACGTGTACACAGTCCGCAGTTACTGGGTTAGCGGCCCAGAAGACACAGAGCCCTGTAGCCCTCCGCAGCCTCCGGTGCCCTCCCAGTGCTCAAACAGTGCTACTTGGGAAGATTGCACTAGCTGTCTGCTCTCTTATTGTCCTGTAATCCTCTCTTCTGTGACCTCCAGGGCTGGCAATTAAGGTTTCTCTTACATATCTAGTGCCGAAATCGGAGATACTGCAGTCTGACACCTATGGTACGAAGTACCGGTACTTGAGGCTATTCACACTATTGTATATAGAAGGGGTGGCTCCCACCTACTCAGACAGGCAGTAGTACTAAGGAATCAAGCGGTATTGCAGTACATTTCCACATCTAGCTTGCTTGCACATGTAAACCTCGAAACATTCAGCGTTTAATATTAAGTAAACTAATATATGCTCTTCCCCTTGTAATGTATCTGGACTGCTGTTTTCAGGCTCGAGTATCAGAAGTAAAGTCAATAAACAAGACCTGCCCGCTTCGACAACCGATACAAATCGTCTGGCGTGAAATAGCTGAACAAAGAGGCCTGCAGTATGGTGGCAGCAAAATGATATTCTCACCATCCCTTGTAATCCAATTTCTATCTATGCTCAAGCCGTATTCGGGAAGCTTTGTAACAGCTTGATTGGTAGTTGGTTCCTCTGTAATGCGGGACTCGATAACCTCATTACAGGAATCGACCATGGCGTCTGGCGCTGTCGGTGAATCGCTCGGTCTCCAGTCTAATTTGAAACGTCCGATCTCAGTGATTGCATGATAACCGATGTCGTCGAAGGAGAGAGCAGACAAGGAAGTGCCCACTTCAACCACCTGTAGGCAAGCCTCTTCTTCAACGTCCCAAAGTCTCAGAGTGCGATCGCTGGACGCAGAAATAATACGGCCATCATCGGGCGAGAAAGCCACTGCCCACACCGACCCATCGTGGCCTCTGTACCGATGCAAACATCCTCCGTCAACAGCAGATATCGAGATCGTACGATCCTCAGAGGCCGCAGCAAGCATGGAGCAGCTGTTTGAGAAGCACGTCGAGTAGACGGCGTCGGTATGGGGATCAAAGACGTACCAGGGGTCACCCTTGGCTTGGTCCCAGATCCTCACGGGCCCGTCTCTCGAGCAGGTAGCCAGCCAACGGTCGTCGCGCGAGAAGGACACAGACCAGACAGAACCGCCATAGACGACATCCCATACCGCGACCTCTCCATCATCAGCTGACGTGGCAAGCTGCTGGCCATTATGGGAAAATGACGCAAAGTTGAGGCTGTCCATTTGGCGGTGAGCTTTCAATGTGTAGATGCATGCGCCTGTTGCGATCTTCCAGATTTTAACCATTCCAGTGTCGGAGGATGTCATAATCTGCTGATCTGAACACCCGGGCCCTCGCATGAATGACATGGCCCAGATAGGTCCGCCTCTTTGGTCCAGTACGTGGAGACAGGTTCCTGTGACAATGTTCCATATCCTGGCCTCACCTTTGTCAGAGCCCGAGGCGACGAGCTCATTGTGCCGACGAGGGAAGGCTACGGAATAGACGCTGGTGATGTGACCCTTGCACTTTTGAATGTACTGACCCGTGGCAAAGTTCCAGATGCTGACAGTCGAACTGTCGGTGACCGTGGCTATCAGCCTGTCGTCGTGAGAGAATGCAGTCGCATTCGTCGATGTGCCGCCCTTGGCAAAAGTACGAACTGTGGTGCCTTTGGCAGTGTCATAGACCCTCACATCTTCCCCTGCCGCAGCGACGTATCGGCCAGAATGTGAGTATGCGACGGTATAAATCGTCGACTCATTCTTGATGTTGTGCAGACACTCGCCGGTTTTGATGTCCCAGATTCTGAGGCACTCGTCAGGCGATCCCGTGGCAAGTTGCCTGTTTTCATGCATTGCGATGGAAAAGACGGAGAACTTATGACCCTTGAATGTTTGCACACATTTCCCGGTCGCTGCATCCCAGATCTTGGCCGTGTTGTCACTTGCACAAGTGGCGATCTGCTCACCGTTGTGGGAGAAGATAACCGTCCAAACATTTCTCGAATGGCCTGTGAGATTGAAAGCCTTTGAGTATGCACCAGCACCCCGGCCATCGAGCGTTTTGATGCACTTGCCAGTAGCAACTTTCCAAATTCGAACTGACTCATCATCAGAAGCTGATGCAATTCTGTTGCCGTCGGCCGAGAAGTTGATGGACCAGATCAAATCAGTATGGCCTTTCAGTGTCTGTAGGCACTGCCGAGTTGCAGTATCCCAGATCTTGACAGTCTTGTCATCGGAAGCTGAGGCCACAATATGGCTGTCTATGGGTGAGAACGCTACACTCCAGACTGAACCAACGTGACTTCTTTGTCCTGCAGCAGGTTTGTTTTCCGTGACAATGTTTCCGGCGTTGATGGTGACCTTGACTTGCAACTCCGTTTTGTAGAGTTGCTTGATCAAACTTGAGTCTGGCCAAAAGACTAGAGCTGATGCGTATACTTGAAGCGGTGCTTTCTCGATTACCATTGCATTGGAAGTCAAAAAATGACAGGCATCACAAACTAGTGCCTTCAGAAATGAGGATGAACCAGGTTGTTCCTAATCAATGTCAGCACTGGTGAAATAGGATGCATCAAACGGGACGATTCCCGAAAAAAGGGACTTACCACAAAGTCCTTCAACTTCGCCATTGCTCTCACCCCATCCGGTACACGCCTGAGAAGGCTTAGAGCCTCAAGCCAGTTGAGGTATTTCTCCTTCAAGAACTTCTCGAGGAGCCCTCCTTCTGACAATACCATCCCGTCATCTGAAAAGCTCGGCGTAGGACCATGGGACCACTCCAGTAAGTGATGAACCCAGAAGATGATTGCGTAGCGCATCTCTGCCAAGGGATCCGATTTGGGTTGGAGCACCTGGTCAATAATGGTGCCCGGATGCTGTAAGCTATACATATCACGCCGTAATGATTTCATCATGGTGTCTAAGGACCGTAGCAAGGCTGTCTTTTTTGTAGCTTCCAGAAGGTCGCTATCCGATGTCTTCAATTTGAGGAGGAGAAACGTCTTGGCCGCCGAGTGGGTGAGATAGAGTGTATCTCGGTCAATAACCAAAAATGCTGCGCAGAGTTGCAAAATACTGTCCAGAAAACTATGACCACCTGAGGTAACGGAAGTCCCCAGTAGGCACCAGAGTTCCTGCGTGTTGATAGGCCTGTGAGCGATGGCCATAGTGGCCAAGAGGCGTTTGCACACGTCCCTCCGGTCCGACTCTTCGATACGCCGCAAGAATTCTGAGTATAGAGAGCTTGGGCGAGAGTCCGAAACTAGAACAACGGTTGCTTTTTCGCCTAGTTTGTTGACACGACCCTCAATCTCGGCTGACTGCCCACTGGAGACCACCCATTTGACGTGAGGGCATTTTGAAGCAGTGCGGTCTATCAAGTCCAGCAGATTGTGCGAACCAATGACACACTCATCAAGTGCATCGATGGAAAAGAAAACGCCTTGAGCTTTCAGCGTGGGACTGTTTAAAATGTCGAAGAATGCACTCGCAAGTGGAAGCCATGCATCGCCGCTTGCGTTTATCTCTCGTGGCATTCGTCTGCGTCGCTTGCGTATGTTGTCCAGGAGAGACGGTTGTTGCTGGTAGAGAAGGTAGATCAAGCCGCGCAACACCGCTTCGCCGCTTCTGGTGTCACAGTCAGTCCCTTGACAGAAGTAAAAGGACTTGAAACTGCGACTTTCGGGCGCATTTTGCAGCTCGTCGACGACGCGACACATTGTCGTGGTCTTGCTGGGGCCAGGCTCGCCCCGAACCCATAGGAGGCGTTTACTCCTGTCGCAGCGCCACATTTGAAAATCTGCGATGTCCAAGACTTCCCCGTGAGCATTTTCCAACAAATTGCTACTGAGTTCGAGGAGTCGAGACTTTTCGTAGCGGGGATCTATAACCCCCAACCTGGCTGGGTGGAAGACATCCTCTCCGTAAATATCATCTTCAATAATGTATTCACCAGGTCGGACACGCCTGGACCCTGACATAATACCAGTCATCGAAAGGCAACTGCCTATTCACAGCTTGACCAGGCCGAAGTTGATGTGTGGTGTCGAAACCCGGGACCTTCACTCTCCAATACTGGATATTTTGATTTGGGAGCCAGGCAGCCACCAGCACCGTGGTTCGATTATGATTACATTGGTCCGTGAGACGGGAAAGTACACTGCGTTAGGGATAAAGAGATGCAGGAAGAGTCGCTTTGCGCTTGTGGATTAAACATGGGTCGAATGCACCATCACATTCAGCCAGCCACACCAGTGTGGGGGCGAAAACCTGGCCGTCCATTCAATGTTTCTCTAAGTACCTACGATGTTTCCGTTCGATTACAGGGGCCGAGGGTTGCTTGCTCAAATTTCGAGCATGGCCTCCCAGGAGTGACATGCTATCACCGGATTGAGTATCAAGCTCAGCGTGGCGATGTCTAGCCATTATTGACGCAGTTCTGCAACATCACCACATTATTATGTCCGATCAGCTATGGAAGCCACTTCAGTCAGTTTCATCGTCTGACATCCGAGCACCGTCTTCGAGATCAGTCGTTCTCCAGCGCAGCATACTCGACTCCTGGTTGATCCGAGGCAGCTCCTCCATGGAGAGAAAGCAACAGTCATCATCCGTAAAGGCATCCTGCACCGCTTCTGTCGACGAAGAGCTTGTGACAAGGACCTTCAGAGATGGCAATAGGTGTTGATCCCTCGCAAGATCCAAGATATATCTGAGTACAATCAACAAGTCTTCCTCGTACTCGTCGTTCTCGTATTGCTCTATGCCATCGATCAGGCATATGAGCGTCACATCCCGAGCTAATCTTCTTACTAGCCACCCGAATAATGCACAGACCTCGTTGAGATCATTATCACGGATGCGGTCCAGGTTAACGTCATCCCGCAGAAACGTCATGTCGAACGACTGATATCGCAACAGCTGCGCAATCAGACTCCGGATCAAGGAATTCGCGCCAGCAAAGCCATCATCATCTTCTGCATGTCGGTCGCAGAAGAAGACAAGCCCAATGTGCCTTGCTCGTCTCCTGAGGGCGCGTGTCAGGGTGGCGCAAACCAGTGACAGGGCCAGAGCGTATCCAGAGTCGAGCCTGTGCTCTCCGTGAACCAATAACTCTCGAGATTTTGGGGAAACAATCCAGTCTCGGAACTGAGATGTTCCGGCTACTTGTTCAGCTCGGTATCGATATCTGACTGGGACAAGATCTCTGCTTTCCAAGATGTCATCGATATCAGACTCATCTATATCTGCAATGTTGAGCAGCATCCGAAGATCATCGCTGCTCATAGACGGGCTTGCATTTGCGAGGTTATTTGGCTGCATATACTGCGGCGGCCAGAAAGGGTGTGGTTGCGGCTGTTCAGCGAAAACGGGGGCTTGGGTGACTGGCATATGTATGAGCCAGGGACACACTGGCTGTGGCTGAGGAAGGCCTTGTATCGATGCTATCGGTCGCGACTGAGGAAGTAGCAGAGGCAATGGCGAGGACCAAGGCAATGATGGGAAGTTCGGCTGTGGACTTGGCGTCAACTGGCGGATCAATCGACTTTGTTCTTCGCTTTGATGTTTGAGCTGCTCTATTTGCACTATTGTCTGTTAGCAGGACAAAGGTTCAATAGATGCAGGAGTGTCGAACCTACTTTGTTGCTTCTCAAGGATGTCGAGATATAGTTGGCGGTTTCTTTCGCCATCATCTAGTAGACCTTGCATTCGGTTTAGAAGGTGAGCACCGCCATCCTTTATGATAGCTACGTCGTCCAAGATGGTTGCTACCCCTTCACTGGTCTGCTTCTGTAATAGCTCGATCCGGCTCGTCCCTAAGACGAAGTTGTCAGTGATAACCAAGTAATTTGGACATTCAGCCCGAGATTCAGATCTCACGTTGCAAGATTGCAGTCATTGCTTCTCGAGTAGCCGCGATATGGGAGTTGAGACCATGATGTACCAAGTCCTTACTACAGGTGTCCACATTCTCAATGCTGTTCAGGATAGACTCTTGGTAGTTCTCGCCACTGATGACCGCTGAGAAGCCTCGTTTGACTAGTGAAGTGTCTGAATGTCAGCCTTGCATTAGCAACCTCAAGCGAAGGGACGATTTTACCTGAGTTCTGAATAAAGAAGCCAATAGTGTCCTCGATTGCCTTTAATGTCGCAACTACCAGATTTACGGAGGCCTTCTTGATATTCTCATCCTCGGGGAAAGTTGCAAGAAACAGCTCAATGTCACTGAAAGTCCGGTCCAGGCTGTCGCTGTCGAAACTGCCGGTGAGTTTCTTTCGCACCTCAGATGCGACTTTCACTGCCTATATGGGGTCAGCATCTCTAAGCATCTGCATCTAATGGTTATGGACCAACTGACATCAACAACAACATCTACTGCCGCCCGAATCGGACTTGTATAGGTCTCTTCCGGGATGAATTTCGCTAGTCGCCCTACAGGAGCAGCATGGTCGGCAATCTTGCGAGTGACCTTTTTCATGCGACCTCGAAAGTCCTTCTTTGTGCCATCGTACGCCTCGCGGGCCAGCTGTAGTCGCGAGTAGATCACTTCCCAGTTTTCCGCCGTTCTGATGTCGTAAGGGGTCTCTGAACGTTTCTTGGGTGCCTGGTGCCGTGATATGAGACCTTCCAATGAGTCGGTGTATATCTGCGCCCAGAACTTCATTGCTGCCGTCGCAGGTGGTAGGGATCTCTGCGTCGGATACTGTTCAGCCTCAGCATCATGGCTGAGGGCGGACTCGCGACGCCGGAGCGCTTGTGAAGTGGGACTGATGTCTTCCACATTTGCCATTGCAGTTGAAGTTGATACTGTGGATACATAGTGACCGACGGCTGGGTCATATCGCGCTCTGGGGTTTCTAAACGCTTCATGGTGGTCGGCCATATGGTTGTCGATGAAGTCCACGGAGGGGCGTTGCATACGAAGGTTGGGGATGCCTCCCGGAGGGACTGTGCTTTCCATCCTTCCCTCCATGCATAGATAGTGGCCCTGAGAGGGTGGTTTTCAGTATGTGTGGTTGGCTCGGGATGGGGTAGTGTCCATGATGAGAGTGCCATATCGTCATGAATCAGGAGTTGTCGAAGATAAAATCCCGTGGGTCCATGCAGTCACTGGCACATGACCCCGGAGTACTTGTGGTAACTTTAAGGTACTTACGAGACAACTAATAGCATTGCACACACGAGGAGATAACACAGGTCTCTCTGCAGGTGACCGGACTTTCACGTCGCGGACCCATGCTAATATCTGCGCTACGACTGGGGTCTTCATGCAGTCATCAACTAGCCGGTCCAACCACTGCGCAACACGACAATTACCTGGCGCTGAGACCTGCTGGGCCAAAGGAATAAAAGCTCAGCCTCGGTCTTGGATTGCGCTGCTGACTGAGCTTGAAACTTCAGCTGCAGGGGACCCCGCAGGGGACAGGCTCACAATCTTGGCCCCCAAACGCCCCCTTCAAGCCATTTCACTTGGACAAAGCTCAACAGGCGATGGCAGTAACCCGGGTCAACTAGGGTAGCGCCAGGTCCTGGAAGAAGCACCGCCGCCTTGTTCCCAAGACCGGCCTTTGCAAGCAATTCGCTCTTGAAAGGAATAAAGCCCTTCAGATCCCTTTCACGATTCGCCTGACCTCCGCCAGACGCTGTTGAGGGCACGAGGCAAACTTTTACAACATCAGGGGTCTGAGAGCGATAGGCCGCTGCCACAATGTTGACAGACGTGCAGGCGAGCAATGGCCCTCCTGGCCAAGGCCTTCAGTCATCGGACAACCGCAGCAGCGAAAGCGTGCAAGCGGTCAATCATGGCTCTTCGCGGGGCTCAATCTCACCGTCCAGGGGGGGTACAAAGCATTCGCAGCTGGAGTCTGACGTTCGTGAACTGAAAGAGGCGCTCTCCGCAATGATGGCGAAACAAGCAGAACGCGATGCTGAGCATGGAGAGCCATTCGGTATGTCTGACGAGCACAGGTTTGCGCTACAACATCGTCGCTACCACGCCGACTCGTCAGGGTCTGAGGATGATGACTACACGCAATTCGACCAACAGCGGAGGAGGATGGAGCGAGTGTTTGTCAGAGAGCTCAAAATGCTCAACAGAGAGAGAGAAATGATCAAGGATATTCGGTCATTGAAAAGGGATCGCGACGGCCTGCTTGAGAAAGAGAAAGAATGGGAAAGGGAGCGCCTTGAACTCCAGCGAGCGCAGAAAAGACTGGAGCAGAGCAAGACAGAAGTGCAAGAAGATGAAAACGACGGGACCAATAGTGGCGATCGTGATGCACCGGACGGCGAAATGTCAATTGTGATCGAAGGGAGTGGAGATCCCATTGCGACGAGCCCTCAGTTATCGGCGATACCCAAGCTTCATTACGTGGAGTGGTCTCTTTTCAAAGCGCTCCGATCGGATGCGGAGGAAAACTCGTATGCCATCGACGTGCTCAAGGGCGAACCGGTCGTCACTTTTGACTGGACGAGTTATTGGGGCGGACGACGTGCGAAACGGGGAGGAGGGAAAAGTGACGAGGCGGCCAAAGGGAAAGCTGCTGCCAATTTGAAGAAGAAACAGCTAGGTCAGGCAGCCCTCCCCGAACGCATCCGCATCCATTCCAAAGAGATTCTCAAGGTCTTCGAGAAGGTCTCTGGCGACACTTTTTCGTCTCGTGACGATCCAGTCATCATGATTCGACCCTTTAAATTCCTTGTCTATTACGACGATCCGATTCGACAAGAACTGCAAAGACTGAGGGCCAAATTCGGCGTCCAGACAGTCGCCATTGATGAAAAAGCCACTGCGTCCGCTCCGCCAGAGGAGAGTCAGGAAGAGGCTGCCAAAGGAATGGCAGCAGAGAGCACTACCAAGGAAGAGCCAGGCGTTGTACCTGCTCCTACTGCGGAAGCAGATCAGGAAGCCGAGGCCAATAACAGACTCTCGGCCATCGCACTTCCTCCATTGGAATGCCTAGTGGAGTTCATCGACACGGAGATCCAGCAGAAGCTGAAATATCTTGCAAGCGATAGCTGCGAGCGGATCTTGTTCACTGATGTGTGGTATCTCTTCAAGCCTGGAGACGAGGTGGTTGATCAGACCCGCAAGCAGGCCTACAGAGTAATCGAGGTTGCGAGCGTCGCTCACAAGGCGATCCCGCCTTGGCGCAATTGGAACGACAAATCGTCGGCGAAGGCCGACGAGACGCCCGTGAAACTCCATTGCGTCTATGTGGACTTCGACGGAAAGAACATCGGACCAGTCAGCCGGACATTTCAGATCCCCAGATTTGACGGAGAGAAGGCGGTGACATCCCTTGAGGTCTATCCTTTACGCTTCGTCAAGTCCAATCTCGAAAAGAAGAAGACATTTCGCCAAGAGCTTATTGACCGCGGGAAAATGTTCCTTGATGTTGCAGGAGTCAAGCATATGCATTACAACGGTCTTACGTTGGATGCGAGGGATGAAATCGATAGTCAGGTGGTCGTTGACTTTGAAGAAGCGTTCGCGTCAAGGGGCAAGGGTGATCAGAAACCGAGCCTGGAAGAGCTCATCGGAGAGTCCCAGCTCGACAAGGAAGACGATCAGATGTGTGTCGCCGAGTGCTGCAGGGACGAGAATGTGCACAAGGACAGCGAGACAGAAACGAAGCGCAGCCGGGACTACATGACCACCCTGATTCCAGAGGACCGGAATAGGGAGCCTTCCGTGACCATTTACCCTCGCGCTCTCAAGGACGCCCGGTCTCCTGAGAACCCACTGACGGAGGATGAGTTACTAATCATGTCATTCCGTGTGTTTGGATTTGTACTGCGCAGCCGGAAGTGGGGTGAGTAACAATATTTTGACTTTTGATGCGCTGCACTTACAAGATGCTGACGAGGGACTTGTGTGGTCTAGCCTCGTTGGACCTTACGTATCTAAGCCCAATCACGTCTCTTAGCAGGGCTGAGAGCCACGAGGAAGCTGCAGATGCGGAAAATAAGACAGAAAAGCAAGTCGACAAATCAGAAACAGCATTCGAGCAGCTCGTCTTGCCCCCGGGACACAAGGAAATGGTCCTGTCTCTGATTGCGCAACATTTTCGAGACAAGGAATCCGTGACTGCCGACACAGAGCAGGTAGACATTGTTCGTGGCAAAGGTATGCATCGTACCTGCACCTGGAATCCGCCTTTAGGTTGCGGTGCTAATCAACACTAGGCAAGGGCTTGATTATCCTGCTCCATGGTGCGCCTGGCGTCGGCAAGACGACAACAGCAGGTTTGTATCTCTTACTGGCTTGTCTCTTATCACGTGGACTGACTTGGAATTACAACAGAGGGTGTGGCTGAGCTGTTCAAGAAGCCCCTATTCCAGATCACTTGCGGTAGGCTAGCCGTGACTTTTCTTGGCCATCGTGGAAGTTCCCTAGACTGACCCGTGCTCAGGTGATCTGGGGTCTACAGCAAGCGAAGTTGAGCTTGCCCTCGAGACCAACTTCGCGTTGGCAAACAGATGGGGGTGTATTCTGCTTCTAGACGAGGCCGATGTGTTTCTGACAGCGCGATCACCACAAGACTTCGTGCGCAATGGACTGGTTGCAGGTACGTGACCAATTTCTATATGTATACCTGTTATCAACATCTGACACAATGCAGTCTTCCTTCGAGTGCTGGAGTACTATGCCGGTATTCTCTTCCTGACCACAAATCGTATCGGCGACTTTGACGAGGCATTTGCTTCCCGAGTGCACATCAGTCTGCACTACCCTCAGCTAGACCTCAATTCAACACGTGAGATTTTCAGACTCAACCTGAAGTTGATCCGCAACCGGTTCGAGAAGAAAGGCCGTGACATCAAGATCGACGAGGATGAAATTCTCAGATTTGCCGAGGACTACTGGACCGATAATGAGAGGATGCGATGGAACGGGCGGCAGATTCGAAACGGGTGCCAGACTGCCCTGGCACTTGCTGAGTTCGACGCTCAGGGCGGTAGCCACGAGCGGATTAAGGACGCCCATGCGGAAGTCAAGCTGCAAACGGAGCACCTTCGGACAGTGTCCCGGGCCTATTTAGAGTTTATTTCCTACCTCACCAAGCTCTATGGCAAGGACGCAGACCGGAGAGCCAAGGCAATTGGTATTCGTGCCAGAGAGGCTGATAGCAAGAAGGAGGATGTTGTGGATCCTAAAGAGGCGACTCCTTTGAAGCGAGCTCATACCCATGCCCCCGTCAGCTCACCTGTGGGCATGGCAGTTTCCGCGCCACCAGATCCAAGTGCATCCACCAAGCCAGCATATGCTCCTCCCGCTCCGGCACCGAGTGTCGCACCAACGCACTACCCGTACCCGGTCTACTACCCGCAGCAGTACGCTCAGATGCCCCAGCCAGCCCAGCCAGACGCGGCTGCATACGCGGCACAGGCTCAAGACAGGCAAGTCAACATGTCACCACCAAACCCAGCTCAGTGGCAATCTCTTAACGCTGGCCCATGGCCGGTGGCACAACATCCGCCTGGGCAGATGCAGTTTGCTGGGTATCCACCAGGGATGCAGCCTCCTGGATTCGCTCAGCCTCCTCCTGGCGCAGATCAGCAGCAGCAGATGGGAGGAGCTCAAATGCCGCCCACGACCAGGAGCTAAAAACAGCAAGGTATACCTAGAATAATGGAACCATAATTTCATGAATATCTCCGTACCAACAGTCCTCGGTCCCTCCCTAAGCCTTCTATATTCTGAGCGCAAAGTCTAGACTATGCCATGGTTGATCAGCTAATTTTCGCATCAAGTTATAGTCGGATTAGTTGAGAGCCTGGCAACAGAAGTAATCCTCCTCGTCTATTACGGTTACTCCTAGTGTCCTCTGATCTACTATCCTGAACCTTGCTTGGCCATGTCAACATTCCACACCAATGGACAATCTGAGTGAATCCTCCAGCTTGACTCAAAGTTGCATTTTTGTGTGCAGGGGGGAACCAAATCCACACCCAGACGCCTAGGAGGTCTGCTCAAGCTTTTGCTTGAGAGTTGCAGCAGGATCCTGAGTCTCCCTGTCACCCCAGCTGGCATCCCAGCCGTTCTGGACCAGGTACTCCTTCCAGATGCGATCTTCGTCCTCGAGATGTTTCTCGCCATTCTGGACGACGAACCAGGCATTGAGAGCCCCAAGAACGGCGAATGCTGAGCCGACGAGGAATGCCACCTGGTTACCCTTCTCAGGATCGACGTAGGCGCCCATGATAGCCGTGAAGACCTGGTCCGACTTAGCGATGATGTTCCAATTGGGGAAACTATTTGCCTTACCTCGGTACCAATGGCAGCGCCTGCTTTGGAGAAAGCTGAGATGAATCCCATCGTGTGACCACGTACAGATGTAGGAAAAGGCTCAGTCGCTGTGATGATTACAGTACTACGAGGATTGTGTTAGTGTGATTGAGTCGTGACTGATAAAACTGCCCACTTGCCTTCCAGGACCAACTTCTCCCAAAGTCAGGAAAATACCGTAGAGGACGACGAATAGAGGGAAAATACTCTGGATCTGGCTGCTGGCGCCGCCTAGGATGAAGCCGAGGACAGCCTGGAGGGTGTAGCCAAGGGCCATTGTCTTTCTCCTGCCAATCCTATCCGACAGGTATCCTCCGATGAACGGGCCGGGCAGGTAGAAAGAGTTGATTAGGCAGCCCCAGCCCAGGTTCTGCACGAGCGAGTTGGACGGATTACCACGAGCAATGATTGTCGAGCTGAAAATGCCAAACGGAATGGAAATCCAATTGTACAGGAACCAACTGATGATGGCACCGAGCAAACGGCGCCAGTACTTCTTGACAATAAGCACGTAGGGGGTCTTTTGCTTTCGCAGCGCGGACTTGCGGTATGCCGTGGACACCCTCATCCTCAGGCGGAACCAGAAGATGGACATGGGGGGGATAGCACCCAGAGCGAGAGAAAGGCGCCAGACGAGCTGGTAGTGTTCGGTCTTCTGGTGCACGCACAAGAGCAGAAGCATAGGCACGAGGGCGCCGAAGCAATAGCCTAGTCCGGCGGAGAGATCTCCAATGAGGGCGAACAAAAAGCCTCTGCGCTTGCGAAACGAGCCCGACTCATCGGAAGCCTCTAATGCACCGGCTCCTGCATCTATGTCAGTACAAGGCCCTATGCGCAGGACGTAATGGAGATCTGCGTACCAGAGACAGGATATTCTCCGCCAGCTCCGACTCCGGCCACACCACGTGCGACGACGAGCATCCACATGACACCAAGCTGTGTTGTGCCGTTTGCTGCCGCGCTCATCGCAATGCCGAGGAGAAGCACGAGTGTTGTGACGACAGCGCCCGTCTTTCTGCCAAGTTGATCGACGACCACGCCGAAGCCGATCATGCCCACGATCATACCGATAAGAAAGGCGTTGGAGAGTCGAGATCGCATCGAGGTGGTCAAGGCTTCCGGGTAGAGGGTCTTAAGTAGTAGTGTAAGACTACCAATCACAGCCGCATTACTGAGGAAGTTGTTAGGATTAAACAAAGGGTTCATCATACTGAAAGGGACACAATGTTGACATACTACCCATCGGAACCTAGGGCAAGGCCGGAGAATATCATCATGAGGTAGGTGGACATTTTGCTGTACAGGGCAGGCTTTTCGCCCGGCTCAATGTCCGTTATCACCCCCGCTTGGACTTCCTGGTTCTGGGCGACATCTCTGTCCTCAACCTTTTCTTTCTGGACCTCGCGGGGCTGGTCCACGGCCGGCGTGGCGGTAATCTCGAGATTCGACATTGTTTCAGTAGGTCATGCCAGAAGACTGCTCTGCCTGCTCGGGCTTGATGAAGGCTGAAGCGTGAAGCGTGAAGCGCGAATTAATGTTACGGTTCAAGAACTCTGTATTTGCACCACCGGGAGCGATCTACATTTGTATTTCTCCTTTCTATCATCCCACTCGCACACTCATCTTCACGTCGGAAAGGGAAAGGCACGGAAAAGTCAAGCGCGCCGAGGGGAGAGGACCACGCTTCTCTTCCTTGTCCACTTCTTGGTTAGTGTCTCGTGTCCAAGGTCGCCATCCCCGTACGTGCCGCCGGTCACTCGTCGGCCTCCTGGCCGATAGGACCGTTGGCTTAGCCGATGGCATCTCCATTCACGCTATCCCCGCCTCTCGCACCTTGGTGGGCCGCGAACAAGACGCTCTGTGGGGGGCCAGCACCTTGGCCAACGGTGATCGTCACCAGAGGATGGTGCAGCATGTCCGGAGACGGTTAGCGGGTTCAAAGTGAAAAGGGACCGCGCCAGCTATTTGTGACCGCCGGGGATTTGATGCAGTGGAGCTCGGTTTATTCGATTGCGAAGATTACCCGACCAGAAGAAGCAGCTCGATGACACTTTCCCGATCGACTGACCCGTCGTATAGTTATTCTCCTAGCTTTATAATCCCCCGATGTTAGCGTAGAGGTCGGGTCCATCCCCGACACCGGCAGTCAACAAAGCACACTTCTTAAAGAGGAACGAGACTGCTGGGCTAACGTCATCGGTAGTATCTCGACCGATTTTCAAGCTTGCTTCCAGAGAAACGAGCGACTGGCTCCAGACAGTCTGATCAATATGCAACTCTCGCCAATTCAAACGCTCTATCACGAGCCTATCACCTTGAGTGATGGAACCGTCCTCTCGGCCATGATCTGGCTGCCCAAGGACGCCAAGGTCAACCCCGTTCCGGCCATCCTGGAATATCTCCCCTACCGCAAACGAGACATGACGGCTGTCCGTGATGCCACCAACCACCCATACGTAGCAGGCCATGGTTATGCGTGCGTCCGCGTGGATATGCGTGGGACGGGCGACTCCGAAGGCATCATCCTGGGGGAGTACCTCAAACAGGAGCAGGACGACGCGCTGGAGGTCTTGAAGTGGATCGCTGCGCAAGAGTGGTGCACGGGATCGGTCGGAATGATCGGTATCTCCTGGGGCGGCTTCAACGGTCTGCAGGTCGCGGCTCGCCGGCCGCCAGAGCTGAAGGCCGTCATCTCGATGTGCTCGACGGACGACCGCTACGCCGATGACATCCACTTCATGGGAGGCTGCATATTGACCGAGAACTTCACATGGGCCGCCTCCATGCTGGCCATCAACTCTTGCCCACCAGATCCAGCGGTTGTTGGTGACCAATGGCGAGACCTCTGGCTCAGGCGCCTGGAGTCGGGCGGATTCTTCGCGAAGGAGTGGCACGAGCATCAGCGACGAGATGAGTTCTGGAAGCATGCGTCCATCAGTGAGGACTACAGCTCGGTTCAGTGTCCCGTCTACCTGGTCGGCGGCTGGATGGACCCGTACACCAACACCATCTTCAGGATGCTCGACAACATGCAGTGCCCTAAGAAAGGCCTCGTCGGTCCATGGGGCCACAAGTACCCCAATTTTGCAAAGCCCGGACCACAGATTGGATTTCTGCAAGAGACTATCCGCTGGTGGGACAAGTGGCTCAAGGGCAAGGATACGGGTATCATGGAAGAGCCCATGCTCCGAGCCTATCTTCAAGACACAGACGGACCGGCTGCTTTCGTGAAGGAGCGCCCTGGCAATTGGGTGGCGGAGGCTGCCTGGTCCGACGCAAACCGCCCATCGCGCCGGATGGGTCTTGCACCAGGCCGATTGACGGAGGGACCATCCAAAGGCGCTGAAAAACTTGATATCTGCTCTCCGCAGACCCTCGGTTTCGCCGGAGGTAGATGGTTGGTCTTCGGTGTGGAGGGAGAGGGCCCGGTGGATCAGCGCCAGGAGGTCGGAGGCAGTCTCATCTTTGATACAGCGCCATTGGCCGAGTCTCTGGATCTTCTCGGTGCTCCAGTACTCAACCTCCGCATTGTGAGTGATAAACCCGATGCCTTGGTAGCAGCCACCATCTCAGAGGTGCTGCCTAGCGGCGCTGTCACCAGAGTGTCTTACGGTTTGCTTAATCTGACGCACCGTGATGGCCACGAAGACCTCAAACCTCTTGAGCCTGGACATTTCTACGACATCAGTCTCAAACTGAATCATCTCGGACAGCGGGTTGGTGCAGGGAGCCGCCTCCGCCTTGCAATCTCATCGACCTACTTCCCAATTGCCTGGCCCTCGCCTGAAGCCACGACTCTCACAATCGACTGTGCTCGCAGCAGCATCGACATGCCAGTGCGACATGACAGCCCACTTGACTCTCAGCTTAAGCACTTCCGACCAGCTGTCAACGGCATCCTGGACCAGACCGAGTTGCGTCCTGCGAGACATAGCAACCTCGTCAAGCAGGACTGGGACTCGGGTGAGACGACGCTCCACCTGGACTGGGACGATGGCATGTGGAAGGTCACCGAAACCGGCTGGATATACGGCTGGACGACCGAGACGATTATTGGGATACGCCCGGATGATCCTCTGTCAGCCCGCGTGGAACAGTCTTTCGACCGGGACTTTAAGCGCGACAGTATCACAATGAAGATCAAGGGCTGGACTAAGATGACGATGACAGCGACTGATATAGTCATCACTGCTCGAGTTGATGCCTGGGAAGGAGGAGAGTCTGTTATCGTGCGTGACTATTCCTTTACCATACCTCGTGATCATGTCTAGCTAGGGTCGATAGTATTAGTCTAAACCTGTAACAGTTCAGCTTGACTACCGCCGAGTTGCTGGTATATGATATCAAAAAGAGATTAAGAGAGAAGAAGAAAAGTCTATTGAACAGGCCCTAGAGAACACCACTTTTCTAGGTGTCCGTCTTATCTTATTAGAGGCCTAGATGTCAGCCTAACTAAAGCTGCTAAGCCTAGAACTAACTAAAGGTCTAGACTTTCTTAAGGCTCTTAAAGATATAATAGATATAATATATTTAGCTAGCTATTTAGTTTTTTCTTAGTCTATCTATTAGATATAAGCTAAGTTATATTATTAATATAATATAATTAAAAGAGATATAATAAATATAATATCTATCTATCTATTTATTTTTAATATATCTATTAAATATAAGCTAAGTTATACTATTAATATAATATAATTAAAAGAGATATAATCTATCTATTTTATTTATTTTTAATATATCTATTAAATATAAGTTAAGTTATATTATTAATATAATATCTATTTATTTTATTTATTTTTTAATATATCTATTAAATATAAGATAAGTTATACTATTAATATAATAATATAGTTAAAAGAGATATAATAAATATAATACCTATATTCTAAAGATGTTATAATAGTTCTTAATAATAAGAATATAATTATTATTATAGATTAATTAAGTATAGTTACTTAATTATAAAGGCTCTTAAGCCTAATAGCTACTGTCTTTAATATAGATTTAAGGCTTAGAATTAGTCTTAGACTTTTTAACCTCTTAATTATAATTTAACCTATAGTTACCTAATAAGTTAATTTATCTAGATATCTATATATATAAGTTTATAAGATTAGATATATAAGTTATTTAATAATAGATAAAACTAAATTATTATAATAAATAGTTTCTTAATAATAAGTAATCTACTTTATAAGCTCTAATATAATACTAATATACTTTAAAACTATTATTAAGAGGTTATTTTAAATATATATAAAATAGTTTATTTTTCTATTCTCTTAAGTCTATCTTTTATACTTATCTATATTAAGACTCTTAAGTATATTCTTTATTAAGACTTCTAAGTCTCTTCTCTATTAAAGAATCTAATCTATATATCTAAGACTATTAATAAGATATTAATCTTTCTTATTTATATAATATTTAATCTCTCTTAGAGGGTTTATAACTATAGTATAAATCTATAGTATTAGATTAATTAATTAATTAAGATCTTATATATAAGTTATTTAAGTAGCTTCTATTAATTCTATTTAATTTATAATTCTATTAAAATAATTATTAATATAATAAAACTATATATATACCAGTTCTATTTCTTCTTTCTTTCTTAAAGATACTTAATTATCTTCTTTAGATATTCTAATTATAATTAGTATTTCTTAATATTAAAGAGTTAGTTAAGATTTAGATTATTAGATTCTATATCTATAAAGATAGTTATACTTTTAAGTAGCTCTATAATATTAATAGTTTTTAATAGACTATATCTAAATCCTAAAAGGCTATAATTATTAATATAATTAATTATCTTAATATTCTTATATAGTTTATTTAAATTAAACTTAAAGAAGATAAACTTCTTAACTTTATTAAAGAGTTATTTATTATTCTTATTAGATATAATAGAAATAAGAAAGAATAATATCTTTTTAATAATCTTAAATATATATATTAATATTATATAATTATATATAGATATAGATTAGATTATTTAATAGAGAATATACTTAAGAGTCTTAATATAGATAAGTATAAGAGATAAACTTAAGAGAGTTAGTAATAAAAGGATAGATTATTTTATATATATTTAAGATAATCTCTTAATAATAGTCTTAAAGTATATTATTATTATATTAGAGCTTATAGAATAGATTACTTATTATTAAGAGATTATTTATTATAATAATTTAATTATATCTATTATTAAGTAGATAGCTTATATATTTAAACTTATAAACTTATATATATAGATATCTAGATAAGTTAACTTATTAGCTAGCTATAGAAGTCTAGCTAAACTATAGTTAAGAGATTAAAAAGTCTAGAACTAATTCTAGATCTTAATTATAGTTAAGAGGTCTAAAAGTCTAGGATTAATTCTAAATCTTAAATCTATATTAAAGATAATTAATAATTATTAGACTTAAGAGTCTTTATAATTAGAGAACTATACTTAATTAATCTATAATAATAATTATATTCTTATTATTAGATATTATTATAGTATCTCTAGAATATAGATATTATATTTATTATATCTCTTTTAATTATATTATATTAATAGTATAACTTAACTTATATCTAATAGATATATTAAAAATAAATAAAATAGATAGATTAATAGTTTATAGAAACTTATATCTAAAGATTAAAAGATTATAAATCTTAATAATATTAATTTTATTAATAATATTATAAAGCTTATTTAAATAAAGCTTAAAGAAAGTAAACTCTTTAATCTTATTAAAGAGATATCTATTCTTCTTATTAAATATTATATCTATCTATCTATTTTATTTTCTTTTAATATATCTATTAGATATAAGCTAAGTTATACTATTAATATAATATAGTTAAAAGAGATATAATAAATATAATATCTATATTCTAGAGATACTATAATAATATCTAATAATAAGAATATAATTATTATTATAGATTAATTAAGTATAGTTCTCTAATTATAAAGACTCTTAAGTCTAATAATTATTAATTATCTTTAATATAGATTTAAGATTTAGAATTAATCCTAGACTTTTAGACCTCTTAACTATAATTAAGATCTAGAATTAGTTCTAGACTTTTTAATCTCTTAACTATAGTTTAGCTAGACTTCTATAGCTAGCTAATAAGTTAACTTATCTAGATATCTATATATATAAGTTTATAAGTTTAAATATATAAGCTATCTACTTAATAATAGATATAATTAAATTATTATAATAAATAATCTCTTAATAATAAGTAATCTATTCTATAAGCTCTAATATAATAATAATATACTTTAAGACTATTATTAAGAGATTATCTTAAATATATATAAAATAATCTATCCTTTTATTACTAACGCTCTTAAGTTTATCTATTATACTTATCTATATTAAGACTCTTAAGTATATTCTCTATTAAATAATCTAATCTATATCTATATATAATTATATAATATTAATATATATATTTAAGATTATTAAAAAGATATTATTCTTTCTTATTTCTATTATATCTAATAAGAATAATAAATAACTCTTTAATAAAGTTAAGAAGTTTATCTTCTTTAAGTTTAATTTAAATAAACTATATAAGAATATTAAGATAATTAATTATATTAATAATTATAGCCTTTTAGGATTTAGATATAGTCTATTAAAAACTATTAATATTATAGAGCTACTTAAAAGTATAACTATCTTTATAGATATAGAATCTAATAATCTAAATCTTAACTAACTCTTTAATATTAAGAAATACTAATTATAATTAGAATATCTAAAGAAGATAATTAAGTATCTTTAAGAAAGAAAGAAGAAATAGAACTGGTATATATATAGTTTTATTATATTAATAATTATTTTAATAGAATTATAAATTAAATAGAATTAATAGAAGCTACTTAAATAACTTATATATAAGATCTTAATTAATTAATTAATCTAATACTATAGATTTATACTATAGTTATAAACCCTCTAAGAGAGATTAAATATTATATAAATAAGAAAGATTAATATCTTATTAATAGTCTTAGATATATAGATTAGATTCTTTAATAGAGAAGAGACTTAGAAGTCTTAATAAAGAATATACTTAAGAGTCTTAATATAGATAAGTATAAAAGATAGACTTAAGAGAATAGAAAAATAAACTATTTTATATATATTTAAAATAACCTCTTAATAATAGTTTTAAAGTATATTAGTATTATATTAGAGCTTATAAAGTAGATTACTTATTATTAAGAAACTATTTATTATAATAATTTAGTTTTATCTATTATTAAATAACTTATATATCTAATCTTATAAACTTATATATATAGATATCTAGATAAATTAACTTATTAGGTAACTATAGGTTAAATTATAATTAAGAGGTTAAAAAGTCTAAGACTAATTCTAAGCCTTAAATCTATATTAAAGACAGTAGCTATTAGGCTTAAGAGCCTTTATAATTAAGTAACTATACTTAATTAATCTATAATAATAATTATATTCTTATTATTAAGAACTATTATAACATCTTTAGAATATAGGTATTATATTTATTATATCTCTTTTAACTATATTATTATATTAATAGTATAACTTATCTTATATTTAATAGATATATTAAAAAATAAATAAAATAAATAGATATTATATTAATAATATAACTTAACTTATATTTAATAGATATATTAAAAATAAATAAAATAGATAGATTATATCTCTTTTAATTATATTATATTAATAGTATAACTTAGCTTATATTTAATAGATATATTAAAAATAAATAGATAGATAGATATTATATTTATTATATCTCTTTTAATTATATTATATTAATAATATAACTTAGCTTATATCTAATAGATAGACTAAGAAAAAACTAAATAGCTAGCTAAATATATTATATCTATTATATCTTTAAGAGCCTTAAGAAAGTCTAGACCTTTAGTTAGTTCTAGGCTTAGCAGCTTTAGTTAGGCTGACATCTAGGCCTCTAATAAGATAAGACGGACACCTAGAAAAGTGGTGTTCTCTAGGGCCTGTTCAATAGACTTTTCTTCTTCTCTCTTAATCTCTTTTTGATATCATATACCAGCAACTCGGCGGTAGTCAAGCTGAACTGTTACAGGTTTAGACTAATACTATCGACCCTAGCTAGACATGATCACGAGGTATGGTAAAGGAATAGTCACGCACGATAACAGACTCTCCTCCTTCCCAGGCATCAACTCGAGCAGTGATGACTATATCAGTCGCTGTCATCGTCATCTTAGTCC